TTCGTAATTTTTGTTTCTTGTCCTCTGGGGCCTACCCCTCTGGTAGACAAGGTATAGGATTGCATACTAGTAATTTTTCTACGAAATTGGGCCAGAACAGTGCCGAACTGCAGCCAACATCATCCTAGAACAGAATTCTGACTCGAAGTATTCACAGTGTGCTACACCCTAGTGCATAAGTATAGTGAATATAGACAGTGTAGCCTGTGGCTATTTTGATTTATTTGAAGTGTCAGTAGCTTCATCACAACATTGTCAGTATGATTTTCGGAGCTGCTGTTCTTTAAGGTGAAGCTGGACAGCGGTGTGCGGGTGGTGCGTGGGCGGTGCGTGTCGGAGTTTGGATCGTGGATCGTGGGCGCGGCGAAATCCTACGGCCCGTAAATACCCGCCACGTGCTCGGCATTCCCTCTGATCTCTTCGGCTTCATGTCACATACACCTGAAGACCAGCTCGAAGCCCCTGGTCTACCGGACAAGAAAAAGAAAGCACGCAAATCTAGCAAACGCGAGAAACGCGATAATACGGTTGTCAACGAAGATGAACAAGCTACTGCAGATGTTTCTGAGGTAAAGCAGGAGAAGAAGAAAAAGAAAAAGAAACGCGACAGAGATGAGGAAATCGAGGTTCGAGATGCTGAAGGTGCGAGTGACCTAGCTTTCGCTCTTAAAGGCAGAGATTACAGCTCGAGCGCTCAGGATCACCCCCCAAGAAGAAGAAGCGTAAGCCTGCTAATAAGCTTTATGAATGACATCTCTTATACAAATGAACCAGGTCAGGCGGCCGATGCATCTGGGGCTCCCGCCGAAGAGGATCACGATAACTCGGATGTGCGCAAAACGAAGAAGAAACGAAAAGACAAGTCAAAGTCAGAGCCTGATGGCGAAGCTAATGACGACAAATCCTCTAAGCAAAAGAAGCACAAGAAGAAATCCAAGAAATCCGTTTCCCCCTATCCCGACCCACTAGAGGACTCGTCCTTGTCAGATCAATCTCAAAAAGGTTGGCGCTTTTCTAACACATGGCTATATTTGCTTGAGCTTTAGACCTTGTTCGCAACCTACTCGCTGATTCTTTTGAAATCAGGGCTGGTTTACGCCTATCAGCGCGCTGCCGAATCTTCGGATTGGAAGTTTAACAAAGCTCGTCAGAACTGGTTGACTCGTAACCTCTGGTCTGAGGAAATGGTGGGGCTCCATTTCTTATGATCGCCATATTGATACCTTAGCGCTTGCTAATTTCTCCTTGACCAACAGGTACCTGAGAAATATTTTCCTCTGGTTATCCGCTACCTTGCTGATACACGTGGGGGAGCCTGTGATGTGAGTGCTACAGTTGGGTAATATGTGTCGTTATGCTCAACAAAATCACCATCGCAGGCTCTCATTCAAAACTGTAATCGATATCTGCCTCCAACAGAGATGGAGGGTACAGCTGCTCCTGAGGGAGACAGCCATGAGGAAAAATCTTCCACCAACCCCAAAAGCGCGAGGGCTCGCCAGCTACTTGACGCACTGGTCACTCCGAACTGACTTCGTCCACGCAAGAAAGTGTAGCCGGTGACCTTTATGACGAGAAAATCTTGCACCATGTACGTGTTCATATCTCTTCGAGTCTTTGAAGGAGCTACAACTTAGCTGTCCCAAGGTAAGTTTCATTCGTAGATCCACCACTCATCTAGCAGTTTGCGGGATAGACAACCCTCCTGCCGGAGAAATATGTCCGTTCACTCGGTGCTATACATCAGTTGCTTGCAGAAATATGATCTTTGTCTGTTCCCTCGGGATTTAGTATGTATGCAAAACTACAATGGGGGCGGTAGCTGGTGCACAGACATGTTCGTCATTTAAAGAACCATACTCGCAACTAAACGGACAAGTCAACGCGACGAACCCAGCTTGCGCTCATGGCAGTGCTCCTGGATACGGCCTCATGATGCGCACACAACGAAGCGCAATGTAGTCAAGATTGGCACCGAACTACGCTCGGTCATCGTATGTTAGCACAGCCAAGCGCATATGCTGTTACATCCGCAGGCCAGCTGAGTCTTCGTCATTTGCGCTGCTCTGCTGCGGTCGAAATGGCGATCACATTTATAAGGGACGCACGCAGACCACTAGGTTCATCGACTTCATTCGCGTTCACCGTGTTCCAGCACATAAGCCTTCGTTATATTTTCTATGCCCTTCAGAATGCTCCGTACATTATTCATAACGTCTTTCCAGCTGTACTTCGTCGCAGCCTCTCTGGCTGGACATACCCTCAGCCTTCGCAGAAGTTCCTTCCCCAGTTACAGTGCCACCCTCACTTCCACCAGCTACGGTCAAATATTCGATACGGATATCACTGTGGGCAATCAAACGTTTACAGTGCTCGTCGACACTGGCAGCAGCGATTTATGGGTGCTAGGCCAAGATTACATCTGCCTCGACGATACCAGCAACGCTACCCTGCCGCGCGAGACATGCAACTTCGGTACCAAGACATACACCCCGTCCTCGTCCTTTCATCAGGTCCCGGACATGTTTTTTGGAGAGCAGCTCGGGGGAGGACGCGTGTCCGGCGTGCTTGGCACAGAGGTCGTCACGCTCGGCGACCTGACAGTTAAAGAGCAGCACTTCGGCCTCGTGAACAAGACCTCGAACACTGGGGACGGCATCAACGTCGGCATTCTGGGGCTCGGTTACCCTTCCATGACCTCCGGCCATAATGGCTCTATTGTTGGCTTCGACAACACCACTTTTGACTTCAACCGCACCACCTACAATCCCGTGTTTAACAGCATGATTGCCCAAGGCTTGGTCGACCCTTTCTTCAGCATCGCCCTCGAGCGCACTCCGCTGAACGCGTCAACGGGCCCCGGCGGCTACCTGACGCTCGGTGGCCTCCCGCCCGTGCCGCATAGCACGAACTTTTCGAGCGCGCCCGTCGAGATCGCACCCCTGCCCATCAACTACACAGGCAACAAAGCCCAGCGCTCCTTCTGGTATATCACAGTCGACGGCGTAGCATATGGCAGCAGCAGCAACGACTCGTCCTCGTCTACAATAACGACCAACACAACATCCTTCGGCGCCGTCGTGGACACCGGCAATTTCTACACCTTCCTCGACGACTCTCTCGCCTCGCAGATCAACGCCCTCTTTGATCCGCCCGCGCAGCTGATACCAGGCTCGGCGCCGGGCACTTGGTCGGTGGCTTGCAACGCGACCGCACCGTCGTTCGGCGTTACCATCGGTGGCCAGACGTTCTTCCACGACGGACGAGATCTGATCTTGAACGCCACTTCGACTTTGCATACCCAATCATGCGTCTCTAGCATCGTATCTGACGCTGACGTCTCGTACGGCAACGCAGGAACGAGCGCGATCCTGGGAGACCCGTTCTTTAAGAATGTCGTTAGCGTCTTTGACTTTGGGAGGAATGAGATGAGGTTTGCCGCAAGGACCGAGTCTTAGATAAATTACGTAGTGCTAGCGCGGTCTTCAGCTTTCTTTCCTTCCACTCGTTAGCACTATCCGAGTCCTTACCCACCAGTCACTTCGTTAGCTATAATGAACAGCTGTCATTCTGACTTTCACACAGAAAATTTATCTGAATGTGCAGCATATGCATTGATAACAGTGCACCATCAATAAGCAGTCAACACATGATCTAATTTAAGCAGCAACAGAGACTTCCGCAACAGAGGCAGGCTTGATATGGTCCAATACGTTGGTGGGGATCAGGGGCCTCCTGGGCAGAGCCTGTGCAGCCAGCTCAAGTGCGCCGTCAACCAATGAAGCCGCAACCATATCCTCATCAGGCTTGACCTTGCCCAACAGCTCTTCGAAGTCAGCCCGAGCCTCCCGAACGGCCGCAATGTTGACAACCGTCTGCTCTGTACCCTTGAGGGTGCGAGGGACACCTGCCACGTTGATTTGCTCCTGAGACCAGATCGGGGTAACGTCGTCCATGCCCATGCCTACATTAGCACGCCCGCCCTCACGGACCCAGTCCGAGGTGCGCTTGATGTTGAGCTCAGTGAAGACCTGGTCGACAGCTTGAACGACGCCGTCGATTTGTTCTTGGGTGTGGCGGGGGGTAACAGTGAACCGGAGACGCTCCTCGCCGACAGCAACAGTGGGGTAGTTGATAGCTTGGACGTAGATACCATGGTCAACGAGGAGCTTGTCGCTGGCTTCCTTGGCCAAAGCAGCATCACCAACGAGAACCGGGACGATGTGGGATGGATTGGGGATGACAGGGATGTCCTTGGCAGCAAAGCGTTCCTTGACAGTGTTGACATTGACCTGCTTCAGTGCACGATCGCCGACGTGATGCTTTTGGTAGATAACTGAGGCACGGGCTCCAGCAACGACAGCAGGGGGCAGGGATGTGGTGAAGATAAAACCGGGGGCGTAAGACCGAATCATGTCGATGAAGTCAGCGGAGCCAGCGACGTAACCTCCGACATTGCCGTAAGCCTTTCCGAGTGTACCTGCAGCATACATGTTAATCATACGTCCACGGTTGCACATTAAGTGGACATACCAGAGATGATGTCGATGCGGTCCATGATGCTTCCCTTGACCGGAGAAGTGGCTTGTCCAGCCTTTTGCTGAGCCTCGAAGTCGAGGTGTTCAGCAACACCGGCACCGCGAGGTCCGTAAAGGCCGACAGCGTGAACTTCATCCAGGAAAGTCAAAGCGCCGTACTTCTTTGCCAGGTCACAGATTGCCTCAATGGGGCCAACACTCCCACACATGGAATAGACACTCTCAAAGGCGATGATCTTGGGAGTGTCAACGGGCCATTGCTTGAGCTTGTTCTCCAAGTCCTCCAAGTCGTTGTGTTTAAAGATAACCTTCTTAGCACCCGAGTGACGTATACCCTGAATCATGGACGCATGGTTGGAGGCATCGGAGAAGTAGACACAGCCAGGAAGCTTTGAACCGAGGGTGGACAGTGTGGCGTCATTGGCGACGTAACAAGACGAAAAGACCAGGGCGGACTCCTTGCGATGGAGAGATGCAAGCTCATTCTCCAGCGCAAGGTGCATTGCACTATTTCCGGCAATGTTTCTAGTGCCTCCGGCTCCTGCGCCGTACTTGTTCATGGCACGGCTATAGATAGAATATTATTATTTTGTAATGCGGACCAATGGACGATCGACGTACTGCATGGTCTCTAAGACGACGGGGTTGGTACCCATGCCGAGGTAGTCATTGGCGCACCACACTTGGACCTCCTTTTTAACGTCAGCAGTGTGTGCCACAGGGAACTTGGCTGCAAGCCTGTTAATGTTGTTGAAGTAGCGGTAGGACTGGTCCTTGCGCTTCTTGTCGAGCTCGGCGGAGAAGAAGTTGCCGTAGCCAAAGGTGCCTTCGGGGGCGGCAGCCTCCGGGGCCTTCGCCGTATCCTTGACAGCCGGAGCAGAAACGGCAGCCTTGTGGAAGGGGCAGCCAGAAGCAGCAGCCTGCTGAGCAACACTGCCGTGCGCTTCTTTGGCCTGAGCGGGCTTGTGAGTGCCAGCAGCCGCGAGGTCGTCGGCCATGCGAGCAGCAGCACGCGCAGCAGCAGCGTGGGGGCACTTCTGTATGTCAGACTCCGAGGGAACGGCGTCAGGGAAGATGCCATTCTTATGGTGGATTTGCTGCACGTCGGCTTGACCAGCGACGCTGGCATAGCCAGATACAATCTGGTTGGAGCGCAAAGCAAGGGCAGGGCCCATGATAGGGCAGCCAGTGGCGCGCTCGGTGAGCTGGGAGAGCGACGGGAAGCGCGGAGACGAAGAGGTGCTCAGGTGGCGGATCGTAGAGCTCTTGGTGCCGCCCAGGAAGGGGCACGAGGCCTTGAAGCGGGCGAGAGACGAGAGTCTTTCCATGATGGACTGACAAGTGCCCTAAGAACAGAAAATGAGACTTTATGAGGAGGAGGAGTTGACTTGACACGTACCGAACAAAAAGACGAGGAAAGAAAGAGGTAACCGGTTGACTACGAGAAATCCGACTGCATGATATAAGAGTCTGGTAATATCTGTCTTCCGATTGGCTGTTGCCACTCTCTCGTAACTCTCCCACGAGCAAGGCTCTGGCTTCCCTACAAAGCCCCAGGATCTTGTTTCGTGTGAGTGCGATCTAGGACCGCTTCCGGTCTTTTCCATTCGTCTGCGAATCCCTGCAACAAGGCTACTGCAAGGCCCAATTGAATGCCAAGTCACCTTACAAGAAAAGAACATTAGCATCATTATTGTTGATCATTCTACATAGCTATAGAGCTAGTCTAGAAACGAAACAGCGCCCCATTCTACGCCTTCATTGAGCCAAGGCAGCCCTCCAAAACATCCACCGCAAAGTCCACCTCATCCTTTTTGACGTTCAGCGAAGGAACCAACCGGACGGCGTTAGAACCGGCTGTCAGCACAAACACCCCGCGTTCCCGTGCTCGCCGTACGATCTCCCCGGCGTACGTGGCATCCTTCACCCCCAATCCCCGAATCAACCCGCGGCCCCTGACCGCCGGCTCCAATACTTCGGGGAACCACCTCGGCAAAGCTTCCAGTCGGCCGGTCAAGTGTGCGCTGACTTCCTTCATATTTGCGATAAAGGGCCGCTGACTCAGTCGTGATAATGCATGATGCCCGACAGCACAGGCCATGGGCGATCCTCCGAATGTCGTACCATGGGTACCTGCGCAGTTAAGGGTAGTTGTCATCGCACCTTATCCTCGGGCACAAAGTGCCTGTGCAGAGTGAAACTCACCTGCGGTCATCGTCGACGCAATTGTATCACGCATGAGAACGGCGCCGATGGGATATCCGTTCGCGAGCGGTTTCGCCATCGTGATCATGTCAGGATGGCAATCCGTCGGCAACGATGAATGGGCCCACAGCGTTCCTGTCCTGTACAACCCACACTAAAACGACCATCAGTATCAAAACGCACGCACACCGCCAACCATGAGAGTAAAAGTACTGACCTGAATCTCATCAAAGATGAGGACTGCACCCACTTCGTCGCAACGCTTGCGAAGAGCTCTCAGCCATTCTTGTTCCGCCGCGTTGATGCCTCCCTCCCCCTGAATAGGCTCGACGATAACCACGCAAGTATCCTCGTCAACCAGCGTTTTCAGCCCGTCGTAGTCGTTCAACTGGCCGACCTGCACGCCAGGAATGAGCGGCAGGAACGGCACCTGGTACTTCGGCGTCGACGTGACGCTCAGCGCGCCCATGCTGCGCCCGTGGAACGAGTTCTGGAAGCACGCGATCTTGTACTTGGAACACTCCGGATCGTCGACCTTGCGACCGGTCCTGGCGGCCCACCGATCCTTGCCCACCTTGCGCGCAATCTTGAGGGCACCCTCGTTGGCCTCCGTCCCCGAATTGGCAAAGAAGACCTTGGCGCCTGAGTTCGCAGGAGACGACTCCGGCGGGCCTCCCCCAGCCGCGAAGCCCAGACCGCCCTCCTGGTGTGTCAACGTGACGAGAAGCTCCGCAAGCTTCGGCGCCCACTCGTTGTGGTATACATTCGATGTGTGCAGAAGCTTGGACGCCTGCGAGTTTATCACCTACAAGCGGGGATGTGTTTGTCATAGTTACAACGTAGCCCGGCCAGGTGCACGTACCTCCAGAATGCCGGGGTCCGCATGACCAAGAGCGTTGACGGCAATCCCGGCGCTGAAGTCCAGGAACTTCCTTCCTTCAGTGTCCCATACCCAGCTCCCCTGGCCGCGTTCGAGTACAAAAGACGGACGGTCATACACGGGCAGCAGATACGTGCTCCCGGTCGTGAGCGTAGCCTGAGTTTTAGCCGAGACGGACTGTTGGTTGGAGAAGTCGTACGTGGGTTCGAGGTACTTGGTGCTAGGCGAGGAACGCGCCGTGGATGCAGCCTGAAAAACGAAACGCGCCGTCAGACGCGTCCGATCGAGCACATGGCCAAAAATTTACGCACCTCCGAGACGGAGGCCATGCATCGCGATGAAATCCGCCCAATACAGTGAGCACGAGATGAACTCGCGGCAGTAGTCCTGAGAGTGGAATACATGGTCAAGAGGGTCGCCGTGGTCGGTGTCGACTCGATGAATGAAAGCAGAAAAAAGGCCGGTTATGTGAGGGGCAGGCAGGGCTGGCGAGTCCAGAGCCGAGTCAGTTATATGACTCACCCACGCACACAATCTGCTGTAGAGGCTCAAAGGTCTCGAGGCACACTGGAAGGCTACTGGGAGGCCTAGGATGACAGCCTGCCACTAGATACGAATAGCATAACATCCGCGAGGTGAAATGCGGTCATTGCCATAGGCTCGGGGGTAGAATCCACGCTACAGGTTCATGCTGTTGAAACACGCACCATGATGGCAGCACTTACAGCTCATGCATTGGACGTGTATAAATGGGAACTCATAATTGGTGTCCATGAATATTACAGGGACTACGGGCGTAGGAACCGACCATGAAGCATATGTATTACATGTACAGGAGTGGAAGCGAACAGATGCAAATAACGTTTTTTGGACCACACTGATCACAGCTAGCTTATCTCGACTCGCTTCGTCCCGTGCTGACCGACATGGAAGAGGATCCTGCAGAGTCTGATCGTGCCCGGCCAGTCGACTTCGGAGACGCAGTCAGTTTTCGGCCCCTCTCTTCGGGAGACAAAGAACGACGTCGAGGCGAAGCAGGAGACATGGATCGGCGCCGGTCCCGGTCCAGCGAGGGAGACCTGCGAGGTGAGCGGTAACGGCGGCGAGGAGGGGAACGTTCAAGCTGGGGCGGAGTCGGAGGTGGCGAGCGCCGTGAGGGAGGGGGTGGTGTGCCAGACCGCTGATAGCGTGCGGGAGGAGACCTGGACCGATCAGAAGACGGCGAGCGGCGACGCGGAGGAGGAGAACGAGAACGCGAGTTAGAACGTCCCCGCCGCATGTCTCTGTCACGTCCGTAAGAGCGCCGCGGCGGACTGCGGCTTCTACGCTCTCGTTCTCCACGGAAGTCTCGCCTGTCCCTCGACGGAGGAAGCGGAGGGGGAGGCATGTCCCTCCGTCGCCTATCTGGATCCTCGCCCTCCCTCCGTCGCCGATCTTCCTCACGCCGCCTGAGACGATCGCGCTCTCGCTTCTCAGCCTCCCACTTCTGCCTCTGCTCCTCCATCTTGGCCCTCTCCTCGTCCCTCCTCCTATCCCTTTCCTCCCGCTCTGTGAGACGACGGATCTTGTTTTCCTCTTGCTTCTCGCGGTCAAATGCCTCGCCTTCAGAGTAGTCGTTCCTTGTGCCCAAGGCACGAGCCATTTTACTCAGCTCGGCCTTTTTGGCGGCAGCCATTCCATGAGTATCAGAAGGCTTTTTTGCGGGCCCAGCAAAGGACATATCGGCGAGAAGCTTGGTACGAAGCTCGTCAACCTTGACTTCAATTTCAGCCTCGGCCAGATTGCTGCACCAAATTAATTTAGCACAAACACGAAGACGAGTGAAGGAAAGACATACCCTTCATCTTCGAGTTCTAGCTGCAGCTCAAGACACTTGACCTCTACCTTGCGCTTGCGCTCGTGTTCAAGAATACCCTCGTCTGGCTCTCTGTGCTTTGGAGGAGCTGCATCCCAAGCGGTAGCTCTGTCTGAAGGAGTCTGGTGTGTGCGGAGTGTCGAAAGGTTGCGGACGACGTAACCATTCGTGCCACTAAAATAAAGTAGAGTATGGGCAGATGTCCAGCATTGATAATATACTGACTCACCTTCCACGGGGAGTTGTCAAACCAATGCCGTTGTACATGGTTGTGTCTGGCGAGAAGCAAGTCCGGAGCGAGGAGAGGTGGCGAAGAACCGTGGCAAAAGCAGCGGATCACGTGCTGGAAGGCTATGCGGTATACGGTTGTGCTGTAAGCTCAGGGGCCTCGGCACGTTTGCAGACGCAAGCCTTCGGGCTGCTGCTCCCTTCACTATAAGCACTGGGCGTGCCCTCGTCCGCACCCCCCATAACAAGCGCCAGCAAGGGGACTGCACTCGACCTCCTTATCCATCTACCACCATGTCCGCCTCCGCTGCAAGCTCCACCGTCTTCCTTCCTCTCCCTCCCGCACGCGATATCCCCGTCACCTTCTCTGCCAGTTTTCGCAGTTGGTACGTCCCATCACAACCCACTACACCCAATCTCTCTTAATCGATACCAAATAGGTGGGCCTCGGGAACCAAGGAGGGTGCTGCCGCCGAAGAGCGTCTCCTTCGGTCAGTCTCTTTCCCCGCATCCCTTATCTATACACCATTTCTCAATTAATGTATACCAGACGGCTGCCCTTCTTCTACCCCGAGAAGATGACCCCTTCTCGCGGCGACAGCCCCGTCATCGCGCACAGGGAGCAGATCAACCTCGGCACCCCGAGGCACTACCTCAACACCCTCTCGATCAAGTCCACCTCCCCTGCTCCTAACGCACCCCCACCAGCCGTCATGCTCCACGGCTACGGTGCCGGCCTCGGCTTCTTCTTCCGCAACTTCCCCGCCCTCGCCAAATGGGCAGGCCACCGCGGCACAGACGTGTACGCCGTCGATTGGCTAGGCATGGGACGCTCCGCCCGCGTGCCCTTTGCCATCCGGGCGAAGCGTGACGACATACCCGGACGCGTCAAGGAGGCCGAGTCCTTCTTCGTCGACTCCCTCGAGGAGTGGAGGGCCAAGATGGGCCTGGATCAGATGACCCTCATAGGACACTCGCTCGGCGCATACTTCAGTCTTGCATACGCCCTCAGATATCCGACGCGTGTCAATAAGCTCATACTTCTCTCGCCTGCTGGCGTCGCTCGCGATCCCAACCTGACAATGCCCTCTCGGGAGCTGACGGATACCGGCGACTCGAGTAGCTCGAAAAGCGACTCGCTGACACCAGCGTCCAAGGGTGAGGTCAAGAAAGTCCGCGATGAACAGAGGCGGGAAAGACAGCAAGAGTCACGGATGCGCAAGGTGTTCACTTACCTCTGGGAAGAAGGATGGAGCCCATTCCAGGTTGTCCGCTCGTCTCTTTTCTGGGGACCTCTGCTTATTGGGAAGGTAAGCTCGGAGAACAACGAGACGTTCGGTATGTGACTAACCATCTTGCAGTACTCAGCCCGCCGATTTGGTGGTCTGACGTTGGATGAGACCAAGGATATGCACGATTATATCCTGAACATCACTCTCTCAAAGGGGTCTGGCGAGTATTGCATTTGTAGGTCCCTTCCACACACTTGATCTATCATTAGCTCATTAGGCGATTAGCACATGTACTCGCTCCTGGTGCTCACGCCCGCATGCCTATGGTTGATCGTGTCGCTGAGCTGAAGATTCCCATCACCTTTGCCTGTACGTGCACTCGAGTCACTAGCATCACACAGCTCACCATCATTACAGACGGGGACCAAGATTGGATGGATCCCAAGGGAGGTTCGCAATCGGTGAAGCATCTCAGGCACGCAGGCAACGAGCAAGGACGCATGTACATCGTACCTAATGCAGGTCACCACCGTATGTATTGGTCTCTTCTGTTCCTGCAACTCCTGGCTCATCATCATAACAGTCTACTTGGACAACCCGAAGGCAGTCAATGAACTGCTCATCAAGGAGCTCGATCGTCAACCAAAGCAAAGCCGTTCCAGCACGGCCTCGAGCTCGTCTCAATAAGCCTCCTGCATGAGAACCACAAATTTGTTCGCTTAAAGTTTCTTTTATTTACGGGACTCTGGCTTGGAATACGGATAACATTAGAGGACTGTAGACAGCACGTTCCTCCAGGGGGCCGTGCATATAATACATTCCCTGTATAATCAGATAACTCGCGCCAAGGAACTCTCGTCTTGTAAGCATGCATAATATAACAGCTCTTCGATCGGCGCTATGCAGCAGGGCGACCTAGACGCTCGGGATATTTGGCTCTGATCCGTTCCGTCAAGTCTTCTTCATAGATTTGATCTGGTCCTAGCTGATTACCCAACGTCAACCAGCTACGGAACAGCGCGTCAATGCACCGAAAGTTAATAAACCGACGAGACAACGTACCCTGGTCGGACGTTGTGTTTTCGCCCAAAGATCTCGACCTTACGACCACCAGGGCACATACGTTCGATCAAACCGTACACCTCATCTGGTTTTCTGCTGGTTTCTCGGACCTCGCTCACGATGACATCAGTGTCGACCCCGCGGTTGACCCACGAAGGGAATTTGAGGTTGCCCCGCTCATCCACATTTGTCTTCACAGCTACCAACATGTGTTCCTTAGTATGATTGAGCCAATGCCCCGTTCGCCCCGTGCGAATTACGCGCTGGAGCTAAGGCGGGTTATAAAAGGAGCGAAGGAGCTACAGTTAATAACGACGTGTTCCATGGACGAGTGGCAATATGAAGATACCTGATTGGTTTTGACCCAGACTACCTCGTCAACCCGAGTGTAGCCCCACACGCGCAAACATTCCCGCCCCACCTCCATGGCACGTCCAGTGACCCACAGGAACAGCATACCCTCATCCTGCAATGCCGGTATAGGCATCGCCCTCATCTCATCGTCTGTCATCGTTCCGTACGGCAACTGATAAACTTCATTAGTGCTCGGCAATGCTTGACTTGGGAATGAACGGACACTCATGTGGATGTCCCAGGGCGGGTCGGCCATGATAACATGGAACTTTCCTAGCACGGAATAGTCAAAGCGCCGCAAATCACAGTTGATCCATTGTGGCGGCAACTATATACACCAAGACAGGTCTAAGCCATAAAAATCGAAAGACACAAGAATGCAGCCAAGCTCACAGGAGTTGTATGCTCGCTATCTGGCCCATTGCCTATCCTCAGTTGGAACTCACGGCTGATCTCCGTTCTGGACGGCTGTCCGTGCTCGGCATTGTTAGGATGACTCGCTGCGTCACTTTCGTCCCAATCAAGTTCAAAGTGGAGATATCTGCATGGAGCCTTTTCTTTACCGCGTCCACCAGCACCCAGGCCTGAGGGAAGTGACACGCGAGTCGAATTCGACGAAGGAAATGGAGGTATGGATGGTGACTGCGCATATGTGGGCTCAGAGTAACAGGTGTTCAGATACGAGCAGTGACCGAGCGAAGGGTCAGTATGTGGCCGAAGAAGAGGGCGAAAGTGGACGCGGTCACAAATCGACGGATGGTCAGACGAAGCGAGGCTATGCTTGGCGCACTCGTCCTTGGTGATATGCGCGCATATGGGCTCAAAGGCGGGGTCAGCAGATCGGAACTTTGCAGCGTTCAATTAACGTGTCTGAGAGCAACAAGCAAGCATGGGAACGCACTCGCTCGGCCAAGAGACGTCCTTTGGCGGTGCTCTTTTGGATGAGGGCGTATACCTCTTTCATGTCTTTGCTGAGATTGCCAAGGGGGCTTCCAGCAGGGGCGGGGGACACACTCGCATGCCCCGATGATCCCTCCGCGTCGTCCCCGGCAGCAGAGTCCGCATCTTCATCCACAATTCTCTTGCGCTTTCGAGGGTTGGAACCGTCGAGTGAGTCCAAGAACACGTCCATGATAGTCAGTTGCCCACCATCGCGGGCCAGTGATATGTACCCGTGTTCCCAGTGCGAGCCGAGGTCCTGGAGGATGACGTCCAGGCGGTTCAGATGCGTGAGCTTCAGCACCTTATTCGCAGGGAGAGATGCGCGAGAGGAGATCAGGAGAAGCAGGAGATCGAAGGAGCTTATAGGCGTCGAGGCTTTTCCTTGCGAGAAAAGCGATTGAATGCTTGAGGAAACAACAGACTTGAGCTCGTCTTCTGACATGATGGATAGGGTCCAGTACGGGTGAGTGTGTAGGACGCGAGGCCTGATAATGACAGCGAACACGGGTATGAGCTCACTAGCCTATTATGGTATCTTAACCGAACCCCGTCACTTGAAGCAAATACAAACCTTTGCGCGCTGACACCTAAATTGACCTATTATACTCAGCGACAGAGGGTAGCACAATCAGACAACGCCCTCGCCTTTTACTAGGGCGTTCCGTGGGCTGCCCTCATTTCCATGTCGCATTCCCAATTTTTCAGCACTCAGCTTGCTCTGAGATTGGCCTTCAGCCAGTAACCTTATTACTTTTATCTTTTTGGGCGTTGTTTGTTCTTCCGAAACCTTTACCTCTGTGCTCATTACTGTCACCGTCAACAACGTTAGACCAAAAAAAGAACAGTGATTCATTGTTGCGCCGGTACAAATATCGGATGAAGCTCTACGGTTGTATTTCTTTCCCTGCCCAGTCCCACACTCTTCCTCTCTGATCCTCTTGTAAACCCCCAACAACATCAGCAAGACACCCGGCCGAGTACTCCGGCGAAAACAGTTTTTCTTTGGCAACACTGTCCCAGAAACCTTTGCTCAGATCTGTCTTGACTGTCCCAGGATGCACACCGACACATATCGAGGGAGAACCCTTCATCTGCAACTGGTGGTCGAATGTCTTCACCACCTGGAACAGCGCGGCCTTGGACGAACGGTACGAATACCAGCCTCCCATCTTGTTGTCCGAAATCGAGCCTACACGCGCGGTGACATGGACCCATTTCGCTGGCGCCGACAGCAAGCTGTTCTGCTTTCTGGTCGGAAGAAATCGGGAGAAGTGTTTGATGAGGAGAAGGTGCGAGATGACATTGATGTCAAAGATGTGGCGTATCGTTGCGAGGTCGAGGTCGGCGGGCTGTTTCTCGGGGGCCAACACACCACCCGTGAAGAATCCGGTGTGCAAATAGGATTCCTTGTCTTTGGGCAATAATTCTGCTAGACGTTCCGGGGCACTTGCAATGCTATCCTCCGAGGTGAGGTCCAAAGGTATCAACTTCAATCTCTCCGGGTCGACATTGTCGATTCGCTCAAGCATGGACTTCTTGACGCTGGATTCATGGCCTGAACGGTACGTAGCGAAAACAGGGAGATCCGTGGAGCGCAAGAAATGTCGAACAAGGGCGAGTGATAGTCCCCGTGTCGCTGGAGTCACGAGTAAGAATGGATTGCCAGACATGTTTTCTCTAAGTTGGTAATTGTAAGTCGTTCTTCGTTTTCGTACGTAGTTCCTCGAGCTGAAGTGTTGTCCTGCGGTTTCTTATCACGTCCAGCCTTTATACCTTGTGTGTCCCTTGATCCATCACGTGTGATGACTTCATTCGAACAGTTTCGGGCCATGATCGACGTTTGCACCGACGTCATGATAAAAACGAACCTGACCTCCTCGACTCGGAACCTAATATCTGACAGTGACAACGCCCCGCACGCACGCTTCATCCAATTACCACGCTTCATCACTACCAACTCCCCGCAACAAAGTCCATTAACTATGCCTGGGCGATACAGTATAATGAAGCATGTGCACGAATACGATGTCGGTTCAACGGTAATCTCTCTCTGAAATGGAATTTTATGGTATGCGAGGCAACAAGGAACAATGTTCTCAACGGAACTTTACCAGTAGCAAGCGACGGAGCTCTCATCAATCGACAAATGTTTCCTCTTGGTCGTCCCATCCGAGGGTATCTGGATCGATCCCAAACTCACGCAGCATAATGCCCAAGGAATCTCGACCGCGGTCTTCTTCGCTTTCTTCTTGAACTTTTGGCGTACTGGGCTCTGCGTGCTCCGCGTGCTCTGCGTGAGACTCGTTGTCTTCCGATGACCAACCCCAGTTTTGGCTTTTGGGCTTATCTTCATCCCAGTCCCACTTCATTGGCGTAGCTTGGTTTCCTCTTTCTTGCCGCGAATCTTTGACCAGGGCCCATACCTCCCATGCAACTTCTCTGCCGGCTTCAGCCCACTTTGTGGTCAGTTCCTTTAGAAGGGTTGCTTCGCTATCTTGTTCTAGTTTCACTGCGCGCCGCAGCAACTGCACCTTGCGCTCCAACATTTGGATGGAAGGTGTCAACCTTACGTGCGATGGCTGAGGAGACGATGAGGTAGCTTGGGCGAGAGGGGACTTGAACTGCGACGCTGCTTTTGCCGTTCTGTGCTTCTGTTTTAGTGGTGTTTCTAAGGCCGTGGACTTGATTCGGGTAGAAGTCGGTGTCGATGCTCCAGCTTTGTTACGACTCTGATTTTCCTGAGAAGTGGCCTTTGGATAAATGCGCTGGGAAATGTCTACGGAGACGGCCTCGGGTGCGACTACTCTCTGTGGAGTACGGAACGGGGTAGATAATTTCTGATACTGCCGTCGGTGAGAATTTACCGTCGATCGCTTGGTACTGGGACCAACGAGTCCTTCTTTCTTAGTCCTTTCGTTGGACTATTCAACTCGCTTAGCAAGTCATGAATCAGGCCGTTCGTGTCATACACGCACCTCTTCACGTTTCCGCTTCTGCGCGGAATGAGCTTCCGAAGCAACGACGGACATCTCTTCTTCTGCAAGGCGATGTGGGCGTGGACTATGCGCTTCCACTGAGGATGCCCTGATCTGTTGCTCTTTTCCACTGGCAGTGCTGGCACTCATGAGCTCCGCTGACATTCCGTCCTCCGCATCATGCATTTTCTCGCTATCCACACATTCGTCGTTTGCAACAGATGATTGCGAGCTTTTGAGAGGCGATGAGGAGAATATTGGGGCGGGGCTGGAGCTTGGGGGCAGAGATGAGCTGGGTGCCAAGGCTAGCTGGTCTTTTTCCTCCTGATGTTCGTAGACATCTAACGCTATACCCTCTTGAGTCGTATCCTCAGGCATAATTTCGTCTTTTGAGGAACTATAGGCGGCATCTTCACTGACACTAGGGTCTAGCGACATCGGATCTGAAGGCAAGCCAGGAGACTGCTGGCGTAATTTTGCCATGGCATTTATCTAGTGGGTTGAGCTCAAGGTTGCATATTTTATCCGCTTGAGGAAACCCTCACCTCTAGGGCCATCTCGTCCGAGGCGCCGTCTACTGGAATATTCTGGCATATATTTGGACTGTCTGCATCCACCGCTCAGCAGGCACAAAAGAACTGACCAGAAGAAAAATACCTTCAAACGACCTAGAAGTAGCTGGAGGGCAAGTCGATGGCTATATGCGCGTAAGAAAAGCTTTGAAGACGGAACTAACGCTTGACCTACCATATCAATCCTAACGGTTTCTTCTTCGACACCAACGCACGTCGCGGTCGGATTGCCGGCTTGGTCAGTGACTCCAGCCTCGACGTCGAGCGGTGATATTGTAAGAGTTTGAGTCGCCTAATATATGCGCCTCAACTCCAATGCTTATAGCGAAATGAAAGAGTATCTAACCGCTCTGGGATTGCCCTCACTTGGCAATCCGGCACTCACTACATCGGTAGTGTGGCTTTGAGTATAGATACCTTGCGGCAGGGCCGACCAGTCCTCCTTGTTTGCATCGCCTGCTTGCAGATGTGATTCTTTTACCTGAGATATTGGGGTTAATGCCAACAGCCCTTCCGTGTTCTGTGATGGTGCTTCTGAGATATCTTTTCTTGAGGTTCCTTCCATTGTGTAGAGACTTGTTTTAGACTTGGTATATGATACTTGGAGATGACGATGCCGCAGACTCGAAGTCGCGTCGCGATAAGCAATTTCGATCTCCGCGGCTTATCTTATCTTTAGTGTTTTCAGATGCGCCGTCGCCTTACTCAAATTCGGTGCTGCACAATGAAAAAATGTACAAAGGCCCTGTTTCTCTGAGCAAGGTTCAACCAGAAATCATACATGAGCCAATTGTTATGGCTTGATTGATAAGAACCGGTGCCGAGTTTTTCTGAGGGAATAAATAATTTCTAGGATTATGAAGGTCTCCAAAGATAATAGATGCGGTAACAACTGGCTCTCATAGTACTGGATAAGCAATTGGTCTCCGGAACTACCATATCATTTACGGGGTCCTCGCTGAACGCGCGGGTCTCCACGCTCGCTCCGTTTCTGCAACTTTTCTTGACGTTTGCTGAGAGGCTTGTCGCTATCTGCTGCAGTCTGGTCGGGAGTGCTAGACTTCCTGAAGAACATAGGATAGATGAACTTGACCCATATCTTGAAGAACGCGTAAAATGGTATCTACAGCAACATATTCAGCTATTGCGACGATAGCGAGAGACGCGCACTACTCACCACGAGGTAGAACCACCAGAACCACTCTCCCAATGTACCGCTTCCAACTTCACAAGCCCCTGCAAGGAGTATTGATGAGCAGCTATGCGTCAATGGAGATAGCAGTGCTTACAAGTAACGTATATGATGTCAAAGCACCATTCCGTGACTCCAGGTTGACCGAGGTCTTCCCCAGACGAGAGGATTGTGCCGGTAGTGGGGTCGCGCCTCGAAGTTCCGATGTTTTCCAAGTAGCGAGACAAGAAGAGAGCGGGCAGGTATGTCAAGACATAGATAAAAAGCGAGCCTTTGGATGGCGGTAAGGAGCTCCTCCGGAAGATGAAGCGCAGAACCAAAGAGAGCACGGTCGGCACGATCATGCCTATACGCAAGTTTTTGATTGTTTGGGCATTCTGACCCGCTGCATATGAATGTCAGGATTCTGTCCAAGCCCAGTTAGCTAAGACTCACCAATACGCTTTACAGAGCCTTTAGCCATTGCGTTCCAGAAGGAAAGTGTAGAGAACAACAAGCGATGCGCGCCTGGCTAAAGCACCTGCTAAAGCGCCCTTCCTCCTTTTGGTGCGTGTCAAAATATATATAGCCGTGTCGTCACGCGTCGTCGAGTCGCGTCTCGACTCCGATCGAGCTCAAGTTTGGGAAGTTGTACATCTCTCCGTCATACCCATAGAGTCGATATCTTCGGCGGTGTTGACTCTAAAATCTATGGACGCCATTACGCGCGAGCTACTCAAACAGACCCAAAGGGCCAACAAAGATCACCAACGTGCCCTGAAAGCTTACACCCGGAAGCTTGAGGAAGAACTCGAGACTGTCAACCAACTTCTGGCGCGCTCTTCTTATGTTTGTCAAATCAAGGCATTAATAACGTAAGCTTTAATCTAGGACGACACGAAGGAAATTTATCATGACGAAGTCGATGAAACAGAACCATCTAGCTTCGTGCGCGTCCCAGGGGCTTTCAGGCCTGCTGGCTACCTTACGCCCTATGAGCTCGCAGCGGATGTGTGTTACTTGATTAGCTAGAGCTCTGAAGCGTTTCTTACAACGTCTTGATTGACAGGACTCCCCTTTCCGCGAAGATGCTCTCCGCCGGACCGAATGGCTCGCCGTGACGGAAAATCATCCAAGTGAGTCCTACACATCCACACAACAACATGATCTGACGCATGACCAAGTGAAGTCGAAGGAGCTCGAGTTTCTAGCAGATGGAGTAAAGGCCGAAGCTCGACGGCTCAATATCCTGGACATGCGAAGGTAACTCTGACTATTTATATTTTACATATGCGCGGCTCAGTATTGGTACTTCACAGCGGACAAAACGAACAAGGAGACAGCTCGACAGCTCGAGAAGTAGACTATGATAAAGTGAATTGGGAGCGAGTCGCTGAAAGGGTGAGTCTTCAGCATGGGCTACTGGTCCTTCTGTGACCTCACCGTCCACTACAGGTCTCCTCGGTGTCCATGACCACTCGTAGCGCTAAAGAGTGCGAGATAAAGTGGAAAGGAGATAGACAACCAAGTGTCAATCGAAGCAACTGGAAGCCCGATGAAACCTTCCGTATGCGAACTCTCGTATCTTCCTACGGAGAGCAGCAGATCGACTGGGTCAAGGTTGCCGAGCAGCTTGGAGTAAGATCTTCACCCTACCAGCATAGGTTTTGGCTAAATATCAAAACAATTAGACTGGGAGAACGCCAATAGACTGTATGCGACATAGCCATACACGCAAAGGTCATTTTTGGACAACAGCATACGATGCACGCCTACGCGAAGCGGTGGAGAAATACGGTGTCAATAACTGGCATCTTGGTATGACTAGACGCGCCTGTGGCTATGTCAGTCGAGTTCTGATCTTTTGTTCTCGCAGTTGCGAGTTATGTGTCAGAAAATGCATCACCACAACAATGTATACAACGTTACAGTCGTACGCTCGATCCTGCCATCAAACGCGGCGCGTGGAGTTCAGAAGAGGACGAGCGACTACGAAAAACAGTGCAAATATACGGCCAGTCTTGGATCGACGTCGCCCTGTTCATCCCGGGCCGTACGAATGACCAGTGTCGCGAGCGGTGGTCATCCCATCATGACCCAGCCATTCACAAAGCAGACTGGACGGAGGACGAGGACAAGAGACTGCAGGACGCAATCGCAAAGCTTAGCGATTTAAACTGGGGTAAAATCGCTGAGCTGGTAGGGCATGGAAAGACGCAAGATATGGTCAGGATCCTCAAGTTCTACATGTGCAATATTCTCATTGACTTCCCATAGTGCCGTGTCCGCTATCACACCCTCTTTCCAGCATCGCGCCTCAGTTCTTCCCCAGACACCCCGGAGTCAGGTACGTCAGCAGCATAGTCTTTTCTCCATGAGTCGTGTGCGTGACAAGCAGCACACAGAAGACGATGCCGCCATGGCTCAGACCAGACTAGCCGTTAGACGGAACTCCAACTCGGAGCTGTTTTTTGTGCAACCTATCGTAGATGCATATCCCAAGAAGCATGCCCGTAGGCCAAGGCGCGGTCGCGACCTGGAAAAATCAATTGAAGCAACTGCTGGTGCAATTCCAATGCCCAATGACAATGAGACGCCAGCTCCTTCGGAGCAGGTTCATAGCGTCACTGAAGGTCCTGATGTGGACGCCCCCGCACCGAAGAAACAGAGAACTCGACCGCGGCAAAAGAAAAGTATTATCAAGGATGAAGCCTCACAGACTCCCCAGTCAGGGAATGATGATCCAAGCGAAGAGTGACGGGTCTGGCATGCTAAATCTCAATGGATTAAGAATTGTTTGGCCGCATGTCTTACCTTGCTGTCTTCACAATTTACGCCTTCCGCCAACACGGCTATAACTTACACTAATCCAAGAATATGTTCATTAAGGAGGCTCAGATTACTAGTGATACATCGGCCAAGGAGACGGTTGAGAAGCAATAGCAGAAAGGAGCAGCAATGATTACGAGCCAATCTTCCAACGCTTCCTAGAATAGGTAGAAGCTTCCCAGTTTACGATGTGGCCCAGTAACTCGCCATCCTCCTGCCCAAGATTGTCTTCCGTAGCTAGGAGTAGGTTCTTGAGAGACTCTTGTACCAAACCCGCATTTTTGAGCTTTTTCTCTAGAGATGGGAGGGCAGCTTTTTTGGGTGGGGACGCCTATGGAGCAATACATTTCTAGTAAACCTACTCATGAGGGAAAGGGAAGTGGGAAACGTACTGGAGTCTTAAGGTAAGTGTGCTTTGGTGGCAAGGACGGGAAGTGTGATGGCACCATCCGTAGAGTACCGGGTATCGTTGGCGGTGCATCTTCGTCGTCCGATGATAATAATTCGGGAGAGGGTGATCTAGAAGGAGGTGGAACAAACTCGACGGGGTGCAAGGAAGGTTCTGTCCGATCACATGTCAAGCACGTCAAGTTCCGTCCTTAAGAACAACGTATTGATTCTTACCTTGCAGTTCCGCGGCGTCGCGCTTAAGACTAGTAGCGACTTGACGCAGGTCCTTGGTTTTCATGCCATGATCCTCGCATGCTTGGAACATGTCTGTGGCGATAGGAGTAGCTCGGTTGGCGAGATTGGCATATTCGTGTGATTTGTTGAATAATCTGCGTATGACTTGAGGGAACGTATGAGCAGGTGAGGTCCTCTCAAAGGGGTGAATTGTGCATACAGGCGACAACCTCGAGCTCGAGTCTATGAAGCGCAGCGGGTTCGATAGCGTCAAACTCTGAACTCTTGAGCTGAGCGACAGCAAGCCGGTGTAACGCTTGAGAGGCTACCTGCTGGGTAATGGATGGGAAGTCGGGCTCGCCAGAGGATTGCTGGGGCGGAGTGGTGCTAGCCGGAGGGGCGAAGTTATACATGGGTTGAAAGCCTTGGGCCGGCTGCTGTATGAAATGGGGTGCATACTGGGCCGGTTGGCCGTAGCTGGGGTACTGGACAGGGTAAGGCGGGTACGATGAAGGCTGGGGATAGGAAGTCATGGTAGTCTCCGCAAGCGCGTGCCGGTTGTGCGTGAGTAAATTCTGGAAAGCTGTGGACCGAGTTCACCGATCGCTGACAGTGCGCTGTCCGTGCTTAGATTGCTGAGATACTTTGCTTCATAAGATGATAAGCGGCACGTTTATATGAACGGCCGTTCTCATCTAATCTCCCTTGCTGTATATTTATCCCCTCGTCCCGTTCCGCTCGCGGTCTCAACCCGTCTCCCGTTTACCCACTCTATCATCATGACTTCCACGACAGTTACCACCTCCCCACTTGTGCAGACGAAATCATTTCGACTGACAAGACCCAGTATTGTCGGTCCAGACAGCCCAGAGCCTCCATTTCCGATCCAGCTGTCTGGCCCTGTACAACGCGGTTTCGGGCGCGGTGGTAAGGATCTCGGCTGTCCAACAGGTAACTTTCTGCACCTAAATCCCTATGTGATTCTCATTATTCTCGCCCCTCTCCCAGCTAACTTGCCCGATGAATCTCTTCCCGCCATGAGCACCGTCACGAAAACGGGAGTTTACTACGGTTTTGCTCAGATTACCCCGCGCGCCAACGCAGACCACGCCCTTTCCAAGGAGGAGACGAGCGTTCTCCCCATGGTCATGAGCCTCGGATGGAACCCTTTCTACAAGAATGAGCGGATGACAGCTGTCAGCCTTACTGTATTCTCACTCTCGTCCAACATATCTTACATATCCGACAGGAAATCCACATACTGCACGAGTTCAAGTCAGATTTCTATGGATACGACATGAAAGCTCTCGTTCTCGGATATATTCGTCCGGAGCTGGACTACACCTCCCGAGGTTAGATCTCCTTTGATTGTCAGCAAGTAGAACTTATATTCATCGTTTTGCTGTGAAACAGAGGCCCTCGTAGACGACATTAATATGGATAAACAAGTTGCCCTCAACTCGCTCGATCGTCCGGCTTATCAGACATACACCTCAGACCCATTTTTTGCCTCCAATACCCCGCCTCAGTAAAGCAACAGCCTCGGCGAGAGGATTGCGGATATAAGCTTTATGCCTTAGAATTTAGAAGTACTTTGAAGGGAAGTTCCGGTGGGTCTGGGGTCATTTGCAGTATACATTAAAGAGTCACTTGATTTTGCAACGACACACATTGGAAATCTAATCTGTTGGAATGCCGAATGAATTGTCATTAATAACCCAAGTTATGGTACAGAGGATGTGCAGTTGTAGGTATGAGAGTGAAATATAGCAGAACCACTCGCTGAAATTATCTAAAACATAGGCGGTGTGGGTTGCTGGAGCTGTCCATAGCCACATCTGAAGAACGGAAGGGAAGTTATGCGAGCGCGCTAACAATTGGTTGCACGATCAGACGTTGAATCCAGAGAGCGAATCGGAGCATGCACCATTACACTCTTCTCGTCTTCTTAGCCCTCGTTCCACCCATCTTTATCGATGTCCTATCCTCGACCGACGTGACATAGGAACGAACGTGATCTCCTTCTGTAGACAAGAAAGCCTTTTGAACGGCCTCACGGCCCTGTCCATTGCCCTTGAACACAAGAGAGAGCGTGAAGCTATCTGGGTCCACTTGCGCCCGCTCGCGAACGGCCTCGAATGCCTGAACGGCACACTGGTAGCCCGCCTCATAGCTTGAGCGGTTGGAGTTCTTGAAGCCGGCCGATCCGCCTGTCCACGCGCCGAGCCAGTCCCCGTTCGGCTTGTTGAGGTAGACTTTGGTGTTGTTGCCAGTGCACTGAATGTGAAGCGCGTGGGGCACCACCTTGACCTTCGCTATCTGCTTCTCCTTGAGACGGAACGGGTTTAATGGGTTTACTTGGGCCGTGGGCGGGTGGTCCGGCGCCTCGGGGACGGGGACGTGGGGGCGGTCTTCGGTGACGGCCATGTCGTCGAGAACCGTGTGGCCCATCTCCGGTGTGAAATGAGGAGTGGAGGACTGTGCACGCATATGCCGCGCGCGCGCAGTGCTTCGCGCCAATGAGCGGAGGATGGTCGGTTGGCGCGTCCAGGACATGGCAGACCGTATGTGTGCACTTCAGCTTGCCTCCGAAGACGAGACGCGACTGGACACCTTTTCCTGACTTTTCGATCGTGGGAATGACGGTAAGGCCGGACAGCGCCGGAAACATCTCGACTTGACCCAACATCGACACACCCGCCCCGTCCTATCCTTCGTCTGTTCGTAGTTACTATGTCGGTGAGTCAGACATCTGCTTATGCCCACGAAATGCATATTCACACTTTCTTAGTTCGCCAGCACCTTCTACAACGCTGTCGCCAAGCGTAACAGTATGTCCACCACCTAGTCGAAATCCGACTTCCACCACATCCCGAACTCATCCTCTCTTCAGGCGTTTACGTGTCTGCCATCTTTGCGTCGGCTTTTGGCTTTAGCGTCGGCTTTGACGCCGCCGTCACGTCCTTCTGGGACAAGTGGAACCAGGGGGTATGCACATGTCACTCGTTGTCCTTGACTCCGCTAACGCCCCCTTGTAGAAGCAATGGAAGGACATCCGTCAGAAATACATCCAAGAAGAAGAGTCATAAATCCTTTCACTCCCTTGATGTATCCTGTTTATTAGACTCTGGTCGTATGTTCCCTTTGCGACGCATCCAACCATCATCCTAGAAATAAATCGCGTCCTCCGCACCGCTTCAACTCGCCGTTGTGCCAGTCACCCAATGTCAGACATAACACAAACTTGATTACCGTCTATATATGCGCCAACGTAAGTGAGGAAACTTTTGCACTCCCATGAAGCGATAAGTAGGTACAATGTGAGAATATACAATGCAAGGTATGCGCGCTGAGAGTGTATAAATTCTATGTAGTGATGGGTAAGGACAGACCAGAGACATAAACAACAGATGAAAATGAAACATATAGGGCCCTTTGTCAGACGCGTGATGTATGTACACTGAGGTAAATACGCAAGTAATGAAAGAAAAGTAGAGTTGAGCAAGATAAAAATGCGATATCAAGTGGAAAGCATGCCAGGATCGTCATCGCCATGGCCGAAAATGTCGTCAAAGACCTCCTTGCCGTCCGTGAACAATGCAGGGAGCTGACAGATCGGAGCGGAAGGGTCGTCTCGCAATGTCTTCATTCTCCGCATGCGCTCCTCGTTCCAGACGTTCTCCAACGTTTGCGTCAAACTCTTCAAGCCGAAGAGGAAGCCACGATCGGGCTCGTCTGGGAAGTGGGGAGGGAATCGTGCATAGATGAGCCCAGTCTCGGGGTCAACGTCCGCTTGGTACCCTTTCGAACTGGTGACCTGCTGGGAAGTGCTATACTCGGATAGAGGGTAGGGAAGCCAGTCACGACTTGTTGTTGTGTGGGCAAAGTCCACGATGCGAACATTGATCTCGCCCCGTTTACGCCGTCCCCCAGGACGCTTTGCGACCGGACCCACGAGCAAGTCTTCACTATGGGACCGTCGAAGCGTCTTCTGCTTACTAGCAGAACGCGCCCGTGATCTTTCCAGTGACTCTCCTCGTTTTCCTCGAGCATATGGCTGATCAAGAGCTGAGGACTTGAAGGATTTCTGCGCTTCGTCGTCTCCGTCATAGATGAGGAGTAAGCTGCAGCCATAAAAGCGGTAGCCTTTGAGACGGTTGACAATGCGCGCCAGAGCGTAAAACTTTTGCATAAGCACAGGTATCTGCCAGATGAGCAGCCGATCCCCGTTATGCAAAAAGGACGATAGAATGGATGGGAAGTCCCCTGCGGTGACTTCACGTCCGACGTACTTGTCTTGTGTGATGTAAGACTGTGTCTTAGCATTCCAGACCTGCAGATTATGTAGCGCACAATTTCAAACAGTGACAAAGCTCGCCTACCTGCATGCCGCACATACGAACTCCAAGAGGTCTGCTTGTCGTACGATCACACTTCTTCCGCTGACTTTTCTTCTTCGCGGACGTGGCATCCATGCCATACTGACGCGTGCCCATCTTCAAGTCCAATACACACGGCCGCTTTAAGCGACCAGTCAAATCCTCCATCAAGATGAAGTGATTTTGGCGCGTTATCGAGCGGTCGGGAGAGGGCTGCTCCGGAAGGAGGGGCTGGGGGGCTGGGGAAATGGAGACCTTGTGAGCGTGCTGAGGAAGGAGGTCGACCGATCGTGAGCGACTGCGACTTCGAGCCAGAGATGACTCGAGTTGTCCGTTCAGCTCTGTGTCATGAGATCCGTGATTAGACTTGTCAAAATCCATGCTGAAGATCTCCTCTGGCGCATGATGTTGCAGCTGATCCTCTACCGCCGACGCACTGTTCGTCCGTCGTAGGGGAGAACTCGGAGTCAGTCGCTGGGCTTCCGCGTCGACGATCTCCTTCAGCCGTCCCGCGGTGGCAGCACTTCGCCGTTTCGGATGAGGTGATCGAATGTCAGCGCCGTTCTCTTCACTATCAGCCATCTCCGCTTCTTCATCTACCCTCCCATTCGCGTCGAAAAAACAGCGACGGGAGCTTCGTCGGTGAAAGCGGCGCAAGATCGTGTTGAAGACATGGTCCTTGAGTTTCGTATTGACCACTGTGGAGCCTGTGCCACCAAACCAAACTGGCTGCTCTCGCCCACCCAGACCGAGTTCGGAGTGAAACGGCCTTAGATCTGGACGGGTGCCCGAACCAGCCGCCTCTGAGTCGTACTTCTTGCGCGCAGACCGACAATCGGCAAACGAGGTTATCGATATTTCACGCGAGCGTTGAACTGGAGAATTCATTGGGGTAAGGGCCTCCTCTTCGAGAGGGATGGTTGATTCCCGACCCAAGAGTCTGCGCTTGAATAACGGTATGCTGTGTTGGGGCTGTGATGCCGCCTCAGCATTCAAGTCAGGGCTAGAAGCTGTGGCGCCGTTGAAATGTAAGCGCTTCAGATGACGGTTCTTGATGAACTTCGGTGAGGGAGTGGAGGAGTTTGACATGGAACGATTCCGCGATCCCATGCGAAGTACCCACTCCGGCACTATGTGTCGATTGCGATCCAACAAGACCTCTGGCATTTCGGCCTCCTCTGTTTCTGCACCATCGTGGAACGAGCTAGGCAAAGACCGGTGGTTTGGTTCGCTAACAGTCCGCGAGGACATCTGAGGCGCCGGCATAGGCATTGTGCTCACCGGAGGAGAGCCAGCCTCCGGAGGGCTATTGGAGCCTATGGGAACGCGTCTGTATGTTACAAGCATCACTCCCAAATAACGAGGAATGAACGAGAGTAAAGGGGGTGCTTCGCGTTCAACGGCTTCATAGAACTGGTTCTCGCGCGACACAAGGGGCTACAATTTAGAGTTCCCATGAGATAACAGTAGTAACAAGCAAAGCGGATCTTTACCTTACAAACGGCTCTTTTCGTAAACTTGTAGATGGCACTGTGGCCACCTACTTGATTCCGAAAAGGACGCAAAGGAATATGGGGCAAATTCTCTTGAGAATGATTCATGGCCAAGTCCAAATAATCATCATCGAGGTCATTCGTCTCTGAATTTGCGTCATCGCGACCATTTTCCACAACCTCAGGCTCGTCGTAGCCAGTAGTACTATTGTACCGTACAGGAAAAGTTATGCCATCGGGTGGCGAAGGTAACTCATCGGAGGTTTCTGCAGTAGTTGAAGCGGCTGTCATAGAAGCAGTTTCCCAATCATCGTCAGTAGACCACGGGGAATAAGGCCGGTAATCGGAATCTGACAGCTGGAAATGGGTTGGAACTGGCGTAGATGGCTGCGGGGAGGTGAATACCCTAGGAGAATCATGCAAGGGGGATGGAAGACTGGGACTAATGTTGGGTGAGGATTCATATGAATCTGGTGGTATCCGATGGGCAGGTGAACGGGATGGCGATGGCGATGGCGGGTATCCGCGGGATGAAGGTCGATGGTACGGAGGGGGGGTGATAAATTCTGGCGCTTCAACTTTTGGAGAGGGAATGCTAGAATCATGCGATGGTATGCCAGAGGGACGTTCACGAGGGCGGCCCCGGGATGCTTCCTGTCGCGACAAGACATCACGTCGCCAGTGCCCTACCTCGTCGAGGACATTATCTCTCGTTACAGGTTTCATGTCTCTCTCCGAGTCATCGTAGCCCGCACTTTCTCGCGTCCGTACTCTTGATAGAGCAGTCGTGCTTCGCTCTCTGCGAATCGCAGCTGTCTCTGGATCAGGCCAGTCTGCACGTTTGACAAACTCAAACTTGGCTTCTGCAACATCGTCCTCATGTGAGGACGACCTTCGCTTCCCTGGTGCAGTATCGGGTTTTGTTAGTTCCTTCGCCTGCTCCTCGGATGGGGACAGCGGCTGTGATTCCTTGAAAAGCTGGAGAGAAGCAGCAACCTTGCGCCCTATGCCCGTACTAGGGGTGTTTGGATGGTCCTGAGGTTGATACTTGCTTGAGGACGTATAGGAGCTGGATGAGGAATGGCGAGACGGAGGTTTGGCAATCTTTGAAACTGAACCTAATGGGGTTTCCGGCGCGACTGCCAACTCACGCGACGAAGAAGGGAGGGTGAGGGCACGGGCGGTCTTCGGGGGCGGGACGCGTTCATGAGACGGGTCAGGCTGCGATGATGACTGCTGGTGGTGGGTATCACGAGTAGGAGTGCTACTCCAATGTACTGACTGAGAGTTAGCTCGTCGGTAGGCGGGTTTGGCGGGGAAGAGTTTAGGCAGAGAAGTTTGATCGGTGAAAGCAAGAGGGTCGATTCGTGGGGACGAGTGGGCAGTGACGGTTGCAGAGGAAGGTGGAGAGGGCGGAAATTGGATGGATTGTTGCCTGTGGTCCTTCTCGAGGCTGGAAGGACCCATAGACAGCTATGGGTAGGGATGAGGGTCGAGCAGTCGAGGGGGAGATGCGCTCTCGGTAGGCGACAGAGTGCAGGTGCGGGAATCAGGCTTCAAAATGGGGAGAAGCGGGATTTTGAGGGAGGAAGAAGGGGTATGACGGCGCACGACCAAGGATGCGGCTTTCGAATGCCCGTACGAGAGGGAGGACGGGCGAGGCTGACTGCTTGAATGACGATATTAGGGTCTCAGAGTCAGAGACACGTGCAGCGGAGGATCAAAACCTACCACCTCTATATGCCGCCCTCGCTGACTCAGCCACCAACTCTCCTCGATGCCCAGATGTTGATCGTCGATAACCCAGACTAGAGACGTTCACGATTCCTGCTCCAAGTATTCTCTAGCCAGTGGACATATACTGATAGAACGACGTCGACGCGGAGCGATAATCACCTCCTAAACTCGCCGGGATATGCTTCCTCTCTCCCACCTTTAACCGATGGGCCGGTGTCCTGGGTCCCCGCGCACGTTCGCCCTCGACGCACATTTAAATCGTCTCGGTTTCCCCGGTTCACACACTCGCATTCATTTCTGGTTCTCACCTGGTGTCGCCGCTTTTAGCTGTTGGTGCGCTTTTTGGCACTACCAGCTCTATCAGTGGCGAATGGGACCATGCACGGTTCTGTTCCGAGCCCCGGTCTTTGCAACCACGCTTCCTGGGCCGGTATACCGGAGTTGCGTCGCATCTTACCTCGCTGCACTGCTTGGCACTGCAGCTGGAAGTGATAAGTCACGGAACCACGGAAGGTATATACCGTAAACCGTCTGCAGTCTGTCAACGTTTCAACTTTTACAACACCCTGACGGGCTAAGACCCGGTCACCGGCACAAACCCGTCATTGGTTCTCTTTTAGACCAATTCATCACTCGAAATTCAGTTGTCTTAGCAGTACACCATATAGGAAGGCTCACTTCATAATGAGACCTTCCTTATTGCCTTACTATCCTGCATGTAGCAAAGTAAACCTCACCCCTGAGCTCAACCCGTGAACTTGAAACTTTAAGAATTGTCGAGTTACTTAGATAGAGATCATGTTGTAGCTGAGATTGAGACTCCTCGGGCTCACGGACTAAAAACACTCCGGAATTCTAGAGAGATGACTCATGCATATGACAGAGCCATGAATAAGCACATTACAGAGTTCACACTCAGATTCAATCTCAGCTGATTGTATATAAGAAACCCTTCCCCACATCTCCACTTCCTCCCCCACACAAAAACTTCCAGATTCATTCTGCAGTCTTGTGCTAGCTATCCTCAATGGCTGGTAACTCTGGCACCTCTAGCAACACTTTATTTAAGCCTGTCTTGAATAATGTGCTTCATATTCGCAATTCATTCACAAGCCTCCAACACCAAGCCTATAAATCTGGTTCCCAGAGCAATTTGGAACAGGTTCCGAGCTTGCCATCTCACGGTTGTGTGCATACACCACCTAGTAGTGAGAGACCAAAACATGCATCAAATCAGGACAACCAATTGACTTCATATTCTGCAGATGTCCAAGTCATCCCTGATACCCACAATACCTCGGCTTGCATAGGCACAGCACAGCAAGATCATTTGGTGGATGCTGGTCAACAGCCTGCAGATAGTCTTCAAAGGTCAGGTGTACAATGTTCTCCACCTCAACCACAAACAATACACAGCAATAAGGATACCTTTCACTATGATCAAGGTAACTGGCAGTGTTCAGATTGTATTGGCATATCCTCTCAAATTGCAAAAACAGACATGTGTGCCACCTGCTCAATCACCCAAACAAAACCACTACCAAGGCAGTCTTTTGCATGGAGACCTAATGCTGCTCTTCAGAGCTCCCTGAGGCATCTGAAGGCCCTCCATGACCGGCCTGCCCAATTTACTCGTCTTGATTCGAGCTCTTCTCAGCATCAATCACCTATGCCTAACATTCCCTCACCATCACCAACTGTGGCAGAACACTCTACCAATGAATCACTGGTCGAGCCTGAATTTCCTTCAGGCAGGCAAATGGCCACCCTAACTCCGAACTTGGATCTCGCCACACATGCTATGACTCCACCTCCATTTCTTGACTTGGCTATGGACACTCACTCGGACCACGTGGACAAGTCCCAGAGCACAACCTCACGTGGTCAACTCACTTATCCTCGTTTTTCATCGACATCTCTTAGGCGCATACGGGCTAAGCTGGTAGCTTCCCACTCCACCCGATGGCATGGTGGTGTATCGAAACCGGGGCGGAAGGCAAAGGCAAAACTCGCACGAAAACAAGGGGCATACCATCCTATCAAGAATTCCCCACCAGGAACACCAGGAGGGAAACAGACTGCCGGCTTCCTCACAGAGGATGGCTTCAGTTCCGGAAGTGAAGCCAGTGGGTTTGAAGAGAGCACTGAGGACCCGCACCTGTCAATCACACCGTTCTCTGATGTTGGGAACACCACCTTTGTCAAAAAGCCATTAGAAGAACCAAGTGATTCCCAAAAGTGCGCCCTCCGTGATCAGAGGAAGACCTCGGGAATAGAGAATGAGGACACTGCCACATCAGATCAAGGCTTGCCAGCAGTCTCTCATCCGAGGCAGAAACGTAGATTGATGGAAGATAGGGAGAGGTGCAATGAAGATGGGCACGAGGCAAAGAAGACAAAGTTCATTGACTTGACGAGGGATCTTGGGAACATGGACATAGCCAGAGCAGAGGTTGCTGTGCCCCGCACAGCGCCTAACGCGTATGCGAGCAGTAGCCGGGTGACGCTCGAGGATCTTCGTGCAGCACCTAGTCTATTCGGGCCTCAAGACGACGGCGAGCAGCATGGAGAAGTAGGAAACGAGCCCAGCCCGACTAACAGACACCACAGCACTGGTGGCAGATTCGAGGCCGTCACAATCCCAACGTCGCCCTCCGAAGTGCCAACATTAGCACCCCAGGTCCAGGTGTGGGTGCATTCGATCAACGAGATCGTGGCTGCCCTTCAAGCTCAGCAGTCTCCAACGGTACGTGAAGGTCCACCTAGTTGTACCCTGTGGCATTGGGCTAATGATTCGAGTTGCATCCAGGTTGTCCGCGAAATGTGGTTGGAGCTCCATAATATCCTTCGAGCTGTAGATGCTCGCAAAGCCGCAGTGACGAGGGATGAAGCGCACGATGGGCTCGTCAGAGCTTTGAAGCATGCCCGCCGGTTGTGCCAGCAACACGATGAGGCAGAGAATGTGCAAGTTGTGGACCACATCCTCGACGACTTTGCACAGCGCTTCGTGGGCAAACGGTGGCCTTCTAACAGCCCCGTTACCTTCGGGCCAGCGCAGGGAGGTAGGCTGGTTTTGAGGACGTAGGGAGAGGGTGGATTGAACGGAACGAGGGAGGAGGTGGAGGGGAGACGGTAATGGTGGTAGAGGGGAAGATAGCGAATAGGTAGACGTGGCCTAGGAGGGCGTGCTGTGTTAGGGTGCTGCGCAGCCGGTGACGCCCCTCACAGCATGCGGCGCCTCGGCGAATGGTGGATACATCCTGCGTTATTTTAGTATGATGAACAGCTATCGATCACTTACATATGTATAAGTATTATACCTTTCGGACGCCGTGCTCATTGCTTTGGTACTGGATACTGGTACTCACTTTCGTTGCAATCATATGTTTTTTCGGTTCTCCTAGACGTCTTACCATGGCTGACCAAGGAAACGAGGATAGGATCCTCACCAACAAGAGCTCTTTCAGAAAACAGTGTGCAAACGAGCGAATCAGGATGTTAAATCAATATTCTCGAGTGGACGTTCGTGGTGTGCAGAGGAAACCGCGGATTACCGCCAACTTCGCATCATGAACCTGTTCAGACTCCGCGACCGAGTCCATTCAGATTCGTTGTCTCAAGCTCGGAACTTTCCCCAGCGTTCATCAAAATCCGCTATAGGAGCTCCAAACAAACGTTCCTCAAGCTTGAGCGCTGAGCCACTGCCCGTCCATTCATCTAATAGCGCAGTTTGGCTATATTGTTGAACATCTTCTGTGCTGGCGAAACGTGCTTGGTCACCGCGACACGTTTCGCGAGGCTATCTGGACTAGGTTTAGGGCAAGATAATAATACCATCCATCCAACGAATTAGCCTTCGAACATGCTAACAGCCACTACTTCAAAGCGATAGCAGTGTTGATGTCAGCGAAATTATAGCTTGTACAACGCGTCAATCTATGCGTGTGTCGGTCGTCATTACGTCGTGTGTACAGTAGATGGTATGTGCGTATGTATGCGAGTATGTACTAGATAGGCCAAGGCTGCATGCAATGATGCAGGTGGGCCGATGTGATAAAGATACAAATGTGAGGCGATATGAAACCCAAGGAACCGTGACATGGAGGACATCAGCCGCCATTTGTGCAGCCCTCTATGCGATAAGAGTCTGTGTAACCGTCCGTCGAGAAAAGTAGTGACGGCCAGCCGAATCGCCCAAGTCACGAAGCCTTGTAGTCGCCTTGTCTAGCTAAAAGCCGCCATCTGACGGATAAATATGGTGCTGAGCCAACGTGTAGCGAGGTATCGTGTCGTTGCGAGTCGTTTGAATCGTGTCAAGGGGTGAATCTTCATCCTAATCCGCAATAAACCAAGAGTCTCAACAGGTGATCAGAGGTCGGCAAGAGGAGCGAGACTGTAGTATCGCTAGACAATACTGAGGGGCTCGCCCTCTCCTTCAAGTCGCGGGCGCTTTGCCGAATGCATGTCCAAGTCATCGTCATCATCGACGACAATAATAGGTGATTCTGAGCGAGCGGGGGGAGCGTCGAGTGCTGCAGCTGTTGAAGCATTCGCGGAGGTTGATGTCTCTCCAGTCTTCCCGGCTGACAAAGCAAACTTCGTTGGTGCCGTCGAGTCCGTCCTGGGAGGTAAAGGGACGTTCGTAAAGGGACTACCTTGCTTTCCATCGTTCGTAGCCTCGCTAAGCCTTCCATCTCCTCTCTCACCCCCACCCTTGCCTCCCCTTCCTGCAGCCCCTCCCGCAGCTCCTCGACGCCCTCTCCCTCGTCCCCGACCACTCCGCATCTTCTCCTTCAGATAACGCACGATATGACCTTGCAAAATTTCAAGGGCCTTTTGGGCGCCGAGAGCCTCCAGCTCCTTCAGCTGCTCCGGGGTAAGATGCGAGAATATAGCCGGCGAAAGAATAAGCGAATTATTGTGAAGTACAATTGGCTGGGGATTCGAAGCTTGCGCCTGCGGATGTGACGGGGGAAGTGGACCGACAACAATGGGCAGAGTGACAGAGGCGGGCAGGGCAAGAGAGGGAGTGGATGCGGGAGGGGGAGGGGAGTGCAGGGGCTGCAGGGTAGGTGTAGATGCAGTTGTTGTCGATACCGAGTTTGCAGGATTTGCTGGACCGGTTGCGCCTGGGGCGGGTGGTGTTACAGATGCCAACACGACTGATGTGGAGGCAGCTGCAGCAGCCATAGCTGAGGCCAAGGTAGGCGGAGCGGCCGGCTCTTGTTTAACAATAACCTGGCCAGGAGGAGGAAGAGGAGTGGTCGAAAACGGACTCTTCAAAGGAAGTGGCGTGTTCGTCAATGGAGGCGGCAATGGGCCTGATTTGGCTGCTCGCTTGAGCGGGGGATCTAGAGGAGGCACTTTCTCCTTCTTGACCTTGGGTGCCCCCTCGGCCTGCTCCTCAAATGTATGTTCGAATTGCTCATCGACGGACCAATAAAAACCCTTCCCGCGTTCGCCCGACGAACGCTCCATTTTCTTGAACGCCCGTCCAGAAGACAGGTTATGTCGGACCGAGTTCTAAAAATTGAACACGGCAATCAGTATTTCATCGAAAGTAGCAGTGGCGCAGGGCAACGAGTAAACGTACCTCCCAACCCTGGCCCTGGTTATACCGGTACCAATCGTAGTTGTCGATCATCCATGTACAGATGTCGTGTAATGTTGCCTTCCCACCCATGGCTTTGATAGCGCGATAGCACAACTGAGCATATGTCAGCTGGGGTTTTGGAGGCATAACAGCGGGCGGAGGTGGCAGTTCTGTATGCATCTTCTTGCGCTTCTTGGACACCTGGGGAGGAGGCGACCTGGGCTCGACCTTGGGCTCCGCCTTGACCGGAGGCTTGTCCACAGGCAGCTGAGGCGGCGAATGAGGAGGAATGGAAGAGGGAGGAGAAATGTCAGTGACATCGACCGAGGTAATATCGACGGACGGGGAACGAGCACGCCTGGGCGACGAGGGCGACGAGGGAGAGGGGGAAAGCTCCTGAGGTGGGGGCGGGGGAAGGACAAAGTGGAATGTTCGGGACGCGATCTGGATCTGTGACCTACAAACACACGGGGAAAGAAGGCCTATTAGGCGTTTCATATTATGTGACGGGGCCAAAGCCATACCTCTGCGAGAGGGGGACACGAGAACCGCTAGGAGACCATACACCGTCGACCCAGGCGCCATTACGGCCCATGACGACGAGAACGAAGCGTTGGCTAGTTTCCTCGTACTCAATCTTGGCATGGAGCCTAGAGACGCTCTTGAGAGGTCCGAGGTCGACATCGACTTGAGTCTGGAGAGTGTCGGCAGAGGAGGAGGGCGTGGTGGTGGGGATAGCGCGACGGCCGATGGTGACGGCGAGCGTCTGGAGGAAGAAAGTGATGTTGGGGAAGACGAGGGAGTAATAAGCAGATATCTTCGCTTGACCGTCCTCCATGGTGAGAAATGGCTGCGTCGAAAGTGGATACGAGCTGGAGCGCGGAGGGGTCTCGCAGCGCTCGAGGCTGGCTTGACTGGTTCTGTCACAGACACAGAACAAGACCATAACGGACACCCAACCCAGTCATCCACAAGCCATCCAGTCACGTGATATTGTCCCTCCTTTCTTGCCATGTCCTCCGAATTAGAGTCCACCGTCAAACAGACAGCCGACCAGCTCGTAGACCGGAATGTCGACTCGACAGACTCTGACGTCCGCTACTTGGCATACGGTGCTCGCTTAAGGACAGCACTGCGTGCTTCCACTCGTTACATTGCCTACGTAGGTTTCCATTGTCACCTCACGATCGTCGCCGCCCTCATATGCATGCACCTTCGTAGACCAGTGATATCGGCGAGGCTTTCCGCCCAGTAGTTCCCCCCGCATTGGTCACTGCAGCCTACGGTATCTCGTGGCTTTACCTAGCTGGCGATGTCGGCTATGAGACCTACAAAGCACGCCGCAAAGGCCCCTCCCCACTAGAGACAGCCAACTTTTCAGAACCCACCCGTCTGGGCCTCGTGGCCGTCAAACGTGCAGCTTTTCAGTCTATTGCATCGATGTGAGCCTTCTGGTGCCTCTCGGGGCCATCAGATTATTTATATACCTCCTTCTCGTCACATAGGGCGCTTCCCGCGTTTACCATTCATACCGCCGTCCGTCAGGCCAAGAAAGCCTTCGCCGGTTCAAAGAGTCCTCGCATGAAGACTTGGGGCCCAACTGCCACCGGCCTTGCTATCGTTCCCATCCTGCCCTTCCTCTTCGATCGTCCTGTAGAGCATGCCACGGACTTCGCGTTTGAGTGGGTAGAACGCAAGATTACATCAGAACCTCCGACCTCGGAACCGGTTGGGTCCAAGAAAGATCTTTAGAATGCTCAGCCTTAGAGTGTTGCGATAATATCTATTGTACTCCATATACCATAGTACACCACGGGCTCTACACAACTATCATAGCTCCACTCAAACCATTAATCCCAAACTCCACGTAAACTGTGTCGTTAGGTGCTGATTGCAGCCTTTCGACCGCTTCAAAGACGCTTCAGATTGTTGTTCTGCCGAGAGCCAGAGGTATTGAACTGATAGAACTAGGAGGGATAACCCCAACTTCCGTGACCACGGCAGTAATGCGACTTGCGGGAGTGAGGTCATAAAGAGGATTGAGAAGAGCTAGATTTGGCCCGCCGGTGGTTTGCAGCTTTTCTTGACCTCTCGAGCGAGGGAAGGCATCAAAGATGTCGCCTGCTGGAGCTGAGAATAGATAGGCTCAGAACTAGCTCAGCTGTCAAAATCCGAAAAATTCTTACCCAATTCGTTCTTGATGAAACTATCAAGTTGCACACTCTCGGCAAATTTGTATGTCTCGCAGCACACCATGACAGGAACAGAGTGCTGCTTGGCCATCATTGCCACTAGGGCAGTTCCAGCTCGCGAGAAAACGGCACCGTTTGCGTGAATAGCATGTGCGCCGACAATGACCATCGATGCCTCGGTAATCACAGACCCGATAGCAGGCAGGAGAAGATAAGTGCAAGGGATTCCAACTTTACTGAGGACGCGTAGAAGCTTCTTGCCTGGCAAACTGAAATTAGAGAAAGTGATCAACTATTGTAGGCGGAGTACCAACTGACCTTCAAGCATGGGTCTCGAATCCGCTACAATGACTGAAAACTGCTTGCCGTCTTCCCAAGCACGCAATAGCACTTTCTCAACGACTGATGATCGAGCGTAAGTGAGAATGACGTCGCCATCTTTGATCTTACTGCCCGCAGTTTCTTGGATAACTTGGTCAGCAAAGATTATGCGCTCGCGGACATAATTGTCAATCTTTTGACAAAGCGCATTCTTGGCCTGAATGAAGAGTTTAGTAAACAGATATATATATACTAAGGCATAAATGCGAGCGTACATCTTGCTCGGGCAGATCGATATCGGAGCCGCTGATTTCTAACTTGAGCTGCCGGATGGCATTGCCCATCGTCACTGACATCGGTCTTGCTGCGACAAGATGCGAAATTTGTGGCGATAGATGCGTCATCAAGTGCCGGGAAAGCGTATTATTCGGAGGTGTGACATAATCTTGTATGACCTTGGCATTGACATGAACATACTACCCTTAGCATGGATGGGAGGAAGACATACGGTCTTGAAGGCCATCAAAGTGGCGATACACCGGGCATTGGCACCGGTAATCTTGAATTCAGCGAACTGAAGTCCCAGACGAACGATTGCGGGATGGATATCGCCTTTAGTCGTTGGAGGAGGTTTCGGAGTACCAAAATGGGAGAATATGCGAAGGCCGCGAGCGTCTGCGCCGCCCAGTCCATCAGGACGGGCGGCTTCTAACTTACGGTGCGTGCCGCCAGCACCAGAGCGAGGATGCTGCTGGACAGCAGGCGACGGGGATGGAGGAACATTCCTTGGTGCGGCAGTTTGGGACTGAGCGGCGCCCGATGGGCCAGGTTGAGTTTTAGCCGCAGCTTTAGCAGCACGCTGACGCTCCTGAAGCTCTCGACGCTCCGCCTTTGTCATCTCTTTCTGTTGCTTCGTTTTTGCAGCAGATCCACTGGCATTGTTTTCGGTGGAAGGACCAGCCGCCGAGGCCGTGGCAGATGGTTGTTGATTCGATGGTATGGAAATTGTCACTGGCTGACCTTTAAGGGCTGCCTTTTCAGCCCTTTGCTTTTCTTGAAGTTCCCGACGTTCGGCTTTGGTCATCTCGCGCTGGGGTTTCGGGGCGGTGGGCGAGGATGAGGAAGGATCAGCCTTCTGTTCCGCCTTAGACATCTCGCGAGAAGATCTATCATTGTTCAGCGAGGTAGATGGAGATGAATCTGTAAGGGGCTGGGCGACGCCGGTAGCCACGGCCGGCAACTGGGTACTCGTCTGAGTCTGAGTCTCGGTCGCGTTCGTCATCGGCTGTGATGTGAAGTTGATAGCGTAGTATGCTCGAGTAATGAGAGGTTAAGGAAAACTGGCAGATTGAGATTGGCTCGAAGAGAGATAAATGTGAAAGCTAGGGGCGAGATGGACATGTACTCAAGAGGAGTGGTTCGACAAGTTCGAAGTTGTGGACTGGTTCACCGTACATATAGTATTGCATACTAGATTGATCATATCATTCGAGTCACAAATCTGCCCCGCGAAGGATCGTGAGACGTTTTACATCATTATGCGCTCCGTAGGCACCGCTTCAGTCAGAACAAGTCTCGCGTCTTCACAGCTGTGTCGTCGTCCAGGACTAGCAAGGTAACACCCACTGTTTGTGGTCTCACTCCAACCATCACCTGTACAGTCAGAGGCTAGTGCTCACGTCTACGCCTGGTTATCATGGTGAGTGCTTGCTTTCGACACTTCTTATTAGCTTTCTCAATGTATGCCTTCTGTAACAGGGTGTTCCTGCTCTTTTCCGTTGGCTTAGCAAGAAGTACCCGAAAATTGGTGCGTACTAATTCTGACTGTCTATGCATCTCAGCTAACACAATGATTTTTCTTCAAGTCCAGTCTGTTGTTGAAGATGAAGTCAGAGACGATGTCGATGACTTGGGCAGGACTGTCACCATTCCTGTTGACACTTCGCTCCCCAACCCAAATGGCTGCGAGTTCGACAGCCTCTACCTTGATATGAACGGAATTGTATGTCCATTCCTGTTGTGTTCCATTTCCAACTTCACTTACTGATTCTTACAGGTCCACCCGTGTACCCATCCAGAGGGCAAGGTTGGTCGTACCCATTTTACATAGCTTTTGTGGCAAAGACTCACTACGCCAGTAGCCTGCCCCCGAAACTGAGGAAGACATGATGTTGGAAGTTTTTGAATACACTGAGCGTGTTGTGAATATGATCAGGCCAAGGAAGCTGTTGTTCATGGCTATTGGTATGTTTCTCCTGGTCCTTTCTTACTGCAACAGTTTATTCTAATTCCTGCACAGATGGTGTGGCTCCCCGTGCGAAGATGAATCAACAACGCTCACGTCGGTTCCGCTCTTCCCAGGAAGCAAAAGATAAAGCGGAAGCGCACAAACTTGCTGTAGCTGAGTGGGAAGGTATGTGGTTTCCTCTTTGTCCAAGCCTTATACTGACCTTATAATAGCAATGGGCAAAACCATCAGCGACGAGGAGAAGAATAAGGTAGCTTGGGACTCAAACGCTATCACACCCGGGACACCATTTATGGCGTTGCTTGCTGCGTCGTTACGGTACTGGGTGGTGAAAAAGCTTAATTCTGATCCTGGTTGGAAAGGTGTAAGTTCTCGCAGCGTCTTGGTTCATAAATCTCAACCTGACCCTGCGAAGCTCCAAGTCATCATCTCGGATGCCAGCGTTCCAGGTGAGGGAGAACACAAAATCATGGATTTCATTCGGAGGCAACGTACGAATCCCGGCCATGACCCCAACACCAAACATGTTATCTATGGATTGGTATGTCGTTACATAGTCAGTTTATTGTATACTAACGCCAAGTATCTTAGGATGCGGATCTGATCATGCTTGCCCTTGCTACTCATGAGCCAAACTTCCGCGTTCTACGTGAGGACGTCTTCTCACAAGACAAGAACAACAAGTGCAGGGCCTGCGGCGAAGAGGGTCATTATGCTGCGCAGTGCACAGCACTCAAAGAGCCCAAGGATCCGAGTGCACCGAAGAAAGTAGCCACTAGCCCCCCGGAGAAGAAACCTTTCATCTTCCTTGACGTATCCATTCTGCGTGAATATCTTGAGGTTGAGCTGAACGTATCATCGGCTACCTTCCCGTTCAACTTTGAACAAGCCCTTGATGACTGGATCTTTCTCATCTTCTTTGTTGGCAATGATTTCCTTCCTCATCTCCCGAGTTTAGAGATTCGGGAAGGTGCCATTGACACTCTGCTGAGGATATGGAAGGACGAATTGTCAAGAATGGGCGGATATGTGACAGATCATGGGCGGTTGGTTATGTCTCGTGCGCAGATTATCTTGGAAGGTCTTGCTCGGAGAGAGTCAGACATTTTCAAGAGAAGGAAGGAAAGTATGTACATTTCAACAAATCTGGAACAAGGTAATCTTACTCACGTTTGATCTCCTTTAGCTGAGGAAAGGCAGGACAAGGAGACAAAGCGACGCAAGCTTGAGAATGGGTCTCGTTCTGAGATTCGTAACATGTCTTCTGGTCCTTCTGCCTCAATAAACCTTACCTCTGGCCCCTCATCTTTACCTGCAAAGCCCCAAATGCAGGACTTCGCCGCGAAGGCGGACTCCATCGGCCTCGGAGGGCCCATGAGCACGTCATCGCAAAACATGGGAGCAGCTGCCCTCGCACTCTCGGGGTCCAACCGAGATGTTGTTGCCAACCGCGCAGCAATCCGCATGGCGAACCTTAGCGCAGCGGAGATGCTCAGAGCTGAGATGTATGGTGCAGAGCCAGTGCGACCTCCTCCCGCTGCAGCCGAAGCCCCTGCTAGCCCAATGCAAACTGAAGGGGTTATGGAGCCTGCATCTCAGCAGTCCCAAGATGTAGTGGACGATGTGGATGTAGAAATTCCCGGCCTTGGCAATGCGCCCGATGCGCTGCCTGACAAAGATGCTGAGGTACCAAGTAGCCCTGTTGCTGGCACCAAGCGCAAGGTAGATGAAGTTGAGGAGGAAGACGCTGCCATTGAAGACGGCGATGGTGAAGATAGTACCGAAGAGAACGATCCTTTAGCGCTGACCGTCAGGCCGGATGGATCTGTAGAGCAAGCTGATAGCGTGCGGTAAGTCGTTACGAGATTAGCGAGGTCCCAGGTGATACTGATGGGTCTGTCCAGGTTATGGGAACCTGGCTACAGGGATCGATACTACCAGCAGAAGTTTGGTGTGCCCACAACTGACACCGAATTCCGAAGAAAGTACATCTCTTTATTACTAATAGCTTACTTTGGAGAGCTCACAATTCCCTGCTAGACTGGCGACTCACTATGTGGAGGGTCTTGCTTGGGTTCTGCACTATTACTATCAAGGGGTGGGTCAGTTTAGTTGCTTGACTGTTCGTACACTAATCCAGCGTTCTCAGACGCCCTCATGGCAATGGTTCTACCCGTACCACTTCGCTCCGTTTGCAGCCGACTTCGAGGAAATGGACACCATGGAGATCGAATTCAAGATTGGACAACCGTTCAAGCCTTACGAGCAGCTTATGGGTGTCTTCCCCGCAGCCAGGTTCGTCTTTTTGGTAGAATAGTGTGCTCACATATACTCATTTAATTATGTGCAAATAGTCGGCAACATATTCCACCCGCCTTCCATAGTCTCATGACCGAGGATGACTCGCCGATTATCGACTTTTACCCATCGACTTTCCAAATAGACATGAATGGGAAAAAGATGCTTTGGCAGGGTGTTGCACTTCTTCCATTCATTGAAGAGAAGCGGCTTCTGGATGCGATGGCCGAGCGGTATCCTAACCTGACCGAGGACGAAGTCGAGCGCAACAAGTGGGGGAGCAACGTGTTGTTTGTCTCAGATGAGCACACATTGTATCCCTTCTTTGAGAGTTTATACGGAAAGCGAAAAGAGAAGGACGTGAGTTTAAAACGTTTACAACCGCGAAGCTTATCATTAAATATTTTCCAGCCTGAGCCCATTCCTGTCAAGTACAGCAAAGGAATCAGTGGGAGCGCCCTTCCCAACCCTGATTGCATTCCGGGCTCGACATACTATTCCCCCCTTTCTGTTGTCGAAACTAGCGACATTAAGAACGACCGTTCTCTCTCTGCCCTTTACTACTTCCCGAAGCAGGTCACACCTCACCGTTCCGTGCTTCTTCCTGGTGCGAAGATTCCGCCACGCCAGCTAACGTACGAAGACACCATTCGCGCCAGTCGTGGCGGCAGAGGTGGCCGAGGCGGTGGACGCGGTGGCCGAGGCGATCACTCCTACTCCAATGGCGGCGGTTATGGTTCCGCCAGCGGTCCCCACCAGCCGATATCATATTCGTCTTCGTACACGCGCGACTCTTACCAGCGGTCATCGTACTCTTCACAGTCCAACGGGAACTACAACTCCAATGGTCGACCTCCCGCATCAAATTACGGCGGCGGCGGTTCGGGTTATGGAGGATACGGCGGCAGTGGGCCTAGAGGCGGTGCTAGAGGTGGCCCTCCTCGAGGCGGCGGTGGAGGATACGGCGGGCAAGGGAACTATGGAGGCCCAGCCCCTAGTCGTGGCGGATATGGAGGATATGGAGGAGGGGGCGGACAAGGAGGAAACAGCTACGGGGCCGGAAATTATGGTGGCAACAACAGCTACGGTGGATATGGTGGTGGTGGTGGTAGTGGTGGCAGAGGTGGAGGCGGCGGCGGCGGCGGCAATAATGGCGGATATGGAGGCTATGGGGGTGGATCTTCCTCTCGTGGAAGCTATAACTCGGGCTACGGTTCTAACAATGCAGCCCCCAGAGGTCGTGGACGGCAGTGGTAAATATTCACAATATCATATAGCAATGCAGACCTAGGTAATCCAGCGAACAAACATATGTATTCACCATCAGTTAGGCATGGTATACGTGTCGTGTCTATATTCAATCGCTAATCTTCAAATCACTTCCGTTCTGTACATCAATCACGGCTTCGATTTATTGTTCTCCAGGGCGCAGCCCTATGGTAAGCTTGTTCTGTACATTTGGTGAGAGAATCGAGATAAAGCAATACAACTTGGTCGATAACGATTGGGAATACATGATTCATTGTCCCGGAATTTACTTTTTTCTTCTTCCGTGAGACCTTCAAGACACCTCATGACCTGGAACAAATTAGGCGTAGAAGCCACCTGCAACAGAGCCCTCTCTGGGAGGGACATAGGTAACATAGATAGCGTAACGTTTTTCGCGTTCCTTGGCCTTCTTCTTAGCCTTCTTCTCCTTCTTGCGCCTCTTCTTCTCTTCCTTTTCGCGGCGTCGCCTGGCCGACTCAGTCAGATCACGCCCGTAAGCTGGATATCTGTCACCCTCCGAGTCGGACTCGGTAGAAGAGGAAGAGTCTGAAGAGTCTGAAGAACCGTCGCTGTCGTAGTGAGGCAGATGGTTGTCGACAATGCCGGCGTGCGGGCCAGAACGACGCTCACGTCCTTTGTACAGGAGGATCTCAAGGCGACGGTGAAGGAAGAATGAGTTGTTCCACAGGTCGATGAGGTCAGCGATCATATTCGAGCGCCGAGGTGGGGCACCACCCTGTTGTGCCTGAGGGATGGGCATTCTTCCAGCCCATGCAAGCGCAAGGTCCTGTACATGAGCCATTAAGTCGTCAAGCCTATAAGAGTAGAGATAAATTACTAACATTCATGAACCTGATCCAATCTTCATGGTAAATATCATGCGTCTCGAGGACAAGTGGCATTCTCGGGATCTGGTCATAAAATGCCTCCATGTCTTGAACCTTCATCATGGAGAACGGTGTGTACGCCTGCCCCACGTTGGGCATGCGCGAGAAGCACTCGGGAGAAGCGAGCTGCTGCTGCTCTGCGGGCGTCATGGAAGACATGCGCGGGGAAGACGGGTACGCGCCGCCCTGAACGCTAGCAGTAGGCATCGGGGACATTGTACGAGCCATTGGTTGCCCTTCCAGGATGTGTCCACGAGGGTACATTTGGGATGCTCCAGCAGGCGGTGCGTATGGGGAAGCCGCGCGGTACGGGGACGCAGCGCGCGAGGGAGGCCCATACGGAACCCCTGCAGAGCCCGGTGGAGGCGCACCGTACGGCGAAGGAGCACTCGGCTGTGCATATGGTGAAGGCGCACGCGGCTGTGCATATGGCGAAGGAGCACTCGGTTGTGCATATGGTGAAGGTGCACGCGGCTGTGCATACGGCGAAGGCGCTCGCGGAGGCGGAGCGTAAGGGGATGGCGCACGGGGCGGTACATGATACGGAGAGGGAGCACGGGGCGCCGGGACAGAGTACGGCGAAGGGGCACGAGCACCTGGGACAGAGTACGGCGAAGGAGCACGGGGTGCCGGAACAGAGTACGGTGATGGCGCGCGCGGGGGTGGGGCATACGGGGACGGGGCTCGCGGCGGCTGAGGCGAAGGCGCACGCATGCCGCCAGCCGGGGGAGCGTAGGGCGATGGACCTCCGGCAAGATTGTAAGGTGAAGGTGCTCTGGCACCAACAGGGTCAGAGGGCGGGTAGCCTGACAAGTCGGCATGGCGTGCGTTGGGGGAAGAGGGGAACCCGCTAGGCTGCCTGTAGGGGGATGGCGCGCTCGCAGGCGGGTATCCGGTGCCGCTTGGGTATGCGCCTCCGCTGCTGGGTGCCCCGTACATCCCAGCCCCAGCAGTATTTCCAGTAGCCGACCCATAAACGCCGCCACCGTAATGACCGCTCATTCTGCGGTTCTTGTCGTCACCGATAGAGTACCTCTTGTTACGACCTTCAATCTCGAGATCCCTAAACTGGCGATCTAATTCAACACCTCCAGAATTGGGGCTGCGAGCGTATTGCCCATAGGCAGCGGTGCCAGGAGCAGAACCATAGCCCGAAGGGCTGCTCGGCCTGTCGAAGTTGACACTCCTTCTTTTCTCTCTCACGAGGGTTTCCCTCTCGCGAGCCAGCTGCTGCTCAAGGTCTTGAATCTCACGTTCGTGCTCACGTTGCCTGTGAGCAACTTTTTCTTCTTTCTTGCGGCGTTTCTCTTCTTCTTTTTGCCTGCATGAGATCAGACAAATTGTCTGTTTAAGCGAACTTCACCGTCAGTAACGAGATGTTGTTCACCATTGTTTGATTTGTTTCTCTTCATCTCTGCTCAACTGGCCGCGATTCCAAGAAGCGGCAAACTCCTGTGTTCAATAAGATGTTGTTAGATTGGAAGTCCAGGGAAGGGCACATTACTTGCCGCATTTGCAGGCATAGCGCCGGCAGGAAGAATCTGGGTGGCCTCAGCGGGGACCCATTGGATACCGTGTACGACACCCTGAGGAGTCTGATAACTATGCATCCAACGGATGTGAGAATGCGATTAAGAACTGGTATTTGTTGGCTCACCTGGCCGTCACAGCTCTGTCAACAGCGCAATTCATGTCAGGGATCGGGGTGCAATCAGCGGAGGAATGACGCTCTCACTTGAACGGATGGTATACGATACGACCATCGCGATCTTGGCTGGTCGTGTAGGTGATTGAGCCGGGACTGATCTGACCGCCACCAGGGGGCGAGAAGGGCTGGGGAAGATGGAATCCTCCCGCTCCGCTCATGGTGCGGATGGGAATGAGGGCCGCTGGAGGATGACGGTGAGCTTATAGTCAAGGGTGGGCTGGGTCAAGCACGAGCCCTGTGGAAGCATACATCTATAGGATGGGCACGAGTACAGCCTCGTGGTGGCCTATATCGAGACATCTGCTTATCGACTAAGCGCTCTTAATATCCCGTCAGTTCGAACCAAACAAGTAAAGGTACCGATTCTATAGGGCCAAGGGATACTTTGATTCTGTAGGCATCAGCGCCGACACAGCAATACCCCAGTTGGTTTCTCAGCGTCGTGCAGGAGGTCACGGTAGATGTGTGAGAGTAGCACGATGATGACGACGCACCAGAAACCTAACGTGATGCAACTGAAGTAGGCGCCTACGTCCAAATGCCAACTTGCAGCTATTCGTATATTTTCAGATGAATTTGCTCGGCGATGTAAATTCATGGCGGTAGATCATAAGATAATCAAAGTTTCCTAGTCCATGGATGCATGTGTCTATTGAAAGGAAGAGCCGGGCGGAGGGTACACGTTCGAATGACATCAGAAGAACCGCCAGTAGATAAAGATGAAGAGGAGGAGCACAACCGCTCCAACTGGTGCGTATTGTCGTAGCATCGCCTGAACGTTGATGTTCCGTGCGGCTTTCCGGTATTTCTCGGATTCGGAGCGGAGAGACGACGAGAGGTGCGACATCCCTAAAGAGGCGTCATTGAGCTAAAAGCCTTGAGGGAGGCAGACTACCAAAATAAAGCGCACTGTCTAACGAGTCTCCTCTCCACAGCAGTTCTTCCATGTTTTTGGTCATGATTCTCGTTACATCGTGCAGTTCGTCATTCAACTTGTCCAGATTTGATCCTCCTGCTGCACTTGCGGCTCTTGTATCCCGGTAGAGGCGTGCAGTTTTCGACATGAAAGTATCTAGCAGTATGGTGAGTATTTTAACGGAAAGCATTGTTGCGCAGAATCGCAGACACGAGCTGTGGCACTCACCGAAACCGACAAACGCATAAGGCTTGCGAACAGAGTCGACCTTAGGGCCGTATGACACAGCGAACTCCTTTTGGAGTTCCTCAAGGTAAGAGAAGGCGAGTTTACGCGGATACGACTTGTCCGCTATGGTAAGATAGACGACATTATCGACGAGAAGGTAACTGCCCAGGCGTGTGCGGGGTCAATACACAATAGACAACTGCAGACAAAGCGCTGACTGTAGCGTATAAGCACCGCTTTCAATAGAGCACCTAGGTTCTGAGTTTGGCGTTATGCGCCTGAAGATGAGTTTGGCCTGCTGCTTGTGCTCCTGAAGGTCTTGTTCTGTCTGGAAAAGACCGCGTCAAGAAGGTGCTAGGACCCTGCAACAGAAAGCGCGAACCTGTTCATCATCGACGCTAGCGGCAAGAGGGAGGGCGTCAGATGCGCGGACAACCGTTGTTGATCGGACCATAGCGAAAATAACAGTGTGTTTGTCCCCGTTGAGCTTGGAGCTGGCGTGTCTGTATGTCTTTGTGGTACGAGCGTTCTTCGAAAGCGACCTGACGTGGTAGGACAAAATGCACGTGATCCGGCGGTGTAATGTGGACAAAAAGGGAAGTATGATATAATCCCAAAACCAAGCCGGCGGCCAGTCCGAAGGCCAGTTGGTAGCAGCAGCATGGGATAGCATAGGATCCGGCTCTGGTGGGAAGGAGCTTACCGGGTACCTCCTTGCCCTCTGACTACCATGTCCATCGCCACCCTCTTCGACGTTCGGAAACAGGTACCCATCGTTCCAGCACCATGCCTCCGTGCCTAACTCTGCATTCGTCTGTAGCTCACATTCTATGGTTCTTACCACTCCAACCCGGTGAACATATTCATTCATATCTTCGGTGTCCCTCTTCTCCTATGGTTCGTATATCTTCCGTAACCATTCATCCTACTCAAAGATCACCCACTGCGTCGTCCAGGAGCGCATTCGCGATCGCTACCAGGATCCCAACTCCCTCATTCTTCCCCTATGTTCACCATGAATTCAACGAATATTTCGTGTTCGACCTCAATGCCCCCGCAGTAGCGGCTCTACTTTATCAGTCGTATTATTTCGCGCTTGAGCCCGTCGCTGCTGTAAGCTCCTGTTTCTGTCTCCAATATCCTGCAACTTAACTCATTTTGGACGTCCTTCAGTTGTTGTATGCGCCCCAGATGGTGTTCACCCTTCTGACCTCCACTGCCTTTTCCTACCATCCTAATGGCATCAGGGATGCGATTGCTGTTCAGGTCGTCTCCTGGCTCGCCCAGTTCGCTGGTCATGGCCTGGCCGAGAAGCGGGCCCCTGCACTCCTGGACAACATTCTTGGAGGTATTTTGGCCTTCCGTGTAACACCTACCCATCGCTAACCCAGCGTTCAGCTTTCGTCCTAGCTCCCTTCTTTGTCCACCTTGAGCTTTTGTTCCAGGCGGGTTATCGCCCAGAGTTCCACAAGCAGCTAACCAATGATATCGGCAAAGAGATCGCGAGGATCAAGAAAGAGCAAGGTGACAAGCGCCGATCCAAGGAGAAGGAGCTTTGAATCCAATGTACAATGCTCGACGCCAATGTCATGATCTCCGCTTTATTGTTGTACAAATTATCTGCGGAATTGGAATACAACACACCCTACTCTGTAAAGCACCCACTTGAACTATCCGTAGGTTGCCATAACCTTGAGATTCCCCAGCAAAATCTAGATGAGGCTGGTAGGAGGCGGCAGCTTGGGCTCGCCTAGCGCTGTAACGTATGCAGCGGAAAGACCTCCGTCAACAATGAAGTCAGATCCCTACAGCAACACGCGAATCAGCTAGTATGCAATGTTGCACTGGGTTCGGTACTTACCGTCACGTAGCTGCTATCGTCGCTCGCCACTGGAAATTGACGCGTCAGTTTTGAATCGGGAGACCAACGAGAAACTTACAAAACAGAGCGGCCTTCGCAAGCTCGACTGCTTCTCCGAATCTGCCCATGGGGAGGTGCACAAGTCGACGGTCACGCTTCTCAGGCGTGTCCAAGAAGTCCATAAGCAGAGCTACAAACGTTGGTTAGGAGGTGTATGGAGGCGGTCTCGGCAGGGCTCACGAGTCTTGAGAGGACCTCTGCATAGAATGTGAGCAACTGATTTACGATGACGGCAACTACTGTCAACTTACGGGCACAGCGCGTTGACACGGATACCTTCCTTCGCGTGGACCATCGCCAGCTCCCTGCTCATTGCGAGAACCGCCCCCTGTTACGGGAAGATGAAACAAAGTTTCACCAGCCAATCTCCCCTCTCACCTTCGAGGCAGTGTCTTTCAAACAAAATGTTGAGTGGTCAAAGTTTCAACATGAAACAGCATACTCACAAGCAAGTTGAGGAGTCGCGGCTCCCCTAATCGCAACGAAGCTAGCGGTGTTGATGATGCTACCACCCTCGTGTAGGCCGAGCTGATCGTCTCGCTTGTTCTGGCGCATGGCGAGGATGGCATATTTGCAACCCCACCAAACGCCTTTCAGGTTGATCTGCATGGTCAGATCCCAGATGCGTTCTTCTGTGTTGAGAGCATTGTCATCCTCAGGATGCATGATACCTGACATATACGTCACCCCAAATCTCAATCATGAAACGATTAGGATATACCTGCGTTATTGAACTACGACAAAACGTGCGTTCAAAGGAGCTAGCTGACGTCGATTAGGATCGCACTGACCATGATGTCCAAACGCCCGAAGACCTGGACTGCCTTGTCGACTGCAGCCCTAACATCGTGCTCCTTGCCAACATCAGCCTGAAACACGTCTGCCTTGACATTGGGGTATCTCTCCTGGATGAGACCGAGCCCCTTTTGCGCCCCTGTAAGAGCGACATCGACGAGGAGGACATTGGCGCCTTCAGAGGCGAAGAGAAGGGAGGATTCGAGACCGATCCCTCTGATGATAAGGGCTCTCCTATGAGGAACTAGATCGCAAGCACGGGCAATGATGAGAGTACGCACGAGCCAGCACCGGTGATGAGTGCAACCTAGCGATGGGTTGATAACTGAATGTAAAATACTAGAACACACTTAATATGCACCTTGTTCTGAAGTCGTCCCGGCATGGTGTATGCGATCTGAAGATGAGTATCTAGTCGACGCGTAATCGCGAGCTTTGAATGGGAGTAGTACTATCGCTGCAGAGTGGATTCACGCCTCGGACAACAAGCCCGATATCGCCGAGAGCTAGATAAGATATCTTGCCCCTGTCACAGCCTCGCGTACTTCGGTCCCAGGGTCCGCGGGACTAATGCTGGAGTATTAGCCCCTATCCAACACTGGACCTCCTCCGTCTCATCATCCCTGACTACTCCTCTGGATGAAACTGTTTCCCTCACCTCCTCGCTCACCTGTTTCTGGCTCGTTACTGGTGTATCGCTACTCCTTACTCGTACTTTCCATGAAACAGTCCTCTGAAACCCTCTGGCTGGGACAAGTGTGATCATGCTCTGTGTCCTTCAACCTCTCCTCTGGTGGGAGGAGGTCCTCATGGTCTCCTTTCAAACCAGGCTATAAAACATGGCCCATCTTTGCCAGTATACTTTCACAACAGCATACCACTACAACCTCACTCACCAAACATCAGCCACTTCGAGCTTACTCTTCGATCTCTTTCCTCACACTCCCACCAAACCATCTTCATACACATGTCTTCAATCCTGGGCCGGAACCAGTACACTGCTCGCTATCCTCGATGGATGGTGGGCAAGCCCCTGCTCTACATGACCTCCGCCCTTGCATCGCTAGGCGACGCCATGTTTGGCTATGGCCAAGGCATCATCGCCGCCGTTCAAGTGCAGCCGTCCTTCATCAAATGCATGTTTGGCAAGGACGTCACACTTGAGCAAATCCAAGCCGGTGACACTGGAGTAGACCCTTGGACTCAAGGTACATATTTCTCTAGCCTCTTTGTTGTCGAACATATCACTCATCTCTCTTTTCTTTAGCCATCATGGTGTCTTGTCTCAATCTGACTGCCCTCCTTTCGTCCTTCGCCGCTGCATACATTTGCGACAACCTTGGTCGACGCATGTCAGTTCGTGTCGGTGCTATCCTGTACCTCATCGCCGCCTTCATCCAAATCTTCGCCCCCAACCTCGCCGCTCTCATCGTCGGTCGATCCATCCAAGGCGTTGGTGTGGGCATCCTCTCCATGACAGTTCCAATCCTGCAGTGCGAGATTGCTCCCGGTCACGCCAGAGGCCTTTTCGTCAGTATCGAATACATATGCCTGAACCTCGGCTATGCCGTATCCGCCTGGGTTGGATATGCCTTCTTCTTCGCCATGCCCTCGGAGATTTCCTGGAGAGGTCCCTACATCGTTCAAGCTGCTCTTGCGCTCGTCCTGGTCGTGTGGACATTCTTCCTCCCCGAAACACCTCGTTGGTTGATTTCGAACGGTTTCAAGGAAGAAGGTCTTGCAACCCTTGCCGATCTCCACAGTGCCGGAGACATCACGGACCCCGACGTCCTCCACACCTACAACGAGATTGTGAACACTCTCGAACTTGAGGCTCACATGGGACAAGCATCGTGGGGCCAGCTTTTCACCCAGTACACACGCCGCACCATCGTCGGCATCACTTGCCAGATGTTCGCCCAGATGAATGGCATCAACGCCATCCTCTACTTCCTTCCCGAGAATCTGAACCGCGCTGGATTCAGCATTTCCAAATCACTCCTTTACGCCGGAATCTGTTCCCTTGTGTACTGTTCCGGCACGATCCCCGCCATGTTCCTGATTGACAAGTGGGGCCGTCGCGTTTTCCTCCTCGTCGGCAGTGTTGCCCTCGCCGCTTCCCTTTCGATTGTCGGTGGTCTCCAGTTTTATTCGGACGCGCTTCCTGAAGGGTTCAACCGCATCCCTGCCGCTGACGGTCTTTTCTTCGGTAAGTCTGCAATAGCTGAATATTATGACATTGCGCTAATGAATTTTACCTCTCAGGTGTCTGTCTTTACCTCTTCTTCTTCGGTGCTACTTGGGGTCCCGGCCCGTGGCTCCTTGGTGCTGAAATCTTCCCTCTCCGTGCTCGTGCCAAGGGCATGTCGCTAAGCACCGGTACTAACTGGTAAGTTTTAAAACGACTATTACATTCAATCTGTGACCAACACTGTCGCAGGCTATTCAACTTCATCATTGCCTTCATCACCCCTCCCCTTTTCGCTATCCTCGACGCGGGTTACTACTTCCTCCTCGTCGGTTTCTGCCTCATCTCCCTGGTCTTCGTCTACTTCGTCTACCCGGAGACCGCTCACCGGACGCTTGAAGAGCTCGGCGAGGTGTTCAGGGACTCTGTCATCGATGAGGAGAAAGACATCTTCCAGATTGTCAATGTCGAGGTCGCCACCATTCGCGAGGAACCTTTGGCAATTAAGTCGGAGCAGGATATCTCCCTCACGAGTTCCGATACTACGCTCCAGATCAGCAACCAGCCCAAGTCCGACACTTCCACCCCTCAACACACTGAGGAATAAAATGACATAGAAATTAATGCGCTTGTAATATAGTATGCTTGGAATAATACATTGACTTCACATTTTTATCCATCCTTGTCCACCACCATTAAGTGACTTGAAAACTCTAAAAACTATCAAAGTTCACATAAGTTTGATTTGTTCACATTCATCTCCAATTTATCTTAGTCAAATATCCCTAAAAAGCCTCTTACTAGGGAAGGCATTGATCCTGGTTCAGTGGCGACACTTCCGGCGTAATCAGGATCGCTGCCTTCAAGTATCTGACTTGGTGTGCCATGAGACGCCCAGTAACCTTCGGATGGCTGCGTTTGTTTGTTGCTTTCTTTGCGGCTGCGCTTTCTGCGTCCGTGATCTTCTCCAAGACCAGTAACGAAGCCCATGAATTCTGTATCCGACTCCGACTCTGTCTCTGTCTGTGTCTCTGTATGCAGCTCGTCGGGGTTCCCAGCTTCATTGGTCGCGGCCTGCGTATCGTCCTCTTGAGCCAGTCTCCCAGATGGCGACATCGTGTAATAACGTTTGCCATGTTCTACCGGGGATGAAAAGGCAGACTTGTTCATCGACCTCTTCGGGGTATGATCCCCTTGTATTGTGCATTGATGTTGCTTCCTCATGGCTGGGGAACGGGAAGGTGTTGCCGACGGTGGTATTTCCCTCGACCTGGTTCGAATGAGTTTGAGCGCACACCAAGATTGAAAAAAAGGCCTACTCATAGGGGTGTGCGACGTTGTTTCCAACAAGCGAATAAAGCTTAAGTGCTCTGGGGGACATCCTGATATCAAGTTCGCCTTCTTCTATGGACTGTGAAGTAGCGGTCCAGCTCATCGTGGGTACACTAGTCAATGGCAACGAGTCTACGCTCCCTTTCTTCTTGCTGGGGGTAGCATGTATGCTCAAAAGGTACTGGGACTGGGAGGAAGGGATTAAGGGATTTATATTATCGGATGGAGCAGGTAAATCGAGATGTCGTGAGCTAGTTGCTAGTTCAGGTGATTCTATATCGGTAGCTTGAATGGGACTAGGAGACCGAGAGACTACTGGCGATATCGTGGCAATGAACGGATTATCGAAATCCTGATCCTTGGCATGTTCATGCACTACCGAAGGAGCAACGGAGGGAGTACGCTCAGGCATTGTCGTCGACGCGGAAGACTTGAACTCGTAGCTTGGTCGAATAAGGGATTTCATACCAGTCAAAGGATCTGAAGCACAAGAGACATCGACTTTGCTGGATGTTTCCGCTGAAGGAAGAGCCTTCTTGATCTTGACATGGGCCCGCCGAACCGTGGTCTGGGGAGTTGGCAACGCAGCCCGTGCTTTGCCCTTTCCCTTGCCCAGTCCTGTATCCGATTTAATTGCACGATGCTTCGTGACCTTGTCCTTGATGCTTCGGCGTTCCGTGGGCGGAGGCGTTACTAGGGAATGTCCAGCACCTGAGTCTTCACGAGCAGCAGCGAGCGGAGCGAATGACATTTCCTCTACATCTGAGGAAATTACTTCAATCTCGGAGCGAGAACTTTCCCGAGTCAAGTCGATGACATCGTATTCCTTGTAGTTGGAGGTTTTAAAGCTGGATATCTTGGAAGCCTTCTTCCGGGAAGGAGAAGATGAAGGGCTAGTGCGAGTTTCAACGGTACGAGCCTGACCACGACGCTTTCCCGGAGAGTTTCGTGCACCGCTCGTAACTTTGGTCAGAACGCCGCTTGGGCTGCCGTAATCATGACTAGGCTCTGCATGTTCTGGCATGCGCGGCCGGTGCCGCTTCTGGCTCGAGCGAGTGAGCGACTTGTCCTCTTCCTTGGCCCTGCCAAAGTAGTGTGTCAAGGGAAGTTCCTGGTCGAGTCCTTTCAGAGCACGCGGCATGAAGCCAGTGGAAGTACGCAAAGTGGTTGATTAGAGCAGGTCAGGCGGTTAGATGACCAGCAACTGTGGCAGTCGAAGTGCCGCAGTCAATTGAGCGACAGGACCACCCAGTGACGCGATGTCGGAGTTGACACGCCTCCGAACTCCGCCCCGAGCACGCGTCTGACCCAGAACGCGGTCGCGTCGCGTTTTGATCGATACACCTACATACTAGTCCCAGACCACCTTACACCACCACCCAGCCGCTACTTAACGTACCCACGCGTTTGACGCGGGTTATAAACATAGAAATCTCTCTCTCTCGTGTTGCGTTTTGAAAAGACCATTTGTCTTACTCAATCCCCGGAAGATTGCAATGGCATCCGACGGAACCCCCCTCAAGAAAAGAAAGCAAGACGATGGCACTGATCTCGCCGACGCACCGAGAGCTCCTGTTACCCAGCTTTTAATCAAGAAGCTTTCGAACAAGGCCAAAACCCCAACGCGTGGTTCACCGCTAGCAGCAGGTTATGACCTTTATAGGTGCGCCCCAGATCTCATAACCTTTTACAAGTTCACCTATGTCAAACAACATGCAGCGCCGAAGATAAAGTCATTCCCGCTCGTGGCAAGGCCCTCATAGACACACAGCTTTCCATAGCCGTCCCTGCTGGTACATATGGACGTGTTGCACCACGAAGCGGTTTAGGTTTGCCAACTTGGTTGCCACCAACTCTGTAGTTAATGATTGCCTTTGAATTTGTCAGCTTCGAAATTTATGATCGACACCGGCGCTGGCGTCATCGACGCAGATTATCGCGGTACCGTTTTCGTCCTCCTGTTCAACTTGTCGGACAAAGACTTCCAAGGTAAGGGTAGAGCAAAGGTTGATATAGCAGTTATCTGACTTTGCGTAGTTTCCGAAGGTGATCGAATAGCACAGCTGATCATAGAACGCATCTACACTCCTGAAATTCTTGAAGTTGAGGTGCGGTACATCTTCGCCCTCTTTAAGAGCATCGGCTGAGCCTTCCTTCAGGACCTTGACGAGACTCTTCGGGGTGCTGGAGGCTTTGGTTCTACTGGAGGTCATCAATCCTTGTAGTGACTAATGCCTGATTAACTTGCCTCTATACCTCGTGGGCTGTGAAAAAGTTATATTGTATTATTCTATATTTTCCTGTCCGTATGCACCAGGTAAAGACCATCTGAGCTTCTCGAAGCATATTTCAGAAGGTCCCTTCCTTGTTGTTCCTGTAACTCGGTCTCCGAAGGAAGGTCAAGGGGAATGCCAACGTCTTCCGCCCATATCCGCCCGTCTGGTATCCCTCCGCTTTCTCCCTGACCCACGTCCGCTTTCCGCACTGCCTCGACAAGTTTAACTAGGTCTTCCAGTTCCTTCTTCATCAGTCGATACTCAGCAGAGCCCTCTTCTGGTAGTCTGAGAGCGGAGAGCTCGTGAAGTCGTTTGAACGTTGCGGGAGTGATGGCCGGTTCGGGGTACGACGACAGTAGTTCTTTGACAGACCAAGTGGGTTTCAGAGGAATGCCGCACGAGTCTGTATCAATTGTTACTCCAGATCGAGAAGAGTTGTAGCGTCGAGCGTCCCATGGCACTGAGCGTGCTATCAGGCGACCACAACGAGGGAACAGCGTTAATGTCATGGAAGTACTCTGCAAAGTGCTCAATCGTCACGTGAAGCTAATATTTGCGTGGAAATACGCGCCGAAACTTACTTTCCTTTCGTCACGTCTACCTCTGTACCACTCATGAGCAACGTAGCGAAGGCCATCAAGAGGTTACTTCCCTCTCCATTACCACCCTCTCTAAGAACGGTACCCGGAAATCTTTTTGAAGTCCTATCTCGTTATGGAGGTGATGGCGTCGGCCAGCGAGTGCATCAGACGCGGTGGACGAGCAAAGGCATCGAGGAATGTTATTGGCAGGTAGAGAAGACACGGATTCAGGAGGATGGCAGACACGGGAAGGCATGGGGAACATTATACTGGAAAGGTGCGTGTTTGATGCGCATTACAGTGCAACGGACTGACACCAACTTATTCAGGCAAACCCGTGAGCGAAAAACCTGAAATAATACGAGGTGGATTGAAGTACAAGTGGGAGAGAGGGCCATCATAACGCTACTCTGAAATGCATGTAGGTAATCATGCACATGACCCGGGTCTCTGTGTCGACCATTTACATGATGTATCAACAGGTTACTCTTGCGCACGCATCGTCCCTCGGCCTCAAGCTTCAAGGCCTCACTTCAAGGCTCTTCTTCAAGCCCCTAGTTGCTTCTTGCGCACACTCATCCATGGCTCTCAGCTTACTGCCTACATGTACAGACCTGGCCGATACTACTAATAGATTGTCAATGTAATGCACTGCGACTGTGCTTGGCCAAACCATACGGCTATTGTAGCTTGAAAGCACAGGCCATTTCTAGATCTTTTCAAGTTCCACTTCGTTATGCGAGTCAAAGAAATGTGTCGAAGTTTTATGTCTGCCGTCGTAGCTAGAGGTGCATGCCGTTAGTTTAAATCCGTGAGCGGAACGAGGACGTTTTATATGGAACTTCCGCGTGCTGTCACCGTCACGCGTTTCTAATTGCAAAGGCACAAATCATATGAAAGCTGTTGAGCTCCCGAAGTAAACACGCATCACAAACGCTGCACGGCTTCTTAACTGAACTGCTCCTTTCCCCACTCCTCAAGGCCTCACTCCCCATCGCCGAGCATGGACTCGCGACAACTTATCGATGCCCAATTCGACCGTGCAGTAGAGATTGTCCAGGGCCTACCCAAGGCAGGGCCAATTCAGACTGGATACGAGGAAAAGCTGGCCATGTACAGGTTAGTACGGCCTTCATGCTGATGTTCGCGTCTGATCATGCCTGTCACCTAGCTTATACAAGCAAGGTCTGTTCTGCTTGTAGTATCCCGCAGGCTTGTTGAGACTCACTGTCTCTTGCGCAGCTACCGTCGGTAATGTCAGGTCCCCTCGTCCCGGCATCTGGGATATGCTTGGCCGGGCCAAATGGTCAGTTCGTCGATCCCAAATGCACTCCTCAGTCCTTGTCGCTCAATGTTACCCAGGGATGCATGGGCGAAACACAAAGACTTAGACCCTTACGAAGCTAAATGGCTCTATGTAGATGCTCTGTTGAAGGTATTGTCTCCTATCAGCGCTAGCCTGGATACACATTCACAATGTATCTCCAGGCGCTCAAAAAGCAGGCCGACAAGTCTGCTGCTCAAGAGCTTATTCAAGAGCTTGAGTCGTACGGTGGCGACCCCTCGAATCTGGTGCTAAGTCGTGCGTGCCGTAGACCGTAGGACTGCAGTTGCTAATCCGCCCCATAGATTCGATGACTCGGTCTCGAGGATCAGACTCGTCGGGCTCATCGGACGGTGAACCCGCCCGTTCATCTCATGCGTTTAATTCTTCTCAAGGCCGGGATCCTGACATGCAGACCGCGGATGAAGATAGCAGTGGTGATGAATCCGAGGACGAGGCGCGAGAGCTGCCCTCCGTCCGAGAATCTGGGCAGTTAATGCGGCCTTTATCATCCATGTCCTCGAGATACCGCACACCACTGTCTGGCTCGTTTGCTCCCTCATCCCCACCACCAGCCAGACGTTCTAGTGTCCCCCCAATGCAACCTCTACCGGGATTCGAGGCTCCGTCAGCATTCGCTGATTACCCCTTATCTGCTTCCGCCGCCTCCGCCACATACCCATCCTCCCAAATGGACAATTACCCTTCCCCTCAGCACAACATCGCTCTCCCACAAATGCACTCAGCCCTGCCACATTCCCGTCACTCGTTGCCATACCCTCAACGCCAATCCATGATCTCAATGACACCTGTACCTGGAAGACCACCTTCACGGCTCACTCTTGAACAAGCAGTAGAGAATGTCCAGGCGCACCTCGCTGCACTTACCGAGCGCATCGACGCGCTGGAGTCGACCAACGCGGTTGCCAGACACTCTACGTTGTCACTACCTACAAGAGGTTCTTCAGGAAGAGCTAGCCCAAACGATGAAGAAGGATGGCCCGATTGGGATATCAATGACCTTGGCCTATGGTCTTATATCGTGCGGCCAATGGCGCGAATATCGGGTACGCTAAAGCAGTTGCTAGTCTTCTTCGCCCACGGTGGAAATCGTTCGCCACTTTTGATCATTATACGTCGTCTATGTCTCGACATCACGTTCACTCTGGCTATTCTTGGAGTGCTCAGGCTCATCTGGAAGAAGTCAAATGTCCGAAGGAGGGAGGTTAATGCTGCCTTGGTGCAGTTGTGGGGTGCCATGATTGGGTCGAAGAATGTTCGACCCCGCATTCAACGAGCCTAGTGAACAGGACCAGACGAAGCGGTATCTTGACTATTTATCATTGTATACATTTGCTACTGAAGCATATGGATTCTTGCTACATTGGTCTGACCCGTCCGGACGCGACACCCTATAATACACTACTTGTTCAAATCGTCTCAGAGTCTTGACATTGTGCAAACCTCCAGTTTTTAGGACATGTCGACGACGCAGCGGATGCAGTCTCCCGCCTAGAAACATTATCAAAGCGCCGAACATAGACAATATTTGCGTACTCACATGCATATCGTGGAAGCCCTCGTTGATTTCGGCGAACTTGCGGTGGTGAGTAACATATTCGTCAATCCTGAGGGTGCCTTTCAGGTAGTCTGAAGCAAATAGCGGGTAAGAGGCAGAGCTAATCCGACAGGTTGGTCTTACCCTCGACGAGGCCGGGGATTTCAGTGCGTCCTTTGACGCCTCCGAAGGCAGAGCCACGCCATACACGGCCAGTCACCTGGATATGAAGGGCTGGTTAGATCAATGACGAGGTAATACACAGTTACACTGACCAGCTGGAATCTGCGCAGTCTCGTAAGCATCGAACCTTCACATCAATCAATAATACTTACGGACGAGTAGAGATCTCCTGGCCCGCAGCGGCGACACCAATGATAGTCGAGACTCCCCAGCCCTTGTGACATGCTTCCAAAGCAGCTCGCATGACATGGACCTAGAAGTGAGGGTTAGCAAACGCCTGGCTTTGACAGTCGGCGTCTTACATTGCCGGTAGCATCGAATGTGAAGTCCAGACCACCATCGGTGACCTCAATGAGGTAATCCTGGATACGTTTACCCTCCGGCAACTTCGTTGGGTTCACAAAATCAGTTGCTCCCATCTTCTTCGCCCAGCTTTCCTTGCCAGGGTTCGTGTCAACAGCGATGATACGAGAGGCACCGACGATTGCCGAGGTCGAAATGACGCCCAAGCCGATAGCACCACAGCCAAAGACGGCGACGGTGGAGCCCTCTGCGAATCGTTCGTAAGAAATGTCATTATGCGAGGCCAGTACACTCACTAATTCCGTTTTGCTTCATGACAGCACCCCAAGCAGTGGTGATACCACAACCCAAGAGACAGACTTTGTCCAGCGGTGCCGACTTGTTGACAGCAACAACAGAGACGTCAGCTACAACAGTGTACTCAGAGAATGTGGAGGTGCCCATCTGGACCCCCGGATGAGTTCGACGTGCCCATGCAGCCACTGATTTGAACTCACGAAGTGATGGATGCTCTGGCCGTTAATGCTGAATCGGCTTGTGCTGTCGGGCATAAGACCTTGACCCTGCGTAGTTCGCACTGTTCCAGTTGTCAACAGAGTCCTGCTACCCGTCTTCAAACCTTCTAGGACGCACCTTTTCCACAGAGGTTGGTCTTGCCGCTCTTGCAGAACTTGCATTCTCTGCACTCTGTTATGCACGGTCAGCTGAGATACAAGAGAGCGGACGGGGGCACACACCAGCTGTGTACAAGGGAATGACATGGTCGCCCTGATCGAAACGTCACGTTCACTATCCTCGACATAACCAATCTATACTTACGACAGCAACGCCCGTGACTCCTTCACCAACGGATTCAACCTAGGATGCACGTTAAAATCTACGGTTTGAAAGGCAAGGGTAGCCACTCACGATGCCGCCTCCTTCGTGGCCCAGGATCACAGGGAAAAGACCCTAGTTTACACTTCGTCAGAACAGGCTCAGGGGAACCCATGCTGAACCCTACCTCGGGGTCCTTGCCGCTGCGAGTGTACTCATCGGTATGACAAATACCTTTGTCGTCGTTATCAACGCCAACCCAGCTGTGAAAGCTACCATCGTCGACTAACCTGTGTACAGAATCTTGATACGGACTTCATGTGCCCTCGGCGGTGCAACTTCGACCGTTTCGATTTTGAGAGGTTCACCTGCGCCCCAGCAAACAGCAGCTTTGCAGGTAATGGTCTTCCCAGTGGTATCTGACATGTCGATGAACTGTGAGAGAAGGGATAGAAGGTATTCCACGACATCCCATTCCCCTTTATACGGTCACGATGTCTACCCATGACATCAGCCACTGTCGGGTTTCTAAAGACAGCGAGTGTCCAACTTGTCATCCATCACTTATACCGTTATCGGAACACCCTGCCCTCCTGTCTTCCCCGAAACATCCTCGATCGGACACATCAAGATTGTCAGATCTCGGGTAGATTAGGACTGAACATGACTGAACGCTCTGTCAGAGCCTGCCAGAGCCCTTTGGATCCGCCTGTCAAGCTGCCCGTCCGGGAGAACGCGACTCTACGCGAGAGCATCGTGATATCAAGCTATGCTGGAAAGCGGAGACGGACGGAAAGACCACTGGTCAAATGACCAAGGTCGGGACAACACGCCTATTCTTGGCCAAAGGAGCAGGCCTGCGGCTCGCCTATGTGACTTGTTGGTTCCGATGAGCGCTGCGGTCGCCAAAAGTGTATTGTCAAGGCCCTCCCTACTTTAATCTAGGAGTATCGTCGGTCAATGAGCATCGATGGCGCTATCTAGCGATGTCACTTTCCGGGTCACCATGAGCACGGCGAAGTTCAATGATAAATCTGCCCGCATGCCTTGTCACCTCCGTGCTGCAACCAAGATTTAGATGTCGAGTATCCTTTGAGAAGGGCTCGCTGCCATTGCATCGTGATCACATATGAAGGTTAAGGTTGCTATAGCCAACGGGCGTAAATGTCTCAATTCAAAGGGTCTATATGATAACTGATGATAACGGCCTCAGTTACGCACGTGGAGGAAGATCTCATCCAGCGCCCAGTCTCAGCGCTCAGCACTGACAGCAACACTGACGGCAGTGTTTACGCAACCTATCTCTATACCACCTCTTTTCGACCGTATCTGAGCCAGAGATCAGGTCCAGGCGCGCCGATGTCCTTTCCCAACCTCTATTACAAGCGAGTGTGTTTTCCTTCTTGAGATTCCCTCTACCATCCCATGCAAACACCTCCGTTCTCCCTAGGCCGTAGGCACGGAGAGAGCGTGCTTCGTATGCTATAAGCCAACTACGACGTGTCTCGCCACAATTGATTCAGCTGACTTCTTGTACGCTTGCACGACTCACCTCTCTGATCGCGGGTTTGCCACGCAAGTCCTGGAATCTCCTCCGCCCCAGAAAGCAGGTGCTAGCCAAGAGGAGATAGACAGGGTTAAGAAAGAGTGGGAAGAGAAGCAAAAGCAGAAGCGGGAGCGGGAGAAAGAAAAAGAGAAGGAACAGGATAAAGGGAAAGACGGAGAGGCGAAAGGGGACCAAGACAAGGATAAGGATAGCAAAGACAAGTCTGCTAACAAAAGTGAAGATAAGATACCGGTGTCGACCACACCCGCTCCTATCGCCTCACCTTCGCTACCCAAGAAGCCTACACATGAAAAGTACACTCTTCATCGTGATATCTTTGCACTAAGGGTAGCCGAACATCGGAAACGTAGGCAGACGGCTCAAGCAAAGAACCTTGCACCTCGATTGCCTGGCGCACCACGAAGTAACTTCTCGTGATGATTGACAATGAGGATCTTAATAATGATATGTACTGTAGTGACAATGATATGACTAACGAACTGAAAGATGGCTATCCTTTGAAGGGGTTGCAATCGCACAGCATTGCACGTACAGCAAAGCTAGCTGCGCTTCCGACAGCAAGCCCTGTGATTATGCTGAAGTTGTTCAATGTGGCGGCCACATCAACATCTTCTCGGCGACCCTTTAGCCTTGGGTTGTGCTCCAGTGACGCGCATCCAATCATGCTGCTACTAGAGATGTAGCCGTTGGAGATTCCCAAGAAAAGGAGGATGATCATGTACACAAGGTCGGATGAAATAAGAGGACCAGTCGCAGAACCAGAGCTCAAACCTTGCACGTTGCACGCTAGAAAGACCGGTATGAAGAGAGTCCGTAGGAGGGAAATGGTAAGTATTCGCCGCGCCGACCAAATGACAAGTTGCGGAATAGAGCAGGAGTAGCGACCCAAAAGATCGCCAATGTTGAAGACTAGAAAGTGTGTGGCCACGAACAACAGAGGGTGAGTGGACGGATTTGTGCTCTGTATTTGGACGGTGATGGCAGGGAAAACGGCCTGGAAAACGGTCAGACAAATAAACGGAGATGCGTAATTGGTGCCTACAAGGGTGATGCTGAAACCATACAACGAGGCGAATTCGTACGGCAAATTCGCCTTGAACACACGCTTCATTTCCTCCAGCCCATACGAGGGCTTGAGACTATGTTCGGAAGCCACGAGGCGTTGGAGTTCTTCATCTTCTTCGCTAGTTCCCCTCCTATGCTGTTGTTGTGGGGCAACGGTTGACTTGTAGAGTGGGAGCTGCCTCATCCGCCAATACGAAATGACAGTCGCAATTAAGAATAATGCTGAAATACCGAAGAATACTCGGGCAGCGCTCTCCGCTGCCGTATCTAATGCCTCATTCTCGAGCGTTATCGACGCTTGGTCACTCTTCGACGGGTTCCGCCAGACTGACAACGCCGAGCTTACGAGCTGGAGAGCACTGACAGCGACAGCAACTGCTGCCTGCCCAGAGATAAGTGCTGACATGTATGGGCCGCCAAAGAGTGATGCCTCCCCAGAGATGGCGGCAGAAAGATAGGAGGCGCCCACTGCCTGGCCTACTGCAATTAAGAGTACGAGCGAGAAGAAGATTGAAGGGGGAAAGCGGACGAAAGTCGTCATGAAGAGAAGTGCGATGAGGACAGCCAGCACGACAGTCGAGCTCACAATGCGACGCGAAGGAGATACCGCTTTCTGGAATCCAGCAATGCAGCTTGTTAGATGGACTTGTGCATAGACAAGTGTCGACTCGCCTGCTTCGACGTCAACGTGGCATATGCAAGTGCAATGACCATGACGCCAGTGAATATGCATGACATATACGAGACGAACGTCGGCTGGAGGGACGAGCCTGCAAGGCGGTCAAGAAAGTAGGGCGTCGCGGTGATCAACGCTGGAGTCCAGCATATAGGTAAACCTCAAGATTTGATAATGTTACAGTTACACACCGTTCCAAGGCAGAAGGCCTGCACAACCGAGCATGAAGTAGACGCCTTGCACCCGTGCATCCACCTTCGTACGCGACATCGAGAGTGTACCATTGTCGTGGTCGTCTTCTACCGATTGGTATGGGTAGTCGCGCTCAGGCGATCGCCTAGACATGAACGGGTGGGATATAGTTGAGGGATGAAGAGAGCGAGGGAGCCGTATCGCTGCCCCGTGAGATGCTCAAGTAGCAGAGAGGCGCGAACCTGTAAACCACAGGGGCCTCATTTGAGCGTTGTTTGGGCACGCGTATGTCCACCAGTCTCGGAGCATCCCCTGCGAATGCTGGTGGGAACATGCCTAAATACGAATTCCTCAATCTGCATGGTGGCTCTTAGCTTCCAGCCCATTGTTTGTTAATATACGGAGCTCTCCTTATACGAGCGGTGTGCAAATTATCGTTATATGTGACTAATTATCTATGCTATGAAAATGCGTCTAGACGTCCGAGCACTAGATAGTGGAACAGAGTGGATGCCTCAAACACGAGGAGCAACCTGGTTTCTATCATTATGCAGCACCAAGTTGTCCAACTTGCCGGCCTGCTTCTCGGCCTTACGCTGCCTCCTTCCGGTCTTCTTCGCCATCTTGGCCAGCCGGGCGGGCGTCATCCATCTCCTCTTCTTCTCCGCCTTGCGCTCCTCGTCCATGATCTGGCGGTACTTGAAAAGAGCCTCCATCTTGGCCTGGGACGCGCTGACACCAGATGTCTTGGCCGTGTGCTCCCGAATTAGCTTCTGCAGCAAGGCCGACTTCCGGGCCTGTGCGGCTTGCCAACGAGCCTGCATCTTGGCGCGTCCATGAGGATTACAGAGCTCCTTAGACACATATATCTCCATAGGCCGGGACTCATCGTATGCCGGCGCGTCGCGTTGGAATAGCTTTTTCAGATACTCTTTCTCCGCCTTTGCCCGCGCTGTAGGATCAATCGTTGACGCATCAAATGCTGGTGGTTGGTAAGTAATCGCCTTGACCACTGACTCGGACGTGTCGAGCATTGGATCAGCTACAGAGAGTTTGGTTATTCATTGGGTTAACCAAAGGAGCATAACGACGCACTTTGAGGCTTGGGGAGAGGGTCTTGCTTTGGCCATTCAATCTTGACGGGCTTCTGGTCTTGTTTCCGAGGTGCGAGAGCGATAGCTACCCGGTCCCACTCCCATTTATGCCCCACAGGCTGCCAACGTACGTTCCTGGTTTCAATACGGCGCGCAAACAGTCTGCAGGAAAAGTTATAGTCGTCGAAGCATGAATGGGTGATGTGTCTCGTACTTTTGAATAGTTGATGAATCACCGTCAGGTTGCTCAGCTTCCGTCTCCCCAATAAGAAGCTGACATCTTGAGTAATGAATGTTGCGGTTAACAGGTGCCTTTCCGCGACTTTCCTATGTTGAATGGAGCTATGAATGAGCGATAGTACCGTCTCCGCAAACTTTGGGACATACCGTCACGGCACCCTTAAGGTAGACGCGGTTCGTGAGCTTGTTGACACTGAGTACTTCGTGTACGATGCTGCGTGTATCCCCGCGAATGCGGATATGGTCGCCAGGAACGATGTTCCAGTACTTGATTCTGTCCTGGACTGGGACGGCCTTAATTGCGGGGTCGTAGAACGAATTCCGCACCAAGAACTTCTTGGGGACGGGATTGAGATGGCGGAAGTCGCGAGTCCATGGCGACCTAGTGGTGCTCGCAAGAAGTTGTGCCCGAGTCCATGACATGGTGCAAGAGAGCTTTCACAAGCTTGACGTCTAGCTGCACGAGCGTATAAGCCGCGACGCGAAAAAGCCACGGAAGACAGCCTGCTTATGTAATCTGTGACTTTCGCCGTTTTCGTCCCAGACGCGTCCCTAACGTGCAGCCTAAAGCGCCTGACGCGGACGCGTCGCGCTGAGTACGTAGACAAGACGCGTTTTATCGTCCGTTTCGGCTATCAATCTGCATGGATGGTAATAAATGGTGTCACCGTGAAAATTTGTGCCCGACAAGTCCGTACAGCTAGTATTACACTACACTACTGAAATTGGTGCAACCTTGGACCCACTCCACGCACCTGACGAAGAACTTGGCTCCTCGGATTCCAAAGTCTATCACGGCTTGAAGCTTGAGCATGGGAGCAGGAGTCAAAATTTAAGATTGGGCGTGCTCACCTCCAACAACATCCCTATAATATTCTCAACTTCTGAAGGAGGAACTCCACCACAACCTGCACCAATGAGTCTTCTGTACTCAGCCATCCGCCCCCCTGTCCCCGCTTCGGCCTGGAAAGTTACCAGCTCCTCGAAGGCAGACTTTCTTCGTTTCCTACTCTGCGTTATTTCATCCCGAAGAGAGTTACAAGTATGGCGCATCGCATCAGAGTTTGCGGGAACATCCGAGTACAACCTCAGAAGATCGGAAATGTCCTCCTCTTGGGGGAGGGCTTTCCGTTTACCTTTCGCCTTGTCTCTTGACAACTCCATGGAGGCCTCTCCGTCCAAATCGTCATCTGTCCGGTAAGGTTTTGTTGCAGGAGTGACGGCCAGCTCTCCATTGGCCGCGTCACGGACGCCCTTCTCCCGGTTCTCCTCGTCCTTGACCCATTTCTCCCAACCAAATCGATATCTGCGACCCATCTTGTCCAATAGCTGATTCTCCAAATCTGTCAAGGATGTCTTTGCTTGCTGCAGACCGTCTGCCTTGGCTTTAAGCTGGTTAACTGCTCGATGGCTCTCTAGAATTTCTTGTTGGATGTTTTGCAGGAGCGCGTGAGCCTGGTTCATATCACGTTCTTTGTCCTGAAGTTCCCGATCGAACGAAGTTGCAAGGCTATCCAGCATAGTGGTTATCTCATTAACACACCGGGTACTTGCTTTCTGGCCAGCAACAGAGTGGTGTAAAGGCGGTCGGTCGCCGTTGACAGCGACGGGTGGGACAGAGACGGTGGGTGGAATAGATGCCTGTGCATTCCGGAATGACATGGCAGCCAGCCGAGATGTGGGACCAGGTGAGGACCTGAACCGTTCGTCTTCGAGAATATAGTCCTCAGTGCTCTTGCCGTCAAAGTTTACAATCTTGGGGTCCGCGCCATGGTCAATGAGAAGCTTAACAAGGCGTTTACTTCGACAGCGAGCGGCCATCGTGAGCGCAGTCTCTCCATCCTCATCTTGAAAGTTGATGACATCGGCAAGTTCCTTCGGGTAGTCCGCGAGGCGCGTAAGTACTGTTTCCATGTAATAGCGTGCCGCATGAGTCTTTCCCTTTGACATTGCAACATCGACGATGTGATGAAATACGGTGCGATTGAAGTTGTCGATGTTCAGCGTCGAGCGGAGGAGAAGCTCAAACAACTCTGGAAACTTTCGTATATCGTAGTTGTTTGCGAACATTACGCTCCGCATGAGCGCTGTTTGGCCTGCCTTGTTCACCTTGAAGATGTCGGCGCCTGCAGTAAGCAGTAGCTTTACGATGCGGAGACGGCCCATGGCAGAGGCCCAGTGTAAAGCGGTGTGGCCATCGTCGTCTATGGCCATGTTGGGATCAAAGTCTGTTGGAGGTGTTATGAGGATTTGAGGGACCTGATTAGTGTCCGAGATGAAGTATTCAAGGATTTCGTCGCAATAAGCACGTAGATCATTGGCGTTGCTCGCCCGGTGAAGGGTCTCCTCAGATATATCTTCGTCATAGTGCTCATCTAAGTGCCTTGACATTGCATTACGACGGCCCGGACCATTTAGGCTCATATCATTGCGACCGAATTGGTCACCGAATGGGGACGGCGTGCGGGAACTAGAAGAGTTTTGGGATGGCGATGGGCTCATGGAGCCGTCCTCCGATCCCTGAGCAGAGTATAGGCGCTCCAAGTCGGAATCATCCTCTACAGTGTCAATGATGTGACGGCGGGAACGCGTGCTAGGCACAGGCACAGGCTCGGGGACAGCAGCTCCGCGACGAACAGGGCGTACAGCAGTACTGGTAGACACAAGATGTTTCGGCGCCAAGGGAGGGCTTTTCCCCGTAGGTTGGAATTCGATGATAGGTCGCAAAGCGGTTTCGCATCCATACTGCTTAGCCAAAGCTAGACCTCGTTCGAGAGGAATCCATGTGCCTGGCAACTACGTATTAGACGCGATTTCAAGAAAACAAACCGAGACATCAGATAAATCACCTTGATATTTCCCGTACCCTCCTTGCACCTTCTCGTGTTCGCCTTTCTGAACTTCCCGTTCTAATACTCTGGTGCGCTGAGGTTTGTCAAAACCGGCGACTTTGAGGATCTGTGTGGCGTTGAGCCATGAGTCAGAGCGCCGGCGCATAACGGCTACGCTCTTGTACATCCTACGCGTCCGCAAGCGTCAGTTGCCATATCTTAGCACACACACTGACCAACTCACATCTCATACACCGGTATACCGCTGTATGTTGCCTAGCGACTCAATGCGCGGTTAGAAGGCGGAGTCCATTACGTTAGAGAGACGCACCTTGAATATCTGACCATCCGGCATGATTGCGTCCCGCGTCGGTGGAATAGGGAGTCGTGTCTGGGCGGTGGGAGCGCTGCGTCAGGTGTCGGGCAGAGGCGTCACGGATATCATGCGTGGACGCGTGCTCCAACAGGGACAAACAAGATGCGGCGGCGTTGCGCGTTTCTTCCGGTCAGTCCGAGGCCGCCATATTAATCTTTGCCTCGATGTGCCGAGAAAGTCACTTGCACCATAAGTTTACACGCGCTAAGCACGTTCCCGCACGCCGAAGCGATCGTAAATCTAATCATCACAACAACTTAGCCTTGATGAAACGCGATATGTCATTAGACCGGACGGATACGCGCTAGAAACGCGAGGCTGGAAACACGCTGCAAACGCGCTGCAAACGCGTAGGTCAGCTTATGGTCAACCCAGCGTTGTTGCACTCTTCGCGTCTCCATGGCCTTATTGCCCGGTATGACAAGCTCGCGTATCCTTGCGTCGGGCTGTTGAATGCATCATGCATTTGTAGAGAACAATGTGGGGTCTGTAAGTGAGACGACGTGCAAGTGCCAGCTGTTTATGTGAAACAATGAACGACATTGCGACAGTTCTAACCTTTGTGGAGTTTCTTGACTTGTTAATGAATATCTGACGTGTGACGACATGTAGCAAGGAACACGATAAGGAAGGCATGTTATAATAGAAGTGTTGTGGTAACAGGGGCTGGTCCAAATGGAGTTTTTAGCTTTGTTTAGTGGGAAACGCGACGGTCACGCCGTTTTCCTTTTGGACGTTGCTTCGCGCCAGACCCGTCATTGCCTTGAGGCCAGCGTATTGTTGGCTGTCTTCTGCATCTGCCCACTGCTCTCTAACACCCTCCCAGCATCGTCTTGCATGCGATAGCCCATCTTCAGCTTTCTGTAACCTCGATGGCTCCAAGATGCGAGCCCCTCTGCCAATTCAGCGACAGGTACCGCTTTTGCACCCAGTTCAGCCCCTTCTCTCATCCATCGGTTTCCTAGGCTTTTCTTCACCACCTTTCCGAGCCCTCTACCCAATCCGCGCCTCCTCAACGCTCATTCGTCTGATCCTGCAAACTCCCCCCGCATTCGTTCGCGGCCAACTGCTGGTCCTTCCTCAACCCCCGACGAGCATGCGACCTACTACTATTTCACATTCGATGATCAACTGCTCTACCTTTCCTTCTATCAGGACTGGGGTCCTCTCAATCTTGCTATGGTCTACAAAGCCTGCATCATAGTTCATGATCTCCTGGAGGCAAGTCTCTTCCACGTGTGGTTTCTTTATGACCCCGCACTCTGACCACTTTTTACCATTTATAGGACAAAGATAATGCGTCGCGAAGGCTGGTACTCTATTCCTCTGATGACCCTCGGCGGAAGGCCAATGCGGCGTTGCTCATGGCTCTCTACATGGTGCGGCGCGATGGACACCATGCATTGCCCTTCTGTTCTGATCATTTCACAGGTCATTGTGCATCGCAAGACCCCATGGGAAGCTTTTCACCCAATCGCCGAGATCGAATTCATGCCATTTCGAGATGCAGGACGCGGACCTAATGATTTCGGGCTAAGCATCCACGACTGTTTGTGGGGCATCTGGAAAGCAATCCAACACGGCATCTGCGATATGGGCGAATTTGACGTTGAAGACTATGAGTATCACGAGAAGGTAGAGAATGGCGATTGGAACTGGTTAACACCCGGTTTCATTGCCTTTGCTTCTCCGGTGGACACGGCATGGGTGAAAAAGGAGAAGGAGGCCAAACAGGTCACGGCGGAGCTAGGATCACCAGTCCGTCCCACCTCGTCTCGTTCCCCTGAGCGTCTGGCCTTGCAAAGGAAGCTTCCCGCGTCCTTTTGCCATTGCCTGGAATACTTTGAAGAACACAACGTGAAGCTGATCGTGAGACTCAATACGGAGCTCTACGACCGCGAGGTTTTTCTGGACCACGGTATCAGCCATTGCGATCTCTACTTCGACGACGGCACCAATCCCACGGATGAAATCGTACGCAAGTTCATTGACATGTCCGACGCGGTAATAGAGAGTGGGGGCGTCGTTGCAGTTCATGTGTGTATTTGACTTGCTCTGTGGATTGTTTGCTAATTGGCTTGTAGTGTAAAGCTGGTTTAGGTCGTACAGGCACGTTGATTGGTGCATACCTCATATGGAAGTTTGGCTTTACAGCGGCGGAGGTCATCGCTTTCATGCGCATCGTTCGACCAGGAAGCGTGGTGGGCCCACAACAGCAATACATGCACCTAAAGCAGCTTGAGTGGACTAGATGGTCTGCTGTCGACGAGATGAACCGTCTTCATGCCCAGAACCAGGCTAGCACATCGGCTCAGCAACCCGTTGTTACTCCTGCCACGCCCCCAGCAGAAACTGACGAAGAAATGGAAACAATCCCGCCACCTCGTGAAACAACACCCCCGCCACCTGTCACTAACCTTCCACCTGTTACTCCTAGTCGTCACGTTGCCATTGCTACAGCCAAAGCGAATGCCGTTGCTCCTCCAGGTCAACCACGCAAGACGCCAGTCGCTAAGCGTATTGCAGTGGATTCTGATGATGAAGAGGAAGAAGTTGATGACCAGCTTCCTGCTCTTGGAGTGGCACCCCCAGCACGCACTCGTGCGAAGACGACTGCATCGCGTCTAACTGGTGCCAAAGGTGCCAAAGTAACTGCATCTGAACAGCGGCCAGCACGGGTCCTTCGGTCCTCTGCCGCAGGAATCCAGAAGAGACCCCCTCCTTCCCCAGGCGCTAAGGCCAAAACCACATATCCTCCGAACAAGATACCTCGTTTGGCAACCGGCATTGCAACGAGAAGAGCCGCTGCTGGGACCACCAAGGGCCCTGGAGCCCCTTCAACTCGCCGTGTTCCTCAACCTCCCCCATCTCCGACACAATCACGCCTCCCTACTCTTGCATCTAAACGTACACAACAACCTAATAATACATCAAGTGACGCACCGAGTGCTGGGACGCGTTCCGCCACGAAAGCGGCCAATACCGATGCATGGATGTCCACAGAAGCTGCTGCCTCTGCTGTCGTTACTTCGAAGTCGACAGGGAGACCTGGTCCTCGCCCTATCAGAAGGCGAAGAAGTAGTTTCAGCTCGGCAGACGTGGTCGCTTGATAATTCATGTCGCTCCTTTGGTTTTGATCTCTCTCCGTTCGTGGTGTCTGGTATTTATCCACTCGACTCTGCATTGTATAGGCATCACATCTTTCGCAATCTGCACACAGTCTCCTTCCATTCCATACATGTTTTGTACATATACCGAATCTTTTCCTCCCTTAGGTCTTAGTCTCATCAGGGAACAAAGATACCAGCTTCCCAAGGATTTGGTACTCAGTGGTCTTGCATACACAGGTAGTACGCGTGAGCGCGCTGTACACCGCCTAAACCGTGACAATTCAATCTAATGATCCAGCCGAGTACTTCTGCACACATTGAAGGAACCATCTCATGTCCTCTGGGTCCACTCCAGGTGTGATGCCATGTCCTAGATTTGCGATCCATCGGTGTGGTTTCCCGCCTCCTCCCGCAAGGAACGCGTCACACATCCGCCGAACCTCCCGCTCGATAGCATCGCGACCGCCATATAGAACAGTCGGATCGAGGTTGCCTTGCAGCGAAATTTCGATGGGAAGAGTAGAAACGTCGCGCGGGTCTACCGTCCAGTCAAGCCCAATTACGTCGTAACCGCCCCGAGCGGCGAGGGTAGGGGAAGCGCCTTTGGCAAAGAGAGTCATAGGAACTGCATCGGAGCCGAGACGCTCTTTGACCTTGGTCGCAATATGCTTCAGGGAGGGCAGAGAGAAGGTGGTGAAATCATAAGGAGACAAGTCTCCAGCGTTTGAGTCAAAAACTTGCAGAAGCTATTGGCTGATTTAGGTGAGTTAGAGACCAAAGGCTGCAAGACACACCTGGGCACCGGCACGAGCTTGCCCGACCAGATAGGTAACGCAGACATCCGCGATGCGCATGAGCAGCTTTTGAGATTCTTCAGGATGCTTGAAGAGCCAAGTCTTTGACTTTTGAAGCGTCTTGCTCGATCCGCCTTCGATCATATATGCCATGAGCGTCCACGGCGCACCGCAGAAGCCAATGAGGGGTACACGCCCACCCAGCTCCTTCCTAGTGAGCGTGATGGCGTCATAGACATACCCAAGCTCCTTGTCGACGTCGATAGTCTCAGGAAGTCTCTTGAGGTCGTCGGGAGTGTCGAGAGGTTCGGGGAAATGGGGACCCGGGTTCATGATGACCTCCATGCCCATGGCCTGAGGCACGACGAGAATATCGGAGAAGATGATAGCGGCATCGAGCAGGTCGCCGTACCTGTCGATCGGCTGGATCGTGACCTCCTTGGCGAGCTCGGGTGTGCGGCAGATCTCAAAGAAATCGTGGTTCTTCCGCGTCTCCCTAAACTCTGTTGATAGTATTAGAAAGTTATGTGCGGAGGACGTGACGAAGCGCAACACCTGGAAGGTAACGGCCAGCTTGCCGCATAACCCATACAGGCGCCCGGTCGAGAGGTTCTCCTCGTGCTGCCCTAAGCAGGCGATCATTTTTCAATGGCGGAAATTCGACCATGTTTTTGGTGGGTATTGTATGAGAGGCACTTGCAGATTGCTTGCAGAACTGACGATTTAGCTAGGCATGGCACCCGGAAGCATAAGCCGATAACGCCGCCGAGCCAGGGCGGACATATGCATCCCCTTGTGGATCCGGAAGCCTGCAGGTCACTTGCTAATCACGGTGACTGCCTGACCAGCACAATACTTGATACGACAGGACATGCCCTCAACTCCAAGCGAACTTGTTGAAGGGTGAGCCGCGTTTCGGCTAGTGTTATAGTAAAGCAGGCTAACAGTGGCTTTCAGGTTCAAGAAGTCTGGCGAGTTCGACCGTCTCCGGCGAGAGCTCCTGGCCCAATTTCAACGCAGTGTAAACCCTTTGCGCGTACTGCAACGCCCGCAGCTCACTAATACTACATGCTTTGCAGGACCGTGTCGACGGGTTCAACCGGCGTATAGAAGAGATCATTCGCCAACGGATGGAGTCTGATCAGAACCTCCAGCACCTGCCCCCTGACTCCGTCCATCGCGAGCTAATGCAGGAGATGGACAGGTAAGGTTTTCAGCAAAACTGTAAACTGATTGCTCCCTGAGTATGTGCAGGTACCCCCTCGTTGAGCGTGCCGCCGCGGAGGCTCCTCTCATCTCAGACGCCAACTTCGCCTCTGGAACTGTTCGACCGTCTTTGCAGCGCATGCTGAATGAATCATGATTACCGACATATGGATGGAGTCATCACGCTAGTGCACCCCTAGGCATCGTCGACTTCTAAGCGTGGTCGACGCAGCGTTTACACCGTTCGTAGGCTAGATGCGCTCCTCGCGTAGTCCCGGAAAGCCAGGGGCGCACAGACCGTTTGCGAAACGGTTACTCTCACAAACTCAAACTAGCGACATCCCATGTGGACACGAGCTGGTACCTTTCGCGTCCGTTGGCGAACGTCTTCGAAAGCTTATCCCCAGTCGTGTCTACAACTCGGTACCGGATATTAGCTTAGACTTGCATAGACTTCACATTTGATGCAGATGTGACAATGTATTTATCCAATGGACGTCATCTACTTGATATTGGTTGGAGAAACGTGGAGAAGCACCTCTAAGAGCACACCCAACCTGCCAACTGGGTTACATAAGTTGGCCAACACCAGTCGAATGTCCTTATCACCGAATGTCAAGGTCGAGGCACCGTTGATCGAGAACTCTGATTTGGGTTCCTTAGGGAAGGCCTGGAAGGGCAGATCTGGATAGACAGGCGCACCGGAAATCATAGAGACGAACATTTCGCATCAATTGCGTTGCGGATACGAATTCGCCGATTGCTACCTTTAATCGCTACGTTACGGCCGTCGGCTCATTCTGCATCAACAATCAAAGTTATGGCTTTCTCCTTGGGATGTCTGATGCTTCAAGCCAACCCGCGCGTATTCGAATTCAGTCAGGAGAAGAAATTTATATGTATTGAGATCGAGTCGAGTTCCAAAAGAAAATGTAGATATTCAATGACAAGGTGTTCGACTAAGTCTGCACCCTTGCCTTGCCAGCTCGCTTCTGTTGCACCCGCGCACCCGCGCAAGGGTAGTAGCCTACTGAAGTCAATAGCTTGCCAGGCGGCACCGGCGGCAAGAGCTTAGTAGCTTGCTTCCTGCTGGATCAACTCCAGAGCCTTCGCGGAGCGGGGCTTGATCGAGCACTGGAAGGGTTTAGGGTGGCTATATAACCCGTTAGCATCACCAGGGTAACTATGTAAGACGCAAATGGATCACAAACCTGATGGTGCCAGAAGAGGGGTCAATCTCCGGGGTGATCTCCACGCCGTTCTCAACGATCTTGGATACGTCAAAGGTGGCAAGGGTCATCGCGACAGACATCCAGACTGAAGAATCAGCGAGGTGCAGACCTATAGGAAACGACACGAATGTAATCAGTAAAACTTTTGTGCACGTCAGAGGTACGTCGTGAGGGCGACTTGCCTGGACAGATCCTACGGGCGACACATCAACCTTCGATCACTGAATAAGGAGGTTCAAGGACTACTCACCGCCTGCCGAAACCGAAGCAAATGGTGCGGGGATCAGTCTCCGGGGCCTTGCCAACGCCAGCGACGAATCGAGAGGGCTCGAAGTCCATGGGGTTGGCGTATGTACGCGGGTCATGGAGCATGTACCTAAAACGAATGAGTCCACAGACGACGTTCATACCCTGTGCACACATACCAGATGTTAGGCATAACCAGAGAGCCCTTGGGAATGAAGTAGCCGTTGTGGATGTCGTCTTCGATGGAACGATGGGGAACGGCTGCAGAACGCCTTAGCCCTTGGTCACGATGAGGATAGAGGATGCATACCCAAAGGAACAACGACGTTCCACCTCAGCACTTCCTTGGCCAATGCTTCGACATATGGCAGTGATTCACGGTCACCAAAGTTGGGGAGTCTGTCGTTGCCGATGACAGCGTCAATCTCCGCCTGGGCCTTCTTCTGAGCCTCAGGATACAAAGTCAGGGCCAGGTAAAGCGAGTAAATGGCCGAAACAGTCTGCAAGCTGCGTGAATGGTGAGGTTATGACAAAGAGCTAAAAGACTAACCGTATCGGCACCACCTTGATACAAACAGTTAGTGAGTTGTGGTTTAGCAATAGCAATAGACTATTCTTACCAGAGTAGAGAGAAGCGGCAGACCAACGAACAACGTGCTCCTCTTCAGCAGAAAGAGTCTGGCCTTCCAAAAGGTTGGACGTAAACGACTTGGGGGCAATTCCAGCAGCCTAAGCAAACAATTAGTCTTGTCCGATGACTGAATCTCATGACTGCGACCCACCATTTGCTCTTTGACGAAGTCGTAGGGGGCTGCCACCATCTTCTCGAGACAAGCATTCCATTCGCGGGCCTTGATCTTGAAGTCAGCACCGGGGAACCAGTCGGGAACATTCTTCACTGATCCCACCAAATTAGCCAGATGAAGTCAAGCCTAAGCCGACATAGCTTACGGGCAGGGATGATATCAATCAAAAAGGCACCGGTGGCAGTCGACTTGGAGAATTGATCGACGGCCTCGTCCGCGAGGTTGACGAAGGGATCCTCGTGTTCCTTGACCTCGTATCCGTGAGAGATTCGCAAGATGATGGCACCGGCAGTCCTAGACGCCAAATTATCCACGTTAGAAGTTTAATTCAAGATACCAATACGCCAATCAAGATTAGTACGTACTTGCGGACGTGAGCCGAGAGTTCTGAAGGCTTTGCGAGAACACGTTGCAGGAATCGGTGGGTCTCGACTTCCTCGACCTGGTGGTAAGCCTCCATATGAGCACGGCTTCCAATCGCATGGTGGAAGTTGCGGCGGTAGGCGCGGAAGCGATCGCCGTAGGGCAGGAGGACAAGGGTGTTCTTCCATCCAACGAGCTCACCGCCCATAGGAAGCATCGGACGGTCCGAATAGATGGAGCTCTTCTTGTCGAGCATCTCAATTGCAGCATTCACAGAGTTAAGGATAATCATGTGCTGCCCGAGCACCTCTGCGCAAGAGATGTCACCTGTTCGCCATGGGATGAGCGTCTATTAGCTAGGAGGACGTCCTCATATCATACGCACCATACTTCTTGCCCCAGTCAGCAAAAGTCAGCCAAGGCTTTTCTGAGGGTATGTCGAGGAGGTTGCTCAAGAGCGGCAGTTTCTTCGGGCCAGGCGGGAGGGGCGCAGGATTCTTCTTATCAACGAGCTGCTTGATGCAGTAGACTCCGAAACCGGCGAGGAGTAAGTCGTACCAAGCGAGAAACATTATGAACGACCTGTGGAGAAAGCGGAGGAAAAACGAAACGAATGTGGGGGTTCAAACGGTAACGGTCTGAGCCTTTGAAGTATGGTACGCAGCGGGTAGAAGGTCTGACAGCTGTCAAGTATGCCACTAGCAGAAGAGGCTAGAAGAGGAGTATGTGGTTGGGAAGTTTTGGGAAAGGAAGATTTGTGCGCGAGAAGTTTTATGTCGCGGCGTTATAAAGGTCGCGACGCAAGTTCCTTGGGTCACACTCTGAGCGGTTCGCGATCCCACAGACACAAAAGGGAGCTTGAGGTGACAGATTTTTAAGGGCGGTCGCCGGTCCCCATTACCCTGAGATCTAGCCGTCAAGTCAGAGCCGATTCGCGTTGCGTAGCCTCGTGTTATGTATCCTGATGAACCTTGATGCGGTGCGCGACGCTTGTTAGGCCATATACGCCTCTTTGCTAATACAGTAGAGAACCGTTTGACCCTGAGGTGATCTACTAGCTATAAAGAACCGTGTTAACGGAGAATGCACACGAAGCTTCAAGTTCCACGGTAATACCGTACTGTCCTCCCTCGGTGTCCGCGGCAGCAGCGGCAGCTTGCAAGGAAGGACCTTCGCTTGGACCCTCGTGAAATAAAGTTGGGATAGGTTGGGATCTCAGATCGCTTCGCTCAGTCTTCTCGGCTTCCGGGGTGCGGTCGCTAAGCGTAATTTCAAAACTTCAGGCACTTCCTCTCTAAACCCCTCCGCTATCCCGGATCGGCCAGCGCTCCGTCACCTTAAAACTACGTCAATGTTACTAATATCAGTTCAGCAGCATCTCGCGTGCGGTTGATACATGATGTGAAGAAACGTCCTGAACAATCAGACAGCAACGATGGGGTGCCGACCTGTCGCTTCGGGGTTGGCCTAGGTTGGCCTCTGTACAAAAACGTACAAAATCTTTGCCATGACCCAGTGCAGTAACAGCAGATCCTGAGCACATGAGACGATTCCGCAGTCTGAGTGCATTACGGAAAACTCTCATAATTCAGCGAAGCCGTCTTCTGATGAATTTAGTGGTACCCGACACGGAGAATGCGACAAAACCGCACGTATGTCAATTTCCGGAAAATTAAATTCAAGTAGCTATCAGCTACGATATCCATATATTGTAACAACCACGGATGGTCAAGTGATTTTGGATCCTCAGATTCCAGCAGCAAAAAAAAAACACAGATCGTGCACCTGCCTCGCGAACTTCTTCTAAGGGGTACCGACAAAAATACGAACAGGAAATGGGTAACGACAGCAAAACTTCAGCAATCTTGACGCTACATCGTGACGCTCCTTGGGCAAACCAAGTGACAGCGTGGGGGTCCTTCGTGTGTGACACCTGCATACTCGAAGGTTGCGTTGCACTCAGGCTTCGTTCAAAAAGCTTCTGCTGCCGACGACTTGTAATCGACCTGATACTTGCTTGCCTGAGTTAGCAGTAGCAATGGGAATTTTCAGTGATAGCTTACATCTGAGCCGTCGCGCTCATGATCAACGGTAACGTTGACGGCGATTTGTTTCTGCGCAACCGAAATCAGTACGGCGCACCAGCATCTTCAGGTTCAAAACCAACGCACCCCAGACGCAAGAGCAGCAGTCGCCGAGGGGCTGTTCGGCATTCTCTGAAGAGAGAGGGACATGTCTTCACGAGCCTCCCCACGCAGGGCCCTGCGCGCGTTGAGAGTAGCCAGGAGGGAGTTGCAGTAGACTAGGCGATAGCATTCAGAATGGGACATGCTACGAAAGAAATCGGCTGCTTACGACGACCAAGACAGAAGTAGAATGAGATGTAAATGAATGTGGTGGGAGCCGCAACAATCTTTGACATAGCGATCAGGATAAGAAAAGCGGGTGTTGCAAGCGACTCACCGATACCAGGGAAGCGATGGCGCAAAGACTGATAGCACAACAGAGTAAGAACTCGAACCGCAGGAAGCAATAACAAAAAGGACAGAAACAGACCTGGTCAGCAAGCCAGTGTTGATGGTGAAGACGATCTATGGATCAACAATCATTGAGATCGTGTTAGGCGGCTAAAATAGGTGATATCACTGACCAGCCTGTTGATCATACTGTCCGATCTAAGACGCCAAGGAGCCGTGATTAGGTCCCTTCTCACGTCGAAAGTGTATGGCTTTACCTCGAAAACCCAGTTCGGGCTCCGTGAAGAAGATGGCACAAGAACATTGCGATGAGAACATCACCAGCCGCGGCAACAGCGTTCACAGTCATGGACAACGACTGAAGAATCAAAGTTAGTATTATCGGCATTCAAGTAACGCGGTGAGCAAACCTTCAGCGCTGTCAACTCGGCAAAGGTCTGCAAGTTGATTCTATACACGGCAATTAACAGTCTGCAAGATCAAATTCCTTGAAGCAACTCACCCCTTGGAGACGTAGACTAAATGACACCGGTTAGCTGATGTCTTTACACCTGACTTGAAACAGTTACGTACTCACAACACAGACTATAAAAACGAGGTATAAGCAATACCTCTTTTACGCAGAATTTTCAGCAACCTACCAAATTCACCGATGACCAGAGTCATCTGTCAAACATTGAGAAACATTGAGAAACATGGGAGCGGGCGCTAACACAAACGTCGACATACCACAGAGCCAGTCCGCCAAATGCAACCGTTGCTCACTAGACAAGTGAGCGAAAAATCGATGCTAGATGATGGTACACTCACGCTTCCAGATACGCCAAGCCAAGAAGCTATGAAGTACTAGTTTAGCACGAACACCAAATGGAAATGCTTATCATACCTTTGAACCATGAGAGCAGTGAAACCATTGAAAAGAACCTCCACCTAGGCGCAACGTTCAAAACCTCAATTTCGAAGCGAGCGTAGTGACTTACAATCAAGCTCCTACAGAATCCCGAAAAACGTTAGCCCATTGATGGTCGTGCAGTAACGAGTAAATGTACCACACGAGCTCTCCCAGTTCAACGGGATTTCCGAAGTTTGAGACGAGATATGTGTAAACTAAAGTGACTGTGAGCCTAGCATACGTGCGCCGAGGAAAGGATCATCGCCCACCTGTGTGCGTGATCAAAGCCTGGTGTACGGTATCAGAGAGAAGAACCGCAGTGACCTATGGAGAGAATAAGCAGACGTTATATTACTGTTGAGTCGTGCGTACCAAGAGCTTCATCGGCAATCCGTCTTTCTCATAATCGCTAAAGTAAAACCATGTCTGCACGCAGGTGACTGATAGAAGTGAGTAGACGTCGTCACCGTAGCGACTAAATACCCACTTCCGTAGAGACTAAGGGTCGGGAATGAAGGGATGAGTATATGGACACGTTCTTAGTAAACGATGGGGCAACCGACATTGCAGAGACCACAACTCCAATGAACGCAGCACCAAAGCTAAGATAAAGTAAGTATTGAAAGAAAAATAGGCGAAATTGGGGGCTAACGTACGTGTTGTCCAACGCTGTCGACATTGTCTATGAGAGAGCGGCGAACAAGCGGGCAACGAGCGGGCGGGGTAGAAAGGGAAGGGAATATAGTCGAGGGAAATGAATGGAGGTAACCTTTTGTAAGAAGGCGATAAATTCTGGGCCCTCGATTTGGAAGGGAAGATTGTGTGACGGGCTGGGAAGGGTATAAGGAAAGTTCATCCGAACCTGTAAGCGCTTTCGACGCAAGCTACGAGGGCCGCACGAGGCGGCAATCCGTCTATGAATTTTGATTGGATGCGCATCAGCACTGTCGGTGTAACCCGATGGGTCGGCAAGAGACTTCAATACAAACCCATTTGTCCGGGCGGGGCCTGTGCAAAACTTTCGTCCATCCGTGGTAATAAAATGGTGGTGAGAAGCAAGGACTCGCGCAACTGTTTCGTAACCACTCCGTCACGCGTCGATAGGGTCGCCGCGTCCCTGAGAACAGCGAATCTGTCATGCGAACATCGTGTCAGTGATCGCGGAACGGATCGTTTGATGGAACGTCGGTTACTTTATTTGGCAGACTTCTCACGCGTAACCGCCGACTTCTCCGAATATGGCTCGGGAGCAAAATGACTGTCAAGCTCTGTCAGCTCAACGTCAGTGCAGCACTGGGGTATAACTTGAGCCGAAAGTGCCCTAGACACAAAGTATACTTACATGGCTGTAAGTGATGCTGATAGCCTCCCTCGCGAAGGCACCAATCAGTACGTAACCTCGCAAATGCGCTAGAAGAGTTTGTATTGATTGACGCTTCAATCATTGGAGCGAGGGTAGAGTTCTGTTATCGCACTTGGTCAACCATGTCTTTTGTGTTTGCCACGCTCAAGCTCAGAGTTCATCGGTTATTGAGCGAAGCACCAAATGCGCGAAGCCAGCCTGGGCTTCTCGCGGCCATATGTCGAACATCAATCCAGCCGCTGGCAAACAAAGTCGATAAGAGTACTATACAAGAGGCCGGCCTAATCAGCATACACCAACCCCCGTTGTCAGACAACTACCATCATGTCAAAAAATACGCCTTCTCTCGTAGAACATCAGAGTGTTTTATGATCGTCACCAGCGGCAATGAGATTGAACAAGCTCAAGGTGTGCACGGGACCGAGTGCGCGGGTATTTACCCAGTGTCCGACTCTCCACGCGACTTCAGGCTTTCGGCCAACTCCGGAACCAAGCAAGTGTCAATAATGACTTCTTCGGGAACAGTTTCTTGACGCGTTCGTGCAGCCAGGTAGTTTTGAGCTAACTACACAATGGTAAGTATGCACCTTCTGCTAACGCGTTTTTGTGCTCAGTGTTTTCCAGCGCGGTGCAACTCGTCTTCTCCAATCCACTCTCAAGTCGCGCTCTGTGCCACGGTGTGTTGTCGTTCATGATTCAACGCTGTAATTTTTCTCAAATCCCGGCCTCTAGACCTGCAGCATGGAGTTCACGAACGAGATGGATGGCTAGCGCTGCCGAAGCTGCTACTCCCTCCTCTGAGGCTCCGCCACCACCACCAGCATCCGTAGACCCAAAGCTCGGTCGTATCGTCGACGACATTTCCGGGCTCACCCTCCTACAAGCGTCTGACCTCGTTACTTTACTGAAGGTATGCAACGCGTTCGTTCTGTTTGGAGCATGGTGTATTCACGTTCTCCAAAGTCGAGACTCAACATTCAGGAGATTGCGATGCCCGCTGCATCAGCTGGTCCGGCTCCTGCAGCCCCAGCTGTAGAAGCTGCCGAAGAGGTACGCCTGTTCCTGCTTTTTACCCGACCGACCATTTAACACTGTCTCTAGGAAAGACCTAAAGAAAAGACCGTTTTCAACGTTAAACTGGAGTCTTTCGAAGCTACTGCCAAACCCAAGGTCATTCGCGAAGTGAAGGCTATGGTCCCCAACCTTACCCTCATCGAGGTGAGCGAACCTTTCTAACATATAAGTTGTAGCTCAATTGAAATGTTTTAGGCCAAGAAGTTCGTTGAGGGAGTACCCCAGATACTCAAGGAGAACTTGCCCAAGGAAGATGCAGAAAAGATGAAGGCTGTCTTCGAGGCCTTGGGCGCAAAGATTGTCCTTGAGTAATTCTCTGATCTAGACTACTGCTATCTTTCACCACCCGTATAATATCTTAACCAGTCCGTGAATGATGATGACATGTAATTGCGAGACAACTAGGTTAATTACAATGGTTGGCGTGAATAAGTGAGATACAGCGCACACTAGCTATGGGATATGATGATAAGAGCAATGATTATAGCGAGGTAAACTAATCTTCTGACAGGTAACGGTATTCAAACCGGAAATCAGTTTTCTTGCGTTGACACCACGAGCCCTCCCAGTCAAAGTAAACGTAAACGCCTTGCTCGTACTCTTCGGTGATAGCTTGCGGCTCAGAGTGTCGTTGGAACCATGTCATGTACTTAACGTGGAACCGCCAGGATTGCCTCTTCAGCTCTTTGGCGGCTAGGTATCTAATTGGCTAATGTGAGCACCAGGTGAGGGTAAATTCCCAGAGCAATACTAACTGTTGATAAGTGCCGGGGTGATAGTAGAAGACATAGAACAAAGTTTCCACGTCGACCTGTGAAAAAAGTCCAGGCGTACTCAAAACTTGGTGTGGGGCCTGGGGGTAATACGCAGGTGTGGGGAATGCATTACGGGGTGTGTAGTATTTAGGCCTGGAAAACAATTGAGCAAATTTGATCGCAGCCACGAGCCGCCGAGCATACTTCTCTGTATCATGAGGTTGTGGGACGCTGGAATACCCTCCTTCCAAGAGCTTGTGAACGTCGCCCAGGTTGGTCATACGATGCGAGGCTTGAAAAAGCATCAGTTTCTTACCTAAAAATAAAGCGTGTAAATCACCTTTCTGTTTCACTGTTTCAAATGAAGCCACAAGGTCGGATAACGATCCAGGGAATGCGCTCGAGGGCAGCCTCTGACCTTGACCTGGTGTCTGAGCAGGAGTGGATGGAGGCCTTTGCGAAGCCGCCTGAGGTACTACACCCTGCTCCGCTTGCGCAAGTTTCATCCCAGGGGGATATTGGGGTTGCTGTGACATTGCAGGGAGGGGTGAGTTCGGAAGATTCGCTCCGGGCGCCGATTGCACTTGTTGAGGCAGTGACGATGGTGTACTTGCTTGTTGTGGCGCAATTTGAGACAGCTGGGATGTACCGTTCGTCTGTACTGGCACCACTGACTGCAAATCAGTTGTTGCTAGCTAAAAACTAGGCCTTAGATAACAGACTTTGACGATTTAAAGAACATACCGCGTCAGGAGACAAGGACCTTGGGAGTGAAGGCGACGCAGCCACGTCTAATAGGCGTGTTCAGCATGTACGTAAACGAATACAAGCCTGATCATTGGCGTACCATTTTGCGATGACGATGCGGCTGGCCCACCTGAAGAGCTGGGCTGGGCCTCTGATAATGCAGGTGAGTCTTGCCCAGAATAGAACGATCCATCTTGGTGGTGAGAGGCCGAAGCTGAAGAGAGCATGGGGCTCGTAACGGATGGATGAGTGAGGCTAGGTGATGGTGCCTGTTGGTCCTGTAAGACTGCTTGAGAAACCAGTGGTGTTATTGACGGAGCAGTAGGAGTTGGTGGCATTTGATTTGAAGATGCTGACAATTCCGATAAGAGTGTTATCGTTCAGCAATAATGCAGGCAACTGCCTACCTCCTCCCGGCGTCACCGCAGCGGCAGCGGCAGCAGCATAACGTATAGGTGGCAACGTTGCTGGCGGGCGTGGCGCTGGCGGCAACCCTGCCTTGAGTATGCTGGACATGGGCTGTTGCGCAAAATTTGGATTTGGAGGAGGTCTGACCGCTACATGATACATATGGCCAACAGCCTGACATGAGCGAGTTGGTGTACTTACGTTCTGTAGATGTTGACGATTCTGGAGTATGTGTAAGAAGAGATATCAGAGCTATTCCAGAGAGATGCATACTGCGTAACTGTAAACTAGCTCCCGCTTTCTTGAGTATGGGACTGTCATCCCGTTTACTGCTTGAAACGCTTTCCTCGTCTTTATCGTGCTTCTTTGATGGTGTCCTATGAGGGGCATCTGATGCACAAGCTCGTAAACAAGTTAGCCGTAGTACAAAGCTTCGGTTTACCTTCACTTGCGTCATCGGATTGCTCGCTGTTGTTGTCTTCATCGTCGTTAGCGAGTCCGAACTTCTCCTCTTCTTCCTCAAGATTGAGCTCATCGTATATCCCTTCGTCTTCTTCAAACTCTTCTTCCTGATTCCAGTCAAGGGTGTCAGTATCTTGGCCCTATCCAGACCAGCGCGACTAACCCCATTGCTCTCAACAAAGTATAAAACGTCTTCTTTGAGATCCGATACCTTCTCAACAGCTAGCGACCCGTTGTCCAAAAGGCGAAGTATGAGTTCGAGACGACCAACGTGCCACTTCCTCCGATTGTTCAACTGTTCCAGTTCGTCCAATCTGCCGGCAGTCGAGGACGCGCCTTTCCCTTTCTTCTTTCCCGTACCCTGGAGACTCTCGATCTCTGCTTCTGCTTGCTCAACTTGTAGCAATAGCTCCTCAACCCTGCCTTGTAACCACGTCGTGGCTTCTAGTTTTTCCTGGGCTTTAGGATCGAGCCGAGCAGACTGGATTAAGCCTTCTTTCGAGAAAGCCTTGGTCTTCATTTCTTTCTCACAGGCCTTAAACTTCTCCATTTGCTGAGCGGGAAATAGGGTCAGTCATAATGGACGAGACTTGGTCCACGACCAGACATGTTATGGGTGAGGGAACACGCACAGTCTCTATGAGTCTCCTATTGTCAAGCAAAGCTGACTTGTCCTTGATGTCATTGCTCGCAACCCATGTCTTAATCTGATCTCGAAGACGCTGAAGTTTCTTGATCTGAGTCTTGAGGTCGGTCTCAAGCTTCTCCTTCTGTGTCTGGTTCGTGGAGGCCTGCATCTTGTCGTATATGCTCTCAAAGAGCTCGACACCCTCGGACACCTTCTTCAGTGTCCGGTCAATTTCACCTTCAGGTATTACATCAGTAAGGGCCGTGGATCAAAACGAGCGAGTTACTCTGTAGTTTTCTGGCCGCCATGGCTCGAGTAGATAAGATTTACAGTAGGACACTGAGACGCTCTCGTCCGTAGCGACTCCAAGCCTGTTATTGACGTCTATTTGGACAGAATGAGACCAGCAATTCATTACATAATCGATGGCTGGGTTAAGGTGGGTTGTTCAGGGACCAGTTACCAAGTCAATGAACGACGGGTTGTCGTTGGCAACGTCATCGACAAGCCAGGGACGTAAGAAGTGCAAAGTCTAAAGTTGCCGTAGTTATGTTACTTCGTCAAACCGAAGCCACTGTGATATGCAAGGCGGCTCAAGGGCATCCAAGCCCATCGCTCAACGTTCAATGCTCAACGTCAATCTTCCGCGCATCAGCATCCGACATAGGCTGTGTCGCACGCCAACCGCGTACGCCTGGCACTGCATCGACCCAGAACAATAGCCAGGCGTAGGCGCATCTCACTGTGGGCCGGAGTTACTTCCGGTGCTCCGGATCTTCAACCTTATGATGCCATATCTCTCTCAAGCCCTTTGCGCTGAACTGGCAAGCTACCTTTCGCAAACGCACTTAGGTCCCGTTATTTGAGCAGTCTGTGAGAATGCTATGCATTGCGATATGGACACCTACTTGCTCTCGTGCTTCTCCGGAGATATCGAGGTCTATCCTTTAGTCCCGAGAAATGGCACATTCCAGGATGTCAACAAGAGCCCCAGGTGAGATCTGCGGTGGCAAGGGTCCAAGCGAGTCACCGTGGGAAAAGTGGGCGACAGCAGATGATTCGAGTACAGCGCAGAAAATGATCTGTTCGAGCTTGTTGTTCCACTACTCTCGCCTCTCTCGTCTCGCGACGCCCTCGTTCTTGTTGTACGTGGTCTGGATGCTCGTTGACGATGAAGTCTCTGCGGAAATCGTTCAGCGGCAATAGGGAGCCGACTCACCGGCTTCAAATATCGACCCCTCTTCCCATACCTGCGTTAGCGAAACCTCCATCTGCGTCCCTGCCACCCCAGAAAGTTATCCGCGCCACCTCGTCATTCAAGCCGCAAGCTCCCACTCAGCTCCCTTTCGACAAAGGAGATTTCTTCTATGTAATTGGAGATCCTAATATTGAAGGTTCTTGGTATGAGGTGCATAACCCGGTCACTGGTGGGCGAGGTTTGGTTCCAAAATCGATGTTCGAGGAATTCGCTAAGAGTCCACCACCGTAAGTCCGCCACGACCCCCCAGATTGGCAACTTTACACTCAGACTCGTCCAGCTCTAGCGGGGTGCGAACCTCCCAACTGGCAAAGAGTCCCATGCTGACTGGAAACCCTATGTCGCCTAATCTTCCCAAGTCCACGGTGCTCTATGCTGTCGTGCTTCACGACTTCGTGGCAGAACGTGCAGATGAGCTAGACGCGAAAGCTGGGGAGTCCATTTCTATCGTTGCGCAGTCGAACCGGGAGTGGTTCGTCGCAAAATCCATCAACAAACTCGGGAGACCAGGTCTCATTCCTGTTTCATTCGTGGAAGTCAGAGAACCGTCCACCAATCGTCCCATTCCCTTCGCCGAAATAGAAGTGATCATGGACCGTGGCGAACTTCCGAAGGTCGAAGACTGGAAAAAAGCCATGATAACTTATAAGCAGAATAGCATCGCTCTTGGAGTCATTGACGACATATCGACGCCGTCATCGGTCCCCAACAGTCCTTACACTCAACATGCCTCTCCTGCGTTCACCCAGCAGTCTCCATCCAGCTTTCAGGAACCCTCTCGCCCCCCGTCCCCTATCCCGTTGCCAGCTGGTATACTTCTTTCTGCCGATGTTGTCTCGTTCCACAACGAAATGGATGAATACTGGTTTCGTATCGACGCCGTATTCCAACCTTACGATCCTTCGGACCCTACAATCTTACCGAAAGCCAAACAGCTCGTTCTCTTTCGAGTTTATGACGACTTCTACGCTTTCCAGGTCAGCCTTCTCGAATCTTTTCCCCGCGAAGCAGGCAGAGCACCTCCATCCCAACGCATACTGCCATATATGCCAGGACCCGCTGACTACGTGGATGATGAAATAACGGCGGCGCGCAGAGAAGAACTGAACGACTATCTTCACAAGCTTTGTGGCTTGAATTGGGCTGGCGCAAGTTACATCCTTGAGGACGGGATCATCCGTGACTTCCTAGCGCTGAAGTCGGGCGATGTAGAGAACGACATAGAACCTCGGTACGACGAGATACGAGAGTTGTTCTCGGAAGATATCGAGCAAGTCGCACAGGCAGAACAGGGCGTAGACTATGATCCTACTCTTGAATATCAAGATGAGGTTAGAGACGCGCTAGGGGGGATGAAGCTTTCTGAGGATGGTGCTCACAGCGATAGCTCCGTTTATGGCGATGACAACACACCAGCACATCATCGTGGGCAGTCACTCGCCTCTTCAAATCAGCATGGCAAACACGGTTTACCGGAGGATTCTAGCCGTTCACTTTCACCTATACACGGGTCGCAGCACAATGACTATCCCCGAGGGAGTGCTTATTCGCGGAATTCTGCAACATCCAATTCGCATTGGCCTGACTATTCGACCTCCTCTCCTTCTTCCCTTCATTCGTCTCAGCCATCGCTACCTGCTTCTTCGCGTTCACGATCGCAGTCCACAGCCACCAATAACCTCAATACGCCGCCCATATCTGCTGGTAATCCACAGACAGCCTTCGTCAAGATTAAGATCTTCGATCGAATAACAGATGACCTCATCGCCATTCGAGTTCATCCAAAAGTCTCGCACGCAGAGCTTTTGGGGAAAGTGCAAGCACGACTTGGCGAAAATGTTGTGAACTTGCGGTACCGAGATAGTGTAGGAGATGAGTATGTTGGCATTGACAGTGACAAGGACCTCCGAGGCTGGATAGAAAACACGCAGAAGCATGTCTTATTTGCAGATTAACGCATGTCCGATCTTTGCTCTTCTCATCTTCAGTCCACCCTATATTATTGACTTTCTATACTTCTTTCACATATCGGTTTGTTTACCTACATATCTCTACGCATGTACTATCTTCGCTTTCGTTATGTGCTGCGAGCTGTGCAGTTTGTACTTTTTCCCTCGACGATGTTGTCTGTTGTCGCAATGATACTACTCCCTGGACGTCTCTAGCTCAACCTAGCCGACTATTTCTTGAAGTAAATTTGGTGGTCCTCGTCCCCACTGGTAAGGTTACTTTGACCGTTGCCAACTGACGGCTGTGCTGACTTGACGCGGCTTACATAAGCTAGCCGTCGCGACCCGGCGCTTTGCACGGCAGGCTCAACCACAAACATCACACTTGGAGAATCATGGTCTCCTTCATTAGATATGTGCGCAATGTGCGCAGAATAGGTCTCCGTCAATGGTGGCACCAAATGCAGTACATTGGCGACGCGAAGGCAGGAACTCTTGTCGGGAGAGATCAGTATGTCTGTCTTCGTTTTGTCTGCTGCTGCTCAGTACTCAACTACTGGCGTCAGGTTTGGCAACGTTTACTACGAAAATTTGAACCCCGAGGACGAAATTCCAGGTGCGCAGCTTGCTCTATAACTCTGCCAGGGATTAAACACGCATAACAGGCCGCCATCGTTGGGTTGACTTCGCCCAAGTACGTTTTCGCCTGTACGGGAGGCCTCGAGTTTGAATACTAATCCCTGGAAATGTAGCACTTCAACAACGCCACCCAGGTTCCTCCTGAATGGCACTCATGGCTCTCGCACATTCGTCAGCTCCCGCCTACCGAGGACAATGTTATGAAGAACATGTCCCCGCCTTGGAAAGCGGTTTGTGTTAACCTTGTCCAAACCATGATTAGCCATAGCTAATTAGCAACTCCTACTCAGCCCTGGGTGGAAAACTTGACTGGCACTCGGGGAGCATATCGCCCTTATAACACTGTCGTTCCGAAGATTAGAGCTTGGGAGCCTCAGGTCAGACAAAGAGATACGACAGCATAGAAACCTCGCAATGTGTCGAGTCTATAATCTATTGGCTACCGTGCAATCCAAGTACATCCTCCATGATATGTTCTGCAATTGCAAGACTAGATGTTAGCCCTGGACTTTCTATCCCCATCAATGACACCATGCGCCCGCGGTTGTTTCCGTCGGCGAAATCTGAGCGAATGACAAAATCCTGGAATCCGGAGGTCGCAAGCTTGGGCCTTATCCCAGCGTAATCGGCGGAGAAGCCTTCGAATGTAACGTCTGTCAGGTAAAACTTGACAGCTTCGTACATGTCCCTCATACGAGCGTTGCTGGGGATCAAGTGCTTTCGCCAGAAACTGCCGTCGGATTCATCCGCGGGTGGGGGTAACCACTCAAGGTCCGGTCCAAAGCGCACTTTGCCGTCGAGATCGAGTGTAAGATGGGTACCCAGCGACTGGAAGGCGTGTTTGCTGCCTCTAGTGTCTGGACACGGATAAATGAGGTGACTGACGCGCGAAACTCCCGGTCCGCTGTATGTTGCATAGGATCCTTTCCCAAAGAACATGGGTACACGATACTGTTCCGAGAGAAGAGAGTTCAGAATGAGGTTTGAAGATAGCCCGGAAGCGTTGATAAGTGTCCTAGCCAACATGGCATCACTCTCTTCTGCGCCGTTGGTGACAGTCTGCACAATCCAACCAGCTTCTTCTCCTAAAATGGATCCACCGGATTTACATGGGTCCACCCGCACGACGTCGGTAGAATAGACCAACTCTCCGTTTTCTGACTCAGCTATGTCCTTCTCCAGGCTGTCCATTAATGCATGAGAATCGACAATTCCGGTCTCAGGGCTCCACAGTGCGGCAGCGATATCCTTCGACAGGTCAGGTTCCATTTCCCGAGCCTCGTCGCCACTAATGATCTTGGTAGGGAGAGCTGCTTCACTGAGGCTACCAATGGAAGAATGGAGAGGCCATGATAATTGCTGAGACTTGTGTAATAAGCCTTCTATGTAGGGAATTTGATCCTTGTGTGCAACAACTAGTTTCCCAGTCTTCTTGAAGGGAATATTCATAGCGTTGCAACGCTCGTACATGAGGTGGCGCCCACGCAAACATAGTCTTGTCTTCAGGGAATTTGGAGGATAATATAGCCCTTGGAAACGCAGAGGAGGCTTCGGTTGGTTGACACACACCGGTAGTTGAGCGCAAACTCACCAGCATGAATAACCTCGGAGTTCCGGGAACTAAAATATCAATGTCAGCAGACGGGGGCATGTACAGGGGCTACAATATGGTTTGGTATACCTCGTTTCTTCACCAGCACGAGAATGTCTCTCAACCAAGTAGACGGTTTTGTTGGGAAACCTCAGTGTTAGTCGTTGAGCTATAGCCAAGCCAACAACACCTGAGAAACACTTCGTCAAGGACATACAGTTGCGAGTGGATAGTACTTGCCTCCTCCGACCACCAAGAAGTCGACCGCGGCTTCTGGTCCCTGCATAGAGTGATGTAGTTAGCCAGAATAATGGAGAGGTAAGGACTCATTACCTTGTACTTGAATCGACCGCTAGAGTTCAATGTTGCTTTGAGCCCCCGGATTGCTTGAGCAGAAGCCATGACGATGACTGGAAGCGCACGGGTGCACGAAAGCTTCTGTCTCCGAAGGACGCCGGCTTTATCTCAAAGTCTCCGAGCGTCCTTCCTCACATCCATGATCTCTTTCTCCCACGTATTTCGGCCGAATGACTGCTTGTGTCAGGGGGCAGCGAAGAGTAGTCAATGATATATAAGCACTTTGGTGAAGTGATGCCGACATACATATGCATGTAGGTTTGGAAGTTCAAAATCAAGAGTGGACCTTGGCGTTACAATCTGTTACAATACGGGGCTCGGCTGTCAGTGGGTCCGGGCCGAAACGCCGGACTCTGACGATAAGGTCTCAGTACGTTCAGTTCAATCGTCTCTTCAGCGTTTCAGCATCATCGACATCCCTTCTTTACCCTCACTTTGGAAAATCAGAAGCACAGTATGTCCAGCAGCAATTCTGCCCACGAATCTGGGAAGATGCCTGGTGCTCCCTTGCCGCAGCCAGCCTCGATCGACGACAAGTTGAAGGCATTCGACAATGTTCCACTCTTCATGAAATCTCTTCCTACCGACTCTGAAGATGACGTCGTTGTGCAAGCTTTGCAGAGTCTAGCATACGAGGGGACCCCAGATGGTAAGTTTGCTTTGTCTTGTTATCTCATTTTATATTCTCATCGGACAAGAGGTTGCTCAAAATTTCAAGGATCAGGGCAACGAGTACTTCAAAGGCGGACGGTTCCGTGAAGCTTTGGGCTTCTACAATCAGGCCATTGATGCTAAGCCTACTGACACCGCTCTCCAAGAGACTATTTTCTGCAATCGAGCGGCGTGTAATTTGCAGTTAAGTGCGTATTTTTGTACTGTATGCCCATTCAATGGCTAAACCACTGATTAGAAAATTATGGCTCTGTCCTCAGGGACTGTTCCAAAGCAATCGTATTGAACACCAAGGCATCAAAAGCATATTACCGATCTGCTATGGCACTCATTGCACTCGAACGATACGATGATGCGCTCGACTGCTGCGAGCGATGCTTGATGTTCGATACCGATAACGATGGCGTGATACAAGCGAAAACTCGAGCGCAAGATGCGAAGGCGAAGAAGGATGAGAAAGAAGCGAAGATGCAACAGCGACTGAAAGAGGATTCAGATAAAAGAAATCGGATGAAGACAGCTTTCGAAGTGAGTCCCTAGACGCGTATCACTTCAACTGAAACTCATTCATCGCGCAAGAAACGTCACCTTATCGCTACGTCGGATAAGCATGGATCGGGCAGCCCCTGTGAACCTCACTTTGACCCAGAATATCCGTCTCAGGAGACGCTCATCTTTCCTGCTTTCTTCCTCTATCCACAATATGCAACTTCGGACGTCATATCCGAGTTTGTGGAGGACACTCATTTTTCTGCTCACTTGGAGCAAATGTTTCCTCCTACAGGCCAACGTCCGGATTGGGACGCGAAAGCGGAATATGATGTGTCTTCCATAGTAGTCTACGCGATGACGCATCGACGCAGGCTACTGAAAGTGGGCAAGAAGATGACTCTAAGAGACGTCATTACTGCCGCACACGAGAAGCCAGGAGCAGCAAGGGATGGTTTGGAGTTAAAGAATGGCTACTTGACATTCGTAGTTCTCAAAAAAGGCGATGTGGAGGAAAAATGGGTTACAGAATATAAACAAGCTTCTTTGTAGACTAAAGAATTGAAACTCAACGCAGTGCTCATAAGTCATCTCGCCTCTCTCAGAACTCTCATAAGGCCTCAAGCCGCAAGCGCCACTGGTTGATCAACGGTGGGTTTCACAGACAGGGGCTACTCTTTCACAGCCACCCTTCTGTTGTTTGGCTGGTGTTTGGCTGCTCATACAACACCAAGTGCGAGTACACCGCCAGATTCAACGGAAAGGACGTCGTCGAAGGCCCCAGTCACTGTGAGTGCAGTTTATGTTCTTGCTGATGCATTCAGGATCGATACTCGTTACTTGCGAAATCCAATGAATGTTTCACGCCAAAATCACGATGTTATGGGCTGGATGCACGCCCAGAGACTTAGATGCTGACGGCAATCTCTCCAGGCCTGAAATTCGCCATGTCGGTCAACCACAAGATCCTGCGCACCGCTAACGCGCCCACTACCTCCCCTGACGAGACCGAGACCAACGTCGCGCAGGCTCTTATTGATCTTGAAAACAACGTCCCCGAGCTCAAGACTGAGCTGCGGCCCCTTCAAATCTCTGCTGCCCGCGAGGTTGACGTTCGTGGTGGAAAGAAGGCTATTGTCGTCTTCGTCCCTGTGCCTCAGCTGAAGGCCTTCCGCAAGGTGCAGCAAAGGTGCGCGCATTTGCTCGAGTTGGTTTTCCATCAATGTAGAGCTTGCATTGGCTAGGCTTACTCGTGAGCTTGAGAAGAAGTTCTCCGATCGTCACGTCGTCTTCATCGCCCAGCGCCGGATGCTGAGCAAGCCCACGCGCAACTCGCGGACAAAGCAGAAGAGACCCCGCACGCGTACTCTCACCCACGTCCACGATAAGATCCTCGAGGACCTCGTTTTCCCCACTGAGATTGTTGGCAAGAGGTCTCGCGTAGCTGTTGATGGATCAAAACTCCTGAAGGTGTAAGTGATTTTGGATCTGAAGTCTGTTATCGCCTTGATCTGATCTTCCACCAGCATCCTTGACTCGAAGGATTCCACATCGCTCGAGTACAAGCTTGACTCTTTCTCGTCGGTATACCGCCGTTTGACCGGGAAGGATGTTGTATTCGAGTTCCCTCCTGTTGCCCAGGAGTAGATGCAGTACACATACGGGTGCCAATGTCATATTATTACTCTCTTCTGCAGTCTACATGCTCAAAAGCTATGGCCATGCCCTATATGTGTTTCCACGACGATCTGCCGCTAAGAATAGCACAACTTAACTCTAAAACTCGAGTGTTCCTCACGGGCGCCGACAAGAACGATTAGAGGACGTGAAACATGCGCGCCACCATTCTCAGCCTGTGTTGGCCCCGCCGATGACTGAGACTACCGTCGGTGTCGCACCTGGAAGGACGGCAAGTCGAAGGATGCGTAAAGCCTCCCGACTGCGATCAGGCACCCGAGCAGACCGGTAGCTAGCGATAGCTGTGTGAGGAATTGTGGCGGAGAATGAGATCTCGGCACGTGGGTGGCCGTCGCGTCAGACCCAGGTGACCGAGCTGGCTTCATCTGCATCTCCTCCCCCGTCTTATTCTCGCCGTCGCTCTACCCCCTTCCTCCGCCCCCCTTCTCATTTGCCCTTGAGGCGACCATTTTCCTTTACGTCTGCTGTACATGGTGGACTATGCCCCCATGGATCCCTACAAGAGATCCAGGTATGAGCAAGGGATTGATGCCAAAATAGTGGTTATGGGCAATACAGGTCGGCTTCCCGTTCTCGCCCTTTCACTCTGGCACATTACTTCAGTTTCTTACTCTTTCTGTCCATCTTCCCACTATAATCTTATCGCCAGGTGTTGGCAAGACCAGCCTCCTCCATCGTTATACCCAGAACAAGTTCGATCCACGAAACACTACCTCGACCACTGGCGCTTTCTTTGTCACGAAGAAGGTCTATGTCAATGGCCTGAAGGTTCGCTTGCAACTCTGGGACACTGCTGGTCAGGAGAGGTTTCGTAGTATGGTGCGTGTTTATACAGACCCATGTCTCGGATGAGTACTGAGACATCTGACTGGCGACAGGCTCCCATGTATTACAGGGGTGCTAACGCAGCCTTGTTGTTGTACGATATCACGAATGCAGCCACCTTTGAAGATGTTCGAGGATGGCTCGAAGGTACATGGTCTTGACATCATTTCCCATCCGACTCTCCCAGCTGAGCACGACATGATCTCTCTCAGAATTAAAGAAGAATTGCTCAGCTGAGCTCATAATATACATTGTTGGTTCAAAGGCGGACCTTCAACAGAACCGACAAGTCACTTCTGACCTTGCTCGCCTCTCACTCCACACTTGGTTTCCACCCCCAAAGCCGCCAACACCTCCACCACAGCCCACTCCACCACCTTCTACACTATCCTACATCCGACCTCGTTTCACATCATTTACGAGTAGCAAGTCGGCCCCTCTTAGTAATGCTCCAAATAACTCATCTCCACCTAAATCTGCGGCACAACCTGATCAGACTATCACACGGTCAACGGCCCTTCAGCGCAGTAACACTGGAGCAGCTGTCCCTCGGTGGAAGCCTCCAGCTGGCCCAAACCTAACACGTTCGAAGACGACTACGGATGGGACACGGTCGGGACCTACACGATACGCCCCTCAGGCAAATGGCTGGCCTGAGACTATCGAGACCAGCAGCAACAGCGTTAACGAGGAAGACTTCGCGGAGGAGGATGACCAGGAGTGGGGTCTTCACAAAGGAATGGAGCTGTTTGAAGTCTCTGCGAAGGACGACATGGGTAAGCATCCTGTGCTATATTTGTTATCCCCGACCCATTGATGTTGACGTACTCTCCCAGGTATCCATAACCTGTTCGACTCGCTGATAACAGCTATCATCGAACGCAAAGACGTGATAGAACGAGAGAATGAACTCAAGAAGCGCGACAGCGTGTTTCTTTCCAGTGTGAGCAACCCAACATGGGCTGCTCAAGCAGCTGAAGAGGAAGCCAGAGAAAAGGCTCGAGCATCCTCCAACGGGTGGAGCTGCTGTTCCTCATAGCCGACGGAGCTTCCTACCCATGATGAGTGAGTACTGTCAACTCTTGATGCCCAATCATTCCTAAAGTTGTCTAAGGTTTCTATGACTTTATGCCTCTTATGACTGTCGAATCATTGTTGAAACCTGTTCCCCATACCATTAGCTAGCATTTTCCTGTTTTCTTGCGATCGTAACAATTATCTTGTCTACTTATCTCTATATCATATACCACCAAGTAGTAGGTTATGTCGTATTACTCTCGATGTAAACAAACGACCCATATCCCGATTCTGGGTTCTGGATTGATTCACGGACTACGTTGACGATCTGTCTGAACCACGGCTCCATGAGCCTTGACATAGTGGAGCGTGCCAACTACCGTGCCGCGGCGATGTCATTGGATGACGAGACGATGCTTAGAAACGGCAGCAGGCTAAAACAGGAGTGCCCCCTTTCTGGTGCTACATCGACTCGGAAGATACCCTGGTCCCTGGCTCTCTGGATCTGGGGCTGATTCAACCACCATGGCGCCTGACGGTGACAAGGCAGGGGACGACGTCGTTGTCGGCGATAGCAATGTTTGCCTGCCAGAGCACTGTTTTCATGCTTTCGATGCACTCTACTGTTCCCTTACTTCGAACGAACCTATTACTCCCACCTTTCCAGACGACGAGTAGTGCGTGTGGTGACAAATACTCAGCACCCTGTTTGCTAACTTATCTTTTAGTCCTCTTTTCGTGACTTGGAACACGAGGTCGAGCCGTTCAGGTAGACCGCCTCGACTACGAGGTTGCATCGGAAACTTCGAACCGCAACCTCTACGCGATGGCATAGCCGAATACGCGTTGATTAGCGCGTTTAAGGATTCCAGGTTTCGCAAGATAGAAGAGAAAGAGCTCCCAGCGCTCGAGTGCGGGTGGGTTGACGATTAATGAGGCCCGAGGCCTCCTGAGGCCTCGCTTCAGCACCGCGCATTCGTGCTCACTCAGCCTTTCCGCATAGGGTTTCCCTTCTCACAGACTTCGAAGATGCGGACTCGTACCTAGACTGGACGGTTGGAACGCACGGAATTTACATATCTTTCCAGAATCCTTCACTATACCCTTCGTCGCAGACCTCCTCGAACAGCCCCTCGCCCCTGTCATCGTCACCTTTCTTGCCTCGGTTTACGTCACGTCATACCCTCACCGCAACGTATCTCCCGGATGTCATGCCAGAACAAGGTTGGGACAAGGTGGAAGCCGTAGATAGTGCAATTCATAAGGCAGGCTGGAAGGGAACCGTAACAGAAGATATCAGAAGGAGCGTCACTCTGCGAAGATATCAGAGTAGGAAATGCACGGTAGGCTGGGACGAGTTCGTCCAGTGGAGGAGAGCTCATGGAGACGAATCGATGTAACGGATCACTAAAGCAGAAGCGACTTTTAGCCTTTGTTAGAACTGTACCATTTGAGCATATATGTACAATACGATAGCAGCTGTGGAAAGTAGATGCACAGGATGTGGCTGCCTACTTCTCCGTTGGTGCGAAGATACTGGCTCGCAATCTCTCCACCCTGCCATCCCAAACTCCGCCAAATTTCGCGTCCAGCTGCTTCCACACCTTCCTCAGTTTGCCGCTATCGTGTCCACTGGCTTTCCCAAATGCCACCAGAACCCAATATATTGTCCTTGAGCTTGGTCGGTGAGTAGGAGGCAAATTGAGGAATGCATTGAATACAGCGTGCAAGTTATCCAAGTTCCAGGCAGTAGGAGTAGAGGGATCATAGCCAAACTTAAGCCTATTTGAGAGCAAGCCGGCCGTGCCCTTTTCATGAGGCTCTCGAGCGTGACGTACGAAACCGAGAAAAATGCCACGGAAGGCAGGCAGTGTGGGATGATAAAGGGGCAGCTCTGCAGTATTGCTATCGCAAGGAGCAGAGGAATCCATGTTGGGGGTCGAAAGCATATCGACAAACACTTGAAGAGCGCGTATCAGGTCCCCCTGGTACGCCAGGGACTGTATCATCGCGTTGTACGTCTTCTCATCCGGTATTAGCGAGCTAGGTATCGTGAGCCCTTCAATATCTCTGAGGTAGGCGGCCGCGGAGTTGACGTCTGCTTCTCCCTGCCCCTCTTGAGACTCTTCAGGCTTGACATTATGACGGAGAACACGATAGATGGTTGAAGCGACATCCAAATGGCCGTTCCGAGCGTAAGCCCACAGACATGCGTTGACGCCGTCTATCCCAATATCCATACCCTGTTCCTGCATCTTGCGCATGGTGGCACGTACCGCGGGAATCTGATTGGTGCGCGTATAGTAGGATAGAAGTGAAAGGTGGGTGATACGATTGGGAAGAGCGCCGGAGCTCTCTAGGAGCGAAGTAGCATGGCGAATTAGGTCGGACCGCAAAGTCAGACTTGCAATGTGCAATAGAGTAGTGTAGGTTATGATGTCTGGTTGGGTGAAAGGCAAGGAAGAGTCATGACTGATGGTGGGGTCTGCTGACTTTCCTTGGGACGCGTAAGCGAGCATGCCGTTGAAGATGTCGAGAGCAGCCATGTAATCTTCTGGTCTGGTTTTGCGCCAGTGCTTCCCGGCGCAGTCGATGAGTGCGTTCCATTGCCAGAGAAAGACCTGACCGCCGGAGTCCTGAATGGCGGTGAGGACAGCAGACAATCTCAAGAAGAGCGTCCGCGTCCGTGGTTTCGATGAAGCCAGCAGACGGGCAAGACGGTGGAGGAGGGGGACGGGGATAACACTGCCATCGGTACCATGGTCCAATTTGCACAGAGTATCGTAGGCCTCCCATGCATCGTTGGCGGAAGATGTTTCCACCATGATTGCAAGTAGATGCTCCCGGTCGAGTTCCCTCCTTTCGTCGGCGTCTAGGTCTTGGGAATTGCTCGAAAGAGCGGTCTCGTTGTCGCGAGTTGTTGCTGTACTTCCTGGCTTGACATCCGACGTATCTAGGCGGGAATGGCATGAAATATCGCAGCTTTGTTTGCTCCACGAGAGGTGTGACGGATGAGTGGTGTTCATGTCTGCCCAGGCTGGGAGAGTTATGCGTTCCCGCGCAGGGGTTGGTTGTGCGTCGCTTCTTGCTCTTTGCTCTGCACTCTGCACCTGTTGAAGCTGCGGTGCTGTCGAGCTGGCACGTCGACATTGAGGTAAGAGAACGTGAAGTCGGCCGTGGTTGCATGTCCGACGGAGAGCAGTCGAAAATTTCCAGTCCAACAAGGACCCTGCTTGCATGAATGCCCAGTGCAGTCATCCTAAGGGCATCGTGAGCAAGTATATGAACGAGATAGCAGTGTGCTCACCAGACTAGCACTGTGAGATTATGGGCAGAGGACACGGCGTAGTGTCGTCCAAAAAGTGCCTCTCCACTGGCATTCGCGTCGCGCGTCCCGCCTTCCCCAACTGGGCTGAGTCTTGGGATGATGACCCCTGTTACCACGTGGGATTGTCAAGCACTCTATGTCATTAATGTCTACCATTCATCACGAATCAACGGAACACTTTCAGACTCGCTCTTAAAAACGTCTTGCGCATGGGAGTGGATTACAGCATACATCACATGCAAGGGCGTAGCGCAAAAGAAAAAACATGAAGTGCCTAGGTAATACGTGGATAATGCAATCAATCTCTGGCCTTGAGGGTTCCAAGGAACGCAGCCTTTTCCTCGAACGTTTGGAACGAGCCGTGCTAGAGTGCAAAAATGATATAAGCATGAGCCAGAGAAAAAGACCAGGAAACTTACACCAAACTTCGACGAGGTATCAATGAACTTGAGCTGGACCTTCTCAAGATCCCGACGAGAGGTGTGTACCGTCAACGACTTGCGCAGAGTAACGACACGCTTCTTCGTTCCAGGGATGGATCCCTTCAGCATCAGGAAGTCATTCTTGACAATGCCGTAGTGGGGGAAGCCACCCATGGGCGTGATAGCCTTCTTCGTGACATCAGACTCGGTCGAAGCGTTAGCCTCATCGGTGCCAGAACCGATGCGGTAGATCTTCTTGTTAAGTTCCGTGCGGTGGTGGTATCCGTCTATAACGCAGAGGCAGTCAATTCCGAAGGCATTGCGGAGCACGAGGAATACATACTTTGACCAGCACGAGCAACGGAGAACATGACTTTCGAAGGATGCCATGCACCGATACAAGCAACCTTGCGAAGACCCTTATGGGTCTTTCTCGGCAGCTTCTTGGTACCCCAACGGTGGGTAACACCCTCAAAGCCGTGACCCTTGGTAACGGCGATGACATCAATGACCTCATCTTGCTCGAAGATCGAGTTGACGTCGAAAGGCTTCTCGAAGAGGCCTTGGGCAAACTCGACCTTGTCTGCGATAGAGCCACCGTTCACTTGAATCTCCATCAAGTGAGCCTTCTTCTGGCTCAGACCGGTCTTGCGAATCTGGGTGTGGGAAAGCACACGGACGACAGTGCAGTACTTGCGGATACGCTCGAGTTCGCGGGCCGTCGACTTGCCACCGTCCTCAGCGTGCTTCTTGGCGTACCGGGTGAACGCCTTCTTCTTCGAGCGGTACCAGTTCTTGTAGAACCGACGTTTGACCTCATCCGAAAGGTGGTTTGCCCAGACGGTAGTAAGAGTGCGGAGACCGCGAGGAGTCTCAACATAGCCGACAACACCGACAACCATCATGGGAGGGGTCTCGACAATCGAAACAGCCTCCACAATCTCACGCTTGTGCATTTCTGCCAGAATTGTTAGAGAACGACGCGAGGTATCAGAAGCTTGAAAGCGTACTGGATCCTGGCCGGTCGAGGTCACGAACAACATGGGTCATGCCAGCCTTGTAGCCCATGATGGCAGTTAAGTGAACTGGCTTTTTGGGATCATCCTGGGGACAATGATTGAGTTTTTTTCGTGTCTGAAGTCACGCAGAATATATTATCTCACCTTCGGGAACGACTTGACCTTGCCCCGGTGACGGGCAGCACGCTTTCTTGGCAGGAAACCGAGGGAACCGTGGCGAGGGGCTTCGTACTTTGGTGGGTTGTCAGTAGGTGGAATCTACACCTCTTCAGGATCAAACCAACCTTACGGTGACTGGAAGCATCATTAGTGAAGCATATCCTGACAGCGATTGACGAACTCACCTCATTGTCGGGCTTGTGGGGGACGTTCGATGGATTTCTTGGTCGTTGACGAGTATCAGTACTCGCGATTACCGGAACTTGCCGAACTGTGGCTAAGGTACTTTACAGTATATCTTATGGGCTGCCGCGGAGTCAATAGTAAGCCCTTGTCTGGAGCCACCCTACACACGTACAAGGCAGAATTCATAATGACCCAAGGTGCAAGATAAACTACGTACTATCTGATAACCCAACGACAAACCGAAGTAAGCATGTGCAAGGGTTTCGGCTTCTCCTACAGGCAAAAGTCTTGGTGCGTGGGACGCTGGACGTTGTGGGTAGGCAAAACGGTCCCTTATTTCCGCCCTTTGGAAACCATGGCTGCTCCAAGGTCATGGACTACCAATGAGCACTCACTGCTCCATGCAAGGCCGTCTTCATCCCATATCCAATCTCGTACCATCACCCCGCTGCATTATTCAACATCAAGCTCAAGCTTATAAGCGTACGCTTGGCGTCGAAATTGTGGGGGATGCTCAGAGCATACAATTGAACCAACAAGTCTCAAGCCTTGCTAAAAATCACAAGTCCGCATGCGCAATGAGACAATAAGGCGCGTGACTAGAACGCGACGCGTTGACAGTAAATGACACTTGCCTAAAACGCGCTCTGTCACGCTTCTCGTCACAGAAACCTCACTGACAGCCACGGCCTGCCGAACTTACAGCGGGCACCATGCCTGCGGAAGACCAGCCAATGTCGACTCCAGCCGTCATGAAGAGGGCAGCAGTCACTTATGGTAGGCGTCGAGATGATGTCCCAGCACTGACTGCACCAGACGCTCCCAGTTTGCCGACGAATGGCGAGGATTTCCATGATGACCTGAAGCCATTCGAAGACGCGTCTGGTACGACCATAGCACCTGACGAGGAGCTCGAAGAAGAATTGGACACGCCTACGGTTGGATTTGGCTGGCGGGCCAAGTTGAAGGAGCTCGATAGTCAGTTTGACAATGTTGATCACGTTCCAATCTCTCGCAAGGCACAAGAGCCGGAAAGCGGGGAACATGATTCAAAGCGGGTATACAACGCAGAGTCAACGCAGGCTCGGTCACCTTCGCCACTCGGCGGCTCAAGGCCCGCTGTGCTCGAAGAACCTCACTCAGACTCAGAAGATGAACAGTCGTCCCCCACTGCTGCTACTCCTCATCGACAAGCCTCTCCGTTCACGCCTCCAACTTCTGAGACGGAAATGCCTTCTGCAATATCGAGAAAACTGAAGGGGAAACAAAGAGCTATCGTGCATGACAATGTCCCCGACGCCAGCCTAGGCGACGTCTCTATGGACTCCCAAACGAACCGCGCGGGAAAGACGCGCGGGGGTAAAGTGAAGGCAAGCATATAGCTAAAATCCCCTACTGCACATTGTTCACCTTCTTTTAGGCACCAACGAAGAAGGACAAGCGCGAAAGCGTGCTTGAGAATGCTCGTATCCAAGCGAGCAGGCGCGTGGAAGTAACTCGCGCCGTAGACGCACAACATACATTGGAATGGCTTCTGGATCGAGTCAAGTAAGTTCATATCCGTGGATGTCGAAGGCGAGATACGATTAGCCACGTTTGCATTATAGGGAGGGGCCGACCACACTGACAGCTCCTACGGTACCATCTTCCGACCCTATACAACAATTCTCCTCATCACCCACGGAAATCCTGTCATTGGATGTTGAGTCCAGAAGCACCAGTTTTGGTGCGGCGTCGTCCCTTCTAGGCCACCCGGCCCATATCATTTCGGATGGACCAGCCTCGGAAACCGCGAATCTGTCTAATCAATCTGATGACGAGGACATGCCAGATCTTGCTACGATCATGAAGCGCGAAGAGCAGCAACGAGCGAGTACACAATCGAAGCAAGACCTCCAACGAGTCAAAGCAGCTCTTTTGCGAGCACAGGCCACAAACGCATTCCCACAGGAAGACAGCGACGACGATCTCGAGGTCGTAAAGGAGGATGTGCACGTTACTGCTGAAGAAGAAGCATCGAAGCGCAAGATCGACAAAGCTCTTGGAACGTACAAAGGAGGCAAAAACATAATCCCTCTGCTTCGTGGGGCTGCTATTCCTCATTCAGCCGGCGCATCGAAAAGCTCACCACTGAAGGGTCCCAGATCTTTTGAGGCTACGCTTCGCGAATCATCCCGCCCGGCCTTCATTGCTGCAGCTAAACACGAGAGGGACCAGAAAGGAGTCCGAAGCCTCAAGGATCTCAACTTGATGCTGCGCCAGCAAACCGAAAGCGAGAACGCCAAGCAGATCAAAGACAAGGAAGAAGAGTGGGTCAAAAGGGGAGGCAAGATTCGGCGGGATGAAGAGTTGGGCCAGTCGATCCAGGAGAAGTTAGCTGCCGCGCGACAGAAGTTGCAAGATGTTTCGGAGCCTGGCCAAGACGACGATGAAATGGACGATGAGGATTATGCAGATTCACAGGGTAGTGATGAAGATGATGAGGACTATTCTCCGGCCATACGTGGTTCAGCGTCTCCCGAGCCCGAGAGGTCCCCGTCGTCGATAGATGCATCCGAACAGCTACTGGCAATGACGGAGACCGATGACGAACGTGATATTTCAGATGACGAGGAGAATCTGCCCAGGAAACGACAGACTCGGCCCACCAGGATTCTGGACTCCGACGACGACGAAGAGAACTCTCGTCCTTCTGGTAGCAAACCGACTTCTATGGTCAGTCACGGTGAAGACGACAACGACAAAGAGAACGACAATGTCGCGTTCGAGGCCAACGATGACAAAGAGAATCAGAGTGCTCTGCGGCATTCCCCTCTGTCGTCTCGTCCAGTTTTGGGAAGCAGACCTGGGTCTTTGTTCGGATTGGAAGATGGCATGAGGGGTGGCCTCGCCTTTTCAGATATCAGGAACGAAAGTTCGAAACCTGAGGAAGTTCGGACGCCCTTAAAGGAGCTACGCGAAGACGACGACGAAGCCGATCCATTCTCATTGTCGACGCCGCAGGCAGACCAGTCGTTTACCTCTCGTCTCCTTAGTGCAAGATCAGTGTCTCCGGAAGCAAAGATCTCGACACCAAGGCGTGGAAGTTCCCCTGATGGCAAGAGTGGCGGGTTCAAGTCGCCATTAGGAACATTTGAGCCGCCATTCCAAGAGTATAGCTCAAAGGATGGTGGTGGCTTGCTAGCTTCCTTTGAACCTTCCTTCCGTGAGGCTACTACTAACCAAGGATTATCACAATTCTTTGCGGCGGTATGTCAGTAATGCAGTTTGAACTGTACACGAAGCTGACGTTGATGGCTCCTAAGACGGGAGCCGCTAGCTCTAGAAAAGATACCCAGGGTTTATCGCTCACCCTTGACGTCGGTCTCCAACCTGCTTTGGATGTGAAGGAGTCTGTTCGACGCCAAGCTGATGATATCTTTGACAAAGAACAAGCTGACGTCGTAGAAGCCGCCAACAGGAAGCCAGCATCGAAAGAAGTACTATATGTGAACGATCATGGGTGCGCAATCAATCTGCTAGCTCATAAGTGATGACCGGAGACGCTTACACTTCCTCAGGTTCCTTACTCAAACCCGCCCGGAGTCATCGACACCAATACTCTATCGTCACCCGACGCAGCTGACCCAACATCCCACTCAACGAACTAGTCTGATGGACCAGTTTACCCAACCATTCTCGGAACGCACCCCTTTGCGAACACTCTCTTACTCCAAGGACGTCGAGACATCGGGCCAGCCTCTTACTCGTCTCAGAAGGCGGTCTTCTTCTCCTACGCCAGACGCACGGGCGACAGCCATTGATAGCCCTAGCGTACAACGAAACGCCTTTGATGTGCTTGGAAAGGACCCCAAGCGAGCGCAGAAGAAGTTAGCAAAATCAGAATATGTGACGGCCGAAGCGGTGGAATCAGACGAAGAGGAGGCATTTGGCTTTGGCGCTGGCAAAGGTGAAAGTGACGAAGAGGAGGAGGACGACCAAGACAAAGTGGTTGAGGGCCTCTTAGACGATGCAGGCATGGACGAGAATGCCAAGAGAGAAGATTTGGTTCAAGAGAAATTCCGGTACGTGTGTAGTGGGTTTTCATGATACTTGTTAACAGTCGCGAAAGTGAGCACGTAGATGAGGATGATCGTGCGCTGGAGAAGCTCCACCGGGACGCTGCAGAAGGCAAGCTGAGGATGAAGCGACGTGATCGCGGTGTTGGTTTCGAGGATGAGAGTGACGATGGGGAAGACGAGGAACTGTCAAGAAACATTCGCAGGGGGATGTACAAGAAACGCAAAATTGATGGCGACGATCTTGAAGCACTTGGTAAGGTTGATCCATGTTGGAATAATTTGAAACTGAAAGGAAATGGCAGGTCAAAACCAAGAAACCAGAGCCTTCTACGATACCTATCAACAGGACTTGATGGAAGATGAGAACGAGTTTGCTCATCTCCATCAGGACGATGCAGCCATGATGGACGCTGAGGACGAAGATGACCAGGGCATGGAGGCAGAGGTATCCGTAGACGAAGTTCGAAGGCAACTTCGCCAGGTTGCCGCCGAAAGCCGAGAACAGGAGGTAGGCGCCACAAGTCATGCATCACTGTGATCAACTAAGCCTGGCGACGCTGACTATATTGCGTAGGACCTTGAGACTCTAAACCCTTATGATACTTCATGGGTTGACCGAGGACAAGACGAGGACGAGGACATCAACATCAAAATCTTATCGTCAAAGGGAGATAGGCAGGCAGGTACCCAGCCCGACAACCATATCCAGGTAAGATGCTCACGATGTTGGATATCACATACTAATTTTTCCTTGCAGCATCGTCAGGGGGACAGAGGGAGCGAACAGGAGCGAGCTCAACTGAAGACATGGTCCAGAGGGCAAGGGTCTCGACGTCAAGGTACAGGGCGGTCAGGGGCCGGGTCTGCTATCACTGGTCACAAGGCCAAAGTAGGCAATGGTACTTTGAAGAACCTTCCCACAAACAAGGACACTGGCAATGTCAGTGTCACGAAACCGAGCAGGGAGCCGAGCCTGCTTTCCAAACTTTCAGACCGGCGCCATAGATTCGCTTGACGATGCATCCGTGTAATTGGAGTGTTATAGTGTTGACATTCTTGCTTTGTTTTGTCCTATTGTACTTTGTCTTCTGTTCTACTTTCACGCGGCATGACCCTCTCTCCGCCCAAATGTAATATCCTCGAAAAAACAACAGGCTATCTCACAAGTCTAAGTGTGCTCGAATAGAAGAAGGTGGTATCATCAATAAAGGTAGTGAATAGATAGAAAGGGAAGATTAAGAAGCGAAGGCTAGTGGTACTGGTTTCCGATTCTTCCGAAACGAACCCACGTATCCCGTTGACGAGAACGTGTTGGTTGTGCAACAAAGCTACGGGGGTGCCGTGGTTGTGCGGGGCTCTTTCGTTTCCGCGTGCTTGTCTGCATCTGAAGTAGTTGAGAAGGGACCAAGTTGATGAGTCCAATGAAAGTCGAACCTTGTGTCTCAGCATGATGAGTTTGGCCATACATACTGGGGGACCAGTTTCTCTAAAGGGATTCCCTAGAGATAAGAGGTTAAAGAATGATCAAGAGCAAGTAAGAAGAGGGGAGACGTACGGGAGGCAACCAAGGCAAGACCCGATTCATGAGCGTCCAGAGTGTCGTCTCCCGCTATTATTGACCGCCTGACCGTGGGTGAAAAGAGGCACAGGAGGATAATGGCGGTGAGGAAGGTGACGGCGAAGAGAGGGAACATGGTTGTCGGGTCGTTGCAGAACGTCGCTGGACAGCAGCGCTGCTCGGGGGCAGGTGCTCAACGGAGTTGTTCAGGCGTCGGGAGGGCGTGATGGTCGTAAGGAAAGGGCGACGAGAATTATGGGGGGCGCCAAACTTGTTTTGTGATCATCTGTCCAGTCCTTCTCTTAGCCGAGCATACATTCCGTGTTCTACTGCTTCCGTTGCCGACGCGCATCCTGTAATCACCGACCGCGTCAGCCTCGTCAGAGATTGCACTTGTCAGCCTCCGTCAGCCTCCGGTCGCCCACACCCTCCGTGCCGGTCACTCACTCAGCAAAGTACACAGCGAGGTTGGACAGCGTCCATGTTATGGCACAGGCCTTGTCCACCGCCACTATCGCCGCAGTCGGCTTCACTTGCAAGGCCTTCCTCAATTCAGGCCTTTGTTCCATCAAAGTCTCAAACCTTGCTTCCTTGCTCAACGCCCTGGAAAACCGCCGGGATGGCCAAGGTGTCGTGACAGGTACCTAGCCCCATCTCTTGCCAAACCTCGTCTACAACTGAGCCCCTCCATTTCCTAGTGGCGAACCATATTTCTGTGTAAGTATGTCGTATTACGCGAATGCCCTTACATCTCATTCTCCTTCACCTTAGCTTGGACGACCCTGTCACATGGGGAATATTGCCCTCGAGCTACTACTTCTCACCTAAGCGAATACGATGGTCTCTCGGTGCTGCCGACATTATGTTCACAAACCCGTGAGCAGTCATTCTTGCATAATCACATAACCTTGGGATGAGCTAAGCGCATGTCATGGCCAGGTAGTGTCTTCTCGGCATTCTTCCGTAAAGGACAGGTTTTCGAGACTTTCCGGGGGAGAGGCATTTTCCAGCCCGCTGTCGACGGTGCAATACGTCAACTAGACTCCGGCGGCTGGGTATGTTCGGCTCACACCGTGAACATCTTGCCCGACGTTCATCCTTTAATTACTAGGTACATTTATTCGGTGAAGGCAAGGTCAATCAGCCAAGCACCTACCCGATCATAGATGGTGTGGCACATCTTCCCCGATTCAAGTGGGGCGTGTAAGTCGTTTGTGACTGTGTTACACCCAAGCTTTAACGTCCTGCCATAGTGGTCATATCCTCATGGAGGCAAAAGAACCACCCATAATTGTGCCTATGTGGCTCACAGGCAAGCATTTAGCCCCGTCGATGTCACCTCGTTCTTATTGTATGTTTGTTTGTTTTTAGGTTTTGACAAATTGATGCCCGAGGGTCGGAAGGCGCCGTTCAAATTCTTGCCCAAGCTCAACGTGGAGCTAGGAGTGGCTTTCGGCGAGTCATTGCACCACAAAGAGATAGCTGCCATAGCCGCGCACAGGCGATCTGCTAAATTAGCCTTGGGACAACCATTATCTCTGGAGGCCAACGAACGCAAGTTGGCTCGGAGCAATATCACAGCAGTTGTTCAGCAATCTGTAGAACGTCTCGGTCGAGAGGTATCTGGACACTTGCTTGACCGGCCACGGACGTAGCCTTCTCTGGATAAATGTGCATAGATATTAAATGACTAGACTTAGAGACCATTGTGGCCACATGTTATCATTGGTGTTATAACTACATCAATAGCTGAGCTGCAACGTTTCACGTCATTGTGCAAATAGCTGGAGCCAAAGTCCACGTTACGCAGGAGTAACCACTGTACTTAGAGACACGAGGGTGGAGATGAGCTTTGTTAGCGCCTCACGAGGACGAACGCGCGAGACACGGTAAACAGGTATCAACAACTCGGTTTGGTTGCCGACTCCTTGTGCGAGGCGTCGACTGACTGGTACGACCACCTCCCCGTATATCGTCTCCTCTACTCCGTAGGTCCTGGTGCTACCATGGACGTCGTTCAAAGTGTGCAGGGCTTCATTGCTACCTGGCACCAAGGTGGAGAGGCTAAATGGTGTGTATGCTGTATGCTTTGTCCTCTCGCCTACTGACTCGCGCCTGAAGTCGAAGCTTCCTTGCTGAACCACATTCTGACCCCAATAATCCGCGAAACGTCGACCTGTTGACCACGGGATACCACACTTTACTGTTGTCTGCGTTTCGGTCCTGGCCAACCGAGCTTTCAATAGCTCCGCAGGCTCTCGTGACGTTTATCCAGTCACTTGTGGAGGGCTTACCTTCGTCTTCGGGACAAAACGCGCCACCTCATAGTACACAACTGGGGGAACTGCTGATAGACGTTATATGGGCCATTGACTCTCACCTGGATGAATTCCTTGCCGATGTCAAGTCACTCACTTCGAACGCTGACACCTCGGGCAATTCTGCGGACGGAGCCGCTGGCCTATCTAAGCGCGCTTCTACTAAGAAGCAGAACGCGGAACAGGACAAGGCGACTTTGGGCGAATTCGTGAAGAGGTTGACGGTACGCACCAGTTTCCTGGAATTAATCACAATAATCGTGACGGTCCCCTAGGTTGCCAAATTGATAGACCCGTCTCATTGCCGCCACCGCCTCGACCTTTCGCTTCTTGCCAGTGCTGGCCTCATTTCTGATCGCTCAAGTATTGAGAAGAAGGAAGTCAGGACGAGGACGGGATTATTGTGAGCACCGATAGCCTACCTGCTATTCACAACTTCTGACCGTCTGTTAGCTACAAACAAAACAAGTTCAACCTGCTGCGAGAGCAGTCCGAAGGTTACAGCAAGCTCAGTGCGGAACTGACTGGGTCTCTGGGTGCGCCGCACTCGCCCTCGGATGGTAAACCTGTCGAAGGCTACACGGCTATTGAGGATCGCGCGCGTCAAGTATGGGAAAAGATGATGAGTTTGATTGGATACTTCGACCTTGATCCTAACCGTGCTCTCGATATCATATTGGACGTCTTCTCAGTAAACTTGGCTACACACTACACTTTCTTTCTGGCACTTCTCTCGTTCTCTCCTTGGCGTGGTACCTACAAACGATCTGGCTCACGAGGCGACGAAATGCAGACGGACACCACCAACCAGTTCAAGGGCAAGGACCTCGATACTATTCTGCGCATAGCGGAGGGTGGGTCCCTTGAATCTGAGCCGCCCGCACAGGAGTCCAGGGTTCTTGCCCAAGTCCTGGGGTTTAAATTTACTCACTATCAAGTCGGTGAATGCTCTTTGTTTCAACGCACCGAATCTAATATGAAGCCCGGCAGATGGCGGAAAATGTTGATCAATCTCCCCGAAGCTTATATCTCATGGCAGCGCTTCTAATGCGCGAGGGATTTATTACAGTAGAAGAGTTATATCCTCATGTAAGTAGGCCTCACTACTTCACAATGAGATGCTCATCTGTTTCGAAGCTCTCTCCAAGTGATGACGGCATGGAAGAATTGCACAAAGGGTACTTGGCTCAAGTGCAGGAGAGGATTGCGGGCGCGAAAGTTAGCTTATTGGCAATGGCCGCTCCATTGGAGTCCTCTTCTTCCATTAGCAAACCACGTCAAGAGCCTGCTAGCGAAGAACCGAACAAGATTGAGCTGAAGACAGTCAATCAGAAAGCTGCTCTCGTGCATGCTCTCATTTCCGTAGGCGCCCTTCGGCCTGCCATAGCGATATTGGCAAGATTCCCATGGCTGGTGGATGCCCATCCGGATGTAGCAGATGTTCTGCTTCGTGTCTTGAAGTACTCCATCGTTCCTATCTATGACTCCATTTTTGTTCCCAGGGAGCCGAGCTCAAACTTCGGTCAGCCCCGACCTCGATATGGCCTCAATGGAGCAACGATCACTCCTGTCTGCAAGCCTCAACTTACCTTGGTAGCTCCCGCGCCCCCGGCAACCTCCACAACAGAGTTCGTCTTCTTTTTCCCCGACTGGTCCCAATATGTGCCTTGTTGTACATCTGCCTCGGACCTTGAAGATGTCTTGGAGCCGTTGATGAGCTTCGTCGGTCTCCATATCTCTCGGGATCCTGTGTTCGTAACCAAGTTCACGCGCCTTGGCCGTACTCAATTGGTGTCTACCGTAAGCATTTCGTAAATTTATTCAGCGACTTGCGTTCATACGCTATCCAGGTTCCTCTTGACCCGGAAACCAAGAAACCCAGCGGAGAGCCAGACGCCAATGACCCTACCCGTCTCTTTTGGTTCAAGATACTCCGCGCTTACCTCTTGCCTGCACTTCCTCTCATTAGAGGGAACGCGGTATGCACAGTCGAGATATGGAACATCATCCGCCAGTACGAGCCGACCCTTCGTTGGCGCTTGTACGGCGAATGGAAGTCGGGCATTTACTCCTCACATCCGGAGCTTCGTATACGCCAGGTCCAGGCAGACCGAGAGTCAAAGGGTATACTTCGACGCCTGTCTCACAACACCATTGATTCGCTGGCGGGCGCTGTTGCCAAGCTTGCACACTCAAATCCATGTATCTTCTTTGTCAATGCCGTCAATCAAATAATGGCGTACGACAACCTAGCCGGTGTAGTCATCCAAGCCCTTCGATACGTGACGAACATGGGTTTCGACGTGTTGACCTTCGTCATACTTGATGCTCTCTCGAATCCTAACAAGGATAGGGTGAAAGAGGATGGTGTACATACGTCTGACTGGCTCCAAAGTAAGTGGTTGCCAGTGGTCCAGAGAGCTTACTTTTGACAAGATTCCCAGGTCTGGCATCGTTCATTGGCATGTTGTACAGGCGATACAGCGCCGATTTGTCTCCTGTGCTCAAATATGTCGTTCATCAACTGCATAACTCGCAGACGACGGAGATAATCGTTCTGCGGGAGCTTATATGGAAGATGGCCGGTATTGAGCCCTTGCCAAGCCTTTCTGATTCACAAATCGCTGCTATGGCTGGCGGGCCAGCGTTGCGCATCGAGGCTGTCGCCTCTGCGACGCGTGGTGCTCGTCTGGACCCGGGCGATGCGGTGCTCAAGGGTCCTCAAAGGCTGGGGAAAGCACTGCTAGAAACCTCTTTGGCTTTGCCTCTCCTTGTCCAGGTGGCTCAGCAACGGCAATCTTGCGTCTTCAGGGTCCCAAACGCCCCTCTTAAGTCACTGGCTAGCTTATACGACACGGTGAGTACCACACTTTCGGGCGCCTGCACTGCCAATTTAACCTCTTTCTTTAGACGCATGGCGTGCTCCTTCAGTATCTGGAGCTTCTCACATCGCCTGCTGTTGTTTCTCCTGAAGACTACATGACAAAAATTGTCCCACCACTCGGCGAACTTACGGAGTTGTACGGTATCTCATTGCCGCTGTGTATGCAGATCATACGCCCAACGCTCAACGCCAAACTTCTTGTACGTGCTCTCATGAAGTAAATCACGAACACGACGCTAAGATTCACCCAGACCATGGCTCTGGCGTTGGAAGAAAAAGATCGTGTAGCCAGCGAAGAACAGGAAAAGCGACTAAAGGCTCGTCTGGCAGCGAAGCGGGAGCCCAGTAGCTCTATATCACGCGTTCAATCACCAACGGACGGTGCATCCGCCTCAAAAGAAGCAGAGAAAACCGGCCCAGGCGATGCCGATGCCGAAGACTCGACCATGGAGGTGGAAGGCGGCGCCCAGGAGGGTAATGCTGTTTCCGCTGTGCCAGAGGCAAGTATTCTTCTAACTATACATCTGTATTCTTGTTTGACAACGCAACATCAGAGTGTGTGGATACCTGAACTTGAGGCGCTTTTCGGTGACGTCAAGAAGGCAGCTAAATCCTCGGCTCTCGGCGTGATTGGGTGGGTCAACACATATGCTCGACCTTCCTCGACCTAAATACCTCCTCAGGCCTGCGTTCTACTTGACATTCTGGCAGTTATCTATGTATGATATATCGCCTCCCACCGCCAAATACGAAGAGGAATCGACAGCGCTAAGAACTCTGAGTCGGCAAGAGGACTCGAAGTACATAGCCGCAGATCGTTCAGCTGACAGGACCAGGCGGTCAACAGCCAACGCACATCGCGCCCGACGGGAACGGTACAACAATTTTGTCAATACACTCAACAAGGAGTTCAAGGAGCAAATGGCTTCGCGTGTGTTCACACTCAAACGGCTGGCTCGCGAGAAGCAACAATGGTTCGCCCATAGTATGTGCACACAGTGACTGCATGATACGTCTTGGCCTAACACCTTTGTTACTAGCTGAGTCTCGATCAGTTACCTTGGCTGCCGCCGTGATAGAACATTGCATTCAACCTCGCTGCCTTCTCTCGCCGATGGACGCTGACTTCTGCGCGCAATTCATCAAAATAGTGCATACGCTGGGTACTCCCGGGTTCCCCACTCTTGTGGTCTACGACAAAGTACGGTGTTCTTAACATACGCTGATGAATCTACTGACGGTTCTCTTAGTTGCTTGGCGATCACATCAAGACCGTGCTATTCTCTTGCAGCGAATACGAAGCCAAAAACTACGGTAAGCCAATATCTTGGCGATGACTGCAGGAACCCTGGACAACTAATGAGCACCTCAAAGGTCGCTTCTTGCTTGGTGTCCTTTCGGACATGTGGAAATGGTTCCAGGACGAACAACTCTTCACTCAGGATAATCGCACAAAAATCGGCGGAAAGACTTTCGTTCTCCCCGGTCTTCAACGACGGTGGACCTATAAGCTGATAGTTCCTCAAGACGAGGTCCTGAACTGGGACGCTCACAAGCAAATTCTCCGTAAGTGGCACAGGAAGATTGCCAAGGTGAGTCATCGGATCATGAAACCCATGATGACTGAGGTTGATGTATCCCGTGTAGTGTCTTCTGAACTGCATCGAAAGCGGAGAGTTCATGCATGTCTACAACGCAATCGTTGTCCTCAAGGAGATTCTACCAGTCTACCCAATGGCTGCGGTTGGAGATACGGGACCTATCATTGATAACGCAATTGAGAAACTGCTTGAAAAGGAGGAACGTGGGGACCTCAAGATCCTTGCCAGAGCGTGCGTCTTTAACTCTCATCGTCCGGGATGTAATTCATGTTGCGTCTAGCTATTCTGCAAGCTTGAAAAAGCGAAACTCACAATGGAGTCTTCCCAAGAATGTTCCCACTAAGGTATTGTCATCACCTACTACCGTGGCTTCGATATCTCATGCACGTTACCAGCCGGCGGCCTCACCTGCTGTCCCCGCACCCTCTCAAACAGAACAGCCTCAAGTCAGTCATGAAGTTGGTCCAGCCAACGGTGATACTCGCCAGATTGGCACGCCCTCGCCTATTAATGGGAATGGCAAGCATGCTGCTGAACCGTCCGCTTCCGCGTCGACGAAGATGGCGATAGACAGGTGGGTTTGGTCCTCGCTGGCTGCTCCTGACTCTCAACGCTCGAAACAGCATCCCTCGGCCGGAGAAAGTCAAGAGAGTGCGACAAGACAGGGCCAATGGCTCTGCCACTCCGGACCGTGATCCCCGACCAACAAACAGCAGCAATGTTATGGATGTTGATAGTACCAATGGCCAGCCCTCTCATTCCCAGCGTCCCGCTCCTGGAAACATGGACGGCACGTCGCTTCCCACTGGACCCCAAGACATGGGCGGTAGGCCTCAGCGGGCACTTGCTATCTCAGGCGCTGCAGGTTCTCGAGGATCACCCCGGCCTCGAGGAGACGAGAGCATGCCACTCGGTGGAGACGGTATGCCGCCACCCTCTGCCCCAAGTCAAACACTTTCCGCGCAGGAGCTACGCGAGACCGCTAAACAGAGTATAGGGCAACGACCTTTGGAGAAGCCCGACGACAGACGGATTGCCCCGGAACACCGTGGTCAACCCGGGTCGGGAGCACCTTCCCCTTCGCCACGACGCCGTTCCTTGTCTCCTCCTACGCGCCCTGGAACGCGCAACCACAGCCAAGAAAGCCGTGCCAGCGGCGGACGATCACGATCAGATCGAGGGGCAGGCGATGGATCGGACGACAGACATCTGGATAGACACTCCGACAGGGAGCCACGGACAGAACCTCGTGAGCCCCGACGAGACTCTCGCGGTGGCGATCGGTCAGGTCGAGAGCGGGCGGTGCGAGACATCGACTGGGAGCGCGAGAGCGAACGCGACCGGGACAGAGGCCGCGACAGACACGAACGGGAGCGTGACCGGGAGAGAGACCGGGAAAGAGACAAGGATCGTGACCGGCGCGATCGGGACAGGGATAGGGAGAAGGACCGCGACCGTGACAGAGACCGGCACAGGCGGGACGAGAAGGACCGTGACCGCGAGTCGAGGAAGGAGAGAGATGCATCTACTCGCGGTGTGCCGTCCGGGACGCCCACGGCACCTGCGGAGTCACGGTCGGGTCCTGCTCGTCCTGATACTAGTCGACATCGTGGTAGTGCGCAGGTGCTTGACGACGCTTTGGGCAAGCGGAGGCGGAGTACCGCCGATGACGAGGTGAGTGATTATCTTGATCTCTTGTGGGCTGTGAGCTCATGCCAATTTTCTTGGCTTAGGGCGATCGTTCATCGAAACGAAGTTCTCGCAAGGACAGTCACCGGGAAGATCGGAGTCGAAGGCCAGAGAAGGAGGAGAGGCCGCGAGATGTGGACCGGCGCCGAGGCGAACGGGAGGCATCCGAAGGAGACGTCCGCGCCTCGACGGATAGGGTAGGTCTTTCTAGCGGCAGTGCATTGGAACTTTTTCTAATCAGAGAGCGCACAGGCGGGCGATAAACGGCCTCCTGAGGGGCCCAAGCAACTGCCACCTTCTGCGCCGCGCGCCATGGCTTCCACGGATGCTTCTAGATCAGGCAAAGGGGAGACGCCGCAGCGTAACGGAGACTGGAAAAATCAGCGGGAGCACCCTGCACATTTCCCCAATGGCGGCGCATCTCAAGACGCTCCGAGCCTGCGATCAAGGATTGGTGACAAAGAGACACCGCGCGGTCCTCAGATGCCGGCCGTGTCCCATAAAGATGACGAACGGGACCACAGAAAGCGAACTTTTGCCGGTACGTGTATTACGATGCTTTCACATCACGAGTCGTCCATCTGACTGCTTCCCAATAGAACGCGAGAAAGATATGAGCGAGGCTGGCGCAAGCGCCAACGACGCAGCGTTGCCGCCCAATTTCAAACGACCCAAGCTCAACCGCAATCGCTATCCTGCATCACCAGGGCCTCATGCACTGGCCCGAAAGACACTTCCCATAGATCCCACGGCAGGGGACAAGTCCCGGTCTTCGAGAAAGGACTAGATGTTTTCCTTGCAACTCTACCTGCAATTTATACATTACATATTGTTACATACACTGCAGTTAATTCCAATGCATTTATCTCCGCTACATGAGTCGTCACGATATAGTATAGAGATTAGATGGGTGAGATCCCGAGTTGAATCGACATTATACGAGTTGAATCGCTGTAAGTGTTAAGCTTAATAATAGGTTTGTGACAGCACTAGTGGATCTGCAATACATCATCGATATCATCATCGTTCATCGTTTGATGAGGGTCAAGAACTCTTCGCGCGTTTTCTGCTGTGTCCGGAAGCAGCCGAGCATGCAGGACGTCGTGGTGATCGAGCCTGGTTTTTGTACGCCCCGCATCGTCATACACATATGCCTAGCGCGCGCCGCGGGGTGATGAGTGGGAATGCCATAGGGCGCCGCAAATGGATTCGGTACTCACGTTGCCTCCATGACGACTGCGACTCCGCGGGGCTTGATGGCCTCCTGGACGGCAATGGCGATCTGCTTTGTGAGCCGCTCCTGGACCTGCAGGCGGCGGCTGAATGTTTCTGCGATGCGTGCGAGCTTGGACAGGCCGAGGACGAGGCGGTTGGGTATGTATGCAATGGCGACCTTGGCAAAGGAGTAAGTATCCAACAGAAGGAAGAATGGCGTATCAGAAACACCCGCACCCATGGGCGCGGGCGGGACTTGCCTTGCCGGTGAAAGGGACGAGGTGATGTTCGCACAGGCTCGAGATGTCGATCTCGCGGACGAGAACCATCTCGTCGTGATCTTCGGCAAACACCGCGTCGTTGATCACATCTGCATTAATTGCGCAAGTGTTCGGAGATGGGCGGCTGGTCAGTACGTGAGGCGAGCGGGGGTGGGCGTGTGGGCGCGCGACGGACCTACCAGGCGCTCCTCGTACCCGCGGGTCATCCACATAAGGGCCTGCGCATAGCGCTCTGGCGTCTTGAGGAGGCCTTCCCGGTCGGGGTCCTCGCCTATGCACTCGAGGATGGTGCGCACGGCGGAGGCCATGCGCTTTTCGCGGGCTTCGCGTTCTGCTGGGGTAGCAAGGAGACGCGAGACGGTGGATTTGGCTAAGAGATTAGATGTGAGACAGAAGTGTCATTTGGACAATCAAGCTTAAGTGATTAATATTGCTGACCTGGCCATCCGAGACCGTTTGGATCGGGCAGAGGGCTGCCGGTTTCTGGCGGTTGAATGCCAGCTGGAGGCGTGTTCTTGCCTGAAGTAGGACGGAAGCCGTAGCCCTCGAATACATGGGAAGGGATTGAGACGACGGTAGGCCTGTCGGAGGGACTGGAGGGGTTATCATTGTTCTGCTCGTTGTTTTGCTGATCATTTTGCTGACGCTCCAATTCGCGCAAGCCGGATGCCAGGAGATCGGAATGAGAGGACATGTGGGAAGTCAGGGAAAAGGAAAGTGGGAATCGTCCGGCCAAGCGTGGGCTGGATTTTTGGCAAACGACGCAGGAACACGAAGTGGAGAAATCGGACAAGGACTCGCACAGTCGATCAGGTCGGGGGTGTCGGACATCGGGATCATGGCCACATGGCGGACCGTGGCCGGAGTAGCCGGAGTGGGTGCTGGGCGGTGCAGTGGGTGCGGCAGTGCCACAAATTGGACCGAGGCCGATGGTGGATGGCCTAAATTGGATATTTGAAGGAGAGGGGCGGGCTAACCGTTGGGCGGGCCAGTCCTTCCAATTCACGCCTCCTCCGCTCGGTATCCCGTTGGCTGTTGCACCCTCCTGCGTAAGTATGAAAAAAAAATGTATCAGATCACCCCAGTAGCCCTGCCTCAATGCCTGATTTATCCACACTTTCATAAACCTTGAGTCTTTTGTCTTTCTTCTCACTAGCTCTCCACCTCCCTCGGTCCATCCATGCCATTCTCGTCCTCCCCGGTCCAACTTCGAATCCGGATCTCACCGCCTCTCCTCTCCCGTCCTGCTTGTTGCAGCGACAACAAAAACACTCTGACGTCGTGAAGCTTCCCTGTCCATCCTCGGCCGTCCTCATCTACCGAACACTCCGACACCCACCGTCATGACATCCCGCCCTCTCTTCTCCATACATAACCCCACTCCAAATCCCGCCACACCGCCCCTGACTGTCCTCTCATCCCCTCCACTACTATGTGCACAGACCCGAAGCCCTCCCGCAGGCGCTACTCTCAGCCTCACCACCCCGCCACACAACGCTCCCGTGCCAACTCCCAACTGCCGCCCATAACCTCATGTCGCTGCGTCCAGAAAGCTTGGCTAGCCTCCCGCGCCATCCCTCGTCGCAAAGGCACCTACCTCATGCCTGGCGCACAGCGCCCTTTGAACGAGGCCAACTTTAAACACGCCATGACTATTACACGAGAATGTGCACTCGACCTGCTCAAAGTCTTGTGGGGCATACATCCTTACCGGACAACTCTAATGTTCTTTCTCAATATTCTGCGCGGACTCTCCCCGGCGTTTCGTTGTTATTCACAGGCTATGATTGTCGACGAGGTACACGACAGTTTTACATGGTCACAATTGATGTCTCGCTCACGTTTCATCCCTAGCTTCAATCGTTCATCACGTCGGACTGTTTCACGTGGTCCCGACTCGTCAGGCTTCTGGTCACAGAAATTCTGCGCAGAGCATTCGACGGTTTCCTTGACTCATTCGCGTAAGTTCCATTCTGTCTTTCTCGGAATGACGCATTCTCACTATCCTCGGACATTCTCAGGACAACCAATGAGAGAATAGTCCACGACTCCGCCAGGTTCTTTGTCGAATACCAGCAAGTCGCTCAACGTCTGCGGCTGGACATACCCACCCTCGCAGATCCTCACGTTCGCGACTGCCTACAGGAGTCGGACCTATTCGTGCGCTCATTCAATGGTATGGGCGGCTTTGGTCTTCTCTCCCCATTCGACTTTGTGCAGATTTTGGCTCTCGCGTCGGAGCTCGTCTCACACATCTTTGTGCTTCTCTCGCTCACTGGCGGAACCGCACACCTGGGCGCCCTGCTGTTTTCGCTCTTCTCCGCCGTTCTTCCCATGATTCTTGATCGCTATGGCCTGGCCACATCTCAGGCCGACAATTCCTATAGCCCACAGGAGGCAAAAACGGCGGAGCGTCAAGAGAAGCTGCGCAGCCTGGCATATAGCGACGTACACAGGTCCGAGATACTGGTCTTTGGCCTGGGACCGTGGATTCTCTCATCTTGGTCTGCAGCCCGGCGGGCGATGCTTACCGACGAGCGGTACTCTCTCACCAAGTCCAACCTTCCGGACATGCTCAAGGAGATGAACGTTTCTGACTTGCTGTTTGCGCTCCAAAACGTAGGTCGTCGTCATGCTAAAAAAAACTCCCGCGCAGCACCTTTCTTACAACCTTCCTTATGCACACAGATTCCACTTCTGTTGATGTTCCAGTCATCGTCTGTCTCTCTGGGCTCTCTTGCCCTTTATCGGAGCTCCGTGCAATCGGTGGTTTTCACGGTTGGAAACCTGCTCACCACCATTCGCATGGCTTTTCAGGGAGTTTTTCTGATGGGCGCATTTTGCGCTGCCATGAATATTCAGCCCCGACTGGATCCGCCAGACGAGGACGCTTTGAAATATCCGACCAATAGCGGCGGGATGAAACTGGAAGCCAGGTAAGGCAATAAAAACGTCATTCTGGTCTTGCGGATGTGCCTGATAATCTGCTTTAGGCATTTATCGTATACTTACCCCGGAAGCAAGGATGCTTCGCTCAAGGACATTAACTTTACGCTAAATGCCGGCGAGAGCCTCGCGATCGTGGGCTACAATGGTTCAGGTAATGATCGATTTATTAATAATCTGTTCTTATTGTTTGGAGTCGCTCGCTCACATCAATCAATTTCCGTTCGGATTTTTCCTTTCAATAGGGAAATCCACGCTTGCAAAAGTGCTCTTGCGGACCATCGACTTTGACACCGGCGAACTCCTGGTGAACGGGGTGGACATACGGCGTCTGCCGCCGCGCGACTACCATAGACGCATTTCCACCGTCTTTCAAGGTTTTTCGAAATTCAATTCGACTGTCAAGGAGAATGTGGGGCTGGGGTACGTGCAGAAGCTGAGTTCACACGCCGCGATCGAGCGCGCTATCCGCCTGGGCGGCGCAGACTCGTTCGTAGGCTCGTTGCCCAGCGGCATCAAGACCAAGCTCGACGCGACGGGGTTCGACTATCCATCGTGCGCGGGCATGAACGCTATGGTCCCCAGCGGATTCTCTTCCGCTTCGTCCAACAAGATTCCCCACGGCCTTTCGGGTGGCGAGGTAAGCACTACCTGTTTCAAGTGGTTGGCCGTGATCGACCCGCTCTTTCCTTGTTGAGTGCTAACACGCCGATGTGGCACAATTTCCTCTTACAGTGGCAAAGAATAGCGGTCTCACGTGCGTTTATGCGTGCGGAGCGTCCAGAGGTCGATCTGCTTCTTTTTGATGAGCCGGTGAGCATACAAGGCAGCTTGAAACACACGCTTTTCTCGGGGCGCTGACTGTGACGTCGTTGGGTGTTCCCACTTTTGCTTTATGTCTATCAGACATCTTCCCTCGACAGCCACGCACAGAACAAGGTGTTTGACACCATCGATGACGTCTCGCGCTCGTCCGCTGGCAAGCGCACTAAAACGGTGGTCTTCATCACCCACCGCCTGTCCACGGCCAGACGGGCCGACAAGATCGCGATGATGGAGCGCGGTGTAAGTGGCGTCGTCCCTCCGGCGTGCTATATGCTCGCTCTGGCCTAGCCCAACCCGTTGACTGACCCCGGGAACGTTTTTCTGTTTCAGACCATCACAGAGTTCGGCTCTCACGAGGAGTTGCTCAAACGAGACGGCTCGTATGCCGCGCTCTACCGGGCGTCGGTCTGACCTAGATAGGAAGCCTGAAGGCCTGATCAGCAGCGAACTTTACATGCATATACATCCCGTCGTAATTTGTATTACCTTTATGCTTAAGCTAGACGCATAAGGATCACACATAGTGTACTGTACTGCCAACACGCCACTCCCCTTGCATCCCTTTTTTATTCAATAAACATAATGTGCCTGTCACCATTGCCACTACCCACCACCACCGAGGAGGAGGACGACGACCCTCTCTCCACATGCTAGACGCTCTAGTGGAGCACGCGTATATATCTACTTTCTCCCAGTTTCCGCTTTCTCGACCCTCTCTACCTAATCATGTCATCTAATTCAGAACCCAGTACATATATTCTCCACGCATCGTAATACGCCAGACGCAGACGGCCAGAACGCCGATCGCCACCATAACATACTGCACACTTACTAGAACACATACTCAGCCTACCAATTCTCTACATCGATCCACCTACACACTAGCCCCAGATTACCTTACACCTACACCTAGCCGCTACTTAACGTGACCACGCGTTTGACGCGGGGTATGAATATAGAAATCTCTCTCTCTCACCATTGCCACTACCATACTACCATTCGGACTGACGTCCTCTAAACACTTGTCGACCCCTCACTCATGCTCGTCTTCGGCCCTTTGTTCTCCCTCGCCCCCGCACCCACACCGCTATGCGCCTCTCCGTGCGCCTCTCCATGAGCGCCGGCATCGTCATCCGTGGCCAGAATCGGCGGCGCAGGCGAATCATCCGGATTTGTGCTCGCCTGCGCCGGGTTCAGGTCCTGGTAGTGCATGTACTTGAGCAGAATATAGAACCCGCTGGCGAGGAGCGAGCCCAGGAACGGCCCGAGCCAGTACACCCAGTGGTGCGGATACGTGAAGCCCGTGACGACTGCGGGGCCGAAGGCGCGCGCGGTGTTCATGGCCGCGCCTGTGTAAAAGACTGCGAAACTGGGATGGTACCGTCAGTCACCGTTTTGGGTTCCAGTGGGTGGTGCGGGACGTACAGGTGGCATGCAAAGAGGGTGAGACCGATTCCAATAGGGGCGAATGGGGTCGCCTGGTGTTTCTCGGCGGCGAGCATGAGTACGGCGGTGACGAGCGCAGCGGTGGCGAACATCTCGATAAAGACACCTTGCGCTGCATTAATATCGCTCTGGAGGAACGTACTATGTATTCGCAGGATTGAGGAATGGTTAGCTCAACAGAGGTTATGATAACTATTCGGAGGAAGGCGACGTACTTGGACGCCAGCGGTCCCGGTGTAAGTCCGCACAGAATCGCGCTCGCGATGATCGCGCCCAAAAGCTGCGCGATGCACATGAGCACGAAGCGCACCGGCGGGACCACGCCGACGAGCATCAGCGCGAGCGTGACGTTCGGGTTGAACAGCCCGCCAGTTATGCGGAAGAACAACCACGCGGAGACGAGCAGGCTGAGGCCCATGGACGTGGAGATGTACAGGACGTGCTCGATCTGAGAGGGCGCCGACTCGCTGCTTGAGGCGAGCGTCCCGGCGGTGGCAGCTTGGATGCCGCCGAGGCCGAAGAGGAGGAAGAAGGTCGTGCCGACGCACTCGAGGATGGCGGCTTTGATGTCGATCCGGATGGTGGCGAAGTGGCCACGGCGTGTCATCTTGGGCATGATGAAGATACGGACGTTGTGCGATTATGCGATAGAAGGCCGGTGAGATTCAGAAGGTATATGACAAAAGGGTGGGTGGCTTGACTGATGGGTGAAGCTTCGACGGTGCGCGCTCGAAAGAAGAGCAAAGCGATGAGACTGATATGAAACTGGGCCAGAAGAAATGCGCGTCGAGGAGGTTAACTCCTGACGTCATTCGCATCTGAATTCTCGACGCTCCCGATCCGGGGCTCGTGCTGCCAGGCACTGGGCGAAGATCAATATTCCCTTCGCCTAGACCTCGTTCGTTGGGACCTATCAATCGTCCCAGCCCCGCTTGGATCGGGTCTGCTTGAGTTGGCTGCGTTTCCCTTTCTGCACTTTTCGACGCGCATCCTCGGCTTTGACAAGTTTCCTGACGCGCTCTTGTTGCTCTTTGGTGGGGTCTTTCGTCACCGGTTTACTTGCAGCTTCGAGTATGACAGAATGTAGCTGGGGTCCAGATAGGCGCCCGACGAAAGAGTATATGGTCCGCGTCAAAAGGAGAGCGCAAACGTCAGTTGTCACTCGACAGAGAAATAGATAAAATGTACCTTGGCAAGCGCACGTTCCGCATTTTGTGCCTGGGAGCGATGCTCACTGCTCGAGAGAAGGAGCGCATCTGTGGACTTTACATAGTGTGGCTGTCGATCGGGAACGTAAGTAATCGAGTTTCACCAAATGACTTCTCCTCACGAAAGGCGCAACAAAAGGGTCATGAACTCACAGATTCCTGGAGGTAGGGGCGAGCCCATTGCGGGATCCACGATGCGCGGAGCGAGACTCGGACAATGACTTTGGTTTCCACTTTGTTGACGTTCTATGATGCAGTCAACGCTGGTTGGTTGTAGGGGCAGCCCAGGAAGCAGCGATACCAACCTGTCCTCCAGGACCAGAGCTCCGTGCAAATGTCATTTCGACCTTGTCTTTCGGGATGGTCTTTGTGTCCTTGAAGTTCTGCATCCAGGTTCGCGCGCCATCTTTGTCAGAGGGCGTCTCAATCGCGCTTCGCTGGGGAGGTATAGGGAGGTTGGCGCCGGTGTGTGTGTACCTCAAGAGTGACGTTCGGCAGAGGATAGGGGGGATGACATGAAAATGGGCTGGGCCGCGCAAGAAGAATGTCATGGAGCGGGTGAAGTTCTGGCGTTGTTTGATTCTGAAGCTTTTGCCAAATAAATTACGACATCCCGGTTGTCTCGGTCCGATCTCCGGGCCCCGCCAGCGCCGCTGTCCACCGCAACGTCGCGTATTAGTGCAGCGCGTTCACAAGAACGCAGGAGTCGATAGCAGCATGTTGTTGCGTTCGTGAGTAACACAATTTTATCCTTTCATCCCCAAGCTCAGCGTGTCATCGTGAGACCGTCAGCTCCCAGCAATCACTGGTAACTTGCTGGAAGACGTCCTCATCTACCCGAATCGCATCCCGTCGATTCCGTAAAGTAGTATCTCCCTTGGCCCAGTCGTGTCTCTTCTTCCACACCTCAAGAAACCGCCTCACGTCTGCTCAGAAGACCACGGTCTCTCTCGACGAGCAGGTTGAACAAGCTGGATTCGTCACTGTCGGCGAGGGCGTATACTTGAGCGCACCTCCAAAAGACGGCGATGCTATGAAAACAAACGACTCAGCGCCGAAGGATGGCCCGGATTCACATCCCGAGTGCGTCATTTCTGTAGTAAGCCAAGTGTACCAGTGCATGACCCGGCGACCTTTTCAGTGTCATCCTCATCTTTGGCTGGAGTGAGTCCCGCCCGTTCTCCAACTCCTGACGAGTCCCGTTCCAATGACGTTCAAGTGGGAAGCTCATTCCGGCCTCTCTCGCACTACGCCAAGGGGTATGCAAATCTCTATCCCGGTGCCGCGCAGATCATCGTGCAGAGCTATCCGTCGTACTTTTGGGAGCTTCCGTGGACTAGAGTACGTACACGTACACATGCATATGCCCATGCGCGGTATACTCATCAGACGATAGGACAAAAGAGTGGCTCCGGTCGTTGAAGCCCTCAAAGAAACAGGGTTTCTGACCAACTCAGACGCGCACGTACCTCGCCGAAAGATACTAACGCACATTTTCTCGAACGGTATGTCCATTTATCGTCGTCTGTGTCCTATAAACAAACACTGGCCCGCAACAGGTGGCGCCCTCCAAGCAATAACCCTCTCCAGCGTGCTTCGCAAGTCCGGCTATTATCCCCCCACACAAGCCAACCCCGCCCGTAGCGCAGTCTTCTTCGACTCCGTCCCGGGCGTCGGCAACTTCGGCACGATCAAACGCGCATTCACGCTCGCCGTGCCCAACCCCTTCTGGCGCGCCATCGCGCTGCTGTACATGTACTCCTTCATCATCGGCGAAGGCGTCGCCTCTTTATGTCTCAGCCCGTTCGGCTATCCGCCGCCGACGCTGAGGCGCATGAAGGAGGCGCTGGAGGAGCCGGCGTTTCTGCCTTGGGCGAGCAGGGAGACGCCGAGGACGTATGTGTGGTCGAAGGGGGACGAGATCGTGCCGTGGTGGGAGGTGAGGAGGCATGCGGCGCGGGTCAGGGAGTATAAGGTCAGCGAGAGGGTGAGGGACGAGGAGTTTGAAGGGAGCGCGCACGTTGCACATATGATCAAGGATCGGAAACGGTATTGGGATTTAGTGCAGGATGTCTGGAGGGCTTCATATCGCGAGAATAAATAGGAATATGGTGCGTCGACTCGACTTCTTGGTGAAGGTGTTGAGCTATCAATGACGCTCTCCAGACAAGATACATCAATGAAGCGTTTTTATCTCGATATCTCTTCTACTAGATCAGCTCTCATGATGAGGAGACACAGGCGAAGGAAATCTTCAACGATAACATCATGAACTTGCCACGTCGCGTGCATCACATACGCTTTGCTTACCGCGTCGTTCTTTATCTCCCCTCGTGAATCGAAGCGGTTCACTCGACCGGCGTGTCTTGACGCTCAGCACTCATCTCTTCGACTCGCTCATACATATGCATGCACCCCAGCACCACCCTCTTGCATCCCTTTTTTATTCCATAACAATAAGCAATAACCCTCTACAGCCCAGACTCTAGATATATATTGTATAGATGCAGAACCATCTCTATAGCTCATCCAAGACTATTCTCGATTCAAGTAATCCATGTACACCACCACACCATCCTTGATACACGCATCCACCGCGCTCGAATTCGTGTTCACATTCAACCCTCCCCCGTCCGTTGGTGGACCAGCAAGATTGCTCTGTTGCTGCTGCTGCGTGGACCCGTAAACGCCCAGCAAGAGCCCCGCATCCCGTATGCCCTTGATCAACGACGGAATCTGCAGCTACAAAGTATAATTTAGTTATATGGCTAACAAACAAATCAAGTACAGCTCACAACGAGGTCGCCGTCAAAGAAAACGCCGAGCAGATTGTTCATTCTCGCGAACTCCACTCCGGCGCTGACGCTGCTGGACCAGTAGCCGCCCACGTCCTCGAGATGATCGCGCAGCTCGTCCGTGTCGGGCAAGCGCGGTGGCGTTGGAGCTGGCATGGACGTGGACATAGACATTGGATCGGTCGTGGCGGTGGACGGCAATGATGATGATGACCGATCGTCACACCGGGACGCGAAAAATACCGGGTCTGTCAAGGTGAGTTCATATCGGCGTGAGTGAATGCGCGTACACAAAAAAGCACACAATCAAAAAAGAAAAAGGCAGATAAAATAAACCAAGGCACGTACAGTTGGGCTGCTTCCAGTTGAGCGCAACACACGTCCGCGGGGAGAACGACGTAAACGCAACACGGCGGCGGGAGGTATACGGTGACGATGCTTGTTCTTGATACTGCCCGCCTTCAACGCTACCCATCACGGGCGTAGATGTCTTCGTCTGGTGAATGCACGAAATCAAAGCGTCGACACAGCGGTTGACGTCCAGCGAGCGGCGCCGGAACTCGGGCGACCTAGCCGCAGAGGTGGCGAGCGCCACCTCGATCGTGAGGCCCAGGTGGGCTGGGAGGATCTGTACAACGTCAGCGTCGAGGAAAGATTGACAGAAAAAGGCAAAACGCGCAATCACCTGAAGAAGCTCAGCCAGCGAAACCATCGCCCTCGCCACAAACCCAGGCCACTCGTGCGCCGCCGTCGGACGCGCCAAACCCTTGCCCACCTCCGCGCCCGATCCATAATCCAACCCCAACCCCAACCGCCCCGCAAGCGCCCCAAACTGCGCAATCGTCACGTCCGCCATCCCGACATCATACCCGCTCTCGGGCAGCCTCCACCCCGTATACACAACAGGACAGTAATCCTGCGTGACCTGCACCACGACGTGCACGTATGTCCCCGTGAGCGACGAAACGGTGATGAGCGGGGCATTGCTCGCGCCCGCGTTTGCATTGTGCTGTGCGCCGCCGCCGCCGTCGCCTGAAGGGGTCAGCGAGAGCGACGGCGAGGTGTGAATCGAGCTGAGCGAGCGCGGGGACTGCGAGTGAGACTGGTGCTGTTGGTGGTGGTGGTGGTGGCCCACCGCCGCCGTGGCCATGGCCATGGTCCCAAACGCCGACGCCGAGGGCTGGGACGACGCACTCGCTGCGACAGACTTCCAGTACGTCTCAACAACGCCGCCGACTTCGAGTGTAACGCCCCGGTACGGCGTCGTCACCGTCACATCGAACGACACCTAATCGTTTTCAGTCGGTCATCAACCCAAGCCGATACAGCAACAGCATATCTCACGCACCTCACCAACAACATGCAACCTCGTATCCAAAATCGGCACCGTCCACGTCCCGCCACCCCCCGCCACCGCACTCTCAAACACCGCCGGCAGGACAACCGCCCTCCCCACAATCTTCGTCCCAAAGCTCGGATACAGCGTAAACTCGAGCGCCGCCGCCCCCACGCCCGCCGCGGGCGCCTGGAACACAAACACGTCCCGCTCGTTGCGCTGCGGCACCGCAAACGTGTACGGCACGGCGCTCACGCCCGCGCCCGTCGGCGTCACGACCATCCGCAGCCCGCCGCTGCCCGGGATCGAGCCCACGCCCGCGCCCACGCCCGAGGCAGAATTAGAACCAGAACCAGAGCCGGAGCCGGAGCCGGACGTATACCGCTGATCGTTCGCCATGATCGAGCCCATCAGCCGCGGGCGCAGGCGCACGCCCGGCTGCGCGCCGTTCTGGCTCTGCCCGCGTATGGCGACCTCGACGAGGACGTTCTTGTCGAGATAATTGTGCCCGTACACGCGGTGCGGCATGATCGGCGGCGGAAGCGAGAGCGACGGGATCGTGTCGATATCGACGTATTCATCTTCATCTCCATCTTCATCCTCGTCCTCTTCCTCTTCATCCTCATTTTCATCCGCAACCATCGCATCGTCGTCCTCGCGCACACTAGGCGCAGCAGCGAGCAGCCGCTCGACACACAGCCGGTGCCCGAACCACGCCGCATAGTGTATCGGCTGGTGCCCAAACTCATCTTGCGGACCGGGCCGGCTTCCCGCGCCGAGGAGCACATCGACGACCCCGGCGTGCCCGTGCCGCGCGGCATGGAAGAGCGGCGTCCACTCGTGGTACTTGTCCGGCACATCCCACTCGTCCTCGCCCGCACCCGCACCCTCACCGCCACGCTGGAGCAACAGCGCACACACGCCCGCGTGCCCCTCGCGCGCGGCGAGATGCACAGGCAGCTCCCCGTTCGTGTTCGCGATCGAGCGCGCGGCGCCGCGCGCGAGAAGGAGGCTTACAATGTCCGCGTGCCCGTGCTGGCTCGCGAGCGCGAGCGGCGTCGTGTTCGCGCTGACCGCGTTCACCAGCCCGTGCTGGCGCCCCGCGTCCGCCTCCTCGCTGTCGAGGAGCACGCGCACGCACTCGATGCTCCCCCCGAGCGTCGCGTACGCCAGCGGGCTCTGCCCGTCCACGTCCGCGCTCACGACCTGCGACGGCGACGACGACGACACCATCAGCAGCCGGCGACAGATATCCGCGTGCCCGCGCATCGCCGCATAGTGCAGCGGCGACCGCCCATACACATCCAGCCTATCCGCCGGAACACCCTCGCCAATACACATCTCCACCAAGCGCGCCGCGCCCGCCGCCGCGGCCTCATGGAGACACGTGCGCCCATTGATATCGTCCACATACGCAAAATCAAACGGGGCTGCCGCGCTCGCTGTGTGCAGAATCAAATCCGCGAGGTCCAAAGGGGCCTCGACGACGGCCTTCCACAGCACGCGCGTGATAAAATTCACGTTCCCCTGCCCCTGCTGGGCGGACAGCGCGCCGAGGCGCTGGACGAGCTCGCGCACGGTGGTGCGGTCGCGGGCGTCGACGGCCTTTTGGAGGTCGTGCTCGAGCTCGTAGTACGGGCCCGTGACGACGCGGCCGTCGAAGCCGAGGTGCGGGGGGAGCAGGGGCAGCAAAGGGCTCGGGTGTGCGCCGTCGGTCTTGAACACGGACGCGGGGTCGGTGAGGTCGATGAGGCACGAGGCGACGGTGTCGGAGAGCTCGGTGATCAGCTGCGTGGCCAAGGGTCAGCGGCAGGACGGAGACACAGATGGGTATATGCACCTGGCGGTTGAAGACGGGCTGAACCTCGACCTGGCGGGCGAGGTAGAGCTCCTTTGTGGTCGAGCGGGAGCGTTTATCCCACTTTTTGAGGATCTTGCGGAATCCGGTCGCGTTGAGCTCGATGAATTGCTGAGGAAGATCAGTAACGCAAATTGACATCTTGCAAGCAAAGCTCACCTGGAGCTTGCCAAGGTCGCGTTCGAGCAGCCGAAAACCCTCCTCGACGGCGCTCCACTCGACATGGCGGAGTGTAGCAGCAACATCGTCGCCCGCGTCGGGCAGGCCGCGGAGGGCTGCGGCCTGGCGTTTCGAGAGGAGAGTATCGAGGCGGGTGGTGAGCTCGGCCTCTTTGCTGAGATAGAACGTGTTGATCTACGCGAACGTCGGGTGAATGACCTGACATTTGTACATGGGAAGGGATGGACCTTTTCGAGCTCGCGTTGGAGCTTGAAGAAAAAGGCGGTTTTGTGGGCCTGGAAGTCGGGGCCCCTGTCGTCGTCCTGACGCGAGGTGGCGATAAGCGGGGGCTCATCGGGGGCGGGATCGGCGGGTGCGGATGTGGGTGCGGGTGACGGGGCGGGTGGGTGGGCAAAGATGTCGGAGGGACGGACGCCGAGGGCGAGTGCGGCTGATTCTGCAGCTGGGCGGTGTGCAGCGAGAGAGGAGATGATCTTTTTGAGGAACTTGTAGTCGAGATAGTAGGCGGACCAGCCGGGGACCTGCTGGGCCTGGATCTGTTTCCCGAACTAGAGACATGTGTTGAGTGGCATCTATGTTATTGAGAGATGTGTTGGAGAGCACCTTCATGTGTCAGGACAGCGTTTTGGTGTTGGACGAAGGAGGGATTATCAGAATATTGTTGTTCTGGCATTATCGAGGAGAGGCTCGATCCACTCGTCCACAACATCCGCTTCTCATAAACGTGCGTCAACTTCCCTTTCTAGCAAACAAGCCCCTATCTATCTACACCAACACCTTCCTCAGCTGCCACACCTTCACCGGCAGCAGCGTAACAGGACACCGTCCCTCCCTCGACACAGCCTCGAATGCGCACCGGTAGCAGAACACATACCCAGACGGCAGCGCGGTCGCGTTCTCGATCCCCTTCCCGCACACCGCGCACTCCCCGTACCGCGCGCCGTCCACAGCCAGCCCCGCCGGGTGCGGGGGCAGCAGCGCAGGCGGCGGCACCACAGGCCCCGTGGCTGGCGCAGACAGTGCGCGCGCGGGCGAGTTGGGCGCGTACCACCATTCGAGAAATTTGACGAAGAAGATCGCGCTGGGCAGCAGCAGCCGCAGCGAGTCGAGCAGCATGTGTGGTGCGTGGCGTGCGAGGCGGCGCACGTACGCGCTGAGGCTTTGCGCGCGGTCGGGCGAGGAGGATGGTGGCGCGACCATTTGCCGCTGCGTTGCTCGCGGGTCAGCTGGGAGGTGAAATGCGTGAATGTTGCGCACCATATCGTCCATGCTCAGCCGCCGAAGGTCCACGCCAACCCACGCCAGCCACGGCCGGTAGAACGGCGTGCGGTCAAACAAATACGCGACATTGGACAGCAGCAACCAGACCTCCAGCGCCGTGTTCGCGTACGGATACACAACCTTGTACGCCCGCCTCATCCTCCCGCGCCAGTCCTACAACACGCATCAGCCTTGTCGGGTGGTACAGACAGAGAGACGCACCTCCGCCGTAAGCGCCCGAATCTGCCGCCGGTCAGCGTCGTCCGTGAGCGTATCCATATCCACCCCGCCGCCCCACCGCTCGTAGTAATCCTGCGCCTTCGCCCTTGCATACGGCATCCCGACGAGGAACACCAGCGAGCGCCACACCTCCCTCCGCCGCAGCGCATCCCCCGGCGCCGCGCCGACCGCAGCTGCAGCGCGCGGCGTGTCAATGTGCGGTCGCCGGCGTCGCTTAAGGCCGTAGAAGTTCTCTGCAAAGGATGCGTCTGCGCGAGAGGTCAGCGCGCGGGTCTGGTAAGTGCGGGTTGGGTGTGCACGGACTGTGTTTGCGGAGATAGTGCCGCTCGACGAGGAGCATGGCAAGCGCGTAGAGCTCCTCGTGGCGGTTCACGATCCGTATGAGGTAGCGCGGGTACCGCTGCGCGAAGACCTGATACAAGAGGGGTGATGAGTGGTCTTGCGACCAACTGCGGTAACGGGAAGGTGAGATGAGGTGCTCACGGCGAGAACATATTTGAGGGCGGGCTGGAGGAGGTCGCGCAGCTGCTCCTGGGCGACGAGCTCGAAGAGGGAGGGCTTGAGCGGGTCGCCGCCCGCGATGTCGTTGAAGAACTCCATGGGTTGTGGTGGTGGTAGAAGGTGTACCGGGACAGTGCCGGAGGAATATCACACGTCTGACATCACGCGTGCGGGGGATAATAGACCTGATTAGCGTGGGAGAGCGGCAAGTCCACACAGAACCTCCTCTCTCCCTCTTCTCATTAATAGTCAGCCAACACGACCCTAGCTGAATCCAAATCCTCCAAGCACTGAACACAGGTTTAAGCCGACTGTGGTGTCACCCCATTTCCGCTCTTGACCACTGAGCAAGCTGGGAGTGACGCCGAGCGACTTATACTCTTGTGATATCTTTACGGCTGGTTCGTTAACCATTGTCAGTTGAGGCAGCTTAGCAGGCAGCCTATGTATAACGGACGTACTATAGCTAACTAGCTAGCTAACTGCAGCACGCTAGTACTTGGCACTGCTAGCACTGCAGCCCAACTTGCAATCCACCTGCGCCTACAGTCCTGCCAATGTCCCTTTAGACACGCCACTGCTAGTGTATCTATCTACGCTTGTGATCTTGCCCCTGGAATCATGATGATGTTCTCCGACTCGGGTGCGGTCTGCGTGTCTGGAGCCTTCACTTTCGTCTCTTTCCAAATGTGCGATCCAGTATCGCTGGCGCTACTACACAGTTCGGCCTAGCCTAACAATTCGTGAAGATCTAGTATATGAGTTAGTTGACTGTCAGATTTTCTACATCGCACGCGTGTCCGGAGCTATCTGAAGCACCTATCATATTACAATAACCGCCTCGTTGCATCCACACACACACGATGTCCCCCTCCCTTCTCCCCCCTCCTTGACCTCGACCCACACCCCCAATGTTCAGCCAATTCCAACCCATATCCCCCTCGGACGCCGAACTCGCCTCCGCAACGCTCATCGAAGAAGGCACATACCGCTTCCCCTCCTTCTCCGCCTCCGACGCCGTCACCCTCGGCCTCTCCCTGCGCAAGCGCTTCCGCGCCTCCTCGCGGCACGCCCGCGGCAAGGGCGCCCTCGTGTCCGTGCAGGACATCGCGGGCCACACGCTGTTTGCGTGCACCGTCGGCGATCTGGCGAATCCGTCGGGCGCGGGCGATGTCGGGCTCGAGGCGTGGGCGAGGCTCGAGGAGATGGTGCGCGCGGTGAGGAGGACGGGGCATAGTAGCTATTACATCGAGAGGGCGGTGAGAGCCACAGCGGCGGGCGCTGCGGCGGGGAAGCAGGGGCAGGCGGGGGCGGGGGTAGCGGCGGATTTCGGGCGGGTGTGTGGCGGAGGTGCGCGTTCTGCTTTATATCCATGACGACGCAATGCTCATGCACATGTGTGTCCTCGCAGCGTTCCCCGTCTGGCTAGAGGTGTGGACCCCTCCCCTGCCTGACCCTCGTTATCCCGCCACTTAGTACCGTCCGCGCCCCACAAAGAACGCACACAGCTGCCCCATCGGCATCATCGCGCTCTACTCGGGCTCGAGCCAGGAAGACCACCACGTGCGTCTCCCGCCTCCGCGCCCATGTCATGTACGCATTAATTGAACGTATCACGCTAGCTCGTCGTGGGTGTCGTCCGGGACTACATCCACAAGCAGACCCGCGACCTGCGTCCGCCCCCGTCTGCGCTTGGCGTCCCCAGCGAGCTGCCGCCGCGGTCGTCGCGCGACAGCCGGGTGAGCTCATGCCCCTTACTTCTCCGTCTTCGTGTTTCTAACGCGACGACGTAGGAATGGATCGAAGAGCCCGCAGCGAGCCACTACACGGGGCGATCGCAGTCGCCCTACTCGCCCCGGGACGACGAGGGGGACTACTAGTGACCAGTGAAGATGTGTATAGGATTGAGAGCGTGCTTAGAATATACTTGGGACATGATAGGTGCGATAGCGGGGGGTGATTATAGAGCGTTGCATAGCTATAAAGAAATACTCGGATCCGGAAGTCGAAGATAAGTCAGAGGAATGGGACAGCGCGTTCACTCGTTGTTCTCCTGATGGGGTTCTGCGCGCTTCAGAACGCGCAGGTTCTCTGTCCAGTGCAGTGCGAAGCGTGAGTCCGCGCTCGGATAAAAGCGTAGCAGGAAAGAACTGACCGTGTCTGAGGAAGATCTGGCGCTGGGCGTGGGGCGAAGAGGGGTCCGCGTTGGGGTCGGCGTCGCGCAGCTCATAGTTGGCCTCGACGTAGACCTTGGAGCCCTTGGTGATCGTGCGGAGGTAGGCGTTCTGCGCGGGGTTGAAGGACACGACGTGGTGCCAGGTTGTGCCGCTTTCCTGGCGTGCTATGGGTGGGTGAGAATTAAGAAAAGAGTCAGGAGGGGCAGGACGTACTGCCGTCGGGGTTGGCGGGGGGCGGGGGGTAGTTGGTCGTTGCGACGGTGTAGCTGGTGGCCACGGGTTAGAAGGAAAGGGCGGGGAAGAGGGGGGAGACGGACGAGACGTATTCCTTGTCGCTCTTGGTGGTGCGGACTTCGGGGTCGCGGCCCAGTCTGCCAATGAGGATGAGCTTGGAGACGTCATATGCACGCGCTGACGTCGACGAGAAGGACTGTGGGTATCGTTGATATGGTTAGTTATGCAGTGGAAAATGAAGAGAAAAACATACGCGTGTGGAGGCGCGACGGAGGGCATTGCGTGCTGCGAACATGGCTGGGTTTATGGAGAGTTGCAAATTTCGACGCGTCTGTTCTTTGGATTAGTGTGAAGTAACAAAGTGTTTGTTGTCGTCTGTTTAGCCCATGGCATAGCCCCTTTTTGGGCGAGTGAGAGAAGACCCTCTCAAGTTGAACTTGATCACACACGAGACAATGTCCAGACACAGATTTGTCCGCAACTTGAACATACACGGTAAACATAACATAATGATCCATTCAGTGCACATGTCTCACATAGATGCAGATGAACTGGATGACGAGCCCTTATCGGACGGCGGAGACGACGGCATGACCACAGAACAGCATGGTATGCACCCAGCCCGATCGACACCACCCCCGCGTGCTAACACCAAATTGACTCCAGCTCAGATGGAAGAGGCCCTAGCGCAGGTCCGGGAACTCATGGGCGACCAGTCCGTGTCCCGTCTCGACGATCAGATCATCCGCGACACCCTCTGGGAGTGCTACTTTGACGTCGAGCAGGCCATACCCTGGCTCTACGGTAAGATCTCCCTTGCCCCTCGCCTCCTCCAGCCACGCTCGAGCCCTTTCCTTTTATCTCGCAGAGGAGCAGGAGCGGCGCGCAGCCGCCGATGAACGAAAAGGTGAGTGCGTGTCTCACCGTGTTCGCCGGAGCCCCTTCCTTTTTCTACTTTGTACCTACGTCACAAATACCCAATACCGCCCATCTCCCCCCACAAACCAGTCTCGACCCGCCCAGAGCAGGTGCATGTCTCTCCCATTCCCGAACTTGCCCTTGCCCTCTGTCTCTCGGTCCGCCATAATGCACAATTCGCTTGTTGACTACCTCAAATCCTTTCGTTCCCTACCAGACGGCCCTCTCAAAGATCTCCCACCCGTCCCCGCAGACCGCGACTCCTTTTCCTCGGGCGACAGCGCCGACTTCCCCGAGTACCCGCCCAACCAGCACTACTACAACTACGGCGGCGTCCTCGACCACCCGCGCATACCCCTCATCGTCCTCGCCCAGCAGGGACACTACATCCCGTCCTTCCAGCCCACCTATGCATCCGAGTCCGATTCGAACGCCGCACGCTCGCGCCTAAGTACTATCACAGAGCGCACGGAGCACAGCGAGCACCCGCATAGGCGGTCGACGTCGCGCCAGCAGCTCAGCGTCAACGCCGGGTACAACCCGCGCTCGTCGACCGCGAGCAGCAGCTCGTATGGCCAGCTTCTCCGTACGTCCTTGTCCCTTTCTCGGTCCGTTCTCAAGGGTGATTCACCAACTCACGATCACTGGGATCCGCAGCGAACGGCACCCTCAATTACGGCAGACTCGACGGCCCCGCGGATCCCAACTTTATCCCCCCGTCGCCGTCGCGCTCCGCCGTGAACCGCCTGTCCATCGACGACGACGGCGCGCCGTCCCGCACCGAGTCCGAGTCCGCGAGCGAGACGAGCACCGTGCGCGCGAATCGCGTGCGCTCGCCGCCCGTCGTCGTCCCTGCTGTGGGCGATATGCCAGATATCCCGGACTATGCGACGTCCAAGTCCAAGTCGAGCCGCGTCCATGCTGTGTCGCCTGGCCCTGGCGCTCTGCAGCGCCCGGTGAACCCACAGCCGCCTGCACAGCTGTCGCGCAGTGCGTCGTCGGCGAGCGCGAGGAGCAGTAACACCAGTGTTCCCGGTTCAGGTGCGGGCGGCAAGGGCCCGTCGAAGCTCGCAAGGCTGGCGAGCGCGCGTTCGCGCATGAGCGCGTCGTCGGTGAGCACGGACGTGTCGGCTCTGGAGACGGAGACGGCGGCGACGTATCCTGCGCTGCGGCCCGCTGCGGACTCGCGGTACAGTCTCGCGTACAGTCTCGCGGGCGGTGTGTCCGTGGACAGGCCGATCTCGGAGGTGTCGGAGGCGCAGACGACGTCGTCGCATATGTCGGCGCATGTGAGGAGGGCGCTGGAGACTGCGCTGGAGCTCGAGGCGGCGGATAGGCGGGAGAGGGAGAGGGCGGGGGCGGCGGGGGCGTTTTATGATGTGGATAAGTCGTTGCCTAGGACGCCGGCGACGACGCATACGGAGCTGACGCGCGGTGTGTCGATGGGCGGCGACGAGGACGATCCGTCAGAGGCGGGCTCGAAGACGCCGACGATGGCGACGCGCGAGGAGCTCACGCGGGATATGGATATGGGCATTGGTGTTGCGCCTTCCGAGACGGAGTCGACGGATCCGAATTTGCTGCTCATGACACCCAAGTCGCTGCTGCAGTCGTCCACGATGAGCGACGCGACAGTGTCCAGGGGCCAGGGCCGCGCGCCGTCGAAGCTCGCGATGCTCGCACAGGCCAAGGCCAGGAACGCTGCGACGGCCACGCGCACGGCGGATGCACCCACGCCCGACCTGCCCCGCGCGCGCACGCAGTATCTGACGCCGATCGCCAACGGGCCGACGGCGACAACGGCGATCACGACGTCGTATCAGACGCTGAGGAGCATCGCGTCGTCGCCGCCTGAAGGATCGCGAGTGTCGCTCGTTGGGCTGCCGTCGCCCACGAGCGGGCACGGGCAGCGTGATGACGATCCGTTCGCTTCGTCGTCGTCCCCGCCGCGGGCGGGTCGTCCGTCGAAGCTCGCGATGAAGATCTCAAAGGCGCGCGAGAAGTATCTGCCGACGCCGACGCCTGCCGCTGATTCGGCTGAGACGTCGTTGTTGGGCACGTATGCGGACGATGTGCCGCGCGCAGGCCAGGGTCAAGGTCAAGGATACGATTTCGCGCCCCCGTCGCCGCTGTTCGCGGTGCATACCGGCGCCGGAGCCCCCCGTGCGTCCCCCTCGGCGTTCGCCGCTGCTTTGCTGTATGGTGCCGATCATGATGTTCTGACGCCGGGTGATGATCCTCAAGGTCAAGGGCCGACGCAGGTATCGCCGCGCTCGCCCCGTTCACCTGGCGCCCGGTACTTCGACACTGCATCCAGGGAACAACCGCCTGTACACGGTCCGAGCCACGACCTGAGCCAGCTCCCGGATAGGGTTCCGCAGTCGCTGCACGGCGCGGGGGCGTCGGCGCCGCGTGGGTTGACGCGGAGCGTGTCGGATGCGTCGGGCGTCAGCGGTGGTGGCAATGGCAACAGCGGCGGCGGAAGCCCGACGAAGCGGCGCGACAAGGCGGAGAAGGCGCGCAAGATCACGCCGACGCTGGGCGCGCGCCCGCGCTCGGGGTTTGCGTTCGATACGCCCAGTCCGGACGATATCGTGTTCAGTGCGCGGCGCGGGACGTCGCTCGCGCAGAGGCTCTAGGGACGGGCCTGTGGCGTTTGGACCTTTTTTCTTTTCTTGTTTTGGGTCCTTTTTCGCTTTTTCTTCTTCTTCTCGTCCCACTCCCTTCTCTACGCTACGCTTTGGTATCTGTTGATGATTTTTTCCTTGTTGTTCGGGGCGTTGGACCTTCATTGTTGTCTGTCTGTTTGTTGTATGACCATTGTAATACTGATGACTTTTTTCTTATCCCCCGTTTACTGGTACGCAGTCGCGAAGGAACGCTTGAAGGCCCAGAAGGCGGCATCGCAGAAGAACACGCCGGCTCCCTCGGGCGCGAGTACGCCCGTCCACCGTGCGCGCTCGCCTGTGCCCGCGGCCATGACGCCCTCTAAAGGCGGGAAGAAGAGCGCGCCGCAGACGCCTGCTAAGAACAAGACAGGGGCGGGTGGGGGTGTAGGGGCAGGGGCAGGAGCGCGCAAGGGCTGGGGCGGGGACAGTGACCAGCGCACGCTTGATATTGCGGGGTTGAATCTGCAGTCGACGAGCGAGGACGCGCCGGAGGAGCCGCCGCCGAGGATGGCGATGGAGAGGGAGAAGCTGCTTGCGGAGGTGAGGAGGTCGCTGGAGACGACGGACGGGCAGCGGGTGGCGGTTAGTTTGGTTGTCATTGGTGAGACCGTCTGGCATTGTTCGATCGACGGGCTGACTAGTTGGGAAAAGGACACGTCGACGCTGGCAAGTCGACGCTGATGGGCCGGCTGCTGTACGAGCTCGACCACGTCGACGAGAAGACGCGGATGTCGAACCAGCGCGAGAGCAGCAAGGCGGGGAAGAGCAGCTTCGGGTGGGCGTGGGAGATGGACAACACGCAGGAGGAGCGGAGCCGGGGGATCACGATGGACATCGCGCAAAAGGCGCTCGCGACGGCGCACCGGCAGGTGACGGTGCTCGACGCGCCGGGGCACAGGGACTTTATCCCGAACATGATCTCGGGCGCGGCGCAGGCGGACTGCGCGCTGCTCGTCGTGGACGCGACGACGGGCGAGTTCGAGGCGGGCTTTGAGCGCGGCGGGCAGACGCGCGAGCACCTTGTGCTCGTGCGCAGTCTCGGTGTCGCGCAGGTTGTCGTTGCTGTGAACAAGCTCGACCAGGTTGGGTGGGCCCGTGCGCGGTACGAGGAGATATGCGCGCTGCTCCGCCCGTTTTTGGTGCAGTCTGGGTTTGCGCCGGCCAAGACGGCGTTTGTGCCCGTGGGCGCGATCCTGGGCGTGAACCTTGTGGATCGGGAGAGCGAGGAGGGGAAGGCGTTGTCGGTGTGGTACAAGGGACCTACGTTGGTGGATTTGCTTGGTATAGGGTGTTCTTTTTATGTTGTTGTTATCTGGTTTGATTTGATTTCGGACCATCCTAGACAAGCTGGAGCCGCCCGCGCGAGACATCAACTCGCCGTTACGGCTGCCTCTGTCCAATGTTTTCAAGGGCCAAGGTAGCGGTGTCGGCGTCACGGGTCGGATATGCGGCGGCGTCGTGCAGGTGGGCGAGCGTGTTCGCGTGCTCCCCGGCGACGAGTCTGCGATTGTGAGGAGTACGTGTCGTCCATTTCAGAATTTTGTGATTTCCTAAACATGACATTTAGCGATTGACGTCGAGGAGAACTCTGTTCCGTGGGCTGCTGCAGGCGCGAACGTGACGATGTACCTGACGAGCATCGATCCGATCCATCTCAATGTGGGGAGTGTGCTCTGTCCGGCGAACGACGTTGTCCCGCTCGCGGTGACGTTCTCGGCGCGGATAATCGTGTTTGATATACAGCTGCCTATCACGGCTGGCGCTTCCGTATGTATTGTATTTATCGTGTTTGAAAGGTAGTCGGGCTGACCAACGTTATACAGGTGGAGATCTTTCATCATTCGCGAGATGTGCCAGCTACCATCTCAAAGCTGGTCGCAACACTGGACCGCGCGACTGGTGTCGTGGCCAAGAAGAATCCACGGTAAGCCCACCAGCTCTTTTTCATTGATGTCGATCCTGATTCACGATCCCAGTGTCCTCGCAAAAGGCGTCTCCGCCGAAGTCGAAATCAGCCTGCGCGCTGGTACGCTTTCAGGGCCCACTGCGTCGACGAAGCCTATGCCGCTCGAGACGTTCGCCGCAAACAAGGACATGGGTCGTATTCTCATCCGGCGCGGAGGGGAGACGATCAGTGCCGGTGAGCTGTCTGATCGATGTGCTTCTTCATGTCTGACCGTTGGACAGGCATCGTGCTTGACATTCTTTCCTGATTGCGTGAGACTTGGAGACTTTCATACACGTTCGATTCCAGAAACAAAAAGTGTTACAGCAATGTTCCGCAATGCATGTGAACCGCGTAGTCTAGAGCGAGTATAAATACAGGGATATAGAGAAAGCCAATGCGACTAGAACAAACAGAGCGTCGAAAACAAGTGAGATCTACATAGGAAAGCTAGAGCGTGTCAGGGGGTGTTTATCACGACATCGTGGCCTCGCGCCTCGCGCGCGACTTTTGCTCCTTCTTGTCCTTGTCCGAGAAGGCGTCCTTGATCTTGGTGAAGATGGAACGGCGCTTGGACGGCGACCCGCTGACCGTGCCGAACCGCGAGCCGGGGGGGCTGTTGTCCGCCGTCGAGAGCGTGCCGTCCTCGGACGTCTGCGAGGTCGAGGCGGCGAGCGACGCCTGGCGCTTGTGCCGGGGCAGCGTGAGGCGCATGCTGCTGAGACGGCTGCCTGTTTTGCCCGCGGGCGAGCTGGGCGCCGACAGGGATGCGGGCGGCTGCTTCTCGGTCGTGGGCGATCGAGTGCGGGCGGTGTCTTGTTTGTTCTTTTCGCTGGGCGGTGGTATCCCAGGGGCGGGTGGCAAGCTGTTGCTCTTCTCTGCTGCGATCGCTGCCTCGGCAGGGGGCGTGGATGGGTCCTCTGCGTCCTCTTTGGAGGGTACAGTGGGGATGACCTCGTCGACTGGGATATGGGCCCGCTCGGCCGTCGCAACGATCTCGACGGGGGGCGACGTTACCGGGTCGGTGGCGGGTCTGGATTCGCGCGCGTAGGCGGGGGGCTGCTCTGTCAGTGGCAGGAGGGGAACGATGGCGATGGGGGCTGTCGGGGCGACCGCGGCGGTACTCGCAGCCTCCTGGGCCGTAGTGCTCGTTTCCTGCGCAACGGGTGTCAGTCTTGACTGGTTCTTCTCGAGATCGTATCTATGCCTACCTCGGGAACGGTAACGGCGGGCTCAGCGTCGTCCGTGCGTCGAATGTCGTCGACGGCCTCGGCGATCGTCTCGGGCTCTTCGACGAGGATCGGCGTGTCGGGAGTGAGACCGTCAGCCTCGGCTTCAGCTTCAGCTTCAGGCTCGGTGCTCTCCGTCTCCTCTGGAACGACGACGCCAGCGTCAGAAGCTCCAGAGTGCGGGGTCGAGTACTCTGCATCTGTCGGCGACACCGGGTCCGCCTGCACCTCCTTCTCCTCCACCATCACGGGCTCAGGAGCAGGAGCAGGCTGGGGCGCATGGTATACGTTGTTCAGGTTTCCCGCGCGGTCCCGCTCGGTCGGCTGCTGGTCGCTCGTCGTCCACCGCCCGTCGACGATGAACTTGTATGCGACCTTTTCGCCCCAGGGCACGGCCACGCGGCTCTCGTAGCCGCCGCCGGTGCGGCTCATGTGTATGGAGCGGGACCACTGTTAGAATCCAATACATCGATCAGTCAGTCACATTCGGTCGGTGGGCTCGGCTGCTGCTGCTCACCTTGTCGAATGTACCCGTGAGGACAACGTCGCGCGCATTGGTGTGGGGCCTGTGGACCCATGCACAAGGTTTTGTCAGCAAAGTCACTTGTGGGGTCACAGAGCCAGATATGAGCTGACCAGGTGAAAGAAACTTCGTGCATGGTAGTCATCGTTATTCGTGATAGTCTTGAAGTAGCAGCCAGCACTACGGGATAGGGGGGTATTGAAAGTTGGGAGGCGTACAAGGGTGGTTGAGCAGAAACAGACAAAGAGAAAACTTGAAGGGCGCAAAGAACGACAGCATATTTATACGACCTGTGAAGCGCTGGTACAAAGTCCGTGGGTTTGCGAAGGTTACATTATTCAGTCTGCAGTGGCAGGCGTTATGGCTGAACCGAGCAACACGATGCAGACACGAGGCGGCCAACGCGACGTCCCCCTGTCAAAACCTTGTCAAATCTGTTTCCACGGAACCATTTATCTTTATGAAACCAACGTTGCAGCACTCACAATCCGCCTGCCCAGACCGACGATCAGATGCGAACACGATCCCAGTCGGGCGCACCGCCCCGTTTTTGATTATGCGAAACAACACGCGTATGTACTTTTCTATGCCAAGTGTACACACTAGTGTCTGATAATCAGCTCGAACAGCCACGCACGCACGGGCACGTTGCAAGTTCTCCTCCGAGCCTGCAGCATCTATCTTCGTTCTCGCCACAGCCCACGGAGCCGCCAGCCTTCTATTATGCGCACCGCGCCCTGTTCCTTCCATCCCAGCACCACGACTCCAGGTATCCGCACACGAGGCCAGGTATCCCAACGCAAGGATATCCTCCACAATCCTTCCTTGATCCACCGACATCTCCTCTATCACCCATCCCCGCCTCCCCCGGCCGTGCGCAGCGCCGCGTCCCTCCGGCTCTTGCGCGCCCGCGTCAGATGCACCGTACTGTCGTCCGGCGGCGTAAACCCCAGAATCGTCTTCGGCACAGGCGGCCGCTCCGAGTCCTCCCGCGGCTGCTCCTGCACCGACGTCGTCGACGCTGCGTCGGAGCCCTTGTCCGCCTCGGGCCGGCCCCAGTCCCGGGGCTGGTACCGCCCCGTCTGCGGGTCCGCGAACACGATGGGCATGGGCGACTCGTACGCGGTGATCCCCAGCTTGTTGCAGTAGTACTGCACGGCGACCTGGAAGGCGGTGTGCGCGGCGTTCTTGAGGCCCCAGTCCCTGTAACGTCGGTGGTGAGCATATCGTTTCTCAGTAGAGACGCAGATATGCAATCATATCCGCATCGAGTACTTACTGCCAGTTCCTATACAACAGAGATCAGTTTTTCCTGACAAGCAAGATTGACTGAAAAGACACACGAGTTATGCGGGATAGTCATCGAGAGCGTATAATGTCTCTGGAACACAATCGCCTGGGGCGTAAGACCCGTCGAGGGCTGGAACCAGCGGTTCTCCTCCCTCGCAAGCCAGTCGTTGATGCACTTGACAAGCTCATCCAGCTTTTCTTGCGGAGTGCGCCAGGCGACGTTAAGCGTCACATATTCGGCCATTTTCTACACAACACTTGATGAGATTAGAGCTTTTCATGAGCCATAAGTGGACTTACATCGCTTCGGCGGACGTTCGTGCTACAAGAATATCAGTACCGCCAAGTAACTGCAAAGAAACGACATACATGAACTGGGTGAACAGCTGGCTGTTGAAATAGTACGTTTCCGTCCCGTCGATGCGCGCGAACACGGTCTGTCATACCTACTGAGTACAAGTGTTCAGCATTCTGAATAACAACATACCGCAAACAGACCCATCTTCTTGACCACCAGATTTTCCTCTGCAATAATTTAGAAAAACGCTAAAGAGATGAGCGTTGGACGTACGGTTGATAAACACCCTGTCTCCGGTATCAAAAGGGCTAGATAAAAGTCAACAACAAAATACGCATGATGCAAAAACACAACGCACTGAGTAACAAAGAGAAACATGATCGCATCGAACGCATTGCTCGCCGCATTCTTAAACACAAAACTCGCCGCGATCCCCAGCGAATACACACTCGTCAGGCTCTTCGTCACATTCACCCCAAAAATGCTGAGCGAGATAAAGAACAAGATCACGAGCGCGAAGAACAGCAGCAGATTGTCCAGCGTGCGCAGCGCAACGCCCGCGTCGCGCATCGAGCGCGACAGGAACCGCCGCTCCTTGTACACGTTCAGCAGCGTCGACTTGATCTCCGCGCGCTGGATGTCGCCGTTGTTGTCCCGGTCGAACACGCGGAACGCCTGCCGCGCGGCCTCCTCGCTCGGGAATGCGCGCTCAAAGTCCTTCGCGATCAGGTACCGGCGCTTGCGATCGCGGAAGGTGTTGTAGATCGCACGCGCAAGACGCTGATATCCACACCGTTAGTCACATTGTGAGCCCTCCTCTGCAACCACTCACCTTGGCCTCCCGGTTAGATCCAACACCAAAAATCGCACCGCTAATGTCCGCCTCCTTGCCCTTCACATTACGAGCATCATGCAACACCGCCGACCTGATCGCCTTCGCAGCCTGCCTCACCGCATTCGCCTCCTCATCATGGTTATCCGCCGAACGCCGGCGCGACGGCGGCGTCGGCGGGTACTTGTGCGTGCCCCCCGCCGCCAGCGCTACCGCCTTCTCCTTCGGCGACTGCAGCGGTGAAACCGGCGAGCCACCCGCCGCGAACTCCGGGTTCTCCGAGGCGGGCGTGCCAGTGGGACTGTCGTTCAGGCGCAGCGTGGGAGTCGTCGCGAGCCCACGGCTGTCCGGGCGCTTCTTGCCCTTGCCCTTCTTGGAGGGCTCGCCGCCGTCCTCGACGTCGGCTTCGGCGTCGCTGATATCCGTGGCTGCGGGACTGGCACTGCGGAGTTTGTTCGATACAAAGTCAAAGTGCTCTTTCTCCGAAAAGGGCGTCATCATTCCGCCGAACGAGAACATCGGGGTATGGCCACCTCCGGATTTGTTGGGGCGATGGCGAAGTTTAGGCTTGTAGTTGCGAAGCGTCTCAATGGCCCTGAGAGCGACATGGACCTCGTCAAGACGTTCCTTGTACGCAGTGCGATGGAACGCAAACGCTAAAGTAACAATGAGTGAAACGGAGCTGGCGAAGTCTCAGTACACACCAATAGCATGGGACAGCATCTTTTGAACGCATATGACCAGCGCAAAGAAAAAGAGGAACTCGATGACTTGATAAAGCTGCGGGAACGTCTGTCACTACTATCTTGACCGTGTTATGGAATCTAACAAACCCTGTCAGTGTAAGAAGCCCAGCTGGCCACGTCAGGATCCATATTATGGAGCTCGTAGATGTTGGCGAAGATGATAACCCAGCTGAGCCAGGCCTCGGCAGCGTAAAGCAGAGGCTTGAACGTCCCCTTGATGGAGTCGTACAGCTCGATGTGGTTCTTCATCTCTTCCGAAACGTGGCCCCACGAGAGCGAAATGGCGAAACGCGTAAAGACAGGAACGACGTCCACGATCATAGCAAGGCCCCAGGAAATGACGATGTTCGCCGCCGCCCAGAAAAGCCACGCCTCAATGTTAGCCTTGACATAACGGCGATGCGGCGTCGGGTCAGGCAGGTACCAGTAGTAGTTGACAAGGATAGCAGGCGTGGCGATGATACCAGCAAGCAAGACGGAACCAATAAGTGTCGAGAAAAGGAAGGTGAACACCCTGTGATTAATGACGCGTCCAAGCGCACACGATGAGACAGGGCGCCCGGGCGGGAGAGAGGGAGAGGAAAGACGGACCTGAGGGGTCCCCAGCGACGGCGGTAGACCTTGACACCGGCGCGTTTCTCAAACTTTGCCTCCTCCTCCTCCAGCTCCTCGTCGCCGCTCCAGTCAAAATCGTCCTGCTCGAAATCCTCATCGTCGGTACCGGCGAGACTTGGAGCACGTGAGTGGGCGGGCGGGCTGTTGAAATAGAGGCCGGGAGAAGGGTCGCCTGCGAGCTGGTCCGGGTAGTGGACGGTCGGCTTAGCCGAAGGAGGTATCTTGTCGGTATCTTGACGGTGGAGATTGTGTCCGGCAGGAAGGTCGAGAGACAGGTCTACCTCATTATGACCGGTATTGGAAGGATTTGGATTTGATTGGCGTTTGTCAAAGTCCTCCATAAGGTTGACCTGACTTGCCTGTGGGCGGAGGGAGTCAGAGGAGTTGCAGGAAAGAGCCAAAGTGCTGCTGGCGTAGTGGTGAAGGAGGATGGAGGAGGAGGAGGGACCGGCTGGGGGATTTGGGTGGCGAATCCGCGTGCAAGCGGTCTCAATATCACTTTCGGTCATTTCTTCGATAACTTCGGCACTTCTTCCGGCGTTAATCGACGCTCCACTGTAAATAGAAGCAAGCTCACCGACCCACGCAGTCGGCTCGTCGACAACTCGTCACCGCCCTCGCTTGCGTCGAGCAGAGAGAAAAGAGTGTGTATGTTGGTAGCGAATGTGGGCGTAGTCGACCAAGGCACCTTACTCTTGTAGCATGGAGACAATACCCCGAAAAATGGGATTTGGCAATACATTTTGAACAAGGCTGGACAAGACTGAGCTCATCGTGGACGGTTGCATCATCGTGAAACCTAATAGGGGTCAGATCGAATTTCCAATGTTACCTATATAAACTGCCTCCCTCGTTTCCACTACCCATATTAATCACATATCCATCGTACCAAAGCCTCATTTCACCACCATGACGTCGCCCGCTACCGTCCAGAAGATCGAGAAGGAACTCCAGAAAGAGGCTCAGACAGAAGAGAAAAGACTCCAACACGCCGTCAAAGACCTGAACGCGGTTGGGAAGTCGGAGACGAAGGCTGCCAAGGTGAGTGAGCTCTGCAATCCGCGCTTCCACGCTGTCCCGTGTTGCCTCTTGACGTGTTCCTGAACCGTCACTAACCCCACGATCTCGTTCCACAGGCAGAGTCCAAAGCCGAGAAATCCATGCACAAATCGGAAAAGAAAGAAGCGGATGCTGCCAAGCTGCTCCACAAGGCTACCCACAACCACGACGTCGCCGTATCAGGCCTTCACAGCTCCGAAGCCGACCTCCAGGCAAGTCTTCATTGATATCCGCTGTCTACCCTCGAATCTCCTCGCTCCCTCCCTCTTGTCGATAGCCGGCTGATACATCTTTCGCCCGTATCCAGACAAGACAGCAACAAGTCTCCAGAGCCAAGCAGCATTCCGTTTCGGTCCGCCAGCACGTCGATCAGCTCGCCGCCGAGAAGGACGAAAACGCCGTGAGTCTAGACCGCTCCGAGATTACTGGAATATTCATTCACCTTGTGACAGCGTCTTCGGGACAGCAAACTGCAAGATCTCCGTTCGTCTACTCAGACTGAGGACACAACCAACACGCATATATCCTCTCCTGCAGGCGCGATGCCCAGTCGCAACAATGACTTCCACTAATGCTTGTTCGGACCTCGAACACTTCACAAGCACGCACACACATTTGTTTTTTACGTCCTGCTATCGGATTCTCCTCCTTAGGCACCATAATGCTTCCGTATTGTAGCTTTACCTCGCAATGTATCATACTCATACGTACTTTCTCAAATTGTCGTTATACACTGGCATCTATAAATATAATGAGCCCTAGCTGCTAGTCTTTCGTCGTCCAAATGTCAACAACATCCGATAGGAATTGACTTCAAGTGACATGTGTCAAGAATAAGTTGCCGCCGGAAACCCAACACAGACCCAGAACACGGCCAAGTTGACGAAAATCTTAGTACGACCGCACCCCTCGGCACCCCTACAGGTTGCAAACACCTTGACCGTTCCTCAACGAAAGGTAATAAAACTGGTGATAGGAAAGCTATTGGATGACGTGGTACAAAGTACATTCAAAGGTTTATTCTATCCCGCCATCTGCACATCCTCGTCCCCTCCCGTGGCCCCTGTACCACTCTCCTCAGATGCATCAGCAGCAGGTACGGCAGCGGGGGCGGGCTCCTCCTTGCTCTCCATGGTCCGAAGGTACACCTCGATGTCTTCGCCCTCGAGCATCCGGAACGACCCCTCGGTGCCCCGTGCCTGCGGCTTCTCGTGCTGACCCGTAGGTCCAACGATCCCGATCGACGTGTTGTTTATCGTCAGCTCCTTGTCCTGCTGTAGCGTCTCGCGCAGTGCATGGAGGCCGTGCTTGATCAAGGTCTCGAGATCACCTTCAAGGTAGGGAAATGTGAGCACATGCACTTGCTACTACGCACATAGTGTGTGGAATGGTAAAATGACCATGCAACGAACAAGATGTCAAATGGTCTAGCACCGAAGAACACTCACAATCAACAAAGCTCTCATAGTGCTTCTCCAGATACGTCTTCGCGCTCTGGCTCCGAGCGCCGATAGACATAGCAAAGTACTCGTACGAGTTGCCAGAAGGAGAGAATTCATAGAGATGTGGGCCGCCTTGGTCATGTCCGACTACCAGGAAACCGACACCGTATGGCCGCCTGCCGTACTCCTGGGTGTTCACCTGTGCCTCTGCGGAGTGGCGGAATCAGACATACGATGACCGTCTAGAGGAAGATGACGGAAACCACGCACTGTCAGCGATCGAGGAAACCAACCGTCCAACAGGCATCGGGCGGTTGAAGGCCATACGAGATGACATGGCTTGCTGACGCATGAAGTTGCTACATGTCGCACATACACATGATAGATCCAAGTCCAGACAGACATAGCGAGTGGCAGGAAAACGATAGGCAGGAAGCACAGATCAATTGAGATTCAAGAGTCTGTCAGCGATCGCCACACAAGCGCTCATCTAAGAGTGACGCGTACCTCAACACACGCGCGTCCGACGTAAGCCCCGCGATCGCAATGCCGACATGGTCGTCTATCCGAAACATCTTCTGCTGATACGATGCAAGCTCCCCTGTCGAGCGCTGCGATTCATTTCATACACGGACGAGTCGATTGGAGTTGGGTAACAGAGGAGAACGCCGATCGTTTGGAAGTACAACAGATCATTCATACGCGTACGCGTCACCCAGAGACATCGAGCAGTCAGACAAACAAGTCAGATAACTCGTATCCTGAGCCCAATATAATGACTGAGCCAGCATGTGCTCACCTTGAGTGCGAGAAGGACAGCATGGGTTTTTGACCGTAGACCAACCGCGGCAGACCCCTGCTTGACGGCCTCGAGCGCATACTCGACCTGATGCAGTCGTCCCTGCGGCGAGAAGACTGTGTTGTCGGAGTCGTACGTGTTTCGGAACTACGCCACTGTAGTCAGTTGCATGCTACAAGTATAATCTGTTCGGGAAACGCACCATGGTGGAGGAGAGTGAATGGGTACACGCACTCGCGGTGACGCGTTCTATCTCTGCACAACTGCGCCCTGTCCTCTCGGCGATAGCCGAGCACGTGCGCATCTGACAAGCAAAGGGTCAACTTGTCAAGCATTTTGTATTACGAGGAATTGCCCATTATAACCATGCAAAACGGACAGTCCGAATCTACAGTACTTAAGTCTATGATGCAAGTGATGGGTAGCGTAAGAAAATTGCAAATCTCTGAACAATGCATGTATCAACCACAGTCCCCAAGCTAGACAAAGCCCAATTCAAGAGTCGAGAAACAACACTTAAGTACTTTTCCGACAACGCTCTACCGGGTCCCCTTCTTCTCCGCCCTCCACTCTTTGAACATGCCATCAAGACTCTTGTGCACCAAATGGGACGGCAAGCAGCGGACAATCTCGCCCATCCGCTCTTCTGCCTCAGCGCGCCCCTTGTCGCCACCGGAACGCCCCCCGAACTCGACACCCATCTTGAACAGGGCCAACACGGCGAGCGAGACGTGCGTCTGCTGAGCACCATGCACGGTGTTTTCAGTCAACGCAGACAGCAGCGGCCCCGACACGCCCGACGCGGCAATCGCAGGTGTTGCCTGGTGCGAAAACGGTGTTGCGCGCTCCCCTCGGACCAACCGCAGGAGCACCTCCAGAATGTTGTCTGGCTCTGTCATATGCGTCTTGATAAAGCGCTGACGCTCTGTCTGCGTTCCGACAGATGAGTTCGTGGCCCATGAGTCCAGCACCGTCCATATAGTCGGCGGCTAATAACGCAAGATGAGAACGAAGAAGGTTCGCATTACTGCGCAAGACACGTACCGGATCAGGGTCGACGACCTCAATCTTCTTCTCCCATCCATCAGCCGCATCACCTGCTGCCCAAAACATGCGTCCAAACATGCTCTTAAGCCACTCGCGCACGTCTCCTGACTTCACCCACTTGGGCTCCGACAGCGGTCGCTCAACTTCAAGGTGCGCAAGGAGGGTGATCTTGGTGGGAAGCGTGGCTTTCGAGAATGAAGGAATTGTCATGTCATCCGTAGGCTCTACCGGCAAGGAGGATAATGGAAGATAAGCCTTCGTCTCTTCAGAGTAACCTTCGACCTAGGGACAGTCAGTGGACTCAAGAAACTGTTTGAAAAGACAATTGTTTACCAGTACGCCCTTTAGCCCTTCTGCATCCTTCTGCAACTCGAAATGGACCTCAATCCTGCCTTCGGAGCGGAACACTTTCAAAGATTCCACGACTTCCGCATCCACCACAAGTCGTCTCGTTCCCGAAGCGTATGATATCGACAGTCGGTTGGCACTCGGTGCTCGCTCGCCTTGGGTCTTCGCTACCGCCGCATCTGGTACTTGCGAAGCAGGCGGCTGAGACGAAGGTGGATCTCCGCCATATGTTGATCCAGACGAGGTCGACAACAGTGTATTCGAAGTTGGGGAAGCGGGTGGCTCTGGGAGATGATCTTGATCGTGGTTGAAATCGTGATAATTCTCTCCTTCGTTGCCATAGGCTTTATCCTCTTTGGAAGGGATGGTGGAATCCTCAGCGATTTGCGTCGCAATTTCTTCATGCGGAGGAGATTGCCTTTGAGTCTCGTCGTTGTCCTCTTCGTCGTTGAGGACGGTTGACGCAAGCGATGCGGACAGCTGAAGTGGCCTTTTGGTAGGCAATATAACCTGCGCGGAAGAGTCATCAAGGTCAGCGACAGTTCCCTCAGGAGCGGACACGTTTTGAGAAGGAGCAACGGGGGTAGAAGCGCGTGTCTCCACGTTCTCTGCAACAGGGCTCGTGTGCTCTGCAGAAGAGGCGCACGGCGCAGAGGCATCCACTGAAAATGACGGAAGTGGGCCTGAGTCCTTGACATCGTCCCCGCCAGCCGTTAGAGGTGCATGTTCCAGCACATCCTCTAGTCCTCTCCTAACCTCCGCATGTATGCTATCGGCAAGCGACGCATTCTCATCAATCTTCGCAGATGAAGACTCAGACTTTTCCGCAAGGATGCCAGCTGGCTCCACGGGAGCAACATCCACAGGAAGATCACGATTCTCAACAGTAGCCAGACCCAACCCTTTGGAACATAGATTAGCCCGCCAAACGGATAAAGACGAATGCAACATTGGTGCTCAACACCGGGAGAGCTGCATGAGCTGAGAACAACACTCACCATGCTCACCACTTGGTTCGGTCGGGCGCGTTTCCTCAGCGCTGTCTGGAACGTGCGTGTGCTGGGTCGAATCGATCTGAAGATCGCTGTATTCTTCGTCGACTCTTTCTCCTTCACCATCAGCGTGGCTTTCATCTTCAACGATGGCGGCCATCAGCCAGTCGCCTTCGCTAGCTGTCTCCGCTACACTTGGCGCAAGACTTCCCCGCCCGGTTCCATCATCGCTCATGCCACTGCCGTGCGGTTGAGGCGGGGGCGGCCTCTCCCGACCTTCCTCGAGATCTCCATCATCATCTTCGGACTTCTTGCGCTTGCCCTTACGCGTATCGGAAGACCAAACGAAAGACTGGGCTATGGGATGCGAGTCATCGGCGGAGACCGGCGTGTGGAAGTAGATGCGGATACGAGAGGGAGGCGGGTTCAAAGCATCCGTCGCAGAAGATGCTGCAGCTGGAGCTACAGGTAGGTGCGACGGAGCCGCCGCAGGCTTTGCCTTTGAATCCGACGCAGGTTCCGGTTGATTCAAATCATTGTTATCCGGGTTGTGGTCATCTTCCTCAGACTTAGGTTGCCTAGAAGATGCCTCGCCAGCCGTGTCCATGTCTTCACTTTGAGCAGTAGCAGTAGAAGACGAAGCATTGCTGTCCAGAGCAGATATATCGGTCTCCTTCTCCTCTTTCTTGACTGTACTCTCGTCAGAAGGAGGAGAAGGCAAGACGCCCCAGTGCCAATCAAGCGCAGGCATCTCGAGTCCAACAATCTTGAAATCCGTGAGCGTCCGGCGATTCTCGTCCTTCTTTCCGCTGCTTCCAATGCTGGCCATCGAGCCATCTCTGTTACCAAAGGACGTCCCTCCTCCTCCTCCATCTTGCCGACGACCACCAGACGAGCGACCACCACGGAACGAGCCACCCGAGTGGTGCTGATGGCCTCCGGTGTTGAACGAACCACCTCCACCTCCACCTCCGCCTCCGCCTCTGCGGTGGAAATCCGACTTGCCAAACCCACCACGAGAACCTTGCCCACGCATCGACCCCTGGCTTCCGCCACCGCGTCCGCCGCCGGGCCCGTTCAAATACGTGCTCCCGCCTCGACCCCCTCGAGATCCTCCCATCCCGCGGTTGTTCCCCATGTTTCCGCCCCGCCCACGCTGGGTGAAGCTCCCTCCCCGATTGCCTTTGTTACCCATCCCAAGCGGAATCTGGTTTATACCCGCAGGCTGCTGATTATACGTGGGCTGAGTAGGCGCGGGAGGAGGCTGGAACGAAGGCTGCGGGGGCGGAGGACCAAGTTGTCGCTGACTAGAGTTCGGGCCATCGAATCGCTGCCGCTTCGCGGGAGGAAGGTGCTGAGGGGGAGTGTGGTGGAGATTCGGTCGGTGTTGAGGAGGTTGAACTTGCTGTGGTTGAGTCGGGTAGTATGGCTGAGGAGGAGGCGGCAGCTGATGAGGTTGCTGATACGGAGTCGGCGGAATCATATGTTGAGGATGAGGAACCCCGGGTGGCACATAGGGTTGATGATATCCCGCCGAAGGCTGATATGGGTTGTACTGTTGAGGCGGAGGCGGAGGCGGCTGCACAACAGGTGGAGGGGGTGGATATGGATGGGGATGCTGCTGGGCGGGCGGATTTCTCTGCTGTTGCTGCCAATGATGACCTTGCCGACCGCCATAGCCATAGTTTGCATAGAGTGCACTCTGCTCTGGAGTAGGTCTAGGTGCCGCCTGAGGGGCGTTCCATTGAGGATTATATCCTGGTACGCCCTGCCCCGGCTGCTGATGAGCTGCTGCTGCCGCTGCCCAGTAGCCCGAGTAATCTGGCTGAGAGTTTGGTGGCGGTCCAGGAGGAAGGGGTGGTTGAGTAGGTGTGTGCGCTGGCTGCGGCACGAATGGATTCTTGTTCATGGCCTACGCGTCAGACAACCCAATCGTGGTCGACGTCCGGAACGATGGATCGAGTTGGACAACTCCTAGCACTTGAGTCTTGTAATGCTTGGAACACGCTCAAAGCCAAAGGCACACGAGTAAAACCAATAACCGTCGCTTAGTCATCAGGTTTGGATTGGGTGGCCCTCGTTGCATGTCACGGTTTTCTTAGAGTGCTTCCTAGCTTGGAGACTCTATAATTCTTGGAGGCTTTACTTCAACTAATGCGTTTTAAGTAGTGATGCAGAGTTACTAGTAATGAGTGGAGTTGTACGACTATTCTAACATGCTAAAAAAACAGACTAAAAGATAACAAGTAACCTATGATTTCGTCTTGCTCGCCTGAGCTCCTGCAGTCCTCCACCACCGTGCAGCCATACCAGGTCGACGGAGCGATACAAGCAGATGAACCATAGTGCTCAGCAATGCGACACTGCCAGCTTGATGTGATGCTGCGATGGGTATGGGTACCATGTAGAGAAGTGTAGCAAGACCCAGAAGGACTTGAACATTGGCCATGGCGAGGGCAGCGTTGATAGACACACGAGCAAGAGGAGGCAGCACGGCACGCATTGCAGGATTTCTACTCTGCGCCCAGAGCAGCCAAGTGCTAATGTAGGTAGCAGTGGCCTTGATAACGGATGAGTCGCGTAACTTCTACAGGAATACAAAACTACTCACCAAAACTCGGTGGTTGAACTGGACCGTTGTAGGGTTTTCAAAGATGTTTCTCCACAAGTCAGAGCCATCCGCGCTTTTGGCATAAGCCGTCGCGAAGAGTTCATCAGTAGGAGGTACAAGACGTCCACCCATCAAAGGGAACTCGTTGTACACAAGTCCTGCATCAAGGCCAGCAACAAATGCACCTGTTGTAGGAAATTAACACGAGCTTCACGTTGAACCAAACATCCACGAACCAGAAAGGGCAGTCAAGAACACGAGACCCGTCAAGAGCTTCGACCTCGTCATGAACCGTCTCACAGCCGGATTCGAGGTCACCTCCTGCCACGACACAGTCTTCGACCCGCTCCAAATACCCGACTTGGAAAACTTCCAGTCCTTGATAACCGCCAGCCCCGAAGCCAACATGCCGCAATAAAGCACGAACGCCGTCCCAAGGTGAGCAGCCAGCCTGTACTGAGAAACGCGAGGGACCGCTCCGGGCGTCGTCATGATAGACTCCTCCAGTCCAGACTTGACCATGTACCAGCCGAGGAAGCCCTGCGCGCCCAACAGCAGCGCCATCCCGGTGAGCTGGAGCGGCATCGACCGCGACAGCTTCTTCCGGAAGGCGAAGTACGCGAGCGGAACGACGAATCCTACGCCAATCACCCGTCCCAGGACCCTGTGGCTCCATTCCCAGAAAAAGATCTTCTTGAATTCATCGAGCGTGATCGAGTGGTTGAGCCTAAGCACAAATCATAGAATGTTATTTGGTAACACTTATTGAGATTAGGATATACGCACAGTTTGAATTCCGGAGTTGCCTGATACTTCTCGAACTCGGCCGTCCATTCCTCCAACGATAACGGTGGAAGCACTCCAGTAATCGGCCGCCACTCCGTTATGCTAAGCCCAGACTCTGTAAGTCTAGTCACACCACCAACAACGATAACTCCAAAGACAAGTGCGGAAGATGCTAAGAGCCAACGGCCTACAGCCGGAGGAGCGAGGGTGGGCGCAAGCGAGGCCTCTGCAGGCGCGAAGGTGCCGTTGGCGGAGAAGAACCGAGACTCGAGGGGTTTCCGAAGGCCGGGAAGATGCTGTGGTTTGATATTCGAGGTCGCGGAACGCGATATAAAACGCGACGCTCCCAGCGTTAACCGGCTTGCAATGTTAGCTCGGAGGTTCCGACACAGGCCGTTTGAGAGTGGCTGGAACGAGCCACGCAGTGCTGGGCGGCTCAGCGCGGAGAGGGCGCCGCCAAGGATGGACATGCGAGGAGAGACGGCGCGTTTGCACGCTGCCTTGCTGTTAGCTAGAAGGTCGACTGGCCTGGTGGCGTTGTAGGCTTGAGAGCGGCGAACGACGGGCCGATTATTATTAGTAAAGTCGCGTTCTCTTCCGGTTCCGAGAGCCGACCACGCTCCTCCTACAACCTGACCATGTTTGCCCTCGTAAGCAGGAGGCTACAACTCGCTAGGCCTGCGGCCCTCCGCTTGTATAGCACACCGTCGCCATCGCTGGATACCCAACACACGCGCGAACTCTCAGACGGCGAGCGTAATATCCACAACAAGCTGCTGGAGAAATTCTCTCCGACGGACTTAGCGGTACAAGACGTGTCTGGTATGCAAACCAGTCATGACATCGGCGTATATACTTTGACACTGCCAGCGCAGGCGGCTGTGGTACATTCTATGCTATCAAGATAGCCAGTGAATCCTTCAAAGGGCTGTCGATCATTAAGCAGCATCGCCTGGTCACACAAACCTTGAAGGCGGAGATTGAAGGCATCCACGGTCTTCAGGTCGGCACCCAGCCGCTTTCCCTTCGAGTTATTCTGACGGCGACTCGCAGATTAAGACTGAGGTCCCATAGCTTCACGAATATTCCCGACAAGGTATGCCAAAAGCCCAAAATGCATCTACGTCACAGTGTTCTATGGACGCTCAGCGCCTTGAAATATTACTTGCCTTTAATCCCAGACCCTACTCTCCCTAAAAGTGCCCAATATACCCTCTCTAAGAAAAGGACCTATCCATCAGCGCGCACAAAATCAAATCCTTCCGCGCATGTTGCGCTTATGACGGCTTCTGTCACAGCTTTCTGCTCAATGTCAGAAGGGAGATAGCCTCTCGAGAGTATACGTCTCGGTTTGGATCATCCATGACCTACGTAAGAATGAGGTCAGTGTGCTTGCCACTTGGACTGAACCATAAATCGTCACCTCTTTCCAGGTGAAATGCTTCTTAAGCATGGCGAAGAAGCGCTTATCCGCCTGTGAGAAGTAATCAGCCAAGTTCAGCAGGTAACAGATCGTTATGAGATGAACCTTGCGTCTCTTTTTATAGCAGAAAAGAATCTCTACATCCTTTGAATCTCCGAGAGAGCACAGGGTTTGCACCAGCAGCGGAAATGCAGGCTCGAAGTATACGCAGTCCGCGGCCAGGACGATGCTAGGGCGAGGGACGTCGGGCAGCTTGTCCCCCCTAGGATAGTATGAAACGCCGTTGACATTTTCTTGGGGCTCGAGCTCATACAGACCAGTTCAGCTCGCACACTGTGACCCTCGATTGAAGATCATTGATTTCAACGTTTTTGTTCATGATGTCAAGTAATTGTCTGCGAGGATGATGCCTGGTCCATTCGCCGTAAGTGTAAAGATGAGCATGTGAACGTACTTTTGATCGGTGATGTGGACATCTGCGCCGAGCTTTCCTGCGACAAGGCCAACTAGTCCAGTACCACTGCCTAGCTCCAGGACTTGGCGGTTTTTGAGCCAGGAGGAGCCCCGCAGAACAAGGTAATCAGACAGCACCTACGACAGTCAGCGCGACAGATAACAGATGGCAGAAATCTGCCTGCCTGTCCAGCCGGCCATGCGATGCCCCCGCAGCCTGGGGATGCATCAACGCGCAGCGAGATCGTCACTCGATCATGCTCGCCGGCCTGGACTGGATACGTGGGGAACGTCAGACATGTGGTATCATTGAGGATGGAAGGTGGCTGGCTCGGTACGATGTCACCATCGTCGTCTGGTTTCCTGAGGTGTCTGAGTGGATCGATAACATCAAGCGCCTCTTGCTCCGCCAGATCAGGGGAAGGAGTTCGTGTGGAGTTGGGCACTTGAGAGGAGGTCATGCACTCGAATTCGTCTTGGCTGATTTCGGCGGAGATGGTTTGTCGTTCAGCGCAGTTCTACTGTATATATCAACAAGACGAGGTGTGAGATATCCGACATCATTGTGAGTTGTCTGGACCTACAGGAATATTGTGATGTGCCTCTATCGGCAACTCAGAGCACGCAGTTAGCGAAGGACGACAACTTTAACGCCGGAGCCGGACTTCGGAGATGCATCCGCTGGCGGAATGCGGGCAATTCAATGGCTAGTAAAGCCATGACAATGGTCCCATCCCACGATTACAAATAATGCCCTAATATATTGGGACCTGTAAACGAATGAGCTATATGTTCTTGCTCGCAGCTATGTTTTCGCAAAGTAGAGTGGACAGTGCTGTAGAGCCTCGATCAGTCGGATTGTAGACAAGTAGCCGAGTGATCAGCGGGACATGTCGACGAGCTGTGCATGAGCAGATGGGATGATGACTGTGACACTGGCCGATGATGTATTTTTGCGTCTCTTCGTTCCCATCGGCTTCACATCCCAGCCAACGCTTACTATATGCACTCAGTGTCCGTGCTACTCCTCGGAAAGATGCGTCCCTGTGAAGCATCATCGCTTGAACCGGCTTTTTGGACTGCCCGTACACTGCGCTTCCTTGTCTTTCGACGACTCTGACTCCCCCACCTCGCTGCCTTGCTTCGAATTCTCGTCTTTACCCCGGAGCCGCATCCATCGCACAGCAAGCAATCTCCTTCAACACCCACCATGTTGTCACCCACCCAAGACGACCTTCCGCCGTTACCCAGGTTCTCGAGACGGACGATGAAGGCCCATGGTCCACGGCCATGCAGCTGGGCGTCCAATCGCTCTAGCCTCAAGCCTGACCTCGAACACGAATCTCAATGGCCAACACCTGTAGACTGGTGCCCAAGACTGTCGAGGATGTCGACATCATCATCGTTGTCCTCCAGATACTCTGAGTCGACCCAGTCACATCGGTCCTCGTGCTCCCTTGATCCACCTCCATATTACTCGGTCGCCCAGGAGAGACGTCAGAGCAAGGCAGAGAAACCAAAAGGCCCTCGCCGGCTCCCAACACCCCCAGACTCCCCTGCCAGACGAACATCATTCGTCCGACCTCTCCCACCCCTGCCACCACTATCCGTCAACGTTTCGCTTAATGCCATGGAAGGTCGGGAAGCGCTCTCACCATCAGAGCCAGCTTCGCTTCCTCTTCCGCATCCATCACCGGAACCACCTTCTCCCTCCGACGATATCATCGACTGGGACCTGATTTATGAAGCCCTGGGGTGCGCATGATGGCGACCATACAGTGATTGGCGGGTTTCCTGGCAAAAGGGGTTGCCGGAGGTCGCATACATACCTCCTTCAGTATGTGAGTACCTTGCTTTTGAATGCTTTGAGTCGCATCCGCTGAACGCAGGAACAGTATTATTTTTGGATATCGCTCTATTTTGCAGGTTATTAACTCCGTTCTCGATGTACGAGTACCCATACCCTATACAACTCGACGAATGCGCTACCTACGACTTTCATGCCCCCCGAGTTTTGCAGCATCAACTGGACTCTGGATGAAGTCTTCTTGTTTAATGCCATTATTTACTGATACGAACTCCCACTGCTTGTAGTTATAACACATGAATGGATATCCATATGAATGTTCTTGGCGTGATCCGTGTGTGATAGCGTTCTGAGAAACGCGGTGATCGCTAGGTTTTTGTCAAGGTCTGGAACAACGATTTTACACGGCACTCGTTGGTCGTAAGTGTTTCGTAACATCATTTGTCGCCATTGGTAGCTCACAATATCTCAGGGAGGAAGGCATGGCTCTCATCAGCACTGAATGGGAGAAGCGGACCCTCGAAAGTATGCACGATCACTGGTTTATCTCATCAGGCCTGGGTCAGAAACGAGAAATGTGAACTCGAATCACGTCACGCGCGCGTTCACTAACCCTTTTATCAGCTCTTAGCATGCAGACACTCGACATGCATCTCATGCTATGTCCATTGACCAAAAGCTTTCTAGGACGTACGAATTCTCGGAATCTGTTGCACCTGCGCCTTTACTCCAAACTACGCCTCCCGAATGCTCCATCATTACGGGCGGTTGTGGCTGACGTCTTGGGTTAAGTTATCCATTTCTGACCATAACTCAATACTATCCAGCTATCTCCTGACACCCTGCGTCCTGATACTTTTTCCGTCGTCATCCAAATAACCGAAAGTGCTACCCCGTGTGGAGATTGCCTGGATTGTGAAGTATCGGAACTCTGCGGCCTCATCTCACTATACAGTAGGTCAAGAAGAAGGCTGTATCTCGCCCCGCATCTGCTCTTCGGTGGGCTGATCAGCCTCGCGGCAGCCTTGAGGCTAACTATCAATAGGAAGCGCGGACACCCCATTACCGCACGCATTCCACGGTCACTAACCACCTTGCCACCTTGGTCCTATAAATGAAGGGCAGGGTGGAGGGCATCTACAGATACAATCCCTTCCGCCTTGGTTCTGAACCACCACCACCACCACGATGTCTTACTACGCACCCGACACATATCCAAGGTCTCGTCGCCAGTCCTTTGCGAGCAGCTATGGCGGCGTGCCACCACCTGGTAGCACGTACGGCGGGAGAGCCATGTCCCACGATCCCTATCATAGCGATGTACGCATTTGTTTTTTTCGTCGACACAGCTCGAGTTGACAGTAAGAAAGCCTTATATAGGCGCACCTCAGGCTCAGGGCGTGGGCTACGGCCCATACTCCAACTCCGTCGCAGCCCACAGCCAAGGATACCTCCCCGGCGGTCTCCCCGGCGGCGGTCTCCCCGGAGCCGGTAAGCCTACCCTCGCCCTCGACTCAACTTCATTAATCCTAGCATCTCATATGACCACGAGCAGGCTACGACGGCGGCTACCACGACGGCGGACGCCGCATGTCTTTTGGTGGCCCGCGCCGCCGCTCTTCGGCTGTGTCCTTCTCCGGCCTGAGCCACATCGGGGACTCCTTCCGGCGCCACCCAGTCGTCCGCTTCAAGCGCAAGGGCGCCTTCACGTCCGGCATCACGCTCGGCGAGGCTCAGGCGAACGTCCGCCTGTCCGGCTGGGACTCGTACACTCTGCACGACCTCCACGTGGACGGGCGCGGACGGATCTACATGAAAGTCAACGTGAGTCCCGTATTCTTGGGTCCGCCGAGCTAAAGAAGAAAATCTGAACGACGACGATCGTCGGTTTTTGTTTCAGTGGCCGGGGTATCCTCCGCTGAACTATGACATTCCTGTGGACGGCTATGACGGCTACGTGGACTTGCAGAGCTTGGCCCGCCGCGTTGGACGTGCTGTTGCGCATTATTTGCAGGTATGCGTCCACTATAGCATACGGATATTATGGTTTTCTAATCCTTTCGTCTGCTCAGGCCAACCGCATTCCAATACCCTGGGATCGCATCGAACTGCAGTCAATGGAGGAAATGACCATGGGTACCTGGTACCTCAAGATGACCACGGTCTGATGATGCTCTCCGAACAGTTCAGTCGTCGATGATGGCCAAAACTGCCTTTCCTCGTTTACCTTATGCTGGGCATTCACTAAATTATTGTAACAACCCCACAGACTGTCGATATGGTCATTGTACGAGTATTGGTCCACGCCTCCTTGCATGCATGTTATACATTAGTTCATTTACTGTAAAATACACTGAATACTATGCCTGCCACTACGTCGATGTGCATCGGAGATACAATACAGGTATTAAGGTAGAGTCCACAAGGCTCAGAAGAAGTACAAAACGTTCATAATAAGGGTCATTGCATGACGTTGTGTCATGTTTAGTAACGGCGCCTGCCAATCTCTGTATTATGTTGCCGACGGGGTGTGCTACGTATGCCGAGGGTGCGTTTAATCTTCGTCAGGAGCGGAACGTGCGCATCTCTGCCACGGCCCTATGAAAGAGAAGCGTCAACGAACGTTCTATGATACATGGTAAATCTCACTCACCATGTGCCGGAGCTCGTGTTTGGCGTGCTCACGGCCGCGTCTCGTTGTGTTAGGGTTGGACAATGCTGCTTCTACGTGAATTAATCGTTTCACAAGTCAGCTCTCGGCGAGGTATGAATGATGTCAGGATGAGCACTGACTGTATCCAGCAGCTCGATGCTCCTCGCGGCTTTCTCCGTTTCGACGGCCAAATCTATGATGCCAACGACGGTTGCCCTCGTAGGGACTTGCGTGCTTCCCGTGGCCTCTGCTATATTCATAGTCGCGATCGGCGCGGTAATCTGTGCGGCGGCGGAAAGGGTTCATGGTTGTAGTAGTGGTGAGCAGATAAACTGTGACGGTTTTGCAGCGGCAAGGATGCGAATAAAAGTGTCGGTTGGCGGCAGACTCTGTCCAGTGCACAGAGCGTTATAAGTGATTCCGTCAGGTCAGCGTCCGCAACGGGAAGCCCCACTTGACGTCCAGAAACACCAGTTACTCACTGGTGTCAGTGGCGCCCCCATGCGTCAGTAACGCCACTAGCAGGTGATACTGTGGGGCTAAAGCTAAGCTGCGCATATACCGTAGGCCAAGGTACTTAATGCAGATATGTAGCCGTGCCTGTGCAGTCCTGCTCGTCATGTGTTGAGTTCCTGAATAATGTGCCATGCCATCATCGCTCCACCGTCGTTGTAGAAAGGCTGTGGCCTGTTTGCTCTTGTTTGTAAAAGGATCGACGACTCGCGCCAGTCCGTCCTGTGACGCGCTTTCGAGCCAACGCCGCGACCTAACCAACTTGAAGCTTGAAGAGGGCACCCCGCATTTCAATCCAGCACAAATCCAGCTCCTACGATGTCCACGTCTCGGACCGAAGCGATTGTGAACGCAACACATCAACTGTACCTGGCTCAGAAATGGAACCCCCCTCCGAAGACATTCACCATCCTAGCTTCGCTCTCGCTGGTCTCTGCTACTGGCGAGTTCAAAGTCATTGGGATGGGCTGCGGCTGTAAATGTCTCCCAGAAAACAAGCTGCCTCTGTACGGAGAAGCTCTCCACGACAGTCACGCGGAGATTCTTGCTCGCCGCTGCGCCGTACGTTGGCTTCTCGAAGAAATAGGCCGCGTCGCGCGTGGTCGCCCGTCTCCTTGGCTGCGACAACAAGCAGATGGAAAGTATGATCTATCCGAAGGCGTACATCTGAAAATGTACATTTCCACACCTCCTTGTAAGGACCGCCGACGTGTCGTTAATAAATAGCGTCTTGAAAATGATACACAGGCGGTGACGCGTCGATGCAATTCTTAGCCTCGGTGCAGGACGAGCAAATGGCGGCGCTAAAGAACTCCCAGGTCTTCACAGATCTTCAGCCCGGGGCTACCTCCCGAGGCCGCAACAACTACTCGCTCTATGGTGTACTTCGGAGTAAACCCGGACGCGCGGATTCACCTCCAACCCGATGCATGTCCTGCAGCGATAAAATAGCAAGCTGGAATGTCCTAGGTATACAGGGAGCACTGGGCTCGCATTTTCTCCGGCCGATATATATCTCCGCGATCATCATAGGCGAGGTCGATGATGATCAATATGCCGTGCTTGAAGATTGTGAACGGGCTTTGTGGAGGCGGCTCGACAATTCGTCAGGTGAGGCACCTCATAAGCAACCCCGCATTCTCAAACTAACATCGAAACAGATATGCATCTACCAAATACCTACACTCTCAACCGCCCGGTTATCGAGTTCACACCGATCCGTTTCATCCACTCAAAGACATCTATCACCGGACCCAGTCAATCGGCACCATCGTGTAACGAATGTGATCATTTCCCTTTTCTGCGCGTAATCAATATTGGGGCTCATGCTCGTCTTACCGCTAGCACTTTGCTGGATAGCCGATTCAACAGCAAAGGCCGAAATATTGATCAACGGCATGAAGCGGGGCGTATCCCCAAAAGATCGATACAAAGAACGCTTCAGGTAAGGCCGCAGCCACCAGATCGGTAACTCTTTAGTGAATATTCCTTCGATCGATAGACCCATCCTATCCAAAGCGGCTTTTCTGCACTTGTACAACGATCTAGTGAAGGTGTTGGGGGAAGCAAGCGATGGGTACGGAACTCAGCCTGCTGCGCGGAACTCACAGCTGATCGAAATCAGGAATACTTGTTACCGCGAGGTCAAAGACGCGAGCGCGGCATATCAGCTAGCAAAAGAGTGCCTGCGTGGCTCAGGACAACCCTTCTTAGGCTGGCTGCGCAGCGGCTCCGCGGGCGAGAGGTTCACTGCGAACATGACATGTCCACCATCACCTGGCGGAAATCGATTGCACGAAAGTCCGATTACAGGGTAGAATATCGGCAAGCAAGTAAGAAACCAAACAGCGTGAGTGTAGCGAATAGCGATAGGTAGCCTAAGATAGCATAGCGAGAGGGTGTAGAGACGACATTGGGGGAGCATTACAGATCCGTGTGTAGGAACACTAGTACTTCTAAACGAAAAACACAAGATCACCTGGTGTGTGAAAGCAAAGGCGCCCAGAGGCCAAGCCCTCGGAAATGTGTTGAGAGACCGATCAGCTGGACAGCAGCGAGGCAAACTACTGATCCTTCTTCTCGGCGAGCTGTGTGACTGACTCGAGAAGCAGCTCATCAGATTCAGAGGGCAGTTGGGCTTTGTTTTCCATGACTGGAGAGCCAATCAAGATTTCACCGTCACTTAGAGAACCATTGGTGGGACTAGAACGCCCAGAGCGACTGCTAACTTCGGAAAGTTCTTTGCGCAGTGCTTCGAGTTCGCGTTCAAACCTAAGCATGTTGTTAGACGCTGGTACCCGTGACATAAAACTTCTCATAACGTACTTGCGGCCAAATACTTCAATATAGAACCCTCCACCGTTCCAGACACTAACGGCAAAGATGGATACGAGGAAGGCACCGCTCCAAAAGGGGCTGTCGTAGAGGAGGTACACCGCAGGAAGCTCAGTCAAAATGGAATACACTTCATCGGGAAATCAGTCAGCTACTTCTTGAATGATCGCCATCAAATCTTACCAAGTTGGCCGCCCATAAAAGAAAGTATGCGATATTGAGGAGGGATTTTGCTCAGCATCCGACCAATGGCTCCGCGTTTGTCGTTCAGGAGGAAGGAAAACGAGGTCGTGCGTTGCCCAGACTCGATCTTGGTGCGACGGTCCACCAGCACAAACTAAAGTTAAGTTAGCGGTCCGCTACGCCTGTGACTAAATTGTGAGGGTACCTTCCAATACAGTAGCTGCCATATGACATCTAGGGGGTAGACCAAAGATCAGCCCGTGGACAATACCAGTCAAGCAAGCGAGGAACGCACAAATCGCGCCGCTCAGGAACATAGCCTTGAATGGATTGAGATGTGGCAACTGCGCTATCGCCGGGAAGCGCTCCTCGGCGCCAGGATAGAAGTGCCTAGTTCGTGTTAGCCGATTCTCCAGCTTTTCTTAACCGCACAATTGGCTTACCGAATCACAGTGAAGGTAAAGGGCGCGTAAATGTGGATGAACAACGAGGTGACCTTATCCGAGTCGTGGAACACGAGCGAATTCCTCCACGTGATGACCGCGCTTGCCAGCGAACCGTGTGAGAGGCAGTAACATGCCACGAAGAGCGCCGTGTTTCCGGGAAGAATCCAGAGGTAGATGAAGTTCAGGATGGTCACATAATAACACAAGTCGAACAGGAAATAATGCCAGCTTCGCTTCTTGTACTTGTATGCGCGCAACGGGAGGAGGTACAGACCCTGGATAGTATACGAAATATGAATCCACCTACGTAATAGAAGCCTGTCAGCAAAAGACGCCAAGATGTAGTCATAGTAGACACTAACTGTGGTGCAAGGCCAAAGAGCAGAGCGGATAAGAGCAGAACGTTCACACCGAAGAAGAACGAGATCTTTTCGCGAGTCCGAACGACCTTTGCTGAATGCCATGATGTGAGGAGCTTCGTCATCCGCGCTGAGACCTGTAAAAACGCGTCAGGACGCGATTGGGTTCCCTTGCGGAGGATATGATGCATGCCTTGAGTTTGAAGCTCTTGATTTCGCGGTCAAAGTTCTCAGCGAGCACATCGCTCTGAGGATACCGAGTCTTAATAGCCCCCTCCGCCTTCAGCTTGAGCCGATCGCTGTGCTTCTGGATTTGTCGCTGGAGGAGGTCTATGCGGGAGTCGAAGTACGTCTCCATCGTATCTGGGGGTGCGCATTGACTAGCTTAGACCATAATTCCGCTGCCAGACCGATCAACTTACCGAGCAGCGTGAATGCGCCAGCCCAATCTGATACTTCATCGCGAACGAACCGCTCAAACGGGGCCGAGAAGTAGCCAGACTGACTGGCAGGGGAATCTGTCCTCGAAGAGGGAGAAGGCGGTGTCGACGCCATTGTCGTAAGAAGTCGTAAAATGAGCTAGGATGGGTGCTGGATGCAGGAGAGGCCGCTGCGGGGTGGGGTTGTTGTTGGTCTCTAGGCAATGCCAAAAGCGTGTAGCCGCCGTGGTCCAACCGCGGTAGGTTTCGTGTACCAGCCCTTCCAGGCTTCCACGGCACACCTCGATCCATCCATTGCTTACGTAAGGCACAACCCAAAAACACGCTCGAAGGGTTGGTACGCTCAACACGCCTTTTCACGCCGGGCGTTATCACCACCTTGAAGCACACATGCACACGCAGATACTCAGAACTTGAAGCATGATAGTAAGAGACACTAAGCATCAAGCTATGCTCATTTCTAGTAAAAACGGTATGAATCGAGCTAACTACATGAGCGAGAGGTCTCCGAACTTCTCCTTGTAGCCTGCCACCCAGAGTTAACGCCGCTTTCTGCACAGTAGAGGCGATAAACTTACCTGGGACTGTCCACTTGCCCTTCTTGATCATGTTTTCGACAGCCTCCGTTATCCGTGGGTGCGCAGCGCCGACCTCGTCGACGGTGAGGTCCTCGAAAGGACGCGCCCCCTCGATGTTGGCAAGCGTGGTCTGGAGCTCCTTCAGCTCAACGTCAATCTTCTCAGCGGTCTCCTTGGCCTTGGCGACCTTTATATACTATTAGTACAATTGTCACTTGCAGAATTGTGGTTGAGACGTACGGCCTTGGTCTCGAAAGTCTCAATGGCCTTAACGTGGGCATTGACGTCGTATGTGACGGGCGTGAAGGACTTGAGCAGCTTCTCGGCCTCGTCAACGATTGCCTTGTTCTTCAGCACAGAGCGGTAGTGTGCAACGTCAACGGTGGTCGGCTGCGAGGCGTACTGTGCCTGCAGGCGCTGGGCCTCGCTGTGCCGCTTGCGGAAGGCCTGGAGGGAAGCAATGGTCTCTGCATGTCGTCACTAATCCATCCTCATGCTTTCGAAACGTTCAAATGAGCGCACCCTTGCCCAAGCCGAGCGTCGTGTAAATCCGCGTGAAGTCCTGCACGGTCAACCCAAGGTCAGAAAATCAAGGCAGAGAAGAGCGAGGCACATACCACAGCGGCAGCAGCAGTTTTCGAAGCCATTGGCTATGGCAGCCATCCAAGCGTCAGTTAGAACGCATGAACATAGCAATGAGGACTCACATATAATAGGTCTAAGTGTCTAAAGAGTGGCAGGCGTTGAACGCAGAAATCGAGCGGAGGAAAGCCGGCAACTGCCGGACGGAATTCCGACTTTCAACGAGCCGCGTCACTTTCTCGCGCGCTTATAGTTTGCGTTTCGTCCGCCTCTTGGTTTGGCGATGCCTTGGATGTGAATTCGACTTGTCCAACAACAAGCAATTCTTCTGCCAGCTTTCATGCACATGTAGGGCGAAGGAATGCTGGGACACATGATCATTCTTGTAATTATCACGAGATTTACCTGCAAACCGGGGTACTTGTTGCTACTAAACATCTCCATCTCATGTATCAAGCTTGCTTTGATCCATCGAGTCTCCAGCAACTGTTCATGTGATGATAAGTTGGCGCTGAGGGAGGACCTAAAACGCGGAGAAAGTGTAGAGAAAGTCTGATTTACTCCAGCTTAGACGTCCAAATGCTCTTTCAAATTCATGCCGTCCTTACGCCCGCACGGTGTCTCCTGTCACATGCGCATGCGCGCTCTCAAGAAGAACCAAGCTTGAGCCTAACGTACAAAGTTTTAGGCTTACTCAGAGGCTATTTCGAGTCATGGCTGGGTGTCTGGTCACTCACGTTGATCTTGGTTCATCATGAAGTCCGCGAGTCTAGAATTTCTATTCTCACTCATTGCATGAGAGGGGCGAAACTCGAGACTTCTTTGTACGGCACGCAGATCCTCTTGGTAAAGTACCTCGAGCCTCGGCAGGGCGTCTGCCGATTGATCTGACTAGTGTAACCCTCACCCTCGATACTGCTGAGGAAAAGGTATTGCAAATGACTTGGTAAGGCGCAAAGAATTGCAGAACACCGTTTATTTGCACCATTTTGAGCCCGCGGCCCTCATTTGCGGAGAATACCAAACGTTTGGCATGTTGCTGGCATCGCGGCATCGGAACACAAAGATCTAACCGCTCGCTTGGGCTGCGCCATGCGGGTTACGCGTGTGGACAGGGATGCAAGCATCAGCTGCGCACAACATCTTATCTATCCAAGGTTTCATAGGACAACAGTCAGTAAATCTCATGTTATGCCAACGGAGGACTTTGCTCGGTGATTGGTTCTGGGAAATGGCAAGGCGCAATCACGCCAGCGTGTTCCGTGACGTGCGTTGCATCCGGGTCAGAGGATCTAGCAGAAAAATATGTACGGCGCAAAGTTCATTTATAAACGGGGTGTGATATCGATTGATGGATCGCTGGTTATTACACCTGTGCGAGGTGAAATGACAGAAGGAAAGGTAGGACGAATGCGGAGTATCTTATAGGTAGGGACGAAAAGGAATGATGAGTTAGGAGAGACTGAGTGAGGTTTTGAAACACGGCATATGAGCGCGGTACCCGGGAAGAGTGTCGGCGTGTTGTGGAGCTAGCGGAGAGAAGCCGAAGGTGGACCTGGGGTTCTGGGCAGGCTGGACACTGGCTGGACTCATGTGCTAGATTAGTAGTATGGATGTGTGAGTTTGGGGAGCGGATTGGGGACGCCGTCCATGTAAGGTAGGCGGAAGCGGTCACGGGGTAAGATCGGGATGGGCGATGGATACGGACGACAGGGGAGGTCCTCGAGAGGAGCGTGATACACTTGCAGGGTAGGCTTTGAGAGAGTTTGGTTTGTCAAACGGCGAGGAGGGGAAGGGAAGGGCTGGTGAAGGAGGCCCGGGGAGAGTCAGGAACGGGGAAAGAGAGTCTGAGAAGAGATGGGAGTCTGGAAGGTATGAGCGTGGGAAGATGGGATAATAGATGACGTGGTTGGCTGAAAGAGATCTAGATATATTGGAAATGAATCGTTGGAACTCCGACAGGAGAAGAATATAACACGACTACGTCAGAGGGCGTCATTCTTTTTCGTCACTCCCACCCGCATAGGCTGCGTTGTAAGTCAGGCCACCGCGCACGAGCCAAGCAGTGGAGGCCCAAGCAGGTAAGGGCAAGTGATAACATCTGTCCCACCTCCGTCACCCGCACCGCCCTTTCTTTCCCGCCCCCTCCTCCCATTTCTGTCGTCACCACTCGACCCGCGTCATCATCCCAGTGTCGTCATCAATATAGGTACAATGTCCAACTCCCCTCCCAGAAACGCCGACGCTGCCGCCTCTGCTTCCTCCTCGCACAGCGACAAACACCAGCAGCAACAGTCGTCTCAACCCCGCAAGATTCGCTCCGATTTTGATCTCGAGCCCAACCCTTTTGAGCAGTCCTTCAGTCGTCCCTCGCACGTCCGACACACTTCCGCCGCAAACAATCGCGATACAAACACTTCATCCCCCGTCTCTGTAGGCAAGTCTTCAGATAAGGACCGCCCAAGTTCTGCTGCCTCCAAGAACGATGCCCGCTCGGCATCGCCCCGCCCCGTCCTCCCTCCTCTTGCCGCCCTCGCCTCCCCATCAGAGAACGGCTACAACTGGCAGTTCTCTTCCCTCGCAAACTCGCTAAGGGCTGGGCCTCTGTCCCCTGCCATGCTCGCTGGCCCCCAACAGGGCTCAGATTCTAATTCGCATCTCCCATTCGACCCTTCCTCCTTCCGCACGGGCCTTACTCCTCGAAGCGGCCTCACTCCCCGCACCGGTCTTACCCCAGGTACAGGCCTTACGCCGCTTGTTGGCGGCCCTGTGTCCTTCCCACCCCCTTCCCCCAACACCGCCGCCTTCCTTGCCCTCATGAACAACAGCTCGGCGAACTCGGGCTCAAATGCTACCATCACCCCCAACACCCTCTCCGCTATCACTGGCGTCCTCAATGGATCTAACGGCCAGCAATACAACAACTCCACCCCTCATGTTCCCTCTAGCCTCTCGACGTCTCACACCGCCAAGCAGGAGGACAATAACGGCAACTCCAACGGCAACTCCGGCGGCGACAATGCGATTAACTCCAACAATAACAGCTCCACCTCTCAGGAATCGCAGTACCTCGCCAATGCCTCGAACGCTGCTGCAACCGCAGCAAACGGTCTCTACCTGCTTTCGCAAGCTCACCAAGAGCTGACTAAGCGGGAGGAGGCTCAAGCTCGTGCTAATGGTGCAACACCAGCCGTCAACGGCAAGCGGGGGGCGAAGCGCAAGTCTTATGATCTTGACAGCCCACCTCCTCCACCGGCTCCGACCGCCCGGACAGCAAATCAAGGTCCCGCCCCTACAAAGCGGGCACGGGCTAACACCGCTACAAGCACCACCAGCACGGGCGGCCTGGGAAAGAACTCACTTGATGGTGAAGAGGAAGAGGAGGAAGAGGATTTCGACGATGACGACGAGCAAGAGCGACACCAGCAGAATCCTCAAGGTGGTCGGAAGCAGAAGAAGCCAGAGACTGAAGAGGAGAAGCGGAAGAACTTCTTGGAGCGTAACCGACAAGGTAAGGGCGTTTGCCGTCGATATGAATCAAGTAGTTCATCATGCATTATCAGCCGCTCTCAAGTGCCGACAGCGGAAGAAGGCCTGGCTGGCTCAGTTACAGGCAAAGGTCGAATATCTTCAAAACGAAAATGAGCGCTTAACGTCAGCTTTGGTATCATCCCGTGAAGAGATATCACGGCTATCAGCTCTTGTTGGCGGCGCTGTGATCGGTCCAGGAGGATCAACAGTCGGATCGGGGATGGTTCCTTCGGCCGCTCCCACTGGGGTAAGTGCCGATGGCTTTGGGGTGGCCGTAGCTCTAAACAAATATCGACAGCCCGTCAGCATGAACATGAATCTGAACTCAAAAGCTGGCGCGTCAGCTGCTGCGGCCTCCCGGAGTAGTGGTGGTTACGGATACTAGGGGTCGCCACGCAGGGGCTTGATGCCGTGCTGGTGTGTGTTGTTTCTTCGGGATGTCACGGGATATAGTTGTAATCATTTGGTTTAATAGGTCGTTATATTATTATTTGTCTATCAGTGTACTCATACACGCCCGAGTACACTCCTCGCGTAACCCGACACACCTTCGCCTTCAGCTTCAATCTTCATACGCTAGCATTTGCACGTTATATCCATGACATCCCACCAGCTTCACCTCCCATCCATGGCCCTCTCATGACCATTTCGACACGGCGCATATACAATGACACCAGCATCACGGTGTATGTACGACGTTTCAATCGGACCTGTCTTGACTTCTGGCCAGGCGATCACACCATGCGGACTCTGTTCTACGACCTCTGTTACGTTTACATGTGAGTATACGCGAGTTGGATCGATTAATCTTCTCGGCGGATCCTCGGGCGAGCTGCTGGCACGCCGTTTGTACGATAGTGATGTACGTTACATACAAAACATGTTACACAGTGCCTACTCACATACACATATGCTTCGTCGGTGGCGTCTCATACAAGGCAGCCGCCACGACTGATTTATTGATCAGAAAATGTAGACTGTACGCTACGGTTCAATTGTATTGCATAGATTTGGAACCTTCCACAGTTTGCGACCAATGTGATTGACATTTGCCTCTCGCCTTGGAGACGCAAACGTTCCTTGCCCTTTCGCTAATTGTCAAGTTAGATCATCCCTCTACATAATTTGTCACGATTTCAATAAGAGGATACAGTAGATAATTACACATAAAAAGATCGGAGCTGGGCACGACACCGTCCATCGTAGCACAACATTTAAAGTTAGACTACTCTTCGATGGCAACGCCCCGCCGAAAACACGGGGCAGCGTTCCTCTATCATGCCATCCCCTTGAATCCCATGATCCATCCCTTCCATACCTCGCCCCGGCTATCAACGTCGATGAAATCCATCGTCACACTCGTGATCATGGTTTCAGCCTGAATGATGACAGGTACGCTGCGTCGTCGGTCCGTGATCGGGTGGGCGGCGGCGGGTCGTTGTGGTATCCAGCCGAAAGCGAGGCACCCTCGGACATCTTCTGCGCGATGAGCGCGCACAGTGCAGCTGTGAAGTGAAAAAAAAGAATCAGATGCAAGGTCAGAAATTTCGAAATTGTTCAGTGATCGAATTGCGCAGATGAACATCTGGCAACAGGGCCTGTAGGGGAGAGGCGTATTGGGGTGGCAAACGCACCTCCTGCTCCACTGCCGTCCTTCGCCATGCCGATCTCAACGCGCGACTCTACCTCGCTGCCGACGAGGACACGGATGGAATCGCGCATTTTCTTCTGGAAGTTGGGGTAGAACTCCACGAGACTGTCAAAAGGTGATACATGATTTATAACACCCATTCAGAAAAATGCGCATTCTCGGTGAGTTGTGTCCCGGATCGCGCACAACTTTGATCGGCAGACGCACCTTCCGTCGACGCCGACGCCGATCCGCTCCCCGCTGTCCACCAGCTCGCCCTTTCCCTCGCCGCCTAGCCGTGCCCGCCCTGTTTGAACGAGTATGGCTGCGACCGCACATGCGCTCATGCGGGCCGCGCGGTCCACTACCAGTGTACAGATTTGTCGGACGGTGGCGGCATCCTCCAGCGAGACAAGGTCGTCTGATTCGAATTCAAACCGCTGTAGCAACACACCGCGTACGCGCTGTCGCTGGTCCTTCTCCGAGGAGCCGGAAAACCGCCCGAGGCCCGTCCACGCCTCCTCAACTTCGCTCAGGACAGCGGTATCGAATGCCCACTGCTTGTTGAGTATGGGTGTTGATCGGCCGGTGAACAGGAGAGGTTTCGGTGCTGCGTCAATGAAGGAGAGTACGACGTTCCGTGCGATCTCGCCTAGGTACATGCCCGAGATGAACTTCTCGAACGCTTGGAAGCGAGGGTTTATCGATTCTCGATCAAGCTTGTTGTCCCAAGGCGTCGTAGGCAACACGGACCGCTATCTCTGGCGTGAGCGACGCTCAAGACAGTACGTGTGTAACCGACCGAGTTATTGAAGCCACCCCACTCCGTGTTGACAATCATCATGCCTCCTGCTGCTGCCGTAGGATGCTTCCCGAGCTTGGTGATGTTTGAAACGCTTTCTACGTAGGCACCGTTCGTTCCGGTCCCAAAGATGGCACCAAGCATGCAACCGCCCGTGTTGTATGCTCTCGAAAGCAATGCACCTACAGTCTAGATAGAGGCTAGTGAACAATGATCCGTCGTCTCAAGCTGTAGGATGAGAGGTACGTACGTCATTGACAAGGGCCACACACTTGACGTGTATGTGCTTGCGATCGAATGCATCCTGCAACAGCTTAACGACGTCCTTGCCCACCGCGTTCTTGGCCGAGAAGCCCTTTGTCCACGTGAGCAGAAACCCGGAGTCTAAGGCTGTCTGCTCGACTGGGAAAGAGAAGGTGAGGGCGAGAGGAACAGCCGGGGGATCGGAATCGTTGAATGAGGTATGTCTAAAGCCATCAATCTTCGGTGATTCCGCTTTGGGCGACACGGTCAGGAACGCGTCGACGGAGTCCGCGAGGTAGTCTGTACGTCGGACGTGTTACGAGGTTTCACCATGCCAGAAAGGAGAGCAGATCATACCAAACAGTGTTGTTGCCTCGCCTGTTTTGAGTGCCTCGGACACTTTGTACTTCTGCTGGCGAATGGAAAACGTCTTATCTCCGTGCAGAGTGACCTCGCACACACGACTACGAAATCAGTCCGCAAGCTGCCAGCGCCCGTGCAATAGGTCCCTCACAGGTTAGTTCCCCCGAGATCGAGCGCAAGGAAAGTTCTGGCCAATGATATTTGAGCGTCAGCGGTGACGATCATACGGATGTAGGACACATACCCGGTTTCTGAGCCATTAGGTACGCCCTTGACATAGGTAGGACTAAACAAACGATCAGCGCAGAAGTGGAAAGCGACGGTAAGTGAAGTTACATCATTGCCATGGGATGGCCATATTTTGAAAGACCATCGGAGACCTCGGAAAGGAAGGTCTTGGTGATAGCATGCAGCTGGTGATCGTGGAGTGTGAAGTGGTCCTTGAGAGCATCGAGAGGATGTGTCGGAGAGTCGGAGAAGATGGCCGCCATGGCAAAGAAGAGGGAGGATGCGACGATACCTAGAGTGGACGCGGACGGGGTTAAGAGCGAGCTGGCAAGGGCGAAAGGTAGGTGGTGATGAGGAAGTGAGAGACAGGAGCAGATATAGCAGCTTCCGGATATGGCTTCTACGTCATATAAACCTCGGCGTCGCTGTCCCTTCCACACAACCGGGCGCGCTGACAGGTTCCGCGTCTCTGCTCAGTACGTATCAGTATCGACGTCAGTGATCCCGCCACGTTCGGTCGTGTCATTGGCTTAATTCTCCGAATATTTTTTGCCACAAGATAGCGTACATCCAAGACTTACTGACAGACAACCTCCCGCTCTTTCATCGATTAGGCTGTGTCTAGTCTACCCGATTTCTCCCTATTTCGATGGGGTATTCCTGGATTCATGCTTGGCGGGCGAATTGCGGGATATCCGGGAAGCTGTTCCTGGTCGGATGCTGATCGACATCTCCGACTTCCACATTCCCACACTCGCGACCCAGAACGCGTCCCCGGATACCGAAAGTGCCCAACCACAAGACCGCCATGGCCATCGACGGTCTCATCATCCTTGATTCAACCGGGTGAGTGTTTGTCTGCACAGTGTGTACAAAGCTGATTGTCGCTTTCCAGGCGCCCTATCATACAGTCTGGCTACACGTCCTACCCGCCAGGTTACCCAATCTTGCATGTAGATGCGCTCAACACTGAGCTTAGCAAGTGCGCGCGTGCAAAGGATGTAGACCCTGTCATCTATGTAGGACCAGGCATTGGAGATCTCCGCGGCAGCGCCTGCTGTCACGTCGAGGTCGGTGGGATGAGGATCTTGGCCAGCGTCAGCCGCGATGGTGAGTCGTTCATTCCATTCAAAGGTCTTTGCTAACAGGTTCCGATTTATACGTTCCACACTCACGCTGAAACTGATCTTGCTTCATTCGGTGCCCAAAAAGCCGATCCACTCGTGGCGTTTGCTTTCCTCCAGGCGTTCGTCGATGTCCTCGTCGACTACTTCGGCACGGTCAATGCTGCCACGCTGAAGGATAACTTCGATACTGTATATCAGGTATTCGTTTCCTCTTCGTGCATGTGCCAACTCTTCTGATCATCAACTGGCCTGGTGTTATCATCCAATCGTTTGAACGCCCGGTATAGCTCCTTGAAGAGACCTTGGATTCTTCCGGGCATCCGCTCACAACCTCTCCCAACGCCCTCCGGGACATCGTACTTCCGCCGTCTCTTATCACAAAGCTAATAGCGTCCATCGCTCCGTCCGGTCCTTCTCCGGCCTCTGGTAGAACTGGCGCAGGTCCGTATCTGTACATTCATTTTAAATCCTGTATTTGCTAACGCCGCGTCTTCATGAATACAGGTTCGCTGGCAGGGGCCGGTGCAGGGGCCGCATTTGCCTCGCCTATTCCATGGCGGAAGGCTGGCGTAAGGCACAACCACAATGAAATCCTTTTCGATGTCGTGGAGGACATGTGCGCTACGATCGGTCGGTAAGGTTCGACTCTTCTCCAGCCCTCTTTGTTCACCCAGGTTTTAAACTACCTAGGAATGGAGCTACGCTGTCGAGCTTAGTATGGGGAAAGATTGAATGCAATGCTAAACTGTCAGGCACGTTCTTTCTCTTCGTTATCTTTCTTTGCCTTACCGTTTGCGAAGGGACGCCGGATCTGACAATGACTTTCACGAATCCAACTGTGATGACCAACTGCGCTTTTCATCCTTGTGTTCGGTTCGTAGTTTGACCAGCTGGGCAAAGGTGCTGATGCTGACACCAACTAGTCTGCAGCGATGGTCTCGAGACAAGGTCTTCTCGTTCGTACCGCCTGATGGACAGTTTGTCATCGCTGAGTACCAGTACGGTCCCCCTCATGGCGCATTGTCGGGCAATGTCCCGGTACCGATAGCTTTCAAAGCCAACGTTACGACCGACGAGAACGAAGGTCGGCAAGAATTGCGTTTCCCTACCGGTTGCTACTAAATCTTGACTTGTAGGCTCATTCACTCTCACCATCTCCTCAAAACTGTCGACAAAGCCTATGGAGAACGTCATAATCGAGCATTACCTCGGAGAGGACTCGACAGGCGCACAGTGCTCCACGAGCAGCTCCGGTACCGGTCTTGGTACGGTCGGAGGCGCGGAGGGCTCCTGGATGTACGACCATCATAAACACGTACGCAATTTTTGACCGTCAAACGAATTGATATTGATAGTGTATGCACAGGTCCTTCGCTGGGAGATACCCAACTTGACCACATCGGGGAGCTGGTCGCTCCGGGGATCTTGGACATCCAAGTAAGTGGCCAATGGGTGGCTCCTTTTCTGGTGGCTGATTCCCTTCAGGTCGAAGACCCCACGACCAGATCGCACATACTCCATCAAGTTTGATATTCCCTCATATACTTTCTCTGCCCTGAAAGTGGATCAGCTTCGTCTCAGCTCGGAAGCGTACAAGATGTACAAGGGCGTTCGTGGACGAAGCAAGGGGTCCATCGAGTGGAGATGGTAGTCTGTCGATTATAAGCAGTGAATATATACGTTTTAGAACGACTAAAGCGCTACGCGCGGCGGAATTGAGTTTGCAGGCGGGGATGAGGATGAGGGTAGGTACGGTGCTCTCTAAAGTCATAGCGTTCCGCGGTACTGCACATCAGTACCGGGGTCCGAACGAGCTCTGCCTGGGCGTGAGCGCGTCGAAGCGCTTCGAGATCTGCTCCCAGTTGACGACGCTCCAGAACTCGCGCAGCCACGCCTCCTTGCCCCACACGCCAAAGTCGCGCAGCCAGCAGTGCTCGTGCACGCTCAGGCAGAGGAGCGGGAGGAGCACGTCGCCGAGCTTCTTGAAGTCGTAATCGCTCTCCGCCATGCGCGTGGCGCCGTAGATGTTGGACACGGACGAGATCGAGCGCGCGGGCGAGGACGGGTGCAGCGGTGGTGGCTGGTGCGATACACCCGAGACGGGGGATGTCGGGGCTGCGCCTGCGGCAGACCCGACTGACGACGACGACGGCGCTGCGGCTCGGGAGCCAAGCTCTTCGCCGAGGATGGGGTTCTCGAGGCGCGGGTCGTCCGTGCCTGCGCGCGAGCGGACGAGGAGCGTGCCGGCGGCGAAGGTCGGCAGGACGGCGAGGTTGCGGCGCGGGTCGGTCACGAGCCAGACGTAGCCCGAGCCGGACATGCCCAGAGCGGTGCTGGAGAAGAGGGACTTGAGGTGGTCGATGGCGCCGAACTCTTCTCGTATCCGCATGTTCAGGTTGGAGGCTTCGACGTCCTCGTCGATGACATCTGAGGGAGGTTTCTGCAGAGTTTGGGGGCGTGGTCAGAATAAAGGCGAGGGAAAAGGATAAAGGCGGGAGAAAAGCGCGTACAAGGCAGTTGAGGAAGAAGCTGTTGTTGAGTGCGTGACTGGCGTAACTGTACGCGAGGGTCATGTCGGGAGCCATGGCCGTGTCAAGGACAGTCTGAGCGACGGAAGCATTGGCGACGCCGGTATCTGCACGCGAGTTAACAAGTTGAACAACTCTACTCGAATACAGCACGTACTCCGTACTTGCTCGTTGAGGCGCGTAAGAAGTCCATCCTGGTACTCGACTGCAACCGTCTTCAGCGTCTCGGGGGTCATGAACTTGCCCAGGCCATCCTCCATTTTGTACGGGAGCTCCTTGCGAGTGTGCAGAGAGCGCTTGAAGGCGCGCTGTCCGGAACGCCTTGCGGCACCAACTGCACCAGCCAAAAGAGGAGCAGACGACCTAAGACCTGCGTGGACCATAACAAGACGACGACGCGGGAGAGGCAGAGGAGGGAGTGTGCGAGGGGAGGGCGGACCAGAGACGGGTGTACCGGTACGAGTGACTTTTTTCGCGGGACGCGTTCTACTGACGGGCGCTTTCCAATTTGGCAGCTTCGGCCGCTTTTGAGCCGCTTCTCACCGTCACCTACATACTTCCACGTCCGCACGTCCAAGCCTAGCAGCAACACCCCCGCTCGTTACACATAATAGCTATGGCAGGCCCGAAGCAAGCAGCAAAGGCCAACTCGGACGTCTCCGGTGCTGTTACGACCCTCTGGGGTTCCTACCTCGACCAGACCCCAGACCGCCTCAAGCTCATTGACGCGTTCCTCGTCTTCATCATGCTCTCCGGCATCGTCCAGTTCGTTTACTGCGTACTGGTCACCAACTTCCCCTTCAACGCGTTCTTGGCTGGGTAAGCAGAGTGTAAGCACGTTACCCCCATATTCGCTGAAGTGTCTTTTTGGGGCAGGTTCTCGAGTTGCATCGGCCAATTCGTCCTGACTGCGTCTCTCCGCTCCCAGGTTAACCCTGAAAACAGGTCGGAATTCAAAGACGTCTCTCCAGAACGGTACGCTCGGCCTAACAGTTTCCTGTTCATCACCTTATGCAACCCCCGCAGTGCCTTTGCCGACTTCGCTCTGGGTTCCATTGTACTGCACTTCTTTGTATACAACTTCCTGGGATGAAGTGCTGTGCCTCCAATCCATCCCTTGCACCTCACGACTCGTGTAAATCCAAATCGTTCGATTCCATCATCCATAAAACGACGCCATTATTATACAGTCGAGAGAGAGGAGGTTGTAGAGTTGTGCGAGATGAGGGAATGAAACTAAGGAATGGTGATGTGGTGTAATGAACCAGGTTCAGCCTGAACAGCGACTTTAAGCTTTAAGCTTCAAGGCTTCCTCTCGAAGGAGTCGGATCGCTGAAAGAATGCTGAGCATGCAGGACGAGAGTGGGACAGAGGTGGCAACATACACCCATGACAACGACGGCAAAGTCAAAGGCATACTCTCCTAGAAGCCAAATACACATTAGAAGTGGGGGAACACCAGAGTCGGATGGAAACTTGCCGAATTCAAGATACGAGCGCAGGATTTCTGGATTCACTGTTAAGCGTAGTTGACAAAGAGCAGTAACATGACTTACGTCGGACGTCTTTGTTCGGGACTGTGGCTAGCTTCGGCCTAGAGGGTGGTTAGCTCGCGTTCAATGTGTGCTCGATAGTATGTCATACGTGAGACCAGTCGATCGTCGGACGCCAGCAAGGAATGCGCTGATGATTAGAGCGTCAATGCCCCAGTGAAAGAGACGTCCAAACATTGCTAGAGTTCAATATAGTGTCGATGATAGCAGGTATGGAAGTTGTTTGGAAGGTGTTGTAGAGAGGAGGTTGGTTGCTGGCGCGAGGTCCTTGCTACCCTCCGCCAGTCACTCACGTACACAATTCCGCGCCGAGAGATAGGGGTACTTTCTCACGGGCACTTGGAGTACTTGTCAATGCAGTCCATAGCTTTATAAAATTGCTGCTGAAGTTTATAGCGTTACAGCTGATAACTACAAATTGGTGAATGTTAGGAACTACATCAAAGATTACTCCGATAAGAGGCCAGCTTTTCGAGTGCTTGAATGGTTGCCCCCTTCTCTTCTTTGATGATATTTGAGAACGCCTTGAAAGTCGATGTGCTGGCATCGCCTGGAAGATTGAATCGATTTCAGCACACATAAGAGAGAGAAATTAGTGCGGTGGGTGAAGTCCATTCTCAACATACGTTGGAGCTGGAACGCGGCACTTTCGCTAGTGGTGATGTGTCCGCCAGCTTGACTGATCCTCGAGAGGGCAATAGGCACTTCTTCCTTGTTACAGCTGGAGACCCCGTCAGCCAAGACATGAACATTATAGCCGGCTTGCAACAGATCAAGAGCAGATTGTAAGACACAGATGTGAGACTAAGCGAGGACACTGAGCAGATGATGCGACGAGAGAGGGGGAAGGTCTACCTCAACGCCGAAAAGGACGATAGAGCGGACGTCCTTTCGAGAATCGAGCAATACTTTGACCTCCGGCGTCAACATCGAGAATACCGTCTTCTCGACGGTGGCCAGATGAAGAGAACCGAGGGACTTGAGGTCGATTTCGGGAGTGGTATTGCCAAGACCTGACGGAGGAGAGACATCTATCCCGAAATTGAATCAGCGGAGCGGGTGATCCAATCACCTTTCGGGTGTTGCTCGGTCACTATGACGGGTATACCAAAAACCTGATCGACAGAGAATGTAAAACGTGGCATGAAATGCCGACGGCGCCGTGGCGTGGACGGACCTTTGCGAACTTGAGCATCTTGTTTGATATGGCGACGACCTCGGGGAAGGCGTGGATAGCATCCTCTGTGCGACATTTCAAGCGAACTGGGAGCTGACCCGATTTGTGGATTGGCAACGTACTGAAGCGGGACTGTATGTCACAGAGGAAGAAGATGGTCTGGCTTGGGATGAGGCGAACGAGGTTTGACATGGTGAATGTCGGCCGGAATGTGTGCTTATGGATGATGTATGAGGGCCGGCAAGTTCCCCACATGCGCGAAGGCTGTCGAAGGTGACAGGCGCAGTCAGCGACCGAGGCCGTGAGAGAAGAGCGGCTGATGGACGGGGGACGAGGCGGAGTTTGAACGCGAGCGAATGGGTAAATATGGATGATGGGGAAACTCGAACCAGCCCCTGCTGCTCGCCATCGCCAACTCACCCTCGTCCACCCCCGGAACGTCGTCCAAGACGCGCTCCGTCCTCTCCTTACACCCACTCTCTTTACCAGTCCACTCTTTATCTTTATTAAGCCCCTTCTCCCCTTCCAACAAGGCGACCGCACTATGGACTCTTACTTTGACGTTTCTCCCATGTTGCCCCAAGATAACACCACGGCGGACGCCCGCCAGAGGGTGAGCTCACTTCGCTGTCCCATCACTTCCTAAAGGCCCTCTGATATCGCCTAACAGTTCGAGAGCTTCAAGTTTGGCGGTGGCGTTCCCCCTCCGAGCCAGGCCACCCATCTTCGCCGCCCTTCACACGCGCGCTCTCGCTCTCGCAACAACTCTGTTACTTCTTTTACTTTTCCTTCTCACTCCCAGACTCCTTCTATGAATGATGTCCCCTCTCAACTCCCCCCTGTACCATCAAACTCTCCTCCCAAGCGCCCCAACTCACATCATCGACGCCGGTCTTCTGTCTCCACTCGCTGCGAGTCGGCAGAGCTTATGGGTGTCTCCATCCCGGACCTGCCCCTTTCGAACTCGAACGACAATGTCAACTTTGGCGATAAGGATTCCATCCGCCGCCGCGCCCTCTGGGCCCTCGAGGGCAAGCCTGACGTATCATTTGCCAAGGTGGAAATTCCCGAGCTTGATTCGCCTAGTTTGTCCAAAGGCGCTTCCGACTTTCGTAAGTTTCCCCACACTCCGCAGCTCCCTTTGTCTTATCGCATGCTTTGTAGCCCCCAAGCCTTCATACGCCCCTGCATCAAGCCTTGGCGGGTTTTCCAATGGGCTCGGCGCTACTTCTGGCAAGCGCGACTCTTTCAAGTTCATGACGTCGACCTCTTCCATGGATCAGCTGGGAACGTTGCTAGAGGAAGAGGAAGAAGAAGAAGAGGATGTGGACGAGCAAGAGAAGGAAGTTGAAGAGTACACTCCCGCCTTCATTGCTCCACTGTCTCTGGAGCCAATCTCTTTGCCTAAGCCTGCCTCACGACCCCGGCCAGCGAGCCTGAACTTGCGACCCCTCTCCCTGGTTGCCTCCAACACAGTTCAGTCTGCGCCGAGCTGCCTCCCCACTCCCACCCAGACGCCCAGCCCTCGCCCACCTGTCCTGCGGTCGCGGACTTTGGGTTCTTCTTCCGGGTCGAATGGTATGCCTCACTCCGCCTCACCCGATCGCTTCACGATTGTCACGAACCCACTTTCAAATGATGGATGTATGGCTGCCTTCGCTAGCTCTCCAGTCCGCCGCCCTTCGCTTGATTCACAGGCGGATCCTTCTGATGTCTCCCTCAAGAGGCGCAGCAGCATTGGCTACAAGCACTCTAACGACTCAACGTCTCGCGATCTGGTGGCTCTTCCAACTCCAGAGCTGACCCCCACCGAGCGCAAGTTTTCGACCGCGCTCGACTCCGAGTCCTCCGCTCCACAGCCTCTCTCTGCAGCAGAGCAGCATTTTTTATTCAAGTCTCACAATCTGCTCTTGGCGCGTATTTCTGACCTTGAGCGTGCGCTTCGTACACGTTCTCGGTCGCCAGCCTCTCGTCCTATCTCCCTTGCGTCCGATGCATCTTTGACGCCGTCAGAACCCAGTGCCGAGCTGCTGCAGGTTGTTGCCGATCTTAAGGCGGAGAGAGATGAGCTCAAACGAGACGTTGAGGGGTGGCGAACTCGCGTTGCGGATGCCAACCAGCACGCTAGTCTCCTCACCAAGCGCATAGAACAGGAGCGCCGGGATGCTTGGGTTGCCAGGTCTCGTCTTGGCTTGCTTGAGATGGAGAAAGCCGGTGTGGACAAGTTGCTCGTAGAGAAGACCAACGAACTCCGGCAAACAATGGAAAAAGCTGCCCTGGTCGAAAAAGAGCGCGACGATCTTAGGTTCGATGTGGGCGCACTGCAGGCCCGATTGCAGGATGCGGACTTCATCATGGGTGAAGTCGACAACCTACGTGCTTCGTTGGATCAAGAACGGGCCCGGCGCATTGAGCTGGAGAAAATGCTCGAGGACGTTGGCATGGGCCCAACCCCCAAGGTCGCGCGCGCTCCGTTTCAGGGTTCGTTCCGTTTCCGAGGCTTCCAATCCATAGATTCAGAAAGCTCCACTACAGACGTGGAGTCGGTGGATGACACCTTCATGAAGGCTGAAACCACTTTGAACTCGGTCACTGAAGAGGATGAAGAGGCAGACTCAGACGAAGATGCTCTCGTTGGCTATGAAGACGAGGACGACACCGACATGAGCTTCCAGAGCCCCGATGGTTCATCAATCGGCTCCGAGGATGAGTTGTCCACCCGCTTTCTTCAGACTCCCTCACGGCCCTCCCATGTCGTTCAGGGCTCTTTGTCCAAGACATGGACTTTCCCTAGGGGTAAAGCGGTTGAAGTTGAACAAGCCGACGAGGTCGATCATTTCTTTGGCTGTCTGGATGACTCCGACAACTCTCCTCTCGACATGTTTGGTGACGATGGCGGAAAGGGCCTTTTTGCTTCGTCGTTCGGTCAGCACGCTTGTGATGACGACGAACTGCCCTTCATCATCCCTGCGCACGTTGGTACGGTTGACGGTCGTCCACCATCGGTTGTCATTGCCAATCCGGGAGATATTGACGAGGACGAGTTGACTTTCCACGGTGAGGAAGTGGAGGGCGGTATCAAGTTCACGTTCAACCCACCCCCACCTGTCTTCTGCGTCACTCCTTCCGTCGATGACGATGATACTTCGTATTTTGATTATCCCGCCTACGAGCATGCCATGATCCCAACGCCAGACGACAACGCACAAGAGGAGCCCGAGTCGATGCTTCCAGAAATGGAGGATTCGCCCTCCACTCCGACTCGCCAACCTCACGTCTTGCGTGCCCCTTCTCCTTCGTCTATTCCTCGGGCAGTAAATTCGTGGTCATTCTCCTCGACTACCACTCCGCCCAGCGCCTCAAGGGTACCTACAGGTCCTTCAAGCAGATCTTTTGCTTCCCCTCCATCTCGTATTCCGCAACTGGCGACACCATCAAAGCTTCCGAGAATCTCCGGCAAGGTGTCAACGGCAGGTACCAACAATGGTTCGACCTCTAAGCCTTTGCCTAAGCCACGCGTGAATGCACCTGACTCATTTTCTCTCATTTCACAGTCCTTTCGTCAGCTGCCTGCGGCTCTGCTTCGCGAACGGCACCAATTGGCCACAACCCGGCGATGATGGACACCCTTCCCTCCCCTTTGGGGAACCGACTCGATCGATGTGAATACCCCGAACCGCCTATTTCAACCTTTTCTTCTTTCATGTCTTCACCTTTATCCACACGATTCAACTTGCAAAAATTCTCAAGCTTCATCCCTCTGTCGTGGGCGGCACAGGATGCCCCTACTGACCCCAGCCAACTGCCTGCCCGTACCGCGGAGTCAAGCGGGTATGGTGGGCACAATAGCCTCACGAGAGCAACAACTAGTAAATACACCTCTCGAGAGAAACAGTTGGAAAGGCTCAGACAACGTCTACAGGATGAAGGGCAGATGGCTCAGAACAAGCTAGATGTCGGTGTATATCAGGACGACAGTTCAGATATGCTGTACATGTGAGGTGAGAGCGCCCGCCTCCTTCGGTGGCTCGTCCAGATTACTGACTTTGCACGGCAGTTGAACTGTTGTTCCGCCGTTTTGGCTGTGATATTGCCCGCGATTGGCTTAGTCTATAGTTTTTGTTTTGGATGTCTTCAAACTGCCTGTGGCAGTCAGCATTTTACATGCTACGGCGTGACTTGTGTTTCCTGTATTTATACCGCACGCACGTACGTTTCTTGACAAGAACACTTATGGACATTTCTTGGTCATGCCCGTAACTCCCAATTCATGCATATGTCCTGTTTCCTCTACATCTATCAATGTGAGCTGCGAGGGCGCAAGTGTGTATGTAGTCAAAACTGACGACGCTTCGGCTTGTTGCGGAAGCGTGGGAAATGAGTGAAATGTAAAGTCGGGGGAGGGCTTGAGGTCGCTGCACTCTACGGAATCAAAACACCACCCATCTTCCGCAATGGCTACCAAAGTATCTCGCAACCGCAACTTCATGCGCCACTGGTTCGCCATCGAGGTACGCTCGGGCTACTGTCTGTGTGTAAGACCAACCCGCTGACATGAACGCGGACGCAGGCCATCCCTATGTAAGTCCTTTCCAGAACCCGCCCTGTGACCCGCAAACCAACGTACTCGGAACAGCTATGCTGTCGTCGGCATGACCGTCGTCGGTGCCTCCTGGTATCTCTACCGCCTGGCCCGTGGTCCCACTGGTAAGGCAATCCTACAAAACTCGCGCGACTAGTATTAACCTGCTCTATCTCCGAAGTCGTTTGGACCAAGAACAACCCCACTCCTTGGAACGAAGTCAAGCCTGACGAAAACGTCAAAATGATGGACGTCAACGGGCAGTTTGCCAAGAGGTGCGTTCTCCCTGTTCACGCATTGCAGACGGTTCAGTTTGGCTCACTGGGATGCCATCGTCGTTATATCCAGCTGGAGTCGGGACAGGCTGTGAAATTGCAAAGCGAGCTAGTTGTCTGTTAGAGGATTCTTAATGTCTGTACAGAGAGTCTGTCGTACCTCTTTCGCAGTGTCAACCCCCGCTCTTCTATATTGAAATGCACCGCCCATACCTTTCTTTTCCCTGCCAGAAGGTGTGACCCGCTCTCTGTCTCATCGCCGCGGCACATCTACGCTTTACATCCGGCCCGGACGGCCATGACATTGCGCTATAAAAGGTCCCCCGAGAGAGTTGTGTGGGCAGACCGCCCCCTGTTGTCCCATTGCTGATCATAATCTCACTTTCTCTCGCAGCATGGTTGAACGTCTCGACGCTCCCCAGCCCACCTACCCGTTGCCGCCGTTAAGCGACATACCGGATGGCGAAGAGGACAAGCCAGCAGATACCCGGATACTGGTAATCGCTGAGATAATATGGCAACGATGCCACAGCTGACCGTCTTTGATGCAGACTACGAAACTCGGCGCTTTCGACTGGCCCGGGGTCGTTCTCGGTGCTGCAGCGTTCTCGGGATTCTACAGCACCAATGAACAGATGAGCAGCGTCACGCCGCTCCGCACGACGAGGCTTGCATTGCGGTAACTTGGTTCATCGCGCTGTCTCAGGGGCTATAGTCTAACTGGCCTTGCCTCCCTTGGAGGTACGGCATACGGGCGTTCGACACGTCGCCCTACTACGGACCATCAGAGATCATCCTCGGCACCGCACTGAACGCGCTCAAGGACGAATTCCCTCGTTCCTCGTACATCATCGTCTGCACCTTTCCTATAGCCTCTTGAGTGCATGGATGCTGAATGTTGACAGGCCACCAAATGCGGTCGCTTTGGCTCGACTCGCAATGACTTCGACTACACACCCGCGGGCGTCCGCGCCAGCGTCAAGCGAAGCCTGGCACGGCTGCACACCGACTACCTCGATGTCGTGTATGTGCACGATGTCGAGTTCATCGCCACGCCAGTGAGCCTGCGGACGCGAGGGTGCCACCTGGGCGCCCTGGGCGCGGAGAAAGAGGTGTATGGCCTGCTCGAGGGACAAGAGGCGACTGTCCACGGCCCGGGTGATCAAGAATTGCTCGCAGCCATTTCTGAGCTGCAGAAGCTGAAGGAGGAAGGCGTCGTCAAGAACATCGGCATATCAGGTGCATTTCCGTTTCTGCTGCCTTCCAAGCTTCAAAAGTAGCGCCGCCAAGCTGACGGTGGGCAACAGGGTACTCCCTGCCGACTCTTCTCCGCCTCGCGCTCCTCGTTCTTCACACCTCACCACTCCGACCTCTGGATGCGATCCTCTCCTACAGCCACCTGAACTTGCAGAACCGATCCCTCGAGCAGTTCGCGCCCGTCTTTTACGAGCGGGCCAAGATCAAGCATGTGAGCAACGCCTCGCCGTTTAGCATGGGCCTCATCCTCCCGAGCCCGCCGCCGTGGCACCCGGCGTCGCAGGAGGTGAAGGACGCCGTCGCCATCGCTGTCCAGAAGAGCTCGGCCTGGGAGGGCTACGGAGGAATAGCCGATCTCGCGCTCGGATACGCATACAGACGAGGTATCGCGTCGAACATGCCCACTGTCACTGGGCTCAAAAACTTGGAGGAAGTTCATGAAACTATGAAGATTTGGTACGACGTTCTGGATGACAGCTCAAAGCGAAGACAGGAGAGAGTTGCACATGAAGAAGAACTGCTCGAAGTGTTTAGGGAGCACAATCTACTGGATGTTTCTTGGGAGACTCCCGCGTTTAAGAGCTGAGAATGCCGTTGTTCCATTAGATATGCTACAAACAAGAATGTATATGGATGCAATTTTTTGTGTCTCTTGTCAACCTCGTACAATCATGCCTGTTACCCACTTCATCGTGTCTTGATAACTCCAGCATTGACAAGTTTCATAATCTTTTCGCGTACACCAGGATTCTTCATGTGGTCCTGAAGGGCGCCGGGGTTTCCCTGTGCCTGCTGCAGGATCTGCTGCATGACCGGATCTGTCATGATTTGCTGAAAGAGATATGAGTTGTTGTCTAGACCTTGGTATGTCAAATTAACATACCGCAATCTCGGGATCCTTCATAGCCCGCTCGAGAGTCTCTTCTTCGGTCTCGGTGGAACGTTCAGCGTAGATTGCCTGTTGCGTTTTCATTTCTTGTCCATTGATCTCAGCGGTGTGTGCATGTTGCGTGTCGACGGATGAAGCCATAGCCAAGGACTCCAACGCCTGCGTGTACTTCCGCATAGCGTGTTGAATGGAAGCCTTGCGAATGTATGCCTTGACTACGTTCCAAAGTCAGCATGTGAAAAGATAGCTAACGAAGGTTACATACCGAACTTGGGATCGACCTTAAGTGCCTCTTCCACATCTTTCAGGGCCTCAGGAAACGCGACAAGCTTCATGTATGCAGCCGCACGGTTGTTGTAGCCACGAGCGTCCGAAGGATCGCGCTTGATGCTCTCAGTGTAGAGCTTAACTGCGCCGGCGAAGTCGCCAGCCTTGAAAACCGTGTTGCCCTCCTCTCTCGCGACGGCAGACTTGGCCGGATCTATATATGCTTGCTTCTCTGTCTCCGCGATCGCCTTCTCTGTCTGCTGGAGCTTTGCGAGCACGGACGCGTCACGATGCTCCGAGAGGGACTTTCCATAGTACTTCTTTGCGGAGGCGAGATCGCCCTTTGCAGAGTAAGCCGTTCCCGTGCGGGCAAGCGCCTTTGCAAGAAGCTTGTAATCTGCACGGATCTAAATGCTATCGTCAAATGGGGCTCAAGACACAGGTTAACGGCGACCAGCTTACCCCTCTGCCCTCCTCGACAGCCTTCTCGCAGGTCTCGATACACTCATCGTATTGGCCATTCTCATAGTAAACCGCGCCGAGGTTCGTCAAAAACGTGATGTCCTTGGGCCACAGCTCCCAGGCGCGAGCATAACATGCTGCAGCCTCCGTGAACTCACGGGCCTTGTAGTGGGAGGCTCCCTTTGCCTTCTGTGCGAGGGCCTCCTCTTTCGCCTTCTTGTCGTCAGTGCCCTCTTCGGCCATCTCCACATCCTCGGGTTCAGGGGTAGGCTCGGGTTTGGAGGCCTGAGGCGTAGGCTTGCGTTGGGGCGGGGGTGATTGAGGTGGAGAGGAAGGAGAAGTCTGGGACACGCCAGGTGGCATTTCGTTGGAGCCCTCCGGGCGGGTGAAGCCCTGGATGTCGATGCCCATGAGAACACCCATGGCATCAATCATTCGTGGATCTTGGAATGCACTATTCATGCCGGGCGTGAGGGGGGCGTCTCAAGGATACATAATGAACTCACCTGTCCGCAAGAGCGGGGTTCTGTTGTATCAATTGGATCTATTGTCGCAAGGTAGTGAGCCACAAATCAAGATGTGACAAGAAAAGTCAACACTCGTACTTTCTGCACGAATGAGGGATCGGCCAGATGCTTTTGCGTCCTCGGGTTCGCAGCCAGTTTGCCCAGAACGTTCGGGTCGGAAAAGATTTTGCCCAGACCAGCTCCTGCCGCGCTGCCCTCCCTTGCTATACCACGAAGTATCATCAGCAGAAATAAATAAACTAGGGCCAGGACCACACCCACCCTTGGCATCCTGAACCTCTTGGAGGCCCTTGCGCAATGCTGGGCTGTCCTCGAGCTTGATGCCAGCCTCGTACACTTCGATAGCTTCCTCATAGCGCCGCGCGCCATGGAGTGCAGCACCCTTGCGCGCGAAGCCCTTTGCCCACGAAGGATTTATGGAGATGCACTATTCCTCGATCAACAGTCGTAAGAATGAGACACGACATGCAGCACAGGAGCCAGATAACGATTACCTTCTCTGCATCCTCCAGGGCTTCGACCCAGTGACGCTTCCCTGCCTTTGCGGCACTCCTGTTAGAGAAGAGGACATGGTTTTGGGGATCGAGTTCTATGGCCTGTGTGAAGAGCTGAATGGCCTGATCGTAGTCTTTTGCGGCAAATGCCTTGTTGCCCTGGTCTTTCAAAGCAGCCGCCTAGGGAACAACGGTCAGGCGAACGTGAATGGTGTGGTGTTGGTGTGGACGTACGGATGCCATGTTGCACGAACTCTTTGCTGTGGTATTGGAAGGTGGGCTGTATGACAAGGGTTGTATGTGCTTTTGAAGGGATGCAAACCAAAAGGGGCGAATATTCTCGAAGCTTCTGAGGATGTTACACAAGTTATATGCGCATCTAATCTTATCAATAGCCTCTCTTACTACCGTATACGTAGCTTATCAATCAATATCTGTCAATCCATTGACATCACTGACACAAATGTTGTAAAAGTATATGGCATCCGCAGATCAACCTTGCCAAGTATTGTTTCTCATCAAAGCTTTCCTTTCTTTGTCGACACACGCTTATGGCTTAGTTATAGTAAGTTCGTCAACTTCAACAATGTTGCGATTGGACCAAGATAACAAATGCGTCTGCGTAAAGTAACCGATAACGATACAACATGCGTTAAATACAATTGCAAGAAAATAACTCGACAGCAAACCTAGCACAATAATGTGTAATGCGACAGTGCGGTGGAGGGGGTAAATAGAGGGGCGAGTTTCCAAGCTTCAATATGTTAAAGCCTACTACCCTACCCTCGATGGTTATGCCAAAACTTTAGCAAACGGGTATCATGCAAGATAATCAGCCGATAATTGATGAGACGTAGCCATTGCAGAATTCGGGAAAGTGCGATCACAAAAAAAGTACCATCTTCGCTTTCACTGGGCGGGACGCTCTCCATGCCGCCCCGTTGGGAACTCCATCAGCTGTGTCCACTCCGAAGCACTGACAGAGGGCCCCCACATCGTATCAACTTCGGCAGCGGGAGGGAACATATATTGATTTCTGTAGTTTCCGTCATAGCTCATCCGCGTGGAGGGCGGGCCGACAGAACTATACCGCCCCGGGTCCATGTAGCTGGACTGATCCGACGCCGGGTATGGATTCCGCACTGAGTCAGCGTATGAGCTGGATCCGGGAGTGGGGACCTCGCTGTAGCTTTGCCGCAGCGGCTCCGCGTACTGCCGTCCTGCATCCTGGTAAATTCCCGACTGTTGGCTGTGCGATGCCGTGTAAGTAGCTGAGGACGCTGACGCGGAAGATGGCATGGATTGCGAAGTGGGCAGGTGCGTCGACACAGATCCATACTGAGTCGCGGAATAGGAGGCTGACTGTACCATCCCTGCGGTACCTCGTAAAGGATATTGCGCGGAGTGATGATCGACGCCGAGCGGCCCCGATACTCCTTGAGGACTCCCAGAATTACCGGTGCCTGGTGAGCTCGTTGCATAGGGGCCAGCTGGTGAGTCCATTGAGTGCACGCGCGGGAACCTTGGGTTATCATGGTATGGAAAAGCCAGGGTCTTGACCATGCTCAGAACCGCCGCCTTGTGCTTCTCTTGCTGCTGTGGAGGTTCTTTCGCGAAGTCCGGATTGTATAGTGGCGATAGTTCTTTGAGAATTGCCAGCGCCTTATCAGCAACAGGGGTTCCGATGCTTAACTCCAGAGTCTCTACAGCCTTCTGGATGTTTGCGCGAAATAGTGTAGCGCCCGGCTGCTCAGGACTAGAGATGAGTTGGAACGAGAAAAACATGGCTGCGCTGAAGACGTGGAAGGGGCCCCAGTTCATGTGGCCTGGAACCGCGAGCGAGGCGTTAGCAAGGAAGTCGGGTCGCGCGTGCCCAACGAGCGCGATGAGTTTATCTGCGGCCCCCACGGCAATTTCAAGCGATTTGGCATGACGCTCCGCTTTCGCAGTGTCTGCCTCTTTGGCCGCGTCCTTGTCCTTTCCTTTCAAAGGTCGCGTTGGAACGGAGGAGGCATATGGCCTATGCAAGGTGAAGCGGATGTGATAGTAACTCGTCCGTATGATGACACTTTGGACGCCAATTCTCCTGGTAGCAGTGTGCGAGGACGCAAGGCTTCGGGCGATGCGATACTCGTCAAGATCGAGTTCATGTGGAAGCTCTTCCAACCACTGGGTCAACGCACGGTCATTCTCTAGTACGTTCTCGTAAGAGATTTCGCGTAGGGACACAGCATTGTCCATGATGTCGCCGAGAATATAAGCCAATCGGAACAATGCATGATTAGGGGAATAAAGGCGAGGTTCCGATGGATTTGTTGGATCAGAGAGCGCAGGAAGGTGGGTATCAAAATGATGTGACGCGAACGAGATCGGGCGCCCAAACATGAATGCTTGCCAGCTATTTGTAGAAATCAGTGCGCATATTCAACATTGAGGATGATGGTAGATTTACCGCTCGAGTAAGACAATATGCCACCAGGCCCAACGCCTTCGCTCTGCTAAGTCAATGGACATTCGCCATTTCTTCGGGTCTCGGTGCAGACCCATAGCCATGCCTATGCTGACCAACTCACCCCGCACGGACCAGATCTCTTCACTGTCCGTCTTGCTCAGCGTGAGGAAGTGACACCGAATGAGTAAGCACTCGACGAGATCCAGACTGTAGGTCTTGTTTTCTGCCCTATGTCGTTCTAAGGCAACCTTCATGGCATCGTAATACTTCCGTCCCAGGTCTTCGCCAGGCGTGCGGGTTATGCTGGCAAGGAGATGATGATCAGGAGGAAGATAGTGGACTGCAACAGCGAGAATGAGGAATCCAGTGGCTATTGCAAGGCGATCAGTTGTTCCATTCCTATAACGATTCCATGCTTGAAAAAACGATGTCTGGTTGACATGCCTGTATATCCAGTTGCAATACTCAAAGTAGTAGGAGATGAGTTGGTCAGTGATGTTCGGGTGTGGGAATGTGGTGTATAAATCTTGGTCCCACCCAGTAGGAGCAGGCAGATCATCGACTGAGTCTGGTTGAGGTGGATCAGGAGTGCCATCTGATTGGCGAGAATCGGTCTGATGGGCTGTTAAGGTGGAAGTGTTGGAAGGACGAAAAATGCTTACGAGGGTAAGATGGGTTGCAGCACTAGTGGCGCCCGTGTAGAAACCGCCGGGACCTTGGCTGCCGAGAGAACCAGGGGCATTTTCCTTCTCATCCGGTTCTTTCTTGATGACCGGAAGGGTAACGACCGAAGGTGTGTCGAGGGGACGTTTGAGAGGATTATGTAAGATGGAGCCAGGGCGGGAGTTGGCGAGGATGTACGTTTCGAGCAGAGAGACCGAGTGACGGAGACGATTTATCTCTTGGATTGGGTCGACCCGGCTGGCATTTCTGAGGGCAACGTGAGCCAAAGATGGGTCAAGATTTGTAGCCGCGAACTGACCCGTCATCTCCGCGGAGCTGCATGTCAGACTCATGACCTCTAGCGTCTTGGTAACACAGCGCAATAGTGCCTAGGCGCAACGTTAACGTCTAACGCTTATCTCGAGACGGAGCTGAAGCTGTTGGCGCTCCGAACATACCTCGGAGAACACAGCTCGAACACGGACGATTTCTTTCCGGAAAGGTACATAAGCGAAAGTGAAAGTGAAGAGCTGTTGGAGGTGTACCTGTCACATTTAAGCTTGCTGTTTCTACACGGTTCGCAGTTAATGGCCTTGCGAGCGCGCTTTGTGGGCGGGCGTTGGTCCTGGTCCGAGGAAGCGGGCGGGGAGGTGCGGGACCTGACCTGGCCAGTGGTTGGATTGTTTGTGGCGCTAGTGGAAGATGTTGCGGACTGCGCGGTCGACACGGAGGAAGAAGGGTGGACAACGTGCTGGTGTTGCTGTTGCTGCTGATGTTGTTGCTGTTGTCTGTGATGGTGCTGGTGGTGCTGCTTTGGCCTAGTAGGCGACTGGCCTTGGTGTTCGTCGGGCATTTGGGAGGGAGAGAGGGGAGAGACCAATCGGGGCAGTCGAGAGGCTGAAAAGGAGGGCGACAAGAATCCGCGGACTGGCCAAGTACAAATACGTCCTCGCTCAGTCGCAGCTCAGCCGTCCCATTCAGAATCTCAGTGTCAATGCCATCCTCCCCCCGCACGACAGGCATACTCCTCCCTTTCCCAGCCAGCCCCTACTAACGTCAGCTGATCCCCAATAAGCTTCCGTCTCAAATTCGGCAACATCCGTCACCCCCACCGACTCGCATCGCGCCTCGCCACCTCGAGAGCTTAGAATAATCCCAGACTCCGTCTTCCACACCTTCTCTCCTACTCACCATTATTTCCATTGGCTACTCACCTAGCCTTCTCTTCGATCTTCTCATTCTTAAATCCAATCTATCCCTCTCCGGACACTTTTACCATCCATCGAAACCACCAGGATCAGGCGTTTTCTGTCACACACGTCAACGCCCCGACCCCGTCCTCATCGCTTCCCCTCGACCAATTAACCCCAATCGATCCCACCCCTCCTTTTCCCTGCATCCAGCCTTTCCTCGATCCGGTGTGCACACATCCAACCACGCCCTTCCGTTCCGCCATGCGACAACGCCACTAGTACTCTAATTTCCATTCTGTGATCACACAATGCGCCCCCTTCACCGAGGCGGAAGCGAAAATAGATGCGGCGAAGCACGACGCTCGTCTTTGATATTATTCCCTTGTCTAGGCCTGAAGAATGAAAATCCAATCTCATTTGTGCTCATCGAAGTGCAGCAACCGTACATATATGTCTACTTACGTGGATAATCGACTCATCTTCTGCATACGTTTAATTCGATTATTGATTTCCGCCTGCAGCTCTTTCCGGAGCGTTTGTCCGCGCTCGCCCAGGTCATTTTGCGAGGCCGCCGCCGCCAGCACTTGGTCGATCAGCGTGTATGGCAACCAGGTAGCGTACACCGTGTTGTTCGCGATGTGCGCCACCTTCTTGTCGCTCTGTATTTGGCCTGTTGAGCTGGCGTAATTCGGAATCCATTCTCGGGAAGACCCACCTTTTTGACGAGCGAAAGGGTATGCTCCATTGCACTCACGATCGCGTCGAACCGCAGACTCGTCCTTATAAGATATTCCGGGTGTTGCTCCTTTTGAACTCAATTTTAATCAAGTCCGATTGGCCGAATATAACATTGTACTTGCCTCAAGTGAATTTATAAGCCAGGGCGGCGGGGGCGACCGATCGAATGCAAGCACCGTTTCGTACGCTGACTTCGTGTACTTGTGATCCGTCTTGGGTCCATCGTGTTGCTCCAACGCCTGCCGGAGGTATCTCCACCCCCTGTCTGCGGCCGTGCCGGGCCAAGACGAAACTTTGTCCGTGACCAGCCAGTCGGAAGTATCCTCTTGCCTATAATGACGATATGAACAAGACCAGGAACATGACAGCAAGGTTTATAGGACATACAGGACGCCGGCCGGGTCCCGCGCGAGCCGCAGGCACTGAGTTGTCATCATCGCAAATAGATCGCCCATGTCAACCTTGAGGTCACGAGCCATCGTCATTGCCATGTCAAATTGATTTGTCTGACCGAGCTTGAGGATGACCGCTGCCGGCGACATCAGCAGGTCTTGTATATAGTTCAGCAACCAGTCATGTGTGGGCGGAATAAATCAAACCTGGAGCAGAAAGTAGAGATGGATCCTTCTTGATGAGTTGCAGCCTTGCCGTCACGAGTGTATAGTCGAAGCGCACTGCTTCAATGTCAACAATCTCCAGGTCTGGATGATCTTCGCTAAAGTTGGACTTCGGGATGTTCTTGGTCACTCGGTGGCGTGTGCGTAACTGGAGATTGTTTAGTATTAGATAACACCATTTATTCATGTCTTACCTCGGTAGTAGAGTCATTCACGATAGGAACAGTGAACCAAGCACTCCGTGAATCGCATAACGAGAGAGAATTAAGAGCAAGCATGAAAGACTCCAACTGGTCTTCCAAGGGTTCTATGATGTTGTCGAGCCGTTGAGGATCTTCCGCTAGTTTGCGGGCGCGATGGTACATCGTACGAGAAGCTATGAACAGCATCGTAAGTCGCAACGAATAAAGAGTATCATGAGACATTAGGCGTACCGTTACGATGGTCTCCGCGCATAGTATACCACGTATACAGTATTCGGGAATAAAATGGCCGTACTCGAGGATCCGTATTGCGAGCTTTGAAGGCCAAGGCATCTTCAACCTCATTCGCCAAGTCGGTGAAGATCAATGACATGAGTTTTTCGACCGCATTGTCCTCGCACATGCGGTACACAATGTCGCCGATGCAATCGCGTTTCCTGCAAGAAAGCGGATTAACGGCAAGTAGGGTAGGAGTATATATCACCCACAAATGATCGTAAGGTGTCGTCAGTATTGAGGTGTATGCATCTTCGTAGCGCCCCAGTTCGATATAACCCCTGATTAAATTAAGCCATAAGTCCTCGGTGTCAAAATCAGGGGTCGAGACCATGAGAGCATGCTGAATGAAGGCAACTTCATGCTGCGTGAGCGAGTAGGTTTTAAACAGGGCCGCCATATGCAGATAGAATATGTACTCCGAGTCGTATAGTTTTCCGCCAGGGATTACCGAACCAAGGGCCTCGGCGTCCTCGAACGAGAGCCCGCTGTTAGCGCCTGCTTTTCTGAGAGGTCAATATGAGCCCCAAAAGCCACGCATGCGAACTCACCGAACGATCCTGCGGCTTTCTCTAATAAAAGTGCTGCGTCATCTGGCCGCCCAAACTCAATCCACAGGCATGCCGTAGAGAAAGTCACGGCGGGTGTCCTTGGAAGCCACAAGAGCAGCTCACGTGAAACTTCGCAGTACCCGAGCAATCGTGCGCGTTCGCAAAAAAGTACCTCAGAGCTCGTAACATGGGCAGGCGATGTCGACTGAAGCATTCCAGTAGCATCCAAAAACCGATGAGCAGCGCTAGGCAGCTCGCTGATGTCGAAATTTTGCGCCAGCAAACGATGCAGGAGAGGGAAACTAGATTCGCCACGAGGATAATGCGAACTGGACACCTGCATGTCGTTCATCCTCGCAATTACCTCGTCGGTGGCCGAGCCGTCCGATGACTTAGATCTGTTGTTAGTAATATCGCCTGCAGGCTGACGTGCGACAGAGCGGAGCATAGCCAAACCCCGGAATACAGCAAATATTTCTTCTATAAGGGAATGATCCCATCCTGTTAGGTCTTCCGAAATGAAAAACAGCAGAGTGATGAGGGCCAGGGAAATATCGTAACGCGCATGGACGGTCGTCGAGACGTAGGCGGTTGTAAGAGCGGTGCACCACTCGGATCGGCTACACGGCAGGAGCAACTCCACTTCATCTTCTTCCTTCTTCACCTCTTGATCAAATCCGGCAACCAAATCAATTATGGTGCGAACATCTCTGTCCAGATCCTCCAGACTTTGAAGCCGGGCGTAAATGGACTCCTCGGTAGCCTCATCCACTTTTTCCCTAAGCTCTAGTCGGAGTGCTTGATCTTGAATTATATCAACCGTGGAGAATGCGATTTCCTGATGCAAAAGATCGACGACGGCAGTTTCCAGGGCCAACAGAGCCTCGTTGCCAAGTTTGTCGCATAGGGTCCAAATGATATCGAGCAAAAGAAAGTGTTGTTCGACGGGGAGAGACTCTGTGAGCTGCCGGTGCGTTCGTAAGGGGAGGTCTTCTACCGCGAGGATTCCGACCCTTTCTCGTTCCACAGCCATGATGGTGCCGGAAGTATCGCCTATTCCCAAAGCGAGAGGCCAGCGAGCGCTCCGTTCAAGCTCACGGCAACGTGCAATGAATCCCTCCCAATCTCGTTTGAGGGCACTCCAATAGTTCGCATATTGAAGCACCCCCGTTGATGGGTCACGTAAGAGACTAACGGTGCATCCCACGACTGCTGTGATGTTCTCCGCAAGCGTCAGATAAGGGGTCACCAGCTGGGATGGCGGCGGACCAGGAAGAGATAGGCAGGCTTGAGTGTACTGATCTATAGCTGTTTGAAGGGTGAGAGGTGAGAAAACACCTGGTCGAAGGATAGCTTCAACGAATTTGTCTGTCAATGAACCTGGTGACAGAAGCAGCTCGTCTAGGTATGTAGGCGTGAGCTCCGTTTCTTCTCCATGGGTCGCTGCCTCCCACACCAAGTCCAAAGGTGCTTTCGAATCGACCAACGCCAATTTAGTTCGTTCTACCAGAGACGTGCCTTGCTTTTCCCAAAGCAGGTACAGAGTACCGCTGGTCACGAAGAAATCCTGGAGATGGCAATGGATACTAGAGCTAGAGCACTCTATAACCTGCATCTCACGAATGGAATCTGCAGTCGAGTCAATCAGGTGAAAGTACCCGCCCATGTTAGGGGCTGCAGGCGTCGGAATAAATGCGAGAACATAGATGTGCTGCTCTGCGTCGTTAATAACAGAGAAAACCCGAAGAAGGTTGTCTCCTCTGCCTTCTGCAAAGGCCGAACTAGCCCTTCCTTCTAACGACGGAGTCAATGCTCTCCCAGGAGTGGATAATGGCTTAGATGCTACACAGCCACCTTTGGCAGTCCAAAGTCTGAGGGTACGGTCCCGGGAAAGAGACCAGAAGTTGCTGATATCTATAGGTTGTGGATGACTTGCGAGCGCGACAATCTCGGAGCCTCCTGAGTTTAGATTGGGTAGGAAGGAAGTGAAACTTCCGAGGAAAGAATTCGGGTGAACAAGGGACTCGTTCCAAAAGTCTGCGTGAACGTTCAGCATATATGAGACAAATTGACATGCGCGAGCATATACTCACCATGGCTCACATCATCCCCGAGTTGTTCCGTCTCAACTCGCAATAACGATCCGTTTGAAAGCCCCACGGCAACACAGTAGACACCATGAACCAGGGACACTCCGGTTATCTTGTCCGACGTTGCCTTGATAAGGTACTCGCGACACCAGTTTTTACTAAGAGGTTCATGCCACAGACGCGTCGGACTCGATGCAGGGAGAACGAGGCGGTAGAGGGAACCACTGGTTGTTAATGCAAGAAGATGAATTTCATTGTTACCGTAGGCGCTTATACCTGGTGCAGGGAGAACGGGTGCAGGGAATACGAAACGGATGGGTGGAACGTCGCTGGACAAGGATGAGAGTTCGACTACCAGTCCGCCATGGAGCAGCCGAAGTAAGATTGAGCCCGTATGTGAGGCGTAAAAGACAGATGCAAAGGACGCGTGTTCGACAGGTAAATCCGCATCGGCCGGTATTGTCGGTAGGGGTAGATTTTGGCGTGAAGTCTGGAGTGGAATCGAGACAATGTGAGCGGGAGGGGAGAGTACTGAAAGCTGGGCTGAAAGCAAGAAGTTACTTGGCGTCATTTTGAGCGCGTACACCGAGCGAGCTGCGGTCTGTTAGTTTCTTCACTCAAGCTTCCGAGCGTTCAACGTTCAACCACCGCGGACGTCGAGTGTCGAAAAGTTGAAGTGGAGGCGTCTGAAAGAGTGTGAAAGCGCTCGCGTCAACAGCTGCAGCTGGTTAGTCCAGTCGCGTCAAACGTCGTATTTGCTGAATTCAGCCCAATAACAACCACAACGCGTTCGCACCGCCACCGACGAGGTAAAGTCGCGTGTTACATTTACACTTATGTTTGCATCCAGTCAATAACAACATGTTGCAACATTTTCCCTTTACGATAGCAGGTCAATTGTCAGAGGATGTACGCTGTGGTCATTTGACATCCAGCCCATTACTTCTAGGTAGATCTAGGTCCCTGCTCGCTACATGCGCAGTGCAAGTTGGCCCCGAATCGACGTCCGAATCTCGGCAGCATTCTCCGAGAATAATTGAACGGCAGGCCCAAGAGCGACCGCCCGGTATCACTTAACAGACGACTCCATCGTGTTCATTCTTTCCTACCCTTGATGTCGCAACCAACTTTGTTTATCGGCATTAGTGCCCGATAGAGCGCAAAGCAAAGGCAGTACTCGTGAATTACACATGGGAGTGCATGCACAAGTCACATTTAAACTCGAGGGTTCATCCTTGATATAGTGTTGGACAGTGATCAGTGGAGGGCTCATGTCATTGTGTAGTAGCCAGTGATGCAGAGAATATATCGTACATTCGCTCAATTTCTATATGGTAAATGCCTTCAGTAGGATGAAAAACATCAGCAAGTGCTGAAGTTCTTCCTTTTTAAAGGCAAAGCCTAGACGGCTATTAGACCCTAAAGTCATATTGTCCTTTCGACAAATGCCAATAAGTCAGGAACCGAGGACATACCTTTCGTGTCGTGTGGACATATAACAAAAAGGGACAATGCGTTCCAGTTTGAGATTGACAATTCCAGCGAACGTAGCACGAGGCGGGTAGGTTGAGCGACTCTCACCGCGCGATATAGCAGACATCGTGATCAAATGAAGTTGAGAAGAAGAGAGCAATCATAAGATGTGCAAGGCAGCGATTAATCGAAGAGGAGTCCTAGAAGAGATTAACGTCCAATCAGACTCGGACATGGTACCTGAGAACGCCAGGGGCTAGGTAAACTGCAGGATATAAGCGCAAGCGAGAGACACTAGGGCACTTTTTGCCACAATTAGTAGAAAAGACAGCATGAAGGTGGCCGCCAGTGGTCCGCGATTGATTGAGCTAAATAGTAAACAAAACCTCACTGCTATGTGATTCAACATCCTCACCCTTAACCAAAGGAAGCGAGCATTACATCTATCGGATTTTCGTGCGGTGCACGTCAAAACGCCGACAGCTTCAAAAGAGAGATGGCATACCTCGCCTAAAGCGCTTCAACCTTCAAGACTGCTAGCTGCATCATTTGCCTTCACTTTCCGTCTGCGGCAAAACGGGTCATTCCCAATTGCAAGCGCTCGTGCAAAGGCCACCAATCAAAGTTGATGGATGAAAAAGTTCCAAAAGCACAAAGTAGTATACGACACGCGTTTCCAGAAAGAGATCCTCACGGAGTGATATGTACAGCCCACATGGCAAATTATCATGGCATTAAAGTCATTTTACCTGTCATAAAGTCCCGGTCCAAAGAAACAGACCTAGCTCAGGCCGCCGGCGTCGGCGTCACGCCGTATCATGATGGGCCTGAGCGAGAGGCTAGAATTCAGAAAGCATTCTCCGACGCACAACGTTCTGGCCAGAGACGTGCACCCCAGATCACGGTTTAAGATCAACCAGAAAACGTGCTATGAAGAGAGATGCGAGGGGCTAGGAGGGCAACACAGAACACGCATGTACTTGATAGATGGATTCAAGAGCATTTTTGAACAGGGTTGTGTTATGCACGGTGCAAGATTCGGCGGATCTGAGAAGGCAGGAGTCGGAGGCAATGCAATTGAATTAGTATGCTTGGCCAAAGGCATGAAAGGACAATGCTAGTTCAGAGTTCTCCATCTCCGGAATGATACACTGGTGGTGAAGCTAGTAAGGCCTTGCAAATTGGAGGAATGAGCTGAAGGCGAGAGTTGAAATGGATCTGCTTAATCGCCGAGGCCCGTTATTGGGAACCTACTTGCCTAATTTGGACGCTCGTGTCGTAGTGAAGAACAAACGAAGCCATGATTATAATATTCGTCTCCGCCGCCCCTTGAAGGCCACCCGGGTTCGTTATTGGTCGTTGCCCCAGATGGCATCGGAGGTTTGCAAGTCGCACACAAAGCCGTGAACCTTCGATGAAGGATTGGCAACCCCGTCTCGCGACCGCAAGCAGGGACTATTGTCACCGCTTGAGTCAAGTCAATAGACCTAGCTCGCTTGCGGGATCGCGATCTGACATGCAATCGAACAAATCCGCCATCGTCCTCGTGGGCCTTCTGTTAACTCAACGTAAGTGTTGCATATCCACTAGCGGGAATGATCGCTGTGAAAACAAATAGTGTTGCCTCATTGTCAAGCCCCCAACATATAAAACAACGGCGATGATGCCCAAGCTCTGGACAATCCACAACTCCTCTCGTCGTGCTCTTATCCCCTCGAGCCCTTCTCCTTACTCTCTCTATGGCTGAAATCATTTCCTTCGACGCTATCCTGTTCCCTTCCGATGACCGGGCTCCTCACATAATTTCGCTCATGACCAGCCCGTCTTCGAGTCCTGACCCACACATGCCGTACGGAGGAGGACCACCGACCAGAATGCCTCACCCGGAAGTTTATATGGATTACATCGCGGAGAGCCTTGGCCCGCGAGCATGGCATTATCAGGTAAAGTCTTCAAGCGTCGCCAGCTGTAGTCGCGTGACACGTTCTTACGCACCCGTTTGGTAATAGATCGTCGAGAAGCTGGACGGGATGAAGCAAAGGTTTACTGATCCTTACGTCGTCTTTTACCCAACCATCTCGCGTGACGGCATGCCGTTTCCGGTCAACAAGTGCATTCGAGAGATCCAAGGGAAGTCTTTCCGAGAAGAGAGCGCGTGGCGCGGCAACGTGGTCGTGGCCAAGTACCGCGATAGTCCCTTTTCATCCTTGGTGAACGGCTCGATTTCCGACTTCCCAATTGTCAAGAACTTCTTCCTGAACCAGCCATTTACTTTCCGCGTAAGTTGCCATTGCTCTCTGTGGCATCGACTGATCTCACCTGTGCAGTCTTAAACAGCCTGTGCACATATAGACGGACTCAGCTTGATTTTCGGATTACCACATTATATTCATCAAGGGACTATTCTTGTTTACGTTGAGGGCTTTTAGATTTCGTTTCATGTTTCGAACATTCGCATTGCGGTTACTGGACGGACTTCATTAGATACATATGCCAACCCTCACCGCGAGTTCTTAATACTATAACTCCGTATGATCCGTGGCATCCGTCGGATGATTGTTTGGGGGCCGTTCCGCATCTTGGACAGCCCGACGCTGCTTCTGCGCTGCTTCTTCTTTCTTGGGGTCACAATGTTCCGGGATAGGGCTTAGAGGGTCGATCGGAGGATGCGAAACTCTCCCAACCTTCCGATAGGACTTGTGATTGGTAAAGAAGTCCTTCCAGTGTTGGACGCTCTAAAAAAACCGGTCTGTTCACCGAAAGTGTTTGCGCGCTATATGATCAGGACGTACCTTCATTTCACTCTCGGTTAGCCCACGCAAATCGTGCGTGCGGTGAACTGCAAAACAACCGGTCCCAAATGACCTCGCAGCGTCGATCCCAGCCCTGCGAGAATAAGATTCATGAATTGCAAAGGAATGAAAGCCACGGACATGAGGTGATAAGAGCCTCCGGGTCCGTAAGTCCTTCTGTTACTCGACACATCATAAACGTCGCCGTCAATCTTGATGTTTGAATGAGAGTCTTATGCGCGCCAGAGCCGTTCAACACTCACTGCCAGGTATAGTGGCTTGTTGAGGTCTGAACCATCAAAGGTAGCGAGGAATCCTTCAGAGAATAACCGTTGGTCGCTCTGAAAGTGCAAATTATCCGGTCAGTAAGGGCATGACTTCCAAAGTGATGTCCTTATGACATACTGGCATGTACGTCTTCAGCTGGGCCCATTTTCCATCATACTCCCATAGGAAGTGGCCAGTAAAGAACTTTCCCGCCAGCAGAATGACTATCGTCAAGTAGAAGAGAAACTTCAGGAGCCCAACTACGCCCACTTCCCGCTCTTCAGTCGGGTCGGGCTCTTCTGGGCCTACCTTCTCCCCTCTTGCAACCTTCTCTTCGCGCTCCTTCTTCCTCTGTAGCCATGCTTGGTGCTCAAGTTCCTTCTTGTCACGGTACTCCTTGTACCTGGCAGAGAGTGAAGACAATTCGTCAAGGAAACTCCTAACTTACGCAAGGAAGGGCTGATTGGCAGTCTTATTCACAACTTTCCGGTTCGGTATTGCAGGATCCTCTACCAGTTTCTGGCCGGGCTCTGGTTTCGGTGCATCGCCTTGGGGCTTCCAAAGCCAAGACATGGGCGTTCGAGGACAAGTGAGCCACGTCGACAAGATACGGAGACCACAGCGCGCGAAGTGCCTTGAGGTGCCTTGATCACACCAAGTACATACAGTGCACAAGCTTGTATAAATAAAGACTTCACATTACTCCGCCAAATGAATTGGATAGAATAGGCGTCGAGCTGACAAGGGAAATTATTAGGAAACCTACGAAGCAAGGTCTATGTAATGTATTAAGTAGATTGTACATCGCCAGTGGCATTGAAGGGAATCGTCGGTATGCTTCAAGGGATAAAACTAGGCAGGTTGGGGAATAGTGATATAGTGATATAAGCATGGTAAACCGGCCAGAAAACTATGCCTAGAACATAGAAAGATTATTGATGACGAAAATTAGTGCACACCCCCGGTGGTCAAAGAGTCGAATGCAGAGGAAGAAAATGATGGAGAGCATACTAGTGGATCAACCAAAAACCGTGCGTGCGGATGCGTGATATCTTGTGTCGTTAATCCCAACATTAACAAAGAAGTCCGTGGTGCGAAGCCAGACGATAGTGAGACAAACGCTTTATGACGTGCCCGGCGATCCAGGTATATCTCTATGTTGCCGGTGTTCGCGTTGTTCCCTTTCACTCCCTTTAGGCGAAACTGTCATGTAGGCTCCACCAGTTTCTTCACCAAGACCGGGAGGCGCAGGCGGCTTCGTGAGGAAGAAGACATCGTTCTCCGTCGCGTCTCCCTCACCAATCCATTGTCGCGCCTCGACGAAACGGGGTGTCTTAACGAACTAAAAAGCAATGAGCGCTTTGAAACTACACCGCGAACTGAGAATCTACCTTTGGAACAGAGTCCGTGGCCATTAGACGGAAGACATGTGTTTGAATGCGGGTATAGAGACTGATGAGCATGTGTACTTGAGTGGCATTGACGGAGACCGCTTGTCCTGGCTCCAATTGTCCATCAAATGACTTGCCGTTCAGGTTGGTCATGATCTCATTGAGATACCCAGCAAGATCAAGGCGCAGCCCATGGTCAATGTTTAGCTCGTTGGGGCTTGAGGGGGCAAGATACTTGTTGTATATATGGAAGGCAGTGTGTATGAGCGACTCGTGATGGCGTTCCATCGCTGCCTGACCAGTTGTTGTTCTGGCACCATGTCGTTGAATCGGAGCGGCAGCTTGAGCACTGGAAGTAGTTGCAAATTTTCTTCTGAAGTCCTCGACATCCATCCAAAATGCAAGATTTTCTTCACAGAAATTTGCCTTCAGGAAATCACGAAATAGTGAGCGGTAGGACGCATCCTCTAGGATCGTCAAGAGACGTTCAGTGTTGCTTTCCTTCGCCCGCTTTTCTCCAGCTTCATAGCTCGCGTTAAGCTTCTCCGCCATTGATATGCGGCGATGGATTTTGGCATCTGGGGAAATCGATGCCGAGTCCGCCTTCGTTTCCGCTGTGCCATCATGAGATGATCGACTTCCGTGGAGGTTGGTCGAAGAGCTGTGCGGTGATTGATCTCCCAACCTTGGATCATCCCATTGAGCGACTCTTCTGCCTTCTTCGGTGATTTTGTAAATAGCCTTCTGCGTGCATCTGAACTCTCCATGTTGCTACAGGTATCATAAGTGGATTGCGCCTTCGCAATGGGTGGGAGAACTTACGCTAACGGGTGAGTTCCCACCGGGGGCAGCTCCACGGACTGTGAAAATAATGGCGGAATCGTTGTTTTTTCTCTTGTCGCTGACGAGGGTGATCAGTCCGAACCGCACGAATTGTGCAGCCATCTCGGCAGCTTCCTCCCTCCCAACCACTGATGTGAAGTCACAAAGCCACTCCAACGCCGTCACAGCCATGAAGCAGCACTTATGCTGAATGACATTCCCCTTGAGCAAAGGCTGCGAGCGTTCTTGATGGTCCATGAGAGGAACACCCTTGGAACGTTCATGATATTCCTGAAAAGCGTCCGAGCTACCGTTGTGTTGAATTATGTAGTTTTGCTGACGCCCGACGAAGCGTCGAAAGAGGGCAGTGATAACTGATTGAGTGACAATAATCTCATCGTCAGCAGAACGTCGTTCGAGGTGTAAAAGCTTGATGCAGATGGGCTGAGTGGAGAAGATGGGTTGTAGGTGATCGGAGTTGATGCCATTTTTCGAGATGAAACGTTCAAGAACGTGAAGCCCTTTGGGCGTGCATACGTAGATGCCGCGATCTTTGAACAAGTTGAGACCTGGGTCGGCAGCGTTCTCAATCAAGCGGGCATCCATGAAGTGCTGACACATGGCCTTTGCCATATCGCGGGTCATTGAGAACGTGGTCGTAGTGGTGGTCGTCACTATTCGTGTTTTATCTTTGGGATCCGGCCCGCGATTTGACTGTGAAAACTTCAAAGAGCCCAGATTAAGAGCAGCCTCATCCCTGAAAATACAATAAGGGCCAAGAAGCGGAGGACTAATGGAACGACGAACGTGGAGAAGGAATTGGCGTAGGAGCGGAAGTATTGCTTGTGAGTGGAGAGCTGAAGAGAAACGACGAGGGTGGCGAAGAGGTCAAGAGTATCCTATGGGGAAATGCGGTCAGCTTAAGGATAGGATGGATAGATGGGATAGATGCCTTGAGGAAGGGTCTGCCTCGCTTCGTCGTCTTCATCATGTGGGATGACGAGGGCGGGGGAGCCTCTGGGTGATCTGAGGGCGCCATTGAGGAAGCGGAGGAGAGAGGGGGAACCAGGGGGGTACAAAACGAAGAAGGGGAAAAGAGACAACAGAAGAAGGAAATGCGATGGTTGATGGGGGTGAGGGCAGGAGGGCGTAAAGAGAGAGAGAGGCTCGGAGCGTGGAAAAGCACTAGTGAGGTGACAACAAATATTTGCCCTGGCATTAATATATACATTTATTTTTCTCGCCTCTGCTCGCGCTTGCCGTAACCTCCGGCCGCCAGTAACCTACTTGGTTTCCTCCCACAGCTCTCGGCCCTGCAAATGCTCCTCCGGCTTCACTGACTCGATCCGCCAGACACCGCCCGTCACCTCCCCGACAGGCCCGACGCGGATGCCACCTCACCCAGCGACAGGTCTCACTCGCACTTCAGCACGCTCTTCTGAAACCAATATTTCGTCGGCTCCTGGCTTCTCGGACATTTGCCTGCGAGTATGCTCGCGTTGTAGACACTACAAGCGGTTCCGTTACCGGCAATAAGCTACATTCTTACACACACCTTACCCTCCATTACATCACCATAGGAACAGGCACGCTACGTCTCGTTACGTCCTGTTACGTCCTTTGCCCCGCCGGTCTGGCGCTTGAAATGACGTGCATGCCACAATTGCAGGACTGCAATCCACAATTGCGAGAAAACAAAACAGCGTTCCTTGCTGTCCGTCGCGGAATTGGCAAGCGTCAAACTTTGGCCCGCCCCCAAAGCCGTCTCCGACAACCGCAGATCCCGGCTTTTCATTGACGCATACCTGATCGTCAGGCGTTGACATCAATCAGCTTATGCTCCATATCAATCGTACCGCAGTAGGGTTTTATTACGTTCACGAACGCGGAAATCAGCCAGAGGCTTTCATCAGACCGGAGGCTCTGACCGCATCTCATGAGGTTCTCGCTTACCACAAGCGAGCTTTCTCCTCGTTTTGCGACTGACCTTGACTCAAAGCCAAGGAAGTAGTATACCAAATGAATCAAATCTAATGAATATACAATGCCTTCAAAAAAGTGCAATATCTAGAGTTGTTGGTAATGGAGTTCAAGCCCAGGATCTGACGGCAAGTCGTAAGTTGACGATATGAGTGTATGGGGCTCAGAACGGCTCAGAAGGACATAGTGCTATTTCGCGAGGCATGCTGCATGAGTGGCCTGAGTATATGTATTCCAGGTGACATGAGGCTTTCACCCCATCACGACCTGTCTGCCATCACATGAAACTCCTGCAAATGTGGCGGCTTCAGTACCGAGCATGCGCTACTAGCACGCGCCGTAATATTAATATCGTTAGGTTTTTGGAAATTTGACCATCCTTTGTTCAGAAAAGGGGTAAACGTTCGGTCCGACAAGCCCGAGGAAGAGGTCTAGTACTTAGCTTCCGTGTGCCTGCATCCAAGACGCGCGGACTCGGGAAGCTTGGTACGCGATTTGCATTAACCTTAGCTCTGACACAAACGGCCAGCGATTGTCGTTCTTCATGAACTCTGATACGAACGACATCAATGTAACGTCTTTTACGAATACCTGGATGCAGCCGCACCCGCTTAACTCGCTCTGATAGGATGCCACGAAAGTCAGGACCTTGCTTGAGCAACTCCGATCATCCGAGGCATGGCAAGCAACGATAGCTAATCCAACCCAGCCCAAGCCACCGTCTTCTTGCTCCTCTGAGGCTCCATCATCGGCCACGCGGGGACAGGAATCAGTCTCTTCACATTCCTCGACGTCGCCTATTCCTTCTGTGGCCTCTCTGCTTTCTCAGTTGACCTCCACCGATTCCCGACATCATGCGTCAACGTCTGCTCCTTTCTCGGCGTCTGCTGATGTCCCCTCCGGCTGGCCTTCATTAGATGCTGAAGCCAGCTTTCATCCGTACATTCCGCCTGCCACCGTTGATAGAGGCTCACAGGGAGACGTTAAGACACTGACTTTCCAGCAAGCTCTCCCCATTTTAACGAAATTGGGAGAAGATCCTGCCTTTATCTTGTCTCTCAAGCAAGTATGTCCTTTGCCCCTGAGCTCTGGCAAAGACATGACTCAGATGCTTCCTCAGCTGAAAGAAAAGCAGAATCAGTTAGAACGACGCCTATGGGATGAGCGACAAGCCATTGAGAAGAAATACCAAGATAAGGTCGCCGTCACGCAAAGAAAGTATGTTTTATAGCGCACTCCTGGGACCCACAATCTCAGACATCACCCTGTTTGCTCGTCCAGGACCGAGTTGATCGGCGGTGGTGGTGTCTCCAAGCATGATGCCGAAGTGAGCCAATACTACCCTTCCGCGGATGCAGTGTCTTTACAACCACTTGCCGTGTTCAGATGCTCAACTCTGCGTATCGCATGGAGCTAAAAAGGTTTGAGGAGGAACGGATCGTCAACGCTTGGGACAGTCTCGTCGCCGAGCAACAGTTCACCCTAGAAGCTGCTGGTGTGCCAACGATATTCGGAACAGACTCGAAGACCGAGCTAGAAGTGAGCCTAATCATGCCATAAGCCACGTTATATGGGATTCCTGACGGCAATGCCGATCCCTTTAGAAGCAAAGGAACGTTATGCAGGTTCTTGATGCTCTCATCGGATGACACACAGGCTGACAAGGCTTCGAACGCCTTGCCCACGGTTTTGGTGTTTGTCTGGGAGTGTTCTTCTCGTGGCTACTGCGCACGTCCTGCACGCATGCTTGGTTTCTGTCTGCCGTAATCTACCCACGCAGCTCTTTGTGATACAGCAGCTTCGTGATCACTTGTTTTGGTCTCAAGACTCCGCAGTAAGCCGTGTTATTAGCTACAGCAGTTGTTACGAACATATTGACCGTGCGCGCGAGAATTTGGGACTCCATCATTACGCTTCGGGGATATTTCCGCGAGCACGCTGATCACAAGACTGAGCTGAGTGGCAGTTGCAGCCATGAGTCTTCTATTGTCGGATCCGAATTAGAGTCGGAGAAGTGGCTAACCCATCATGAACCTTCGCACGTAAATGAGGGGACAAAATAGGTGACGAGCTTGACGATTCTCGAGCCCTGTTGAGCATTTGATGAGGCTGCAAGGAATGGAGAGAAAATGGAATTGATGGCATCAGTCGCAATGTATGTTAATCTGGGCCAAAACAAGACCCACTAAGGAAAGTCTCGGCGGGAGAGACTACCTGAGACTACATATGTCATGCTACAAGGTACGAGAAGCTGTACGAGGATGACTGCTTCCCTCTGTTTCCTTCGGCTAATGTTACATAAATTTGATCGTTACTTATGCGTCCGCGTCAGGGTCGTCCATGTCGGGGTGGTCTAGTCCCCACCTCTCTTTACGTGCGCACTGTTCCTCTTCTCCTAGTCTGTCTGTTTACGCCGTCTCTTAGCTCTTTTCCTTCTTCTTTTCAGTCTCCCGGGGTTGTAGCTCCCTCTTGAACGTCACATCGACATGCCTTATGTCGATATCCCCTCTCGCGACGACTACGTATCTCTATGGTATATTACCAACTCCCTCTACGGCAATGTCGGTAGCTTCGACCCGAACAAACCAACTGTCATCTTCCTTCACCCGTTATTTCTTGATTCTAGATGGCTGCGAAAGCACTTCGACGACCCCCGCCTGACGGACGAGTTTAACATGATTGCATTTGATTACAGGGTTAGCGGCAGGTCAAGGTGTCGTCCCTCCCACCTGCACGACAGTTGGACCGATGCAGCAGACCTCGCTTTCGCATGCGAGGTACGGCATTGATAGACCCTCCCCATTCGTTTACATATTCTCGCAGGCTGACCTTGGAAACAGAGTCTTCAATTACCACCTACTCATATCTGCGCGTTCGAAAGTGTATCAGTGAATGCTGCATTGAGGTTCCATGCGCTGTACGTGTGGCTCCGTCATGCTCTTCTGCATGTATTCACGTTGTCAAAGGTGGCCAGAGCGTGTTCTAAGCCTAACATTGTGTAATGTCCCACCGCCACTCGAGTATGACATTTCAGTCTGTTTTGAGGTGCGCAACTGACTCCACGCGAAGATTGCAGTGGGTATTCCAGTCGTATGAGGAGCTGCTCGCTCTGTGGTGTTATGCCGAGGATCTCGACTCCTTTGAGCATGCAGGCAACGAAGTCGTTACTTTTATGACTGGCCCAGAGGTCTGTCAAAATCGCCCATTCTTCCACATTGATAGAAGCTGAACATCACAAAAAGTCGGATGCTACCGATTTACAAGACGAGGTGTGTATTTGAGCTTGAGATTATACAGCGAAGACTAAGTTGATTGTTCTTTCCTTAGCTCATAGCTTATTGGGAGATGAACTCCCCGCCTACTGCTCGACTTCGCATTGTGGAATTGTTGAATGTAGTGATGAATGTAAGTCCTGAAACGTTCTTTATTTATGCCACTAATATGCGGCATCATTTACTTCAGCGCAAGCTCCTTGAGGAAACAGTATATGACATGGTCAATGTACCTGTAATGATAATCCAGGTAACCATCTAGCGGTCTCACATTATCCTGATGCTGAATGTGTCAATCCAGGCCGAAGGTTCACCCACAGCCCCCCTTCAGTTTGCACATGAATTAAAGAGGAGACTCAGAAACGCCACGAATGACATACCTATTTGTGTTGTCAAAGGTCAGCCCACCGTCCGTATAACTGAAGATTGTTGTCTGACACAAGCTCAGGTGCCAAGGCTTGTTTAAACATCCTTCCGGGCACTGCCTCTATCGTCAATCAAGTTCTGCACAAGTTCTTGACACAGCTACCAAAGGTTCGCTCAGAGCTCAAGCCCTTGCACGCCTCAACTACGGAGCGGATGAAGAAAGCTCTCAACAAACTGGGCGAAATTCGTAGTAGCACATCCTTCAATAACCGTGATCCGCGGTCTCCGCTCTCTTTCACTTGCGTTACCGAAGAAGTTGCCAATGCTCAGAAAAAATCCCTTGATTACTACGTGCTGGACGTCGATAAAGCTTACTGTCCTCTTGGATTTGACGGACGACCCATGAGAAGGTGAGCTGCGCTCTCAGATAAACCTGTGTCATCATACTCATCTTTGTTGAAGATATTCTGAGAGAAAGAATCCTCATTGGTTCCATGGAGACCGACATGGCCATAGTTACATTGGTAAGCGTAATGTCTGACATTTCAGGTAGGGGATATTCAATGCTACATCCCAATCCTCCAGGCCTTAGCCTTCCAAAAGTGCCAAAGAGGCTCAAGCCAGCTCTTCACGATCCGCCAGCCACACCTACCGGCGGGCACATGAACACCTCTCAGAAACAGACTTTAGTTACGAGTGAAGAACAGCAAGAAGGCAGGGTGCGCAGAGCGGCACCGAGTTCAACTACAGTCGAGAAGCAGGTTATCAAGGGATCCAAGGCCGTTATCGGGAACCCAAGATTGCCCTTCTAATTGTTCTTTCACTCTTGTGCTTAACTGTCATTGTAAATGACATGCGAGCGTCTTAACTTCCTTTATTATATCCCCGCTTTATGTTACCCTTGTTCATTAAACACTTTAGATTCCCTAGGAGCACACATTTGTTCCAACTTTATATCATCTATATCGATCATTGTATTGAAATATTTACTCATGTTCATAATTTTTCGCTGCTTCAATACAGTAGATGTCCGATGCTATAAGCTACCCTCAGCCATCTTTGCTTTATAGTACCTTACCATCTCCTCCAAACCCATACGTACCGTCCAGCGTGATTGCCATTGCAAGGACTCCTTTGCGCGCGAAGTGTCCGGCCGACGTTTCTGCGGATCATCTGTCGGCATGGGTTTGTTGTATAGTATCTGAACGCGCCCGACTGGCTTTACGCCGTCTTCTTGCTGAACCCTTTCAACGACATCCCGAATCAATTCCGCAAACTCTCCAATCGTGAACTCGTCGCTGTTTCCGATGTTGCATGGACGGGTCTCGTTCGAGTTCATGAGCACGATAAGGCCGTCGATAAGGTCATGGATGTACTGGAAAGAGCGGGTCTGCTTGCCGTCTCCGTACACAGTCAAGTCTTCGCCGCGCAAGGCCTGGATGATGAAATTGGACACAACGCGGCCGTCATTCGGGTTCACTGGAATACGTGAGCCCGTGACCACCCATATGAAAAAGAGTCTCACTCCTTGGCCCTGCAATGAAAATGGATCAACATAGGACTCGTGCAACAACACAAGCTTGGCCTACCGTAAGTGTTGAAAATACGAGCAACGCGAACATCAACCCCATCCTGTCGGTGGAACCCGTAGGTTAGAGTTTCTGCTACGCGCTTTCCTTCATCATAACAAGCCCTTGGGCCAATGGGATTGACATGACCCCAGCTTTGAAACTTTGAAAACTACGAGCACTTCATGAAGACTACACTTACTAGTCTTCATGTTGCGGATGGACTTCTGGGTCACCATATACCTCTGTAGACGAACTGAATAGATGGCAGCAGTTAGAAAATTAATGTGCAGTACCTGAAGTGCTGCTGATCAAAAATCGCGCTTTAGTACGTTTGGCAAGGCCCAGCATATTGAGGGTGCCTATAAACGACGTCTTGATGGTCTTGACAGCGTTAAACTGATAATGCGTGGGGGATGCGGGGCATGCAAGGTGATAAATCTCTGCACAAGTAGGGATCACGAGTTGCCCAGTGGACCAACAGTGAACTCACGATCACACTCGATCATGAACGGCTCAACCACATCATGTCTGACCATCTCAAAGTTGGGATGGCCCACCCAGTGGCTAAGCGAGGTTTTAGACCCAGTGAAGAAGTTATCGAGAACAGTGACCTCGTGTCCAAGCAGCATGAGTCGATCAACTAGATGAGAGCCAACGAAACCGGCGCCGCCAGTCACTAAGATCCGTTTTCGGGTGGATGGTGGCAAAAGTTTAACGGGAGGAAACCGCGTGAGGGAGGTGTAAGATATCGAAGCTGTTTCTGGATAGTAGATGGACTTGGACTGGTATGCATTTAGGCCCTGGCCAAAGACAGCATGCTGTTTGTCCTCCTCTTCCTTGTCGAGGTCGTCAACCTTTGTCTCGGATGTATTGACGACATAGTGAGGCTTGAGATACAGGGAACGCAGAACATCGATGGGGACTCGACTGTCAAATCCAAAACGCTCGAATCCGATGGTAGTGATTTCTTGTCCATCCTTGTCCAGGGTGTGGATCTAGATGACTGCCCAATCAGTTTAAAATGTGCGCGGACAAGGTATGACAATCAGAAGGGATAAACGACTTACCGCTGACGGCAGCGACATGGTTTCCTAGCAAAGCAAGATATGGCCAGTACCGTACCAGGGAAGAGGGAGGGAAGCGCTGGGGGAATGGGCTTGCCGTCAAGGCCAGAGCCGGTCCGAAGTCGAGCCCCGTGCACGGTACGAGCCCTTCGACGATCTATTGAATCTATCTTATCTTTGGTTTTGTAATGGGAGAAAGAGATATCTCGTCTCGGCGCTTGCCGGTGACGCAGGCACCATCTTTCGAATCTAGTCGATTCCTCTTTATTACCTTCCTTCACTCTCCCGTCACAATGCCTCGGGCACAAAAGGCACAAAAGCCAAAGCATGATCCTCTCCTCGCGCAGATTTATGATGACGAGACATACGCAAAATACGGCCGCGTTTCAAGACCGGGGAAGCGCAAAAAGTCACGTACGACAGTGGATGATGGTGACGAGCCATCCGAGGTCAATATCTAGCATCATCTATGCTGCATGAGATGTTTACCAGATAAACCAGGCCGTTCTAGACTCCAAAAGCTCTCAACGCGTCTTTGAGCTTGCAAGGGATCAACAGGCGGAGCTTGATATGCCCGAGGACGAGGAAGATCTACCCAGCAACGCCGGTTTCCAGTTGCGTGAGGATATCTTAGAGGAAAACGAAGATGACATATCGGAGGATGAGCCTCAGAACGCAGATGAGGATGCAGAGGAAATGTTTGTACGTCTATCATGCAGCTCTCCTTGCACCTATCCCAATTGAATGTCAGGACATAGACGCTGGGGACATGGAAACCCTAGATAAATTGCTACCCTCAAGCTCAGGGGAAAGGAAAACTCTTGCGGATGTGATCTTTTCAAAATTGGAGGAAGCCTCAGTGGGTGGTGGTGGTGTCACTTCCATTCAAAAGGTGCAACAAGGTGTGTAAACTCAACTCCCATTGGGTTCTGATTTTCATCAGTATCTTCAAGACTCTAAGTATCCAGATCCTGCCATGGGTCTCGACCCACGCGTTGTCGAAGCTTACTCAAAGTGAGCGCAGTATGCCAACCACTTGGAGACTGCTAATAAAAAGCGCTAATGCATCTTCACAACATCTGCAGAGTTGCAACGATCTTACGAGTTCACAAGTCAGGACCGCTTCCCAAGGCCTTCAAAATTATCCCTACACTTCCGGCATGGGCTCGTATACTGGCGTTGACCCAACCAGAGAACTGGTCGCCACACGCCTGCAGGGCTGCAACGCGTATTTTTATCTCGACGATGAAGCCTCCACAGGCTCAGCTATTCCTACAAGTGGTCCTGCTCGATGCTATCAGAGAAGACATTAAAGAGAACAAGAAGCTAAACGTTCACTACTATGAGAGCTTAATGCGTGCTCTCTACAAGCCTAGTGCTTTCTTCAAGGGCATAGTCTTTCCTCTCCTGGATGTGCGTCCATGTCCTCCGTCTCTTCACTATTACTCTAACAACGGTTCAGTCTGGTTGCACGTTGAAGGAAGCTGCGATAGTTGCGTCAGTAGTCGCGAAGAAAAAAGTTCCAATGCTGCATTCCGCGGCCGCGTTACTCAGAATTGCAGAAATGGATTATACAGGTGTGCTGTTTGCAGGTCAAAAGAACTTATGCTGATTTACCCAACATCATACCTAGGCCCAAATTCCCTCTTTATACGGGTGTTGGTAGACAAGAAATACCAACTTCCCTATAAGGTGGTTGATGCCCTCGTTTTCCATTTCATTCGCCTTTCCAACACCTACAAAGCTCGCGCGCGTGGTGATACCGAAAAACTACCCGTTCTCTGGCATCAAAGTCTTCTCGCTTTTTGTCAGAGGTAAAAGTCTTTTGCATGCAATTGCCATTGACGCTGTGTATTAATTTGCTTCTAGATATTCTGCAGACTTAACGCCTGACCAAAAAGACGCATTGCTGGATGTTGTTAGGGCCAATCCTCATCCGCAGATCGGCCTAGAGGTGCGAAGGGAGCTCTTGAGCTCCGTTGCTCGGGGCGCCCCCGTGCAAGATGCTCAGGACGTAGAGATGTCGTGACGGATCTTCCTGTTATCTGTCTTTAATACTACCAACTTGGGGTAACCGAAACATAGTTCACAAGTTAAATCTAGTGTGTACTCGCTGGCGATTCCTCAATTCTTTCAACTGTGCTGCATAGGTTTGACATCCATACCATGGGCTGTCGATCTGTAGTGCATACCGGCCTCAACAGTGGCTCCCCACGTGTATACTTCTTGCGAGCCTCCGAGCGCCGATTCTGACCTCAGGCCCTATAATGCATATGACTTGGTCCTACGCACATTCAGCGACTTCCATCTGCTGAGTAATTTCTCTCTCAGCGTTCGTTTACTGCCAGCTTCAAAAAGCTGCAACCCGTTCCACTATCCACTCCGTTCGATCGATGCAAAACTGTGATGACTGTTGCTCTCATGCGTTCACTTTTCCTGACGATATCCACCCCAACACTACGTCAGCTATCTCTTCAGAGTTTTTCTCCATGAACATCATATGGCCATTTCCCTTGATACCGAGATCCTCGAGACGTAGGTGGAGTACGTCAACGCCAGCGTCTCGCAAAAATTGCACTGTGCATCCGTCGTATACGCTGTGATAACCTGATTCGCTGGTGACCATGAAGACTGGCACTTTTGAGACATTGGTCAATTGCCTAGCCGGTGAGTGCTGAAGTAAACATGTGTAGTTTGGACCATGGTCGATCGCGACCAGCGGACCAAGATCCTGAGGAGATTGTATGGGAGGAGAAAACTGAACCGGGATTTCCGTGAGTCCGAAAGGTCGTGCAGGGTCGGTCCCGAAAACAGCGTTCTGAAAGGGAGGGCCGATAGGCTCCAGCGCTACTATGGAATGTATATGATTAGGTCGGGAATCGGCCAGGATCCAACCAAACTGGCCCGACTGAGAGTGAGTGAACAGAATCACTGGTTTCTAGCAATATGCTTTTAGTTTATGGTTAGCCCATTGGTGCGTGATGCCTTACACCTATCGTGTCCAGAAGCTTCGACCCAGCGGTCTTCATGAGTCGAGAGGTTTCGACAGCGGACGTCAGCCTGGGTAGTGTGGAACGGTAAAAGGCATCGAAGATGGGATCACCGCGTGAGCCGTTGCCTGGCCATTGCGTGTGGAGTTCTGCGTGTGGCCATAGCTTGTAGTATTGCGTGGCCGTAAAGTGTGACTCAATCATGTACGTGTCGAACGTCGAAGTATTACCATCAAGCGTGCTTTGCCAAGGAGACCTCGCCCTGGCAGGCTGGTCTACGATGTATACCTACACCATGGCAAAAGAGAGGAGAATCAATCTTTCACAGTATATAGATGCACAGGCGTCTGCGGGCGTGCAGATGCACATCACTACAGGACGACATACCTCGTATCCTTGTCTCATGAAGAAGTCCGCCCATCCGGGCTTCCCTTCAGGCGTATTCAAAAAGTTGGTGCCAGACATGCCATCCCCATGAATAAACAGCAAGGGATGTTGCTTTGTGACTTCAACCGGGACAAGGTGTTCCACATACATCTGTCCGTGAGATATTGCAGAAGACCCTTGCCTGGAGTATTCTCCACCAACATAGAGATAACGGCGAGTATGGGGAGCGAAGGCGGTGATGACCCTCTCCATGGATCCGCGCGGGCTCCAGTGGGCCTGGGCTTGAGGCATCCAATTTGTAACTTTCCAGTGATAAGCAACGAGGCATCCAATCGTAGCATATACGACTAGCAAAGGGAGCTTGGATAGAAAACTCATGATAAAGCCAGTGACCTGAAGGGAAGGCGCTCAAGAGCGTTCAAGCTTTCAAAGCCGATAAGGCGGAGCATGTACACAGTAATAGAGACTTCCATGGACATGGGAGCAAGGGCCGCCGCGACAGAGTTTGGATCTGCATAGGGGTAGTCGTCAGCTGCCTCTCGCGGGCGCCTCGAATAATTTAGTTAACGAGATAGCTTGATCCCGGTATTACTCGCCCTCGATCTCGAATAAAACGAAGCGTTGGTTGCATACGACCTTTCTGAGCGTCGAGTCACCATGACACGCTCAGCGTTGTTCTTTCATCTCCTTATGATGCATGATAATTGAATAAAGGCATAAGTCAGCGCTGACTTAAAGCAAAGGCTCTAATACTGGCCATGCATCGTCTCTTTCGAGAAGGCGCTTGTCCGTGATATCTGCATAAGCAAGCTAAGTAGGGACGAACGAACGCAGCGCGGAAGCGTGGTTAACGACAGACAGTAGCAGATGCACCTGGGGAAGCGGAGGAGTCATCTGTTCATGATTTCTGCTTTTTACCATGGGTCGATTTCTCGGTACTAGGTGCCCTTTTGATAGCGTCCATGATGCCATCAAGGTCGTTAGGTGTGGCATCGAGAATGCGAGTCGAAGGCGATATGCTTTTTGCGGAGCCTTTCTTGACCTTTTTACCCAGCGCTGTGTCGAACACGGCTGATATTTCATCCTCGACGTCTGTGCGCTTTCGCTTTGTTTTTCGCTCGGGTGTAATGGGTGCATCAACCGCGTTGCTTGGGGCCGCCGCCTCCTCCACTTTAGACTCCCCTATCTTTGCTGAGTGCGTCGCGCTCAGAGTGGTCTTCTTTCGCGCCTGCGCGTCTTTCCATTCTTGGGGCCGTTTTTGCAGAAGATACAGGTTCAGGTTACGCGCAAAGAACTTGCCGTAATACGACGCCGTCAAGAATTGTTCTTGGGGGATGAGAGAGCGAGCGATCTTCTCCTGCGAACATTTTAGTGATGGTAACATAGGGGCAGCATCAGGGAGAAAAACCTTGAGATAAGGGTCCGCAAAATTCCAGCAACGATCTCCGACTCTGCTTCCTATGCGATCGTCGACGAGCATATGATAATGTCCTATGAAGGACATAACTAAGCCTCTCTTAGCGGGGAACGGCACAGAGGCTGCTTCCAGGAACACGTCAAGTACTCTTGAACTAGTAGGATTATGCGCCAGGTGTAGAAGCCCTTCAATCGGTAATGACCGAATGCTATAGATCCTGTCAGTCACTGATACCTGCATTAGTGAGCCACTTACCTTTCGATAGGCAGAGCGTTGTGAGGATGCGGTAATCGAAGCATTGATTGCAGCAGGAGGGCGCCCTGAACATTGGATTCTAACCCATGCCGACGCTTGTGCTCAGACTTGGAAGCATCCGAGTGCGTGTCAGTGGATTCTGACGGCTTCGAGTATGCCTATGGTACCACGCTAAGGGAACCCGTTAAGCATATTTCTTTGCGCGACCGCTTACAGGAAGTGGTTGCATTGCCAATGCACAAGGGACAAGGCACTTCTGATCTTCCAGGGCTTCGGAGAGTTGAAAAGTTGTGCACACTGCCTGTCCGGAGTCAGTATGGATTCATACAATAACTTACATGTTTTCACCTTAATGGTTTCCTTCAGCGCCATCTCTGACACCGCAGACCTCTCGACGGCAGCTTTAAGAACACCTATGCGACCATCCTCTACTACAGTTAAATTACCTCCAGGATGATATACATCAGACTCACTCAACATTTTGCTCCAGCTCCCCTGCAGTTCTGATAATGCTTCTAGAAGCTGGTCCGAATTTGACATCCCCAGAGCCCTTGCAATGGCAAAGTTGGCTACTGGGTGTACTGACAGTCGGGAGAACTTTCCCTTCAAGTAAGTAGACCAAAAAAGGTCGAATTGTGTGCCCTTGCAGCATCTCATCGCAACTTCGAGGAGGTGCGAAGCTGTAGTATCACGAAAGAGTGTAACTACATAGTCGGATGCTTCTAGAGGGGCGTCTGGATCTTTGTCTTGGATTTATTCATACAATCAAGGTTAGAGGAAGTGAAAAATAAACTCACTAGCATGGCTGACTAAACCAAACAACACACGATCCAACAGCGAATCGTTATCTATTGTGTTACCGACCTGGGCTTCAATTTCAAGAAATATCTGGAAGTGGTCAGCAAGAAAACTGCACGACTCTCAATGTGTGATATACCTGCAATGTGGGACTCGCAACTGTGTTAGCTGCAAGGGACCGAACTTCGTTTGCATCCATTTGATTTCTCAGCGTGTCGACAAGCGACCTGGCAGCAACAAGGTGCTCTTGTGGAGCTGCTCTTCGTGCCGCCGTCGAATCGCTATCAATGCCAAATAGTGGTTTCATGGCTCCTTGCTTGGCCTTCCAAACTGAACTCTTCTTCGAGCGCATAATGGCGGAATTCTCTGTGCACAATGGTATCGTAGGCGCAAGGAGTAGGAGCATTGCACGTAGGGCATGCGATGCAAATGAATCCATGATTAAGGCCGGGAGATCGGGTCGTATTTCCTGCGCAGACCGTCAGAGAATGCGTGCAGGGTGTGTGTAGAGGACCAACCTCACATATGTCGAGTAATAACCGGGTTAAGGTTCGAAGCTCCCCTTTATCAGCATTTGTTTGAGTGGCGATGAATCCCCGAGACTATTGGCAGGATCAATGCAGTTCTGTTTCGTGGACCGGAAGACAGCTAACCTCTCGGGATACTGTAGCATTTGCAGTGGTAAACAAGGTTTGACAGACATGCGACGCAAAACGGTGCTTCAGGAGGATATTAAACCTGAACAAGTCAGTCACATTGCACTCATAAGAGGTCAGCTAGCGGGGACTCACGAGCCAGTCAGGCTGTCAATAAATACTCTCCGCACAAAATCATCCATGGAGTGTATCATGCGTTCCAAAATGACAGAACAGTCAGGATCTGTCGCGAGTTGTTTCTCGTTTCCAGACATCTCCGACAAAGCAGCAAGGAAGAAAATGCGTCGTTCTGTACGTCGCGTAGTATGTTAAACAAGCAGCCAGTTGGATTGAGTAGGAACGAACAGACCCTCATTCGGATCAACCTCATCTCCTTGGTCTACGCTTGTCCCATCTTGCTGCCAGTTTCGTAATTGTTCGTCAACATTTCTGAAGTAAGCCTTGATGTCGGCATCAACGTAACCGAATGGAGCCTCCAAGTCTGCATCTGGTTTCGCAGCTGGTATAATCCAAGACTCGTTTTGCTCCGGAGCTGGTTCCTGGAAAGAGGAGAATGTTTCTTCCTGTTGTTTTTCAGACTTCTTATGTTTCTTTCCGCGTTTCCTGTTCTCCTGGGGCATGGCGGTAGATGATGGTGGCCGAATGATAGGTGCCGTGGACAGGGGATCGCCGTGCCTGGCAAAAAGTTGGGTCTCGGGCTCAATTGGTATATCCGTTCCGATGACAAGAACGGCATCAATGACGCCCTAATCTTATCTTATTAATATTGGTACGTTTGCCTGCGTTGCGACTGACATGGCACCAGCATCCTGTGCTCTCTGCCAGAAGGCCAAGGCAATCATCAAGCGGCCAAAGACAGGCCAGTCGATTTGCAAGACATGCTTTTTCGATGTCTTCGAAACAGAAGTCCACAGAACCATCACCGACACCCGTCTTTTTAATCGTGGTGACAAGGTAGCTATAGGCGCTTCTGGAGGGAAAGGTTCGTCGCTCCAAGTTATGTGATATACGGAGATTGCTAAACTCAGCTCAGACTCCACTGTCCTCGCCTATGTAATGAAAACTCTCAATGACCGCTATGACTACGGGCTTGACCTCTATCTGCTGTCGATCGACGAAGGTATCACAGGGTACAGAGATGACTCACTGGAGGTTCGTTCTCCCAGCTCTACATGGTCGTACATCTAACAAATTGCTAGCGTAGACCGTGAAGCGAAATCAGCTTCAATACGACATGCCGTTGAAAATTCTTTCCTATGACGAGCTCTACGGCTGGACCATGGACGCCGTCGTTTCAAAGATAGGGAAGAAGAACAACTGCACATTCTGTGGTGTTTTCCGTCGACAGGCTCTTGACAGAGGTGCTGCTTCTCTTGGCGTCGAACATATTGTCACTGGTCACAATGCTGATGACATTGCTGAGACCGTCCTCATGAACAGTAAGACTTGCCCTGCTTAAAACCTCCCTGAGTTTGATCCGTAGTAATTCAGTTATGCGTGGTGACATTGCACGCCTTGGTCGTTGCACCTTGATCTGTACGCAAGGTGAAGATACTATACAACGGTCCAAGCCTTTCAAGTACACGTACGAAAAGGAGATTGTCATGTATGGTGATCAGACTGCTCATTTGATAAATGCTTGAATATTCTGCAGGTATGCCTACTTCAAGAAGCTAGACTACTTTTCAACAGAATGCATCTACTCGCCTGATGCATATCGCGGTCACGCACGAGCCTTTCTGAAGGACTTGGAGGCTGTACGACCGAGCTCCATTATCGACATCATTCACTCGGGCGAAGCATGGGAGATCACTGAGAAAGTCAAGGCAACGCAGAAGCAGCAACGTGCGTATCTCATCCACCGGTTTCATTTCTTAGACGAATGTTTAATTTGTGCACCAGAAATCTGTCGACGCTGTGGATACATGTCAAGCAACGAGTTATGCAAAGCATGCACCCTGCTAGAGAGCCTCGAGAAAGACACGACACGAGGGGGATCAGTGCGCATATTTAAACCTCACAATGTTTAGGTTTTCTCAGTCTACCTCCACTTGACAGTGACTGTTTATACAGAACATCCTATTTGGAGAGCAGCGGCCCATGACATGCGTTGAAAGGTATAATTAAATATTATGTGTAAAGATCTAAAGTTCAAAGCCAACATAAGTATTCAATGAAGTCAACAAGTAGAACAGAGTTTAAGCTACGGTTTTCCGGCCTTCTGCCTCACAGAAAGTCCGAAATAAGGTTTCACATTTCTCGATCAACTCGTTGGTCTGTACTTCTTCTTCTTTCGATTCGTACAGCTTCGAAGAGGATACACCCTCTTTGCCCCATCGATTACACTGAGAGACGTATCGTACTCCGGCTTCGGATGGCGATCCATTGGCGTGGCCGTTTGTCGACGTAGCCTTTAAGTTTATCATCGGGAGAAACACAAAAGGGACAAGGCAGAGGTGAACAGCGGAGACAGCAGCTTTATACGAGGAAATTAAATGGTAGGGAGATCCCAGCACCCGCGCCTGACAACACAACTGTTAGCGAGGCTCTATCGCAAAGCATACTTAGCCATACAATGTAGAAAGCAAGAAACATGCCAATTGAACTCAAAGGCCCCAAAAGCGAGCTAGCAATGTTTGTCCCAGCGACTCCAGGAAGTACCGTGAAGTGACGGATGACGGGTGACTGAGAGTCAGCCGAGTGCATTTCTACAGCCTGGCGGTCAAGATGGAGAGACATCATGTCAATCTGGTACTTTGAACACTGGTAAGAATGTGCCGACTTGATGAGTTGCCAGTCTTGAGGGTCGTAAAACGTAGAATCTGATTCGTGAGAGGACATCCAGAGAACTCGCGGTCCTGTGGGATTTGAACACTTGGCCAGAGTTTTCTCGAGAAGTCGGAACTATAGGTAACAAGTGAGTGAGACACATCATTCGTATGTGACCAACAGCAGGTGCGCACCAGAACATAATGCCCAAAAACATTACACTGCCAAACGAGACCCAGGTGGTCCGGCGTGAGTTTGCCAACGTCCTGCACATAGAACGCCGGCGCTGTCACTGCGTTGACCCAGTCGCATGCAAGTTGTTGAATGGCGGCGCTCCAGTTAATTCTTGAGAAACAGGCTAGACCGGCGTTGAAAACCAAGTGCGAAATGTATGGGTATCTGAGGACGCATGAGTACAACCTCAAATGGAATAGACGTACGCCGCTTACTTCTGCGATACTTCATCCGCGAACAAGAAGATACTATGGACGCTTGCAAGGTCAATTGTGTGGATGTCAATCTCCAAATTCTTCCTGAACGCAGTCGCGTGTGAGTTGAGCGTGCCTATGCGACACCGTTTCTCGAGGTGATCGTCGAGGAACTTGAACAGTTGGTCTCTAGCGGTCTCTGCACGCTGCCTGCTCCGGCAGGCCAAAATCAATGTCAGACCTTCACAGGCAGCAAATTTCTCGTCAGCACCCTGCTGATTGTGGAACCCATAACTTGGCTGCGCGTCGTCAGGGTATGTTTGAGAGAGCTCGACGAGCAACCTCTGGCAAATGCCAAAGCCCACGCCGCTTTTGGAGCTATTTCAGGAACGCGAACTGAGCAAGTAGCATACTGGAAGGACAAACCTGTTTGCGCCTGTGACGATAATGATTGGCCACGTCCGAGAGTTTGACATTGGAGAAAAAGTGGGAGGTGCTAATCGAACTATCTTCTCATCCCCTGTCATTTTGGCATAACATCGTACGACCCTGTCTATTAGCCCCTGTGTCCCCCGCCAAACAATTCAGTCGTTGTAAGTAGAATTCTTGCTGGGAAATGACGCATTGCAAAAACTGGGTTCGCTTAAATAACGGAAAAATGCGATTACAAGCTCGATGGCAAAGGCTTAGGCATCTTAAAAGCGACTATGGTATAGAATGTCTGGCAATCAAGAAGACTCGGCCTTTTTCTTCTTTTTCTTTGGCGAGTTGTCCCCGGCGACAGCGGCAGCAGCCTTCTCTGCTTTTCGGGCCTTTCTTCTTGCCTTGCGCTCAGCTTCAGTCTCGCCATCTTCGCCCTAATCGGAAAGGTTAGGCTTGTCGTTGAACGTTGATGGATGAACGAAACCGCCTACCTTCTCCTCGGTATCACCCTTCCCATTCATGTCACTTTCCCTCCGCTTCCGCTTCTTCTCCTTGTGACTTTCATCGCCATCAACGTCCATTCTGTCCTCATCGTCATCGTCATCATCAGACTCATGTGCCTTCGCTTTCTCAGCCTTCTTCTTCGCCTTCTTTTCCTCCTTTGCTCTCCTCTTCTCCTCCTTGACATCAAGTACTGCGCTGATGGCAGCCTCCATAGGCTCTCGTTGTGACGGGACGAGGTCGACGGCGTCAGCATCGGTGTTGTATGTCTTCGTTTGCCCGGTCATCTCAAACTTGCGCTGCTGCCGGCTGTTATCGGAGAATTTCCGTGCACCAGTAAGGTCGCCTTGCATTTCAAGCGCGCGGAGCCTCGACTCAAGCTTTGCACGGTTGTCCATCCCTATTGACGGAGCCTGGTCCTCAGACTTGCCATCCGCGTCCGTCAGCGCGTCAACGCGTATTGAGAGGGTAGCCTTAGTTGCGACCATACGCGCCATCTAGCCATAGCAATTAGCTCGAGTATTGGCGCAGCTCCTTTTATTACTTACCTTGCCCTTCAACTTTGGTGGTGCCTGGCCAATGAGTGATGCCTAAAATCGCTTGAGCCAGGCCCGCTGATCTAGTCTAAACAGTGACCTACATGATAAATAAGACCGTATTTCGGCGTGTCGTGTTTGGTTTTGAGGGCACGGAAGAGCGCTTTTTCAGCGCCGAGGATCTGAACGGTACTTGCGGGGTGTTTTGCAAGGTTCAGTAAGCTTCCAGCGTGGGAGATGAGCCGTGCGCCAACGAGATCTCCAACAAGCGCAGTAAGGTTGGGAGCAATTGCTTGCATCCGATTCCGGAGGTACTCTGCAAGCTGCGCACGGTAGGCGGAGATAGAGATGACCTGGTCGCAAAGCGCATGAATGTGCTGAATATCTGAGTCAGAAATTTCAGTGCCCATTGATATCTCAGCAGCCGCCTTCAGGATAGCCTCAAGGTCTTCCGGTAATATCGTCTCGAAAGCGGTGGTGGAAGCATTGGTCCGGAAACCTGCACCTACATTAGTGAATGCCTCAAAAGCATATATTTGCGACATACCCATAGCCTTGACAACCTTGGCATAAGCCAAGTTGTCGACAATGATTTTGGCCATTTCAGGGAAATGCCAGCCGTACCATTCCTACTACTAGGTCAGTTGAAAAGAGGGAGAGAGAAATGTACTAAACATGCCTTCACTCGCATGGAGTAGATGTTAATCTCTTTGTCTAGATCGTCGAGTAGGGCGATGGCCTGAACAATCATGGTGTCGACCTTGTCAGGGGAAAATTTCAGCTTGAAACTGGAATCGATATGTTAGGATCCAAAGACCTGTAATACATCACTCAAACTTACCGGGAAAGTGAATGACTGAGACCTAAGCTCATCGTGGCAAGGTCCTTTGGATCGAGACCATCTAGAAGAGAAGCCAATTGCGACCGTATTCCCCGCCATAGATCACTATGCTCCTCCGGGTTGTGAGTAGTGACCTTGATACTCAATTTTTTGGTGATGGAATGCGCTGAACGATGCTACGTTAGCCGTGGTTACTGACAGGGGCAGCAGCACTTTACCTAGATGAGGATCAAGAACAACAAGAGAGTCCTTGTTCTTCCCCTTTTCAACAACTTCAGTAGTCAAGAACTTCTTGAGGCCCTTGCCAAGTTTGCCACTCTGAACTGCCGTTAGATCCTCCACCGCAGTAGCTGTCGAGGTGAAGCGATGCAAAGCTTTCAATTTCAAGCTGATCGCGTAGTGTTGAATACCAAAAAATGCAAAACCAATTGTTGGACGTACAGCTTGTTGGCTTTTTCTGGGGTCTCGAACTCCTTCCACAAGTCCTCCGATTCAAGTTTTGCAGCATCGGTGAGCTTGAAGAGGCAGTAGCCCATCGCGGTCTCAAAGAGAACCAACATTTTTGCGCTCTAGAAATGACCGGATTGGATAGGTGATGGATCTTTGAAGCCTTGAGTCTAGCCGGACACGAGCCTCCCGTCACGATCCTGCTGAGTGCGTAGGTATCTGTGCGTCGCCAATTTTTTGAGCGTGGGAAATATGTAGTATTACCGTCGTATGCCGGATCATTAGCCCCTATCTCAGTCCGATGCAGCGCAATATTAATGAGTTACCTTCCAGCGGATGTTGCGACGCTAAGGCGAGGTGTATTCGATAGATCTGGGGCGCCTAGAGTCGAACAGGAATTGAGGTAGCGATGAGGCGAATTTACTTGACCAATGTAATATACACATATATAGCCTTGTGTAGCGGCCTAAGCACGTCGCCCTACGTATCTGTAGATTGGAACTTCAAGCAGCGTTGGAACGGAACGTCCATATGATCATTGCCAGGAGTTTCCAGAGTTTTATTCTGAAGAGCGACTTTCACTATGTACATGCCTCGATCCTACCGGCGAGAGTGGTAGAACGGCACAATGTAAGACAGAACCGGGATTAATGGAAGAAAAGAACAAGTCACTTATGTCAAGAAAAAGTGAACTGAGTATTGCATGGTGCAGCGCTCGCATGGAGGTGACAATGGCATAAATATGTTGACAAGCCGCCGGGTGGACAAATCCAAGTCGACAGCGGGAAATCCCCATAGGGATCGGCTATTTTTGGAGGGCAGGAACCTTCAAATCGAGGATTCTCATTGTCGCTGTGCGTAACGCGTAACGACTGTACCCAGTCATGCCCCCTGTTGACGAGTCTCACACCAAGAGATAAAAAGCTCAGCGTCGCGATGGTCCGCCCATTCTGTCCCTCTTCTCAACTTCGTTAGGCTGGTCTCCTGATATGTACGCTCCTTCCACTCCTCCTTGCGCTCATCTCATCGCTCGTCTTCTTGTAGTTTTGGGTTGCCTGGACGCGCCCTCTTTTGCATTCTTTCCCTCTAGTGTCACCCAATCCAGGCGGGTCTCAGGTAGACATGCGTCCTCTTAGCTTCCTTCTATTTATCGGCCTTGCAAATGCCCTCTTCATTCCATGGCGCCGGACAGCCAAGTCTTCCGACATCACTGTGCTAAGTATGTTGCCTAAACTCGGCTTATGTGTGCTGAAGCGCTGATGATATGATCAGACTTTGCAAGTGTATTGGAGCAAATGGAATCTGATTTCTACTCTCAGGCGCTGAAATCATTCACCGCTTCCGACTTTGCAGTAGCTGGATTTGCTTCGGGAGATATCCCAGTCACCGAGATTCAGCAGCTAGCCAGTGACGAAAACTCTCATCTAGCAACTCTTCAAGTATGTCCATGCTAAAGGTACGATGCACTATAACTCATGTACAATTTCATAGGCTGCCGTTAAGGCTCTCGGTGGCCAGCCAATTACGGGCTGCAAGTTCGACTTCTCCTCGGCGTTAACGGATGTGAACACTATGATCACTTTCGCCCAGTTGATGGAAAATGTCGGTGTGAGCGCATACCTGGGAGCAGCATCTTCCATCTCGGACCCTGCATTACTATCCGCTGCAGCCTCAATCATGACAGTTGAGGCTCGCCACCAGACGGTAATGAACATCATGAATGCCGCAGCGCCTATTCCACAAGCTTTCGATCTTGCACTGAACCCGTCGGAAGTCCTATCCATCGCCGGCCAATTCCTAAGTGGCTGCAGTCTCGACATAACTGGTGGGTCCATGTCTCATAGCTTCTTTCCCGGTGCTGACAATCAGCGAAGCTACGCCCCCGCTCTCGGTCACCACCCGGGCGAGTCAAAATGGTACCCTCCTTGAATTCCAGAGTTCAGCATTGAATGGAACCTCAAGCACGGTGCGCTTTTTTGTAGATGACGTGAAAGCAGAAACTGATTGATACCTTGTACAGGGATTGTACTGTCAACTCATTGCAGGCGGGGCTGCTAACACGACTATGCAGCCAGCAGATAGCTGCCTGGTCCCTGCGGGCGTCAATGGACCAATGCTCGTCATGCTTACCAAAGACACTCGAGATGTTGGATCCAAAAACCGGACAGCTGCCAATGATAACATTGTTGCTGGCCCTTCAATGATCATCATCATTGATGAACAGGACCCTTTGGGACAGCTTGTCCGCCCTGGAGAGAGCAATAGCACCTCATCGACTACTACTTCCTCGACTACTACCTCTACGTCCGCTACGAGTGCCACCGCGACCGCATCCGCGTTCACGACCGTTCTATCGGCTGCATCTGCTTCGACCTCCACTACATCGACTTCCGCGAGCACATCATCTGTGGCGTCAACCTTGGCAGCAACCTCGGTCACATCGACCTCCTCTAAGGTATTGTCGACTTCAGTTTCGTCGGTCACAACTACGTCTATCAGTACAAGCACCACTTCCTCGGCCATCTCTGCTACCTCTACTTCTGCGATTTCTACCACTGCTGTCACCTCTGCTGTCACTACCACTGCTAGTAGTGTCGTTTCTACGTCTTCAGCGCCGTCGGCTACCTCGGCTACCTTGTCGGCGAGCGGGCCTTTTACTACTACCATTTCACCCTCGCAGGCGAGTGCTATCATTGCGAGTGCTGCATCTTCCCTTCTTGCAGCTATCCCAAGTATCTAGTTGATCATCCCGATCATGTACAGTAGCCGTCGTTTTCCCTAAGATGTCATCTGGGCCCAATGCGATGTTGTCTGTAACATCTCTGTTTGATAAATATCTCCCGTGTTGTATTTGTAAATGATTCGTAACGTCACTAAAGTGTTTAAGTTAGCAAATAAGTGGCCTAGGCAAACGACAGGCAATGTAGTCGCTGTCGAAGAAAATATATGTAAAAAGGGACAATGACTAATCCTCGTCGCTGTCCTCGCTCGAGGAAGTCTCGTCTTCATCGGGGCTGAGTCCGCCAGCGAATTGGTTCAGCGATATGGGCTTGCGAGCGTTATCGGGCGGCGTAGGCTCCGGCGAAAGCGCAGGGGTAAATATGGCTTCTTCTTCTGCCTCCTCACCTTCAAGCTGCATCTCCATCTCCTGATTGAACGCATCAAGGTCCAGCTCTTCCATTTCTTCCTCTTCTGCTTCTTCATTTGCCTCAGGGTTTTCGGCGGGGGCTGCGGCAGTCACATCTTCCCACTCTTCATCAGACTCTGAGTCAGGTTGCGACGTTGTTTGGGACACATGCACAGGCGCCAGCGGGGGAGCGGGCGCAGACGGTATTGACACTTTGCGCTTCTTCAGGGGACGCGAAGGTACGCCAAATTCGAGGTGCTCGCTGTCGTATGCCTCGGCAGCTTGAGCGACGGATTCGGGCTCTTTCTTGGTTTTGAGCTTGGGGGTGGGCTTGGGCGGAGGCTTCGCAGCTTGCTTGAGCAATCCCTTTGGAGAGTTTGACTTCGGTTTCGGCAGGGATGGCTGCGGCCGTCGGCCAGGGGGCTTTGGCTCGGGAGGGGCGAGCGGTACGGGCTTCTCTTCCTCTTCCTCTTCCTCTTCGCGCAATGCAATAGCTGGGTTGCGATCTGCACTATCAAGTACACCATCTAGAACTTCGTCATCGGATGCATTGGCTGTGTTCTGACCTGAGTTTAAGGCTGAGGGGAAGGCAAGTTGAGAGACGTTATATGATGGTAGAAGCGCCCTCTACTCACGGGAGGCGGAGTGATTAGCAATATGAATATGAGAGACAGAACCCGCTCCTCTTTCGTGGTTAAGGTTCACGTACGAGTTGAGTTTCTCCAGCGTGAAGACCTAATGCGGAGTCACATTTGGAGAGGGCCATCATGGAGACATCATATGAGCGTACCCCAGAGTCCTCATCATAAATAAGCACGCACTCGACCTCCTTTGCCTCCAGCTCGGTTCCCTTGAAAATATGTCGCTCATTTTCCTGAGAGCTTTCAGTTTAGCTATGGACGACTCCAGTAGCTTAGCCAGTACCTTGGTGCTAGCCCTCTCAATAACGACGTTCGTGCACTCAGAGCTGCGTTTAATATCAATGGACCCAGGCTTATCCGAGTCTACAGACTCAGGCTTAAAATTATCTGGCAAAGAAGAAATAATGAGCCAGAAGTCCAACGGGCAGCTAGACGACAGCGTACAGCGGAATGCAAAGAAGTCACGGTTGGGTATCTTGCTTTGCCTTGGAGGAGCGTTTCCGGTTTTCCGAGCCTTGAGAGCGGTCCTAAGGGAAGGGCCTATGTCTACCTGTCTGCGACCTGTCGCAGGCATCCATCGTGCGTCGGCCATAGTGAGTGCAGGAAGGGGAAGGTGTCCAAAGCGCCTTGCGGCTCTGGGATCTACATTCCGCTTCACGTGGCAACCTCCTGAACAAGACGACAGCAACATATATTGTGACCTCGTTCTGGGCCCGGACGCTTTCCATTCTCTATCCTCGAGTTGTTAAGCAACGATGGCCTGTGTATGATGGTAGTATGAAGACTCAGCGACACAAAGCTTCCAAAATGACGATATTGTATATGCACATGCAACAGATAGACCCATCAATGATCAAACACAGTACAAGTTCGATTGAACGGTAAAGTAAACATGAAGCCTCAGATCTACGCCGCTTGCAACTCCGTTTAATGCTTTTTGCGTTCTTTCTTTTTATGAGATTCCGTGTCATCACCCATTGTAACGTCGTCAGCCTCTGCATACCGGCGCTTCTTCCTCCTTTCGTCGGCAGTGACCGCAGGCTCCTCAACGGGAGCAACGAAGACCTCGGCTCGTTCAGCCTGCCTCAAAGCAGTCTTTTCGTTTTGCTAAAGGCGAGGATTAGATATATATATATATATAAACGGAAAGATAACGAAATATACCTTCTGCTTTCGTTTCTCAGCTTCACGTGCCTCTTTTTCGTGCGCTTTCAAGAAATACTCTCCAGACTCCAGTTGCAAATCGACCTTGCGAGGCATCTGAGCAGGTGGGAATGGAGTATATGTCTTCTTGCTGGGACCGTCTTTGCGTGATGATTCGACGGGGTCAAGACCAGCTGCTTTCCGTGCCTCCTCTTTGGCAACTTTGGCCTCGTTCTTCCGCGCAGTCTTCTCAGATGTCTTCAAATGGCGCTTACGGAACTGGGGGAGGAAGCGATCCCAGGACTCCGTCGCAAGTTTGGGGTCTTTCGCAAGTTCCCTGCGTATCATCAGCTCCTACATTCGTAAACCATGTTAGAGCGACAATTGAGACGTGGGTCAAATCCTCACTTTTATGCGGTAGATGGGGTGGATGTTCTTCATGCAATCTAGTACAATCCTCCGGACCTCCTTCAGAGACTTGTACGGCCCCATCACGCTAACCGTGCTTCCCTGAACCAATACATAACATTGGGTCAGCAGCTCAATGGCCTACGGTCCAGACAGTCAATTAGGAGTGATATCGGCACGGAATTCATAACAGGAACCGTACCTTTAGAGTGCTCCCATCTGGCCCGATAATGCGTTGTCGACGTTTCACAAAGCGCTCTTTGTTGCGTACCAAACTACCGATCTTGATTATGTCACATGCAACGTCGTCTTGTAGGACCTTGACTGCCTGATTTATAGCAACTCCACGTGCTAGTAGTTTGACGAGGTCTCGAGCCTTGAGGATAACGTAAGGATCGAACGTTTTTCGCGTTGTCCTGACGGACATGGAACCATGCACCAAGTCGAGGGTGCAAGCAATCCCCTGAAGCAATAGTTGAGCATAGTCAAACGGTGGAAAAGGCGCAATGCGTACATGAGATTCCAACGCTCGTGTCACAGCACTCCAAACTTCTCTGAGGTACTTTTCGCGATACTTTGGAAAGAGGGTGGCAAACGATGATTCTTCCGTGAGAACACCACCTTTGTTATCGGTCGGTTCAAAGGGATCCACTTTCCACTGCGAGAGTGATTAAGAAATACGTATAAATGTAGCGCTTGATACATACACTTTGGAGATCCGTCAGCAGGAGTGGATGTACGGGGTGGATGACTTACTGGTCTATGTCATCGGTATCCCATGCTGCAAAAGGGTAGCATCAGAATTTGGATACGAGCATGATCTTTGAAAGCATCCATACGCTTGTCTTTGCGATTGCGTTTATTCTTGTTCACTAGCGGAAGAGTCTCCTGGGTGTCTGTCATGAGGTCCAACTGACCAGTAAGATGTAGTAAAATACAAAGACAGAGAGTATAAGTGTAATGATGGGCTTATGTCAAGATGTCGATCTTTCAGTTTGACGGCGGAGCTCCAACCAATGAAATTGGGATCCGAGGCACAATACTTCAAACTATTACTTCGGATATCAGCCCCATCCCTCCGTCTTGCCTAACGTCATGGACAACTCTCCAGCGGACATCACCGTTAACCCGTCTGACGACTTCGTGGCTGCATCATCTATTGCAGAACCTGAGTCCAGTGCTTCCGACGGACAAACATCTTCGACTTTGCTCAGTCGCATTGGCACTGCAAAAGTATATTTACTCCCAGATACTACTTCGCATTCGGCCACGAAGGTGCGCTCGTGGGACGTCCTTGCTGGATGGGCCGCTTTCAATTGACTGAGCTACCACTTCATTGCTCTCAAAAGCGCAAGCGGGATTCCGAAGATGGAACAGATGAGCCCATGAGCGAAGGTGAGGACACTTTTCATGCCGTGAGCTTATGCGACTAGTACTGAAGTACTGAACATGCAGAACTTTCTCTCAGAAGGAATGCTCTTTTTCTTAATGGGACACCCATTTCACATCTCCCCACCGCTCGCATATTCGCGTACGCAACACACTTTGACGTTCAGCCCATGGGTCTTGAATGGGTTAATGACGACTCCTGCATCCTGGTCTTTGATTCACGAAATGCAGCCCGCGAAGCATTTCGTGCATTTGCGAAAATGGCATCAGAAGATGTCGACGTGGAAGGTTTTGTCAACGCGAAGTCCATCCCTGTAACTCTCTGGCCACCGGAGGAGAGGATCACCCAAAGTCTTGGCAAGGGCGAGGGCCTAAAGGGACTCGTGCGGATGCGATGGGCGAAGATTGATGATGTGAAGAAGAAAGGGTCGCGGGAGGACAGCTGCTTTTACAAGAAGTATGGGGAAAAAGCAGGGAAAGAAGATGGAATGGGTGGCGCCAGGAAAAGGCGTAGAGACGACCCAGCAGGAACACTCCAGGAAAGGCTTGATCTCGACAATGAATTGGACGAGTTTCTAGCGGGAGACGATCTCCCTGATGACGTTCGCCCTGGGGCAAACCCTCTCCTCAGCCGACTGACTGAGGATCCCGACAGCTCCAGCCAACATAGAAGTGACCACCGACGAACAAGAGGAGACGCCCAAACCTCCAGAAGGCGGCGCCCTCCGACACATCAAGACCTCGATGATGAACTGGATGCTTTTTTGAAGCAAAAGGACTGAGCTTGACGTTAGTCAGGAACATTCACCTCTACTTTCAGTGCACAACGCTCAAATCATCAACGTTTTCTCCTCTAGATGCTCTCATACGCCAATGACGCGTTTATAGTGTTCTAGGCACGAAACGTTTTCAAATTACATGATACTTATTATCCCTTGATCAGTACTAAGTATTGCAGTACTGCGCAACGAGCATCTTAATGTACTACTGGATCCTCCCTCGTGATGCAATGTAGATATCAGTGTGATCATGACATTCACTGGTCATGGCACCGGGTCAATAGAACATTGTACCCACAAAATAATGTATAACCACTCAATGAAGCCCTTTGGTCGCATAGTCAAGGTCAAATCTGCCCATGTGTATACGGCCCGAGGTGCCATAGCTCGGGCGCTGTCAGGGGCTCGGTTGTCTAAATTCGGTTCGTCAATATTCGCTTGGCAAATTGACTATAATTCGAGTAATGGATGCGTCTAGCCCATACTCAACGTGCTCAACGCAAATCGCAAATCTGCACCCCTAGCTGTTAGCGGCTGCAGCTTGTTGCACTTCAAAAGTATATCGCACAGGCTGGTGAGTTTCGTACAAAGAAGGCCATATTTACAATGTATTAATTAGAATTCAGCAGGTCCTCTCCGTGATCACTCTAGTGGTATACAGGCTCGCGACTCGGAATCTCGTTATTTGTGACACTCAACATGGGCAAGGATACCACTGATGAATCCACATCCCAATCTGACGAACGCCTCGGCGAATTAGCTGGTCCTTCAAAACTGGGCAACGTGGATGATACTGTTGCTGACGCATACTCAGACAACGGGCTAGTAGAAGGCATGAACCCAGAAGGATTTTCCGGGCCACAGAGACTAAAGACACTCACCGCCGAAGCTCTTGCCAAATTCAATGCTGCTCAGAATCGTGCTGGTGTCGTTTATCTATCTCGCATTCCACCTGGGATGCAACCTCCTAAAGTACGGCATTTGATGAGCGCTTACGGGGAAGTTGGAAGGATCTACCTACAGCAGGAAGGTATGATTGTGCTGTTACTCCCATGATAATGTCTAACTTGAATGTAGACGCAAAGCGTGCATATCTCCGACGAAAGCACACTTCCACCAAAAAACCCCATTTCACTGAAGGATGGGTAGAGTTCAAGGACAAACGCGTAGCCCGATCCGTGGCAGAGATGCTTAATGCTCAGCCGATCGGAGGCAAGAAAGGCTCACGCTGGAGAGATGATGTCTGGACAATGAAATATCTTCCCAAGTTTAAATGGAACATGCTAACGGAACAAATTGGTTTGTGTCTATCCCCATCTCTCGGCGATATTGTGCTCAACCACCACAGCACATGAAGCTGCTGTCCATGCAGCGAAGCTTCGTGTTGAACTGGCGCAGTCCAAGGCCGAACAGTCGGATTACCTCAAGAACGTTGAGCTTGCGCGCGTGTTAGACAAGCGTGCGGAAAGACGCAGGCAAGCAGGCAAGGAGCCCGTTGAGCGCCCACGTCCGGAGACCAAAAGGCTACCTGTGGAAGATGGAGAACGGCCAGTGAAGAAGAGGCAGCGTGTTGAGCACTCGGACGGTAAAGACCTCGATCAAGTACTTGGCAGTGTTTTTTAACAGCACGATCCTGTTGATATAAACGGAGAGTTGACTGCGAGTTGTATGAGGATATGTGCCTAGTTACTTAAGACTAGCGAAGAGCATACATAATCACTTAGAACCAGCAGTATCTATGAGTCTGTTGATTAGTCGCGAGTGGCATAATGCAGGCGAGGTCACTGGAGTTTGAGGCGGAGCGCGAAATTAAAAGTGAGGGACAACAGCGGCCGTGAGTTCTAGCAAGGTTCTCCATCGCGCACACGTTAGAGCGTGTCTAGCAAACACAAGCTGGACACTCCTGCCTCCGAACGCTAAGTGCCGCGATAGAAGAGGTCTGTCTTTATCATGCTCGACTCCTCTTCTCCCCACTTTCTTGTTGCCACCTTGTAACGTCGTCTCTGATGCCTCTCTCAGTCCTTTTGTCTGGAGACTTTCTCTTATGTCTTCTTGGTCCACTTCCTCATATCCTCCTCCCCGTCGCTCCCGCTCCCGCTCTCCTAGAGCCTCTCACCCCTCTCGCGGCCCTCCCGACCAATCATTTACTGTTGACCCCTACCGTCAGCCTTGGGACATGCAAGAAAGGGAACGCACATGGTCCGAATACGACAGGGAAAGAGCTTCGTATGAGTATAACCGTCGCGGTAGGAGTCGCAGCCCAGTAGACGAAAGTACGTGCATAGTCTGCATGTGGCGCCTGTAGTACTTATAGTCCACCAGCAGGCAGAAAACGGCGCCGCAGGTCTTTGTCACCGTATGACAGGGAGCGTTATGACCCCCACCCGCGCTACGGGGATGACTATGGTATTTGCATAGCTACATTAATGGTCACGAGGCTCACCGACGTTCAGATGCGCACTCTCGAGGACACGGCCATAGATCACCTCCAAGAGGTCAATTTCCTCCATCCTACGCGCCTGCCCGTCGCCCTCCTCCGGACCCGCGTACTCTCGACCATCTTGCAACTTTGAAACAATATGCTGAATGGTTCAGATATTTCCACCCTCAGCAAGCTGCCGATGAGGACGCTGCCGACAAAGCTGCTGAACAAGAAGTCGGCAATGGCACTAAACCGCGTAATGGTATCAAGGCTCGCTGGGAAAAGTATAAGAAAGATTTTCTGGGAAACCAGGTTAGTCCCTTGACCAATAGACTGGCCCGCAGGTTTCTTGCATCGCGGTTATTTGTTTGGCCCCACCTGTTTACTGAGGGACATGAGCTGAGATTATTCTTACCCACCGCGTGTTGTAGTTGCAAATTATGTTTGATCATCACCGGAAATTCCCTTGGTTCGCCGAGAAATATGAACCATCACCAGACCTAGTCGCTTTGCGACGACGCGTCAGGAGGCAGGGTTGGAAGGGGCGGATGCAAGCGTTCCTGCAAGACATGGAGTCTGGAAAGTTTGACCCTGACTATTCCGAGTCCGTGGCGGAACCGACGTCTCCTTCTAAGGAGTTGGGATCAAACGGCGAGGCAGCTCAGGACTCGAATGCTGTCGGACAGCCGGAAGATCCTAAGACCACTGGGGATGATGATGTCACGTTTAACCTTGATGCTGAAGAGGACGTTGGTGATAATGATCCTAGCAGAATAGACTCCAGCGGCAGAGGCAATACCGATAAGCGTAGTAATCGAGGCGAGGAGATTTCTGTGCCCCCCGAGGGCAACCAGGTCATGATCCGTACCATACCGCCTGACATTGGTCGCGTCAAGCTTGAGGAAGTAAGTTGCATATTGTTGACTTGTCCGTTGTCTGAAGGGCCTGGCTGAATTTCTATTTCCGCAGGCATGCTCTAAAGTTCCGGGATACGTGTACCTTGCTCTGGGTGACCCTCTGCAGAAACGAAACTATTACCGGGCTGGCTGGATTAAATTCCGCGATGATGCCGACATGACCCTTGTCATGAACGAGTTGTCCGACACAAAGGTAGGACACGAGATAGACCTTGCCAGCAGCGTGGCTAATCCAGCGCAGATCGAAGGCTTTAAGCTTCACGTGGTTCACAATACGAAGCCGTTCATGAATCGCGTGCGTTACGTGCCAGAGGGTACCAGCAAGCCGGACAGGATTAAGAAGGACCTTGAGAATGCCAAGTTATTGGCTTCCGTTCTGGAAGAGGAGGCGGCAGCGCTGCGCAAGCCATCGTCATCCGCCAATGGGGAAGCAAACGGAGTTCCCAACAACCATGAGGACTCGACGATGCATTCTGGGCATGACAGCAGTGGTGGCGAGGAAGAATTAGAACCCGTGGAGAATGGCTCAGTGGCTGTGGAGCGGAGGATTGAGAAAATCATGAGTGAGATGCAGGAACGGGGTCTTCTTGAGAATCTGGACGAGTCTGCAATAGATGCCAAGAAGGTGAGCAATATCAGTCGTGAATTCACTTCGACTCATGAGGCCCCCCAAGGAGATCATATCTTTGGACATGTACATTGCATATCTTCGTGCCGCATTTCACACGTGCTACTACTGTGCAGTGGTCACCGATCATGTAGAGGAGTTGCAGCGTAAATGCTTGAAACACATGAGGAAGCCGCTTTCGAAGCTCCATGATGAGCAGAAGGCAGTCGATCCTGAGAAGGCTGAGCAAGAGAAGCGCGAGGGTGACGAGGATAAGGAGAAGTTAGGTTTCTCGTCCAAAGCCGACAGCAGAGATTGGAAAAAGGGTGGTAAGTACCCCCACTCGCATGATGAAATGGCCACTAAAGGCTTGTTCCCCCAGATGAGCGCTGGTTTGAAAATTTTGACGCTAAAATCGCCCTTCTGATCAATCGAAACGGTGTTGATCCGCGAGAATATGGTGGCAAGAGCACGGACGAGTCAGTATTCCTTCTTTTATCGTTTGGTTTTACCATTTGCTCCCATCTAACATGCATTTAGGGAGCTGTCTCGAGCGGTTGAACCATACGTCAAGCAGGAGGACGAAGGTCGGTATAGGTGCAAAACGTGTTCAAAGTTGTTTAAGGCGACATCTTTCGTGGAGAAACATATCGCCAACAAGCATGCAGAACTCGTCAAGGGTTTAGAAGATGTAAGTACTCAGCTCGCTGTTACTGACAGAAGGCTAATCTTCTTGCAGCTGTCTTACTTTAATAACTTTGCTCTTGATCCCCACCGCGTTCAACCCTTCGCGCATCCGCCCAACAACGCTACATTGCTGCAAGGTGTACCACCTCAAGCTTTCGGGCTGCAGGGACCACCGGCTTTCGTTCCTCAGGACTTTGGGCGTACTCCCTATTACGGAGCGCATCCTGGCTTCCCGCCTGCTGTTCAGTATCCTAGTGGCGCTTATTGGGACCAGTTTGGGTACCAATACCCTGCTGGCTTCGTTCCTCCCATTCCTCAGCCCCGACGGGATGATGCTATAACTGCGCGTCGACTAAGTGATCGGATTAGCGGATTCGTTGCGGGATACGAACCCAGTTCAGAAATCACCATACCTGTGGGGGCAGGGCTACCTGCCAAACCGCAGGTCTCGATGGACTTTGCTTTGGGCAATGGACCTGTGGATAATGGCAAGAAAGGAGGGAGACGGGGAGGGACAGGCAGTGGACCACCCCCACCTCCCCCTAATGCAAAGGAGGATCCTCGAGCGACTGCTGGGAGGAAAGTCAGTTACCACGACATGGATCTGGTAGCGGAAGGGGACGTTGAGTTGACATACTGAATGAACAAGTGCAATATGAACGGCGTTTATACTGATAGTCTACTCTTGCTTCGAAAGGAAGTTCTAGTGGGTTAAATGTACATTGTTTCAGCTTGTTTGAGAAAGTGGCTGATAACGGTGCAAGTAAGATGGAGGGCCTTGAGGCAAGTGAATGGGCAGTGCTAGTGAGTTGGCATGAGCTGGAAAAGAACTTACTAAACGAGGCATATTCGAGTACTAGTGATATATCAGTCAAACGTTCTCAAATACTGCGGCCCGCACTATTGGTGCAGGGAGTACGTACTCGGATTGCTTTAGACTGGGCTGGTCTGCTCCAGACTCCGAGCGCCGTCCCTCGCTGAGTGCTGCCTTTCGACTCTGTTACAAGGCCTCCCTCCCTCACGGCACCAACGTTCCTCTCACTGGCTGCTCCCGCTCATACGCTAGGCTGTTCGGTGTAGGAGGGCCGATTCCGGGCGCGTCGGCTGTCATGAGTGACCCTCAGTCACCTACCTCTTCCTCAGCTCCTTTCAATCGTATCCCTCCCTCCCTACTCATGACATCCGAAGATGCCTCCGCCTCTGCAGAATCAGCTCTGTCCACGAAATTTGCTGTCACCTGGCCTATAGACCCACCTTTAGGCCCTTCCGTCCCCGCACAGCTCCCCACAGAACATCCGGTGATCAGCTCCTCAGACGGCGAATCTGACCTTTCGGAGAAGGAAGTAGTCTCTGAGGGGTCCTCGCTACAATCGGCTACCCTTAACGAATTTGACTGGGCAGCGAAAAACCGGCCAAAACTGCAACCCCAGCCCGAGTACGATTTTGATGGCGCACCCAGTCTTCCTCGCTTGTCACGCGCATCCTCTATGCCGCTCGCCTCCCAGCTGGAACATCTCCGTAACCCTCGAAGGGAAGCGCGTACGCCTCTCAACCCCTCATTTCCCCTATGCCTTCCATCCTCCGCCACCGTGGACCAAGCTCCCTACCATGAATTGTCTCTCGAACTGGCCGACTCGGTCCAGATGGTAGTCCAGACGCTTCTTCAGGTCTCCCCCGTCCAGATTTTGGATCCCGTCAAAGAGCAACTTTCGGCATGCTCTTTGTCTGTCCCGACGTCCTGCATGTCGGCGGTCTTCACTGCTATGAAGAATCTGAATTACCTCTCCGCCAACATGACTGACTTATGCTCCGGCACTTATGATGCAGCTTGTGATGCTAGCCATAATCTCACCAGTGGCCTCTCTTTACGGCCTGAACTCTCCGTCTCCTACACGGACTTCGATGTTGGCGAAATGGTGCAAGGAGTAGGTGACACCTTGAGTGGCTCTGCCGCGCATGCTGGTGTCGATCTGGTGCTGTTTCACGGTGACGCTGGTATGAAACATGTCGTTGTGAAGGGCGATGAATGCGGCTTGTCGAATGCTTTGACTCATGTTCGTAGCCCCGATGCCACTGTTTTCGACAAGCATTGACGACGGCACAGGTCATGCGCCAAGTAATCAATATTTCTCACCAAGGGGACTCGCTTGATATCGGCCTGTTCATAGCCTCAGCAGCCTCAAGTACAACCCAGGAAACGGAGGAGGAAACGGAATCGCCGGGCTCTGAGAAGACACCTGAGTTTGATGGTCCACTGGTTTGCAGCTTTGATATTACTCACCATTTCTCCGGTGTTGGAGCACCGTTTGACGGCACAACCCCAACGGGCCAGCAGCCTCGAGAAAAGCTTCAGTTACAATCTCCTTTGTTGCAACGCCTTCTTCGGCGGCTGGGGGCTTCCCTGAATGTAGACGATAACTCAAAGTCAACAGCAGCTAGTCGTGTCACCACGCTGCAAGTCCAGCTAGAGCGCGGCTCGGTAGGTGCCCTCGACGCGAAGATTTCGCTGCCACCTCAGGAACCAAATTCGGCCGTCCGTGAAAGAGTGGCGTCAGAACCAACTCTGCAGGAATTGAAACAGTTTGCCGAGACATTGAGAGGTAAAAAGGCGACTCTCTACGCAAGCATTCGGAGTTCTTTTGCACACCATCTCACGAGCTATCTGACTGCCTGGGGTCTTGACGTCAGCCATGTGTCGTATGATGCTGACGGAGAAGGCAATGTGGAATCTAACGCCTCAGTAATCAGTCAAACCTCTGGACGTGCCCGGCAACATACTATAGATAGCTTTGCTCGGCAAGAAGAGAAATTTGGCGCATTTACCAACGGCGACGGGGCTCGTCCGCAGGATGCTATGTCGTTCGCCTTCATCGATGACGATGTATCCGTCCTCCGCAGTCGCCTACAGAAATACCGCTCGGGGCAAGAGTCGGGTCCTAATACACTGTCCCGCAAACGTCCCTCATTGGCTGCACATCATCGTCCCAAATCTTCGCCTCAAGTTGCTCGGGCGTTGGGCCTGGGACCCCTGCCTGCTTTTCAAGTTCCTGTCGTAATCGTGCATTTTACCAGTTTGTCCCAGTACAAGGTCGTCAAAGACATCATACAGTGCGACTTGGCAGCGCATTCCAGCTCGGCAACCCCTCCTCCAGAGATTATGATTATCCCCAAGCCTGTAGGCCCACGCCGATTTCTTACGGCTCTCCACACTGCGGCTACGAAGCCCATAGTGGATCCCTTTTTTGTGCCCATTGCAACGACACCCATCAGCCCCGGTCAGCATGGACCACCGTTTTTCAACTCTTCAACCAGCCCTAGGTCCCCATCCTCCCGCACACCTACTAATTCACGTTCAGGCTCAGAGCGATCGATGAGATCCCCAAGAGAGCCAGGGACAGAAGGACATCCCGCAGCTCCGCCTTCTCCTCTCGGTATGTCGGACAATGTGGAGTACTTTTCTGAAAATACGGTCAAGCTTGGTGCTTCTCCGTCCTCGGGTCTCGTAATACAAAGCCCAGACGGGCAGCCTGCCGGTATCTTCTTCCACCCCAAGGCTAAAGCAATGAACCTCAAGGGCCCTCCAGCGGGCGTAGGGGGGAGTTTGCTCGTGGAGAAAGAAAAGAATACCCTTCTTGCGGCCCCCACCGATCGACCGAGAGGCCCTAGCACCTCACGCCGAGCCTCGGATCGAGATGAGAAAGTGCCTTCTCAGAAACCACTTTCATTCTCTTCATTGCATACCACTACTTCGAGCGGAACTATCCCCCAGGCACGAGAGTCTCCTCCCAGAGTTGAAAGTAACACTTTGCCTTCTCCCTTGTCTGGAGGAGTGAGGAAACCTACGCTGCATCAAGATGAAGGCGTGAAAGCACAACCTCCAGAACTCAACCGTAAGACAAGTTCGGAAGCGCGGAAGGTGGCTACACCGCCTACATCTCCCACGAATGAGACTCCTGCTGTGGGTTCGGCGGCAAGACGGCCAACTCGAAGGTTGCTCGATCCCACAAAACCCACGACACCTCCGGCAACATCAGGGAAAGCGAAGGCGAATGCCGACACGAACATTGTACCTCCCATTAGCGTGTTGATTGTAGATGGTTCGTTTCTTCTCCATTCACTGGGCGTCGTACTCAAACAATTCATATCAGATAACCCAATCAATCAAACCATTCTTTCAACGTTCATGCGTAAGAAAAAAATCAGGTATAATGTGGCCAAAAACGGGGAGGAAGCAGTTCAGAAGTGGAAAAGTGGAGGATTCCATTTGATCTTGGTTCGTGGTTATTCGCCTCGTATAAACGTACAACTCATGGTTTGCAGATGGATATCCAAATGCCCGTCATGGACGGAATCACGGCAACAAAAGAGATTCGTCGGATTGAGGCTCTTAATGCGTCATCTGGTTTTTCACCATCCACACCTCAGTCAGACCATAGCATTCGGACACCATCGGAAGCTCCTTCATCCGAGTCAAGGTCATCAACGACGCCATATCGATCATCTGTTATCATTGTAGCCTTGACTGCGTCGTCTCTGCAAAGTGACCGAGTGGCAGCTTTGGCAGCTGGATGCAACGACTTCCTTACGAAGCCAGTTTCATTGCAATGGCTGAACAACAAGATCATTGAATGGGGCTCGATCAAAGCGCTACAGATGTGGGCGGATCTGCGACCCGAAACCTTGCGGAGCATCACGGCCGAGCAGGCTCAACACGTTGCGCAAAGGCTTCATGTGCCAGAAGGACGTTCAACACCTGCGGAAGCCAGAAGTCACTCGCCACCCAAAGTCGCAAGCGATGCAGCGGGGCAGACGAAGGATAGCGTCGTATTAACACCCATGCCTCCCGCTGTGCCTCCAGCAACGACGTTGGAGACGCCGGACGAGACATCGAAGGTTGAATTACACTCGGGCGCATCATCGCCTTCTACGGATTCTGGAGACACGAGGTACGAGGATGCTACTTCTCAAATCGCTTCCGATTCGGATCACCAGAGTGAAGAAGGTAATAGCCTATTCTTTGATTGTCGTCATATTGCTCAGTCCTTCCAATACTTCCGCAGGCGCTGACCCGGATTCCTCGTCAAGTCACACACCTGTGCCCAATTCCGTCGAGGAAGAGTCGGTGGAGACGCCAAGAGGTGAAAAGGAAGGTCAGATGAGCTGACGGTTCGAGGTGACCTTCTGGCGCTTGTTACGGTTTGCGGTGGCTGCCTTAGTTCAGCTGCACCTGAAGGTCGCCAGTTTCATGCGGAAACATTTTTGAGTCCCTTCTTCTGCTCTAAGATACATGTTGATCTACGTATGTGCACCTATTCCCCGCTCTGCCGTTCCTGTAGTGCCTGTTTGCAGATATTTGGCTGTTTTGTTGTTCTTTCTTTTTCTTTTTTCTTTTCTTTGGGTTTTTGGGAGGCATTTTTTATGAACGGCATATACACAGAAGCGTTCCTATTCTACTTGTTACCCGGCTATCATCGCACTCGCTCTGAACATTGGCGTTGAGTTGGGCCAGGGGATTGTATGCTATTGTATGGTGATAACATTAATGTGATGATGGTCATCATTATTATGCGCGGATATCGGAAGGTTTACGTATGTATGATCAGGTCCAAGATCGGGGAAGTTGCTGAGTTGATTATGCTTCCGGGCGGGGATGACATCGATCTGGGCGTCGGAGATGACTGGGTTGTTGTCCCGGCGGCGGAGTGTACCGTGACCGGTGCGTCGCCGGGTGCTGTATTACTAGCTGCACCTCGTTCTGCTGCCCACCCGTGACGCTGGCACAGTGACACGCACACCTGCAGCTTACTTGTGCGTAAGTCGAGTATCATTTTTGGAATTGCGGACGGGGGGCCGGCACGGGAAGTCGGAGTAAAGATGGCCAATTCACACTCCGCGCACACAGACTGGAGAGCTCGACCTGACGCTCGACTCGCTTTCTCCCAGGTCAGGTTCGCCCTCGTTTATCTGCCGACGCTCCTTCCTACCTTCCTTTCGCCCCCCGGAGTAGTCCATCGCCATGGACGGCATGCATGACAATCACAAACGGACATCCATTAGCCAGCTCCTCAATCCTTTAGGAAACAATGCAAACCCCGACCAGTCGTACTCCCATCCCCATCCCGTACAACCACCCAGTCTCGCCCCAGCGATGTCTGTTCCGCCACATCCCTACCCTCATCCCCACCAGCCCCATCCTGCCGGATATCCGCAGCAACATGACCCGAATGCCTCGTTCCATCTTCGGGCAGCAAACTGGGATCACGTCAATGAAGACCAGTCCGGTTCTAAGCGCAGACTCGACAATCCTCCTCGCCCGTATCCGCTACATCCACAAATGTATCATGATGTGACTGGTGCTGGCGATCATGCGCACAGGCAGGCTCGGGCCAGGATGCCAGAAGCTCCGGGTTATCCCATGCACAGCGGTGTCTGGCCCTCTCATACCGAAGTAGCTGCTATGCCGTATGGCTCTCCTGTAGTAGCGCCCATGTACTCAGATGAGCGGACAGGTGTGTGTGTGTCCGGCAACTACGTTCGACCTGGCTCTGATTATGGGTTATAGCGCTCTCAGGTGACTATCCCCTAAGTTCGCGCGTCCCTTCAGGCTTGCCGTGTGAAGCTCAATGCTTTTCGCAGATCCATATAACCATACATTTCACGAACAACAAGGACCTTCAATGCATTCACAAACCCCCAATGCTTGTGATTATCTCTTTCTTTTACTTTCATTCGCCCGATTTTCAATCTTCATAAGCTGTGCAGGTTGCTGAAAGAGCCTCTGTTCGTTTAGCAGCTCGGGGTTCTATAATGGATGGACCTGCCGGTCAAAATATGCAATCAAATCAGCCTCGGTTTGCTGTGCCAACATTTTACTCCCCTCAGCCTATTCCTGCCTTTTTTTACCCGGCCCCCGCAGTTTCGGCGCCTCAGAAGCGCCCTTCAACCGAGGTGGAAGATCCTCCGCCACAGAAAGGGAAGAAATCTAGAAAGAAGGCCACAACTGATGGGACAGGTAAATTCATATTATGTATGTCGCGTTTAAACCTCAATGTCCGCTAAGGTACTTCAAAGCGAGGCTACAATGCCAAAAAGCGCAGTGAGGCGGCACAGATTGCGGCACAGAATGGTAGGTTGCCAGTGTTTGGAGGCAAGTTTCACACTCATTGTGTCAAGCCCAACTTGTACCAAATGTTTCTTATGCCCCTGTTTCGCAAGATAAAGGCAAAGAGAGGGCCGGTGAAGGTTCGGGTTCGCTTTAAGGCGCATGCTTGTCTCTGACATGCATATCTACCAGCTTCTATGCGGATAATTAACACAGGCAATCAGCCAGAAGGCAGCGAACCCACGTCTCAATTTCAACCAGAGTTACAGTTTGCTCGATGTATGTCAAACCGCTACCGGTCAGAACAGTTTCCCCGTTGTGTTTCCTGCACTCGGCGCTGGGCTGGCGATACATGTCGGTTTCAGGGAATCCGTTATTTTCTGAAGGACAGCTCCAGAAACATTGTCGGCATTAGTTTTGTCGAAAACCAGAAACCAGATATGCCTAATATGAACTTCCCGGTGAAGTGGAACTCTCCCTTAGAAAAGCAACACATCTGGCGGACCAAGGTAATTGATGAAGATCTTGACATACGGACTGATATCCTTATGTTTCATGTTCTCAGAGGACTATTGCCGAAGCTCTTCTCCCTATCCTTCGTCAAGAACTGCAACACCTTGCCTACCCCGAAATTATCCGACGCACCCGTGAGAGTGAAGTCAGGGCTACCTGTGGTTCGTTCTGTTTTCCATACTCGTTGAGTTCATCGTTGACAGCAGGAAAGACACATGTATGACGTCCATCTTCTCGAGCAGCTGGATGTGTCGACTGTGCGGAAGAGAGGCTTGTGCCGAATGTTTTGCTCAAGTCAGAGAACTCACGGAAGATCGGCCCGGAGCTACCCAACAGGAAATTGCAGCGCTGCAACACCGAAGAGAAAGACACGCCCATCACAATCCCTTTTTCCTGTCATGCACTCGACGAAATGAGCACCATGCCAAGGACTTTTCTCCCATGTCGAGATTTCACAAGGAAGAGCTGGCCGATGCCATCGACCGAATGGAGGCGATACTGAAAGAGCCCGACGTTGACGCCCTACCATCGGATAACACCGTGGATGCATCGCTCGAGGAACCTAGTCAAACTTTGACAGAAGAAGGGACCCTCCCCTCGACTTCGAACTCTCCTAACGACAAACCATTAGACATCCCCTCACTTCCAGAAACCTCGAATGGGCCTCTCCCTCCTCCGGAGCAACCTATTGCTGTGCCTAGCAATCTCGCAGAAACCGTTCAAGCTCCCGAGACAGGCCCCGAAGAAAGCGATTCTGACCTGCCTTCACATCAAACTATCACGCTGACTGATGCTGAGCTCACGGAGGAAAGGTTCCGATCGCTATGGTCCGAGGGACACCCTCTCGTTGTCACTGGGCTCTTGCCCAAGTTCAAGCTTTCATGGGATCCCGATTATTTCGTCCACAAGTACGGCTCACAAAGTTGCCTCATTCTCGAATGCCAAACCGACGTAAACAAACGTATAACCGTGGGCGAGTTTTTCTCTCAGTTTGGCAAGTACGAGGGCCGGACGGAGTGTTGGAAACTGAAGGTTCGAGTCCGCTTCACAGTCCAGGGTCCTGAGTACTAATGCACTTTGCAGGATTGGCCTCCGTCCACGGATTTCAAAAGCGCCTTTCCGGAGCTATTCGAGGACTTCAGCAACGCAGTTCCCGTACCAAATTATGTTAGACGAGACGGTACTCTCAACATAGCATCGCATTTTCCCTCCAACACTGTGGCCCCTGATCTCGGTGAGTGTGGTTCTTCTTGTCATTAAACCTTTTTTGACAGAGCCGGTTATTAATACGTGGCAGGTCCGAAAATGTACAATGCCATGGCCTCATTTCAGGCATTAGGAAGCAAAGGCTCGACAAGACTCCACATGGACATGGCTGACGCTGTGAATATCATGACTTACGCAGCAGCCACTCCAGATGGCAAACCAGGTTGCGCTGCGTGGGATTTGTTCCAGGCTTCGGACGCCGAGCAACTTAGGAAATTCTTGCGCAACAGATATAACGGTTCATATCAGCACGATCCCATCCATTCACAGCAGTTCTATCTGGATCGGCACTTGCGACAGGAACTGCATGAAAAATATGGAGTAAAAAGTCACAGGATATATCAGAGACCTGGCGAAGCTGTTTTCATTCCCGCTGGTTGTGCTCATCAAGTAAGAATTCGGGAATTATATTCAACCGCGTAGAATATGCTGACATTTTCCAGGTATGCAATTTGTCCGACTGTATCAAAGTTGCCATCGACTTTGTCAGCTCAGAGAATATTGCCCGATGCGAAAAGTTGACAACCGAATTCAGGGAGCAGAACCAGTCGATGGCATGGAAAGAGGATGTGCTACAACTACGGACGATGATGTGGTTTGCATGGTTATCGTGCTGTAGGCAGGAAGAGGAGAGGAAGGGGATGAATGATCGAAGTTCCTGATTAGTACTTACATCTATATTATAGGTAGATTCATGGAGACGTACTTACATCTGGTCATTTGTACGGATACTACTTTAACAACCGGACGTATCATTATTGCAATCACTGTATAGCATGTTCTGCTGATGTATGTGCCAAGGCTAGCTCGCGAGACACTATATAACTTCCATGTCAAATTTCGCATTTGGCGGGCGACACAAATTTGTAAACTAGCACATCGCGATTGATGACGCATATAATCAAGTCTTCAATTCGAATCTCGTTGATCTCCACTGGCCGGATCCGCAGCGCCCGTGGGTGTACAGTCATTTCCACCTCAGTGCACGAGCTTTCACGGCGTCCTTTTACCATCATGTCTACCCCAGTAGATCACGCAACTTGGCTGCAATCGCACCTGACAACACTTTGTGAATCTGAAAGTGAAGACAGCTTTCACGGCTCCTTCGACTCAGTGTTCGCGCCGGGGTGTCAAGTCATCGTCAACCATACGCCCGCGTCAATTGACGAATTCAAAGATCAGCTTCGCACAAACCTAGGAGCCAGCGTATCTGCGAAAACATCCTGGGAGAACGTTATAACTGCATCGCCCAGATCTCCGAGCGAGGATAACCAGGAATCGTCACAAGGCGTTACAAGTGATCAGGTATGGCTGCACTGGACTTCGAAGAAATAGTGATGTTGTTTAATTTCTCGTCAACCTAATAGGCTAGTATTGTGGCCGCTTTTGTCACAATAACGCGCTCGATGAAGTTTAGAATCCGTGCTGCGCCAGCGCAGCGACAATCTCTTGTCCATCTTAGTGCCAAGTGAGTTCCGCGCAACGTCCTTTCCGCCGCTATGCTTAGCCAATGCAGGATCGAAGGAAATGGCACAGAGGAAGCAGACGGTCGTCGCATCACAAGCCTACTATGGACCTCCGTCGAGAGGACACCACCCATTCACTTTCCTACACCGCACGCCGTAGCAGCTCAAACTGGTAGCCAGGAGTGAAGAAATGCACTTGTACGCGTCGACAGAGCAAGTGCGCGGACAGATACAATCTCGTATGTACAATAGTTGTTAGATTTTGGAGGATCCAGATATAGTTATAACCAAGCAAAGTGAGAAGGATATAGATTTTAATTGATCGATCGTGAATGTTCTTCGTGTCGGGCTGAGTTAGTGCTGTCAGCTACCCTGACCGGTGAATCAACAAAAGCCGGGCGTGCCTCACGTGCTCCATAAGATTTCTCTGAGTCCGAATCCGATCACTCCTGGACTTCAAAGCTTCACTCGCCGAATATTCAAAACGATTGCCGCAATGGCAGCTGCTACCTTTGACACGCGAAAACACGTCGGTGTATACGCGGAGCATGTTTCAAACGTGTCAAGCACAGATTATCCTGGCCACTACCCTCATGAGGACCACTCTTGGGATCCTGACCAGTTCCGGCAAGTTCGTGGCTTGCTTTCACGGCATGAAGCTCACTTCTAACTTACACTTCGTCACTAGAAATGCAATGTCCAAGTCAATCGGCTATCCAATCGATCCATTGATTTTGACCTCGTTGGAGTTGACGCTTCAATAGCAAACGCCTTTCGGCGAATACTCATAGCCGAGGTACATTGGTTGATGCCAAAAAATTCAGAGCTCCTGACAGAGATGTGCAGGTCCCAACCATTGCCATCGAGCAAGTTTATGTCTGGAACAATACCTCTGTCATCGTCGATGAGGTTCTGGCTCATCGGCTTGGACTCGTGCCGTTGAACGTGGATCCCTCATTCCTGGAGTTCAAAGAATGTAATGGCAGTACCCCATCACCCTTAGCGTGTTAACTAACTTCTTCCAGCTCCTTCGATCCAAGCAACCGACCGAAATACACTTGTTTTTAAACTCGAAGTTACTTGCACACGCAACAGGAATACACCAAAAGATGTAACAGATCCAAAAATGCTGTATAACAATAGCGAGGTTTTATCGTCGGATTTGAGATGGGTACCACAAGGGGAACAGGAGGAGATTTTCGCAGCCAATATACCCACTCCTTCAAATCCTAACATTGTTCTGGCAAAGCTACGGCCGGGGCAAGAGGTCAACATGGAGCTGCATGCAGTGAAAGGCGTTGGAAAGGACCACGCCAAGTTTTGCGCTGTTGGTATGTCGTTAACTCTACTTCTCTGGCGTGCTGACATCGAATTCGGAATGGGCAGCGACGGCGTCCTACAGACTCCTTCCACTGGTTGTTTTGAATCCGGAGAAGCCAATCCCACCGTCTTCTGCCCACAAATTTCAAAAGTGTTTCTCTCCTGGTGTCATACGCGTGGATCCTGTTACAAAAGAAGTGAGCGTTGACGAGAAGAATCTGAGAAACGAGAGTATGAGCAGAGAGGTGTATCGACACGTTGAGTTCGAGGATTGCTGCCAGCTTGCTCGCGTGCGAGACCATTTCATATGTGAGCGAGTTCGCTCTTCGTCCGAGCCTTTACTTACAGGAGGGTAGTCAACGTCGAATCTGAAGGTTTCTACCCGCCAGAACGATTACTGCCTGAGTCAATCAAAGTAATGCGTAGCAAAATAGCTACCATAAAAAAGGCGGCAGAGGGACTGCTAGCTAGTAAAGACAGCAATGCCGATGTAGAGATGGCCGAAGGCTAACTTTTGCTCTGAATTTGACATATCTTCTTATGTATTTTGCCCCTATATCACGTGGTGAAAGATGGAAAAGTTTCCTCCTGAGCGTATTGCAGCAGCGATATCAGGTTACCTTTGCCTTGGACCAACTCGAACGTTATAAGAACTTGACGTCCTGGTACTGATCCCTCTAGAAGGTGCAAAGTTCCCCCTTCTTCTCTCGCGCAAAGGCCTCGAAACACATAACTCCACTTTATCTCTCGACACGATCTCAACACGGCAATTTGAACTATAACCTTGGTTATTCGACGACACCATGCCCCGTATCCGCAAAAGTAGGTAAGATCACTGTGACACCATATTCCTAAAAACTCAACATAAATTTGTCGTGCTTATTCAGAGACTTCTAAGCGCGGCACTACGAATCAGCGCCAGAAGATAAAGAAGAAAGTTTCAGAGAGCCATAGGAAGTCAAAAAAGGCTGCTAGGAAAGATAAGGCTGCTGGCAATGGTGCGTGGCGCTTTGGTGTATCTTGTTGGCAAGACCTCAGCCATAGATATCCTTTACGATACTTCTAGTCCACAAAAAGTCAAAGAAGGATCCAGGTATCCCTAACGACTTCCCTTACAAGGACCAGATCCTAGCCGAGGCCGCTCAACAGCGTAGAGAGGTATGTCACCTCGTTCTTCCACCGAGGATCATAACCGTGCATCTAACTTTCTTTTTACCTATAGGCTGCTGAAGAGAGGCAGCGGAGGAAGGAAGAAAAGCGAGCCTTGCTGGGTGATGTGAGTAGTCGGCCTGCGGACGCAGATGCCCTAGAAGAGGACCCGGCAGATGCTGAAGTGCTCGACGGTGTCATGTCATTACGGGCAGCTCCCAACGTAAGCGCCGTTAACACGACGAATATCTTGGAGGCTCCCATGGACGTAACCCCGGCGTTGCCTGTTCTGCCTGGGCCGCCATCCCTACGCGAAGTCCTGAACGCAGCAGACGTGGTCTTGCACGTTCTAGACGCCCGCGATCCTGCGTCGAGCTTGAGTGAGATACTCCTCGAGAGTGTTTCAGCTAAAAAGGTTGCATTGGTGTTGAACAAAGCAGGTACGTCGAGCATGAAATCCTTGACCGTTGACGTTGACTGTCGGTTTATGCAGACACTATTCCTCAAGAGTCACTCTCAAATTGGCTGGGATACTTGCGGCTGAAATATACCGTCTTCCCGGTCCGTTCTGCGTCAGGATTGCTACCAACGGATCCAATTCCTCAACCATTCAACAAAAAATCACCTAAACCCAAAATAGATGATGCAATTGGGCTTGCCCCCATCTGGGAGATGTTCGACGCAGTTTGCAGCGGACTCAGCCGCGACGAGCTCACAGTTGCCTTGGTGGGCGTGACCAACGTAAATTGTTCCTCGTGCCTTCCACGTCTCTACTGATGCACTATCAGTCGGGAAAATCGTCTTTGATGAACTCTCTTGTCAAAGCTATGGCGGTTCCAATTTACAGCTCAGCATCCTCCGCCCTGGCAAGGAGACCGCATACAACGTGCACAGCACAAGAAGTTGTAACTGAGATACCTGGCTCTGGCGCAAAACGCGTCAAGCTCATTGACACACCTGGATTGATGTTCCTTCACGCTGAAAGCGACCAGTCAGAGAGGGAAAAGGTCAGGGCTAAGGATCTGCTCCTGCGGTGCCGAGGGAAACTCGACCGGCTGAAAGATCCACTTTTTTGTGGTAGGTTTTGATTTTGAAGTGTCAGATAATTTATTGACCGGCCCAAACCGTGCCATATACAGTGGAGCATGTAATGGCGCTTGCCAACGCGCAAGATTTGATGCTATCGTATAACTTACCTGCCTTCACACAAGGGGATCCTAATGCACTCCTTGCCTCGATGGCAAAGGTGCATGGGCTTGTCAAAAAGGTACGTTTGATATCTGTTTGAAATCCGATTTGATGCTTCATTATTGATGGTTCAATTTGAACACAGGGCGGCGTACTTGACCATGCTGGGGCCGCTCGTATCCTTTTACGTGATTGGAGCACAGGCAAGCTCGTGCGTTATACACTTCCGACGGATGGACCAAGAAGCAACGTAGCCGACGTCAAAGACGAGATTGTGAACATGCTTTCTACAAAGAAGCATTTGCGTAAGGCTGGCAAGCTGATCCGAATGACTACCGGGCCAACCGACACACGGCAAGTCATAATGGACGAAGAATGGGAGGAGGAATCAAGTGAAGAAGACGGTGGAGAGGAGGAGGGAGAGGAAGATGATGACAAAAACGGTGTCAGGGTTGATGGCGAGGACGGCGATGATGACGAGGGAATGAGTGGCGACGAGGAAGCTGCCGCTGCTGAAGCTGAAGAAGAGTCCGATTCGGCGCCTGAGGTGACAGCACCGCCGGCGAAACGAAAGAAGACGGTGAGCTTTGCAGCTGGGAGTGGGGACAGCCACCGGAGGAAGGGGGGGTCAGCGGGCGGAAGGAAACGTAGATAGGACCATGTTGGGACCATGAATGGAAATGGCTGATAGTGCCTTGCGGCGGGGCGCCGGTTCAGTGGTTGTCGTTGTGACGTCATGCGAACGAGCAGTGATTGGTGGGTGATTCGATGAGGTCTAGGACAGTATATTATTTATTTATAAAACGTGTTAGCTGGCGGCTGCTCGAGGATGACCAGACCGACTCTCCTCCAGAAGGTCCTCCGACGGCCGTCCCAGCAGTATGCCTCTTCGTCATCGTCATCTCTGAACACCTCTGCGTCCTCCTACCCCCATACGCACCGCCCGTCTTCACCCACCCAGTACCACTCAACAAAGCAGGAACTCCTCCGCATTGCTTCCGGACTCATCGACCAGGACTCAGAGGAACGACATGACGAAACGTCTTATCCGATAGTGTCTCTCCCAGAACCCGAGTTCTCTCACCCGACTCGTCCGGCAGAGTTGAATCCCACGCAGAACGACACTGAGCGCCCTGCAGTATGGCCTCTCTCATTTAGCTAACCGTCACTCATCTCACTCGCCTTCGTCATGTTTTTATAGGACGCATACGCTGGCTTCGTTTCGTCCACGCCGCTCCTTCTCACACCTTCTCAATATCCTTCCTCTCCCAGGTCCAAGCCCGTTTCTTCGGAGGGTTCGCCCCCGAGGCCGGACGCTTTCCCGCAGTCTAGCCCGGAAAGTGTGCGTGAAGACTTCTTCACGCCTGCAGCCTCTCCGGCCTCCACCATCTCCCTCCAGTCAACCCCCGTTGTCTCACGCTCCCAGTCCCCGGTCTCTCTCACCCAGGAACACCACCAGCTCCCGGACTCTCGCTCTCCTTCTCCTTCTCCTGCGCACTCGCCCGCCACCTCAGCGACCTCGCTTCCTGAGCGAGTAGCGCCGCAGTCTAACTCCTCGGTTTCCGTCACTACTATCGCTCCTTCTTTGACCATGCAGTCGACCATCACCACTACGACCACCATGACGGCGTCTTCTTCCTCGAAACCTGCTCGGAAAATGACGTACACAGACGAAGACTGGGCCAAGGATGTCCGCTGGCTTGTCGCGCCCCCTGAAGCACCAAGCAAGGCCAAGAACAAAGGCAAGAACTCAAAGCGACGTCATAGTGTCAGCCTCAGCAATACTACCAACACCTCCTTATCTCTTCCAGAAAATCCCCCTCGTCGCCCATCGCCAGCCCCCTCACCAGTTCCGATTGTGCTGAATCCGCGACCTATGGTTCCTCCAGCTAAACCACGTTTACGTACTGGCAGCAAGGGATTCGGGAAAGGTAAAGGTAGCATGGCCAATCGCTCGGTGGTCGGCATGACCGTCCTCCTCGAGGTTGAGGAGGACCCGGATCCTTCGGAATCGGGTCATTCAGATCACGCTAATTATCCTAGTATCAACGCTCCGAAAAGATCCATGTCGCATTCATCTCATGCTTCTCACAAGAAATCCTCCAGCCTTCGTCGAGAGGCCTCAGAAAACCCGGCGACTCTCGCACGACGGCGGAGTGCCTCCACTCCGGTGTCTGGAGGCCCCAGTCCTTCGCGCTCGTCATCTACCTCGCGGTCTCGTGCAACATCGCCTACACCTACCGGATCGTCATTATCGCGTCAGAAGAGCGCAGCGCGGTCTACTCAGACGGCATCGAACCGCGGATCCGCGTTGTCGCGACAGTCGAGTGCGAAGTCGCGCGCGACAAATACCTCTTCGCATATCACTTCGACGACGCGATCGCCTTACACAACTGCACCTGTCAACGGCCTCGACATCCTCGAAGCGTATGCACCGTCTACACAAACGGACGACCTCCCGTCAAAAGGTACCCGGGGATTTACTGGTCTGGTTCTCCCACGCGCTGCCGCTCCTTATTCAGGGAAGAGTGCAAATACGGAGAGGTGGCGGCCATGGAAAGGGAAAGGCGCTGGTAGTGAAACGCCGACCGTTGGCTTAGGTGATAGGGTTGATCTATCTAGGGATGGGCTTGCTCAGACAACCATGGCCACGGTGGAGATTGTCCGCGGCATAGCAGGCAAGGATCGCAGTGGGAAAGCGAGAGCAAATTTGTTCAGTGTTGGCTGGTTCTCAAAAGACAAAAGCAAAAGAGACCATCGCGAGGCTGAGGTAGACATACCCCTAGGATTCACCGCGTATCGTTCGCCGCCCTCCTATGTTGGGGGGAACTCAGTCTTGGTCCAGGTTTGGGCAGTAGGCCTGGATGGGACAGACGCCAGGCTTGTTGGACTTGACCCTTCGCCAAGCTCGTCTTCACTTGCAACCTCTCCTTATTCTTCGGATGGGGAGAAGTTTAACACACTGAAGGATGATAGGATCAAGACTCCTTCGCCAGGGTACACACCGGGAAGATCATTTGTAGGACGTGTTTTGGAGACAGGATGGGAAGTTCGCGAAGAGATCATCAAGCGTGGAGAGTGGGTGTATGGCCTGTATCCCGTCAACAAGGTAAGTGCATACGATTATGTCTTGTTGGGACTGGCTGACGGTCACGTTTTGATAGTCTGGCGCCCTTGCTGAGTTTATCATCGTGGACAGACATCGCATACATCGGGTACCTCACCCTTGGATGCCTCCCGCTGCTGCTGCCCCGTTCCAGGTTTCGAATCCGTCTCGTTTTCAGGGCGGAGATGCGACTCCAGAGATGGTTGAAGGTGCCGACGATCGCAGAAGCTCACTCACTTTTCCGTCGGGTCAGGACGGGAAGAAGGGGCTAACGATCGATGAACTAGCGTTGCTTCCACTCATTGGGCTCCCTGCCCATCGCGCAGTGCGGTCTTTGGCAGAGCTGACTCATACGTTAGCGAAGCCACATTCACTGTCGTCTCCCACAGGTGAAGGTAGCGGAATTCAGGAGCGGTATCACCGTGCTATGTCGGGCGTGGATCAAGAAATCAAGGAAGATATGAGCGAAATTGGGGATCAACGTGTTCATATACGGCCGCGCGTCCTCATCCTTAGGGCGCATGATGGTCCCGGTGCGCTAGCGTTGAAACTGCTGGTTCGTTCGGGCTGGTCGGTTTGGGCGCATGTTCCTGTGCCTTTCCCCCTTCCTGGTCCCAAAGAGTCTCCTGATGAGGAGACACTCGATGAGAAGGAGTCCGAGAAGGATGTTCGGCGGTCTACCTTGCATGCCATTGAAACCCGATTGCGTGACTGGGGGGCGCAGGAAGTCTTATTCGTCCCTATCACACACGTCGCAGGCTCCCCGTCTTTCATGTCATCTCTGCCAGCGCTCCGCCCCCTTTCGTTATCGTCTGCTTCTTTGCACCAGCGTTCTCCGCCGTCGTCTCCATATCCATCGCAATCTCCCTATTCACTGTCATCTTCTTCCACGCCCTTGTCGTCCCCTTTCTCTCACATTCTACCTTCTTCTCAGGGACACTCGTCCGCTACATCGTATCATTCGTCGGGACACCATCCCGCCATGCCGGCGCCCTACTCATTCTCACCGCTTCCCTTGTCATCTTACCATTCGGAGACAGGTTCCGTAATCGCACTTCAAAAATACCTTTCGCTCATGCGTGTGCACTTCGATGCCGTACTCGACACCCTCGGTGGACGTGAAGTATGGGAAGCGGGCCGTATGCTACTCTCGCAACCCGTGCATGATAAGTCACGCCAGGACGTACCCGCTCAATTCACGACAACTGTGGGCGATATTCCGGACCGCATCGTCGCAACGGCAGGTGACCACTTCCGCGCCGGTGTCCGATCTCTCCGGGTTGGCAGCGGCAAAGATTTGAATGCGGAATTGCAAGAACAGATGGAGGCTCTCCCGCCCGAGATGTCGACGCCTTCACTTGCATCCCTTGCGAGTGGCAAGAGGAGCAAGAGATCCAAGGAGAAGCCTCGCGCTGTGCAATACTCCTGGGTGAACATCGTCTCAGATGTCGACTGGGACGGGAGCGATGTCCGCGATACGCTCTTTTCGGTCCTAAAAGCAGCGCTCGACGATAAGATTTTACCCCACGTTACTTGCTCAGATTTTAAGCGTCCAAACAAGGGCAAGGGCGTGGCGAAGAGGGCCGCGATGAGCGCAAATTTAGAAGGCGGCAAGGTCATTCCCTTCGAGAATACTCCTAGCGTCTTCAAGCAGGGTGGCGGGCTTGAATACGGAGGCACAATTGTTTCCAGGATCGTCGGATGATGCTTACGATTTACTGATCGGGACTATATTGTATCAGCTACGATCTGTTTCTGAGACTCATCGTACGCTGTTGCTGTTTGCTTTCTTATTCGTTTCGAACTTCTTATAGAGACTAGCAATTGAACACTGACCATTAAGAACGATACCCCATACATAATATTCAACAACCGCTGTATGATTTGCATGTACTCATTAACACACCTTCACATCGTTCGGGCGTATGCGCAGCATTGGGCACCATTGGTAGACAACCAACTAATTACATGTTTTTGGGACTAGGTTCGCAGCTTTAGCCTTTGCTGGCCAATTGCAAGGACATTCCAGCAGCTGCAGGCTCTATCTTATTGTATTAATCATCGGCTAATATATTAAAAGGAAATGAGACCGAAGAACGCGCGCATTGCCGTCCGAACTGATTCAAAAGCTTTGGTTTACTCGAGTAGTTGACACGGTCACAAGAAGGAAGGTCAAAAACAGTATACAAAGCTCATATAGTAAGTTTGAGACGATGACTGTGAAGACTCTAGTGGGTCGGGTATACATGTACAGTAGTACATGCTAGAAATAAAGTCACTGGTTCCGAGCATTCCGGATTTCCTGGCACCTGCGGGCCGTATCCATTCTATGGTAAATTAGCAAGAGCGCCTAAAGGCCTCCATTAACCTAATGGCGCCGCTTACACAAAGGCTTGAACATTGATACCATTCCATGTCAGTAGTGTTGCCGCATTTGGCGAACTGGCTGGAACCAAGCCGAAGAAACTTGTGCTTGCACTTGTCATCAGTCCAGATAACACACCTCGTCGCTGCGTAGAGACTAAAAACCGCGAAGATTAACACTTGCTTGGTCGGTATTGTGGCAAGAAAGTGTGTTTCAAGGAGTCGGTTTGAGCTGGTTTCTCGAACCGCGGCAACACTACATGTCGGCTGCATGAAGACATTTTCAGGCGAAAGCTCCAAGAAAACGGATACATTTTTGAACCAATGAGCTATATTCTACCCATCCACAACTAAAATCGACGCGCCTCCATCTGCAGTGATGCGCTTACGCGTTTTCATAACAAGATAGCGCCTCCCAAATTGATCAAGTTTTGCGTCGTTAGTTAATACGGTCTTCGGCTCAGATGGGATACTGGGGAAAACCCCAAAGCCAGACGGCGCGAGGACTAGTGCCTCGCCTGTCTATTTACGTTGTAAGCCAAACATCCCTGTGGATAGCAAAGACGAATACCTGAAGTCGGACAACTTTGTCGAAAGCATCTTCTTCAGATAGGTCGGCAGAAACATGCCGTGTCAGGTGATCCCACCAAGCGGGCGAGGAGAAGCGGTGCAAAATGGAGACGGTGCATAAATCTAGCAAAACGGGTGGGACCACTGTTGGCTCTGAATATTCCCATGAGTGGTTTGAGTAGATATGTTAGAGCAAGGCCTGACCTTGGGTACTGATGATGACACGCATCCCGTAATGCCTTTGCTCGCGGGTCAGTGTTAAGAGCGACTTTGTGAGCCCCGAAGCTCCGCCTCTGGTGCCAAGATACTGGGGACGCATTTTACTTTAGTTTAGGAAGATCCGCGGTTTTAGCATAGGTACACACTTTATGGGCCTCGTCAACGACCAAGACCTTGCCAGTGTTGACTTTGGAACGGACAAAAAGCCGAGTGATGATCTCGAATATGCTGCATGCTGCGCCTGGATCAATGAAGGGATCGGACAAGTCTATAATGGTGAGCTGTGCGGCAGCGAATCTTGAGGAGCTCTGGACTTTGCGGTTCATGAAAGACTCGAGTAGCGCCATTCGCTGTTCAAGTCCCGAGAGTTGACTGATATTGAAGCTCTCCTTCTTAACGTCCAGGCGGGCCATGAACTCCATATAAGTGAAATTTTCGCCCAGGTCTCGCAAAATCGACTGTGACGTTGTCATTTTTGACAATGGCAGCCAAAACAAAGCTATGTACTGACCAAAATCCCTTGCATGTACAGGGGAGCAGACTCAGAAGAGCCTACACCCATCATGGAAAGAAACGCTTGAGCATCTAACTCTTCTTCCGTGAAGAGTAGCGGCTCAACCGTGACATGCTCTCCAAGAGGGGCATAAACCGTTCTCATGGTCTGAAGAGAGGAGCGCGAAACATACACACGAACTTTTGGTGTTTGGACACCTTTAGTCGTAGGTACACCGACCCAAGCTGCCTCACATGGGAGTGCGTTTGGGCCTCCCTCACCGAAGTGGAGGACAAGACCTGAGAGAGGTCGCCTGAGGGTGCCTATTTGACGATAAGATGAGATGAGCATATTCTCAAGAAGCACCGCAACGGTATGCGATTTCCCTGAGCCCTGTACGCCGCAGACTACGGCAGAAAATGGGGCATTCTAAGAAGCGTTAGTCGAGCTTGTCGTAGCGAACAATGTACATACCGTGTTCACGTAAAGCCGTGGATCGCGAATTGTCAGATGGTGGGTTTTGTCGCTAATGTACACAGCGTTGGATGTGTGCATGATTTCTGAGCCGAAGGGCGCACTCACCGTATAGACAAGGTCTTCCCCAAGACGCCGTACTGCATGTTTGCCACGTCCTGATGAGAGGAGACATATGCTTCTCTAGTGAGAAGAGGAGCATTTCGGAGCTCATGATCTTTAGCACGCTCTACGCTCTCGAACCCGACATCGGAATGTAGGAGGTGCATTTCCTCCTACGCAAACGCCTCAATATCCGTTCAGCGTGTCAGGAGTGTTCACAAACCAAGACCGAGGCCATATCAGGAGTGCAGTCGAGAGCTGGGGATCCTTCTCTGGGGGAGGAAGTGGATAGCGTTGGCTGATAATGTAATAATGAGATACAGTACAGTGGACTTCAGGGAGCTATCTCCTCACACTGGTGGCCGTGGAGGTACTCGCGGGTTCCTACAGGGGACATTGTCCACAGTTGAGCAAGTGGATGGCTATGATGTACTTACCGATGCTTTCAAGTCGTTAAAATGGCGACTATAACCATTGGTGGCCTACACAAACGTCAATTAGATGTGGTAGATGGTCACTTTCAATGAGGGGGAGAGCTCATACCGGAGATTTTCTTGATATACTCGTATGCATGATGGGGTCTGTGAGGGCGATCGGATATTGCAGCAGGGCAACCCTTTTGTAACGCCAGTCTTGAGCGTGTACAGGAACTAGTCATCATGCATCATGCAACTTTCTATTGATAGTACACGAGTGCATACTAGTGCATGAGGATCGGTGACATTGAGAGGACCTATTTGGGACACAATGCTACTATAGCTAGTAGGAACTTGAAGGCCGCCATAGGGTGTATGACCGGCATCTTTGATTCAGGCAACAGGTTATTCAAAAAAAAAACTCGAAGAGTATCAATGTTCACCTTTGTGGTGCTACATGAGGTGATCTCCTGTTTCTTCTTGGTGTGCAGGTATGGTCATAGATGAAGCAAGAAAGAATCGCGTCACTTTGTGGTAGTTTTTTGTCCCACAGGGGCTTTGCGCGTCGGAGAAACTGTTGGCGGTTTATACCCATCGATTCATTGACACGCCAGGCCCCTCTGATCTTCGAGTTCGACTACATATCCACATATTGCGCACTCTTGTGGTACTAAGCATGGCCGTCTTTGAAGTGCCAGGCTGGTCTGCGCCGGTCGCCCCTTCTCCGGCGATCTCGAAGAAACGCAAACGCGGGGCATCCACTGACGACAAACTTCACTCTGCGGAGACGAATTTGGACAAGCTCGTCAAGAAATTCACCAGTCAAACTTCCGATGCTCAACCTTCTCAGAAGAAGAAGCAAAAACATGGCAACAAACGCGACTCTCCCATCAACCCAGACTCTCAGCCTCCTGTCAGCAACTCGAAGGAAAGCAAAGAGAGGAAAAGTGCAAAACAGGAGAAGAGGAAGAAGAAACAGGAAAAAGCACAGCACAAGAACATGGATCCTCCCAAGGCTTCTGCTAACGGGACGCCATCTACTGGTCATTGTGTGGCCGGGCTCACGTCACTACAGAAGGGAATGAAGGACAGCTTGGAGGGTGCTCGGTTCAGGTGAGCTATCCTTGTTGCATCGTCGAAGTTCGAGTGTCGCGAACGCCAGATCCTCGCAGATGGATCAACGAGCAATTGTACAAATCAGATAGCGTGGAAGCAGTGAAGCTTATGCAGGATAGCCCGGAGAACTTCCATGAGGTATGGGCCTGATGATCCCGTAATACGTTGCTCTGCTCATATGCGCTTTGATTCCAGTACCACAAAGGGTTTCGTCATCAAGTTTACAGTTGGCCGTCGAACCCCGTCACGCACTACGTGGAGGAGTTATCCGCGCTGCCGAAGGGCACGATCATAGCAGATCTCGGATGCGGCGATGCTGCACTTGTGCGCGAGCTTGCGGGGAAGCAGACCGTCATTTCCTTCGACTTGGTTTCGGACGGCATGTATGTCGTTGAGGCGGACATCTGCTCCAAAATCCCGCTTCCGGGTTCTGAGCCTCAGGGATCCGAAAAGTCGGATGGCGTAGGGCAGGTGGTCGACGTTGTGGTGTGCGCACTCAGCTTAATGAGTACGAACTGGCCGAATTGCGTACGGGAGGCGTGGCGAATTCTGAAACCTGGGTAATTTCCTCTTCCAATGACTGTGAAGTATCGAGATTCATTACGGACAGTGGTACCCTCAAAATTGCCGAAGTGGCCAGCCGATTTGAAGACGTCGAGCAATTTACATCGCTCGTCAACTCACATGGCTTCAAGCTCAAATCCAAGGTAATGTCTTCTTTCCCTATGACAGAATGTCACTACAGTGCTGATTTGTATAACAGGACGACCGGAACAGTCATTTTACACTATTGGAATTCAAGAAGGTGCCGCGAGCCACGAAATCAGCGAAGGAGTGGACTGGTCTTATGTCTAGGGGACATGTTCTTAAGCCTTGCGAATATAAGAGACGTTAGCCAGTTTTGCTGTTGAACCTAGGGGTAGCCCCAAAATGGCATTCAGGCTGCGCCTTCCCCGCCGCCTTGCCTTGCGAACAACGCGCGGTCAGCTTTCCTCCCCACTCGCTCTCTCCATTTCTCGATATCTTTTCGCCCGCCATGGTTAAGCAGATCAACATTTTATCTCATCCTGTCGTCAACACACAGCTTGCACAGCTTAGGCAAAGTACGACGAACCCGAAAGATTTCCGCGAGGTCTGTGATCACCCCGGGTCATCGCTACCTAACAATCCGAACACAGAATAGGGCATACACAATATTAGTCTTATTCTAGGTATCGAGGCCACGCGCGATCTTGAACAGGAGACATTCCAGGGAGTGTGTATCGTCACAAGTAGACTGACCACCTACTTACGGCTAATAACAACTGCAGCAAACGCCGATCGGACCTTTCACCGGCTCAGTCATCAAACCTCGCGTCGGGCTGGCGCCCATCCTGCGTGCCGGTATCGGGATGACAGATGCCTTTCTGACGCTCTTTCCGTGCGTGCGCTACAGCTTGGTACGGAGCGCTTGCGTCTAATCTGACCGGTGTGTCTTCTCAAGGTCCGCTCCCGTGTACCATCTTGGCCTTTACCGGGAGAAAGTAAGCCTGCAACCGGTTGAGTGTAGGTGTTTGAGATGAATATACGCGTGGCGGATGAAGACTAATGACTTCCAAGATTACTCGAAGCTACCTTCAGAACCCCCGATCGACACTTGCTTCTTGTTGGACCCGCTTGTCGCGACCGGAGGCACGGCCCGGGCTGCACTTGCTATGATCACTGACTGGGGTATTCCAGGTATGGCGCCAATCGGTTGCTGAACAATTGACACAGAGTGACAATGTGCATTGGCTTGCAGTTTCGAAAATCAAGCTGCTGGTTGTGCTGGCATCCGAGGAAGGGCTTCGGCAGGTGCAGGCTAATTACCCGGATTTAGAGGTGAGCGTCAACGGATCGGAGTGCCGTGGGTCAATGGGGTGTCATGGCTGACAAAGACGGGGGCGTAGATTTGGGTGGCGGCAGTGGATCCACATTTGACGGAGAAGGGCCTCATTTCGCCTGGCCTCGGCGATACTGTAAGTGAATTCGGAATTCGAGAGTCGCCATTCCGAGAGTATCTAACGTGATACACCACTTGTACAGGGTGACCGTTTGTACAACACCGTTACAAAGTGAATATGAGGAGGTCAGGATGGTCACAGTTGTATGGTGTGGGTTGTTCGTCATTTTGAGATGGTCGCTGGTATGAGCAAAGCGTAACAAGGAGCTGGGTAGGTGTCATAATGAAGCGGGCAAGTGTGTGATGTTGTGTACAAAATTGTCAATTCTCCACGTGATGGGCTTGCGTGATTTTGGCGGGATCGCGTCGAATTGTCTCCCACACGCCGCTGGTCCGAAATTTATATGATAGAAGTGATCTACACCTCGTTTGTTATCTAACTTAGATTCTACTAGGTCGGAATGGCTCTCGACGTCGGCTCTCGTGCTGAATCGCCTCTCTCGGCAACACCTACCGTCGTCTCCACACCCAACGGTGAGCCAAAGATCGCCGCCATCGTCGTCGACGCCATGCAAACCCACCAAAAGTCCGCATCGGAACTCATTGAGCTCATTGCATCCCGTACGGCCGCCAGCTCCGCCGTCTATGTCTACGACCTCGCTGAGCAGGTCGGCTTCGGCACCCTCACAAAGTCATGGCAAGCATCCGCAGAGAATACTGCCCCCGTCATCAGCCTCCAGACGAGGGCTGGCGCTGGTCTTGCCCTCGTTGGAAGGCTTTCTGAGGGCACCAGCCAGGACAAAGGCGCTGTTCTCTCTGCTTACACAACCCCCGCAGGCCTCACTGCCATGATTCCTTCCCTCGCCTACCTCCCCCCAGCATCCGAGAGCAGCAGGCTTATCATCCAAGTCCCTGCAGTGACACCTGTCGGTGACAACTACGCCCTCTCCCCCACCCTCGCATCCCTTGCGACTACCTTTAGCCTCCTTCCAGACAATGTCACTGTCCTCGTATCCGCGACTCCCCAGGAGTCCATAGATCTTGCCATGCTCTCCTACAAGCTCTCCACGTCCCATGTTATCCACATCTTTGATCACTACAGCTCCTCTCGGGAACTCGGCCATGGTCATGCTCCTACCGTTGCTCTTAAGCAGGTAGCCACTAGCACCATTCAGGAGGCTATTAAGTGGTCGGGTTACTCCATGTTCGATTACGCCGGCGATAAGAACGCCCATACCGTGTTCGTCTTCGTCAATGGTCCAATTGCTCTTTCTGCCAAGGCAGCATTGACCGATGCTGAGGGAGTCGGCATCCTCATTGTCCGCGTATTGCGCCCGTGGGACGGCGAGGCCCTGCGCGAGGCGCTTCCTAAGACCGTCAAGGATATCCATGTCTTTGATGATGTGCCTAATGAGACTACTCAGGGCGCTCTGTTTATCGATGTCTTCGGCTCCCTGTACGACCCCGTCACTTCTTCGCCCTCTGTCCGCTCCCAGCGCACTCCTCCCTCCAAGACCCAGTCATTCCTTTCCAGTCCCACCAACTTCGCCAGCTTTCTTTATAAGCTTGCTGGCGTCGAGGCGCCTCTCCAGAGCAAGCCATCCACCGGCAAGAAGCTCCTCTTTTTCAACTCGCCCAAGTCTTCGCTCTCCCAAGTTCCCACAGCCATCAAGGATAGCTTTGCTAAGGCAGTTCCAGCTCGCCTGTTGACGGACTATGACATCTTCTCGAAGCAGGGTGGCATTTCTGCACATCGCATCATCCTGGGCTCGTCCACCGAAGGCACCACGTCGACTCCCTTGGCCCACATCTTCCCCCTGGGCAAAGAGGGCGAGGCTGACTTTACTGGCATCCTTGACTTCAGCCTGCTCAAGACGCACTCTGTTCTCACTCATGCGAAGCCCGGCTCTGCGGTCCTTGTCGTCACTCCTTGGACCAGTGAGGAGGTCCTCGCCAACTTGTCGAAGGAGTCTCTGGAAACTATCGTCTCGCGTGAACTACGCATCTATACCATCAATGCCACAGAGGCGGCCTCTGTCCTTTCCAAGGAGGTATCCCTTCCCGCCGACAAGGTTCAGAACTTCCTGATTCACCTCGCTTTCTTGAGGCTCTACCTCGGCGACACCGCCACGGAACACACTCTTACCAAGTTGGGCGTGGGTCTGCTCGAGGAAGAGAGCGGGGTTAACGTCGGCAAGCTCGTCAGTCGGGTCATTTCTGACTTGGTCGAGGTCGAGATTCCTGCCTCAGCCGCCGAGGTTGATCCAGAGGCCAAGTCCAGCCCTCCTATCAAGCGGTTCGAGTATAATGCCATTGCTGTGGAGACTGACGACGGCCAGACTGCTGTCAACGGCGGCTGGATTTCCTCCTGGCATGACGCTGCCAAGCACCTGCTCTTCCCCTCTGCCTTCACACCTCCGTCAACGGAGCAAACGGATGGCGAAATTGAGGAGTACCCCCAGATTCCCAACCTTCGTCCTGAGGTTCCTGAGCGTACCTTCCTAGTGACTTGCTCTGTCAACCGTCGTCTCACACCCATTGAGTACGACCGCAACGTTTTCCATCTCGAATTCGACACCTCTGGCACCGGCCTCAAGTATGAGATTGGCGAGGCACTTGGCGTTCACGGATGGAACGACGAACAGGAGATCCTCGACTTCTGTGCGTGGTATGGCGTCGACCCTAACCGTCTCGTCACCATCCCCGTCGTCACCGGCGAGGAAGATATGCACACCCGTACCATCTTCCAGTGCCTACAGCAACAGATTGACCTTTTCGGCCGCCCGGGAAAGCAGTTCTATACTGACCTCGCTGATTACGCCACTTCTGCATACGATCACAAAGCACTCAAATTCATCGGTGCACCCGAGGGCTCGTCGACGTTCAAGAAGCTTAGCGAGAAGGACACTGTCTCGTTTTGCGACGTTCTCAAGATGTATCCCAGCGCACGTCCGAGCATCGAGAAGCTTTGCGAGCTCATCGGCGATATCAAGCCACGCCACTATTCCATCGCCTCGGCGCAGGCTGTTGTTGGCAATCGCGTCGACCTTCTTGTGGTCACGGTCGACTGGCTCACTCCAAGCGGTCAGTTCATATTCATGCTACCTCGTTCTCAGTGCACTCACAACTCTTTCTTAGGCTCGCCGCGGTTTGGTCAGTGCACCAGGTATCTTGCTGGTCTTAAGATTGGCCAGAAGGTTACCGTCTCCATCAAGCCTTCTGTGATGAAGGTTGGTGATTGCATAACAGCCTTCAGATCAGCCGCTTACTTTTTACTACAGCTTCCTCCCTCGTACGAGCAGCCGCTCATCATGGCCGGTCTCGGTACCGGTGCGGCTCCCTTCCGCGCCTTCCTCCAACAGCGCGCCTTGATGGCCGAGAAGGGCGTGAAGATGGGCCCCGTCTACTACTACTTCGGCTCACGTCATCAGTCGCAGGAGTACCTGTACGGCGAGGATATCGAGGCGTACATACTTGACGGTACAATCACTAAGGCTGGCCTTGCCTTTTCCCGCGACGGTCCTCGCAAGGTGTACATACAACACCTCATGCTCGAGGACGCCACCGAGCTCGCAGCTGCGCTCCGCCACCAAAATGGCGCGTTCTACTTGTGTGGCCCGACGTGGCCCGTGCCAGACGTGTACGAGGCGCTCGTGGGCGCGCTCGTCAAGCAGGACGGCCAGACTGCGCAGGAGGCTGGTGACTTCTTGGAGGGCCTCAAGGAGGAGGAACGCTATGTTCTTGAGGTAAGCTGCCTCCTCGTGTCATGTCTCAAGGTGCTAATATATGGTTGTAGGTCTACTAAATACCTGGCCCTATGAAATACCAAAGATACCAGCGGATCTCATGGTTTTCCCGTCCAATGCTTAGCTTTATCATATCCCACGTGTTTATAGAATGTCGATGTCGGCATATAGAATGGATAGAGGTTATTACAGCTAAACAGGTGGCGTGAACACTATCTACAACAGTGAGCTATGGTATACATGGTATCGTGATCTAGTGTAGTCCCTTCATTTCCTTGTCAGAGTAATCCCAAAAAGCGTGCGAGTATCGATACCAGCGAAGGGGTGTGAACCTCTGCAGAGACATCGAGAGAGGCGCTACCAGAAGGCGCATGAGCAGAGGTGTGGGTGTTTGTATGAGAAACGGTGTGGTGGGTTGTGTGGGAAGTTGTCTGAGAAGCGGGGTGGGAGGTAGTGCGTGACGAGGTAGTTGAGAAGTTATTTGAAGCTATACAATAAAGCACAAAAAAGAAAGCAGTAAAAAAATTGTCCATGATTAGCGATCAGTAAGAGCCAGAAGACGAGCGATTCCTAAAGACTAAGACGGTCCACCAGGCGACGAGAGACACGATAATGAGGCCAACGACGCCGACGATGACGCCCATGACGATCTTGCCCGTATTGTTGAGCGCCGGGCCAGCGCACCCTTGTGGGTACACCTCGTCGCAAGGGACGCCTTGAGGTTTCCGGGAGCTGTACGCACCAGACTGGAGGGATGTGTAGAAGGGGTCTTTGGTGTCGGACAAGACGTGCATGGCAACCAACGTGAGCATGGGTGCGTTGTAGTCAAGAGCAACCTTTCATAGGGATGAATAATCAACCAAATGAAGCGAAGGTAGTATAGACTATTACCTCAGCTTCGGGCCAGTCGTCCCTAAGGTCGAAAAAGCGATCGTACTTGTCCGGCCCGCCGACGAGGCCTCCGTACAAAACGTAGGCCTCTTGTAGAGGTGAGGTGTTGATGTTGTTGATATCATTTCCGCCGCTCGCCATCGCGGAATGAGGATTTTGGGGAGAGTTAGGGTTCGCACCGACAACGTAGGGCACTGCAAATTGACCTCAGCTAGGGACATGGATGTCTTGAGGGGTATCATACCTTGCATCGGATTATTTCCGAGGGCGTAGTTCATTTGACCAACGGCGAAATTCTTGAAGAACAGTCAACAACATGACGTGCCAGCATAGTAGGCATTTACTGACCAAATAGTCATTCTTCCTGTTAGGCGTAGATGCTATTTGAGAGTACCGCTGCAGAAGCATAGCCGCATTCAGCGCAGGGTTGAGACTCGCGTCGTCCGAATCGCCATCGTAATATAGCAGACCACCTGAGATGATGGTCAAGTACCACTCATTTCTGTTTCTGAGCACCATACCTTTCGTCATCCAGCCGTCGCCGCCGCCGTACACAATACCGTCAAGGTAGCGTTCGACCTCAGACTGCCAGTTCGAGAGGTTACCCCCGCCGAAGCCGCCTGCCTGTTCAATCTGGGCGAACAAGACGTTGACGCCTGGCGTCTTGTTGTCCCAGTTGAACACACCTTTGTATCCCTTGAGACTGTAATTAGAGTAGTAGGTGTGCGCATCTTGGTAGTACGAGCTCGAGTTTGTGGCCCAGGCAAGAAAAAGGGCCGCCATCGTTAGCTCGTCACCATAACCAGAAGAAGCGTAGGCATCGCCAGCAACTGGTGCGTTGTTCTGATATTCTGTCATGCCTCCCGGGGCATGAACAGCAAAATCATAAAGCTGTTCGGCGTGCTGTAGAAGCTCTGAAGCGTATGAAGAGTTCTGGAGGGTGGCGGCTCCTGAGAAAGCGTTGGAGAAGAGGCGGTTGGAGTACAGGTTGGAGCAAGCAGCGAAGGCGCCTGCAGCACCAGCTGCAGCATCTGTTCCTGGGCTAAAATAGGTCAATAGCTGTAGTAAGTTGAGTTAAGCCTTGAGGTGCATACTTTGTTCCATTGATCTGAAAAGATGGACGCGACCCGGGTATGTTCTGGTCACCACCCCAGTAGGCGTTATCCGCATTGGCTACGAAGGTGAGCGCCCATGAGCTAGCATGTTGGTAAGATCACTTACTATCGCCAACTTGTACAAAAAGCGTGTCATTAGCCGGATGTGCCTTAGGAAAGAGGTGAGTGATAAAATTTAGCAAAGAATGTGGGTGGAACAATCACCTTTTCAAGCCATGTAAGCCCCCATCGCAGCATATCGTCCAAGTAAGGCGTCTGGTTAGAGAGGTCGTAGCCTATAAAGTTAACTTTTTGAGTGACAAAATACTGATTGACCCATGACGTCATCCACGGACCCTTTCCAAAATCTGTCGCTCCCCAACATATCGACATTAAAACAAAGGACTAATAAAGTTGGTGAGGGAGGCGAATGCAAGTTGGTGAGGGCTACTTACAAGAGGAAAGGTGCATTTGATATAGTCTGTTGCGTTATTTGAATGAGATGAAAACAGTGGGGCAAAACGGTAAGAGCTGCTTACCTCCAGCATCATAATAACCGCCAGTGAGATCAAGGTTGACGTCTGAGCCATCAGAGGTAGCGCTGTTGTTTCTCCAGGAAACCCTGTTGGTGGATGGGAGATTGCCACTGCGCTGAGCCTCGTAGAACCAGAGAAGATCGCCAAGGAGATTTGACCACTGTGGGTTAGGCTGAGAAGTGCCATACGGAGAAGGGACCGCGCCTGCCGAGGCGTTCTGGGGCTGCCACTGGGGATTGGGAAGAGGAACCTGTGCTAGCGCTGAGCCGGCCAGCACTGGCAGAAGGACAGCTAGGGAAAGCATGGCAGACTATAGACCTCAGACCGTAGATGGTGGGTTGGTAGAGACAAGTGAGGCGCACTGCCAGCAGCCGCCAAACGCGCGCTTCAAAAGCCCGGTCAACTGTCAGACTCATCGCGATCCAGACCACCGACGCCTACCGACGCCCCAATGCCCCACGTGTTTTAATTCAAGACCGCGACACCTAGTCACGTGTAGTTATTTGTGGTTTGATCTACAACCGGTCTTCGCTGTCAACTCTAACTCTTCGACTCATCCCTGGTCCACGCCCAGGAAACAGTTCGGCAGCTCCCCAGTATCTATGACATCGACGGCAAGTTTAGATGCCATGAAAGGACATCAATGGATGAGTCAAGATACAAGCCTTCTGAAGAAGAAAGTCGAGTCTACGCCAAGTTTCTCTCTCAGAAAGTTTGCATCTTTACTCAAGTCGACTACCCGTAATGTTTGAAACCTTGAGTTTGGGCAATAATGCAGCATACCTTGATACACCCACCATGCAACTCCCTGCGGCGCCCCAAAATCCACCCAGTGACTACCTTGAACTCTTGAGACATCGATATAGCTTCATCATCTTACCCGTTTTCTCACACCTTGGTCATCCACCTTCGTTACGGGCCGAGCATATCCGGATCCGCTACACCCTCCAATATTTAAGCATTGACTCGAAGCCGGAGGATGCCTTCCGCTTCCCGCTCTTAGCACTACAGTCAATCACGGTCACCCATGGCGCTCAATCCAATCAAGACTTGCGTCCTCGGTGTCGGTCTCGCTGGTCTCACTTTCCACGTCCCCTTCGTCCTGGCGCTACCAGAGCTTTTCTCACTTCATGCTGTTCTCGAACGCAATCCTCAGTCTGCAGGCGGCAAAGTTGCTGAACGCTTCGGCGTCAACACCAAGATATACAATAAGATCGAGGATGTTCTTGCGGATAACGAGATCGAGCTGATTATCGTAGGGACACCCAATGAAACCCATTACTCGTTGGCCAAGGTTGCACTCGAAGCTGGCAAGCATGGTCGGTAGCATACTTCTTGCCACCTACAGTTGTGATTCAACACGATTGATTTTGCTGTAGTCTTGGTTGATAAGCCTGTCACCGTTACGGTGAGAGAAGCAAACGAGCTGGGACAGCTTGCTAAGTCAAAGGGTCTAGTCCTATATGGCTACCAAAACCGAAGATGGGACTCAGATTTTCTTGCTTTCCGTCGTCTACTCGCCCTTCCTTCGTCATCGCCCCTATCCCTTGGCGAACTGACGGAGTTCGAATCCCAGTGAGCGAGAATGCTAGGTAATCATCTGGCATACACGCTGACAGTATTGTTCCTACACAGTTATGACCGTTACCGACTTGGAGCTCGTGGCTCCTGGAAGGACACAGCTGGATCAGTATACGACCTTGGGTCTCATCTCCTTGACCAAGCCCTGAAACTGTTTGGAAGGCCAACTAAGCTGACTGCTTTCATACAAAATGTTCGAGGCGTGACGAAGCCCGAGGTCGATGATATTGTGAGTTATCTTCCAACTGCACTCTTTGATTCCTAGTTGACGTCCCCCTGTTAGTTCGCCATCTACTTGCACTATCCGGCAGGAACGTTATATTCACACCCTTTCACCGCTATACTTCGCTCTCATATTATCTCCATCAAGTCTCCTCAACTGCGCTTCGCCATTCGAGGAACCAAGGGCACATTCACCAAATATGGTCTTGACGTTCAGGAGGATCAGCTTAAGGCTATGCCGTCTCCGACTGGAATGTTTGAAGCAGGCTTTGGCAAAGAACCAGAGGCTATCTGGGGCTTCATCGAAAACATTGGTGAAGACGGCGCAACGATCTCCAAGACAGTGTATGTCACACCATTTTGTGCTTGCCTCTGACCGTCTGATGTTGTACTAGTTGGCCGTCTGAGGCACCAGGTGAATACGTGTCATTGTTTAAGAACCTCGCAGGCGCTATTCGCAATAGCGAAGAGCTCGCGATCAAATGGGAAGAAGCAACTCAAGTAATTGAAATGATTGAACTGGCGTACAAGAGCTCGGCTGAGGAACGCACCGTTGAAGTACCGAAGCTTTAAAGGTGGAGCATAGAGAAGTACACCCGTATGGTGACGGTGGTCTGAATGTAAGATAATGGAAGTACTGTCTGAAAGAACGTTGTATCTATTACCAGAGGGGCTTCAAGTGCTAGTAGTTCGAGTCCAAGTACCTTGCAATTGAGCGAAGCGAGAACCTTTTGATTCCGAGTGGCGAATAGTCTCGGGCCTAAGCGGAAACAGCCCCTGAGCGTCAAAGAGCGGAATGCTATTTTTAGTATCTCCCTTACTCACCTCCACGTATCGCGACTGTCCTTGGTTCTCCGACCAAGTCCACTTCCATCTCAATGGCTACCGTTGCACTTCGTGTCGAGGTTCCGACCTACGGAAAGTCCTTCAATGTCAGCGTGCCCGCGAGTGCAACGATTCTCGATGTCAAGCGCGAGATAGAGTCTACCTGCGCTGGCCGTCCAACCGTATCGGGACAGCGCCTCATCTGGAGAGGTCGCTACCTTTCAGACAGTGAACAGGTGGAGGATATTCATAAGGCAATATTGCAAATATACGGTCCCCAACCACCGGTAGCTAACATGTCTGCTATACAGGCTTCGGACGGACACTGCGTCATGCATCTGTCCGTGCATCCTTCGGCCTGGGCTGCGGGACCACCAACTTCGGCAAAGCCATCATCTACCCCAACATCGTCTTCCGATACATTACTTCGGACAAACCACTCGCTGCCACCATCGAACTTTTACATCCCTAATGCTAATCCTTTTCCCACAGCTCCCCCTCGTAGCCAGTCCGCTTCATACATTTCCTCCAAACACCGGCATGCTCTCGCTGTTCTCATGGGCCAGGTTGAAACGAGACCTGATCAAACAGAAGAGGCTCATGCTACTGCTAAGAGGACTGTTGAGAGCCATGGCTACATCTGGCCGTCTATTTTGGATGAAGAATACCCGGCGGTGAGCCCTAAGTCTGCGGAAGGACTCATTTACGATACAGTTACCGTCGAGTGAGTGTATCTTGCACTGCATAAGACCTTATTCGCTGACTTGCTCAGGTCGCGCTCGTATCTACGACTGCGTAACCCCAACGCACAACCTACGCTGCGGCAAATACATGCGCTGAAGGTCTTAACCTACACATTCTTCCTCTGCACACTCCCTCCACCTCCAACTGCCTCATTCACTGTTCCACCGGCCTTAGAGTCTGTACCCGCGCCGCACGTAAACGAGCTTCTTGCTCAAATGGGCTTCCCGCCACTTCGTGTGGGCGGTCCGAATGTCAATGGTGCTGCCCTCCACGGCCATCTCCCCGATGCCGACGGTCAGGGTATAATGGCAGACATACCAGTTCGCGCATTGCTCGCTCCTCTCTTTATGGTCTTGCTTCGAACTGTCTTGCTGCTTTACTTCTTTAGCCCCACGAGCAAGCCGATCTTCGGGGTCTTGATTGCCGCCTGGATCTTTTATGAAGTATACACGCACGTCAGGATCGTTGTGTTGCGCCCGCTTGAAGATGCTGCCAATCAACGGCAGCAACGCGCCGCCGGCAATGAACAGGCAAACCAAGGACGTGGTGGCCCAGGTTTGGGCATGGACAATGGTGCACAACCCCAGCCAGGCAATGGTCAAGTAACTCCAGGTGTCAATGTTCGGAATGATACACAAAGGCCGGAATCGCAGCGATCGCCGCCACCTCCCATCCCTGAATCCACTGGCATCCTCGATACCCTAGCGTTCACAAGAATTGCCAGCGAGAACACCCTTTTGTTCGCGCCACCTGGGCATCCGCCGCAGCCTCCAACATGGACTGAGAAGGCCACAACTTTCGCGTCGCTCTTTGTCACATCTTTGCATCCTGGTGTTTGGAACAGGCGGCGACGAGTACTACGGGAGCGCGAGGGCCGGATACGAATGGAGATGAACACTATTGAGCGTGAAGAGCAGCAGGAGGAAGGTGGCGAGGCCGACTGGAGGGCTCAGGCGCGAAACTCAATTTTGGCCGCCCATTCGCGCCGGCCTGCATGGGTGAAAGATTATGTCGTGCGTGCGAGGGCCGGAGAGTGGGTAGAAGAGTAAATTATCATATAGATTGGCACCAGGGAACGGATTCATGACATTGTAACTTCTTGGCATTATTAATCATGGTAAAGCTCCTGAAGGTTTTCAACACTAGACTGAATCGATGTTCCAGGCTTGATATATTGCAGCAAGCAATGTAAGTCTACCAAGTCTACTCGCTTTCTTCCTCGTCCTCATCCTCAGAGTACTCCTCCGCTTCATCATCTATAAAGCCATTGACCATCGGCTCATCCCCGTCGTCGTCGTCGTCCTCGCTTTCGTATTCCTCGTCGTCATCATCCTCGTCACTCTCCCCTCCGAGCTCAACTTCTTCTACACTGCCCTCCTCATCGTCATCTACAGGAACCTCGGCATCCATCGCTTCATCCTCTTCATCCTCTTCGCTCTCTCCTTCGATATAGCGAGTGGCCCCTCTGGTCTTTTTGATTTTAGAGCCGTTAATTGGCAGTGACGCGGGTGCTGTCGATGAACGCATCTCTATTTGCGTCAGGACCATGTCTAACCGGCCGTTCAGCGACAAAAGACTCTCCTGGAGGGAAAGGCGAGAGGTCAAAGTGGCGTGCAGACCGGATAGCCGTGCGACTAGGTCGGGCATCTATGTCATGTTTAGGACGTTTCAAACAAGGATGCATGGACAAAATCACGCACCGTCATGAGGTGTCCGCTGTGGACGACTAAGACGGCATTGATCCAGTTGATCAATCCCATGCCTCTCTGAGAGCTAGCACCACCTCCTCCACCTTTCATATTTGTTGCTCTTGCGCCGCGCCCGAGACGTTCGACGCAAGCGGTCAGCAGAGGGACGGCAAGCTGTGGTGGTAACCGCCGGACGGAGTTGCGGATCAAGGTAGAATCGGAGTGTGCGAGACACGTCTCGAGTAAGCGGACATCAGAGGAGTGAAGGGCTTGTATGAGAGTTCGGGTCAGCGAGTGCGCGGGCACGACGTCGTTCTGTGCGGCTGCTTGTTTCCGGCGGGCTGACGATGGCTCCGCGTCTGAGTCATCTGGAGAGGTATTGTGTCGGTCTGCGGCGTCTTGGCCCGTGAGCGCTGTGAGACGCTGGCCAAGGGAGAGTTCTGCAAGGTTTTCGTCCAGTGTACCGTCGACATCACGCTCGACGAGGTCGTCCATCGCCTGATCTTGGCCGAGCTCGACACCGGAGTGTATCGATAATGACGGGGGCTCAGCGTATCGCGCATTTTTTGTGGGAGACTTGGGCAAGAGTCAACAAGAATGTTTTCGGCTAGAGAACGAGAGGACAGACCTGAGATGAGCTTGCCTCTACTATGGTTTCTGAAGGGTCATCTCGGGGTGGTGGGTGCGACTTACGCGAGTGTTTCGTGCGCGCTTTTTTTTGTGCTGGCTGCGATGCCATGTCTATCTGTTAAAATATCGCATCACTGAGCAAGTAAGCAATAGGAAAGGGCCGAGATACTGACAAGCAAGACTTTTTGAGGATATCGAGAGGGGGACAAAATATGAAGGTCAGAGTCACGTGCGCAAAAGATCTGTGCTTCGCATGGTGATTGCCAAATCGAGCCTCCTTTATGGACGCAAGGTCGGCAAGTTGAACACTCAACTTCGCCCGTCGACGTCTGCACAAAGTATTGGGATCCTTCGCCCTCGGGCTATTCATCCGCCATCCCGTCCAGAACTTCGCACTCTTTCCTTTGTACTCTACTCATACGATCTCTCCTAATTTGCCTCCGGTTCACGCATTGTACTTTACACCATCCTTCAACCTTTCGATAGAGATATGAACTACATCCAGGTAAGCTCGTTCACTCGATCCCCCTGGCAAATACTCACGTCTTTTAGTTAGAGAAACTTGGTAAGACTGCCAAGAACGGCTATGATGAGATGTCTGATCATAGGATTTAACAGGCGAGGGAACATACGCCACGGTTTTCAAGGTGTGTGGCATTGAGCCTTTTGCCATGACTTCGCCTGACACGCTATCAGGGGCGTTCGCGGACCACCAATGAAATCGTCGCGCTTAAAGAAATACACCTCGATGCAGAGGAGGGCACGCCTTCTACTGCGATCCGTGAAATTTCCCTTATGAAAGAACTCAAACACGTCAACATAGTCCGGCTTTACGATGTCATTCACACAGAAACAAAGTTGGTGCTTATCTTCGAGTACGGCGATCAAGATCTCAAGAAGTACATGGATCAACATGGCGAGCGCGGGGCACTCGATCCCATGACAGTCCGGAGTTTCATGTATCAGCTCCTCAAAGGAACCTCGTACTGTCATGAAAACCGAGTCCTTCACCGCGATCTGAAACCTCAAAACCTGTTGATCAACCGCAAGGGTGAACTCAAGATCGGGGACTTTGGTCTTGCCAGAGCTTTTGGTGTCCCGGTCAACACCTTCTCCAACGAGGTAAGTCATTATCCTGCCATTGCAGCGCGGCGCCCAACCTCCGATTATAGGTCGTGACTTTGTGGTATCGTGCACCTGATGTCCTTCTTGGCTCACGAACCTACAACACCTCCATTGACGTTTGGTCTTGTGGTTGTATATTTGCTGAGATGATATCGGGCGTCCCTCTGTTCCGCGGTCGTGACAACCAAGACCAGCTACTGCATATTATGCGAATCCTTGGTACGCCTGACGACAGAGTGCTGCGTAAGATTGCCACGGATTCCGTGCGTGCACTTTTTAGCTTAAAGTGTTGTCGCCTGAGTTACTGAACTCCATTAGCCTGAAATCACATTGAAGCAGTATCCTCGTTACCCGAAGATACCGTTCCAACAAATCCTCCCGAAGGCTTCTCCTCAAGGTGTTCTTCATTTCATTGCGAGGGTTTGAATGGAATTTCTGAACTTTCCCTTCAGCCTTAGACTTGTTGGAGCGACTTCTCCAGTTTGACCCTGCTAAACGTGTCACTGCGACCGATGCTCTGAACCATCCATACTTTACGTCAGCCCTGGGCAACACGTATGGGATGACCCCGTCACCCGGCTCGATGCCTCCGCCAGGTTACAACTACCCTCACCCCCACGCTCAGCAACCTCAACAACAGCAACAGCAGCAACAACAAGCACCGAAACCACCGACTCAATCTGGTGCACAGCCTGGCTACGCTCACCCCCAACAGCCCATGTACTCGCAGCAGGAAGCGGCTCGAATGCAGCAGGCGCAGGCGCAGGCGCAAGCTCAGGCTCAAGCTATGGCGCAGGCTCAGGCTCAAGCTCAGGCTCAGGCTCAGGCACAAGGACACATGCAACCTGTTCCAAACGTGCCGTACGGAGCAGGTGGATACCCTACTCAATACCAGCCGCACGGACGCTAGGACGTTCTAGGACGCTGTGACTCTTTTGCCTGAACCCCCTTGGCCTTGTGTAATTAGTTCTGATTGTCTTGTTGTCTGTATTCCATTCAGATCAGTCTGTATAGTCGATGTGTCTCAACTCTTGGTTTCGGTCCCAAACAATTATCGAGGCTTGTGATACCATAGATGGAGTCTGAATTTTCTTGCGAAGTGCCTGTATAGCTAGTGTTGTTCTGAAAAGCACATATTGCTTGTACTAGGTGTTGGTGGACGTGGAGGTCATTATGCCTAGTGAGGACGGGGTTGATGACGATTGGCCCCTGAGGACAAGGACGGATGAGGTATTTGAATTTGATTCCGTGCTTTCCACGTGGCCGAGAGAGTTTGCATGGAAGCTTTGGCTCCCCAAGAACGAGATAAAACAGGCGACCGCGTACCTTTCTCTCGCTGTCCAAGTTGTCCTGGCTCTCCCGCACGCCCCCTGAGCGCATCCACACACCATGTCCACGTCGACCTTCGACGCCCTCATCGCAGATTTGACAAGGGAGGTGCATCGTGCTCAGCCAAAAGATGCACTCCAGTTCTGCGCCAACTGGTTTCAGGCCCGCCTCGAGGAGCAGCGCACCCGCACACGCGACATCGTCGTCTCTCGCGTGCTCAGCTTTGCTCGCGACCTCCCAACCGATCTCTTCATAGATACACCCCTCACCCACAGCAGCTCCCCCGCTCCACCCGATCTCTATGCCCCTTCCGCACGTCGCGGTTCATCCTTCCCAAACACATTCTCACAGAGCCCTTTCGGTACACTCAATGTGCCGGGCAATGCATTATTGGCCACAGACACGAGCCCGTCGCCCGTTGGCGGTATGCCGCCGCCCGCGATCCGCGAGCTCCCGCCTACATCACCTCTTACTGCTGACCCGAACCCATTCAGATATGAGCCCACAACTGCTACACCCACACTCTCTAGCAACCTCACTTTGAAACCGGGTGACTATCTCCATCCTCCTTCATCCGCCATATTTCAGCGTCGGACGTCTGTTAGCGCCGAATCTATCGCCGTTGACAGTGGGCATGACGAGCCTCTGCCCGTTTACCCCAAAAGCGATGAACAGCTACGCCGCATCAAGAACTCCATCGCTAAACAGTTCCTCTTCCGCGACCTCGATGAAGAGCAGGAGACAGGCGTCCTGAATGCATTGCAAGAACGGCACGTCAAGTCGGGAGAAGTCGTCATCCGCCAGGGAGATGTTGGCGAATATTTCTATGTTGTCGAATCTGGTCTGTTTAACTGTTACGTCCGGCAAGATCCTCTGCCACCCCATTTCATGACTGGGAACTCGTCCCCGCGGAACGCGCCGTCGGAGACGTTTGTTCAGCCAGGATACCACCCTGAATTCGGCAGAAAGGTTGCAGAATGCAAGTCAGGGGACCAGTTTGGCGAACTGGCACTGATGTACGGACACCCGCGTGCAGCCACAGTACAGGCAATGGAGGCATCGACGTTGTGGTCACTCGATCGGATTACGTTCCGAACGATCATTCTCAAGGCCGCGCACAGGCGGCGAACTATGTACGAACAATTTTTATCGAGTGTGCCGTTGCTGGCTTCGCTGGAACCCGGCGAGCGGAGCAAGATTGCGGATGCACTGATTAGCAAAGTGTACCCTGACGGAGAGGCGGTGTTGCGACAGGGAGAGATGGGAGACACGTTCTTCTTCGTGGAAGAGGGCGAAGCGATTGTTACCAAGTCGCAGGTTGGAGAGGAGGGAGAAGTGCGGGAGATAACCGTCGGGAGGCTCAAGAAAGGAGATTACTTTGGAGGTGCGTCCGTGTGTTGCTGTCATGTCCGGCAAATTCGTCGGAGTCAGTTGGCTGACCTGGCATTGTCTGGGACAGAGCTATCTTTACTTCGATTGGAGCCTCGGGCAGCGACTGTGAGTGCTGTGCGACGCCAGAACGCCAGCGAGTCGAGGTTGAAAGTGGCGGCGTTGGACGCGCCTGCGTTCACCCGACTGCTTGGACCATTGCGGGAGATCATGGAACGGAACGCCGGGGAAAGCTATGGACGGTAAAGGACCGGGTGAATGCAGACATGAAGAGGTACAATAGGCGTATGTATGGCAGACCGGCAGGGAAAAGCGAGACAAATGTTAGCGATACTGCCATTGTTGTACAACTGTCGTATGGTTTTTGTGATTCCGCTCCACAAAGTGTGGCATACCACGGCAGGCCGAGTCGCGATGCCAACAAAGCTGATTTTGACGCCTGTTATAGGTGGAGTGGGAAGCACGCGAGCGAGTTCCCCGCGAATCCCATCCTTTTAGTTCGCATTCCCTTCCTTTCTACACCCCTCCCCCCTTCCCTCCAAACGCAACCTTCCCTCGTTGGCTCGTCCATGCTAGCCAGCATCTCTCCGACCCGTTCTTTCACCTGAAAGCTCGCTCAAATACACGAATCCCTGTCACTCCTTTTATCGGTCAACCAACTAACAACTATAAACCCTCACCTCCCTCAACAAATCAACATCAATGGCTGGTCTTGCTTTCCGTCACCTTGACTCGGATGTCGTCCGCAGGCAGGGCCTCGTCGGCGGTCGTAAGTCTCCCTCAATTGGTCCATTCTTGCTAACTGCTCATCCAAACTTGCACTACCTTAGTGGTCGGAGGCTTACTGTGCGTTCCCTTTTCGCATCCAACACATCACGGGCTACTAACTATTATTATTCGTATCCAGCGGTGGAGATTCAGGCTCTGCGAGCGCGAGTGCAGCGGCAGCAACCACATCTGCGGTTGCTACCTCTTCTGATGGGGGCCTTCTCGGAGGCGTCCTCGGTGGTGTCACCGGTCTTGTTGGCGGCGTCACCAGCGTCGTCGGTGGTGTCACATCGGCCATCCTGCCCTCGTCCGAAACTTCCCCTGCTCCATCGACAACCCCTCCGTTAACATCCTCTTCCTCTTCTAGTTCGTCTGGCACGACTACATCCGCTGCACCCACGACCACTGCTATCTCGTACGTCCTATCTGGTACTTAACTAAGGACGAATCCAATACGGTTTACAGCACTACGTCCGCAACTCCAACTACCACCTCAACCCCTTCCTCCACCCATTTATCCACCCCTACTCCCACTCCCACATCACAGACTGTCATTCAGAGTAGCTCTGCCGGTCAGGTGGTATACTACACCTCCTTCTTGAACAATGACACTCCGTCGACTTCGGCGGCGCCAGCCCCTCCCCCAAAGACCTTCCTTGAGAACAAGCCTTTGGAAGGAGGTGTCTTTGCTCTTGTCGGTATCGTGGTTCTCATCGTCGTCATCATGATTATCACCTGTGCTATGCGTCGCCGGTCTCGCAGCCGTCTCGAAGACGAGATCAACGAGGCGGTCACCTTCGACCCCGCTGGCGCTAACCACTACAACGACGTTGAGAGGCGAATGAACTCGATGGAAAAGTATAGATGGAGTGGGAGTTCCTCAGGTCATGGTCACGGTTTCGGTCACGGCCCGGGCACGGACTACCAGCCCCAGCCTGTTCAGCAGCAAGGGTACTATAATCAGTACACACAACAGCCCGGCGCTGTACGTGCGCCCTCGCCATACCGGACGCCGTCTCCTACCGAACAGTACAGCGTTGCCATGGGTCACGATGCGGGTGCGAACTTGAACCGCAAGTTCTCAGATCGCAAGCCTGTTCCCCCGCTTTTACCCAACCCGGTCTATGACCCTTACGCGCCCTTGGATGCATATGGCATGGGACACCACGCCCCGGCGAACGTTCATGCTAACCTCGTTCCTGCTGCGCCTGCCACCACTGCGCCCACACTGCCCGATACCTTTGGAGAGTCCAACCCTCCAATGCTCCAGGTTTGTCTTGCGATATCCCTCTGTCGTCAAGAGATCTCACAGTTCTTTTATTAGGTTGCCAACAGGTAACCTCGCACGGTCACTCCACCTACGATATACCCTGTTACCTGTTATCGGACACTGCTTGAATCCCGACGGTGATTGTCTTTGCTTCCTGTCACCGTCTGTTGCTCTACGATTCAAGTAATACTGCTTTTTCGAGTAGCTAATGTTTGTTATGTCTGCTCTCTTTTCTTGTTTGATCTCAGAGTTGCTGCGCAGTCCTGTGATTAGATCTACCGTTCATCGGAGTTTGCATGCAGGAGCATCGTGTCCTGGGACACGGTGTTTTGCATCCCATTATAAACTTGATGTTGATGTCTCGAGTTCAAGCATCATTGTATTGTTAGCACGCCCGATGAACTTGTGTAAATACTCGTTGATTTAGCGCTTTCGAAGGTTTTGAGTTCTAGTGGTGATGTTCTAAGAGGCGGCGCTGCTTTCTTGACTCTTTTCTTCTCGCCGCGCACCGCCTCGGTGCCGTTCCCGACGCTCAAGGTGCCATACAAGCCAAGTCACTGCAAGGGTGGCTGCGCATGTACAGATCATTGTAATCATCCCCTTTTTAAATCGGGGTGCGTCGGGCGCGGCATAGAACAACAAAGGCCACCAAGCATTCACCGCATTATTCCACATGCTAGAGTGAGCAGTGATGAGTACCACCATGAGCATCGGGCCGTCCGACTCACTTCATCGATGCGAGAACGACGGCTCGCTCCTGGTCATCACCCGCACAAACTTGATTGGCCCATCTGTGCGTGAATCGTCATGAGATCTAAATGCCTTTACAATCACGGTGGACTCACGCGAAGGTCGTCGCTTGCCCTGCGTACGCAGCGCCTGCGAGGTCTGTGTTTGCATAATGTTACCCCATGTGACGTGAGCAAAATGCAAAGGGTCGCACAGTATGCAAAGAATTTGAGTCCTATCGGGCTGCTCCACACCAAAATGCAGATAGCTGCAATAGTACAACAAACACACATGTAGACAAGGACGGGCCACCGAGCACGCGTGTAGTCTGTCCATGTTGCGCAAACGAGAGTAGACACGATGCCAAACGCAGTCACCCCCGATGGATAATAATCTGACAATATTAACTGTTGAGTCGTGTTGTGCCAGAGCCGAGTTCGTTACTCACCAACTTGCTCGACAGTGAACCCGCCTATTGCTGACAGCCATTGTCCCATCAAGTTATTCGAACCGAAACTTTCAACTTCGCCAGATATGCCGAACTGACGTTGATTAGCCTGAGCACTATGAACGTTTAATCTCGACCTACTAGCAGGCTGAAGCCATACCACCTCCAACGACTAAGAACTCTCTTAAAGAGGTTCCACGAAAGCTTATGATGAACGGTATCAGAGTCGAGGCGTTCGTAGGCCAATAAACGTTCCTGTACAGCAAAGCTTGAAACTCGACATTCGAAAGGAATGGCGTGACCGACCTCGTCTTTCAGGTAAAAGGCCCTTGTAGTGGCAGGGACATCCGGAAAGACAAAGAACCCGTACAAAGCGATTGGCAAAGTGATAATGCCGTCGATGATGAACCTGTCAGACTATCGCATCAGTCTTTCTGCTTATGTATGTGTCATGCACCCACGCACAACCATCGCCAGCCGCTGCGTCCATCAACACCATTAAGATTTCTGACATTTATTTTTGGATGAGATAATACGGCGTGGTGAAGAAAAGATCACAAACTGGTATACGGCCGCTTGGAGTACGCCAGAAAACCTGCGTTTGTGAAGTCACTGGATAAGGCAGAATGATTTCACGTACAATGTCCCAATCAGACCAGAGCTGGTGAATATACCTGAACGTTTGCCGAGTTCGCCGGGTTTGTACCATCTGTAAAATATACATGGGATGTGACTCCGCAAGGTAGGTGTACTTACACTCACGATCCGAGGATGTAATGCGTCCCTACAAATGTCGACGCCTCTGACATCCCTTGAAAGAAACGTATGACATAAAGCTAATGCCACAGGTTGAACACATGTATTCATGCATGACCGAAATTGCAGACCTGTTGTACGCTGTGAACCGCACTTGAGCTTTTCGACGTCAGATCACTCCTTGTCTGGTGTTTCGCCATTCTTACCAAAAAGTCAATACTCCCCAGATGATCTGCATTGTCGGAAACCATATTCTCGGCGGCACAACTTGCAGCATCAGGTTGTCTGTACAAGTGTAACTCAGATGACATAGGAACAAGCTAAATGGCCATTCGCACTGGGAATCATGCCAACGATATATCCGCATGTAAAGATGGTGTTGATCCGCTGCGGGAAAGTTAAGGCGTGGATCAGGGAGCGAGAGCTCAATACTTCAGTACGGACATTGAATTCGTTCCCGTACATGTTGAGGTCCTGTTTCATCCCAGAAACGTATGCATTATTGACATTGGCGCGATCAAGATCTTGAGATCATGAACAGGGAAACGAGGTGGTAAAATGAGAAAGACCGTCTGTAGATTCAGCACACGCGTTGATATATAAGCCCAACTTGCCGAGAGTCGTCAATAATACCGGACGCACCTAAGGGCAGAGGGGCTCTCGAGTGCTCACAGTTTGTAAAGTACTGCATGTGATTGACAAATGTGCGTGGAACGGGATTTTTAAACATGAAGGCACAAGAAGCATGCATGTACACTGACCATGAGGCAACAATAAGAAAGGATGAACCAGTCGAGTTTCAGAAGGAGCGTGCGCTCCTCCTTCGAGGAAGGCACTTCCCCCCATACAAACTCCCTTATCTTTCGCCAACTTAGCATGGCGAAAGCACGTGAGATCGGCTATGAGGGATTGTGCAAGGAGCAGAATCCTAACGCATACAGCTGTTGGTACTTGTTGCCACCAGACTTGACTGGAGTCGCCGCAAAGACCAAGTTGCAAGGGAGACCGAGCAGGACCGAGCTTAAGTGGACGAGCTCCTGGAACGCCCTGCACAGAAGGACAATTGGATTTCCGAGATTCCAGTTCCGCGGTTGTTTTCAAGGTCAGCGGCTGTCAGATTCGGTGGTTCGGTGCAAGTCGTCCATGTCAGCCGCGGCGACGCGAACGCACGGCCGTCTTGCTCTTAAGCTTGTTGATCTCATCCGTTGGAAAAGCCACTAACGCACGATTATCCTCGGTTCCCGGGCCAAATACCTCATGATCAAAAACCTGATTATGATTCACCCGATTTGATCGTCTTCTTTCGTATGTTAACGCTGCTAAGCTGCAGCACTTCGGACCTATCGGCGGTGCAGTCAACTCGAGCTCAGTTAGCTAGTCTACCAATGCCCGAGGTAGTCCCCCTTGCAGATCTTGATACATGCTGCCTGAGGACGGCGGTGCTGTAACTACCCGAGGTCTTCCCCCATCCGCTCTGCTACGGAAAGATAGGTATGCAATGTCGACCGATATAAACTTGGCTTGGTCTGAGGCTCGGTCTGCACTTGTGGGAACTCATCATCTTATGGAGGGAGTTCAGATCATGGAACATCGTAGAACTTTTGGTTTGCTCAGACTTTGACTCAGGCGCGTCATCGGATATTCGGATAGATTACGACGCCCTTTCTTTGTCAGTTCAGCCGTCAGCGAGCGTCTCCGTCTCGCGGGCTAGAATGTATTATCTGCACCTGCTGACTCTGGGACCGGGGCAAGGCTCGTGCAATGACTGAGCTCAGATGAAACACCTGTCAACTCGGGTTTTGTTTTGCATTTTTATCTTCCCTTGGCAAAGGGAGAGTGGGCGCCTGCACGCGGGATCCCTATTCTACTGGAGTAAAGTATTACCAAATGGTAATTATTGTACCAACCTGGGTTACTGTCTGTTACAAATCTCGACACTGACTTATCCTATTTAGGTTCCTTGAAGGGAGGAAAGGTGAGCAGTGGGAATGCATGTTCCAGCTTGATGGATATCGGGCTATCGGACCAACAGGATCAAAAGCATGAGAACGGCTATGCTGGCACAGACAGACTCTGGGAACGGCACCGGGACGGCACGAGGATAGTACGAATGAGAGCGAGGAGGATGTCGATTTTGCCGTATAGAGATTTCGAATTCGGAACCGGACATGCTGCACCAGGGACCAGTGCTGATGTCAGAAATCCCGATGACGGAATAGCCCGAGCGTAAGACCGCCTCGAATCCCGATCTCATAAACATATATTATGTGCCCATTCACTTCGCCATGTTCAGCTCCTTTGCCTGATCCTTGCCCTCCCGCCGATCCCGAAACACAAGTGTGCTCCAAGCATGCCTTCCCGCCCGCTTGCGGTAGCTGCCACTGCCGCCCTCGTGCTACTCTTCTTTGCTGTTACCCCTGTCTCTGCTGATCTACAGGAGTCCCCTCGGTCTGCTGTCTCATCCTTCCTAGCCAAGCGCGATGACCACATGCACCACCATGGCGCCCCTCTACTGGAGATCAACGAGACTGAAATCTTACAATTGCACGCCCCTACCCCTCCGTCGTACTACACGAGCGACTTTGAGGACACTAATCCCGATACCCCTCGCTACCCTGCCCTCATCGCTCTCCACGTTGTTTTCATGACCTCAGCCTTTTTCTTCGCCCTCCCAGCACGTAAGCAATGAGCAATTTCCGCGTGCACTTGTCATCTAATCACGACGTTCGAAAATTGTTCAGGTATAGCACTACGTTCAGTGAATCATTCTTGGACAGGGCTGTCCGCTCTGGCATTTTATGGCTTGAATGCACTTGGTTGCGCTGCGAGCGGTCTGTACAGAAAGCTGACTCCGGATATGTGAGTGAACGCCGAAAGGGTCTCCGATCATTTTGCCTCCATTAAGAGCATTTGCTGACTACCTGCTCCATTCAAGGTACGAGGGCGCCAAACATGCCTCACACGGATATGTTGTCCTTTTCCTAAGCCTTGCTCTTTCGGCAATCGACATCACCGCGTTTTTCCTCCGCCTGTATCAGCATATCCGCCGCGGAGAGAAAGTGTCCATGAAATCATTCTGGCGCCGCATCATCCTCGGACGCGATGATGATTTCGCCTCCTCTTCTGAGTACTTGGGTCTTGTTTCCGAAGAACCAGACGAGTACGAGGACGTGGCAATGAAGCCTTCCAGGGTGGCAGATACCGCTATTCCCTTACACGTACGAAGGGATCAGGCCATGGAGCCGTTGAATCTTGCGGATCCAATGGAAGAGGGTCACTGGGCCACTGAGCATCGCACAGGCCCTCATCATCGCATGCAGTCTGCATCATCGGAGAGAACGCTGTTTGGCCTTCATTCTCCCAAGGATTCCAGACAGTCGCAAGACACCTTGCACGACATCTCCGCGCCCAATCACATTCGCCCTTTGTCTTTGTTTTCAAAGATATCCAAAGTAGGGGCAATTGCATATAACCTGTTTGAACGCGGTCTCGTCTTTGCAGGGTTCGGCATGATGCTGACAGGGATCGTGGTTTATACTGGTGGTTGCCGCGAGAACTACGTCAATGGATGCCTAGCCCATCTGATCAGTGAGTATTTTTGACGTGTTTTCTCATCGCTGGCGCTAAACTAGGTGCAGAGGGCGGCATCTTCTGGTGCTATGGTATCGTCACCTTTGCTCGATTCCTTGGATCGTTTTCAGAGCTCGGATGGGCGTGGAACATCTCCCCATCAGGAGATGGTGTCTCAGCTGAATTCGTAGAATCGCTCGTCATTTTCCTATACGGCATCACGAACACTTGGATGGAACGGTTTGGCGCTCATGCTGGCGACCCTTACACTACGAAGCAAGTGCAGCACATCAGTATTGCGGTGGGTTTCCTTGAATGCTGATTGTAGTGTCATGATCCTGACTGTGATCATAGGTGATGTTCTGGTTTGCTGGTCTGGTGGGTATGGGCATTGAGTCAAAGCGCGTTCGTCGCTGGCTGGCGGCGTCCGCTATTGCCTCATCTTCCGCTCGAAGCGAAGCGGAGGTTTCGGAACCACCGAGCTACCGGGCTAGCTTCAACCCCTTCCCTGCGCTCGTTATTGGCGTCACTGGTGCCGCTATGAGCGCCCATGCTCAGACTTACCTCTTCCAGGTAACAATGCTTCTTTATCAACCCTGTCCTTTGCTCACCCCAGATCACCAGGTTCAAATCCATCAGCTCTGGGGCTGGCTTCTCCTTGGCTTTTCTGCGCTGCGCTGCCTCACATATTTCTTCCTTTGGTTGGGACCACCGCGCTCCATCCTCCCTTCGCGTCCACCGACGGAGGCCCTCGGCAGTTTCTTCCTCGCTTGTGGGGGGCTCATGTTCATGTTTAGCACGGAGGAGGTCACACTTGCTGCCATGCGCAGGGGTCGTGATGGTGAGATCGCCACTCCGATTGCATCGATATTTGACTAATCTTAGCATAGATATGATGATGTTCCTCAACGTTGCCGTCGCAATTACTTGCTTCGTCTTTTGCTGGGCTATGGGTGTGGTATCCTTCAAGGGCTGGCTCAGGTCTCGAACTGCCCTTTCTTCCTACCAAAACCGATCCTCGCCGTCCACCCCTTAAACCTTCTTTTAGCTCTACTCATTCTATATCAATGCCCCCGTTTTTCTTTCATATAGAGTTAGGTCCCGCTCATTCATTTCCCCCCGCAATTAGTTCTTTTGGGATCTTGCCATGTTCCGTCACGACACAATTTGTATTTTGTCCCTCGCATATTTTTACTGTACCACCCCCAGCTTTTGCGGGACAGCCATGTCCTATATTCAATGCTTTAGTTATGACAATGCCACACTTCACTCATTGTTACTCCTAGCTGGATATCTAGGCAAGTGCCATTAGGCAGTAATCACCTAGTGCACCCATCCAAACCCAGAATCCCGACCATCCGCACCCGACGAAGCCTTTCCAGCAGCTAGGGCGGCTATCAAAGTCAGTCTTCCATACAACACGCCCAAGCTGTAGGGCCGCTGCTGTGAGGCCCAGGTAGAATACGGGTCCCTGGGCATTCATTATGCCACTGTAGCCGATAAGAGAAACAGTCGATGCTGAGAGCCCCGCAAGGATGGGGCGCGTGTTCTCGCCAAAGAGGCGGGCAGTAGACCGGATACCGATCTTGGCGTCATCAGTTTTGTCCTGCATGGAACAGTCAGAACGTCAACCTGAATGAGTCTCACGGGAACATTACTTGATGGGCGTAGATGCTGTCGTAGACGAGCGTCCAGCAGACACCGCCGGCATACAGTGGGAGGCAGACTGACCAGTCTACAGAGCCTGCTACTGCTGACCAACCGAGCATTGCGCCCCAGTTGAACGCGAGACCTATAGCAAAGCGTTCAGTTCAAGTCATTCGAATCATGTCGAGCGAGATAACCTAGGACAGCTTGTGGCCAGTCGGTGACGCGTTTCATTAAGGGGTAAAGCGTGACCACCGACAGGGAAGAAGCTCCGAGCAAAATGCTGCGACTGTGTTTAGATGTGCACAACGCAGGTATGAAAGCCGGACAGACGTACCTATACCAGTTCAACTGCAGCAACACGCCCAGACCTACACTCAGCTGGGCACCGAGGAATGCCAGCGCCTGCCTCGACGTGATGTCTCCACGGGCCAAAGGGCGGTCCAGGGTCCTGGCTGCAAGTACCCGAATCGTTGACGAAAGTGCTCGTGATAGCAGGGGGAGTAGGGTACTCACCAACGGACTTGTCTAGATTCCTGTCCCACATGTCATTAATGGTGCATCCGGCACCGCGCATGATGAGCGCTCCGATACCAAACAAGCCGAGGTAAGTCAGCGGCGTGCTGATGGGTGCTTGCAAGGCGTATGAGGCCATCGTGATAGACCATGCTAGGGTTGGGCGGGTGAGCCTCTTTTCAGCGGTACGAGCGCGTATAACGCGTACCACATGGGTAAAATAGGAGCAGTGTTCCAATGGGTTTGTCGATCCTGGTGAGAGCAAGATATGGACGTGCTTTCGACGGAATTTTGTCCAGCCAGGTTGCGGGAGGTGGACGTTGTTGGTCGGATACACTGGTGATGAATCGTTGCTGAGACGCGCTTATTCGCGAACTATGGTATGGCCAAGGCTGTAGTACATGTCGCCCCAAGAAATTAGCTTGGGGCTTCTGGCTTGACCATAGTCTCCGGTGGAGAGTTGCAGAGCACTGACGGGACGCGAGGAAGATCATGTGAAGACAAAGTACGTCGCACGTACGTACATACAAATCAGGACTGTTGATGAATAATATACAAATTGGACGGGTTCAACGTGAAAGAAACACCAAACGTCAGGGGAAGTAAATGCACCAGCTATGAACGCAAGGGGAGGTATGCAATTTGTGGCATGCAACTATCATAAAAAAAGTCGAGGTCAAATATAGCCCTTCACCACTCCTTCGCGAGCTTGAATGCCCAATCCCAGTCTAGCCCCTACGTTAGTAATGCAAGGCAACAATACGGCTTACAACACTTACTAGCGTAGATCTCGCCATCGTCGTCAGTAACCCGACTAGTGACATTGTAAGTACCAGTTCGTGCAACCATGCCTGAAGGTGATTCTTCGGGATCAAAGTTCTTGATGTAAGGTTCGTTCTTAGGATGAGGTCCATACGAGCCTAGCATCTGTTCCAACTTGTCGACTGGAAGTAAAGGTGAGTCCAGATAGACATGTCCAAAGCATATCCCACTTGCCTTTGATACCGGAACGCTTGACCACTTGAATATACCTGACGCCAGAGACGATCGAGTGGTTGACCTTGAACGTGATGCGAACACTGGATGGGCGTCAGAAGCACGTCTCAGAGACAATCGCTCAGGCTTACTTGTACTCAATACCCTCCTTGATCGTGATCGGGTTTTTCTTGAGATCGGCCAGCTTTCCGTTATCCGACAAATCGAAGATGAGTTTCTTGCCTGCAGGCAGAGTCGGGGAGTCAAGCTCAAGAGTAAGCACTGAAAGCTAGAGGATTTTGAGTCGAGTCAAAACCTCATGTGCTTTTTGTTTGGAGGAGAAAGCAAGGGGCATTCATACCTTAGGACCACTGGCAACACCCTGAGAGCCATCTGCATTAAGGCCCAGACTAGCCTTCCATCTGTTCAAGCTCTCGTCGTTGGCATCCAACTGAGCGTATTCTTCTGCAGTCTTAGCAACACTTGGCTTGTAGCCTTGACAGACGTTAATAAATTGTTCGGCACGACTGAGCCACCGAGCGCCTACTTACCTGGGGTGGCGGTGGGCTTGAGATCATCCTCTTCAGGCTGTGAGACTTGTTCAGCATGGAAGGAACAAGGATACATCAAAGAAAGAGACTGACGTTTCCGGACATTGCTGGGGTCGTAAAAGGGTGAGGTGAATATTCAAGCAGGGGTCGATGTGAGGACGATGTGTAAGTATACTCGTCGCGGCTGCACTAATAAGTCTGGGCGGTGGGGCAGTCAGCGGAGGAGATAGTAACTTGGGAGTTATCGATTTCTCACGAGTCGCATGTTGCCGATTATGTGGAAATGCCACCTGAGCAATGAGTATACTGCCCAATTCCAGGGTGGCGCAAACTGCGAACCCACGCCCATCGTACTCTGCACTGTACATTCGTCGGATTCAAAAAGATCAACATCTTTGCACGCTCGAGTGCCTAAAGTCAGGCTGACACATGTACAGCCACAAGATAGGCTAGCACGGCGCGACTGTGAGAAAACATTACGTGGACGCGACAAGTTCGCGTTCTGGTTCTCAGTCCCTTACTTTGCCCTACATTACAACGCGAAACATTCCTATTGTTTGACGATTCCTTTATGGCTGACCTCTACTCTTCGCTCAATGTATCACCAAAGAAAAAGCGCGCACTCAGCCCCGAGGACGAAACTGTGATCACCCCGAAGAGAGTCAGAGCAGCGTACGTTGTGGTTCGTTTTGCTTCGGACGCAGTAGTGACATCAGTTCACTCAGTCCGCCTACTCCCCCGCCTACCAAACACAAAGGCACATACTCTAAACCGCCTGCGCTACCCTCCCATTTATCACGACTACTTTCTTTCCACTCTGCTATTCAACAGTCCCTCTCTCACGCACTTGCAACTTGTGCCGTCTCTCCCTCCGAGTCCGGCATTGTTCGCAATGTCCTAAACAACATATCCATTACCACCTACTCTGGCTTTTCCTCCAAGTTCGAACCCGACGATCTCAAGCGGCTCTGTTGGCTTTGGGAATGGGACGGCAAGACATTCCCCAGCGCCCAGCACGCGAGTCCGCCTGATGACGAAGAAAACCCTTTTCTCGACTCCAAACCCTCGTCCAATGATTGGACGAGAGGCTCTATGGGCTTAGTAGTGACCCCGACAAGCCACTTTTCCAAGTCAGTAGGCAAGCGAGTACCCGTCTACGGAATAGGTATCGAAGTGCAGATGGACATCGACAAGGACATGCCTGGCGGAATGGCTGCTGTCGCGCGATGGACCGCGGACTCGGAGAAGCGATGGATACAGTTCAAGTCTAAGCTCGAGAGCTGGGTCAAGGTATTTGTCTCAACCTCTACTTTCCCAATGCCTCGTTCACCCGACTCTAGCATTTCTCAGACACGTCTCCATTGCCATACATTCCTTTGGCAGATCTCCCAGAACTCAAGGCCCCCCATAAAGCGTCTGCACTCACCCGCGTCCTCGCGACTGCATCTCCGAAGGGCATGGCAGCCTTGTCGGGCATGGTACCAGCAGAGCCTTCGTCTCCGAGCCGGTCACCGCGCAAGAAGCTAAGATCTGACGACAACTCTGCTGTTCCATCTCCAACGAAAGCCAGATTATCACAGACGAATATAATCGCTTTCCCGAAGACACCCACCACTCAACGCATTCTGCCCAAAGAAGAAAATGGCCTCTTAACGCCCAAGACGCCTGCGCGAACAAGAGATGACAGTGACGTTAGTGTGTCAGGAGTTTCAACGCCAGTTCATCAGCGAGGACCCGAGGCAGAGACGGCGCCAAAGACCCCCAGCACCTCACGACGACAGGCACTTTACGAGCGGATACGCCATAAATCTCTCACATCCACTCCGAGCAAACCGAAGAGCTCAGAAGTACCGGGCAGTAAGCTTACAAGAGAGCAGATTCAGAAACTTGGTCAGGATGAAATCCGCCGTCGTTGTCTTCTTGGTCGCCTAGGGGGCGTGGCAGAGAGCATATGGATGCAAGTCTAGGATTCATCGAGAAGTGCTTCACTAACTCACGCGTTATGTCATGTAGGTTATTCTCTTCACCGGTAGGTTCCTCAGCAATGACAAAGACCACCCGGAAACGGAAAGCTTTGCCTTACTCCGAGGTCGCCGCCAAGATCATCAAATCATCTCCTGTGCCTATGTCTATCTCTGAAGCAGCAGAGTCAATCAAACTGTTGACCACCCTCTGCCCATTCTTCTTGAGAACGCTGGACATCAAAGGCGAAGACTGGCTCGAGATGCCGCAGATGAACTCTTCGCAGTCCGAGACAGCTGCGGCTGAAACCAGCAGAAACCTGATGTTGCCTGCTCCCCCACACAGCCCCAAGGGTCTGAGCATCCCTGTCAAGCTCCCGGACCCCTCAAGCCCGGGTCCCAGCAGGCTCAAGCCACCCCCCAGCCCTGGCAAGCTCCCGAACCCATTAAGCCCGGGGCCTAGAAAACTCAAGCCTCCCCCGAGTCCAGGGATGATTCGTGACATAGCTGAGGAGAGTTTGCTGAAGAGCCCCCGAAGGGTCAAGCGCGAAGCTGGCGGTCTGCGAGAAGTTCGAGAGATCATTAGGAGGGAACTAGAAATTCATGACTAAATATCTACTTGCTTATTTACTTACCACTCCTAACTATTTCAATTTGTTTTGTTACATCGTTGTTACCCTGTACCCCCTTTTCTATCATCACGAAATGCGATACCTCGACTTTGTCCATGGAATCATTACCAGCCGTAAGCAAACTATCAATCGGAAGCACTGGCATTCATACATGGGTATTGGTATAATTAATCATTCACGCTACATTTCCCGACCTCACTGCAGCCTCAAAGTCGGTGCAATCAACGACCCTTCCTTCTCTCCGGCTTGCTTCCGCGGCGAAAACCGTAAGGTGGCTACGGAGAACCTCACTCGCGTCCGTATCAAGGATCTTCTGATCGCCTGCTCGTACCGCTTCGACGAACGTTCTGATAAGTCCGGTGTCACCACCACCATGACCGCCGCCCTCACTCGCAGGATGATGCCGAGTTGTGTGGTTCGTACGGAAGTTCGTGACGGTGAACGAGCTCATGTTGCCCACGATCTCACCGTGCGTGAAATGTAGACGAGTTTGGCGATCGCAGATAAGATCCGTAAACGCGACCATGGTGAAGGAGACTGTTGCTCCGGACGAGAACTCGATATTGACGACCTGCGTACGTTGGTCAAATAAGGGTGCAGATTGCAGTTTCTGCAAGAACGTACCTGATTGTCACAGACGTCGTTGTTGCTTTCGTAAACGCATTGTCCATATGGACCCGTCTTGAGTGCATCAGTGATGTTTTCTATGTCGGGTATGCCATCCACAATGGTACTCGCTGGCCAATGCACATTGCCTCGGGAAACCGGGTTGAGGTATACTGTACCTAACGTTGAAACATGATTGTACCTAAAGAAGGACAGGGACACCTACTTTTCTTCCCGCTGTAGGGGCACTCAGCCTCCATTGGGCAATCTAGACATCTTGTCGCGTTACCAGCTTTTTCCGGTTTCTTCTCCTTGCGAAAGTGGTTTAAGGAGCCAAAGGATGACACCCGGGTTGGTGTGGCAGGAGTCAACCAATAGCACAGAACGTCTATGTCACTGCAATGTTTGTGAGTGAAACGTGGTTCGGCGGACTGCAGAATGTTCAAACTCGCTGGCAACTCTTGGTCATAAGTGAAAAGGACGCGTCCTCTTCTCGGGCCCAATGACCGCGAACGTATGAGTGGGCGAAGTGGTAATGGCCAACGGGCTCCAGGTGAGTGACATTGACAAGTTCTCCAAGTTCTCCGGAGCGAACGACAGCAGTCAAAGCCTTAGTATAGGGTGAATAACGGAGGACTGCATACAACATCTTGTTCAGTTTCAATATCATCAACCTAAAGGTGATGACTTACCATGGCCCATGCCAAAGATGACTCCAGCATCCCGGACAGCTTTCTCCATCCTTAGACAATCGTCGATAGAGGTTGCCATAGGTTTCTCGCAGAGTACATGATATCCTTGAGCGGCGCAAGCTTCAGTAACCTCTCGATGAGCATGATCGTGAACGGCCACTATAACGGCGTCCGCTAAGCGCCGACCAACTGTCTTGATCGTATCAGCGGAGGCACTGAGGAGTTCCTCCCAGGTGTTGAATACAAGGGTCGCGTCAACTCTGTGGGCCTTGGCAAATATCTCGCGTGTCTTGGGACGAGGCTCGGCCATGGCTACGACTCGACACTTGGTGGGGTATTTCAGTGCATATTCTGCATAATTCTGTGAAAACCGGGTTCATCGTCGCGTTAGACTTGGTCAGGGTGCCACAAGTTGCGCGACATACTTGACCGCGCTGGCCACAGCCTATTACAGCTAAAGTGACAGGACGAGAAGAATCTTGAGGATCTCCAGGCATGGTGAGTGTGGTCGATGATATGGGTGAGGTGTGATTAGACAACGGATGGATGCCCTAGGTCAGCTAATCTTGCTAGTTTATATATGTGCCAAGAGTGACTCAAATCGGGACTGCGGTCTGCGCATGCGACGTGGGCTTGGCTGCGCAGCGGCGTGTTGACTAGTTACAATGTATCGGCGGGGAGAGCAGGGGAGAGCGTGTCACCTGTCCATGTCAAGCGTGTTTGATCGGCTATTGGGCGCTAAACCTAGCGCTCAGGAACACCGGCGCTTGATATTACGGAGCCGGCCCGAGTGGTCCGGGTGGAAAGGTGACGCGCTCGTTTTACGGCGCGTCCTGGCGCGCGTCTGACCGAAATTCGTATATGCCTCGTCTCATCCCTCGCCTCGTAGAGCGTATACGCAATGCACCCATCAAGAGACCCTCATCGCTACCACAAGCAACACGGAGGGAGAGGAAGCCTGCTTTAGACGGTAATGACGTCTTCAGCAATGGGAGTGAAAACTGGACACGGTCTTTACTGTTGAATCCCGCTTACCCGACCATGTACGATCTACCTTCACGTCGACGTATCACTAGACCATGGTCTCGACGTGCGGAAGCAGCTTATGACACTGGAGAAATGCAAAGCGTTCCTGACAGTGAGAGGCAATGGTGGTCTAGCCCATATCGTACGCGTTCATTTTATTCGGTGGACACGTCGGCTTCGCTCACTGATGTGTAGTCAGGATGCTATCCAGTCCCATACGTATATGCACCGTCACTCGGCGTTATTTTCCATCAGGTCAGAAAACCAATTACTATCAATGGGCAGTTCCAGCCAACAACCTTTCGCAGATCTTTTAGTTCGCCTGGCGCCGTTCCGGAACCCTTTGGCCAAACCATCCCTTACGGAAAGCCACTTCCTGCCTGATGGACTTGAGCACCCAAAGTTCTCCGTCCGAGAAAACAGGACAGCAATTTATGTGCGGTGCCATAAAGCCGCGTTTGATGATTTTGCAAACCGGGGTGAGCCTTCTCAGCATGAAATCTCCTGCAAGCTTATCCGTCATTAGCAGCGTTGAGACGCTTCGCGCCAAATCCTAAGGTACACGGCTCTCTCAAAATACAGATAGGCCATCTCCTTCGACTACGTGTTTTACAAGAGATCAAAGTGCTTGCGAACACACTTCGCTCCAACCGTCAGGCCACTTTGTCTGGACCAGTCCTGAGGCGCTTGACTCGGAGCGAATGGGAGCAGGTGAAGGCAACCGGTTCCGTGCCCTTCAAAAATGCAATAGCTATCATCGTCGCTCCTCCACCCAACCGAGACCCAAAGACGAAACTTCGACCTCAGCCTTGGTGGCAGCCAACCCTTCCGGATAGCCAACTGGCCATTCTTCAAGACTCAGCGTCACAGCCTTCCCTACCGTCCCTCCCTCCAGTTTCGGAACTCCTTGCTCACGTAAATAATAGTAGCGGAAGTTTGGACGAGATTCCTAATGTGGTCCCGAATTCTCGAGTCCCACTTTACAACGCTACATCTCTCTGCCCTCTTCCTGGACACCGTGCGGCACTTCACGAGGGTCTGAGCGACATCCTGAATACTGAACGCCACAATCGTCGATTCGTGGACCTCAGCGAAACGCTTGAAACCACAACCTCTTTGGTGACTGGGCCTCAAAAGAGTAGTCATGCTTTCCTACTTCGCTCGGACGAGGATACGCTCACACGCGCGGACCCTGTGCCCTTAGCCATCGCGTTGTGGAGAGTACGATTATGGGAAGGAGAAGCAGAGAACCAAAGCTACGAGGATGGCTGGGAGATGGGCGCAGGATGGCGCAGGCAATATGCAGCAACGGCACTTTAAGCTTTAAGCCTCGAAGTGTGGGCATTCGTAGTCATGCTCCCCTTGTTTGATACCTCATAGTCACACATGATCGAGTCCAAGTAATGATATTACAATCTTGTGTGCAAATGCTTTCTTGCATGCAAGCTTAGTAAACTCTACTCAACAGCCATCGGCACGGGGTCGGGACCTCGTGTTGAACTAAACTTCCCGGTCGGTTCAGCAAGGACTTCACGGCCCTCCCAGAACTTGGGCAGCTGATCTCCAGGGACGAACAACCGCTCAACACCATCCTCAGTGATGACACACATGCGAATCACACCGCCAGAGGAACCATCTCGCGACATGGCCAGGGAGAGAGCTGGACGACAAGGTTAGTTAGGGAACTGTTGACAGATACATTACACTGACTGTTCTTGACAAACTCGACGGTTTCGTCCCGGCCCCAGCCATCCTTATAGGTTGCGTCACAGTAACCATAAACGTAAGTTGAGCCAGAGCCTGATTATCGTCAACTGTTGAGATCTAGAGAATGACGGAGACGTTCTCTACCTCCAATGGCCCACGGTTGGCGGAACAGGCCACCACCTAGAGGGATGTTGTACACACTTGGGCCAGCTTCTTTGTCCCATCCAGCGACAATTATTCCCGCTGAAAGAGCGTCTTTGTTCTCATAGCAGATCTTCTGGAAAACTGAAGCGGCGGAATGAACGGGCGGGAGCGAGTTGTATTGTTGCCTAAGGCAGGGGATCGAATTACATGATTATTGAAACAGGGAAGCACGAACTTACGTATACAGCTGAAGATAGTAATGGACCATGTCCGCAACGGCCTGCGTGTCTGCAGCGGATCCCGATCGACAGCAGTATATGCGATCATGCACATGCGTAAGCTTGTCTGTGACACGGTTGGCCTACAATCCGATGTGAGGGAAAAAAGAAGATATGAGGTTGCGCGATCTTACAATGTAGCTGCCGGTCGTTGTCCTACTGTCCGCGCCAATGACGACGCCCTTGTCGAACTGTACGGCCATGATAGATGTCTATGGCATAGGTAAGCACTCAGACGATCCTAGTATAACTCATCAGCAGCTTACACCAAGGTTGACCTCCCCGCTCTTGAGCCTGTCCATGTCAATTCGGTCCATGTTGTGCGATGATTGTGAAGTTGTGGTAAAGACACTGAGCGAGGTGTCGGTGGAAGACAGGAGCAAGCTTAAGTGCGGGTGGCAAGCAGGTGGCGGAAGAGGATGACGCGTCTCGACGCGTACTCGCTTGATAACTCGCTCACTCTTACCCTGTATCCATAACACACTTTTCCGCCATGGCATCCCAACTTGCAACGCTCTACAAAGAATTACAGCGTGCGTTCGATTCGAAGCCGTCAGACCTCAAGAAGTGCGGAACTCTGCTATCTCAGCTTAAGGCATGGGCATTCTCTCGAACATGTTGCTACTGTCTGACTCTCTACAGATCGGTCTTATAGAAGCAGGACTTCTCCTCCCTCAGGGAGACCCTAATCCTCAGGACTTGGCCGTTGCTCGTATGAGAAACGTCTTTTGACAATCTCTCAACCCGTTCAAATAATTCTACAGGTGATATCCTCGAAATCGGGGCATTCTGGAGTATACGAGCCAAGGATGTCCCGTCATTTGACCGTTACTTCTCTCAACTGTGGACGTTCTATACCGACTATAGGTGCGTAGGATGCTTAGATCGTGAATGTGACTGACGCTCGTTCAGATCCGTACTCCCTCCCTCAAAACGCGAGTTTCCCGTGCGCGGCTTGAACCTCATTCGTCTGCTCACTCAAAACCGCATCGCCGACTTCCATACCACTCTTGAATCACTTCCTTTGCCGTCCGACGAAATAAACTCAAACCCTTACATCAGACATCCCGTGAACCTCGAGCGTTGGTTGATGGAGGGAAGCTACAGCAAGGTGTGGAATGCTCGCGAAGAGGCACCCACCGAGGAGTACAAGTACTTCATCGACAGTCTGATGGGCACAATTCGGTATGAGAGACTAGTTCGTTCTGAAAACTTGGCTTACTATGACATATAGGAATGAGATTGCTCGCTGCGAAGAAGCTGCCTATGAGACTTTGCCCCTGAAGGATGCCGCCACTCTCTTGTTCTTTACCTCACAATCCGAACTTCTAAGGTTCGCTGAGCAGCGGGGATGGGAGATCAACCTGACCGCAGGGACAATCTCTTTCGCCCGCAAGACGAACGAGCAGGAAGCGATACCCAAAGACAAACTCATCGTAGCCAATCTCTTGTACGCTCGTGAGCTAGAGCAGATTGTTTGATTGTTGTTACACAAGGGCACTTGTCATCATTTGCCCAGGATTATAGCGCAATGCAAGTGTACATATCCAGACATGTTTCATTAATGGCATTACTCGAAGTTTTCTAGCGCGTCCTTGGCCTTCTGCTCTGCCTCTTTGAAGAGATCTTTTGGCACGGGAAGGTGAAGTCCTTTAGTCTCATCCCCGATCCATGACATCTCCAGTTCGAATTCCTTCTCTTTGGCATCGTCGTGCACGAGATAGATGCTACAACAAGGTTGAGCACACAGGTATAAAAGATCGCGACACACATACATGCGAGCGGCCTCAATCACAGCTTCTCGTGTCGAGAGTTCTGAGAGTTTCAGCTTTTCGAGTTCGGTCTTAGCCAATTGCTTTCCCTTGCCCACCGCCGCTCCATGGTACCCCTTGATGAGCTCATGAGCAGGTTATTCGATAGCATACGATTGATACACACGTAAGTTACACCACTCGGCTCCACGATATAGAGTGCTGGTCCATTCTTGTCCACGCTACCAAGGATGGTGCTGATACCGAAAGGCCGCACGGATGAGTACAGAGTGTATGCTTGTGCATATAGACCCAGACGATCGGCCAGATCCTAGAGAAAAATGAATTAAGGATAATCAAAAGACGCTCACAAACCGCACCTTGAGTGTTACTGGTGCATTCCACAACTGGCGGAAATTGGCAGCTTCGTCACGGGCTCGATTGGAGACGTTGCGACCGTCTGCGAGGAGTCCAGCTGTAGCCTAGTAATGGGAGTCAAACACAAGCATGAAGTAGGAGGATACCTACTTACCAAGCCGATGTGTTTGTCTATTGTCTGTATTCTTCGATTGGCCCCTGGCACGAGGAGCTTGGAGTGAACTAACTTCTCAACGGCAAGCACCACTCCGTCCTTGACGCGCAAACCAATGGCAGTCCTAAGAATGGGTTGTCAATAATGTTCGATAAGGCAAAGATCGCATGCAATACCCTGAGTTCTCGACTGCCTTGTTGGCATACTCGACCTGATATGATGGTATGAGTGACAACAGGGCCTACGGAGGCGGGGCGTGACTGACCTGAAATATGCGGCCGTCAGGGGAGTAGGTACTGGCCGATAGATCATAGCCTGTTCCGATGGACGTCATGATGGGAGGAGAGAAGGTGAGAGGGTGACCTAGATTGTAAGCACGAAACTGAGTACATGCAACGCGCAAGCCCAGGAGGCACGGTACGCGTCCCCGATCGTGAGAACATAGCACCATAATGGGCGACATAGCAAACGCGCTCCCAGAAGGTGGTTTGGGGAGACTCGCGTTTGGCGTCCAAGGCAAGTAAGTCACAATGAACCAGGACAGCTGGTCAACTATTCTCCATGATCATCCCATCTTCTCCGTGTCGAGCAGCAATGCCGTTCCTCAAGCTTCATCAGCCGTGGTGTCTTCCCAGCTCGTCTCCACTTCTGCCTCTGCAGATCACGCTCCATCCCCAAACAACTGCAGGAGACAGACAATGGTCCTCAAGGACGCCGACTTGATCGTCGCCGCTGGGACTGAACTTCGCATTACCTCGCTCTCTGACAAGAAGATGGACAAGAGCACGGGAAAGAGCTACAAGGTTCGGTCCAAACTACTTACACTACACCTGTACTTATAGTCGCTCACTCATTCAGGTCCTTCGAACGCCGAACATACAATTCAATGTTCGACAACTAGCTGTAAACGCCAGTGGCAAGCTTCTCGCTGTGGCAGGCGAATACGAACTTGCTGTCGTGGTCCTTCCTCGTGCAGGCTATCCGTCACATTCTCAGCCTTCCATCGACTGCAAGTCCGTTCTTCAAGCACCTGGGCGTGAACATGGTACTGACATTAAGCCTTGATTCAGGTCTATTCAAGTTGGTCAACTATATCATCAGACCAACTCTGCGCCAATAACCAAGGTTGAATGGCATCCGTGGGGAGAGGCGGGGTCTACACTCATGGTCTTGACTCTGGACGGGAAGCTCCGGTATATGTTTAGCCTCGTGGTTTCCTACAGAGACTAACGACTCTTAGTGAATATGACATCTCACTGGATCCAGATGAACCACAACAAACCCTCAGTTTCGCTCCTCAGAAAAAATCAAGATCTTACATGGCGGAGGATCCCGTAGAGCGAGAGGCCATTTCGTTTACCCTCGGCAGAGGTAAAGCAGACTGGGGTCCCCTCACTGTGTACACTGTCATGCGGTCTGGTGATGTGTATGCCATCTGCCCATATCTTCCCCGAAATGCGTAAGCTTCACCCCAAAATCCAGCTTGTATCTTATCTCACCGCCTCCGAAGTTATGTACCATCCTCTTACATTCACGCCTTGAACTGTTTCATCACGGCAAAACAAGAATTCCTACACCAAGAGCCATCAATCAGTTCCGGCTTGACCAGCATGTATGACTATCAACGGAAATACGTCTCCGCGCTGGTGAAACAAATACCCTCTGATGTTGCTTACCCGTCCACTGCTCAGTCTATATCCTTACGCCCACCCGCGATTATAAAAAGCAAACCGATGCGACAAGGACCCTTCTTGCTGCAGCCTTCTCCGAAGAATCTCGATGGTAGTGAAGGCTTTGATGCTACAGACATCGCCTACCTTGCCGTTAACAATGAGGACGATGACAATACAGATGGGCAGGCCGAACGTCTTGGGGTTGTTGTCATCGGTCATCAGGATGGAAGAGTCGACGTTTGCTTAGACGTTGAAAAGGTGGAAGCCAAATGGGAAAGTAAACAGGTGAGTTGCCCGATCAGGATCTCGAGGACGTTGACCGACGAGTCGCGTAGGACTCTGGAAGTGAACTTCCTATGTTTGCTGTGTACGAGACTATAGATCTTGGCCTGGTACTACTATCTAAGCAAATAACGGGCGACCGTCTGGACACTACAGCTCTGAGCAACAACCACCTCAACCTATCCTTGGATCCCATACATGACGATACAGTATACGCCTACCACTCGTTTGGTATCCATTCTCTGCAGTTCGAAGATTTGCTTCGGAGTTTGAACGATGCACTCCGTCAGGAGGGCGATGGACCTGAAGCCGACAGCGCCATGAAAAAGGCTGTTCAGAATTTTAAGCCCACTCGTGTATCTCAAATACAGACTACCGGCTCCTTATCCCGCAGGTATGGAGCTGTCCTCGTTTCTCATTTGGGTTCTTTAACCATTTGCTGTAGGCAGGTTGACCCGGTCATTGCGCTTTGTATCCCAAACGATGTCTACTTGTCATACAGCATGGTCACACTGACCTCGTCGATGAAAGTTGCCAATTTACCTCTGAGCTTGAGGACAGGAGTTTCTCAAGCTGACTCGCCAGATGTTGTTGCACCTCCCCAAACACCAAAAGCACTCATCGAAGCGCCGGCGCAAGCAGACAAAGAGAACAAGGAACCACCCGCTTATATTTCACTTCTTCGAGAGCCTTTTACGCCTCCCGAGGTACTTTCCGACCCATCTAGTCTTGCTGAGAGGCGTCAAGCTGCTATCACATCCTTACGCACGACAGGCGAGTTCATGCTCACACCTGACTCGTTGCGGGCTCTAGGAACAACGGTAGAGATTTTGACTGGCCAAATTTATGAAATTATCTTGGCCTACAAAGTCGTCAATTCTCGGGCGATCGTTCTCAGAGCAGAAGCGGACCGGCAGCAGGAAAAGGCTCGCGAAATGCTCAGCCTTTTGTATAAAATGAAGGGACCGGACTGTTTGGCATTGCAGAGTAGGATGTCGAAAGTTCAGGAGAACCACAAGACAATTTCGGCGAAGCTAGAGCGTACACTGAACGCTATGATAGCTAAGGCAGCGCCCGGACTGAGCGAATACGAGACAAGGTGGTTTGAGGAGCTGAAGAGGATGAAAGTGGAAGTTGCAGGACGGACGCGGTATGATGACGAGTCTTTGGCTTCTAGGGCTGCTGCGGTAAGTTTTTCCTCTTCATGACAGTTGTCGCGTCTAATGCAGCGATTTTCAAGCTCAAGCGTGAATACGACCGAATCCTACCGGGGCTCAAGAGCTTGACGGACAGAATGAACGAGAGGAAACCATACCTTTCACAAAATAACCACGAACTTGGCGTCTCGCAAGCTTTTGCATTCGGGGAGCAATCTAACTCGGAGTACGTTGTTACCCCCAACCTCATGAGTTGATCCTGACCATTCTCCAGGCGCGTCAGAATCGCAGACCTTGAGCAACAAATCTTACGCATGGGATCCAAGCTTGGCATTTCTGTAAGCAAGCCTCCAAGCTCTCGGCGGAATGAGGCGACCGTAAATAGAGATGAATACGAAAACTCTTTTTCATTGTAATACGCTACACCAATAGATCTACAGACAATCTGAGGGTGCCTAGTAGTACATATCGATATCTCGCTGATGCCAACTAGGTCATAGAGTTGTAGCCACATACATACATAGCAGTTTCTCTACCGATATCGACTTTACAACGCTTTGAATAATACCGCTGTGGGTTGTAAGTCGAGGGTTTGGCTTGGGCGGGAAGAGACGTCTCGGCGGAAAGTCGCGCCGCGCTCGCCACCTGCGCGTTACGGATCACGTGTACCGACTTGTTTCTCGCGCGTTCGCCTCGAGTTCAGTTATACCTACTCTACCGCGTTCGACCATGAACGGATTCAACTTTAACACCTCCTCTGCCCCTGGGTCAAACGCCTTTGCAGGCTTTGGTGGGACGAACAAGCCCGCCTTTGGGACACCAGGCGGTTCAGGCACTACCAGTAGCAGTGGAGCTGGAACTGGCACAAGTGGTACTGGCACGGGATTTAGCTTCGGTGCTCCTAGCTCCGGCGGAACGAATCTCTTTGGAAACACGACCAGCACCCCTGCTGCTTCAAACTCTGCTGGGACGGCTAGCTCAACTACGTCCAATCCTTCCCCTGGTCTGTTCGGTCAGCCTGCCTCAGGTGGTGCATTCTCTACGCCTGCTACGACGACACCAGCAGCACCGTCGTCTGGTCTATTCGGGCTTTCAAAACCCACTGACTCGAATGCTGCTAAGACCAGTGGTAGGATTGTTCCTCTCGCATACGACTCTCTGTTCTAAACTCAGTTCTTGATAGCACTTGGCGCGCCAACATCTTCAATACCGAGTGGTAGGAATCCATTGTTGTTCGCTAGCATATTCCTTTGACGGAGTACTCGGTTTGTCAGCGACGGCAGCCCCAAGTACTAGCTTGTTTGGTGGCTTCTCAAAACCGGCCGAAGGCGCTGCGTCAGGAACTACCACCCCTGCATCTGGCGGAGGTCTCTTTGGGGGCGCCACCATCTTTGGCAAGAAGTCCGAAACACCACAGCCGGGTGGAACCCCACAAACATCGACACCAGCACCCGCGGCCGGTTCTACTGGGACGACGTTCTCGCTAGGGGCAAATAAGGACGCTTCTGCGTCGACAGGATTTTCGCTGGGTGGCAATAAGGATGCTTCAAAAAGTGGAACATCAATGGGTGGGTTACTAAAACTGCTTTCCGTCGCCTTCCTCTCACACAGATGTTTTTCAGGGAACCTCTTCGGCGGGGCGAGCGCCGCAAACAAAACCGATGGTACATCCAGTGAGATAAACAACACCTTACTGTTTTATAGTACTTGACCATAACAGGCGCCACTCCCGGTTTGTTTGGAACGAAAGATGCAGGTTCAAGTAAGAACAGTTCAAGGTTGTAGGCTCTTTTTAGTTGACTTCGGACGTCTAGCCACCACCCCCAGCCTGTTTGGCGCAAAGGACTCATCTTCAAACACGAGTGCGTCTTCCTTCTCTCGGCTCGGCCCTCGCCTCATGTATATCCTCAGGCTCAACCTTACTGGGGTCCAAAGACTCGAGCAATACTTCTGCTGCTCCCAGCTTATTCGGGACCAAGGACACGGCAAAACCCGATGGTGAATACGGCCAATACACTCCCATTTCGTTCACAGTGTTTACAAAAGTAATCCAGCTTCGTCCACAACTTTGCTGGGCTTCAAACCCCCTGCCGCAGGAACGCAGCCGGGTACGTTATGTGCCGTGGAAATGAAGCATCTCATTAATGTCCACGATCAGCTGCAGGCGCGACCACAGCTACATCAACCTCAAAGGATGGCAATAAATGTATGAGTCCGCGAGCCAGATTGTTAACATGCAGCTCACTATTTTCCCACCAGCAGCAATAGTGGTGCCTCCACCTTCCGTCTTGAGAGGCAAATCTGTTGAAGAGATCGTCAATAAATGGTCCACGGATCTGGACAACCATGTCAAGGAGTTTAACAAGTTCGCTGGCGAAGTTGCTGTATGGGATCGTGCTCTAATGGAAAATGGAAACAATGTTTGTCCTCGCCTTACACGCATGCAATCTACGCAGCTAAACACATTTCTAGCTTGCCACACTGTACAATCATGTACTTAATGTGGAGCGGGAGCAAAACGATATCGAACAGTCTCTCGATCATGTGGAGCTACAACAAAAAGATCTTTTGGCTACTCTTGGTGCATACGAGGGGTCCATTCACGAGATACTGGGTGGACAAGGGGGTAGCTTGCGTGCTCTGGATACAGGCCCCGCAGATACAGAGAGAGACAAAAAGTTCGTGTTTCCACGAGATGAACTATTGCCCGTATCTCACCTCATCGCACGCGCACCAAACAACAGTTTCATGTTGGCGACTGAGCTCCACGGCCACTTGGATGACCTTTCGAGTTCGCTCACGCAAATGATTGATTCCGTGAATGCCCTTTCAATCGGCTCTGGGCCTGCCAATGGGCTGTCGAGCTCACAATCTTCACCTGATGACCCCATGACACAAATATCCCAAATTCTCAGCAACCACCTGGACAGCTTACAGTGGATCGATGGCGCTGTCAGGGAGGTGGAGGGTAAGGTAACCGAAGTTGAGCGTCGCATTGGAGATGTCGGTGGGGTGAATGGGTTTGGCAGCTCTCAAACCAAGTCGCGGAGTGCTGGTCTATCTCGGTGATATTTTGCGCCTTTCTTGGTATCATTCTCAATTATGCATACACATCAGTCCAATAGTAAAATGCATTCGTACGTGAGGCCTTCTATATCGTATCTATGAAGCTCCATGTGTACATGTATTACGCCCCTACTACTAGTGAGGATCAGCTCGCGTAAAGAACCACAACATCCCAAATAAATGCCAACGTATATCTCGTAAGGTAAATGTAAAAATATGTCCCTCATGCTGAGTGATGGATGGCTGCCCAATCCATGGAGAGTTCCCGCCATGTTTTCAGCTAGCCCGGTGACCAGTCTGTATACTTCTCGACTGCGTTAGAGGTCAGCGTGCCAGCGAGCTTCGAGCACGGATACGCTCTCCGTAATAGTATATCCAAATTGGGAACGGAATGCCTAATACGATGGCGAGTCCAGCAAGGAGCGAATTACCACCTCCATAGCCCAGGGCGGCGTACATCTGTTGTCCGAAGAGCGGGAAAGCAAACCCGAGCAAGGACCGGAAAACCTAGTAACCCAAAATCAGACTTTCGCTGCAAAGGGCAAAGCTAAAACGCACAGATGCGGCGGCCAAGGCGCTCGCGGCGAAAGCGAATGTGTCAACGAGGTACAGCATGATGGGCAAGCTTCAACCAACGCTATGAGCGTGAACCCGTAGGAAATAACGGAAACCTTACTAGGTAGTCATCAGGCCAAATCCAAAGATCCCAGTACCGATGATAGGCATGATCCAGTGTATCCTGGCCTGTGCAGACCAACCGTACCAGCTGTATTGTCCTCGTGAAGCAAGAAGTTTGTATGCTGGGACCGTGTTACTCACAAGAGGCCAATGGGCACGAAGAAGGACCCGATAATCAAAGAGGGAATCCGCATCTCTGGTTTGCCTTTACCTCCATTTCTGTTACACAACTATACGAGAACGTCAAAATCAGGGGGGAAAACGCTGATGAGACGAGACTTACGTTGAGATAAATCTTGTCGGAAATATGGGCTCCGAAAAGAGTAGCAAGGAGGAAACCCAAACCCAGACCGATGTAAGCCAAACCGCTAACGCCCGTGTTGAAGTGGTACTCTCCGCTGAAGAGGTCTGACAAGAGGTTAGACTAAACAGCCCTACAGTTAAAATGTGCAAGATACCTGGGAATGTCGCAAACATGAGATAGTATATTCCTGTTCATGTTCATGTTATTTCTCCCCCTACTAAGACAATAGGACCTCGACGCACCGTACATCCTGATAAACCATATGTGAGTAGTCATCAATGCCAAGGACAGTGGGAAGACTCACAGAGCCATATACAAACTCAGGATGAAACACACGAAGCTACGCGTCAGGAGGATGGCCGGCCTGGTCAAATTAGCCCAGAGATATTGCCATTTGTTGCCTTCATGATTGGCTGAGAGGTGAGGATGAGCGGCAGCAGCCCGCTCAAGGTCTCTGCCAATCTGATTGTCTCGTTGAAGGCGGATGATAGGAGCATAAGTCTCCCTGAGAGGTATGGCAAGAACCGTAGCTAAGCCACAAAACGCGACTATAACATAGAATACATATTGCACTCCGATGGTCATGGATATGAACCCTCCCATGATCGGACCCACAGCGGGACCTACACATATGAGCGCCCAATGTTAAGGAGGCAAGAAATGGCCTACCTATGAGCGGTCCCAAACTGTAAATAGCCATTGCAGAAGCGCGGTCCTTTTCGGAAAATAGATCGCTGATGACGCCTCCACCACACGCAATAGGGGCACTCCCAGCAAACCCACCTATAAGACAAGGACGTCAACGGGTATAATCATAAGGCAATAAGGCAACTAACTCAAAAATCGGAAGGCAATGAAAGCATTGGAGGTCGGGGCCAGAGCACAGCCAATATTGAATCCAAGAAGGCCGATGTTTCCACCATGGAGGACCTGCTCTCACATTCCAGCCAACAATGTTCCTGTAGATCAAGCCAGTCCACTCACCCATTTTCGGCCGTACATTTCCGACAGTGGTGCGAGGAACAATGGACCAAGTGCAAAAGATAGCAGGAAGATGCTAAGGTACATAGCGATGATAGTGGGATTGGTGACATTGTATTTTTCGGCAAGGTCGGGCAGGCCGGGCGCCATCATTGAACTGGACAGCGGGGACACAAAGGTATAAGCAGACACCTGGATAGCTAATTAGACAGTAAATGTAACCGAGGAGGGCGAAGAACCAACGATAGACACAGCGATCCATTTTTTCGAAAAGGACCAGTTACGAGGGTTGATGGGATCATGTTCCCAATCCTCCTCCCGGGCTTCTATCTTTTCCTCGACCTTGTCGGCCGGAATTGCAGATTCACCCTCCCCACAAGTGCCCTGGGACACGGGTGCGGCTTGAACAGTCGACTGCTCACCGGAGACGTGAGTGGTGGAAGTCGCAGCCGATGCCACTTCGTTTGCCTCATGAGCGGACATCTGGATGATGGTCAACGCAGGGTGGGACAGCGGAGAGCAAGCGGAGGGTCATTTGGCGAGGGATCTTTATATACAACTTACCCATTGACATTGTCGAAATGACGATACCAACTCAATACGGCAAACATGACCTGAGCATGATCCTGTCAATAGAACCGAATTCGGCCCGAGGCACACACCGCCGGCTTCAATGCAACCAATATCAAGAGCGTCATGCCCGGCGTCCCACTACGTCCTTCCACCAGATGTCACTCACCATCGCTGGCCAGGAAAAACGGGCAGACTTATCTCCAATGTTTCTTCTATAACTTGAAGCTTGCATTTATGCCGTGCCATGTCTCATATTCTTTGTCAACCTGCATACCAGACACGAGTTGGACATGAGCAGAACCGGTCGGAAGCGCGGTTACTTAGTGGGTCTAGGTAAGTCTAAGCAGGTCTAAGTACTAGTACCATCAAAACTCGCCGAATGAGTCCGATTCCGAGGAACAGCGCGCGAGGAACCACACCTTCGGTCTTTCCCTACCGCTCAGTATTCAGTTAGGCTATGAAGAAGCATATGTAAGTATATAAGCATCACATATACTGTAACATCCTCATAAAAGTGCAGTGAGACGGCTACACAAAGGGGACTACGCGTCACCGCCAGGGCTATTAATGACAATATTAATATTATGTGGTGGCAACTTGACCGCATGCTCAAATATTGATGAAAGGATCGATAGAGGGCATTAGTAGTACTTGATTCGGATTCTAGTTGTGGCTTAGCCTCATGTCGGTTGTTTTCGAGATGCAAGCTACCGCTGAAACACCTGACTTCATGTGATTGGCGTATCGGCCCTATGCGAAGATCAATCTCCGTATACCGGATAGTCTTCGCCACGTATAACCCCTTATTTAATTTTATCGGGAAATTAACGAACTACATGACCGTGACCCAACCATGCCGCGCTTTACGGTACGAAATCTAATCATACTTGGTTTTAGTGAGTACAAAGTAAGTGCAGAATGTACTACGAGGTTGGCTCGGAAGCTGGCTCACAGCTGACAAGTTGACATACTGTATAGCACACTGTAGCGCAACAGCCTCAATTACTAAGTATTAGCTCCGCGCCCCCCATGATCAGATCAACAACTTAGAAATTGTCCTCCTCGGTTGACCCCTGTTTGCGCGCATGGGTTCCTGTTTGGCTCCGATTTCGTAGGACTCAGAGTTCGTACAGCGGTACTTATCCCATAGGAAAACGTCGGGATAGCATTTCTGTTCGGGTTTCAAATTGTTAACATCAATGTTATTTTGACATACATGTCTTACTAACCTGACACTAATCGATTAGCTACATCTCTGAAATTCATGTACATACCGTCCGGCTTCATGCATAAAGTGCTACCCATAAGACACGGTCATGTAGATGGACCTGAATTCGCAGGTGAAGTATGGAATTAGTATTATACGTTCTAGAGAATACACAGTAAAGCAAATCGGGGATTCAATCACGACATGCAAGGGACACCAGTTTCCCGAGCTCAACTCACTGACCACGGACAAAACAACCTGCCACATTAAAGCAGATGAAGGTTGCATCGTACACTATACGACGCTATATCTGCCAGTTGTTGCAGTAGGGTTGCGCATTTCTGCCTGAAGTGCGGCTGCGGAGGCTTCAATAAGCAGCCGTTTGATTTCACGGACGGCTTGTTCAACCTAGAAAGGGATTAGCCACGGTGACAATCCTGGTCATCATAGCAGAGCTTACCCTGTACTCTTCGTTTGATTCGACAAGTAAGTGCAGCTTGGGTGGACCGTCGGAAGGTGGCTCTTTTCCGGCTTCGTAGTAGATACCTGTTACCATTGACTTTAGAGCAAGTTTCACCAAAGACTGGGAAGCCACGAACCTTTGTTAGTAACAGATGCCCCGGTCATGTCGATGAGCTATACGAAATCAGCAAGCCATCCAATCAGAATGCACGGCGATGACTTACTTGAACCATGGTCTCTTTGTTTGTGACTTTCCAACGCGCCTTTTGGGGGTAGTCGTTGATTGGTATAACAGCATGGAATTCTGTCGCATCTGGATTAGTATTGACAGGTGCCTTCCTAAGACCGTTTTCTTCGGCTTGAATTTGAGATTGTAACACAAGCTTGGAAGCCTTCATTTGCGCATTCAGTTTGGCAATCACGCTGAGGGCTTGCTTGTGAGCGGGGGTATCTTTGCCTGCTCGAGCAGCAGCCTGTTCCGCAGCCTTAATGGATGCTTGTATCTTCTCTTCCTCCTTGGCATGAGCAAGACGTCTGGCGGCAGCGGCAGCACCAGCCACACCCAACAAGCCCTTTGAGGAATCCGGAGCGGGACCACGTTTGACTTCCACCTTGAAGTTACCAAAGGTCATTTCATCGGTACCACTAGCCGCGGGGGCACCTTCTTTCGCGGCCGTGGCTTCCTGCGTCTTTTCCTGCTCTGACTCGCCGTAAGCCTGGCGCTCGGCTCGGTCTTTCGCTTCGCGCTCCTTGTCAAGCCGGTCAAGACCCTTGCCACCAAAGCCCGAGCCAGCCACTTGAGCCTTTCCTGTCTTGACTTTCTCCAAGAATCCTGGGCAAGAGGGATCAGTTAGTGGGGCTCATGATTCAAGATCAACGATAATCGTACCATTGGCAAGCTCTTCCAACTCCTTCGGAACCTCCGCATTACTTGCCTTAAGGGCACGGAAGATATCAACAGAGTATCGCTCCTGTTCAGACGTGATGAACGTAACGCAGGTCCCCTTGTTACCAGCGCGGCCAGTACGCCCTGCCCGGTGGACGTAGTCTTCCATATGATTGGGGGCATCGTAATTGATGACGAGCTTGAGCTGCTTAACGTCCAGACCGCGGGCGGCAACAGAGGTGGCAATGACGATGGGCACAACACCGGATTTGAAATCGGCGATTGTTGAATCACGGTCGACTTGGTCCTTGCCACCATGAAGAGACATGCACAAGTATCCTTTTCTCATAAGGTCGCGTAAGAGATTGTCGGCCCCCTCTTGACGATCGACGAAGATGAGAGTCCTGCACTCTGGATCCTCGTTGTACATTTGACCGAGGATTTCCAGAAGACGGTTAAATTTGGAGTCTTCCGGGCGGACTTCAACGATCTGTTCGATCTCTGCTGCCACTACTGATCGACCACCAACAGTGATTTCGAGGGGCTTGTGTAGAATTTTACGAGCAAGGGAGTCCATTTGTTTGGGGAACGTAGCGGAGAAGAGTACTGTTTGTCGGTCGGGACGAATGTTATTGATTATCTTCATGACTTGGGGTTCAAATCCCATATCGAACATGCGGTCGGCTTCGTCAAGTACAACATATGTCACTCGCTTGAGGTTCGTGACGCGGCCGGAGTTTGCTGTCAACAAGTCGATCATCCGACCGGGGGTGCATACAATGATTTCGGCGCCTTTCTTTAGCTCAGCGATTTGGTCTTTAATGGGCGAACCACCGTAAGCACATACGGCCTGGTAGAACAAATCAATGACTGGATTCTGAATGGGGACAAATCACGTACACGCAAGTTCATCACTCGCAAGAATGGCTTGCACTCTCGATGGATTTGAACGGCGAGTTCTCGAGTAGGCGTCATGACAATGGCAAGTGGACCTTCCATCTGCTCAAGTGGCCTCTGATCTTTGATGTGCCGAAACAAGGGAAGCAAAAACGCAATGGTCTTGCCAGACCCGGTTTTTGCAACACCAATAACATCTCGGCCGGACATGATCGCAGGAATAGCCTGTGCCTGAATAGCCGTGGGTGCAACATAATTAAGTCGTTTGATGACATCTAGGCTGTCCGACTCTGTCATTCATGAGGAATGGTCTTTTATATGCGCTACTCACCAGCTCGCCGGGAGCCCAAAGTGACTCCACTTTGTGACAGGTCTTGGACTGTCAACGCCACGGATTTTAATACCGTCCAACTCAAGTCTGAGCAAGTCTGCCTCTTCGTCAGACATGGCTGCAATGTCAGGTGGGGGTATATAGAATTCCTTGCGGAAGGGTTCGTAGTTGATGCGCGAGTGGTCGACCGCAGCTATGTCCTTCTTCTTAGCCTTCTTCGCCGCAAGCGCCAATATGTCTTCCGGGTTGAGTTCTGTTGTATCGAGTTCGTCTTCTTCATTAGGCTTTATGACGTCCTCTGCGGCATCCTCCGCCACTCGGTCGTCGAGACGGACACGACTGTTGGCACCAAGTTTCACCAGGTCCTCTGCATTAACCTTCTTCACTTCTTCCTTCACCTCACTCATGAACGCGTCGAGCGGATCAACGTCGTCATCCTCATCCATGGCGTCGGCAGCCTTCTCCTTGATAGCCTGGTCTATCTGGTTGGCTTCTTCGTCGTCATTATCATTTTCCAAGTCGCCAACACTAGCTTCGCCTTCTGCCATTGTCATGTCGACGGCGGGCATGTCCTCCAACTTCTCAAGCTTACGCTTAGTCTCTTCTGAATCATCCATCACTGCCACGGCACCTTTGGAAGCCTTCAGAACCTCGGACTTGATAGGAAGCCCCTTCAGTCCCAGACCCCCCAATGCGGCACGGTTGAGTTGGCCGCCGGTCTTTGAGGGCACGGCAGGGGTCGTTGCTGCGAGGGCAAGGATCAAGTGGTGTGAAATCGTGAAACAATGACAGTCAAGAGACGCACGTACTTGAAGGAGATTTACCAGTTATTGCTCTGGCTTTGGCCTTTACCTCATTAAGCGCCTTCTTTGCGTCACGCTCCTTCTGAGCATCGCGTTCCTTCTTCCATGCTTCAAGTTTGGCCTTTCTGGCCTTGATCTTGTCATCTTCTGGGGGAGGCGTAGCAACCGGAGTTTCTGTCTGACTCTTGACGGGTGATGGAGGTCGCTTTTCGCGGTCTTTGCGATCGGGAGAGCGGGAGCGGCGACGCTCGCGGTCTCTGCGGTCTGGGGAACGAGAGCGGCGGCGGTCGTCTCGCCTGTCGTCTCTTCTTCTGTCGTCGCGGTGCCTATCACGGTCATCATGATGGCGATCCCGGGGCCTATCCCTGTCTCTTTCCCGTGCCCTATCCTTGTCACGATCCCAGTCATCGTCGTATCTCCTGCTAGGCCTTTGGGTAGACCTCCTCGTCGGCGAAGGAGACCTGGAGCGATATGATGGTCTTACCCTTTTATTGGCTGACTCTGGGGAGTACGACCGGTCACGTCGAGCCATCTTCCCGAAAATGCACGTGCAGTCGAGAGGAAACACTGGTGAGCGGTGGGATGAGCGGCATGTTATTTGGTCTTGTTAGATTCCCAGGCTGCTGACTAATGCTCCCTTCTTAGTGGCTGCGGTGATGACTTCAGACACACTTACGTCTGCCCCCTATGACGGACTTGCTCGATCCCGCTGCACTCACTAGTCTGCTGAAAACACTTCTTCCAGGAGAAAACAAAAAGCTGACATCTACTCATGATGGAATTGCTGCTCTCGTACACACAATTTTGTCTGCCCTTGCCTTCCGTTTGATTGCACTTGATGACACTTCACCTCCGGCGACTTACCAAAACAATGTCTTGCCTGAAGACTGGAATACTCGTGGCTTAGTGGACCGCACATTTCGCTACAGGCATGATCAAAGCAGCTTGGAATTTCTCATCAAGATCATTAAACTCGGTCAGCGCACTTTGATCAATGCTATTGCCCTCGAGGTGAGTAATTAGCCCCTAAATACGTAATCACCTTCGTTGAGCTTTGACTTGTTAGAGCGACAGGGCGTCGTCTCTCGACATCTCTACCGATGATTTCGTATCTCCTTCGTTTTATCCACATGATCTGGCATCTCAAGATGAACCTCCACTCGTCCACGGATTTATTTCCTCGAACCGTATAGCGGATTTCGTTTCACAGTTCAAGTTGAAGATTGTTCAAAAACTCGTTCCCGGCTTGCGCAAGGATGGCTATACGGAGGTACAAGAGTCTGCGGAATCTCAACGACCAGAGCCATCCAACGCCCCTCGTGCTCAGCAACCCCCTGGCCGGCCCGAGACTGACATACCTCCCTATCAACCCCCGCTTACGCAGCCCAGAAACCCTCTTGAGATAGGGCGCCGAGATTTGGATCCTCTGGGTGGGCACGCAAACCCCTTCGCTCCGCCTCCGCTGTTTGGGCCCAATGGTGGCGACGGGATGTTCGTCGGACCAGAGCATCCCATGTTTGGAGGACGAGGAGAGCTACGTGGGCCATGGGGTGGTGATGGATACCTGCCGCCGATGGGAGCACCTCCGGGTGCGCGGTTTGACCCTGTTGGGCCTTTGAACCCTCCATTCGGTGGGATGCCTCGACGAGGCCCCCGGCCGCCCGGTAACTTCAATGACCCAGATAATGATGAGTTTATGCCCCCAGGAGCGGTGAGCAACCTTTTGTCTTGTAACCCATGTTTGAATTGTTGGTTGACTGGCTGATTCATAGGGGGACATGTTTATGTGAGGTATCGGATTCAATTGTAAGCTAAGAAAAAGTGAATGCCGCGAGCGAGGTGGACGTGTGATAGACGATATCGATATCCGATGTACTGTAATTTGCTTGGGTATTTTGACAACGTTATAGTCTGCAGAGAATGAACGACATGTTTGAGGTATTCCATTGAGTTTGGCAGGTAGCTAACAATGCGTGAGTGGTCCAAAAAGGAAAAGGGCATCTAACCGAAGCGACATTGTCAAGAACTGATTCCGCTTCAAGGCAGCAATTGCAACGTGACGCAGCATCGTCCAAGCACTCATAAGCAGCGTCAGGAGCTCACCTTAACCTAGCACATCCTGTTTCCATCCATCTCGCCATGCCTTACAGCAGACAGCGCAGTCCAACATCTCCAACGTCCCCTTCGAGGGCCCGCAAGCAGGCGGTCCCTCCAGGTTTCATCGCACCCCCTAAACCCAAAGCCAAGCCGCTGACACAGATGACCCTCCGCGAGCTGCACGACCGCTACGATCGGAATGCCAACATCCTTGCCTCACCGTATGTCCCGACGCATCCAACGCGCTCGTTGGTCCTCGACTATCGCACCAGCTGACGAGGATATCCCCACGCAGATCCGCATCTACCTCTGCCCTCGTCCAGCGCCTCAGTACCGAGCAAGCGGCCATCGAGGCCCGCCTTATCGAGCTTGAAGGCGTCGAGAGCATCCGGCGCGGGATCAAGAAGGCCAGCATCAACTCAGACGACGTCATGAATGTAGACGAGGTCCCCGCACCAAAAGCAATAGACGCGAAACGACGCGCTCTGTCCAAATATGTATGTATTTCGATTCTTCTCAATATCTCACATACTAAGAGCTCATTGTCATACAAAGGCGCCGATAAAGAACAACACGGATAGACATGTTGGGTCGCTGAGCTTACAAGAGGCTATGGACCTAGAGCGCCAAGCTTATATTGCCGACCAAGACCGAAGACAGCGAGCAGAAGAGAAGAAGCGTCGTATAGGTTTGCCTATCAAGGGAGAACAGCTGAGCAGACAAGAAACGGAAGCTCGAATGTGGACATTCATGTGAGTGCGGCTTGCATAGGTGCCGATGAGGGGTGGTTCACTAACACTTGAGCAGGAACTACAAGCCAACGGACTCAGACCTAGAGGATATGGATGATGATGACTCGGACGATGACCCAGCTGGTTGGTTTGAAGATGATCAAGATGGCGGTATCAAGGGTCAAAATATCATCGAGCCCGACGAAGAAGATCTCTCAAACATAATTCGGGTTGACGAAAGCCGAGTACCTTACAGCTATAGCACATTTTATGAGCCTCGAAACAACGTCGACTAGTCATTCATACTATGCACGAATTGTAGCCATACAACTGTACTATATGTTTAAATTGATATCCACGTAAGTCGATTAGAAGGGTATGTAAACTATCTATAGCGCTTAATTATCTCGGGCATGGACGGGGCAGTTCCTTCCACGTTGTAACCATGACACAAGACACGCTGCAGACGGTATTAGTCAAACGCACTCGACGAAGGAAGAAAATGTATCTTACCATTGTGGAAACTGCATAAGCAGTTTAAGCGAGCAACTGTGCTGCCAACCGCAAATTCTTCCAAGCAGATGACACCTATAATGCGGTCGTAAGGTGATGTCGTAGCAAGTGTCCTCTTCAGCTTACATTCGGTACCAATCATAGCGCTTTCCGCGGGCAACCTATAGACAAGGTATTTCGCAGTCTGTGGACTTGCTCCGGTACTTCCATCCAAGCAGTTTTTAACGTGTTTTTCCTGCTCAACAGCAGAGCCAAGCTCCGCAAGGCCTGTATTACACACTGGACATCTGCAGGAGGATCAACAACGGTAACAGAATGGGGCTATGAGCGACGTACTCTGCCAAGTCGCTCAGCTGAGAGCTAATTTCCCGTGAACGTGACCTCGGAACCATCAGCCTTCCTTCGTCAATGACAATACGTTCCATTGCGGAAATGGCTGAAGAGGTGAACCGCCCCGGTATGTTCGCGTTCACTTCGTCGAAGCAACTCTGGCAGACTCTGTGACTCGATGTCGAGGCAGTAGATTCAGGTATGGAAGGATCATGGACAACGTCTGAAGGGTCTAGCAGCGTCCTGTGAGACGAACAACGGTCACAGAAAATTCGGCCACATCTGCGACAGTGCTATCCGGGAGTTAGGAATGGTTCGGTGTCCAAGCCAAATTACTTACATGCTGTCATTGCGAACCTGGGTTAGCACTTAGTCAATCAAAAAGAACCAGGTACGTACCCGTCGGAGCAAAAAAGTAAAGCGGCGGTGACAATCTCTGCACTCTGCGACACTTTCATCGCGTTCCCATTGCGCGTGCAGTGAATGGGGTGTTGGTTGCGTCCATCGTGGCGTCATTACTTTTTGAGGTGCTTCGTGAGTCGGTACACGGAAGTCAGGAGACAAGGTCAGATGCAGCGTGAGATCGGTTGGTGCCCTCGAGACCCCAGGTCGAGACGTTACTTCCGTGGAAACTGAGTGCAAGGATGGTGCTCGGGCCGTGGGAGGCGGTGAGTACCCAGGGTAATGGAACTCCTCGTCCGACGAATCATTATCGTCTGCTTCATCGGGTTCGGAATCGGTTATTAACAAGCCTCGTGCGCCTGCGGAGAGCCTCCTTCGCTCAAGCTCCCTGCTATAAGCGTTAAGTAGCACTTCTGCTTGAGTCTTGCGCTCGGCATCATCATCAGCTGAGAAACGTTAGCAAAGGTCAAGACGCCCTTGGAAAACAGTACCTAGGATGCCTTGTCGTAGTTCAGACGTAGCACGCTCTAACTTCGCAATAGCACGTCTAACTTCGACGGCCGACATATTCTCTCCGGCTTCAGCTGTACGGGAATTTCCTACCAGATAGCGTGCCCGAGCAACATAATCTTGGGCTGAAGACATCATATTAGATGGCATTGCCCGCAACTCTTGACCATCGCCATCGCCATCGTCGTATTCACTTTGATGATCGTTTATATACGGAATTAGGGTGCCATCGGCAGCCAAATGATAGTAGGCGCCGTCCGGTTGCAAGAAAGGCATGGGAGAGACGTCCAACCTGCGGCGCAAGACGCGAACCCAACGTCTACGACGTACCCATGTTTGAGGGCTATTACCAGCAGACACTGACCTCCGCGGACTGCCTCTAGCCGATCCGTTGATCCCTGAAGCAATCAAGCTTGAACTAGAACCGTTCAAAAGTTGCTCAAGTTGGGGCGGCTGCTCTGCGGTCCAGCTGTCTTCAGGGGCATTAAACGAATGCGCGTACTGCCATCCGTCTTCTACATGGACACCAGGGTGTGATGTTTCAAGAGTCCAATCGGAGCTATGAAATGGCCCTTCAGTGATGCCGAACGAACAAACGGAGCAGACTCCCTTACAGCCAAAAATGGCTCCTCTCCGCCCCCTCCAGTGAGGGGTTGTCTTTCGGCTTCTGTTGTGGCAAAACCCAAGGCTCCTCCATTAACGGTAACTGAACATCACTCCGCCAGGTAGGTACAAGCTCCTGACCAGTCTCTTCGTCACGGTGGGGCAGCCTCAGCTCGAAAGGAGCTCTACGCCCCTGTCGACCTAGACCTGTTGTGGAAAACTTGGCTTTGCCTCCAGACACTGCCAGAGTCTTCAGTCTAGCATCCAAGCGCTGGTTTTCATACAACACCAGCGGTACAGTGGTGTGAACTGCTAGAACGTTGTAAGGTACCATTGAGCGACGCCATTGCTGGGTTTCTGCCTTTTGGAGGATCTTCACAACTTTTGTTAGCCCAGCTGACGCTTCAAAGACATGTTCTCAAGAATTTACCTCGCAGATCCAAACCTCAAATACTGCTGCAGCGGCATCGTAGGCAGTTTCACCCCAGTTGTTGCGGACGAGAGGATCTGCATTCTGCTTGGATAGAAGATAGCGAACCACAGGCAAGTGACCCTTCGAAGCCGCATTCACTGACAACGTCATCAACACGGCCCGATCGAAGAGTTTCTGGGCTTACTCAGAGGGGTCCAACCGCCTTTGCTACGCACATCAACACCTCGAGCACCATCGATTTCTGTGTTAGCCCCTCCACGCTCGAACAAGTATCTGACAACATCCAGATAGCCCTGCAATGATTTAGCAACTGGTTTAACATCGATGATGCGTAAGTGACCTTTGAGCATGCATTGTGTAAGGCCGTCCAGCCATCGGCATCGCGGGCGTGAACAGAGGCTCTATCAGGAAGAAGATAGGATATCACTGGGAGATGACCATTGAGAGCTGCTTTATGCAGAGCAGTCTTGAGAGTGATTCAGTACGGGGGTGTCGTGCAGCGGGGAAACAATTACGGACCTCTCCTTCCCGATCCTCAAGGTCTGGTATGGCACCACAATCCTCGACCACTTGAAGGATGGTTAGATGGCAAACACGTGTGAATATCGTGTCAACCTACGCCATTGAACAATCTGCAGATAACCGCGACTGGCTGCAGCGTGGAGAGCGGTCAGACCCGTGCGGGAAGACGCGTCGTTGGAAAGCGCGAAAGCTTCTATTTCTCCGTTCTTGAGAGCATTCCTGAAAAGCTTTTTGAGCAGAACAAGATCTCCTGATGAAGCTGCGGCATAGAGAGCCTCTAGCTGGGCTGGGGAAGGGTGTGGCTGAGTCTGCACTGCAGGGGGAGAAGGCGGGGAGGGCTGCGCGGGTTGGACGTGTTCGGTGGGCGCCTGCGGATCGGACTGAGACACCTCGGCGTTCACTGATCCGTCGTGTGCAGATCCCGGGTACACAAAATGCTCGTCTTCGTCATCGTTGTCTTGTGCAATGGGCTGCTCTGACTCTTGGGATGGATAGCGGAACTCGGTAGGGGAAGACGCGGTACTGGTGGTGGGAGAATCTGGAGCGGAGGACCTGGGTGGGGTGAGTGGGGAGAACACGGAAGATAAGAGAGCTGTGTGCGTACTCGTCGATCGTGCCGAGGTGGAGACTGACTTGCGGAGGGCTGACCATAGCCTCTCAGTCTACCAGCGACGGTTAACGCGCTTCCGAATTCAAGAATTCGAAAGTCTCGTCCCCACAGAGGTCCCTGCATGCGTCGTGGGAATGATATCGGCAGATGCCGTGATGCGTGATTAACGCAGTGCCGATAAGCAAGTCATAATAATATACTGTAGTAAACCGCATGAGACTGAGATAGCAATAAGGTGCGGTGGATGTCGATGGTCTCTCGCAGTTTGTTTTGACCCGACGGCGGTGGCGGAGGGCGCTCCTGTCCTGCGGCCGTGATAAACGGATTTAGCGTGACAATCCGCGACTCCCCCAGCATCTTGCATCAGAGGCATGGCAAACATCAGGAGCCTCTTTCCTCGGGCTATATAGCATGATTCCGTCATCGGCTTTTCGGTCACCCCTCACCTCGCTTTTCTTCAGGCCGTCCACCTCCTCCCGCAAATTCATGGCTACAGCGACTTCCTCTACCGCCCTCAACGGCCATTCCAAGCTCGATCGCTCCAACCTCATCCCCTTCTCCTCTCGCCTCAAGGAGGGCAGAGCGCTCGCTCAGGATGTCTGGTCCATCTACAAGTACGATCAGCCCATCCTTATTCCCGAAATCATCTCGACCTGATATCTCTCTAGTGCTGCCAACCTCCCCGCCGACTGCATTAACCTTGGACAAGGTTACATGAACTTCCCCCCGCCTCAGTGGGTCAAAGATGCCGCAGAGGAAGCCCTCGCGTCTACTATTGCCAACCATTACTCGCACCCCAAGGGCCGTATACGCCTCCGTGAGGCTATCAGGAACTTCTACAGCCCGTCCTTCAACCGGACTCTGGATGTCGAGTCAGAGATCATCGTGACCAGTGGTGCCAACGAAGGTGCGTCCACTTGGAGGGCCGTTTGCACTGATCAGCCGGACTGATTCACATGTTCAGGCCAGTATTCCGTCTTCGCTGCCTTCCTCGAGGCCGGCGACGAAGTCATCATGTTTGAGCCTTTCTTCGATCAGTATCTTCCTTCCGTGACCTTCAACGGTGGAAAACCCGTGTACGTTCCCCTTCATCCCGTCACGGACGGATCAGATCCCAGAAGCAACAACTGGAAGATTGATTTCGATGAACTTCGGTATGCTGTCCATTCGACACGTTTGTACAGGCATCTCACGCTGGCTGCAGGCGGGCGATTACTCCCAAAGCTAAGATGATCATTGTCAACACCCCCCATAACCCTGTGGGCAAGGTCTTCACTCGGGACGAATTGGAAAAAATCGCTGCTCTCGCCGAAGAGTTCAATCTTCTTGTGATGGCAGATGAGGTGGTAAGTTGAATGCCCTCGCCGTCATTGTTGCTATGACGAGCCTTATCTTTGGTTAGTACGACTGTCTCGTGTTTGACGACAAGGAGCATGTCCGGATAGCAACTCTTCCCGGCATGTGGGACCGTACCGTCACAGTTTTGTCTGCAGGAAGTGAGAATCATCATCCTGGTCCTAGTTTCATTAGCTCAATATCATTGCAGAGGCATTCGCTGCTACGGGCTGGCGTGTTGGTTGGCTCATTGCCCCGGAATCCATCATCAAGCCCACTTTAGCTGCCTGCACCCGGATCGTCTTCTGCACCAACTCTCCGCTCCAAGAAGCGGCGGCGGCTGGGCTTGAGCAGGCTACGGAACGTGGCTTTTTTAAGCAACAACTCAAGGAGTACCAGGACAGGCGTGATGTCCTGTTGGACGCATTCACCAATCTTGGCTTGAAGTACAGTCACCCAGAAGGCAGCTACTTCGTCCTTGTTGTACGTTTATGCCTTTCAAAGCAGATATCAACTCAGCTCACATTCGTCAAGGACATATCGAAAGTCGATATCCCCGATGACTTTCCCTTCCCTGAGTCCGTCCAAGGCCGGGGCAGAGACTTCAAGTAAGTTCTCCATGCCATTGCCTACACATACATCTTATAATGTTTTGCAGAGCGTGCTGGTTCATTGCCATGGAGCTCGGCGTGTCCTCTATCCCAGTCAGCGAGGTCAGTAACAGATTCACGTCGACGTGAGCGCTAACTCATCTATCACCAGTTTTACTGCCAGGAGCACTGTAGCATTGGCGAGAGTTTTGCTCGGTTTGCCTTCTGTAAAGACATCGATACTCTCAGGCATGCCAGCGAGCGTTTGCAGGGGCTTTCGAAGTATATCAAGTAAATGTAAAGCACTGCTAATGTTTTGATTTGTTCACTTTGTATATTGAGGGCATAAGTGCCCATGCGTCAATATGTTTCACATAGACTACATTATTGATCCAATTTATCCACTATTCGAGACAGCAGTTCGTCTGGGATGTTCCGAGGCATGTCGTAAAAGGTTGGATTGCTTATAATGCGTCGTGCGAGGTACGTGTGCGAAAGGACATCGACCTTGTCCTGCTTGCTGCAATGTTTTAGGGAACCAGAGAGCATCCTCAACTCGGATGATTCAAGCAATTGTGATTCGAGTGGTAAGCCGACATTCAAGAAACGCGTGAACGTGTCGCGGTCCTCAGCGGAGCAGAACAGGTGGAAGAACCCTGTGCCAGACTGTTGGATGGCCTTGCTCTGCATCTGCGCAAGCGTGACCAGGTCATAGTCGCGAAGCTGACGTTCCGAACCTTGGTCGTCGAAGTGAATGTATTGTGTGCCCATCACCACAACTGTCGTGGCGCGCACAGGCAGCTGCCAGCACCACTCATGGTGGACGACCAACACACGAACTATGCCTTCTGCATAGAGCTCAAGCATGATCCGCCGGTCGTTTTTGAGAATACCACTGTGGATGATGCCAACGCCTCGAGAAACGAAGTCAACGAGTGACCCATCCCGAAGGCGAGCTAGATGGTCTTCGAGAAAATGCGGTGATACGGAGTCTGGAAGGAAGGCCGTCTCCACAAAGAGGTTGATGGTACATTGGGCAATCAGGTCTTGCGCTGATGATCGACAATGACCTTTAGAGGGCACGAAGACGATAGCGGGTGTGGAGCCTTGTATCGCAGCAAACACCGGCTTCACCATGGTCTTGAACAACGCCCCCGAATAGGGTATGGAAGATGTATGGGTCGTAGTTTTTAGCTCTTGTTCACGGTCGTTTGCCCGGAAACTGTGTAGTCCCAAGGGATCGACACCTAACCAGGCGGCCACGTCTGAGGGGTCGCTAAGAGACCTTGAGAATCCGACAAACCTAGTAGGAGAGGAGCGTAGACAGTTGCGCAAGAGGGATACAGCCAGCTCGTATGATGAATCCAGCTGATCCAGATCTTCACAAAGTACAAGGGTTGGCGGATGGGAGATCTCGTGAATTACAGCCATCACATTCTCTAGGACAGCGGTTGCAAGCGCAACGCGTATGACCTTGGACTTTGGTGCTTCAAAGAGAGCGTGCCCTTGTGGCTGCTCCACATTTATATCCGCAGCCTTCGCTATGCTGTACAACCCTGAGATAGAGTCTGCAGTAGTACTCTTCTTAGGGGATACAAGCAGGACCCATGACTTCGGTGCTGAGTGCATTAGAGTGGTGCTAGACTGCGTAAGCCGTACGTTTGATTTCAGTATATGAGATACTTACCACATCAACAGATTACCCATGAAGGACTTGCCACAGGTTGAAGGACCAGCGACCAGCGCATTCATCTGTGTGTGCATTAAACTCCAGAAAACCTGTGTCTGAATAGCATTGAATTCCCGTATATTCCGAGAAACCATGGTTTTAGATAACTTCTCCTCGATGATTGAGGGAGTCAGGAATGGCAAATTGAGGCGAGGAGTGTAAACCTGAGATTCAGTTGGTAGATGGATACAACTCAAGTCGACAGAGGATTCATCTTCCGAGCTTAACCAGCGGTCCGAGAATATACGTAAAGTAACAAAGGAGTCAACAGTACTTTCGGGGGCCGGGATGATGAAATTGACACGTTGGGCACGAGTATTTTCTCTAAACGTGAGGTATGTTGATTGTAGAATGTGAGTACCGCTGCTGTCCTCAACCCATAGCCAGAAAGGCTCTATAGGATTGTGCAAACGAGGGGTCCACTCAAACGAGCGTGTGACGGCCACAACAAGTCGGAGAACGTCGGAGCTGATGGGCCGGACAAGACAGGACATCTGCAGAGAAGGGAATTGCTTAGCTGCGTTCAAAAGGGCTTCACCGTGGCGCTCGTTGAGCCTGACAAGCTCTCCTAATTCCGCGGCGGACATAAGCGCGAGCTCGGTAGGATAACGCTCCTCCTTGTCATATCGCTCGAGATTGTATAAGATATCGGCCTTGAGATCGAACTGTCTTAGAGGATGCTCGTATGGCCACATTTGCTTTTCGAAAGCCTTACAGAGCCCTATGAGGACCGCTGCTACGTTGGCCCATTTCGCGCTAAGGGCTAGCTCCAGCAGAGCCCTGCAAATACGACCGCCGTTCTGAGCTACGAAAGCCATGTCTGAGATCAAGGCGAAATCCTCGATTTGCAGCCTTGAGATGAAGCTTTGTAGTAAAATGTTCACTTTTGCGTCCTTGGTATTGACACCGTCGCCCTGGACATTCGCTTTCGAGTCTTTGGTGTGGACATTTTCGCCCCGGATGTGCACCCTCGCGTCTCTGGTATCCTTGGTAGACTGATCAAAGAGTTACTCTTACGTGAAACGAAAGAGAATAAGGGTCCTACTTCAACGTCACATGGAACAATGTCTTGCAGACGCTTCAGCTCTTTACCTTCGGATTCTCTGAGCTGGATTTGTTCAAACTTGTATACGGGGGAAGACCATCACGTTAGGTCGCCAACGGATTGGATAATAGCGCTAACCTCCGAACACTTGCTGAGGAGACCGAAAACATCCGCCTCAGTCATGGCGGACTTGAACTTGTCTTTTTCCGCAAGCATCTCCATTGTAGCGCATTTGATGTAATATTTTGCGGCTATGCGACCACGATCTAAGATCACGTAGTCGTGGCCGTTAGCAATGTGGATCATTCCTGCAGCTTGGAGCCTTTTAGCGTGAACTTCGACGAGATGCAGTCGCCTCTTTCCAAGGTCAGGATCCTCAGCTGGCTCTTCCCAGCCCATCCCTTGTCAGGAAGAGAACAGGTGAGACCAGTACAAACGCCCTCAAACGCATCAGCCATCCCTTACCGTACTGCAGAGGATTCTTCTTCATACGGACAAGCATATAAGTATATCCTAGCCAACGTACTGCCTCGTCCGCATTGGCCACGGTACCCAAAGAAATCTCGGCGTTCAAAGAGTCGGTCATACCTGATGTGAACCTAAAGCCGCCTTGATTTAGCATCGAAGTGAGTGAGTTTAAGAATATCGCACTGAGATTCAATGGGATGCTGAGAGGTGACAGCCTGGACGTAATAGTCCAGCTTGTCAATTGTTGTGCAAATATAGCCCTCCCCACTTGTCTCGAGGCCCGGCCGACCAGCGCGACCAAAGACCTGCAGAACGTCAAGGACTGATAGGTCTGAAAACGATCCCTTGGAGCTGTCGTAAATCTGAGTTCCTTTGATGACAACTGCGAAGAACATGTTTAGCATCAATATCTCCTTTATTCTCATACAAGGGGAAGCTCACCAGCGTGCGCGGGGAGGTTAACACCCCAGGCAAGAGTAGCAGTGCAGCACAGGACCTGTGCCATTATTAGAGAAGCGCGGAGTAGTAAGTGTTAGCAATGAATACCTTGATGGCACGGGCTTCAAACATACGCTCCATCAAATTTCGATCCGAGCGAAGCATACCTGCATGGTGTATACCAAAACCGTGGTCAAACAGCTGTTTCATTTCCTTGTTACGTGATTCTCCGATGCTCCTTCTGAACAGTGCCCACTGAGGATGGTCCTCACAGCTATATAGGTCAAGTTTATCATCAATAGTAGCTGTCTCCTTCATGTCCGTTGCGGTTTTTACGGTGTCTTTTCGAGAATGGACAAAAACCATCACTTGGTGTCCTTGCTCAACGAGTTCCGAAACTTTCAGATAGGCAGCCCGATCCAAGTTCTTGCGGGATTGAGGACTTCCCGGTTTACCTGGCACCCCGAGGAAATGTTGCTCCAAGGGAACAGGCCGGAATGAAGAATCAAAGAAGAAGAGACCTGATTGCGGACGAACGCTAACACACTATCAGCTGGGGTTTTTTGCCTCTGCATTGCCATGCCATCGTACCAAAGGAAATCGGAGACATCGCGATAGTTGGGTAGTGTGGCGCTAAGACCAACGATACGGATCACGGATTGTGTGGACTCTACCTATAAAAGACATGCTTTCAGGCTGCGGTAGATTATAGTCATTAATTGGCGCACCTGTCTCAAGGTCCGAGCGACAATGGTTTCAATCACTGCACCTCGTTCATCGTTCAGAAGGTGAACTTCGTCGATAATTAGGAGTTTCAGTTTCTAGATGGGTGGTTATTAACACCTCCGTGGATAGAGGGGGCTACGCACGGATGCAAGTTCACCTTCGCCTGTCGGTTTTCGAGTGACAACGTCCCATTTCTCTGGTGTAGTCACGATAATTTGTGTTTCGGAAATTTCTTTCCTTGTTAGTTGCATATCGCCTAAAAAAGATGAGAACACTGGGCTGATTACACCAGACGCCACGAACCAGTAAGCTCTCGCACTTGGATCCCCAACCACTGAAGGCGTTTGCCAAGCTTGCGAACTATTTCAGAGGCGAGTGCCTTCATAGGCGCACTACAATGAAGCACTCGATTAGCACCTCTGCGTTCTATCTGAGATCTCCTAAACTTAGACCTTACACATATATTATCTTAAAGCTATTTTTGTCGATTGAGGGAGCAATCCGCGATCCGTGGTGTGCGATGGTCCGGTTCTGACTCAGAACACGGAGAACGGTCAACATAGCTACATCTGTTTTTCCCTAGAAGCGCATCATCATGAGCAGACTTTCCATGCCAGAAGAAGAGGGGGGCGCACTGCTCCGGTCGGGGCTTCAGAGGGGAATCAATATATTTACACAGTATCCTGAACAAACCACCTACCACAGACGAGCATATTCTCATTGGAGCCGTAGGCTGTCGGGAAAACTATCGACTGCATGCGGTTGAGACTTGTATAACCCTGTCCAAGCGTTAGGTTTCGAGCGGTGTGATTTCATGTTGCCATACCGGGAAAGATCCTTTGGCCAATTCGTCCAGCTCAGAGATCAAAACCGACCTTTCGGCTGTGCGTGGCGGGATAGGTCTGGCAGCGGGCAAGATAACTTCCACGTAATCCTTCCCCAATGTAAGCAAGACAGCAGATAATCTATCTGTGGGCCGCAGTAGAACACCGCAACTTACTTCGTTTTGGATCCTCGTCGTTCCCTGGAGTTGTGCATATTTTGTCCCGAATTGGGATAGTAGCTTTCCTCCAGACGTTGACGAAGTATAAATATGGGGCAGGTCTTCTGGCGCAGCTTGCTGCAGGAACAATGCTTTTAAGTGGGGGAATATCGTAAACACGATATACTGACTGCAACACCAGTATACAGCGGACGTGTAGCATTCTGCCTTAACGTGTCCTCGATTCGTCGACGTGCATCCGCGTGTGATAGGCTAACGTCTACCGGATCATCAGAGGAACCCACTGTAACATGGTGGGGCCTAATACCCGAACCATTTACATGACCTTGGGCAAGGTATCTGCTCAGCTGGAGCATCGTCCAATGGTGAGGCTCAGCAAGCAGTGACTAGGTTGACATACCTCGTCTGTGAGAGAAACGCGCTTGTTCATTAGCTTTTCCACTATATCGACATGCTCGAAACCAATGATATCAACGAGTTCATTGGACACTGTATCATCAGACTTGGGTGACGCTAATGCCTCGAGAATATTAGGCAGAAGAGGTCCAAGTTTGTGTTTGCTGAGGAGACTGTCTAGGGCACCTGTTGAAGCGACCGACCTTGCACACTGGGTCAAGAAAGTAAGGATCTCTAAGCCTTTGAAACATACCCCTGAAATGCGTCGAGGACGGAAAGGTGATTGACTTCGTCGGCGAGTGGGTTGGTATCTACCAAAGGTCCTGAATACGTTCTCAGCCTCTACCAGTGGCCAAACGTGAGATAATAAATGTACAGACCGGAGGAGCCACCTGTGGCTTGCCTTCATACGCCCCATTGAGACTCGTCAAGGTACAGAAACTAATTCACCAACCGGGTCCATTCATCGCGAAGAAACTTGGAATCGCGGGATCCTGGCCGATCATCGTTGGATTCGGAAGTTAACAATTGGAGATGTTTTGTGAACGACGACATTGCTGATGAACTACAAACAATTTAGTTTCGCATTTCTCCCGGCTGTCACTGGCCAGGCAAAGTTCCAGCGCCAAGTCAAGCATTGTCAGAACGCGGGTCCGACGCGAACGTGATGTGACATTATTAAGTAATGATTTGTGACATCTGGCTATGCCATGTGGCAAACGGCTTGAGACCCACAGTGATAAGTACCGAAGTCCTGATCTGCGCTAGCCGAAGTGCACATAGAGGGATCGGAAGAGATCGGAAGCTCTAAGACTCGCCGCCCTTCCGACTCTGCAGTATTAGTACTTGTCTGCATAACTCAGTTGAGGTTGAACGTTGACAACGTTGAAGTTCGACAAAGTGTAGTTTCTAAGGTTTTCAATAGCCGACTCCTGTTTAGGAGGCCATACTTGCTACACTTCTCCGGCCACAGCGGCATAAGCTTCAGCTGGCTCGTCAAATCCGAGTCGCACAGTTTCTTGGCTTGACGAGCGGCTTGTCAATGCCTAGAGTAGGAGAGTAGGACCCCATCAACAAAGTTTACCCCGTTAAACACGTTAGTCAGTAACAAGTCAAGTGTCAGATTATGACATCACCTGAAAAGCTGTTTATGTCAAGTCGCTTGCAACCTTGGGAAACACCTTCTTTCTCTCATTCGGCAGTTTCTAGCACCTCCAATCACTAGCCAGTCACTACAGTACAGTTTAAGGAGGAGAGGATCAGAATCTGCTCGTTGAAAGTTCCTGAATCGAGGCCAATTACATCCCACGATCGTATATCTACGCCCTGCCAGATAAGGCCAGATAAGGCCTCGACGCCGGCGGTACTGTACCTAGACGGAGGTAAATGGGCCCCTCTGCTGACAACTTTGACAGCACGTGTGGGGTAAATCTGGGTGAATAGAATTGACGTACCTCGGAAGCCAGATCAAAGCCAGATGCTTGGCAGCTGGGTCCGTACATATGTACATACATACACAACCACTCACGAGTTCCTCTACGACCATCATAGACCATCATCCGGCCTGGTAAGCGCGCTGGAAATGCTCCACAGTCTGTCGACGTCATGCCGTATTTGTTCCCTTCGCATCAATAGGCGATCAACGTGACTCCTCCTTTTTCCGGTTCGTTCCTTTTGCCGCTTCATTCTGGTGACCGTTCCTCAGCTTCTTCCCTACTGCTTGCACCCCAGAATACTACACACTTGCTGTTTTTGAGTGCAGCACAGCTAATGCGGCGCACGAGCGTCCTATGAATCATGACTTAGCCGGTCCTCGGCTGTCTCAGGTCATTGGCGTGATCAAGAAATTCTCCGTTTCCCGCCCTTATAAGAGCTTCGTCCTGAAGTATTTTCTTCACCCGACGCGCTCGCTCTCCCTACCCAGACCATACCTTTTCACAGGCAGCAGCTTCCTGCCATGGAGAAACACGCTTCCGGGGAGAATACCGACCACCGGCATCTCGAACTGGCCGGTATTACAGAAAAAGAGGTCCAGTCATACCACATGAAACTTCGTGGTCGCAAATTGACTGCAGCACTCGCGTTCGTTGCTGGCACCGGCTTCACTCTCTTTGGGTTTGTTCTTCTAGGCTTTTGTGAAGGATCAGCGCATATTTATACTACCCTAGATATGACCAAGGTGTCATGTCTGCTCTTCTCACGGCGAATCAGGTCTGCTCACCATGAGGTTGATGAGGCGTACAATTTACTTATCTCTGGCAATTTTAGTTCGAGGCCACGTTCCCCCAAGTCAAGACTGGTAACGGCCAACCTTCAAATCACGCGACACTGCAGAGCTTTGTTGTCGCCATATACGTACGTATTGGTCGATTTCTATCTGTTGTGCGGCTCTTGACGTCAAGAGTAGGAAATAGGATGTCTTATCGGCGCTTTGTCCAACCTCTGGATAGGTGACAGGCTTGGACGGAGACGGACCATTGTCATTGGCGGTATCATCATGATCGTCGGTGCCATATTGCAGGCTGCATCTGTCAATTATGCCATGATGGTAGTTGCACGTATCATCACTGGCCTGGGGAATGGACTCAACGTACGTGAGGATACCTCACTTATGAAAGGCCGTTCTAAACGTGCTTTAGACGTCTACGGTACCTAGTTATCATGCCGAGTGCTCACCAGCAGCGCGACGAGGAAGTCTTATCATGATTGAAGGCAGTTTGATCACTTTCGGTATCATGGTCTCGTACGTCGTTTCCATAATTTTTGATTAGTTCGCGATCGCTGAAGCTTACATGATAACAGATATGTATGTAACACGAAATTGTTTGACAGACGTTTACTAAGCTCTTAACCAACAGTGGATTGATTTCGCATGTTATTGGGCCGACAGTTCCTCTGCACAGTGGAGAGTTCCTATCGCCCTCCAAATCTTGTTCGCGCTTGTCATGGTCGCTGGGATTGGCTTTGTGAGTTCCCTTCTCACCCTGTCAAAGTTGCAGGATCGTGGCCTTAATACTCTCCAGTTGCCTGAGTCTCCTAGGTGGCTTGTGAAGCACGAGCGCAATGCCGAGGCCTTAGCGGTCATCTCTGCTTTGGATGATAAGGACTGGACCGACGAAAGCGTTCAGAAGACATACCATGCCATCCGTGAAGCTGTGGTAGTCGAGGACTTTGGTAACGCTGAAGCTGGTAAAAGGAATAAGAAGGCACACTTGGGGGCACTATTCACAGGCGGTCGCAGCCAGAACTTCCGTCGAGCTGCATTGGGTGTTGTCAATCAATGCTTCCAGCAAATTACTGGGATCAACTTAATTACTTAGTACGTATAAAATTCTCCTTTGCACCTGACTGCTCTGCTGACAGACTTCCTCTCTTCAGCTATGCTGTAAGCATTGGTGATTTCCAATGGCCATACCACACTCAAACGTTCATAGACTGTACTCTTCCAACGCCTGGGACTTTCTGACACAACCTCCCGCATCATCGCTGCTGCTAACGGAACCGAATATTTCCTTGCCTCCCTGCTTGCAATTGTCCTCATTGATCGTGTCGGCCGTCGCAGACTGATGCTGTTTGGTGCTGTTGGTCAATGTATCACCATGATCTTGTTGGCCGTTCTCGGAAGCTTGCAAGATAATACCGGGGCTCAGGTAGTGAGCGCTGTTCTACTCTTCGTGTTCAACTCCTTCTTCGCTTTGGGCTGGCTTGGAATGACATGGCTCTATGTAAGTTTGATTGTCCTCAGGCATCCTTAAATAACGCTAAAGACGCCATAGCCTGCTGAAATTGTTGGCCTGCAAATTCGTGCTCCTGCCAACGCTCTGAGTACAGGTGTGTATACACAAATGAACCTTGGGCACAACTCATTCTCACTCATGCAGCCTCAAACTGGATCTTCAACTTTATGGTGGTCATGGTTACTGGTCCTTCTTTCAACAACATATCTTGGGGCACTTACATCGGTGAGTACGATTTGGAGTGCAGACACTCACATGCATGCTAACTAGTAGCCAGTCTTTGCATCCTTGAACGCCTTCATTGTGCCTGTTGTATACTTCTTTTTCCCAGAAACGGCTGGTCGCTCACTAGAAGGTTCGTATGATGCACTGTGTTCTGATCCCTGCTGATTTCTTGGACAGATATGGACGTTGTATTCGCCCTTGCCTATCAGGAAGGCGTGTCGCCCGTCAAGGTGTCTTTGCGCGACGACGTCCCAGCCGCAGGCACTCCAGAAGCTGACAGGATTTTGGGGGTTAACCCAGGTCTTCGGAAGCGTCATGGGTCAGACTCCAATGTAACTTCCGACCGCGATTAGTTTATTACATGTTATTGTTAATATCACTTTATGAAAGATATCCTACGCGATTACATCCAGCCCACGTGCACTGATGTCAATAGCAATAGAAAGTAGCTATCGTACTTATGATACTGATGGTCATTTGCAAGCTTCAGAGATTCTATCCTGCCTTTTGCGTTCCCGTTCGAAGGCAGCCATGGCACAGTACCAATCTGAGTGTTTCGTGAAAGTCGACCGAAGAGGCTTGTCAATTTGTGATTGCACCAGTCCAAAGCGGTGCAATGGCCATATGATACTAGTTAATCGAGACTCTATCAATGACACTGGCACCTTTTGACATAAGCTTTAGTAACGATTCCCGTGATGACCTTCATATGCTTACGGATCCAAACTTGTTGCTATCCAAAGTATGAAATGGTTCGTCACCTGTGTGTATCCGTCAGCCACATCATTGCTTGGAGTTGACAATACTAGCATACCCTCCACCCACACGTGGCCTTTGGGAAGAACTACTTCGGCATCAGGATAAGGGGGTAGTGTTTGAACTGTGTCGCCTTCAATTGCAATGATTCGCTTCACTATCACCTTGCTGCCTCCAATCGGATCCCTCGACGGAGTGAGCTATAAGTCTGGCAGCAGAAAAGGATACGCATACTTGAGAGCAACTATATCCCCTCTGTTTACGGGCTTTCCTGCACGTATCGAGTATCGGTCAAAGAGAAGTACATCGTTGGAGAATGAATCATCAGGATTAAGTGTTGGCTAACTGACAAGCGCTCAGTAATCAGAAGGGAGCATAGTGACAGTGCCACAAACCTGCATACTTCTGCCCTTGACCGTCTTGAGGGTATATACATACTCGTTGACAGCAATACCGACTGGCAGCCAGTAGAGGAAGGAGACGGGCTTGAGAAGGTGTTGAAACATCATACTGGAGACCTCAAGCTCCAATGTGGAGATTGGGCTATGTCTAAATGTAACTTATAAGTACCAGACCGGATACCGAAAGTAACTTCAGCAACTAGCGGATTGAGGCAAAAAAACTGCACAGGGCATGTGTCGAAGTTCCGGACGACTGTACTGTTGCGGTAGCAGTACACTGTGTTACTGTCTGACTCAGTACAGTAGCTTGCTGCAGCTTGCCGCCGGCCCGAACCACGACCAAACAGATCTAGATCTTGCACCTTGTTATATGCAGACTGCTGCCCAAATCACAAGTCGCCCATAAATTCGCAAATTTCATCGTATTCTATATCTGCTACAATTCACAAGTAACTCCAGACAAGCTACAAAGTCGACAGATCACGCTGCGAAGTAAAATAGTATCTCCTGTGCCATTTCACTGCCCAAAGCGCCTACACAATCCTCGGCATCCCTTCGATGATCTTCATCTTCCCATGCCATGGTTTCCTGTGCTTGCGTGAGATTTCATGTTCAAGTGACAGATTAGCACGAACCTTGAAGGGTACGGCATGAATCGTACGCTGTCGAATTGCTTTGAGAATTGAGATGTCTTCTAATAGTTTAGTTGGTAGTGGTCCCACTGTCTCTGTAAAACTTCAGCAGACAAACTACCTACATGGAAGAAACTTACCCTCCCCAGGATCGCCCTCACCTTTCAGTGAATGCTCCGGGCGAGTAAAGGCGCCGTATCGGTGGCCATCGAGTATTGCCTGACATTCTTTAAGCGGGTGCCAGGTAAAGTCTTCCTGCGCACGATATATGATTGCAACACAGGACTTCATGAGTTTGACTTACTGGATCGGCCAGATACGATGGTGCGTATTCGCCTTTATATCGCATCTTCTGGCATGAATGGATGTAAAAGCCTTCAGCCGTGGTCGTGTAAGTTCGCAGGAAGCGTGACCTGATGGGAACCTAGATGCACATACCCATGTATAAATATTTTACAGATGTGCTCCCTGCGTCGTGAATCTCGAGCGCAAGAGCAATCTCGCGAAGGGCGCTCAACTAAAGACACAACCGGTTATTCATTGAATTGATCAGTTGGCTACTGAACTTACTTTTCCGAGCGAGAAGCGTTCGTAAGTGGGATTGTACATGAAATACACGCTTGAGACGCAGGACGGCAAGACGTCGATTACACCCATGGCAATCAGTTCACCGTCTAATCTATACAACTGATGATATGACCCATACTCGCGAGGGAGATGTGCAGGCGGCGAGTCCACATAGGGAATAGGATCTCTCTGTAGCCCCGCGAATCAGAAAACATGTTAGCGTGAGGCACTACAGCAAGGCAATATTAATGTTCTTACAGACAACGGCGTGTCAACTAGGAATCGCTTGAACGAATTAGGAGTATTGTCGCTATCATGGTGGATCTCCTCTTGATATTGCGTATACAGCTTATACTTCTCTTCGGTGTAGGACGACGGCTCTAAAGTGACCTCAAAGCGATGTATAGCAACCTTTCCGGGTGGAATGAAGCCCTCCTCTGAGGAATGTAGAGATGATACTAGCGAGAATGAAGCGGTGCTGCTCCCGCAAGTTCCAGTAAGTTAAAGCCGTCCCAGATGATATATGATACATCGCAGTTACACTCACGTTTCTTGAGAACCAGATAGGATGAAACGATTCCATCTTACGTAAGTGGTTTAGCTTTTAGTATAACCTATGTTTTTGGCACTTTGGAAAGCGCTCGAGATAGTGACAATCTTACCTGTTGGTGATCTTTCTGTGGCTACGACTAGGTTGAAACTTTAAGGCGTCCAACCTGAGTGCCATGAGCAAGCATTGAGGGACGATATTTTTTGATTGCCAACTTTATGGTGTATTGGGGGCAGCATGATCTTCTTAGGTTTGGTGCGTAGCAGTACCGACCCGAGCGCCTCCATCCACGATCAATCATCTTTTGATAGGTCTGAGGTAAAGATCGACGCAGTGAGACCGATAAACATGCTGACAAGTTTACGGGCCTTGGTGACGTACTTCACATGAAAGTATGTTTGCCGTCAAACTCGCTTTATGATGAAATCTCCCTTTACGGACACCATCTTCCTTGCAATAACCACAACTAGAAACGTACGAACCGTGAGGTTCCACAAGTGAAATAGGAGCCATCACCAAAAATCAAGGGTAAGACGAGGTAAGGTTGTGAATGTCACGCGGGAAGATGGTTCAACAAGTCAAGTGGAGACGTCAGGTTGACGCCCTCGCGTGTATCAGCCCCAGCCATCCCACCTTCCAAATTTACGATACTCTTGAAGTATACATGATCTACCCTCCTTCCGCTCACCATCTCGCTCCCTTTCTTTTCCCTTCGTACTCTCTGTGGCACTTGCCAAGGAGATAAGACTCGTCGTTCGTACGCGGGCCGACTTGGTAGGAGATCCAGGAGGGGACACTTCGCTGGGACGTGGGGATCCGGGACTAGATGATGTTGAGGGGACTGATAATCGATACCAGCCACCAGTATATGTAAGTGCTATAAATTGCGGCTCTGCCTGCTCCTCTATTGGAGATTCTGTGTTACTTGGACTGTGGATCCATGTCACCACGCATCGTTCCTCCTCTGGTCGATCAGCTGGTGACGGCTGCATTGAGGTTGAGAGAGAAATATGGGAATTTTGCACAGGTATCCGATACTGTGCATAAGACCACTGGGAATCAAAGTACTTCGGGAGGCGTAGGTAAGGTGCCAGATTAGAAAGTGTCGACTGTCGATTCCTGTGTGGATATCATGAGGAGGGTATGGGTCGGGAGAGACTGAAGACTCACGAGGACCCAGAGGTTAGCAATGAGAAAACGTGAACAGTGCCCTTGTCACTCCATACGCACATCTCGGCCTCATCAGGTCGAAACGAAACCCCGTAGATATCAGCCTTATCCGATCCACGGCGCAGTTCTCTGACTAGTTTACCCGTATACGCGTCCCAAGTGCGAACAAGCGTTCCCCTAGAGGAGGTCGTCGCTAATAGCTTACCGCTTGGGGTCACAGTCAACGTAGTCAATGCCGATTCATGTGCCGCTATGATGGAGACGGGATGCTTTGACAGAGGCTTCGCGGCTCTTGGAGGAGCGGATCTCGGGGAACTGGGGGAAGGGGGGCACGGAGGAAGATGTATAAGCTGGACGTGGCCCATTTGTCGACCAGGAATAGCTAGTAGGGTAGTGTTGGCATCGGTCGCAAGAGCGAGCAAACCTACAATGAACCACGACCATACGATGAGTATGCCCTGGCAAATGAACGCGAATGTCCTTACCGCGAGGGTTATCGCAAGTGTCCCATTCTCCTTTCCTGCTTACGGATTCTCCTATCTCGAAAAGTACGACCCGCCAACGGAGAGCCACAGCGACCCAACCTCTCCGACATGCGACACCACGTATTCGCTCGCGAAATTCAAGTTCGGCTACTTCTGCACCGATAGCATCGTCCCATAAGATGAGCTTGTTTGCAGGGTAAAGGGGGCTCCGGCCACCACCGAGAAGAAACAAGAGGGAGGAGGAATGAGAGGGAATCACCGAGGCAAGGGTGCCTCCCCTGAGTTCTGGACATCATCTGTCTTTAGCTATCGGACATAGACGCCATTGGCAGCGTAGAACAAACGCTTACCCCGTTTCCTAAGTAGTTGCAGCGGGCATGTACGGTATATTGCGAAACCTGCAGGTGTGGTTATGGCAAATATCTGGCGTTCAGGATCAAAGCGGATGTCGTAGATGATGACAGGCTCGGTCGCGCTGACAGAGTAACGCGCCAAGTTCATGGTGAGCCAGGAGGCCGCTCGTAGGTGCTGGCGGGAGAAGAGGTGTGTTGAAGTACAAGCCTGTGCATGCTGCAAAGTTGCAAAATAGGGACTTAATGCTATCAAACGGCGGAATAGCCCTGCCCTCCAAATGCGTATCGCAACGTTGGATTCCTATATGTGCTGACGTGATGAACCTGAAAAACATACAACTGTACAGTGGCGAACATCGATATGTTACACAAAGCATACAGAACAACAGGAAAGCATGATCAAAACCCATGAAACACCCCGCCACAACATAACCATCAAATTGGTGTGCGTCGTCAATTGCATGCCACTGCCTACAGTGCGAGCGTCATTTCTCCACCTCCATTCATCCACGGGCCTGGTGGGCGACTGGCGCAGAATTATAACTACTGTTCGAGAACGGCGCATAATGGTTCATCGCTCGGTTACTGTTGGTATCATCCCAAGCCTGGGGAGGACGCAAGCCCACTCCAGCGAGCTGCTGACGTGCAGCTCTGAACTCGAGCTCTTCAGCCTGATTGTGCGCGGCCAATCTTGCCTTCGCCTCGGCTTGCCGCTGCAATTCAGCATCGGATTCATCAGATAGGTAATCGGTGAATGCGCCGTCAGAGACCACAGTCGTGTCGGATGATGAGCCGTTTGAGCTGCCACTGTCGCTACTACTCTCTGAATGAGAATCATGATCCGCCGAGGAGGGGGCCAATCCCATCTTCCGGACGGAAGTAGTGATCTGGGACACTGAGTCGTTGCTCGGAGAGGAACGCTGAGTACTCTGCAACTCATTGCCTGACTTCTTCATAACAGAAGGGGGGAGCACCGAGGAGGCCGAGGAACGACCACTTGGCCGGCGTGACACAGAACCATCCATTTCAGTAGACCGTCGAATGGTAGAGCTCCGGGATCGTTCTCCGCCGCCTTCGGGATACGTTTGTTGCCGTCGCGGGGTATCATTGAGAACTATGTTCGTAGATGATGCTCGAGGGCTGGAGTTTGCCAGCGAATAAGTTTGCTGAGTGGGACTTCCATCCGATCTCCCTCTCGCGGAGGCTGCTAGCGTCTGATATTTGGCTGAAGGCGATGCGGGTTTGCCATTCACGTTGCTCCCGCTATTGCGACGATCCAGAGGAGGGATAGATGGTTGCTGGGCCGGGAGTCGAATGGTAGTGAGCCCCGGAATGGAGCTGCCTTTGGCGGCCAGAGAATCCAATACGCTCTTTATCTCCGGCGGTATGGGAACTCCATGGACAATGCTCACAGTGGGCCAATCCGCGGGCCCTACGAAACGCTGCTCACTGGCGGAAGGGGGACGACAACATCCCGGCCATCCAGGGTTTGGGTTTCCAGATAGCTTCGTTGGGGGGTTTACTTTGGCCCACTACAATCAAATATTTGTCAAGGCTTTGACGTGATATAGGTCGAACCAACGTGCCTTGCAGTATCCGCACCCGTTAAAAGCCTTGACTGTAGAGTCGATGAGTTGTGGATTGTATGAAGGAGGGGCGACAGACCTTCTGCATTCTTAATATACACGATGTCATGTTGAGGGTGTAGGGCCCGATTGTAACAAACGTCCCTTACGTGGGGACATCTGGCGTTGCGACAGTGAGCGAACGCCAAATGGCTGTGCAGCGTAGACAGAACAAACCTTGCCCCGCTCGGCTTAAAGACTTTGCACATGGGACATACATGAGACCTTGGATCTGTGTTTCCGTGGATGTAGCACATGATGGGAGGAAAGGCTTGGGGTAGAGCTAGATAGGATGAAGCTTAAGGCTGCTGATGTAGATGGCCCGTGCTTGGAGAGTATGTAAGTATATGGTTCCGCAAGATACTATAAAAGGGTTCCTGTTGGGTCTTCACAAGTTCAAGCTCAAGTGTTCCAGGCAAGGCTTGCAAAGCGGTGTATCAGAGCATTTGCATCTGTAGCCTGGCGGGATCGGCATCGACATGACTTGATATGATTGAGCGACAGACCACGACACAGGGCGATGCATTGCCTCGACACTTTTAGTGCAGCCTCGCTGTACCCAAGAGCCTCATGTTTTGTGGACTACACGGATAGCAGCATAAATGACTGCAAATTCTCCTTTCGGTAACCCAAGACGTTGATTTCATTTTCGTGGGAACCGAAACCCCTTTTCCATCCCGCTTCCCGTTATGAGATAGCAGACAAACTCCAGGCAGAGTACAGCAAACCCAAGCCCAAGGCGCACCGTCACGCATTCTTCCATCATTCATCGCATACACCAGGTCCCTCGCTGACACCATGGGCAAATCGCAGAGCAAGCTCTCTCCAGAACAACTGGCCGATCTTCAGAAGAATACCTACTGTAGGTCGCTTGATGCCCCGCTTGTCTTGACCGGTGACGTTATGCCTACTCGCAGTCGACAAGAAGGAACTCCAACAGTGGTGTGTTACTTCTCTCCGTTCATACATTTCACTTGTAAACGTGGCTTAGGTACAAAGGCTTCCTTAAAGACTGTCCTTCGGGCCAGCTGGACAAGAACGAGTTTAGCCGGATTTACAAGCAATTCTTCCCATTTGGCGATCCCGGTGAATTCGCAGACTACGTCTTCAACGTGTTTGATGAGAACAAAAACGGGACGATCGATTTTAAGGAGTTCATATGCGCTCTAAGCGTCACAAGTCGTGGCCGTCTTGATGAGAAGCTCAAATGTGAGTAATCTGTGATTGCCACGACCACGCTCATGACCAAGGTGGCCTTCAGGGGCTTTTCAGTTGTATGACATAGACAAGGACGGATTCATCACATACGATGAAATGCTCATGATAGTCCAATCCATTTATAAGATGACGGGGCAAATGGTGAAGCTACCTGCAGATGAGGACACGCCAGAAAAGGTGATTTGCAATCTGAGATTTGTTCTTCTTAGTCTAACCGTTGATATTAATGCTTGTAGCGCGTGGACAAAATCTTCAGAAATATGGATAGGGACAAGGACGCGAAGCTAACGTACGATGAGTTTGTCGAGGGCAGCAAGCAGGACCCCACAATCGTTCAGGTACTTGCCTCCTTGCTATTCAGGTTTCGCCATATAACATCAAACACAGGCCCTATCGCTATATGACGGACTGGTGTAGGACTAGACAACAGACTTTCGTATGATACCCTTCTTCTACGGCTCGCGGGTGCGGGTGCTGCTAGATAGGAGGAAAGACGGTGGCTCTGACCACATAAATATCCTCCTTCCCGCCCATCTGAATCGATGTACAAACCCCCCATTGGTGTAGCGGTATCTCACTTTATTATCGTGTACTTATCACAAAAATTAGCATTAGGAATCATCGCCACTCAAAATGTGGACGACGAAGATAATTTGCCATATTTACGTAGCACTCGTTCTTCTATATCCTCTCCTGTCCATCGGTATGTGCCTTCGGCGAAATCGAGGTTATCGCGCTCGGTTTTGAATAACTTGTTAACGTCCTGTGGCTGCCCCGGAGCCATCATGGCACCGGCACCGGCAAAAGGAGTTGCGGTCATGTCCCGAGAAGAGTCAGCAGCTAGAGAGTGGTTAGAGATCGTAGCTTGGACCATTTCGGACATTACCCACAATTGTCCCCACCAAGGATCAGGCGGTAAAGTCCATTCAAGCCGAAAAAGTTCAGAAAGTACCATGACAAAGAGGACACCCATCGAACATCCATGTCTGTCGTTTCAACACCACGCTGTAGCATTGACTTGAATCCGAGAGTAAGAGGGAACGGGAGTTTGACTCCATACAGAGATGGGTTAGAGCAAGTTGAGGTAGAAGGAAAACAAGAAGTACATACTGAGTACGAAGCCCTGGAAGAAGAAGTTGATCCAGCCCATGATGACCATTTGGGGTACCATCATGACCATCTGCGTTTTCATACCAGCCATCATGCCATCCATGGCTGCCGGATCGGAGAGGGGATTGGGCGCTGCTGAAGGCGCATCGCCTTTTGGAGGACCGTCTTTTAGGTACGCCCCAGCTTTAAATGCGTCAGAGAGATGCTGCGACATGTTCTTGTAGATAGATGGTGGCAGCGGGGATGCTATGGAAGTTGCACGAAGAATTTGGGCGCGCGTCAAAGCACGCCTGAACAAGAATGAACGAATGATAGTTAGCGCTGGTGGGACAAGTACACGTACTGCTCGCGAAGGGCAGCTCTCGAAAGTTTCTTAGGAGTAGACTGGAGGAGGACCACGATATAGTGGCGGAGTACACCAACCAATACCTAGCGAAAGACGTTATTCTTGGGGTGCATGTCTGGTGGGAAGGATATATTCACCATGACGAGGGTAATGGGAAACAATACCCAGTCCCTCATCTGAGGGTCTAGGTACAGTGACATGCTGGAAGGATAATGAGAGGGAATGAATGCGTAGACCTAGAGATTCACGTACGCTGCACTGTCTGCCATGCTGGACATTTCTGGTGAGGGAGGACGTGCGCGTCGACGTACCGAGTGGACCGGCTTTGGACAAGCTGACGTTCCCAGACGCGAATGTTTGTCCTCCCAGAATAGGAAGGTGTGTAACCACTACCCCTTTGGCTGTGGTGCCTATTCCCGCCCCTTCCTTCACTTCACTAACGCAACTTCACCATGGACAGCTCGCCCACCTCTCTCTTCGATTCTTACGAGCAGGAATTTCACCAGCTTATTGATGCTGTGCGCACAAAGCTAGATGGCGATGCAAAGAACGAGCAGGGAGGTTCGTCCTCGTTCGGTTGTTTTTCCGTAGTTCATTGTCTTAGAGTGTTCCAGAGCAGCGCAAGGCTGCCCTCAGAAGAGTCGAGATGGAACTCGATGAAGCAGATGAAATGGCGCGTCATCTACTTGCCTCCAATCGTGCTTTCATTGACACGCGTTTCTCTGTCATAGGTATCGCAGATGGAGATTGAAATCCAAGGCATACCCCAGTCCATCAAGGCTCAATACCAAGCCCGCCTCCGCACCACGAAGTCAGAACTGTCCCGGTACAAGAAACTCTCCAAGGACCTCCATTCGCACTTCAACCGCACCGATCTCCTTGCTTCTTCCGGCAGCCGGGTGGGCTCGCCAATATCCGACGACCCTTACGGCAATGCCAGCGACCGATCGCGTCTCCTCTCAGGCACGACAGTTTTGGAGGATGGCACACGCAGGCTGCAAGAATCGCAGCGCATTGCGCTGGAGACGGAGGGTCAGGGCGCCGAAATACTCATGAACTTGCGGCAGCAGAGAGAGCAGATTGAGAACGCTAGGGACACAGTGCGTGGGCTACATGGGTTCTCATGGGACGTTGACCCCAATCACATCTTTTCTAGCTTCATACCGCGGATAACGCCATAGATCGCGCTTCAGGGACACTCAAGAAGATGATCAGACGGTACAATATATTTCTCGACGCTGAGGAGTGTCGCTGACGCGAATGATTTATAGCATGTACCAACAGCGAGTGGTGACCGCTGCCATTATCATCGTCCTTGTCCTGCTTATCTGTATTATAATTTGGGAGAAGCTTCTCCGTTGACACTCTTTTCTGTTGGACATTCCAGTATTGCCACTATTTATGACAGTCATGCCCACTTTACCGCGACCCGACCAATTCAAGTTGAAAGCAAATTTACAGGGGTTAGTGATTATGCCAGTCATGTCACCATTGTGAATGAGAAACCAAGTAACGCTAAAACTACAAGTCGAGGAATATACGATAACGATAGTGAGGAGATGACCTGCACTCTTCTACATGGCTTGTCCGAATGACCCATGATTCTGCTCTGGGTGCCCTGGATGATACGCGTCCTGCCCGTACTCGTGTGGGTTGTAATCATGGGGGTTATACCCATAATGCTGAGCAGAATAGTCCTGCTGAACTGAATGAGGTGATACTCGACCGCCATAGACGTCATGGGGATCAGCAACATAGTTGGCGGCAACACCTGTGCTGCCATATGCGTTGTAGTTGTCAGCGCCATACGACTGGTATGCGACAGGTGCAGCGGCAGCGGCAAGGTTCACGGTACTGCCTTGATCATCATCGTACCCGTGATAGCCGTACTCCGCTGCGTATCCGGGCATAGGGGGGTAATTCGAGTAGTCGACTGGTGGTGAAGTGTGATAACTAGGGGCAATACTCTGCTGGTCCGATCCATAGTAATAGTCCGAGTGAGCATATGAGGGTTTGGGCTTCTTGTAAGACGCTACGTCAAAGTCATCGTCGTCAACGGACAGGTTCGGAAGCGTAGGTTGCGGCAATGGTTGCGCGATCAATTCTCCCTTCTTATTCTTGAGGTGCGAGTAATCGCCCATAGCTTCTTTCTTAGCTAGCTCGGCAGCTTTAGCAAGACGTTCTTTGTTTCGCCTTTTGATGACTTCAGCTATACGCTTGTCAACCTTGTGACAAATATATTCCTGGAGTGTATTTCTATAAGCACGAACATATTGATACCTGAATGTCGCACTGACCTTCAAGTTACCCTGGATGTAGCACAGAAGGGGGATGTAGAATATGCCAGCGGCAATGAGCAATAGCAGCGAACCAGCGAATATGACGACTGTGAAAAACGTTGTCACAGTGAGGGCGGTGGTTGAAAAGCTGCTGTTTCCTTTGAAATATATGGTCAGGTCCCACGGATTGCCATCATCCTTTTTGGCAAGATATATACTGTAAAGAGTCAGGGCATTGATGGTTTGACGGGGTGCATCCGATAGCAGAAGGCGTTTCCAGCCTGAAGGGAGGATGCTCAGATATATGTCACAATGGGCCCGCAGTTTGCTTACTCTTGAACGTAAAGAAGATGAAGAAAGCAAAATCATCCTTCTTTTTGGTGGAGTTACTGATATGATCGAAGAAACAAAAGTGATCATAGGATCCTAGTGGTCTGTCAATGAATATTCGCTGTAAAAATACTTAAACGCACGAAGGGAATAGTAGTGGTTGGCCATTATGTTCGTGAATGCGTACGAGATGTCACGACTAGCGATAATCCTCTTCGATTTCCGGGCTTCGTATGCAAGCTGCGCCAAATGAGAATGATGACACGAAGAAACAAAGGGTACAGCTTGCCAGTAAGAAACCAAAGATGATGCACCCCACAAATAGCCATCTACCAACGCCAAAGGGGATGAAGAAACACCCGGTCGATTGAGTAGCACAGTCGTTATATATTTGATTGGACCATGACTTGACGCCAGGGCTTAACATGGTTGTCGCCGTGAAGATGTCGCCAACATAGACGAGGAATGACTTGAGGATGACAATATACAACCATAGATACCTGTTGAATGTGAAGCATATGAATTTGCCGTACTTAAGAGCGACGGGCAGACAGCCGTGCATTGACATGTCTAACGAGGACAGGACATGCGAAGGAGAACTTACTTCATGCGCATCAAGAAACTGTTGTCAGTGAACTCGCGAGTGTCGACAAAGTCGAACTAGATGAGCGATGGTAAGAGCATAGATGGTGGGTAAGGGCATAGCGCGTACCTTGTGGTCTGGGACGATTTCTCTTTTCCATGCCGGACCGTCTCCACCCATCCTGATAGTGTAAATTCAGTTGGATGGATGATGGGGTATGTTGAATTGGTGTTGACGAGATGGACTAGTGTCTCTTGACAGTAGGACCAGCCAGTTGCATGCAAAACGAGGGTGGTGAGGGGGAAAGAGGGAGTTGGGTGGTAGGGAACGACAGGAGTTGCAGCGAGTCAGAGGGGGTAACCGTGAGGAGGCTACGCAGCAACGAAGAAGGAGGCAGCTGGGAAGTTGGTAGGGACGAGCGAAGAAGGAGCGGTCTGTTTCGAAATGAAAGGAGTGTAAAGTACTGTAATAAGTACTGTAGTGAGGGAGCTGGGATAGGTGGGAGGCGCCCCTCGGATGCAATATACTTGATATACTATTAATATCTCCGCTCGGTCTGTCAATCCCATTTGGGATATCACACATCCGTCCTCTTCTATTATCTGACCACAACAATGACGACTGTACAGAAAATCAAAGTATGACGGCGTTTCTTTTCCATAATCCGAGAGCGTCGCTTACCACACAATGGTCATAAAATGCACATAGGAAGTCGAAGATGAGATGGTATATACACATCAATCTCATGAACATCTTCAAGTTCTCCACTGATTGCTTGACGTTTTATCACAGGCAAAAAGTATGTTAGATCGTCGCTGTGCTTTACATTTGACTCATGACAACCGGTTCGCGGTGATTAGCCCAAAAAAATAAGGCCACGAGCTACCATCTTGGCCAGCTCAAGGCCAAGCTCGCAAAACTTCGCCGTGAACTTATCGCCCCGTCGAGCGGGGGTGGTGGCGGTGGCGGACTTGGCTTTGACGTGGCTAGAACTGGTGTCGCGTCAGTGGGATTTGTCGGGTTTCCGTCAGTAGGGAAGGTGTGAACCAATTTTCTTCAATAACGCAGACGTTTTGTGCGTTCTGAGAACATGTCGTCAGTCCACGCTCATGTCGAAGCTCACCGGCACACATTCCGAGGTGTCCGAGATTGACTTCACCACCTTGACCACTGTACCTGGCACGCTGAAAGTACACGGCGCACCAATACAAATATTAGATCTCCGTACGTGTTCTTCTTTGTCGCTCACTAGTCACTAATGTCTCCTAGCTGGAATCATCGAGGGTGCAAATGATGGTCGCGGAAGAGGTCGACAAGGCAAGGGCTTATCAGCAATTCCATTTATTCGCTTTCTGACCTGTGGTGTTGATAGTAATTGCGGGTAAGCTGCGTGTTCATACTTCTTTTTGTGAAGCTGAAGACTGTTGTCGAAGTTGCTCGTACATGCAATCTTATCTTCATTGTTCTCGATGTCCTCAAGCCCCTAGGAGACAAGAAGCTTATTGAAGCAGAACTGGAAGGTTTCGGAATCCGACTCAATAAGAAGCCACCATCGATTATTGTCAAGAAGAAAGACAAGGGCGGTATCGCTATTACGAACACAGTGCCTCTCACCAACATCGATCAGGACGAAATTAAAGCTGTTCTCAGCGAGTATAAGATGAGCAATGCGGATGTCACCATTCGTGAGCCAAATGCCACCGCAGACGACCTAGTAGATGTCATTGAGGGAAACAGGTCAGGCTTTGGATGTCATCTTTTGTCTACTACAACTCATTATGGCACACCCCAAACCAGAGTTTACATACCGGCAATCTATGTAAGTTCCTCATTGAACTTTCATACCGGTTTTGGAGATTTATTACATAACCACAGGTGTTGAACAAGGTAAATCTTACTTCTAGGAAACGAGACACGAGACCGATTTTTCTTGCAGATTGACGCTATCTCGATTGAGGAGCTCGACCTCTTGTAATTGTCCAACTCTCATTTAAGTACTAATCGGTCCGTGCTAACTGCATGATCAGATACAAAATTCCCAACAGTGTACCCATATCCTCGAAAGAATGGCTTAACGTGGACGAGCTCATAGAGAGCATGTGGGAAGCACTTGACCTTGTCCGTGTGTACACCAAGCCACGAGGGCAATCGCCAGATTATTCCGCCCCTGTGGTATTACGGAGAGGGAAATGCACTGTTGAAGATTTCTGCAATGCCATTCACAAGGAGATTGTCAAGCAGATGAAATAGTACGTTACTTGGTGCCTTCATATTAGTCAACTTTAACGTTTTTGCAGCGCTATAGTTTGGGGGTCTAGTGCGAAGCACGCCCGCGGTCAAAAGGTAGGACTTGAGCATGTCCTTGAAGACGAAGATGGTAGGTTTTGAGTTTTATCGCCAACTAATCGACCTGACTTTTGACGTTCCTTCAGTCGTTCACATTTCCAAAAAGTGAACAGAGTATCTTCTGTTCACTATAGCTATATCAATCCTAAGGAATACGAGTAACATGTTCTCTATGGAGGTTCATATTTGAGTCTATGCCTGCTCCGCCACTTGCTGTAGATATAGAGCGCTCAACCTCAAGAAAGCCAACACCTGGCCTAGTGCGCAATAAACGCTTGTGATCATAAGCGGCAAGAACTCTAGGGAAGTCCCACGAGTGAAGATAGGGAAAAGAGTGACAAACACTTGAAGAAATATGAAGCCTGCCAGATAAGCATTCTCCACAACTTCAAGAATCACTGTGGGAGCTGAGGTAGGAAATCTGGAAAAAGGTCAATGTCAACAAAGCATATTTCCACGATGGGACACACTGATAAAGTTGTCGGTGTATCGGAATCAACGCAACACCCCACATCAACGTGTACAGCAGCTCGACACCGGCCTCTGTTATGAATTAGCCGGAGCGGTCAGTACACAACGGATGATGTTAACTGACCTGTGGGAGTAAATAACAGCGGGAATAGGGAAAAGATGCCAGAAACACTAGCGATTACGAAAGTACGGAAATGAGCATAGCTTTCACTGGCGACCAAACTGCACAAAAACGTGTCAATATGTGAAGGCGTTACTCAGGGAAACAGGTTTAAATCACCTCAGCGGGACTAGAACCAGCAGAATAGCTTTCTCGTGGACGTGCCAGCCGAACATAAATGACACGTATCCGCAGAGTGTCAACGCTGTCACGAACGACCTATAACTGGGCAGCCTCCAGAGTTTAATCAAAAATAACTAATGCAAGTCGTCAGATATTCCAATCAACAGGGATGAACAATCTTACTGCCTGCAATGCTACAGTGATTACAAAGGTATACGAAGGCTTAATGTTGGGAACGACCGCGAAGACAGTGTCTCCGACAAGACCACGCGAAGTTGATGCTACACCCATATGGTTCAGGGAAACGCTCAGCTTTGCAGACCTGACAACTTCGTTGAGGTTGGGATCAGCATTTGCAGGTCCATCCGGATTGATTTACCTTGGAGAAGTACTCGGTCAGCGACAGTAAGCAATGCCCAAGCGTTAGGCGCCCAGTAAGCATGGTTGAGACCTCGAGTAAAAGGGAAGAGCCGAGACAAGAGTTGAGGCAACTGGCCCATAAGGATGAACGGTCCAAGTGAGACGAGGAAGATGGCGATGACAGCATTCGCAAGCACAACAAAATTCTTCGGTTGGATAGCCCCCGAAGGAGTCATGCAATAAGCCCTAAGAAGCCAAACAAAGTAGGCAGGCTATGGGACAAGGTCAGCATCAGCACCCCACAAAGGTAGTTACAGGCGTCTTACAGCTAAGTACATATATATGTGTTTGAAGTTCAGCAAGATGGCAAAGAAAACGCCGCTTGCTAGCTTTCGGCCCTGGTGAAATCTGGATATGACACATGGGTAATGCTGTAAGCTCTGCCACCTACCTCGTGTGCCATGAAAATAGAATAGACTAGTAGCCCAAACATGAATCCATTGTACTGGAAGTGCACATGATCGATGATCAGGAAACCAGGGTGGAAGAACAGGGAAGCTGCTAAAGTACGTTGCTGCGAAGTAGCACTCGGGGCGCGGGTGAACCTATGGGTTTGGCATGATTCTGACGTTTTCCAAAATTGTGCGGTAATCCTCACCTTAGAAGGGCTACCCCAAGTGCAACCTCTGTCAAGATGACTGAGGTCCGTTGAAACGCAATAACCGACCAGGCGTCGTAGTTCAGGTTGTTTACTTTCACAATGTTCTCGTCGACCAAGGCTGCCGGGATGGACATAATCTTTTCGAAGAGAGCAAAGAACGGCGGATAATCCAATGCTAGGAACAATGAGACATGGCCCAGGGACTTCGTCTACCGAAGCAGACTCACTCCATTCTGATGTAGTCTAAATAAAGGTTAGATGTTGTAATCAAACACGAAGTACTATAGACGTACGTCGTAGTACCATTGGGATATAGGAAGACTATAAGTAATAGCTAGCCAGTTACGGTGGACTTCGAAATCTGTCGAGCGACTAGCACAGTGAGTCAAAGCGAGAGGAGCCGTCGAGCTGTCTTACTACGCAGAGAACAGCAAAGCCTTGAAGGCAGTGGCAATGACAAGCAGATCGATTTCAGACCGTGACAAACTCCACCATATGGACTTGTCCGATGGAAGTTGACTTGGTTGTGGCAATTTGTCGTTCTCGGACATTGTGGGTGTGCTTCCTGGAGCGCTCGTCATTTTCGGAAATGAAGGTTCACACAGAAACCTGCCAGCCCTAGTCCAATGGAGAGAGCGCGTATATGCAAAGGTTTGTAGCCCTGCTGATCTGATACCTTGACGGTCTTTATGAAAGGGAATGAGCGCGCGCGAGCAGAAACGGCAACTAGGTCGGACCTTTAGTGGGAAATAGCCCCTATTTACGGTATGTATGCATACGAGTGAGTGTGATAACTTCTCCAAAAATCTTCAAATAATCTTTCACATTTAACTGCATTCACACAGGCAATGAAGCTGAAGCGCTGAAGCATAATCACTTCCGTTTGTGCGATTTGTTAGGCAAGTACATGAGGCAATTCACTAGAAGTAGTCTGGTTCTTGGTTGCAGCTACATCATCCAAAGCGATAATGACGGCTCGATAAACTTCTCCAGGTGCATCATGGTGTACCCAGTGGGCAGCTCCGTCTACACTGAGAGCGCGTATATGCTGGTATGGTTGCAAGAGCTCCATTGGACAAGCCGTGTAGCAGGATGGATCTCCTGTTAGTATCGTGACTTTGATATTAGATGGCGTATCGTTCAGGAGATGTGTGAACGAGAAGTTTTGATTGCACTGGTATAAAGACTCGAGGTCAAGTTTAAGATGCACAAGTTTTCTCATGACTTTACCTGATAAAATGCGGTAGGAAACTCGGGGTCTACCAGATGCAGTCCCAGAGCCCTCCATACGGCGTCCTGATAACTCCATAGAGGATTTTCGGCCTTATATACCTCCGGCTGGTGAATAACAGACGTTTGTTCTCGCCACCACGCCGGCCTTGCCGCAACTACTTCGGGGGAGTGATACAAGGGAGGGTCAAGAATCAGAACCGCTGTGGGGTGAGGATTGGGCAAGTAGGCCAGGAGGGCTAAGGCGACAAGACCCCCAAGCGAGTGTCCAACGATGAGATCAAACGTCTTCCACCTATGTACCAGTGGCAAAAGATCCTCCGCTATTGACTGAACGTTCAGATTCTTGGGGTCATAGCTTCTGGACGCATGCCCTACGAGGTTGGGCGCCATGACATAGAATCCTGCTCGGACATGGATAAGAAATGGTGTGCAGGGCATATATCTACAAACCATCTCACCATGGAATGCAATCTCTGGTGCGATCCTGTGCCAAGTACCGGCTGAGGATGTCAGACCATGGACAAATAGGGCTCGCCTTGGGGCATTGACGTCCCCCCATGTAGTCGTTGACGTGTCAGAGGACATGGTGGAAGCTCAGTTCTAGGCGAAGTTCCCAGATAACGGGCCATGGGACACCTTTATGTGTGTAAATTTAGAGAATTCTGGAAGCTGAGCTGGTTTGCCGACCAGCTAATGTGACTTGACATTTGAGACATATGCAGGGCTTCTGCTAATTGTCCACGGTGAAGTTGGGACAGGTGGCGAACACGAGGTGCCCACAAACAGATAGCAGCCATTTTCATTTCTGGCTAGGATTTCCTTAGCCCAATGTTGCCCGAGGTTGTTCATTGCCGGACTCAAAGTGGGGATTGTGTGTAGTATGCAAGTAATTGGGCGTCCGGGTCTAAACGTTTACAGGGGGTTTCATCGGACCCCATGAAATGCCCATGACGCGACATTCTTCCAAGGCTGCGCGCCGCGTGTAAACGTTTAAACACTGACTGCTACAATTTTCCAAACATGAACCCACAAGGTGTGCCCGCCGAAGCCACTGCAAGAGCGGCATCAAGGCATGTATATTGCTAGTCTTCTCAGATTGAAGATTAAAACTTGCTCTTAGAAGCACCCTCATCAAACTGGTGATCTTTAGTGTCTCTCTCGCTGTCTTACCTTTGTCCTCCTACTTTTTGTCACAAAAATATGTTTGGGCAGGCGCGTTTTTGTCACGAAATTTTCTTGCTCGGAACTAACTGATCCTAGGTAACGCGAGTTATGCTGCTATAACCGCCATATTCATGGCAAACGCGGTCCTTGTCGCGTACATCATCTCATCTGTGTTGGAAGACCAGCAGTCTGCACCACCTCTGAAGGCGGCTGCTACAGAGCTGGAGAGCAAAAAGCAACGTTAATGAGATGCAGTCTACTAGTATGATTGTGGTTTCCGTTAGCACCATTGCAGCTCACGGGGGGCTACGAATTACTATGACATTGATGTTTGCTGTCCTGCACAGTACTTGTACATAATGATGAATCGAAACATTGCTGCCAACTCTCTGGCATTGTGATTTATTCCTTGACATTCGTGTTATTGAAGGTGTGATTATAGTTGTGCAGCCAGGCTGGTGATTTCATGAAGAATTAAGAGAAAAGCAGATTTATATCCCGCGGCAATATTAATAGCACGATGCATGTACACGTACGTACGCTAATTATAAGAGGCGGCTCGGTACAAGTATGTGAACGTATTCCTGTGAGTGTCCGTAGCTATAGGAGGGTGCGCATGAGTAGTGTTGCCGCATTTAGCGAACTGGCTGGAACCAAGTCAATGAAACTTGTACTTGCACTTACTATCAGTCCAGATAACACACCTCGGCGCTGTGTAGAGGCTAAAAACCACGAAGACTAACACTCAGTTGGTCGGGATTGTCGCAAGAAAGGGTATTTCAAGGAGCCAATTTGAGCTGGTTTCTCGAACCGCGGCAACACTACGCATGAGCATGTGTCAGTCGTCGTCCGTGATTATTTGATCAAGCCGGATAAGTTTGCTCATGAGGCGGATATAGAAGTACAGTACAGTTTACATGGATAACAAATCTAAAAACATGCATAGTGGATATAGTGGAGTGATGTCAATGCAGCAATAGTCATACACGGAACAAAATAAAGAGAACGCGATCAGAAATCCTCGTCCAAAGAGCTAAGGGAGGCCGCTTGTCAGGGTTTCTTCAAGTAAACGGCGAAGAGAACACTCACAAGGCTTTACTCGATGCGGCTTCTTCAGTTTGTGTGTTGTTAGAACTGGAGTGGTTGACATTGGCCTTTGAATAATCGGAAACTCGTTTCTCAAAGAAGTTTGTCTTCCCTTGGAGGGAGATCATGTCCATGAAGTCGAAGGGGTTGGTGACATTGTAAACCTTGTCGTTACCAAGTGCGACAAGCAAACGGTCAGCGACGAACTCGATGTACCGGCGCATCAGCTTGGAGTTCATGCCGATGAGGGCCACAGGCAGGGCATCTATCATGAGGGTAAGACAGAAGGTAAGCGCAGGAAACTATCATACGGACCAGTCAAGAATTCTTGCTCGATGGTCACAGCCTCAGTGATGATGTGACGCACAACCTCGGGATGAGGACGACGCTTCATGTGGGTGAAGAGCAAGCAAGCAAAGTCGGTGTGCATGCCTTCATCACGGCTAATAAGCTCGTTTGAAAATGTCAAGCCCGGCATCAGGCCACGCTTCTTCAACCAGAAAATGGACGCAAAGGATCCAGAGAAGAATATACCCTCGACGGCGGCGAATGCAACGAGGCGCTCTGCGAAAGTGGAGCGCTGGTCCGAGATCCATCGAAGTGCCCAGTCAGCTTTGCGTTTAACACAAGGAATTGTTTCCACGGCGTCAAAGAGGTATTCCCGTTGAGCAGGGTCCTTGATGTAAGTGTCGATGAGGAGCGAGTAAGTCTCCGAGTGGATGTTCTCCATCATGATCTGGAAACCGTAGAAGCATCGAGCCTCAGCAGCCTGAACCTCGTTGGAAAAGCGCTCGACAAGGTTCTCGTTGACAATACCATCAGAAGCGGCAAAGAAGGCGAGAACATGGGAAATGAAATGTCGCTCATTATTGTTGAGACGGTTGTTCCAGTCATGGAGATCTTTTGATAGGTCCATCTCCTCAGCAGTCCAGAACGAAGCCTCAGCTTTCTTGTACATCTGCCAGATCTGAACTTCGATGAGGACCTATGGTAACTTTGAAAGCAAATGTAGAGACAAACCTCGTGATATTGAATGGGGAACAGAACGAAACGACGCTTCGACTCCTTAAGGAGTGGCTCCTCCGCTAGGAAGACATGTTAGGAGATTTAAAAAGAGTCATTCGCTCTGACATACACTCAGGTAGATTGATATCCCCAACGAACTTCGTGCGAAGTTCCTCAAGCGGGTCTCTTGCCTCCACGTCATCCGAGGTTTCCGAGCCGAGGGTGTCAGGTGAGTTAGAGCGACGCTTGTCGTCGACGAGAGGAGTTTTCTTAGAAAGCTTGGTCTTTGTTGGGGTCTCCAGAGAGAAGTTAGCTAACGCTTCCGCAGCCTTTAGGATTTGCAGTTAGTCACTGGAGCTCTAAGACAACCACGACAAGCACAAACCTTTTTGCTCGGGGTTGGGCCCGGCGACGGAGTACGAATATGACCAACAACAGAAGACATGTCGAGAACTGACGAGGAGGTTATAGAGGTGTAGAGCGGAAGTAGGATGGTGCTAGTTTGAAGCTGAGGAAAAGACGATACTCGAGCAGGTTTTTATGCAGGTACGCTGAGTTGGGCGTGTTTGGCTAATTCAACATCCCGCGTCGCGTTATTTGAATCTGTTGTGGACGCGACCGCGTTTTCACCGCCACACTAAAAAATCCAATAGACCGGGGCGGGCTTCCGAGATCCTTCTGTTACGTCAACCTGGTCCTGAGGTCCTCCAGATCGGGAATTTTACTCCTGAGACAGTACCGTACATCTATTCAGCTTGTCACATCGTACAAGTACTTTCCACCACATATGTCCTGCTCAATGATCAGCTCAGTCTCCAACTGTGGGTTCCAGAAAGATATGTTCACTCCAGGATCTACCAGGGGAACAACCCGTCTATGATGAGGTCATTGTGTTAGAAGACAGCTTTATGCATACGGCTTTACACGTGAGAGACAGTAATCACACTAGAGAGAAGACGGTCGGACACCGGCTTTTCCCTGGGATATTGAATACTCGGGGAAATGCCGCTTGCAGCGGCAGAAACCTTGCTTGACGCTGGAGCTTGCATTGAAAATTATTTCGAACCATGCCTATTCACCATGAAGCCAAAATGTAGACACTAACAAACCATCAGAGACAATATTACTGTAGCTACACGACCTTAAGTTCAACAGAAATTTACGTGACGTGTGACGAAAATCAAGTTCAAAAAAGACAGTAGTTCAAAAGTCTGGCGAACGCGTGATCTTGAACTTAAGGTGTTTTACCTGACCAGCATGACACTATCGAATGGTCTTCAACTACACAAAACTTAGGCTTGAGCTGGAGCCACGGAATCAGCCATTAGATTCAAGTTAACCCCGTTTGTGAGATTGTCACTCCGACGGTTTATAAGAAGCAGTCATTAATATTCTCCACCTTCAACAACATCAACGTCAATTGCAGGTTAACTAGTACTCAGGCCCAGGCCTCAGCGCTTCCGTGGTGTGCCCAGTAATTTGCCACCATTCATAAACGACGTGATAAATGACCCGGTCTTGGGAGTGAACGGACCTACTGTACCGCTTTCTTTTACCTGACTCGTTGAACGGCTCGGATTTAATGAATCCAGGAAAGCACGAAGATACATACCCAGGTGAACATGGTCGTTCAGCACAGGCACATGAAAGTCGCTTCCAGGCTATGAAATGCCCATGGCACGTTGGTTTATCACTTACAAGTATGATGTGTTGATAAATCAAACTCAAACTTGCTTCGTTCAGTTTGTCACGCGTCGAGGTTCCAAGACCCCTGTGATGAGTGACAAACCGTGTCGTAAGTTCGCTAGATCCGCCAGGTGTGATGCGTGACGAACTTAAGGTCGTGTAGCTACAGTACTGTACCATTACGACCTTAAGTTCACGGTGGCGTGGGAAGTTGTTAAATTAAATTTCGCCTGTCCACCCCAACAAGTTCAACGGGTAGGTGGCCTGGTGGACATTGTTCGTATTCTGGAACAGAAAACGTTAAATATTGCACTATTTCAGGTCAAACAATCCTCTCAACCTTATCCCGAAGTGAGAATAGCATTACAAGAGATATCAGTTGATGAGAACGTTTATGAGTGTTATTTGTATATTTATTCTATTTTTGGTGTGATTTTGTTGTTTGCACATCTGTCCACCTCTCTAAGTTCGGATGGGTCGACAGAGGGTGGACTGTCCACCCTAACTAAGTTCAGTTCGAGCCCCGGGTGGACAGGGGACAAACTTAAGGTCGTAATGGTACAGTAATGCTAATGTATGATAAGTAACGTAGCCAGTCTAGACGACATTCCATATTTGAGGAGTTTACCACTGTGGTGATCTTGTTGAAGGAGCAAATGCGCCGTGCAGATGAAGTATGGAACAATTCCCTCCAGCATATGTGTTGGACTAGGGAGGATCGGACTGAGCCTTGAGGAAGGCACGGTGCGTAGTTTAGGGCCAGCATGGCCAGTGTAGTCAGTACATAGCGTGTTCGTAGTCACTCATCCCTGCTATACGAGTACTCTCATCATCGTTGTCTCCAGGACTGACCATCCCAGCGTTAAGTGTGGTCAGGTCAAAGAGCATTGTATCAGCATGTTGTGCATTCTGGTACAGAAAAGCCATACCTGTGTCAAGACCTGTGTTCTAGCAACATTCAGTGAAGAGCCTTGACTCGGAGTTTATCGTCATTAATCACCGTGACCCATTGCCATGCTGTGCAGACCTTTTAGGATGAATCGGCCATTCGAAAGCACTATTCAACTAATCAAGTACCTCTCTTTTGTTGGAATGTGAGGATGCACCGCTCGACGCAATGGTGACACAGCAATGTGATGACGTGACGATGTGGCAAGGTGACAAATGTGAAGGGAGAGAAGCGACTATACAGGTGTCCTCAGCCACCGGTTGATCCTCATTCACTTGTACTACGAGCGTGTGAGGGTAAGCCAATCTCGTCGTCTAACATACGAACGTTACTTATGATTGTACCTAGTCTGATATTGTCTAGGTACATCAATATCATTCGCTTGTACTACGAGCGTGTGAGGTCTGATATTGTCTAGTTTTGACATCTTTATCTGTAGAAAATGAGGTAACACCTTAGAAACCTAGACACGCATGTAAATGCAGAAAGTCTCTGATATTCACCTAAAGTAACGCGTTGGAAACTACAAGAAGGAATGTAAGCAAACAGTTACTAACCATTCGGTACACAAAAGAACGATATAACCCAGACGCGCATGAAGGCAGAAAGTCTGCGGTTCAGCTACAGCTATAGCGGGTATACGTACGGGTGCACACAGAGCACCCGAGCCGGACAGCAGTATCTTAAGTGGGACGAGAAGCAATTACCATGAGCTAGAGCAAGTGAATAAGAGATGAGGCAGAATGAAAGTATACTGAGACTCTATGAATCCGACATGCCTCTGTGGCTTGCTAACCCAGCACCCCTCCTCAAACCTCGCGGAGGCCAAGTTCGCAGGCAAAATACTTGACTTTGGCCGAGGGGAGAGCCTCTGTGAAGGCACTGGTAACCATCTCTTCAGTTGGGCAGTAGACGAGACACATGGGACACCCTTCAATAACCCAACAAATGAAATGTCAATGAATGTCGATGTTTTGAATGAGTGAGTGATATTGGTGGTTGTGAGCGAGCGTAATGGCTGACTGATTGTCTAAAAAGAGTTTGGTGGGCTCATCGAGTGGTCCGATGACTTCTCGAATGAGAGAACACAACCGGAGTGTCTTCTTGGCTGTGTGCATTGTGGCAATGTACTCGCTCTCAGTCGTCGAGAGCAATACAACCTCCTGCCACTTTGTGCTCCACGAGACGGTGTCTCCGTCAATAAAGAACGCATAGCCGGAGACACCCGACGGTCTTCCGCCATGCTGCCGTTGGTGTCTCCGTACCCAACAAGCTCATGCTGCCATCGGTGTCTCCATACCCGACAAGCTCATGCTGCTGGTCACCGTACATGAACCAGAGCCCCTGCGTGCCTGTGAGATAGCGGAAACCCCCCCGGACCATGTCCCAGTATGCACAGCCGGAGTTGAACGAAAAGTGAGAGAAAGTGGCAATGGCGAACGTGATGTCTGGCCAGGTCGCCAGCCGTGTGTGCATGCATGAGCACACCGACCACCTCGGGGTACGGTATGTCTCGCATTGCCACTATCTCCTCCATTGCGCAAGGGGCCGTGGCGGTCGTCAGGCATGCATGGGGGTCCATGGGCGTGGATACAAGCTTGAGTTCATCGAACCGAAACAGCGGAGGATGGAGGTGATGTACAACTGCTGGGAGAGGTGGATGGTACAGGTTGCCCAGTCATGCTTGACTTCAATGCCCAAGAGCCAGTGCAACTCGCCGAGATCAGGAACCTCGACATGCTAGCGCAGCCACACCTTGAGGAATGATGATGAAGAGGGTGTTGGCGTCCCGGCGATAGAACAAGCATGGAGCAGCGGTGAAGAGATTTGGGATATGGATAGTATTGTGTATGAAAGGGAAGATGTATTACACTTCTGGACTGCGTCGACGTTGTACTGGTGCTGACTTTGCCTACTTATTACTAGTGTCTAAAGGCTATACTTTACTTACCAACCTAGAATAGCGAGCTTTGTTTGTACTTATGTGGCAGGCGCGACGTTCCCACGCAATAAAGGGGGTGACAGAAACCTTGCCAAGCAAGGTAATCAAAGGACGTTTACTCCGGCCGACTTGGCAGATAGGTCATACGGAGGGGTTGGCGAGCCGGAGGCGAGCAGAGAAGCTCCCGAGGGGTTCAGCCTCCGGGAGGCCCAAAAATGGCAAGGGGCCGGCAATTTAGGAGCTGTCACGTGACACGGTCTGGCTCACTTGGCGGAGAGACTTAGGTGCTTCGGAGGCGACCGTCCAAATATGGTAATAAACCTACTTGACCGATTATGACCGAATGGACCGAATGGACCGAATGGACCGAAATTAGGTGGACCCCTCCGTATGGCGTAGCTGCTGGCCGACTTAGTAACGTTCGGTGATATCTCCGATCCACTACCGTGAGGTATCACAGGGTGCATAATCAAAGAAGCGGATGGAAGTTATGCTGACAATATCTGAAAATTAATCCAAGTATCTTAACCGTAACTTTGACCATGTTACTTACCATTTATGCAAAGCAGCTACTGTAAATAGGAAGTGTGGGGGCAAATTTGAAATAGATTATGCAAATCTCCCCTAAAGTTATGTTAAGGATATTCAGAGTAAATTACACATAATAAATTCAGTATAACATCCGTCCACTTGTTTAATTATGCACCCCGTGTATGCATCCTGTGTCCTTCGCCTCCTGATAACCGATTTATAGCTTTGTACTGGACGGCCGAGGAAATTGATCTATCTGTTGGAATTCAGATCTTCAGATCGAAGGGTGAGAAGATAATCGACTAGATTATTCATAGAAATATCTCTGGTAATATAATTACTTATAGTACATCAGGTGAGTGGTCTGTGCGTTCGACGCGAATGCACAGTCATTGTATATACGTGTGTATCTACATTCCATCGAGCATATGCTGCTCGATGCATGTGTTAGTCTATCCGCTCCATCTGAAAAAGTGCAAAAGAATTACGGGCTGTACGCCCGTGATAATCTGGAAGTAATATAACAACAGTTTTTCAAGCAAAAAGAGGAATTCTAACTCATAGTCACATTGATGCCCTACTGGTAAAGGCTCGTAAGGCGTCGTCATGGGTTATCATTTTGGGGCAAAATTACCACGGTTCGCAAAAATAGCGGTGATTTGATAATGCATGACAAGCTATTAATAGGCTTAACAGGTGCTGATAAAAGGCCGATTTTTAGGAGCAGTAAGTGTAGTTCATATAGAAGTATATATATGTACTATCTTAGCAAGATTATATGGCTTCTTGGTGTAGTGGGTAACTCTCTTAGCGTGCACTGAGAGTATAGTTTAAGGCTGCGTGTTCAATTCCCGCATACTGCACTAAGACAAATATGTCGGCCCACTTGTCTACTGCAGCAAGATGTGTAGGGTCCTAAGTAAGCGGGCAGGTGTTCTTTTTCAGTCAAATTTGAAGCCATATTTTCAGCACGGTCATATTGACTGATCATGCTCGTAAACTCTGGTAACATCTTGCAATATGACAATATCCCACTGATTTGACAAATGTCGTGCATCCATTATCATGCTAACGACCTTGGTTTATCTGAACGAGCCTCACGACCGTTATCATGTATTTTAAGTTGTTATAACACCTGTTAACACGGGTGCACTTTTTCAGATGTCCGAGCGCCCTTCGGGCTGCTCGGGCGTCTTCTATTCTTACGTGCCGACCATTGTATGATGGACACAACATGAGGAATATGCCTGTATATACAGCGAAGATACCGCGGTGCATTTGATTGACATTATTATATGTAGCTACATTCTGGGGGAATATACACATTGGAGATTTTTTACCTGTCATTTTCCTGAGTTCAGGATGGCAAACTTCGACGTAAATAATCTCATAATATCTTGTGATGTAAATTATGTAAGTAGTGATATTGTCTCTCTTTCGTAAAACGTCCGAACTTTTACGCTGCTGCCAAGTTTAAGTACAGTGCCATTGCTAATTGAAAGCCTGCTATCTTTGCTCAGCCCAGAGCTTTCATCTACTAATCATTCTAATGGTATGGCCAAAAACTATTTGAGCGTCCCCTCTTGACCTTTCATGCGATTAGCTTCGACGTCAAGCGCGTGAACGCCGGCAATATGTCTATGCAAAATCGCTAGAGGCCCAAGAAAAGCAGACGTATGAACGGAAGAGGCAGATCAAGGACGCATTAGCTAGCGGTAAACAGCTTCCCACTGAGCTCAAGAAGGATACGAAAGATTTGGGAAGAGACTTAGCTTTCGACGAGGCGCAGGAAGGTACGCTCTCCCTCGCACCCCTTGATTGTGTGTTCATCTATTGTTCATCTCCCTGTTTAGAACCTTCAAATCACATAGACAACGAGTACTCTCGTGCTGGAATAGAAGACCCAAAGATTCTCATCACCACCTCACGAGATCCTAGTTCCAAACTGCTTCAGTTCGCGAAGGCGAGTCTTCCTCAAACATTCACTGCGAATCGCTACTGACTTCGTTTTCATGATGCAGGAAATGCGCCTGGTTTTCCCGAACTCGCATCGAATAAACCGCGGCAACTATGTCGTGAAAGAGCTGGCCGAGGCATGTCATGCAAATGCGATCACTGATCTCATCGTCCTGCATGAGCACCGAGGAATCCCAGGTGCGCGTACACCCCCATCTTGACTAGAACATCCGCTCAATCCGCTTCTGAAGATGCCATGATAGTTTCCCATTTTCCTCATGGACCAACAGTCTACTTCACACTACATAACGTAGCCCTACGGCATGACATCGCTACTTACAAATCATCAACAGTCTCCGAACAATATCCTCATCTCATCTTCGAGAATTTCTCTTCCAACTTGGGGGTCAGATTGCGAGACGTCTTGAAATTTCTTTTTCCAGTTCCAAAGGAGGACAGTAAACGCGTCATGACGTTCTCAAACGAAAATGACTATATATCATTCCGGTAGGTGTCGAGGCGGCCCAATGACTTCTCTGCTTAGTATCATCACCAGCCACCACGTTTTCCTTAAAATTCCCGGTGACGTTCAGCTTGCAGAAGTTGGTCCTCGCTTTGAAATGAAACGTAAGCACTGTTGCCAGTCCAACGACAGTGTACTGACGGCAGGTGTAGCGTATGAGATCCGACAGGGCACAGTTGAGCAGACGGAAGCAGAACGGGAGTGGGTTCTTGCACACTATTCTCGGACAGCCAAGAAACGTAGTTTTATTTCTGGTTCGAGAACGATAACCGATCCTTCTCAACTCCCCGCAAAACGCCAACGATGAACCCGTTGTATGCAACGGGTGCTCCATAACAAAAGGCTGCAATAGTGTACAGCGACCACTTCATCTCTGTCTCATTAATCCATTGCGAGGCTCTTGTCCAGCTCCGAGAATCCCTCGAACAGAGAGCTGAAAAGGTCGATGGCGTACTGAACATCATGTGAACCCCCAGTCTCCCGGATAGAATGCATGGATAACATCGCGTTTCCGACATCAACAGTGCGAAGGCCGTTCTTCGATAGCATCGGTCCAACAGTGGAACCACATGGCCTGGGACGGTTTAGTTCGGTAAACATGCACGGCATCGGGGACTCACATGTCATTCCGCACTTCAAATTCTTGTACCCTGCCACCTTTGCGCTCCACCAACTGTTTCACGAGGAAAGTACCAATCGCATCACTAGCATATCGTTGTTTTGCGTTGGTCTTGATGACGATACCACCATTCATGACTGGACGGTGTTTGTCTTCGTGTTTAGATGCGAAATTCGGGTGAACTGCGTGTCCCATGTCGGCTGATATGAGGATGGACCGTGCAATAGACTGTCCAAGAAGAGAAGGAGTCGGAGAAAGTCTCTCCAGAAGAGAGGGGATCAACGAAGATTCTGCTCCAGAGGATGAGACGCTGCCAATTTCCTCGTGATTAAACAAAGCAATGCAGTTGACGTTGTCTTTCTGGCTGGCGAAGGCCGGGGTGCTGACATGATCAGCAAGAGCCTCAACGGCGCAGAAACTGAAACGTCCGAATAAAAAACCTTGAAGCAACAGCTGGCTTGCATAAAGAACTCACGAAGACATGAGATTGTCGAGTCGCGGACTAAAGACAAACTCGTTATTCAGTCCACCAAGGACACTAGGCTGAGTGTCATATAGGGACCTGTCCGATAAGAATGATGATAAATACTCAATACAGCGACGATTGCACTTACAATTCGAAGTCGTGTATTTCCCCGGGTGTTACACCGAGCTCTTGGGCTATGCATGACAACAACTCGGAATGATGATTAGCCTGGATGCTTGAGGCGGAGGAGTTGTCTCTCTGCAGTTCATCGTCCTCGTTCGTTGACGTGCGAGACTGGTTCAATTGGTCTGCGATCAATCCGAGGATAGGAACGAACTCCGTCTCTGTGTTTAGTTTGAAAGCGTCGTTGGCAGAACGATCCACTATGTATCATTAGCTGAGCTACTCTGCCTTCAGCAATGAAAGTGCGACACTGACAATGAATTGCTAATGTGGGTATACGGAGGAGAGGTCGGTCGATTTTCACAAGTTTCGAGTGAAAGTTGCCATCGCCCTTCGAGATGATAACTCTTCCAGCGAGAGATAGATCTCTGTCAAGCCAAGAATGCCAAATGCCTCCCCCATATGTCTCAACTCCGACCTGAAGGTAACCGACCTTGGAACGTTTGGAGATAGGCCGGACCTGCAGGATACGGCACCTGAACTCCTCGTAAGATGAGAGATCAACATCGAGCTGACCTTGAGGTTTGGGCTATCTACATGGGTTGCCACAATCGAAACACCGGATCCTTGCTTCCAGCCAGACGGAATCGTGAAAGCAACCAGAGCGCTCTGGTTCCTGTCCCAGAAGAGATACACCTCAAGCTAATGGAAGCCTCGTTTAAACTTGCCGTACCTAGTGAAATAGTATTTCCCTTGGGGCCGTAATGCCTTCTCCCAGTCATCTGTTTCTCTAATCTGCCAGATCGAGGGCGTTAAACATGTGTTGACATCAATTGAGAAGGTCCCAACCTTCTGAAAACCTGCAGCCTCTAGTCTTGCGGAGGCATTATGGACAGCATGGAACGGCGTCGGGGATGCATTCACGAAAGTCAAGAATCTTTTAGCAGCTTCCGGACCAGCAGAGTGAATCATCATAGTGAAGACAGTCTTAGCAAAGAGAGATACAATTACGAGCTTTGACCGATAGCAGAATCTGCTTACCTTGGATGATCATGTGAAAGAGATTACCTGGGGAAAGCGCGGGAAGAAGCTCTTCTTCCGAGTTCCGGCAAAAAGGTCGGAGACAACTCCCCTATATGCACGGAGTACTTTGTGGTGTGCCGCCAGTTTTCAAAAGACCAGGGTGAATACTCTGACGACTTTGATCTTACTGTTTGACTAACGATAATACGGATCTTAAGATGGTCAGAAGCTATCTCCGTCATGGCCCCACTCAGGTCAGTCGCCTGGATGCGTCGTTTACCAAGCTTCATGAATTGTACAACAGGCATTTGGTCTTGTCTGCAGCGCGTCTTCCAATTCTGTATATGATGGTAAGCTGGCCTACGTCCCAGCTTTGGAAGATGTATTGGTGTGGGACATGAAAAAAGGGCAAATGGTTTGTCAACAGCTTGTGTTTTCGGCGAGGACTCACTAGTGTGCTAGGTTGCAATGTGGCATGAAGCAGGTCACAAAGCAGAAGTTACTTGCATCATGAGATCGCCCCAAGAAAAAATGTTTGCCGTAGGATATGCAGATGGCTCTGTCCGGCTATGGGATGCTTCCTCTGGGACCGTCACTACGACTTTCAATGGGCATAAAAAGGCTGTCACGACACTTGCCTTCGACTCTCAAGGGGCTCGGCTAGCTTCAGGATCTCAAGACACCGAATTGATTGTATGGGATGCTGTTGCAGAAGCTGGACTATATCGGTCAGTATCTGTCTTCGAATCTTCGGACATGTTGCCTCACATTACGAAGCTTGCGAGGTCACCGTGACCAGATAACGGGTATCCGGTTTATTGAACCTCAAGATCTACCGTCAACATCCGATGGTCGCGCTGTACCACTGCTTTTGACAACTGCGAAGGACACCTTCATCAAAGTTTGGGACCTTTCTACTCAGCATTGTCTCCAGACCGTTGTTGCCCACCGCTCTGAGGTCTGGGCTCTAGAATTAAACTCAGACAAAACAATTCTTTTCACTGGCAGTGGCGAAGGGGAAATGAAAGCTTGGAAGCTTGACTATGGAGCTGTATCTAGCGGGTTCGAGGCAACCGAGACAGGAGAGGCAAGTGCTGCCTTCTTCCTGTTGAAAGCTTTCCTTTGATCCATCGGTCTAGATCCGAAAATTTATCCTCCCTTATTCGACGGTGCCCTTAGCATCCCAACATCGCGTATTTCGAATACTATCTCATCCGTCCGAGCCCTACCTTGCAGTGCAATCCCATGACCGGACTATTGAAATATTTCGTGTTCGCACTGATATCGAGGTTAAGAAGAAACAAGCACGTCGCCGAAAAAGGGCACAAGAGAAAGGCAAGGATACCGATCAGCCCACCGAGATCGACGAGGTTGCAGATGAAGGTGCTAAACTAGTGGACCGCTATACCCCCCATGCCATCATCCGGGCATCCGGCAAGATACGCTCCTTTGACGTTGGGAGTGAGCATGCAACGCAAAAAGGACTTGTCCACGTGCGTTTTACTGGCTCTAAGCATCTCACAGGATCTTATGCCTTCTAGTTTTTCGTAGCCTTAGCCTCGAATGCTCTCGAAGTTTACGGTGTCCCATCGCCATCAAAGTCAAAGGGTGACGTTTCTGAGCCATCCCGTGTCTTCTCTCTGGATCTGCCCGGCCACCGAACAGATGTTCGCACATTGTGTCTAAGTTCGGATGATCAACTGTTGGTTTCGGCCTCGAATGGTACTTCTTCACATGAAATTCAAAGCGTTAGCCCTAATCGAGTATTTAGGTTCGCTGAAAGTCTGGAATATGAGGACAAATGCTTGCATCCGTACGATGGAGTGCGGGTATGCGATCTGCAGCACTTTTCTACCAGATGATCGCAATGTGAGCCCTTAGTCTCGAAGCTGAACCCACTCACAAACCTTGGTACAAGGTCGCGGTAGGAACGAAGTCGGGCGAGATACTCATATTCAATGTGGCTTCTTCCACTCTGGTGGAGACCATAAAGGCGCATTCATCAACAGTTTGGTCTATGCACGTTCGTGTTGATGGAAGAGCCCTGGTCACAGGAAGCGCCGACAAAGAAGTCAAGTTTTGGGACATTACGCCGGGGAACTTCAGAGACTCCCGAGTATGACTTACACTTCCTTAAGTCGAAATATACTTAAACTGTTGCGCAGGGTGTTGATTCATCATTACTGGCGCATACTAGGACACTCAAGATGTCAGATGATGTCCTCGCCGTACGATACAGTCCCGATGGCAAGATGCTTGCAGTAGCACTCCTTGACTCAACGGTCAAGATCTTTTACCAAGATACTATGAAGTACTTCCTCTCACTCTATGGACACAAGGTTTGAATGAGGTTTGGCTGTATGTTTAATCGCCTCGCTAACAAAGCGGCATAGCTCCCCGTCCTCGCTATGGATATTTCAGACGATTCAAGGCTTATTGTGACTTGCTCCGCTGATAAGAACGTCAAAATATGGGGTCTTGACTTTGGTGACTGTCACAAGTCCATCTTTGCGCACGAAGAAAGTGTAATGCAGGTGCATTTTGAGAAGAAGTCGCATTACTTTTGGACGGCCGGAAAAGACAAAATGTTGAAGTACTGGGATGGCGACAAGGCAAGTTCGTATATTCTTTGTTAGATGGTTCACTATAATTTCGCCTAGTTCGAGAATATCCAAAGGTTGGAGGGACACCATAGCGAAATATGGGCCATGGCTGTCAGCAATCACGGCAACTTCGTTGTCACCGGTTCTCACGATAAATCTATCAGGGTCTGGGAAAAGCTTGATGAACCTGTATGCAATTACATGCATTCGTGAAAACACCATTCCGACTAATGTCATCTCAGCTATTCCTCGAGGAAGAACGGGAGCGTGAACTTGAGGCTATCTATGATGAAAATTTGGCCACCTCCTTGAACAGACCTGACGCCCCTGGGGACAGCGCCGATACAAGAGAGACGGGTGCGGTACACAAACAGACGGCAGATACTCTAATGGCTGGCGAGCGGCTCATGGAAGCCTTGGATCTTGCGGATGCTGAGCGTGCCGCCATCAGGGACTATGAAGAAGAAAAGGCTCGTCTAACCGTTGCCGACTCCTTGGGACTACAGCCTCCTCCCCGGAATCCTGTTCTTGCTGCTCTGGGTGTTAGCCCTGAAGCTTATGTTTTACAAATCATTGAGAAGATCCAGAGCACAGCTTTGCATGACGCACTTTTGGTCCTTCCCTTCGAGAAAGTGATATCTCTCATGGTTTACCTTGATATATGGTCGCAAGAGGTGAGATGCACTTTGATGTGATCTTAAAGAATGATGATAATTGAGGCACCTCTAGGGGCAAAATATCACTCTCACATCCCGCATACTATTCTTTCTTTTGAAAACACATCACCATCAAATTGTATCGAATAGACGCTTGCGTACCACGCTCATCCCGCTGCGGCTTCATTTACGGGCTTCTCTCCGACGAAATCAAGAAAATATTCGATACAATTTATCTGCGCTGCAATACATCAAACGAAAGTCCGAAGCTGACAAAACATCATTTTATTACGAAGAAGGGCTCGCGGAAGAAGAAGTGAAGGCCAAAATCACCGAGGGGCGCAAGAGGAAACGAGTGCAAGTTCAAGCTTAAATACCAAGATTGTCTTGATCGTGGACCGCGGGTATAACAGTACGTTTGTTGGATTTCATAGCTCTTGAGGACCCCATAGGTCGATGTCCCTACCGATGCGAAAAGTCACCTCCTTGGTTACATCTCAGTCAATTACTATACTCACCAATCATCATTGGTTGGTTCGGTAGCCATTCGTAGTTGCACCGTCAAAATCCCCTCTTCAAGCTTAGCGAGCTGTGTAAAAGCATTTTTGGTGAGGTCTACGTGTCTTGAACCTTTGGCACAGCCAGCGCAGGTGTCCACAATACGGACGAAGATGCACTTCTCAGGGCCGTTGCAAACTAGTCCACTTTTATCAGCACTCAATTCAAATCCAAACTGAAACGCTATACATACTTTGCACAAACTTGAGGCATTCCGGTTTTGATTTCCAGCCCTCTAAGGTAACGGCTCCGACCATGGACTTGTCCTGAGCATACGTCAGGCAATGGGATCCTTTGTTGTTCTTCTTCTAGCGTGACATTGACTAACTCACCGACGGAGTCCAATGGCCATTGCTCCAGCAACTAGGGTTCTTCAGGTCTTGGCCTGTGTACCTGTTACAGAGTTAGCTTTGTCGACTAACTTGAATGAAATCAAAAGCAGACCATGTAATAGCTACTGAGTTTGTATCGCCGATGGCTTTCAAGACCTTATCAACCGTCTTTAAGATGCCAGAGACCTTGTCGGCCGCCCCCTTGACGATACCGCCGCTCTTGTGCCGTTTCTCTTTTGGGAATATGACGTCGTGTGCCCTTGGTACTGTCACGTTCCTCTTGATTTTGTCAGCCTGAAGGCGATTTGCTGTGCTGGTATTGTATTTGTAAGCTAGGTCCGAGATGTTGACCGCCTCCCAGCCATCACGAGGGTCGAAGGAGTAATGTTGATCGAGGGAATGTACCGATGAATACGATGGTGGTTTGTTGACTTGACGCTGTGGGAGATGAGCGATTGCCGCGTTGACTGCGCCAAAGCAAAGCGTAAGCCAGACGAAAAGAGCGAGGCCCGCCATGTTGAGTGATGTCGATAGCAGGGTGTGCGGATGTGACGTAGAATATGAAGCCTATAGCCGGCCAATAGTTTGAGCTTTTTAGGACGAGAGATTTAGTTGTGGTACAAGGACGACGTTCGAATGTGGCCAGCTCTGGCCTTTATTTGAGCGCGTAGGGGTCACGTGAAATGATTTTCCGGGTCAGTCCGCAAGGCTCGAGGCCGGCCGAAGGGCTGTGTCATCGCGAGGAGAACGGATTCATAATCAGATCTATAGTCAAGCAACAATGAAAGCAGTGGACACTTCTTCAGCTTAAACTCCCGCACGTCCACACCCCTCATCCCCGTTTTCCTGAAGTAACCTGTTTTCCCCTCACGCCCCCCAGAGGCGACGATATGCCTGTTGACTCATCTATCGGCACAGCAGCAGCAGCACGTCGCACTTTCCGCAAGTTATCCACAGAGGAGGAGGTCGAAATCAAACGTGCTCGAGGAGAAATATCCTGTGCAGAGTGTCGAAGGTTCGAACCGTCAGTTCTTTATATACTTGATATCACATTCGTGATTAGATTGAAACTCAAATGCGATAAGAAACTACCATGTGGTTCCTGTGTCCGCCGAGGCTGCCCCACTATATGTCCAAACGGTGCGCCTGATACTTATACTTACCTATTTCTTAATGTGACTGTGCGTCTAGGTAGTTTATCCACTGGACAAGGAACACGGTAATTCACACATGTGGTCTGGCACCTTGGCTCTGTTGAACCCAGCCTCTTACCAGGTTCGTACTTGCCGACACTGAACACCTGCATCAGAAGATCGCCCAAATGGGCCAGCGGATACGTCATCTTGAAGATGCTTTGGCCATCTTTCAAGCTGGCGTATCGAGTGAGGTTCACCCTCTCCTCGCCGAAGATCTTCTCGCTATCAAGCACGGGCCAGAAGTCGTGAAACCCACTCAACCCCCTGAGTCCGCGACAAGAAACGCGGCGCCTGTCCCTTTAGATACCTTTGGCACCCTCACCATAGGTGAAGCAGGAGAGGCAAAATATTACGGGAATTCTGCAGGATCTGAAGTGTGTTTTCCCTTCTTCCTTTGATCGGAGCGGTTTCTTACGACATTCCAGACCCTATTTATTGTGAGTTATTCAAGAGGTCCTTGTATTCAACCTTTTCATCCTAGTAGGCTGGTGCAGAGCTAAATCCACAGCCTGAAGAGTACTCTAAAGTATCGGATGAAATTACTCAGGTGTCATCGAAAATGCCACTGGGCATACCTGGCTTCACTGATCCTGGGGTAATCGAAGATATCTTAGAAACCTTGCTCTCGCTGTTGCCGCCTTACCCCCGTGCCTCTACGTTATGTGAGACATACATGGAGCAAGCTGCATGGATGTTCCGGCCCATTCTTCGTGATGAGCTCTTCGATGACATCTTGGCGCCAATATACAAGATTTACAGGGAACGGAAGGAGGGTGCAAGAATGGACTTGTCATACCTCAGTCACACATTGGCGCTTCTTTATCTGGTCTTCGCTCAGGGGGCGCTTATGGATTTAACACTTCCTCCATTCAGTGCCGACGCTGAGAACTACTATGTCTTGGGCCGAATGGCTCTGTCAACGCGTCCCTTGTATGAGTTGCCCACGACTCAAACCATCCAATCTGTATGCCTTGTAGCCTACTACCAATTCAATTCAGGGCGGCGCGATGCATTTGACGGCGCTTGGACGATGATGTCATTCGCGAGCAAACTGGCCCAAACCGTAAGAATGACATCTTTTGTTACTACCAGCTGTGTTGACAACCTATTGTGTTTGAATCAGATTGGACTGCGTAAGGAGTTTTCTTCAGACAACAATCGCAACTTGACATTCTTTAGATCGTGATCCGGCCCGATTTAAAATGAGCCCTAAGCTAGTCCAACGACGTCGTCACTTGTTCTGGGAAATTTTCTCTTCAGACCTATTTCATGTATGTGAGGTCTAGGCCAAACAAATGTCGCCTTACATTCGGTCTTTTGTAGAGCTTGGCACTCGGTCGACCTCCGTCAATCCGACTAAGCTACGTCGACTGCGAGTTTCCAGAAGACGAGTCAACGACTATGAACTCCAAAGGCGAAATTGAAATGGGCTGTATGTGTGCGTTTCAATCAATGCCAACAATTTCCTAACTTGTTATAAGTCTGGCGCTGGAAACATAGCTTTACCAAAGATGTCTTTGCCCAGATCATTGAAGTCACATTAACCGCTGAGCCGCCTACCTACGAAACCATCCTTGAGCTCGATCGCAAACTTCGCGAGAAGTCTCTGCCGCCTTCACTCAACCTCTATCTGTCTAATGGTAACGATGAAGCTACATCCCCATCAACCTTCATGCGTGGTCGGATCCTGTCACAATTCAGAACAGCCAGTTGAGAATTGTTTTCTCAAATCTTAGTCTTATGCTGCTGACACCGGCATAGCCATGATTTCCATCCATCGTAATTTCTTCGCTAAAGCAATGCTCGATCATCCCGTCAATCCGCTTAGGAGTCCCTATGCACCTTCGTTCCTCGCAGCCTACCGTTGCGCATCTGCTACTATCAAAACAACAGTTTACAACTTTCAGCAATATCCTGGCCTATTTTCCCGATGGGCCACAGTATGGAGCCATTTGTTCAATGCTGCGGTACGAGAGCAAGCATACCCGACAAAAAGAAACTCACGCCTTGTTCTTCAGATCATTGTGGGCTGCATTGTCACGAGAGCTCCTTCTTCAACAATGGCGCCTGCAGCTCTAATAGAGCTTGATCTAGCAGTTGATCTCTTCTACAAAGGGGCGGCAGATTTCCGACGAGCGAAGGATGGCTTGGTTAGCTCAACCAGTGATAATGTATTACTTCTTTCTGACGAAAATTTCCCGAATAGGCCGTTTTGAGCAAGATGAAGGCCAAAGCATACGAGGTCTTCGGTCAGTACCGGAGTGGCGGCGCCCTGCCAAACTTCTCCAACAATCCTTCCACTCTTTTGCCCGAAATCGGTGGTGAAGACGAGCTCGCAATGTTCGGTGGACAAACCAGAATTCTTGTCAGCAAAATCGTGTCCCAGGGTCACCGTAAGAAACCTCAGTCCTCCTCCGCTAACTCCCCCGCATCGACGACTAGCACGCCGTCCACAACGGACGATAGTCAATCGTCGGAACCTATTCCGGAGGTGCATCCCTCATTAATCGAATATCTTTCTTTGCTTCCATCTACCTCCTCTGGACAAGATCTCCAGCATTCCGGTCATTACACAGGGCCCCTCGGCAGCCCGAAAAATATATTCAACTATCCCAACTCCTCTCTTGATGCCCAGACTCCCCAGACTCCCACCACGTTCAACATGTCCCCTTCTTTTGCCATGGCACAGAATCCACGGGGACAGACTTTACCTGGCGTGATGGGTGGCTTTGAAGGTTCCCAGGTGTACGGCGCTTCTTCAGCGTCTCCTCCTCAATTTGACATGAACAGCCTTGGAGACTTTGGTATGATGTTTTCAGGGGATTCGGGAATGGATGATCAGTGGATGGCATTCATGCGCGACACGGGTGTATTTCCTGACATGAACATGCAAACTGGGTCATGATTGATTAACCGCTTTCTCTCGATTTCCTGCTGAAAGCTTGATTCTAGCATTTGAACTAATGTATAGCACAATTAATATGAATGCAAGCCGATATAGATATCTTCCATTGTATTATCAGTAGCTTGTAGCTCTGTGGTAGCGTATGTTTTTATTGTATGTAAAGACGGGACATGCATGCCTTGTCTTATTGTCTTCACCGTGTCTTTCCATGGAAGACCTCTAAAAATGCGACTTTGTCTTCCCAGCCAAGGCCAATACGTCGTAACTTTCCCAGTTGGGCAATAAGTGTGGCGGAAACCTCAGACAACACATCGCCCGTTGGGTTTGGTGCAACCTCGCTGACCATGAACAACTGAGAATCCGGGGATTCTGCAGGGTTTAGTAGTCGGATGGAAACGTTATGAGGAGGGATAGCTGTCGAAATGCGGTAAAGATGGGGAATAGGGTTCAAAGGCAACGGAACGGAATGGGACAACGATGAGTTGGATGGCGTCGGAGGGTCGTATCTTCACGCCAGAGGGGAAACGTCAGACTCAGGGAAGTATTCACAGGTCACTCTCATACCGTGCACACATAAGGAAGACTCTGAATCCTTTGACGGGGACCTGATATTCGGAGAAGACCTCGGCGAATCGGAGAATACCTCGGCCATTGCTCGATGTACACTCGGGAAAAACGACGACGGGCCCGCCGGCAGCTCGTCTTATATGCTCCAGGCTGCTTACATAAGGAGAAGCCTTGGGTGGGGGGAAACCTGTAGCGCATATCATGGAGAGAAGCGAAACCGGACGAAAGCCTTGGATCGGCTGCCTCGAACTCTCTGCTCGTTCTAGGAGCCTCGCCGGTGCCTTAGCACCTCGTCGATGAGTGTTAGTGACTGTGCCGTCCAGTGTAGTTGATGTGACGGGATGTTCCGCCGAAGACAACACAAAAACGGGATCATATCTGGGATTGTCAAGTTCAACCCTTTGGTTGGTGTCGATCTGGACAGTGCACAAATGCACGAACCTGAATGCCAGCCACAATATTTCTATCCATGAGGACCAGTTCGAAATGATGAGGTCGCCGGCTTTTGGATTCCATTGCTTTTTCTGCACAACTTGCTTGCTAGATGCATGTACGTTAGCGTGATTGGGATTTCAGAAGTAACGAACACACCTTCGTTTTGTAGACACCAGAGAAACAGATATCCACCAAATGCCCATCACTGCTAGAGCTGAGCGCGCCAAAAGAGCAGTAAGGAGCCAAGATAAAGTCCGACGTAATGGGGGGATAGGTGTCTAGAGCGAGGTCAGAAGGGCGATATACCAGCTATTACTGGTTATAACTACTGACAAAAACAAGCAAGACTGTCTGAACGGCGAGATAGAGCAGGGCAATCACGCAGACAATGGAAGTGCGGACTATTCCAAGAACCGAACCAACAACTGCAGCGGCCTTGACGGTGGCGTTGACATCTGACGGGGGTTGAGGTATCAAGAAAGGCTGAAGTGAAAGAAGCGAGCAGTTGGTGAGGTTGCAAGTTAACTTGTCATGGTACTGGTCGAAGCCAATACCTGAATACCTGTTCCAGGATCCTACAGTCATTTAGCTTTTGAATAAGCAGGGTTAGTGATTTGAGCGGCATACCCGGAACTGAGAGAATTTCTCCATTGGCTTCGCAATACTAGTGTAATTACTAGCCTTGTCCTCGAAAAGAGTGGTAATCGACTGCAATGTTGCTGCAATGCGCCTCAGGCTTTCGAAAGTTTACACGTCCGGGGGAACTGGCATGTGGCGGTGTTGTGGCAGTGCCGAACAGACCCGATAGTATGTGCTGACGTCATCTGTGTGCATGTTTGTAACAACCATTCCTTGACCTTCCCCTATATATGCGCCTTGCACCATTGCCGTGAACTTCTCTACAAGCATTCTCGGGCCCCCACATTCTCCGCCATGTTTTTACCATCAGTGCGGTCTCCGATTACTCAGCTAAAGCGAGTTTCAAATGCGATAACGGCGAGGTACAGCAAACTGAGCTTTTATGGCAAGGTCCGTACTGTTTGAGCAATGACTCTCTCGCTCACCTCTCAAATTACATTCCAAATACGGGCTCTGTAGGCACTGATATGGTTCCTCGCCCTTTTCTATGTCTGTCTTGTGGCTGCCATAGTTGTCATCACACCAAGCCGGATCGCGCAGGCCCTCTATGATGCTGCTCAGAGTTTGCGCAGACAGAAGTTTGGCTGGTTAGTTCTCGGTGCCATTCTAGGTAAAGACTTGTGCTGGACACCGTGGTCATCGTCTAATCCTAGGGAAAGTTGTCGTGTGCTTCCCTCCGTTCATTGGGTATTCGACGGTCGTCAATCTTTGTGGCTTCACCTACGGTCTTAAAGGATTCTTTATTGCTGGGCTTGCCACCTTGATTGGTTCGGCTTTGGTCTTCACGACGCTACGACTCCTCTTTAGCAGGAGAGTTCAACGCTGGACATCGACGAGTGAGAAATGGCAAGCTCTCGAAACAGTCATTGTAGGCCTCGGCATATTTCCTTTTTCCTTGCTCGCTCATAGAGTGACGATAGCGGGCCAAGGGACTACCCCTTATCATTCTCATTCGCATATCGTCCTTCCCCCCATGGGTCTACGCCAACGCGTTGTTCGCGGTATGTGGCGGCAATGTATCAGTCCATGGCCCTTTCCTTGGCGACTGACTGCACCAATCTTTCAGGGTATAAACTCCGTCTCTCTTCTACAATTCCTCGTCGCTACAGTATTCGTACTTCCACGCATTTTCCTCTTTGTGTTTATCGGGTCAAGAGTCGCCAAATTTTCCGACGGTGAACAGCGGCATCGCATGGACACTCGTACGTCGCTGTTTACTGCGCAGTGTGTTTGTCATTAAATATCCGTTAGAAACCAAGGTTGTCAACGGTTTGGCGATTGCTGGAGGTATCCTCCTAACAATCATAGCAAGTTCGTAAGTAGACAGACCAGCCTCTATTGAAGCAGACTTGACTATTCCGTGTCGCTATAGGCTGGTTTACTACCTGATGCAGAAGCAGATTCGTCAACTTCACCAGAGTGCATTGGAGCGTGACGAACTGGCGGCAGAAGCGTTAGAAGCAAGTGAAGAAGCACCACTCCTGCAGAGTGGTACCCCTTAGAGATGTGTTATCTTTGTCAACTTGTATAAAGCACACATATTTTGCTTCACTGGTACTTTCGAATGAATTGTCTGACTCTACCGTATTGGATAAGATTGAGACAGTTTGCAGTACGTGTATCCGTTAAATCAGAAATTTAATAGTAGTGCAAAAAGAGCAGCGAAAGGCTAGCGCCAATGAGGAAGACAAGAATATATAGTCTGCTGTCTTTAGCTCGCCTCCGTGCCTCTCTAAGTTGTACATTGCCCTTCTCTACCGTTGACGTAGTAGCCATTGCGTCCTCGTATAATTGATCCGTCAATTCGGATTGTCTCGTTAGATGTGTAACCAACTCCATTTGTAGGTTACTGATGTCCATTAACCGCGCCTCCGCTTGCTGTACGGACTCGAGGGTATCTTGAACTGAACGCAATATATTGGCATTTTCAGTTTCAAATTCAAGTATTTGGGATTGTGAGAGCTCTATGTCGTCGTCGTCGTCGTCGTCAAGGTCTTTAGAGGAGGAAGCGCGTGATGATGAAGGGACGTCGGATGCGGCTTGGTTTCTCGACCCACCAAGCGTAACCGCAAAACCTGATACAAATGCCGAGGATGCCCCATTGAACCAGCCTTCTTGCTCAGGCTGCAGGGTGCGTTGCATGTCTGCCGACTCCATAAACATTGCCTCTGAGGCTGCACTCGAGCCTAGAGTGCGCGAACGCTCCAGCTGGCGTTTGATACGTTCCTCTTGCATGTCCTTCTGCATCTGTGCAGCCTCTGTGAGTCTCCGGCTGAGATACCAGGTTATGCTGGAGTGGTGGGCGGCAGTGAAGTCTGACAATACAACCGACGGATCCTGCGTGAAACGTTTTGGAATAAAGCGCGAGAGCGGATTAGAAGAGCTTGATGCGAGCTCAGCTCGCCCTGTTCTTGAGCTTGAGTGGTGAGGTCATAGGCATCAAATGAGCATCTTACGCTTCTCAAGTAGTTCCATCTCCTTTATTCTGTCAGCACATCGGGATAGAACTGCGCGGGCTTGTATGTCAACTTGTTCCCTCTCCTCGTTTGAGAGGTATCGTATGTCTGCCAGGTTGTCCTCAATGTCTATAGCTCGCGAGCCTTGTCGAGAGAGTGGTACACGGTCCGACCCAACGTTCAAGTACGGTTTGCGAATACGTGATAACATGCGAGAGAGCGTATTTATGTGCTTGAGCTAGCACAAAAGTGAGTTCGTGGTGTATTCTCATGGATAGGGAACGTACCACAGCATATGCTTCCACCAGGTATTGCTTCTCGAACACGACTTGGTCCTTCGCGTCATTGGTGACATTGTCCTTTCTTCGCTTCAATGGAGGATTGATACACTGCACGCCGATGACATGGCTTTGAAACTCAGCAGTACGATCACTGAAGGCCATGTAAAGAATCTGTGCGGAGGAAACGACGCTGAGGTCGCGTGTACAACGTTATGATGAGACTGTCGGTGTCCATGTGCATCGCGACGTATAATTGAAGGCACATAAATTAGTCACGTGAAGCGAGTCAGCATTAAAAGTCACAAATTTTATTGCTTGGCTCTTTCACTACAGTCATCACGACACAATGGACTCACCCTGCTCGCCTGCATCCAGCACCGCAGGAGAGCTTACACTGTCGGATGAAAGAGCGAAAGGTCCTCGTTTGAGGCGGGATGTGCAGATACGATGTCATCCTGTCATAGTATGTGACCTGACATGCTGTCGCTAGTTAAAAATTCTATGCTCTATGTAGCCCCTCACACGTTTCACGTACTATCCTTCTAGCTTTATACTTTCCATAAAGGACTCAATGTCGCGAAAACATTTCTAATGTCACGAAGTGAATTAGTGATCCAGGACAAGTCGGAACGACGAAGTTGGAGGATTGGAAATATCCATCAAATGCCGGAATTTCATTCGCTGTCTATATCGTACATTATCGCAGCATTCCCGTTCCACTTTGTGCTCCATCAGCTTAGCCAGAAGAAACAAGCTCTAGCAGCTTTGACTCACCGCAGATGTCGTTCTCTCTTGTAACAACCCTACAGATGGTGAGCTGAGCAAGACTAATGACATCCTGCTCCTCAACGTGCAAGCAATTGATTGCGGTAATTTCTTTGATCTCTCGAAGAGATCGGGACCGTGCCATGATCTTCTGGTCATGGTCCAAGATCCGGCTTCTAACCAGGTCAACTAGAGTCCGTCCACTGAAGTAGCTACACCAGCGAAGGTCAAGTCGGGTCAGAAGGGGGCAGTATCCTGAAGACCCTGTCAAGGCTTGGAGTTCTATGTCCGATATGTCACTATCATGAAGGCGCAGCTCCTCTAGCTGTGGCATGAGGCTAAAACAATGAATGAGATGCTCACGAGGTACGCCCACATCGTACAACTCGAGCGCCCTCAGTGCGGGGGAGTACTTAAGGAAGCTGATTAAGTGCTGGGCAATCAGGGGATCGGAAATGGCCTCTGCAGACGTTTGGATGGACAAAGACTTGAGGCAGGGAGTTTGAAGATAATTCAACAAGGAAGTTGCATCATCTGATATTGTCAAAGTCAAGGACTCGAGATTAGGTAACTCGAGCTCTGGAGTATTGTCGGCCACGAAAACACGTTTCTTGGGTTCTGATAATTCTAGCTTCAGACAACGAAGTCCAAGAAGATCCTGCAAGATATTGATAAGGCTGACTCCAGTAAAGGATAAAGTCAGTAGATCCTGGGAGACAAGTTTTATGTTCAAATCGGTGATCTGTGACTTCAAGGTGGGGGATGCGTCCCACGCAAATATATCTGGTTGTTCCAGGTGCAGTTGAAACAAACGAGGGGCCTCCCGAAGGGCACGAAAATCAAGGGGCACGCCATCCGGCTCGGTCTTGGTTGTGAGAATTCTTACTTCACGAAGGTAGGGGCTATACGTGAAGCATCGACTAGTAACTCGGTTGGCAAGTATGCAGGAAGCAGCATGGATATTGAATGTATACCATTGATGCTGGTGTTGTGTGATTAGATCCAACAGTGGCGAGATATACGGGCTTTCACCGAACACGTCGATAGTAATGTGTAGTGGGGCTTCGTGCGCCTTAGACAACCAGAGCCTAGTTCTATTCAAGACCCCACTTGATGCACAGTCAATGTAGATGTTAGACCATGCCCGTGGGTAAAGGGAGGCTTCCCTCCACGCGGAACAGACTTGAGATGCGGCAAGGGGCGCTCGAAACCAGCCGCTCGAAGCACATATCTCAAAGATTTTTCCTAGGACTTCCCGTGGAATACGACGGGCCAGAGTGATGATGGACCGGCAGTATTGTATGTTATCCAAGTGTCTCTGCTTCTCTCTTTGAAGACGCTTTAGAAGAGATATCTGGATGTCTATCTTGTCTTCCACTAGACGGCAGGCTTGTTCATGATCACCAATGACTTGTTGAACAAGCTCCATATCGGCCTCGGTAGGGTGCCGCAAGGACGATATTTGTTCTGTTATCGACAGCATGGCGTGAACGATAAATCGAGGCTGGCGACCAAACATTAGCATGACTGCTTACGTGCACCAGAAGGCATTGGCTAAGGGTGCAGGTAATTGCCATACCTTGGAGATTGGCTTCGGCTGAGCCAAGATATATTCAGCGCGAGAGCTTGGTAGACATCAATTCGCTGTATGCTCCTGTTTGTCATGCTGTCCAGCGCGTCTTGACTCTTCCGAACGCGTTTTGTGACCTACTGACAGACAGTGGCCTGCACTAGTGTCCTTCACCTGCACATTGCTTCCTCCGGTTTCTACTAGTGCTATTGTAACTCTTCGACCACTAACGAAAGGCTTTATAAACAAGGTGAATATCATTCTCCCTTCTCCCTTCTCCCTGATGATTCAGAGTGGAAGCTCGATAGACCCACTTCCCGAAAGTCTGGGTCTAGTAGATGACCTTGTGTTCTAGATACTGCTGAACTTAAAAGTTTCGTTCTGTGTGCCAGCTTCTGATGCGAATAATATTCTAGATGGATCCCAGAAGAGCTCGCGACCCTCGACTCGCTCGAAGTGACCCACGCTTGCAACAAGCGTCGTCTTCAACACCTCCCGTACAGCCTCAGCTTTCGACATCGCAATGGATAGAAAGCGGGGCTCCGAGTCAAAGTCAATCGACTGTCAAGGCGGAGGTCACTGCCCAACTAGGGGGATTCGGACCTATGCACTCATCTCAACCCGCGTCGCGACCTACGTACAGGCAACGCCCACTTTTCTGTGTAGTATGCGCCAGCAACCAGGTTTGCTCTGTTTACGAATTATTTTCGTTCATGAAAGCTGAGACCTGGCGATGAGAACCGATCAATGGAAGCGCACTCTATATTACAGTTAGCGCGCAGTTTTGTCGTGTCTGTCGCCCCATTGACATGTTTCATTGAAAAGAAAGGAAGGTTATCGAGTGATTTCATACGGAACTGGCTCCGCTGTCCGGCTTCCAGGCCCATCAATCGACAAGCCCAACATTTATTCCTTTGGCACGCCCTATAACACCATTTATGAAGAACTGCACGGAAAAGACCCTCGTTTGTAAGTGTGAGTTTGAGGTGCCACCGCGTCAATTTTAACACGAAGCGTCCAGATACACTGCAAATGGTTTGCTACATATGCTCGACCGCAACCGCAAAATAAAGCTTGCGCCGGAACGGTGGCAAGAAAGTAAGACAATGGCAGACATCGTCATTACATGCGAGGAGCGCTGCTTTGATGCTGTGTGTGACGGTGGGCAAACCTTACTGTGCGTTCGCTCGCAACTCATTCCAAAACAGACCTTTTGGCACGCGGTGGGGAATTCAGCCGGGTTGTTCATATCATCAACATCGAGATCAAGGATAATCATGAAGAAGCTTTTATTGCGGGGAAGGCGATTCTTGATCTGGCGGCGGCAGTGAGTTTCTTGATATTTATCACTCACATTTGACAACATTACGATTAGATCGAAGCGTCAGATGATGTTGATGAGGACATCAATCACATCTTGCAGCTGCAACAAGAAAGACACCCTCATAGTATCCTCCACGCTGTCGCGTTCTATTGAAATTGACCACGAAATACGGGTTGGGGTACAATCCGGTACTGTACTACAATGCCCCGTGGTACGTGGTGTCAGCCACGCTACATGTCATGATCACATCATCCCTAAGATGCCATACGGAGATAGATCACTATTACAGATGAACTGTTGGACGAGGATTGCGATTTGATAACACCATCTTTCGTTGTACTGGAACCATCCTCGAGATCACCTGTGGGAACGTAAGACGCCATAATTATAAGCTATCCCACATGCTCGTATATTTAAGAGGGAAGATTGACCACAGCAGTTTAGTGCACTGACAACTCATCTTCTTTCCACCTGATCCAAAATGCCTTCTCTTCGTCTCGGAAACATCGCCCCCGACTTTGAGGCTGAGACCACCGCTGGAAAGATTAAGTTCCACGACTGGATCGGCGACTCCTGGGTAAGTTCACTAAACTGCCCCTATCTTTGATCAAGATCACATACCTTTCTCTTATCTTAGGCCATCCTCTTCTCCCACCCGGGAGACTTTACCCCGGTTTGCACTACCGAGCTCGGTGAAGTTGCTCGTCGCGCAGATGACTTCGCCAAGCGCAATGTCAAAGTCATTGGTATCTCTGCCAACGGCCTTAGCGACCACGAAAAGTGGGTTGAGGACATTGAGGAATTTGGTGCCCGTTACGGTCCTACGAACGTGAAGTTCCCCATCGTAAGACTGTACTATCATGCATGTTTTTCCCGCACAACTAATAGGTATTGCTCAGATTGCCGATGAGGATCGCAAGATCTCCGTCCTCTACGACATGCTCGACGAGCAAGATGCCACCAACCGGGACGGCAAGGGCCTTCCCTTCACCATCCGCACCGTCTTCGTCATAGACCCTAAGAAAGTCATCCGTCTGATGATCGCCTACCCCGCTTCAACTGGCCGCAACTTCGACGAGGTCCTCCGTGTCGTTGACTGTAAGTCCATGTTCAGTAATCACCATGATCTATTATTCACGTATCGCTCTAGCTCTCCAGCTTGGCGACAAGCACCGTATCACCACCCCTGTGAACTGGAGCAAGGGTGAGGACGTCATTGTTCACCCCACCGTCAACAACGACGAGGCAAAGGTTCTCTTCCCCGAGGTCACCTTCCACAAGCAACCTTACCTTCGTACCACTCCCCTCAGCGGATAAATTATATAGTTAATGAATTTATATATGTAACTCAGTGTATTCTCCAGTGGCACCAATAGCATTTTTATGAGAGCAAAATTGATAATATAAACATGCAGAGATGTGTCTAGGCGCGTTGTTAACTGGTACTGAGCGCTGAGCGTCCATAACGTATAGCAGTCAACATCTTCATACATACCTTACATAAGTCTGCACTCCATCCCCATTCTTACGCTATGCTAAGCAGTACTAATTTGTGGGTAGTGTTGCCGCATTTGACGAAATGGCTGGAACCAAGCCAATGAAACTTGTACTTGCACTTATTATCAGTCCAGATGACACACCTCGGCGCTGTCTAGAGGGTGAAAACCGCAAAGACTAACACTCGGTTGGTCGGGATTAATGTGGCAAGAAAGGGTATTACAAGAAGGAAGTACTGGTTTCTCGAACCGCGGCAACACAGCAATTAACGCGATTGCATTAAAACCTCAATTGCAATATTATTTATTTTTGAGTTATCGGTGTCTCGAAGCACTCTGTCAAACGAGAATTTAATCGCACCGAGATTCAACTCGTCAACTCAGTTGAAGCTTCGAAGGCAGTTATTTAACTGTGTTAGGTTCAAAAGCCTTTGCACAACAGGTACAAAGGGACGACGCGCGTCCCGAACTGATAGATCCATTATTACGCGGTCCCGTTGTAAACCTTGACTTCATACCTCACTCGCACCCATGGCAAGCGCGGACGGTGGTGCATACAGGTATAATCATAATCGATCAGTACTTCACTCCTATTGATCTTCATTTGCTGTAGCTACTCCCTCACCGTATTCTCCCCTAGCGGCAAGCTAGTGCAGATAGAACATGCACTTGCTGCTGTCTCTCAGGGAACGACCAGTCTAGGAATCAAAGGTATGAGACATCTAGGCAAGAAGACCAGATACATAGCTAATCATGCGCAGCTTCCAATGGGATTGTTATCGCTACTGAGAAGAAGTCATCGTCAATACTCATAGACGATTCGATGCTCGAGAAGGTCGCTGTTGTATGCCCGAACATCGGCATCGTATACTCAGGCATGGGACCCGATTTCCGCGTTCTGATTGCTCGAGCGCGCAAGAGTGCGCAGGCATACTGGAAGGTCTATGGAGAGTACCCGCCAACACGAGTGCTGACGCAAGAGCTCGCTGCTGTCATGCAACAGGCCACGCAATCAGGGTTTGTTCATCCCACCTATCCCTTCAGTATACTCATTATATCGTCAGAGGTGTACGTCCCTATGGCGTATCGCTACTCGTTGCGGGCTGGGACATCAACCGTGGTCCTACATTATTCCAGGTGGACCCCTCTGGCTCATTTTGGGCGTGGAAAGCCAGTGCCATCGGGAAGAACATGACAAATGCCAAGACCTTCTTAGAGAAACGGTGCGCCTTCCACTTCCATATCATGCAGTATAAACTCACCCGGAGCGCAGATACAACGACGACATCAGCTTGGAGGATGCGATTCATACCGCTCTACTCACTCTGAAGGAGGGATTCGAGGGTCAGATGACAGAAAAGACTATTGAAATTGGTGTTGTGACCGTTCCAACGCAGGAAGAACTCGAGGAAGGTAAGATTGGAGGGGAAACCGGACGGCCAAAGCCGGTATTTAGGAAGCTGACTGAGGAAGAAGTGAAGGACTACCTGTCTTTGTAATTTTAGTAACATCATGGTCAATGCATTGATATCACAGTAATAGTACATTGGCTTGTTCAGCTAGCGAGTCGTTATGCTATACATCCAAGACGTGTCAAGATGGTTGTACATGATGGTTGTACATGTGTCTGATGCTCGACTATATTTTACAGCGGCCAGGCCAGTTTCTCGCCGTAGTTCCAGTGTACACCTTTGACCGAGGTGTACTCTTCAATGGCGTAGCTACCGAGCTCGCGACCTGCGAAGTCGTGTGAGTGATGCGTACACTTACTGGCTGGATTATACTTACCAATCCCACTCTGTTTCTTGCCACCGAAAGGAACATTGTTGGTCAGCAAGTTGTACTGGTTTACCCACACCTTTGGCGATGATGAGTAAAATTAAGAAACATATATAAGGCTAACTTACCGTCCCCGACTCAAGGGCATTCGAAACGCGCAGGCACTGTCCGGCATCATCTATATACATGAATTAAGAATTAGTCCAGGTCTAAGTACCATGCCATAAGTAGACTTACTGGAGTGTAAACCTGCGCCAAGACCATAAGAGGTATCGTTGGCGAGTTTGATGGCCTCCTCCTCGGTCTTGAACTTGCCAACCACAAGGACGGGGCCGAAGATCTGAAACCAGTAGGGTTGGATTTTTGTCAATGCCTGGGGAGTAGGCATACCTCATCTTTCACCTATTCATTCTGTCGATTAGTGAAATTCGAGTAAAACCAAGGAGATCGTACAATCTTCATGTCCTCACGAGTATTGGTGAATACTAAAGACATTAATGAGTCAGTGAAGGCTACAAGTGGCCGGGACCTTACTAGTGGGGTCTACATAGTAGCCCTTGCTTGTGCGTTTCTGTCCACCGCAGACCACTGTCGCGCCATCAGCCTTGCCGCTTTCGATGTACGACCAGATCTTATCGTATTGCATCTTGGAGACCTTCAGAATCGAAAAATATCAGCGACTGACCGCATTGGTGCCATGTCCCTGCACGAACCACGGGGCCTCCACCACTCTTTTCATCAAATCCATCGCCAATGACAAGCTCCTTGGCCCTCTGGACAAGAAGGGACACAAATTTATCGTGGATTGTGTCCTGAACGTACAGGCGAGAGCCTGCACTGCAATCCTGTCCTGAGTTGTACAGGATACCAAGGCAAACCCATTTAGCGGCCTCCTCGAGATCAGCGGACTCGAACACAAGGTGCGGAGACTTTCCGCCAAGTTCAAGAGTAACCTGATGATACGAGTTAAAACAATACGTGGCGAAAGGCCCAATCCGTCTACCTTCTTGAGGTTGCTCCTGGCAGCGGACTCCATAATCTTGCGGCCGGTGACAGTCGAGCCGGTGAAGGCGACTTTGTCAATCCCCATGTGGGCAGAAATCGCAGCTCCACCCACGTTACCGACGGAGCAGACGTGGTTGATAACACCGGGAGGGAATCTGAAGAACCAACGGTTATATTGCGTAGAGTATGAACAAGAAACCAATAGTACCCTGCCTCGACAATCAGCTTCGAGAGCAGCTGAGCGGTGAGAGGAGTTATCTCCGAGGGCTTCATCACGATGGTGCATCCGACGGCGAGGGCGGGAGCGACCTTCCAAGACCTGCCAAAACCTTCTTAGTCTTCCACTAGGTCGGATCGAGTCGTTATTTCTTACCACATGTTGATAGGATAGTTCCACGGGATACTGAGAAGTGGTGAGCAAGGTATCTATTTCATGAACACATGGCGCCTACACACATTTGACCGCAGACGCCAATAGGTTCGTGTTTAGTGTACGCCCATTTGTTTTTATCAACTTCGAGCGTCTGGAAAGATTTTTCATCAACAGAAGGAGGCCTTCACGGTCGTAGATACGCACCTGTCCTGCTATCTTGTCCGCCCAGCCAGCGTAGTATCGCAAGCAAGAAATGGTATCCCCAATATCAAAATCCCTAAGTCGGTATGTTCAAGGACGGCGCATCAACCCAAGAAATGTAAATACCTAGCAATTTTGAAAGGTTTGCCGTTGTTTAAGGTTTCGATCTCAGCGAGTTCGTCCTTATCCCTGTCGATGAGGTCGGCGAGTTTGTTAATAAGTCTCGCCCTCTCGAATCCGGAAACGTTCTTCCCCCAAGTGGTGTTGAACGCGTCGCGGGCAGCCTTGACGGCACGATCAACGTCAGCGGCGGAGGCTAACATAATATATAAGAGTCATTAAAGAAAGCTCAGCCGACTGATCATTCACCTCCGACTACAGAACAGATTTTTTCTTCCGTGGCAGGATTATAGACACTGTAGGTGGAGATTAGATAGGGGTTACGTACAATGACGATTAGTGCGATATATCTCACTCGATAAGGTCCTGGTTATCGACGGAAGGAACGAACTCGTTGTTAATGAAGAGACCGGTAGGGATCTCGACTACTCGGCCCGTAGCGGTGACGGAGACGCGTGCTATGGTGGCCATGACGGAAGGGAAGGATGGTCAATCGCTGGGGAGCGTAAGAGCGAGTGCTATTTATGAGTTTAACCAGCTGTGGGAGGCGTTTTGGATTCAGTTAGCTCGGTTCTCAATATCAATGATAGCAAGCTTTTGTAGACATCTCGATACAGACTCCGGTCAGCTGAAAATTGTTGGCACATGAGCACATCATCCTATGTAATCCGATCCTTATCCAATGGTAGCCAAGGTGGTGCAGTATCTGTCTGCACTGCCGGATCCTCCGAACCGACTGAAGCGAGGAGCAGTGTACCCTTATAAGTCGCGTGGCGAGGCTAACCTCGAAGTACGCACGGTCACAAAGTGCAGATCTTTCCCACACGCTCTTTCCGTCCAACAGCCATGTCCATGCTCACTCGCACTCCCGCCGTCATCCGCTCGAAGGTCGCCCATGTACGCGTCGCCCCTTCAGCGCGCTTCGCCCATGATTACCATGTATGCTCAAAGTTGAATTGTACTTGATCGCTATCTTACAACCCGTTTCGACAGCACCTCCCCTTCGCGCTCCCCGGCAAAAATCGGCTGGGTTTCGGAGTTAAGGTGTTTGCCTACTTGATCACCGGGTTCAGCATACCATTCGTTGCCGCTGCTTACCAGCTGTGAGTTCTCGTATGTTTTACAATTGCACTGTCTTATCCTTCTACTCCTATAGCAAGAAGTCTGCTGCTTAAGAGATTGAATGGAGGGCAGATATACATGGACTTGCACCACATCACATCCTGGCTATAGTGTCCACAATAGAATTTAACGTTGATCATTCGCCCTCTTCTACCCATTCCGCAAGCATGATGTCCACAGTATTGTTTTTCTTCTTACTAGACCCCTGCGCCCGACAATCGCACGTGCGTACCATGAACTCGGGATCACCCTCCAATGCATCTAGTGTTTCCATGCATGCTAGCCGACGGGCAGCACTTTGTGTATCGCTGGTGGCTTCTGCGACCAATGTGCCGTGGACGACAACTTGGGCATGTTTAAGTACTTATAGACGACACAGACTGCAGCGTTTCCTCACCTTTACAAAATTTGAATTGACCATCTCCCTTTCCTTTGTCAAGCTCGTATTCCTGGCAACCATGGGCTTGTAGAAGATCAAACAAAATTTTGGCAGGGTGCTCAGTTATTGTTTTTAGCGTGATGTATTGATCGTAGAAGGGCATCAAGACCTCGTCAAAGAAAATCTCGATGCTCAAGGGTTCGAAACCATCCGAAATATACAAAGCGCCTATGATTGATTCTACCACGTCGGATAACGCCTACAACGCGAACTTATTACTTTTTGGAACTGTCTGAGTATATCTTACTCGTACCTTAGGCGGAGTGATGTGCAGCCAGAACTGGCCGATGGGTGTACCGTCTCTCAAACTCGCGGTTCGCACTTCTTGTTCCTTGGCTTTGAGGTCTCTGGCATACTTCTTGAAGGACTCTGAGACTTCGTAGTCATCCACGAGCAGGTGTTCATTCAAGCCTGACCACACACAAATTGCTGCTAATGCCGAGTTTGCTACCATGGCACTCTGATTTGGTTGGTCAACTTCTGGCCATTGAGTTGGTCACTGGCGAATCATACCTTGAGAATTGTCATGACACCAGGAGAGAGTGACTCATCACGGTGATATATGTGGCGAACCACCACTACCATTCGTCAATATTGTGACTTCTACTGATCGGTTAACAAATCTTACTGAAGTCCAGTATTGCGTCTCCAAGGAATTCCAGACGCTGGTACGTTGTTGCATCGTAGCCTTGGATGGATCCATGGGTCTTGCATTCTACGATTAAGAAAACATCGGAAAATATTAAAAGGATATACACACCAATGCTTGCGCTAAAAGATGCGGATACTTGACTTTCCTTCTTACAAGCTTTTCCACGAATTCCAAACTTCGTGGCGGAAGCGCAGCTGAAACTCTAGGTGGCGGGGTAAGGACTTTCCGTCCAAAGTCAGACCATTGTTCCACAGAATTCAACGGGATGGTGAGCGCCTTCATAACTCTCAGTGCCACATCGCAACCTCCAGAAAGGTATGCGGCTCCAATGATAGCCTCAACGACGTCGGCGATTGTCTGAAGTCGATATATAGCAATTGTAGACGTTCGAGTGCAAACAAATCAAACCTTATCACCTAACCATTGAGTGACCTGGTCTTGGTTTTGCTTCCTCACCTTCTTTTTGGTACGTGCTTGAGTGGTGTCTGGATGTGGTCGAGTATCAACGACTGTTGTATCAACTGCGCTTGCTGCGTGCTCGTCATGGCGCTGGTGAGCTATCGGAGGGCATTTATCGAGCGTGTAGTTCGTTGGAAGCCATAGTTTTAGGCTGAGAGGTTTCCCTTGGATATACGGAGGCAGCTCTATTGCAAGTGCATTCTGAAGAAGAGCTTTATTACTGGTCATCTTCTGGCGTAAGTTGTGCAGGGAGCCTTCCGCATGGGCAGGATAAATGACGAAGACATATATGGAGGTGATATACTTGAGAAAGGCATCACCTGCATTCGGTTAGCATTGTGTGCGACACTTATCGTGTGCAGTTCTTACCGAGAAGTTCGAGGCGTTCATAGTCAAATGCATATAGGGCCGAGGGTGCGGACAGAGCCGACAATAGAAGGCCCTCGGTTATCTGATGCTCGAAAAGCATGGCATTAAGCTCCTTAGCGATGAGGATATTGTCAATTCGCTGAGTGACTGATGGCAACAGTAGGGCCATCCGATATACACTATAGAAACGTGAGCCCATAGCATTTGCAGGTAGCTTCCAAACTCACTTCGCAGGAATCGTGTATTTCGCCGTAAGTTCCGGGATCAAATCTAACGTAAGATTAGAACTGAGTATCGAAGAGCAGTGATCTTGCCTTACACCTGGCTGTAGGCTTCCCTACTTCAGCAGCTGTCTTGAGTGGGTTCAAAAGGTTGGATAGGTTTGGGACTTTAGACACTTGAATCAGAGGCTGTTCGTAATTTTTGAGACCTTCAAAGTCTTTTCGTCGGTCTTTGACGTAGTCCAGAATGCTTTCAAACTCTGCTTCCCGCTACGCGCGCTAAGTCACCACGTTTGCCAGATCGAACAGATCACAGACTTACGAGAGCATCGTCAGGCTTGCTTTTAGGTTTCAGATCAGTCCGAACGGACTCGACGTAGTATCGGCGAGTAAATTCTACCCATCTGTCTTGTACGACCACGCCCTCTAAGTCATGTTGGGACCGTAGATCAGACGGATGGAGAGGAACCAAGGCTTCACCACACGCAGCCTCGACTATATCCCATGCAACGTAGCCGGGTCCACGCAGCTCAACCTTCCCGGCTGAAAGAGTGTGGTCGCCGACCGGAGCAAAGAAATAAGGCGCTTGATCAAGGCCGCAGGAGATGGGTTTGTTAGACATAGAACGGCACAGTCGAACAGTGAAAGAGTGCAGCTGGGAGAGCTCATCCTCGCCAAGCTCTAAAGAAGGCCCACATTGGACAGTCACGGAGACAGGGACTCCGTCAAGATATATAATGATATCATCCATAGAGGGAAATGGCAAGCTGGTGACCAAAAGAAGCGGTCGATATGACGGATCTTCAACAAACAGGACGACAGAGTACATGCGTGGAGATCTCTGCCTCGTTAAACGGTCCCAAAGGCTGGGCTTCTTCCTGAGATAACAATGAGCGCTCGTTGGTCCATCGAGAGGCGCATCATTTTGAGAGAAAGAACGGTTATAAGAAAATAGAGCATGAGGAAGTGCGCCAATTTCATGGAGTTGCTCGCATGCACCATAACACGCAAGGCGACGAGCTTTCATAGAGGTGAGAGCATAGGGTCCTGAGTATTTGACATTTGGGAGAAGTCCAGGCAGATTCACAGTGCATTGGAAGAGACAGGCGCCATCTTTTCTCTCAGACTCCAGCAGCAACAGAGGTTCATCAGGAGCAGTGTGCATCATCCTTTGCAGATTGCTGGCCAGTCGATAGATAGCAACGACAGCATCGTTGACATGAAGATGCCCTGCCGTAGTAGGGTCGATTAAGTATCTACCGTCGGCGCAAAGCAAGGGGAAAGCTTCCTCATGGAGGTAATGATCTTGAGGGCTCTCGTACAACAGGGAAGAGGGGGCGCAACACTTTCCGTTTCGTACTAAAAAGTCGATCCAACGACCATCTTGCCGAGCACACTCGGAAACTCGGGACAAAGTGCGACGTTGAGCATCATTTCCCTTCTCGATCATGTGCACTAGCTGGCTTAGGAATCCACGACATTGAGCCCTGCTATAGGCGTAAGATACCTGGCTTTCGATGACATTGAAGCTTAAGAGAAATTAGCATGAGCGACATCAATGCTCATGGGGTACTAACCGGATGATAACGTCCACTTTGGGTACACTCAAATCTTCTATTGATTGTGACACAATGAGAACGTTGTATTTTCTCGAATGAAATCCATCTAAAACGCTTCTCTATATGCTCTCCGATAAGTGCATCACGTTTGACGTCAAAAACAACAAACCTCTAGCTCAGGATCATCAACGACGGTCTGTGGAACAACACAAGGCAGTATGAAGCCTAGCTCCCCCGTGAGAGATAATAGCAACTCAGTTAGTGCCACGCCTATGCATTCTCGTTGCACTGCGGTACTCACATTGTTAGTTTATGCCATCGCTCGTGGTTCAACACTCACCATGAATGACACAGCGGAAGCGGCCTTTGTACGGGTCGCAGGCCTTGAGTACGTTCACCAGTTCAGTAAATTTCGAAGTGACATTGGTTTTTTTAGTGGAGTTCTCGAAACTTGGCATTGAGAAAACCCAGTCCCGAAGAAGAAACATGGATTCCTTAGTTATTTTGTAAAAGGAGCCATTTTCGCTTGGAGGGGTTTCGCTGACATCCTTCAGGATACGGCGCAAATAGAGATCGCAAGCACATGGCCCCAGTTCAGTCAGTACGCAGCGAGCATTCTCAAGATACCAGCGAAAGGGAGAGACATCAGTCGTAAGCTGCTTGATGTGCTGGAAAAACTTTGTCTCGCCCGCCAAACTAGTTGGCTCGTATGCGACTAGTCGTTCAGATGGTGCACTGATAGCCGAACTCATGACTTGTTCTTGAACGACCTTGGCATGATATTGCTCTTCCAGCTCGGTTGTTGATGATACCAGGGGTTCACTGCACAAAGCAATTACGTTGGGGCACACGTTTGAGCGTGATGGATGACGAAGCCATTTCATCAAGACCTTGGTGGCGAAAGAATTGTCTGAGGTTGTTTCCTGAGCATTCAAGATGACGATGGTTGCTATAAGACCGCAGTTTATGCCTCCTGAGCACAAGGTTTCCAGCAAGACCTAGTAACATAGTAAGCAGCTTAAGCAAGCATCAAAACCTGGTGGAATCACAGTAGTGGTCGTTGTTAAGACATGAAGACCAGGTTGATCTTCACGCACTTGGTGAAGAAGCGACGTTCCTGGAGAGGAAATGGAGACAGGTAGGCAATAAACCATTTGAAGTTCAGAATACAATATGCGAGCTTCCGAATCATCACTTGATAGTGTAAGCATGATCCATCCAAATTAAATGGTCGGGGACCTACCGAGTGGCGACCACTATGAGTTGTTTAGAACTTGACCCCGCCCGATGTGTACCCGTGCAAGCCGCTGACAGGAAGCATACCAGCGCTTCTTTGGCGGCTTTACATGCAATCGTTCATGGGGCGAAGTTGGTGAATGTATTGATCAGCACATACCTTCATATGACCCAAGCTTAAAGATAGCTGGTAAAAGAACAGTATCAGACCTTTATAAGAGACAAACTGGAGTGAAACCATGATTACTATTATGCCACCTTGCATACTGAAACACGTCGGCCTGCTGACAGAAGTAGTTAATAGAGAGCAGGGAACAGCTGCAGAGCCGCACCTCATCTACGCTTTCAACTCTATTTTCAATGCCTTGAACAAGGCATTCGTCTAGATCATCAGTTTTACGGCTTTTGGGTGTTTTACCGACTTCAGTGTTTGTAATACGTCTTTTCCCTAACACTCCAGCACTCGCGCTGGAATCTGCGGTGGCATACTGCATAGCGTTCTGAGCCAGTGAAGTTTCGTGAGCGAGTGCCAAAGTTGGACCGCCCTCGTCAATTTCATCCAGCTGAGCGCACTGTGATGTATGTCCCGGTGCAAGGTATGCTGCCTTGTATCTGATCGAGATCGATGATGGATTATGAACTGGGGTGTAATCGATGGTCGTGATTATATCTCAAGCTATATGGCGATGTCTGATAGCTTAATGCAGGGGTGGGGCTAGAGCTCACAGTGATGATGTTGAAAGTTACTTACATGGACAACATATGCGCGTGTTTCGCACGGTGGTCATTTGATCAAATGAGGCCAGTCCAGCATAGCATTGTCACATACATGTAGGCGCTGGTCTCTGTGCCAATTCCTTCTCAGATGTGATGTTCAATAACTCGCTCCTCCTTCGCTCAGTCGACCATGATGCCGAATCAGACTCTGCAGAAACGTTGCCGAGTCCTAGGCAACGGGTGACCTCCGATCTGTGCCTTCCATCCAGACTGCCTACTACTGGTCTGTCTTTTCAGTGATGCCGTACAGCGGTCCACGCCAACCTGCGCAAAGGCTTTTTGCAGCGCGAAGCCGAGCAAGAAGCACCCAAGGCCATACTCAGGCAACTAAGGCGCAGCCCAACTCCGACCAGCCCTGTGAATATTGAAGAAGCTGAAGCACCTGCTTCGCCAACTGAACGACACGACAGCACCTCTTCCGCACCTCCGAGTCCAACTCTTGCTCTCAATCGAGGCACTTCATTTGTGCGGGGTAATCAATCGGGCTGGAAAGAACCCCAGGTAAGTTGACTTTTGTGACGGTGGATGAGCTTGGCTTAGCAAGCCTCTTAGCCATTCGAAGTTTTCCGGGCGATCGAGCGTAAGGACATCATGTTTCTCATGGAAATAAGAGATAGAGCTTTCCCGGTATGAATTCCTCTTTCTTCAAATAATTATGACCCATGATGGTAGCGGCGCAGCTGTTACTTCGCAAGACCGGCGATGCGACACCGCTATTGCATGCCATGCGGATTGGTACGTCGCATCGCGATGTGACCATTGTCTTGCTTGGAGCCTTCTCTCGCTGGGTTAATCATCTGGAAGACAACGAAGTCCGCCTACCCCGTACCAAGGTCATTCTCAAGGCACTCCGTGAGATATTCTCGTCAATGACGAGGCTCTTACTGAGCTCAGCCAGGAACCAATCTCAAGCTCGCCATTGACTACGGCCTTCATAGGTCGCAGAGCGATCTCGTGGCCTCTTTCCTGCAGGCCCTCGTCATGAGTGAGGGGGACAAGTGGGTGGCATCACAAGTTTCGTCCGTGAGCCTATCACTGCGAGCCGGAACGGAAGGCAAACCTGTCGCTACAGCGGGTTCCGCCGTCAGAAAGTTTGCCACACGAGAGCTGAGCAAAGCTGATGCTATAGCGGCGACTGAGGACTAGTAGGGCTTAGTACGCCACTCATGTCAGCCGTCGCTGATCACCCACCCAGCATAGCAAATGCCACGGCAGATCTCCTCATGTTAGCTTCATGGTCTATGGCCATGGAGTTCATTGAGAGCGATCCAATACCGGTAGGTCTGTGCCCATCGAGAAGATATCCCCCGCTGATCATCTCACTCACTAAAGTCTTACTATTTTGCCCGCGACGACCGTGTCTTCAAAGCATTCGCTGATCGACTAGATACTCACTCAAGCGCTATCCGCCAGTCCCTGAGCAAACGTCTAAAGTGGCAACTTAGGGTGCTGAGAGCAGTGCTCCAAGGAAGAAATGCTACCCTTCGGGTTCGCACTGCCATGTCCCTTTTTTCGGTGTTTGCCTTACAACTCTGATTCATTGACAGAGTAAAGTGGAGCTTTTGGCCGGGGAGCTGGATGAAGGAGAGGGGGTCTGACATCGCTAATGTTTTTATTACTTCCAGTTAACTTGAAGCTTGCAACCCTGAGGACTTTTAAGCCTGCGTTGTATTGGCTGTTGGTGATCTTTAAGTTCGTAATTGCTCGTACAAGGTGCCCTCCGGATACTAGCTCAAATCCAGGTCAGGGCGTATCATCGAGCATACAGCAAAACTCATATACGCGTCGGGCTCTCAGAGCTTGTTCTTTCCCTAGTAGTCCTCTCTACTGCCCATAGGGAAGACTCATGTAATATATGGTATGAGATATGCCCGAGCCCATGTACACATGCACTTGTGTGCTGGTAACACAATCCATTGTGATCCAGTCTCTCTGGATCAAACCACTAGTTTCATCCCTGCCCACCAACACCACCCGCCGATAAGTGCTAGACTCGCCACGGCCCAACTTACGTGCAGCTGCACGACGGTGTATAACCAAACAGTAGCGAACGAAGGGCACTGGAGACCATGAGTCTTAGCATCTGCTCCATAAAGGGGGTTTAACTTACTTGTCTCATCACAACTAACCAAGAACCTCTGTTTACGAGCCATACCATTCTGGGCCCCACCAAAAGGGAGGTGAGAAACATGGCTGCTTGTACACGTATGTCATTCTTGTGTCGGTTTGCTGATACACAGTGAGCAATGGACGGCTCAGTCAGCGAGCTTTCAACGAGTTGTTCTCCCACTTACTATAGAATATGAAGACAAACAATACTGGAGAGTCATCAGCATAAAGCCTAGTGCACATAAAATGACATACTTGGCACATTAGTCACTAATCTTTGTATGTATTCTCCGAAAGGAGGGCGGTTTGAATATTGTTGATGAACCAAACTTCCGGGGCTTCAACGATTTGCATGAGGAGAGAGGAAAATCAGGATACACACATATCCATGAGTAGCAAGAAGAAGGCGAATGGGATTGTGAGCGTGACCGCTCTGAATATTTCTTCGGCCAGAGGTTCGGATTCATCTGGCTGAGGTGGCTGGGAAAAGGGTTGTGAAGGTTTCGGAACCTGCTTCAAGATACCTGACTCTTGCACTAGACGCCACTGCTCATCTTCTGGGATTTCATGGATAGAGGAAGAGGAAGAGGACTGTGTAGGACCCTTGGCGGATTTGCGGTTCCTCGCCATAGAGAGTACCTGCAAGTACTTTGAACAGGTATGACGGAATCATATTACCGCCGAAACGCGAAGGACCCGAGATGCTAAAACGTCCGAGGTCCGACGGAGACTTTGACGACCACCATGTCCGAGTCTGATCATGCTGAACTCCTGGACACCCTTCAAGCATATGGCCAAAATTTCTTAGCATCCTTCAAGCTCCCTCAAACATCTTCGAAACCGAGAGATCGTGGCCCTTCTTCGCAAACGGACGCAGGAAATGAAGACTCCGAAGACGAATGGCAGGGCTTTAGTGCAAGAGAGGCAGAGGAATCAGTGGCAGCTGTTTCTTCGAAGGATATTGGCAAAGTGATCGGTATGAATGTCCATACAATCAAACCATTTTACTAGTAAATAACATGTGTGCAGTCTTCGATGAACAAAAACGCAATAGTACCCCTGCCTCAGACGGAACGAACATCTTTATATCAAAAAATCAAAGCGTTGCCCTTCAGAACGCATTCATGGTAAGTCGCTGCCTGTTACGATATCGTCACTGATGCTTCATACGATTTTAAAGTCTTCCAAAGCGTCAAAAGTTACATCGAACATGACTGATTCGCAAACTCGAAAGAAGGATGCGTTGGATCAAGACTTAGACTCAGTGTACGGGTGATTTACCCTCTTCCCATGATCAGTCACTCACGGTAATAACGCAGATCCAACTTAAAAAACGACGCCTTGCTACATCAGTTGATACATACGAAACTGCTGTCTCCTTTTTCAAACCCAGAGCTAAGTTTGACTCACTCCCAGAGAGAAAAGGCGTTAGCGGGCCGTGTTAAAGAGGTTTCTGGCAAGTCGAAGCTAGGAAAAGGGGAGTCGTCAACGCGACAAGAAGAGCATAACCAGGCGTCTCAAAAGGTCCGCGCAGGGCTTCAGCGAAAAATGGCAGAACGAGATCACAACAAAGTAGAGGAGGTACCGATTGAAACTATCCTCTTGGCTTATTCCGACTCACGAATATTAGGCCAAAGACCTTGGGACTTATCATCCATATCTCAAACGACAATTTGAGTCAGAGTCATCACAAGCACATACTAGAAAACGAGCAAGGGGCTTGGGCATGGGAGTGGGTAGATTCCAAGGTGGGGTGCTCAAATTGAGCAGAGACGAAATAGCCAAGGCAACTGGCAGTAATTCCCGTGCCGGCAAAGGGAAACGAAGAAAATAACAATAATAACAAAGGTACAACGGGTCATGGATGCGTTACAGTGATTGATATGTCGGCCCGGGGATAGCAGTCATTCAATCTGGTCGCCGGCTAGAGGAGCGGTAAGTCATGCGAGATCTATCAGATGCTGTATTATCTGAACGGGATCTTGGATATTCGCAAGGGGCAGTCAGAACTGTAATTCCGGACCTTGACTGGGGGGGGATCCATCCCCTACTGGTGTCTGGGGTCGTGTCAAGGAGCAGAAGTACACAGCCTTATGGCGAAGTTATGTCCGAACTCGTTACCTTCGGCATACGCAAGTAGAATACAATCTAATAGCATGATTTCGAATCGAGGACATGCTCGGTGCCCTCCCTACTAACTTTATACGAAGAGATTGTATCTTTGAGCTCGAGGGGGGTGGTTTTGGTTAATACGGGGTAGAAGCCCCTGTTGGCCGAGCGCTACAAATAGATGCAAAGCCCGCGCGCGATCTACGTCGCGTTGAGCGCGCCGACAGAGGGTATGTCTTACTCCTGCAACCTTCTTTGATTTCCTTGCTTAATTTTTATTATCACCTGTCCCAAGGATCGCCCGCTTTTACCTTGACAGTTTCAACGGCCAAAATGGAGGCTGATACCATTACCAAGGATTCAAACTGCTTTCTCTGTGGAAATTTGTTTCGCTCAGATGAATCATGGCTGCATAGCGGTCATACATTGAAAGCAATGCAAGGAGTGACAGAGGATGGCCTCCGTGAAAAAGTGTGATAACTTCTAGCTTCCTTTCACTTGCCTTATTTCTTACACATCTGTGCAGGTGTCAATTAGTCATGTGTGCGGCTTCTGTGGCAAGCCTTTGTGTGCAAGTGTTCGACTAGAAAAACAAGCATGGGAAGATATACTACGGAGTCCCAATGCCCTCGCTTTCACATTTTACAACTTGCTTCAACTCGCTTGTCAACTCGCAAGTGGCAGTAATAGTACTCACTCCCAGCGCCAGTGGCTCATTTAATTGCCTCGGATGATGGGCTACAGACTTCTATGGATTAAATATTACAACTATACTGTGACAGAACTCTACGATATACGCATGTTTACGTCTGACAGTAAATAGAGTAAATCTGATGCTTCACTCACTCGAGTTGCAGGCGACTCGCAACCTAGTCGGAGTTGAATCGTGGGAGCGTCTGCAGTGCCATAATTGCCTTTCTTGGCCGACTTGCGGCTGTGGTATCCGTGACGCGCGGCTTGGTGTACGGGGTCCTGCATGGAAGGTCTTGGTCCGATATTTACAGTTGTGACTGCCCCTTGGATATTCGTCAACGCAAGTCTCGCTTCTGACTAAAACTGCTTACGATGGTTGTCGCCGAAAATCATCACCTGGATGCATGTGTTGTGGTGCTCGCGAACTGTACGAGCCTGTTCGCCCGTAATCATTCCATCTATCGTCGTCGTCGTAGCGATCGTCATGTCGGTGGCGACGTCTTCGGTAGTCGTCCTGGTGGTGATATTTCGAGGAATTATATTCGGCGTCATATCTGATTGGGGGGTACGTCAGACCGCTGAAGCTGAAAGCTGATGCCATTACACACCCTCTTCGGTGATGGCTTGGCTGGTGTGGATCTACACGTAGGATATGAGGCTCGCTGTGGTGATACCGACTTCTGGAGTCTTGGTCATATCTGTCGCCAATATTTAGCGCCTCACTTGCTCTTGTGCTTCCTGCAAGTGACGAAGCCTGCCTGTAAATCTCTCGGCCCCGGACGTCTTGCACGATAAATGGTGCCGGCTGGACTGGCGGCCCTCCGTCGAAATTTCCAACTCTAAGAAGACTTGTCAAACCGTAAGCTCCATCTCTTGCCAGATCGTACATACCTCGTTATCTCATTTCCATGCTCGTCTTGGAATATCACCTTCATACCACCTGGTATTATATAATAGATTGGCGGACTCGAGGGACGCCCTGGGATCTCTCTCTTGATATGACCCTGGTCATGATAATGATACTTGTCGTCGTGAGGGATATCTCGCCGGCGAGGTTGCCTATAATGCTCCGAAGGCATGTCCCGTTCCTACTCATTTTAGCGCAAAGTTGGCTGTAGCACGAATGACTACAAACCTCATTCATAGTAGGCGAACCTAGTCTTGCTGTCTTTGGTGCTCTGCTTGAAATGCCGTCTGGCATTAATCCTTCCAGCACAGGCGGGACATCCTGCGCAGGCGGTCAGGCAGAGCCCTTCACAAACGCGCTGGATCTTACCGGCATTAATACTGTGGGCTGGGTCCCTTCAAGGTGTGCAGCCTCAGCAGCGTCCATAGAGTCCATTATGGGACCAGTCATTGCGGTAGGCACTGGAGCGGCCAAAGGCGAACCCATCTCTCTGCTCTCTGCTTCCTCCATGTCGCCTGCCTCGGAGTCAGCCTTACTACTAGCAGCGATCATCACCGCATTCTCCGGGATATGTCTCTCTTCGTGCATGGACATGTCCTGCGAACCAGTCACAGGCACATGCGTTGGGACACGGGGCACTCGTCCAGAGGAGTGTTCTCTCCTCGTACGGTGAGGTGACCTCGATGGCCAGGATTCCTCCATTTCTGGAGGAATATAACCTTGCGGGGAAGGCGGCTCCAGATCGTCCGGTCCGTGCATGGGCGGTTGCCTCGATCCGTGTCGGTGGATTAAGGGCGCCCTGTATCGACGAGGTGCTCTCCAGCGCTCGTCATCTTCTTGCATGGCTTCAAAAGAGCCTGGCATGGGACTACCATCCTCCCGCTCAACGGAAGGGATAGGGTTTGACATCATTGGTCGCTGTATGTTCATGGCACCTGCCATAATTGCGTTCGGATTGTCTACCCTAACGTATGCATCGTCGTAATTTGTTTGCTCGGTTGGGGCTCGGGAAGGAATAGGCGTAAACATCTAATATTATGCGATTAGTACTTCATTGAAATATGGCAATCACTATCCTACCGGTTCTCTTCTCTACAAGAAGAGTTAGCTGCTGAGAAAGTCCATTAGTAACAGATGAGGATTACGCTCACTCTTTTGACCTGGTCATGCCGCTCGAGATTAGGGGGTGCGGGGCCATATCTCTCTGGCTCTACTTCGTAATCGTCAGAATACCCTTGGATCTCTTGTGGTTGACGATGTTCACGACGACTGCGAAAGGGTGCGCGAAACATTTTGAACATGTTGAAGGGTGTCGAGTTTACAGGGAAGATATATCCCGCAATACACGCAAGGGAAGCATTTTAATGTCGCGATGCATGCGGTCACCATGAGGGAGATGTGTGTAAATGATAGGCACGCCTGCCGTCACACACCCACGATTGAGTCTCGGTCCTGATAAAATGCACAAAGTCCGATCATAGCTATAGTGTGAGGGCGATATACGCCTCCACATAGAGCCGCCTGCTCATAAGCTGTTCTAATTGAACAATGTATGCTGTATCTGTAGCTCGATAGGGACTTTGAAGGCGAGGCACATATCGAACAAGATATAATTCATGGTGTCAAAGTGCCACGCTAAGACGACATGCTCACTCAACATGGCTTGTTAACAACCAGATTAATTGTGATAACTCTAACGGCCTAAGAAATCGCCACTCCAGCATTCACAATATTCACATCGCATCACCGATCATCGCGACCCAGTCGTGATACATGATCGAGTGCTTGTGCCACCTTGCTAATGGCTTCAGCTACCGTGCCAATGGACGATGGGTCCCCTATGGCAGGTGAGGCGCATAAAACACTCAGCTTATCTGTAAGCGTCTGAAGCGATAATTCTAGAGCTTGAGTTGATGCGTGTAGTGTTGAGGCATGTACAGCTCGTGGCTGAGATGAAATCTGTGAGGATGTTAGCGACAGTGCCCTCAACAGGTGATTGAGGGGTGGTCAGACGAACCAACTGGGACGTCTCCTTTTGGGTATGAGATCAGATGCAACTCTAACGGGAGCTACGGATGTGCTCTTACCTGATGCTTGATAGTCGGCGGGATGGGCGCCGACAGAATTGTCGTTCCCAGAGACTGATAGAACGATAAGTAGGATGGAGCAGAGGCATTCGAGTGGTTTACCTTTAGGCGATCAGATCTGGCATCACTGACGGCCTCGCCCCAAGGCAATGTCGAGGGTGCAGTGCCATTTCTTGATGAGGTTGGGACGGTCGTTTGGACAGAGGACGACTCTGCATCAGTGGCTACGATGGTCAACCGTTGTGACCCAGGTTCACACATGTATACCGTTCCGCAAATAACGCATTCCTGGTCATGAGTGAGCAATGGAGACTCCAATAGATGCAACTCATACCATGCGAGGATCCTTCCCCCCACCAGCTTTCGGGGGCCGAACCAGAGGTATGCCAAAACATCTGGCACCGGGACACTCTTCTCCTAACATAGCCCACCCTTTGAGCAGGCGTTTGCCGATCTCTGAGGAAGCGAGGTCTGATTGTTGACGGCGACGAATTACATCTTCTGTTTCAATCGGTGGTGCAAAGGTAGGAGAGCTGAGCGAACTCGAGATCTCTGTTGGAGGTGTGGATGGGCGTGATTCCATCGAGCGTGAGGAAACAGTGGATGCTGATTGAGAAGGAACAGAAACAGAGGACTCATGCTGTGTAGCTACGCCTCTTCAGCTACAAGAAGTTGCATGGAATAGGTTTGCTTACAGGATGAGCCGGTGACATCACAATGAGCACAGAAGAGCGCGGACGAGCTGCTGCCCGGCGGAGGTCGCATTAGAGGGACATTGCAATCGGCATTTTGACATATTATATCTGTTAGAACCTGAAAGAATGCCTCAGAGACAGTACTATATGTGTTGCAAGATATCATGAACGCGCACCCATCCTTGTATCATATACTCCGCGAGCTTGTTTGGGACGTCTATCAATCTGCTCATATGTGGTACTAATTGGTGGTCAACTTTGGAGAAGAGAAGTATGGATTTGTTATCTTGGACATGAAATCGGACAAACCTCGGACTGAGTGTCAAATAAGCCCCACGGTAGGGTTTCTTACTTCGAAGCTATGCCAAATTGTTGACTTTCTGTCGGCCACGTCGGTTTAGAAGGAACGGTTGGTTATGAAGTGGCAGCAATGTTTGCCGGTGTCCTTCCTCGCTGCCCTCTACGCCTCCACAGAGACGGCTTGGATATCGCAATGTAGACCTCTCGCCCGTGCAGAATCATGGACCTCGGCACGAAAGAATTCATTCAGGTAAGTACCAGCAATCATCCTGAGGTTCAGTTCGCTAACAATTACAATAGGGAGGCAACGCGCAGTCTCTGGTACCACGGATATAACAATTACATGAACCACGGTGTGGTTGCTCTCCGCTAACATCGCAAGCGGTTCGTTAATTCGTCATTTGCAGCATTCCCTTTGGACGAGGTATGGCTTCGAACCAGTCCGTCCCCAACCAGTACTTAACGTGTTTCGAAGCTATCCCCGCTTTCGTGCACAGGCAGAGGGCCAGACTGGGAGAATCCGTGAGTTCATTGTCGACTCCGTCATTCAAACGCGGTTATGTTGACATTCACAAGTACCAACATTGCTTACAATGACGTTGCGGGCAACTTCTCGGTTACACTTGTAGATGTCTTGGATACTCTTGTCGTACTGGACGACCCATCAGGCTTTCAGAGTGCTGTGCGAAACGTCATAGATTGGGTTTCCTTCGATGTTAACACCAAACCTCAAGTTTTCGAGACTACAATCCGCGTTCTGGGAGGACTTTTGTCAGGGCATATCTTTGCTAGTCAACCTGACCAACCCTTTTTTCTCCCTTGGTACCGTGGGCAGCTCTTGGATATGGCTCATGATCTTGGCAAACGACTTCTCCCTGCATTCGCTACCCCAACTGGTCTTCCATTCGCTAGAGTGAGCAAATCCCTTGTTTGCGTGATCTTTCACCTAATTGCGTCTAGTTGAATCTCCGTCATGGAGTCTTTAGGGGCGAATCGCTAGATACATGTATGATGTTACTTTTATTTGAGCATGCATTGTACTCACGGCTGGACAGGTACTGCTGGAGCGGGCTCACTCATTCTAGAGTTTGGCACTTTGAGTCGGCTCACTGGAGATGATCGCTTTGAAAAAGTAGCGTACAAGGCTTTCTTTGCATTGTGGAACCGTCGTTCCGATATTGGTCTTGTTGGGAATACCATCAACATTCTTTCAGGTGTAAGTTTCTAAGCGAATACAGTCATATCAAACTCCCTCATGAGTTATTAGATGTGGACCGCTCCAGAGATTACTGGAATAGGAGCGGGGATCGACTCTTTTTACGAGTATGCTCTGAAATGGTATGTTCTGACTGGTGCGTATTGCACCGCGCTTACGGGAACTCTTCTCTTGATGATATTATGTAGGTGAGGTTGAATTCCTGGACGTATGGCATGAGGCATACGCAGCTGTGATGAGATATACTCGGTCGCCCGACGGCTACTGGGTAAGCCATGGCTACCCTGATTTTACTATGTTCTCATTCTCTCTAGCATCGAAGCGTAAATATCCACACAGGAGAGGCTGCGTTCAGTTCTGTTGATTCGTTATCGGCATTTTGGCCTGGCCTTCAAGTGCTGGGTGGTGATGTACAAAATGCTATTAAAGCCCATATGTATTGTATGTCTTTGAGGTCTCCCAGAGACAATCGAGCTGAAGTAGCATAGACTGGAATCTTTGGAGAAAACACTCGGGGCTTCCCGAAGTTTGGGACGCTGTATATACTCAGGCGACATCATTCCAGTACCCTTTACGACCAGAGTTTGTAGAGTCGACATGGTATCTCTACAGGGTAAGCATGCAGCTCGGTTGATTCGGATGTACCACTGAAATCGTCTACAGGCCACCAAAGATCCCTTCTACCTTGATGTAGGCGAGCGTATCCTCAAAGACATCACCATCCGCACCAAGGTGGATTGTGGCCTTGCCTCCATCAAGGATCTTCGACTAAATGCTCGGGATGATCGGATGGAATCGTTTGCTCTTTCGGAAACACTCAAGGTATATAGCTTTTCCGTGTTGCCGAAAAATTTATGCCTAACAGTCGATGGGCAGTATCTCTACCTGCTTTTCGACGAAGCCAATCGCCTTCACGACGACGATTCCCACTACGTGTTCACCACCGAGGGACATATTCTTACTTTGCCACGCAAAGCGCTGAAACCCATGTCTCCCGCCCGCAAAAGGTTACGTCGCGTTGAAAATCACCAGTGTCCCGCGTACCATCCCTTCCATACTTCTACCCACGAAAACTACGATGATGGCCTCACCCTCGGCATAGGGCAGCGTGAAGATGTCGATTATGTACGACATATTATAGGCCTTCGCACCCAGCCATCGGACGAACTTTATTCATCTCCCCATGGCTGGTGCGCTGCGCCTCAGATGGAGCTCTATGTAAGTATGTGATAATGAGCTACACATGGATAATGCCTGACGGGCCGTGGTTAGTCGTATGACTTCATCTTGGCAGCTCATGGAGGCCTCGTGCCTGAGGATCCTAGCCCAAGCTCACGCAAGCTTTCCCTTGCTGAGGGTGGATACCTCCTTCATAACGTTACCGGTATTCGTGCACATATCGTCAGCCGTCTGGATGGCAAAGGTTATGACATCACTAAACGTAAATCTCATAAACTGAATACTTGCGGAATCCGACTGACTATAAGCTAGTTGGACCTCACGCGGTGCGCACCGGCCAACTCGTATACGTCGACGACCCCGCTTTGGTCCTCCACTCTTTCGATAGCGACAAGATGCTTCGCCAAGGAGATGTCAAACTGCGTTTTGTCGTAGACGAGGTAGACCCCATGTTGCAAGCTCGTCCTGGAGTTATGACCCGGACCCTGGAGATGGAAGCCAAGGCTTTTACCGCCTTGTTTGGTGCTGACCCTGCCGCTCTCCCGCACGGCGATAGCAAGCCCCCTCCTTTCAGTTCGGGCAACTCACGCATACGATTCCTTCGCAAGAATACTCTCGGATGCAGCCCTTATACGCAAAACCTAGAGGGTGACGTTGTCCTCGTCTATCGAGGAGATTGCGCGTTCCTTGAGAAGCTCACCTTTGCTAGAGATGCCGGAGCCTCTGGCGTGATCGTCATCGGTGACAGTGACATACCTATCAACCCATCTGCGACCCCCAAGGAAATTTCTGATGCGGGCGATCTCGACGCCGTTGCTCTCGTCCTCTTGACACAGAGTGCAGGTGAAGCGCTACTAGAAATTATGGACACTGCAAGCGCCCATGGCACCGGACACGTTTTGGTTAGTGTCGATCCAGAGGGATGGACTGCTCAAACCGAGAGCCAGCCTTCAGATTTCACGCAGGAGGACGAAGTCCGGGTTCTGTACATCAATGGACATCCATTACTCAATACCCGCCTACTTACTTAATTATAAATTCAACGTAGAGGAGTCATCTGAAAGTTCTGTCTATGCATCTACAAAACAACTGAAAGCCCCTTCTAATCGCACTCCACATGCACATTTTCATCACCCCTGTCCTGTTAACATTGGTTCTACTCCGAAGCCTGGACAACTGAATAGCTAGGCGCGTCGAGGTTCCAAAGATGCTCAAGGAAGACCAAGCCGACGATAAAGAGGTATTCAAGAGTCTGGCCGCCTTGCTGTTTGACCAGCTCGCCTGCAGCTCGTGCTGATCCACCTATTGATTTTCTGTAATCAGAATCACACGTAAGTTGCATTCATTTACTCGGTCACCTCACCCGTAGCGATCAAATCGTCGACGACAACAACATTCTGCCCTGGCCGAATGGCGCCAGCCTGCATTTCGAACACATCCTGGATCCGAGAAGTCAGTTATCACTCCGAGCCAAGTTATGTGAACGCACGGTGCCGTATTCCTTCTCGTATGTTGCGGAAACGCACTCGCCGGGCAGCTTTCCTTTTTTGCGGACGGGCACAAACGCTGCTCCTAGTCTCATGGCAATAATGGGGCCAATGAGGAATCCTCTGGCATCGAGACCAACAACAACATCAATCTTCTTGTACGCTGAGTTTGTGAGCGTATAGGAGGTGATGTGGTGAACAAAATGCGTGATGAGTGTTTCAAAGGCGACGGGATCGCGGAGGATTGGGAAGATGTCCAAAAAATTGACTCCCTTGAATAGTCAAGTATTCAATTTTACTCTTACAACATAAAATGCGGGGCTTCTCACCTTCTTGGGAAAGTCGGGGTGAGTGACCAGCAAGCTGCGTAGATACTGCACGTCCCCCATAGCTTACGAAGAAAAAAAGGAAAGGTGAGAAACGGGGATTGTTCATTTGACGGGCATTATCATCACTCCCTTACCTCTTTGCTCGGAAGCGACACGACTCCGATCCATATGAAAAAGAAAGAAAAAACCGGAAAGTCGGACCAAAAACCACAATAAAACTGGCAACTTGACCTCATCGATCGGGGCAGCCGATGCACAATACCAAAGGTGCAGCGGAGCAGCACCATACATTACTGACCAAACAACACATCAATTAAACGAGTCTGGTACATGGTTTTGCGTCCGACGAAACTGTATTTACAGTGGCAAGAGTTTGGGCGGGCCTCCACAAATCAAAAAGACGGCAAACTGACTTCTTGCAAATATACTTTGATCTTGAACAAGTCGCAGGCAAAATGCTCAGTCATCATTCTAACGCAAATGAGTTTTGCATGCCAGTCGGTGCGTGCGCTGGATCATAGATTGGCAATACCCTTGTGGCATAGTCGTAAGGAAATCATAGTAGTAACAAAGGTACATGTCAATGCACTGCATCAGACGGATTCGAGGATCTCAGGCTCCTTGAAGTCCTTTACCACACGCGTGCCAGTCTCCTAAAATACGTAGATTAGCACAGGCGACTCATGAAGTGCAAGAAAACCACTGACGTCCGTCGACTCGCCATGGAGTTCAAGAAGTTTTGAGACGTCGAACTTCGGCGCCTTCAAGATCTTAGCCTTCCGAATGTAGACGTTTTGTAAAGGATAAATGTTGCGGGTGTTTTTCTCAATCTCCCGGCCGATGGCTTCGGGAACGAACTTCTGCACAAGCTCCTTCAGATCACAGCTTGAGGCCTCCCGCGTCATGATCTCGAACATCTTCTTCCGGATCTCGCGAATCTGAGAGGACTGAGCGTAAGTAGTCTTGCGGACCTGGTTTGGCCGACGCTTGGTGAAGGCAATCGCGAAGAGACGGATGAGGTAACCGTCGGTCGTCTTGACGTCGACATGTGCCTCAATGAGAGATTGCCACTTGCGGACAAGAGAGCGAAGCTTGTCCGAAGTGAAGTCCATGCCGTGGAAGTTTGTGAGGCAGTTCTTGCCTTGAACTTCATCGACACGCAGCTTGATCTTCCGGAAAGATTGCTCCTCGTCCTTATTCAGATCAGCAAGCGAAACTTCAATAATGCGTCCCTTGAGCGAGTCGTTGGCGTTTTCTACATAAAAAAAACCGCTTTAGATTGATAACGTGCATTTTCTGATATTGGACACGCACTGAGGCCCTGTGACCGGTTGACCAAGGTCTTGCCAACGTTGCGAACCTCAAAAGTGGAAGGCGCCTTGACGTCGTACCACTCTGCAATCTATCAGAAGCTGTTCTTAGAATTGTATGGTGTTTGCTCACCCTTCCGCGAGAAGGGGTCGACGACCTTTTTCTTGATACCCTTCTTGCCCTTGGAGAGACGCTTGTTCTATAAGATCGTTTCGCTGTTGAGGACTGATAAAAGAAGAGAGAGTATAACGGCCACATACTTTGCCTACGGCCATTTTGGATTATGCGCAAAGGCGTTCAAGGGGACGCGCAAGGGATTCAGCCGGCACTTGGACGGACTGGCGGATTGTGAGCTGTAGGAGCCTTCGTCGTCTGTTGGCGTGCCGAGCCGCGGTGGCTTGAACCTTAAACTCCCTACTGCAAGATACTTTCTCACGAGTTATCTTCAATTATGCCTTTCTCTCGCCAACATTTCGATCAAACATGCAAACGTCTTATCGCGAAAAATCACGATTCAGAACAAACTGAACAGCTTCGCTTCAGAGGTCTCACTGGATGGACTTGGACTGAGCACCCTGTGCGCCCTTTGCTCTCAACCCATACTTAACTCATTCACCTTGGGTGTCAGACCCACCATGGCTTTGGCTACATGCAGCGACAAGTTACCATCCTCACCCGAGCACTAACATTGTCTTCCACGCCCTTACCATCGGTGCTAGACAATGAATTTGATAATTCCGATGAGGAAAGCGACGATGCCGTGCTTGCTGTGGCAACTTCGAGCTTTTCGTGTTCCCAGTATATCGTACACTCGCCGACATACCAAGTTCCTGTGTTCTACTTCTCTATACAGGATACTAGTGCGTTGCGCCTACCTTGCGAAGCATGAACATTAGCTCAACTTTGCTTAGAAGGATCGCCTCTGACTTTGGACGACATTATTGAGACATCTATATTACCGACATCTGCATTGGAGGGAACAGAAAGAAATGGCTTTGCGATCACTTACCCAGGTTCTTCATTCCCTCTACTATCCCAAGGAGAACATCCGACGACCGGTTTGCCCTGCTGGTACGTGCACCCCTGCGAATCGGAGGCCGCCACGGATGAGCTCTGGCGGGCAAGTGGTGTCGGAAGCGAATCGGAGAGTGAGGAGCGGGTGCGGTGGATGGAGGCATGGTTCGTGGTATTGGGGCATGTCGTCAGTTTGAGAAGTTAGGGTCGGCGATTTTCACATGATCGAGCTGCACACTTAGTCGTACCGGATCTTGCTTCGGCTTGCTTATAAACGGCGGGCGCGACGATTAACGCTACCTCTCTTCCCACTGAGTGTTGTTGGTGTGACTGGTCAACTCAAGGCTTGTACATTGGGATTCGTCGTGGCACCAGACGCTGACCCTCATCGTACGATCACGTTCCCTTTTCAGAATAGCACCATACTTTGTTAATCGATATCGTGTCTCGGAGTGTCCCGATCAATAACGAGGAATAAAAGCCGAGTGTACAATGCTTTCAACACGAGCATTCGCCCGCCTTTCCTCTCGTCCCTTCTCTCGCGCTATGGCCAGTCGCTTTCAAAATTCTTGCTAATGAATTGCTGATTTTTATGCTTTTAACAGTCCACTCACGAAGCTGTCATCGTTGCCGCCTCTCGCACCCCCGTCGGCTCCTTGAACGGCGCTCTCAAGAGTTTCTCCGCTCCCCAGCTTGGTGTCGTCGCACTTAAACACGCATTCGAGCAATCCAAGGTTGATCCCGCCATTGTTGAGGAAATCTACTTCGGCAATGTTGTTCAGGCCGGTGTCGGACAGTCTCCCGCTCGTCAGGTCGCCCTTGGTGCAGGTATGAAGACTTCATCGGATGCCACCACCATCAACAAGGTCTGCGCCAGTGGGATGAAAACTATCATGCTTGCGGCACAGAGCATCGAATCTGGTTACAAGAGCGTCGTCGTCGCAGGAGGAATGGAGAGCATGAGTAATGCTCCGTACGTGATCAGTCTCTTGTTCGACTATTTCCAAATTCATCAATTCTGTTTCAGTTTCCTTTTGCCCCGGACGGCTCCCCTCTTCGGCAAGTTCGAGACCAAAGACTCCCTTGAGACCGATGGTCTTTGGGATGTTTATAACAACTTCGCCATGGGCAACTGTGGTGAATTTGCTGCTGAGAAGTACGGCATCTCTCGCGAGTCTATGGATGCGCATGCTATCGAGTCGTATAAACGTGCCGACCGTGCCTGGAAGGAGGGTGCTTTCAACGCCGAGATTGCCCCTGTGACTGTCAAAGGAAAGAAGGGCGATACCGTCGTGAAAGAAGACGAGGAGTACAAGAAGGTCATCTTCGACAAGGTTCCTAGTTTGAAATCTGCGTTCAGGCAGGGTGGTAGCATCACTGCTGCCAACTCATCCAACATCAACGATGGTGCCTCTGCCCTCATCCTTATGTCGGCAGCTAAGGCTAAGGAGCTTGGCGTGAAGCCACTCGCCAAGGTTGTTTGTGAGTACGGACATCAACCCTGGTTGTCATGATGTTGACTTTCGCTCAGCTTATGCCGATGCTGGTGTTGAGCCTATCGACTTCCCCGCAGCCCCCACCGTCGCTCTACCGAAGGCACTGGAGAGGGCTCACCTCACCGTCAACGATATCGCGCGATTTGAAATTAATGAAGCGTTCTCCGTTGTCGTACGCATTGCAGAACAAGTTCTGCAGATCGACCCCGCCAAGGTTAACGTTAATGGGTTCGTTACCTATCTGACCATATGACGACCTTGTACTAATGTCGCGTCTAGCGGTGCCGTTGCTTTGGGACATGCCATTGGCAACTCTGGGGCTCGTATCATCGTTTCCCTTGTCCACGGTTTGAAGACTGGCGAATATGGCGCTGCAGGTATTTGCAATGGGGTAAGTCTATCAAATCGTACTCCTTTTCGAGGCGAAACGACTGACGTTCCTTCGACAGGGCGGTGCTGCCTCAGCTCTCGTCATCCAAAAACTATAATTGTACACGATCATGGGCGTTTGTATATTCACTTTGTGCTATAATTCATCGGTTTCCAGCTTTATGCCCACGCGATCGTGTCCTCTTCAGTGAGGTGGCGTTCTTAAACTGTTCACCACCCAACGGCTCTGATGGAACATCCGCACGGTGCTTATAAACAGGGCCGTGAACAAAACGTCACTTTATCTCGCCTTACAATGTGCCTGCTCACCTCTCGTGATAACATTTTAACACATTGCTATATCTGTAACGGGCCGATGCACCAGTGAGTCTGAGCCACCTCATAGATAAAGGGGCAGTGAGTTGGCGATTCCCTGTGTTTCCGAATCTTTCGTCAAGATGGCTTCTAAACGCATTGGATCCAGGAACTCATCCGCGAATGTAGAGAAGGCTTCACAACCTGAAGTGTTTGATGACACACTTGTCGGGATTGACTCCTTCGAGTCCGCAGACGTCGATGAGGCGTTGCAACTCGTGGGCACGCAGGCGTCGGAACACTTCAGCAAAGAATACAACATTCGGCTCAGAAAGAAACTGGTAAGGGATTCGAGCGAAAGGATGCACGGGTTTGAATTGTGACGGTTACCAGGACAGATACATTCCTCCCATATGTGCGGCAGTGTACTTTTGCCAGTTCTTGTGAGTCACAATAGCAAGCTGTTCCACTAGCACTGAGAGCTGATGTGGAATCGTCACAGGGACAAGACATCTCTCAATTATGCAAGGTATGTTGTTAGAGCTCGTCAGCTATGGCAAATCCTCACATTGTGTAGCATCATGGGCTTCCCAATTGCAGGGCAGGTGTGGAGTCTGTCTATGCAGCACGCTAAGAAGCTGAATTTTCTTAGGATTATAACCTCGTTTCGATGGCTTTTTACTTGGGTAGGGCACGAGTCCTAAGCAATAAATCTACATTCGATGATAGCTTCGTCAACTATTCAGGGTATCTGTTATGGGAATTTCCGACAATGTACATTTCGCAGAAATTGCGACTGGCAAAGTACTTGGGTAGGGCCATGTTTACACGTCCCTCGGCGATCCTGACGAAATCTCTCCAGGGGCGAATACGATTGCATGGGGGGCACTCCTCATGCTTCATGCCGCGACGAACAGTTTCGGTCCATTCTTCGCTCTCAGATTCTTGCTTGGTGAGGTAATCTAGGATGGTATTGGACAGTCACCTCATGTCAACTGCAGGGATGTGCGAAGCTTGCGTAGCGCCCTCTTTGATCTTGATCATATCTATGTTCTACAAGAAAGATGAACAGGTAGGTCAAGCATCATATCGAGATGACGAGCCGTGAACTAATATCAACATCTTCACAGGCCAGTCGCATTTCATGGTTTTACGTGATGGTGAGCCCTTGATCAGAGTGCTTCGCCACCACGGAAACTAAAGAGGGATAAAGAATGGCCTGACACAAATCTTTGGCGGATTTGTGGCCTTTGTAAGCAAGCACCGTGTTATCTTATATCAATCGCTTACAGTCCGCTCTATAGGGCGTCTCGTTCTACGATGGAAAGGTTATACCGCCTTACAAGATCGTGTATCTTGTATTGGGTGGTATTTCTATCATCGTCGGTTGTGTAGTGTTAATCTGGCTCCCCGACTCCCCTGTTCACGCGCGCATGCTGACTCGAGAAGAGCGCGTTGCTTCGCTGGAACGTGTCCGGAACGATCAAGGAGGCACCGAGAACAAGAGGTTCAAGAAGGAGCAAATTATTGAAGCTGTCAAAGACATACGAACGTGGTTGATTGTTCTAACTACGCTAGTCAGTGCGTACACTCTCACATGCGGGCCTAGACTACCTTCATCTGCGTACTCATTAATCGCACGATTCGTAGCAAGCATCCCTAATGGTGCTCTCAGCAATTGTGAGCCCTCAATAACGTTCCGAGGACCTTGCCAATATTGACTCAACGATGTAGTTGGAAACATTGTAATCAAAAGCTTTGGTTATACGTATGTCGTTGAGCATTGTCATTGCAGATGAATGCTCGTTTTTAACTCCGCGTTAGAACTAAGCAAACATTGATTCTCGGCACGCCATCGGGAGCAGTCATGAGTGTGATGGTAATATTTTGCGGTTGGTACTCTGACAAGAAGGCGCGTAAGGACGATGTCTTGTCCAGCCACTATTAACGCGGTGGGGCTTTTTAGAATGAACGCATGGTCCCAATTGTCATTGCATTAATTCCAACGATTGTAGGAGCAGGTGGGGGTCCCGAAGGCTATCACTTACCCTCAAGAAGACCCATGCTCAACGATATTTTAGCTCTGCTTGTCGCACTGAATGGCACTGGCCAAAAGGGTGCACTGCTCTTCGGTTTGTTCCTTTTTTCCTTGAAGAAAAGAACTTCATTGATGTCTCATGTCATGACATATAGCAACCTACTTGATGGGTACATATGGAAGCTGCCTTTCGACGATCTATGCATACAATGCGAGCAACACCAGCGGTCATACGAAGAAGGCATACAGTTCATCTACTTCCTTCCCAATCGGCGTCTGACTTCCACTGCAGGTAACAATAAACGCCCTGACCATGGTCACCTTCAGTATAGGCAACATTGTCGGCACTGAGATTTTTCTCCCTAAAGACGCTCCCGCGTATATCCCTGGCAAAATTGCAGTTCTTGTTTTACTCTCATCCCAGCTTTTCATATCTTACACACTACGTTATATCAATGTAAGGCTAAACAAGAAGCGTCAAATTAGACTAGCCGAAGAGGCAGCCAGGCAAAGCTGGTCGGAGGAGGACATACAACGGGAGCGGGAGAAGCATGCATTCGCTGACTTGACGGACCACCAGTAAGTCACGCAATGAAACTGAGTGCATGCTCAGGCCCTAATAAACCCCTGCAGAAATATATTCTTTGTATACACGACTTGATTTCCAGGGAATTGCTAGTACTGTATTGTTTATGTCACCTCCTTCGAGCTTTCTTTGGTCGTGTACTTGGCATGCTCCTTGAACGAGTCATTCCGTCAGCGGTCGTGTTCGTATGCACTGTGCAGAAACCTTACCATTCCTGGATTCCCTGAAGATACTTTTCAAGAGCTAGTTTCGCATCTCTCCGCAACATTTGTTCCGGCTCCCATGTGGCTTCATCGACACTGTAACCCACCCAATAGACCTGAAACATACGACTCTTACCCACCCACTTGTGGTCCACTACTTCCTCGACCTCGTATTTCTCAACCGGTGGCCTGATGCGTATTATTTGACGATCTGCATGATCCCATGCCTTCGGGAGTCGGACTGGCTTCAAGAGAGGCGCCATGTCAGAGCGAAAGTTCCTGCCACTGCGCTGGACTCCACCATTGCATGAACGGAGGTACTTATAGAACTCGCATAATGTATGCTCGATATCGCATAGCTGCATTGGCAGGCGGCTGGGACCCAGGCCGTCAAAGGTTAGCCCCAAGCGCTTAAAGTGATGCCTCTGGGTCGCCTTCATCCATCGTAGAGCTGCTAGGGATGCGCGAGGGCTAATGTCTTCAAAGCATTCCTGCAGACCATTGCGGGACCCAGGTCCAAGCACCACAAAGTCGTCTTCGGAGAAATTGAGGACGTCTGAATATGACAGGTTCAAGAAGTACTGATAGGCAGTGAAGTCGCCTATCCCTTCAAACGAGCAGAGCCAATCAAAGACATCCTCGGCGTATCTGACTGTGTTGAGAAAATCTGGTAGTGTTTCCATCATCTTCTCAAGCAGCGTTAGGTGATTTAGGTAGGCCTCGCTGAAACCTAGATCTGGAGCCGGTTTCTGATATGCCCCAGTGTAAAGCGTGATCTTCCGGTCGTGCAAGTCCTTAAGGGTTCGCTCATACAAGCATCGATCGTAGTCGGCCCAGGTAAGATTGGTGCTCTTCCGAAGCACCTCCCAAGTATCAATCTTCGTAAAAGTTGTGAACAGAAGAATGCGGAAGATGAGCTCGGTGAAATCTTGAGAGCCAGTTTCGATGACATCTGTGACGAGATATTGACTGGCCCTGTCTAGTATCCGGTAGACGTTGCAAAAACGGCCAGTCTCCAGTACTGGGTCATCTGTCCAGCTGAAAGAGGCTCAACAGGAGTACGATGCTCGTGGAAACACGACTACTCACGGTGGCTGCAATCCTGCTCGACGTTTAACATCAATTTCGTGGCGAGCGGTGGTGAAACGCCAGAACAGGTCAAACTTCTCCGACGGTTGTATGAGTTTGCCTTCGAAGTCAAAATTCATTCCAGGTTGCGCTCTCCTCGACCTCTTGCGTCTAGCTGGTAATGCGTCGTTACGGGCATATTCGTTTGTGCGTTTGCGCTTGGTTCTCGAGTTGGACGACGCAGAGCTAATACTAGACACTATAAGTGACGCGATGGAAGTTAGGAGACGCGATAATTTGCGTTTGTTGCACACTTACACGACATGGAAAGGAACGCAAGAGAAAATGCTGAGACCAAGACGCGTCGCAAGGGACTACAACGCGTCCGACTTAACAGCCCGAGTTGTTACATAAATGCAGATCAAGTACCTCCGTTTTCTCCATTTACACCATGTTGACATCGGGTGTCGGATCGGCGGAAGGCACGTGGCACGTTGAGATGCTACCCCCATTTCGTACTCTGTTGCTCTCCTGCTTGCTATGAACAAGGACACACGAACGAGATCCTTTGTTGAAGACCAGAGGCGCTTCCTTCCCATACACGCTGCAGAGGGTACGAGGCAAGAATTTTTATGTGCACCGAAGACCTCTCCAAGGCAGGACATATCGAACCAAGACACAGCCGCTCAGCGAGGGTTTGGCTTCGACACTCCTATCCTCAAACCGCGCACCATAGCTGCAACGCGCAGCGCCTCCAATAACATCCACCGTATTCATCGTTCACCCTTACTTCAGGATCCTGCGGATGTACCTAGACGCAGACTCCATGAGCATGCACAAGCGAGTTCTTCGAGTCGGGCCAAATCCACTGAGCGCAAGAATGGGAAACCAAGGCGCTCCCGTAGACGGGCATCTTCTGAGGATGAGACGGATAAAAGCGCACGTACGCAAATTCATAACGAACCCCCTTGCTACATCTACTCACATACTGGTAGGTCTAGCTGAAAGACGTGAGCGAAAGCGCGAAAGGCGGGCTATCATGAAACCAAACCTGCACAATGCCAACTCTGCTTCTGACACACCCAAAGAAGCTCCGTCAAGGAAAAAGCAGAAACGGGCTGCCGGTACTGATGGCGCCGCTTTTGCTCTCATGCATGGTTTCAGCGCGACGAACGTTGGACGCACCCATGAGCGAATTACAGTGAGTGAGCTCGCCACTTCCCTCACAAGGCCATTTGTCATGAAGTCCTTGCATAGCTTAAGCCGCCACCACTTGGCGTGTTTAACAAAGGGAAGGCCTCGTATAGGGCCCATGTTCCAAACAAAACTGCAGGTAAGGTTCTCTGACGGCGATGTAGTGTGGATTGTAGTGAGTTTTTCTTAGGTGGACATCATCACCTCTTCTCGGAGATCGCTTTCTTGTCCGGAAAGCACAAAGATGTTCGCCCGGGCAGTCCGCAGGTAGAGGAACCCTCTTCTTCGCTTTCCCTTCACGAGTCAGCTCTGCTACACTGCGCGAAATCCTCTGATGGTCTGTTGGATCATGAAGCCATGAATCACAAAGGTAAAGAAAGCAGACATTCTTCGAGAGCTGGCTCTGTCGCATGGGACATTGAACGACAAAGTGTGGACTTACCCTCAGACGCAAAATCTGTCTGCCCTCGGGATCCTCAGCAATCTGTTATACTAGACGCGCGAAGACACGACTGGCTTCCAACCCAATGCAACCCGGAATTGGAAGAAGCTCACAAAGGACTTAGTGGTAGATCAACAAGTGAACTGCGCACGAGCTGTAGCGTGCTGGCTGCACGACATCCATACACGTCGTCTCTTCATCCTTCACAATCGGCGTCACAGGTAAATCGCCCTCATATGGCCTCTGTTAACCGACATGAAGGGGAAGTGACTCGCCATGAACCAAAAGTTTCCGAACTCGCCGAAAGGTCGCATAGACACTCGCCTAAAAGGTCCGATACATACTGCCAGGGCTCGCTAGCACATCCAGCGTCTTTGTCGCAAGGAGAGGCATACAGTGCTATTGACAGGGAGAACACCAACGACCCGTCCGTAGAACACCGCGCGACTAACGGTCCTAGCTATCCGCGCATCCCATTCAAGGACCCTATGGACGTTCCTTCTCCGCGAAGCGTACGTTTCTCTGACTTGTCTGTTGTATCAGCTGGACCTGTGCCCTTCTCTGGTTTTCGAGGGTCTTGCACCGCATCAATTTGTGACCATCCTGGCAACTCCCTTCCAGCAACATGTCCTGCTTACATGGAAGTTTTAGGATGGAGTCGAGAACGTCGAGAACTTGACCAGGTGGAGCTCCCAAACTTTGACGAACCGTTATTCTCCGAAGGCGTTAACGGCTGGAATATCCACTCTTTACGGGACTCATTTGGCGACCCTATGCAAACTGACCTTTATGGTAACGTTCAAGGAGGGCTTGGTTCTGACGACTATCCCGGCATCATGGACTACGTACCTCCAAGCTCCTACGAATTGTTGCCTCAGTTTGCCCCACTTGAACCAAACGAGTTTACTGATCTAGGCGACAATATATCTGCTCAGAAGATTCCACAGGACTTTCTTTTTGGCTCTCCTAGCTTCAGTCAAGTGGACATTGACTTGGAAGTACCAGATGACGATAGGCGCTGGGAGCAGGAAGCACACTCCCCTACCGCCGATGCACCACTTGAGCAATGGACAAATATCCTCACAGATGGCTTTGGGATGGATGACAGTCAAAACTTCACTGACGATGACTGCGAAGAGGTCCCAGAGATTGGCACTTTCGACAAACTATCAAGCGAACAGGACAACTACGAAGACGACAGTAACAATGGGATTCAGACCCCGACACGTTCACTTTTGTTGCAGCCGTTCTTACAAGGCCGATCACTCCTGCTCGGACTTGGCGAATCAACTAATCCTGTTCCTGCTCACGAAGTTCTCCTGCCTTTTCTGACAGCTGCCGAAGCTGAAGTTGCATCCCGCATGAAGGCGAAAAGACACTGGAAACCACAAAAGCTATAACCTAGGCATCAATGATCGAGTGGTGTGGCGATGTACTTTTGATACTAGCAGATAGATATACTACGGTAGTTAATGAAACGTCATATAAATCCATGGCATGAGCATGAATGAACCTCGTCTACGTATACATTCGGGAAACTACAATACATCTGCAAAAGATCCTACCAAAAGGCAAAATATTTTGTGACTTGACGATAAGAGTTGCTCTGAATTAAGATTGAGATCTCGAGAGGATAGTATCAGCTTTAGTATCCGATGATCTGCCTGCCACGATGATCGACGTCGCGCCCGTGGCCATTGACGTATCCCCGGCGATCGACAGGGCCGAAGAACCAGAAGCCTTTGCGAGTGCTATGGTTTCTTCTGTGATGATGGTGTGGCTCGTGGTGCCCACTGAGGCCGAAGAACCTGCGCAAACGTTCACCCCAGCTGAGTGTCGAGCGATAGTGCCCCGCGTTGGTGTGGTGCCTCCGATGATCACCACGATGCCGCCCCGTATCCGCGTATTGCTGCATGCACATGCAAAAGCGTCAGCACGAGGTGCATAAGATCAACACATATTACAAACGAAACGCACTGTATAAACGGGACGGCTGCCCCCCGAGTATGTCTGCGGGACGGATGCGCTGTGGTGATGACGGGTGCGCGACCTGCTTCTTGTGCGTGTGGGGACCGTGTAGTACTGCACATCGTGGTGGCCATGGCTATGACTATGGCCGTCGCGATTGGCACTGTGGCTTCGTGACCTGTGATGATTAGACGGGATAGTGAGGTAGGCTGGGTTGGAGTGGGAGGGTGTGTGTCCGACAGAGGCGTAGCGCTGGAGGGGCGTGCCCTGGTATTGGCCTGAGGAATGCGAGGTCGGATACTCGTAATATCCTCCATTTGAGTGACCGTGGCCGGAGTGGGTGTGACCAGAGTGGTGAGAACGCTGCGAAGTTGTGTACACGATTGGTTGAGGGCTGTGACGGCTCATGCTATGGCTGCGAGAATGCCCTTGATGGGGCGAGACGACGTAGGCAGGCATCGCGTGAGCGGAGGGGAAGTCAAAGAGTAGAGGAATTGACGTCAAGTTATATCGCCGACTCCGATCGCTCAAGACGGAAGCTTTCTCCACGCCAGATCATCTCACCCGATCGCCGCCTCCGCGTTTAGGTCTCTTATCTGCCCGGTCCATTTCCACGTCCAACCCCTAAGTACTTGCTGTGTTGTGGTGACGATACAAACGGGGCACGGGGTGCACCATTGTTGCAGTCAGCCTTCGGCAATCATCGACGAGTAGCTCACATCATTGGTACGCTGAATTTACCGTTTCAGTTGGTGCCCATATCCCCCAGATCGAATTGTCCCTCGTGCTTGATTCAAGCTCTGGACAACGTTAACCTCCACTCATCGAGCGAATCGGACTTCGGGGCAATGCTATCCTCAGATAATTGGGGACAACTCCAAGGGTCTGTTCGGCACCAGATGACGTGGTTCATGCTGTGCCTCAGCGGCTTCAATGTAAATCGTATGGAAAGGCTGGGGGCAAAATGTACCACCGAATTGCACGGATTGGAGGCTCGTATCTTGTTTGATAATGACAACACTAGGAGCACGTGGTAAAGGGAAAATCTGTCGTATGTCACTCCATGTCCGCAAAGTCGCCCTCGTCAAGGTCGTGTGGCTTGAATATATCGTGGTCAGCATCAGACAGAAGAATTGAGCAAAATGCACACCTCTTTTGGTTCTTCGTCTTCTCCGTATTGCATAGTAAAGTCTATATGACTAACGACAGTCTCGAGTGAATCTGTAGATGTCAAGTCTAGGGGGAGGAATGAGACAAGAGGATGGTCCTCAATCTGATAAATGGTCAAGGTCAATTTAGAAGCGCGCAGGCGGGAGTAGCTGGTAGAGACTGACAAGTTGTACGATAGCTTGATTGAGCGCATGGAACCGCGGATTTGCCTCAGCTGGAGCGCCAGGAACCCCAGCGAGGAGTAACGGATCCGGTTCGAGGTAACGAGCGATGTCTTTGCGGGCCCTTCGGCCATTCCGCGCGCCTCCAGAGGGGTCGTCGGGATTGGATGTGATGAGATCCATCTTTGACATGATATTGATCCAAGGTACTTCTAGATTCACCATAGCAGACATGGCAGACAGAACGCCGCTAGAATAGGCTCGAGTCAGAAGGGAACCTTTGCACATGTAATCACGGCATTTACCTGAAATACTTGTATCGGTCCTCAACAAACTGAGACTCAAGGAGGTACACAGCGCTTGTGCGAATACCCATTCGGGTCAGATTTCGGACCAAGGTGGGGAGGAAGGGGTGGTGTGTGTAGAGCTCAATTTGCCCTGGAAACAGCTTAGCATGGGGGCATATCAAGAGAAACGAGACGCACCAGGGCAGTCTATGATCAGGTAATCTTCGTCATAACCACCCAGCTCTTCTTCCAACCAGTCCATATTTTGCAGCAGGTACCTAAGAGGGCAGACGGATGGATTTCGCGCCAAATAGCAAGGACAGGCGGTGCACTCACTCACTCGAAGCAGTAGACAAGACCACCATTTGGGCCATAACCCATTTCCGACATAACGTCCTCCAGAGAAACGAGGTCGCGTATGTCGATCGCAGGCTCGTACTCGAAGGCGTCGCCGGTTGCTGCTGGATCAAGGTTGACGATGTTCACGGGCCGTTTAGCCATGCGGAGGTGTGTCATGAAAGAGGTGGAGAAGGTGGACTTTCCAGCGCCAGCTGGGCCGGTGACGAGGACGGCATAGCGCATTGCAAGGTGGATTGAGGTAGTAGGACTGACTGTAACGCCTGTCGCGTCGGGCGCGTAACGGATTAGATTATTAGAGAAAGGATCACACTTGAATTCGAACTCCGAATATCCCTATCGCCCACAGAGTCTCGGACGGTGCAGTAGTAGTCTATACTCAGCATATTTTACTCGCTCCTCCTCAAATCTCTATCGTCCTCGTCATGTCGCGCCCTCCACTTTTCCCTGACAAGACCGCATCTGGGATCGCGGTAGATCCCCGTACGCTCGATCGCGTCGTCCCTGAATCCCGCAGACCTGATGGGACGTACGTATACCTAATACTTCAGATATAGTGTCTGAGCTCACAGTACACGACCCTCCTCCGCAGCGTTCGTAAGGAACTCAAGATACGTCCTGGATTTACTCCTCAGGAAGATGTCTCTCGTTTCCGCGGCAGTCGCCAGGCTCAGGCAGATCGCAGTGCCTTACCCAAGGGCCACATACTCGGCTGGGTCGCACCTTCCTCCACCTCTCAGCCTGCCAAAGCAAACCCGAGCCCAGCCCCAAACAAGAACGCCAAGAAACGTGCCAGGCAGCGTTCCGCAAAAAAGGTGACGAAAGAGGAGGAGGTAAAGGATAACTGGGATGACGAGGACGAGGACAACCAGGCAGACGAGGCAGCGAAGTCCCAGGCTGAAAGCGGGGAGAGCTCAAGCTCGACAAAGGACGGCTCAAATGCAGCCTCAACCGATGCCGCCAAGTCGTCAAAACCAGACGCAAAGTCAAGTACAACCGACCCAGATGCTCTGGCAGACAAGGTTGAGAAACTCACGGTCAATTGATTTGTTTTCCATGGCACATTCTATGTTGTTTCGGATTCCCAGTGTAGCATATTATGGATTCGCATTACATGCGTGGTCGCGAGGTATGGAATATCTTTAATTGGTAGCGAATGTAGGATGTATGATCGGCCTGTCGAGACCAGCTGGATCTACAGATTGAATAATTGATAAGGCTTCACCTCATGACGAAAGTAGCTCATCCGTCTGAGTGGACGCGTTGGTAGGAGGTGGACGAGACGGATCAGTGTGAGGTGTCGGGCGTGGCTGCGATGCATTGGACTTCCAAAACTCCATGCTAAGGAAAATTAGCACAAGAAACCCACTCAAAGCCACTGTTATAGCTAATGAGAATACTGCTACGTTTGGTTAGGCTAGAAGGTACTCACTGACGCCCTTGCGCATGTTATCCCACCGAACCTCTTCCATTGTTGCCCGGAGCTCACCGACCCTCACGACAGATTTGCTCAGTATTTCCTAGATATCGATTTTAACTGCTGCATAGTGACTCTTCGCACAACTGGACAAACCTCGATAACGACTTCTTGTTGATTCGCATCTGCCCTGGATTCGCCCTTTGAGCTGTCAAGCTCCATCTGGATTCTAGACATAACAAAGCAAGCCTAAGCACACGGAGGACGTGCAAAGCCATGGGTACATACTCGTGTTTGAGCCTGCCGAGGTCCTCTTTCATCTTGATATCAAGACGGTCCACCTCGCGTCGAAGCGCAGCCGTCGCAGTGCGTATAGTCGCTCCCTCGTTTTTGGTGCGCATTGACATCTCTGATCGTAGTTCCGAGAGGGCGGCCTTGAAGAGATACGCTTGCTAGCAGCTCGTTAGCACGAAGTCCGCACACGACGCACTTGCCACACGCACATTCTCAAGATCCTGTACGGTCAATCCCTCTCGCCTGACGCGTCCTATTCGATCCACAAGCAGCGCCCGTGTAGCACGCATGAGATTTCGTGCGGTCGGCGTCGGGAAGGTGCGCTCGAGAGCGGCGAAGAACTGGTACGTGTGGAAAGGCGGGCTCAAGTACACCGGGCGATCATTTTGGTTGCGTTGATGCTGTTGACTCGGGTTCTGAGACACAGGCAGACCAGACACGTCTCCGTCTCCAAACCCATAGGTTGGCGAACCCGGGAAGGGCGGACCAGAGTTGTTCGCATCTGGGGTAGAAGGGCTCATAATCGTCGAGGAAGATTGTTCAGTCTCTGGTGGATCCTGACTCGAGCTCGAAGGCTCGGTAGGTGCGGAAGCACGGGGGTGAGCTGAACCCGAGCGAGGGTCCTTAGGGTGTACGAGGGAGATCGAGCCGTCCATAGGCTCCGAGATTTGGGTAGAACCATGGAAGGCACGGAATGCGATCAAAGATGCGTTTCTAGCGACATTTACAGCTGTTGCTGAACGTGCTGAAGCCCTAAGATGTGTTGAGATAAATGTGTGCGTGCAGAGATGGACTGGTCGGCGGTACATGGCAAGAGAAGGAGACCGCGCGTTTTCGGCTATGTTGTTCTTACCTTATACGGAAGGTCTCAAGAACGTTCAGAATTTCTTAGAGGAAGTTGCAGTGCGTCCCAGCCTCACTTCCGGCGTCTATCTTGATATCAAGCCTTTGTTTTTTGTTAGAGGCTCAGCTTGGACTCTTAATTATGGCAGCGCGCTATTATGAGCTTGTTCCGATGTCTTCCTACAGGCTGCTACTTAATCCTGCCAGTGGCAAGGTCAATCCAAGAAAAACTTCAAAGTTCAAACTGTGATGTCAAACGGTCAGATCTCCCTCATTTTGAAACAGTGAAAACTTCAGCACGCCACAGCACTTTTTCAGGCTGCACGTCTGCAGCATGCATAACGTTCTTATCAATGCGAGGCCGGTATTTCTTCTTAGTAGGACTGCCGCCCAAGGAACGTAACACTTCGCTTTGCTGTCGCTTCTAGCGCGCAGCCACATTAATGTGTCTGCCTCAGACCTAGCCTCGGAGATACACCGGTCAGTCAGATACTCGAGCTGGCACTTGACTCAACCTATTCTCCACCTTTTGGCATAATTATCACTAATTTTGTCATTTTCTAGCAGGTAGAACGGACCTGGATAACCAATACCTTTCGTTTATTGTGTCTGTTCATTCATCCCTTGAAAACTCGTATTGCATCCAACCCTCCAGATACACGCAGAAAACACAGCCTAACCTTTTGCATCACAGGATTGTTAAACGCTCAGACATGCTCTTGAGGTGAGGTTTTCATAGTATGCAGAGTGGCTCGATTTCACGTCTACTTAAGACGCTTTGTACCATCCGAGCGAAGCTCAGAGGTTTCCCCAAGTCTCAAGTACTCGTAACATGGCCTATCTCAACTCTCAGCTCGCTCCCACATCCGACATGTACCAATACCATGATCTCTCGAGCAGCTGTCCTCCTCCCGCATTTCTTCCAATGATCGTAGATCACGACAAAGCGCCTAGACTCTTCCATCGCAGAAGAGGGTGGCGCAGCGTCATTCAGGGAGCGGTACAGTCAGGCAATCAATGTCGGAGTCTTGCTATTCCTTCTCCTCGATACAGTAGCTTTTGTGATTTGTCTGGTCGACTTTGTCCTGTCCTCCAAAGGGTCTGCAGACAGCAAGTCCTCGGAATCATTGGGACAAGAAGATTTTTCTATCGGACAGACAAGTCAGACGGCTGAGCAAGACGTATCGACTTTTGTCCATGAGAAACGTCAGTGTTCCACATTACCTACAGACTAATGCGCTGACACATCCCAGTCTACCTAGTCATTATCTTCGGTGTAATATTGTTCGTAGTCCTAGGAGTTTTAGCGGCCAAGGGAAAGTTCAAATGTGCGCTCTACTTTACTTCGTGCTATCGATCCGTGCCAACAAGTGATCCTAGCTCCTTGCAACATACATTTACTCAGCTGTAACGGATGTGGATGTTGCGGAGGTATGTCGATTCCGTACGTAGCTCTTTGCGCAACTAAAATATTATGGTCCATTGACAGCCATCATGAGTTGCTTGACCTGCGGGTATTGCTGCAAGTGCTGTGGTTTATGTGGATCAGACGATGGACAATAATTTCCGACATGAACAATCACGGCTACTTCGTCAGATTTGTTGGGGTTTTGCTGTTCGGAGATCATGAAACTATACTACACGCACACGCTATTCATACATGGTCATACTCAGTTTCTGAGTACTCTGTCTGGTTTACTTTACGTTGCTCCGTTTGCTTCTCACGACTTAGACCCTTAGGGCACTGCAATACCAGCCTTAACAGCAGGTCTCTCCAAGATTCGCTCGACCCAAGCCTGCATACTTGCGTCAGATCCATGGACACCCAACACCAGCAGCTAATAAATACCTTCACGTGCGGGAACTCATCGAGCGTCTCGATGCCTGCATGCTTGTGGATCCTGACCCTGAAAACGTTTAGGTCAGCCGGCGCACGGGTTGACAGTCTACAATAATGTCCTACCAGGGAAAGACATTGATGTCCGCGATGCTGTACTTGCCCTTACCAGCACCGACAAGGTATTCGCGACCGTTCAGACGGATGTTGAGCACACCGTACAAGCGCTTAGTTTCCTCCTGGTAGCCTGCAAGTTCTCCGATGAGACTGATCATAGTCATCATAATGTAGAGACACTTACGTTTCTTCCCATACGGAATATCCTCAGGGGCATAGTGAAGAAAGTGGTGCGCTGTACCGACAGACTGAGCAAACGCCGAACCAATAGCCAATCGTATATTTACCCTGCCCTTGCATGGGACCAACACCACCGTGCTATTGGTTCATTAGGTCACCATAAGACGTCGATTTTTGCATTGCGAGTAAAACGAACTCACAGCAAAGAAAATCCACTGGTATTGCTCGCTGAGTTCATCAACATCCTCAAACGTGAGCGTCTTCTGCTTGTCATAGTGTGTCTCGAGGTACAGCAAGATAGCAGCGGTCTCGAAGACAGTGAAGTCGTTGCGCGAACGGTCGACAAGGACAGGAATACGACCGTTCGGGTTCAGAGCAATGAACCACGGCTCCTTCTGAACATTGGTGCGGATGTCGATTGCCTTCGTTCTATAGGGGGGTCCAGGTCAGTGGTCTTTCTTGTAAAAGGCTCTCGACTTGCTCGTAATCAACGGTAGAACCATAGAGGGCCTTCAATTCTTCAAGAAGGATAGATACTTTATGCCCATTAGGAGTCGGGCCAGTGTAGAACAAGAAGGGCTGGGACATTTTAGAGAGAAAGGATTCAAAGTAGAGACTAGGGAAGCCACCCGCTGTATAGCTCGAGCTCTTTAAAGACTACGCGTGGGTACAGAAGCCTCGACGACGCAATATGCTTGCTCAGCTGCGCGAAATATGACCAAGATTGTTGATTGCTAAGTCCCGGCAATTTGAAGTCTCAAAGCGTACGGGAGCATTGGCAACCACAGGGGCAGTCGCGGATTTGTATGGATCCCTATGGATTTCTCGTTTTCACCAGACACTTTGGTCAGCTAAGCTGTCCAGGCTGCGTATTCATCGGTCCTAGTCATGCAAGTGCACGGCATGGTCAAGGTTAATTTGTTGATATCCTATCCAAAAGTGTACATTCGCCGATATTAGTGACTAAACCGTTGATTGCTGATCCCGAATCTTGGTGGCATTCAGCCCAACAGTGTTTCCTCTAAAACGCTTCGTCATGTCCAGCTAGTATGAGCAGTCAACAGCAGCCTAAGGGTAGTGTACGAGAGTAGGGAATATTGCCTACCATGTTGCGCTTGCAGTCATAAGTGGCCTTGCGCAGATTGAGGCATTTTTCTGGGAGCGAATCTCTGTGCTGCCTCAGACATTCGGACGGGAGGTGGCCATCCTTTCTAACGCAGTCGGACTCGAGAAGGCATTGTTTGAGAGCGTCGAGTAAAGCTTCGCACGAGGAGGACATTCGCGACTCCTTGTGTGATTGACCGGAAGTAAAAGGGTACCGTTGCAAGCCCCTGTCTTCGCCGACTTAGCTTATTCATATCCTCTCACCACCCACGACGATGCCCATACCCCCTGCGTTGAGAGGGCTGCTCAGAACGACACCGACTCTGTCGCGTGTCCTTAATCGCGCCGTTTTGTCTGTGTCCGGCTCGCAAGCGTCCGAATTTCTCAATGGGATACTTGCTACCCATGTCTCCGGCCGTCCACACTATGCAGCGCTCTTACATGCTCAGGTATGTTTGCTTGTTCCACGGGTCTCTGGTATGACCTGACATAGGATGTTCTTGCACTTCAGGGACGTGTCATTCATGATGTTTTCATATACAGGCATGAATCACCCAAAACCGAGTATCTTATCGAGTATGACGCGAGCCCCTCCGAAGCGTCGGAGCTCGTCGCCCTGCTGAAGCGATATGTTTTACGTGCCAAAGTACGCGTACGAGATGTATCCTCTGAATGGGATGTTTGGGCTCGCTGGGGCGGTGAGGTAAGTGAGACGAGGAGTTGGGAGTTTGCAAAGAGCGGTAGTATCGAACCATCATGGGCTGTCACCCAAGGAGAGTGGCCGTGGGGGTCCGATTATGATGCGCTGAACGACCGACGCGCCCCTGGTATGGGTCGACGGATGCTTGTGGTCAAGGACTCCAAACGTATGTGACCACTGGTGTATGCGTTTTCATTGACCACAGCTGCCTAGCCCAGGACGCTTCCACCCATGACATTGTTTCTTCCGGCGAGTATACCCTCCATCGGATATTACATGGCGTGCCAGAAGGGAGTGCAGAGATCCAGCCTATGCATGCCTTCCCAATGGAATCAAATATGGACATTATGGGAGGACGTACGTGGCTTGAATCACCGCCGCGCGTAATTCTCAACAGGCTTTCATCCTAGTTGACTTCCGGAAAGGTTGTTATATTGGACAGGAGTTGACTGTCCGTACTTATCACACTGGTGTGGTGCGAAAGCGCATACTACCTGTGGTATTGTATCCTGAGGGATTGGCAAGGTCACTCTTTCTCCCCCGTCTTCCAGCCTCATGCATGTACTTACTGGTCTCAGTTCCTCGAAAGAAATTTTAGGCCTCCCCACAGGTCTCTCCATCACGCCCTCTGCTAAATCTCGGACAGACGTTCCTGAGGGAACCCGAGTGCCGCGTCCTCGAGGGCACGGGACACTACTTTCAAGCTTGACGACACAAGACACTGCTCTTGGTCTGGCACTGCTAAGACTTGAACACGTCCAGGCCGCTGAAAGAGGTGACATTGAGCTTCTTCTGGACGGGCCAGTGGTTGAAGGGGTTGGCGAAATCTCAGTGAACCATTGGTGGCCTGACTGGTGGCCGACACAGGATAATTTTCAGTCAGCATGAGCGGCGTTCTCTAGTTACTAGAATGGCCGTTTGGTCAATCACAACATCGATCTCTACTCAAAGTCATTGAATACAAAATACGCGACATCGATATCGATCGTATCGTTCATTATGCATTAACCTTAACCAAACACTTCGTCGGCTAGCATAATTAATCGCCAAGCTCGAGTGTCGTATGCCGTTATTTCATAACACCCTGGCAATGGTGATTTCTAGTGCAGTTCAGCGACAACGGATGCCACCACATATTCTCCATCGTGGCTGACGGAGACGTGCAGGTTTCTGCTAGCGAAATTATTTTGGGGTGTATAGAACAGCGTCGGCTTTCCCCCCTTAGTCGCTGAAGAGTAGGTAAGTTCTTTCCACGTTGGCTTGACGGGGAAAAGTGCTTTATACGCGGCTTCCTTCACTGCCCATCTGAGGGTGAAGGACCCGTTAAGGAGAGGTCAGAGATTTGTCAACAAGAAAACACACCTGACGGCAAGGAAACGCGTCTTGCGTGTCTCCGTGCCTTCCTCGTGAATATGACTGAATGTGGCCTGCTCCTCGGAACTCAAGATACGGCGAGCAAGTGTATCCACGTTTCTACGTCTGACGAGAGAGGCTATGCGAGAAACATGGACAATGTCGATACCAATGCCATGGATGGGCATGAGTTTGAAGTTTAAAAATTTGAGCTGTGGACGCGGTTGATCAGCGAAGTCAAAGTCGCGTTTCACGCGTTTTGGGACTGGGACGCTTGCAACACGCGATTATCACAGAACGTTCACCGTCTGGCCGACTCATTAATGGCGGATCACTTAACAACATTCATAGGAGCTTCTACCAACAGGTTTTCATATGCAGCTGACATCTCCGATTCACGTACCGTAGCCTTCGGTTCATCGACGTTCATTGCGTTATGGGACACGGCAGTGAGTATAAGCTTATCAAATGAACCCCTGTTTTCTGCACTGTCACCAACATGATGATCTTCAGGACACTAATGACCGTGGAGTATACGAGACCATCTCGGGACATGATGGCGCTGTAACCGCAGTGAAATTTGTCAATGAGAGCTTGCTTGTGAGTGCAGATGACCAAGGGTCGATCCTTTGTTGGGGGAGGTCGGCGTCCAAGGTATAGTGATTATTATATTTGACCAGCGTGGATCACTCATTTCTTCGGGCGAGATTGCAGTGGAGTCGGATTGAGTCTGTGAAAGCGCATGAACGCAGTATCTCTTCTTTATGCGTGCTAGATGACTGTCTGGTCACTGGTGCATCCGAGTCTCTAGTAAAAGTCTGGAGGATAACTCATGAAGCTGGTTCAGGTACGATTCCTCAGTCATTGACATTGTCATTGCCTCATGTAGAGTAGCTACTCTTGAAAGTGTTCAGACTCTTTCGTTGAAGGGCAAATATCCGTTATCTTTGGCCATTACCAAATTGTCACGGAGTAACAACGGTATGGTCCAACCTCTCAACCTATGCTTCAACTAAACATTTCTCGGCAGCTCTGATATTGGCTATTGGTGCCACAGATCAAAAAGTACACATCTGGGTCCGATCAGGCCAGGAGGTGGAACATTTTTCTTCATTCATGGTCGCCTATTTCCCGTGGTCACTGACCAAAATCTTTAGTTTGTCTCATCCACGGCACTGTCGGGGCATGAAGACTGGGTTCGCAGCCTCGCATTTTCCCCACAGGACCAGCCGGATGAACCTCTTACTTTGGCTTCTGGCTCCCAGGACTCCACTATACGCCTATGGAACATCGAACCCGTGGAGAAAATGGTGGCCGAGTTACCTCAGGTTGAGGTCACAAGTCAGCAGTTAAGCAATGACGTGTTGGATGCTCTGGAAGCTTCAATGAACAATGAAGCAGACAGCGAAGGTGGAAAACAAATCTCCCTCAAGCGGCATATCATCAACGTGAAATGGGATACCATAGGGTATGATGCACTTGTGTTCAACTGTACACTGAAAAATAACAGGTATATGATAGTATGCAACAGTTCACTATCACATTTGATGCTTTGCTTGTTGGCCACGAAGCGGGAATTACTAGCTTGGCTTGGCGTCCTGGCTCGGGGTCGACATCCTCTCTCCCCTCCCTGCTCTCCACGTCGACCGACTCGTCAGTTGCAATTTGGTCTCCTTCTGGTGTAGGAGATGGTTCACTTCAAAAGGAAAATTCACTCTGGATCAATCGCATACGATTCGGTGATATAGGCGGTCAGCGATTGGGAGGCTTTATTGGCGGACTCTGGAGTAGTGGTGGTCACGAAGTACTCGCATGGGGATGGAACGGAGGATGGCGTCGTTGGCGTTGCTCAGAGTCAACCGGTGATTCACGCCTTGAGGAATGGGCTGAGGTTGGTGCAATAACCGGGCATTTCGGGCCCGTGAAAGACATTGACTGGAGTCCAAAAGGAGAATACCTGATTTCTGTGGGGTCAGTCAAATCCAACGCTGCAACATACGTGACCTAACCTCAACTACAGATCTGACCAAACAACACGCATATTCGGACCAACTTCGGATTTTGAGGGTTCCCTCAATGCAAGCCCCTGGCATGAAATTGGCAGGCCTCAAGTTCACGGATACGATCTCGTCAGCGTACGGTTCATGAGCTCGTGGGGCTTCGTAAGCATTGCTGATGAGAAGGTCGCTCGTGTATTCGAGGCTCCGCGGGGATTTGCTAAGCTGGCCAAGATACTGAAGCTGTCGGGTGCAGAGGAAGAGCCCGTCCGTCAACTTCTTTCCTGTGTTATGAATGAAGTACATCCTTATACTAATTTCAGCAGACACGACCTATTGCAGCTAGTGTGCCGCCTCTGGGACTTTCTAACAAAGCTGTGACGGAAGGTCGGCAAATATCTTGGAAGAGTTGCTGTTTCTGAATGCTCTGTCTAGTCACCACTAGGACCCCTCAAAGTAGCTGGGAGGATTCTTTGAGGCGCCCCTTTGAAGGAGAGCTTGCTGCAATGACTCTTTGGCCCGAAACAGAGAAGATTTTCGGACATGGGTATGAGGTTTGTACCACTCCTTCTCTATCGTACTGCATAATTGAGCTTGCATAGCTCATTAGCTTGGCTGTATCGCGCTCGAAACGCTTCGTCGCCACGGCTTGCAGAGCTACTTCGCCTGAACACGCTGTTGTGCGGGTTTATCGAACGGATACATGGCAGCCCATCGGCAATCCACTACAAGGCCATATGTTGACGATAACAAAAATCGCATTTAGCCCGGATGATCGCTGGATTCTTACTGTGTCTCGCGATCGGACCTGGAGAATATACGAAGTAAACGAAGAAGGTCAGACGCAATGATCAGGCGCTTCATCCTTTGTTTAATATTGGGCTCCCACAGCATTCAAACCCATTGCCGCGGACAAGACGCACGCACGTATAATATGGGATTGTGAATGGTCTTCTGAGAGCGATCTGTTCGCAACTGCGTCTCGCGATAAAACTGTGTGCTAGATCTCCTCCGCCCTTTTTGTGAGCTCATCAATGCTAGGTCAGAATATGGGTGCCGCCAACTGAGGGGGTGAAGCCTATCTCGGTATGTACCCTCAAGTTTCCAGAAGCTGCGACTTCAGTGGGGTTTTGTCCCATGGATAATGCTGGTCGGTGAGTGACGTGTTGGCCTATCTGCGGGACAATGCTGAAGCTCCTCGTAGAAGATTGCTCGCTGTTGGGCTAGAAACCGGAGGGATCCATGTTCTCACCTCCGATAAAACTAGCTCTGCTGAATGGAAACCTCTATGTACCATGTAAGCCCTCATTATGGGAAGGATGGACCCGGTCAATGCTGATATACCTCAAGCAAGAGTCACGTTGGTCATGTCCACCGACTCATATGGAGACCTAGTAGTGTGTCGACACAATTGGCGTCCTGCAGTGAGGACGGTACGGTTAGGTTGCATAGTGTCCGAGCGACATAATTCAGAGTATATCTGCATGAGTATTGAACAAAGAAAGGTCTGATATACAGCAGGTCAAGAGGACGAATCCCATTCCAAACAAGTACGGAAACACCAGGGTATAAAAGGATGGTAAGTAGTTCACCGGGCTGAACGGGTGATATAGTAAACTACAAGTAGATGATGAAATAAAACACAGGGATATAGTTGTTGAAATGATGAAAGTGCAAGTAGGGATACAGACACAATTTATTTATACGATATCACGCAAAGTGGTGGGCACTTCGGGCTGAAAGCATCATTAGTAGCAGAAGCATTCCAATTGCGGAAACTTACGCATTTAATCCTGAAGGGTACGTTCAATCATCGTTGAGGCAGAAACAAACTGAATGCTTACTTATAGAAGCATTCTATGGAGCGAAGCATTTCCACATCTCCTCCAGTAGCTGTAACAAAGTTGATGACTACGCCTGCACGAGCATAGTTTGATGCGATGGCAGGAGCAACACTATCAAAGATAATGTCAGGTACGCACAAAAAAAATTCCACACCACGAACCGATGGGCATATTCCTCTACAGCCTTGGGCAAATCTAAGGGATTCTTAGGAACTAATATGGAACGATGTGAGTAAAGCGCACCATAATTAATGATGAGCGGGACATGGGCCACTTCTGGGGTCTTCAATTGTACGTCGTTAACAACGAGCACCTTTGTGAGAGGCTGCCTCATGATGCCGTTGGACGGGCTCCTGAACTTGTTGAGGGCAGCAAGTTTTGCACCCGCGTTCATATCACCATGCTTCACAATATCCCGTCAGGGGGGGGGGAAACCAGTTACAGAGTAGCTTGATGACATACCATAGGCACAGCCTCTATGCCTCGGCTGGCTAGCTTATGCACAACAGAGTCTAAAGAATTCATGCCACCAACATGAACTATCGCCTGAGAAACTTCAACGTCGTTGAACATGTCCACAAGGGCGTCCAGCTTCCATTCGCGAGCCTGAGCACTCTCCGGGTTCGAAGCACCCCTTCCTGAACCAATAATTCCGAGACCTCCGGGAGTGGACGGAGAAATAGATTCTGACCGCGCACCAGCAGTAAATGCTAGGTATAAGTAAAACTGGCGAAGGCCACGGGCTCCTTGGTTAGAATCTGAGCTAGTCACGTTGCCGTCACGGCGAACTAAGACGCGGACAGGTTCGCGTAGTTGTATAGCGGTAGCCAGATTCAGCACATCTTGAGGTACCGTGTTCGAGAAAAGAGCAGTCTGCCGCTCTATTGCGGAGGGATTACTAGCCATGTCAACGTTAGAACCAGGAGCAATGGCCGATAGCCTCCGACCAGAACTTGCATTTGGGGCTAACCCAGCATCGAAGGACCCGACAGGTTGTGACCCGTTCGAGGCACTGCTCAGCGGCCGTGAACGAGGTGACGGCAATAGCTTCACGATATTGAATACATAATCGTGCAGGTTTCGCGCTATCAGTTGATCCACTTCATCGAGCACAAGGAAGCGAACTTCAGACCCAGTCAGGCCCCCAGGCGAAGTAAAGAGCGCATGAAGTTTTTGAGGTGTTCCGCAGACTATATGAGGCATATTTTGTTGTAAAAGTCGTAATTCCTGAGAAAGGTCACCCGATGCTGAAGTAGCTCCGACACCGAGAGCAGAGCGGATACCGATAGGGCCACCTAAGTCACGTATCATTCGTTGTGCCTGAGTAGCCTGATCGACGGTCGTGGATATCATAATGGCCAATGGACCTCTGTTCGGGGGGCGTCCTATGGTATTCGCAACAGCTGTTTGAATAGCAGGTATCACATATGCTGCAATCCGTTCCTGAGTTGGCGGAGCCTGGGCTATGATGTCGCAACCACGGAGTAAGAAAGGCAGAGCACGCTGCTGAATCTTATTGGGTGGACCAACACTAACGAATATATGAGCACAAGGAGCACTGGGACGCAAATGTTCCTCTCACCCAAATTTGCTGAGCGAACGCAGTAGCTCAGGGGCTAGATTTAGTTGCTCCCATTTTGACACCGTGGGTCCATCGCGATTGGACCCGCCAGACCAATCCATGCCTTGGTCAAGGTTCTGGAGGATAAGTGTGAGCCTTTCGCAATGTTTATGATACGAAGGCCACACTGACACCTGCAGATTCCCGGCGCATCATCCCGCCTGTGACAGAACGCCGTTTGTCGCGCCCGGCGTCAGAACGACCGATAGCGCCCACGGGGTCTGCTCGCACGGGCATATCAAGATTACCTACAGACCAGGTACGAGTTGGGGGGTTAGGCGGGCGAGGCGGCCTCAAATCTCTAGGAGGGAATCCATGGCCAAGCACAGCGGTGTTAGAAGGCGCATTAGGTGGTATCTCTGGAGCTTGGGGCGTGAGCCTGCCAAGCTGGGGTCCTATGGTCCCTGTAGTCGCGTTTTGGATATGTTGCTGTGTTTGGAGAGCAAGGAGCTGACTAACTGAAGTAGTCAGAGTATTCAAACGCTGGGATATCTGGGTGATGTCGTCGCCAGGAGGGACTTGATTGGGGGCAATGTTAGCGCTAAAAGAAGGACGAGAAGCGAAAGACGGGGCAGCATTAGCAGAAGGTGCAAAAGGATTCTTGAATTCGGGGAATGTGGATCCGGTGTTGCTACTGCCTAATGAACGCTCAACCAGAAGGTTGACCTTGCGATGGACGTCACCGAGGTCACGTTGGATTTCTCGAGTCGAGCGCTCGCAACGTATGAGGCGGTCTATGATATCGTGAATGAAGGGCGATGCCTTCAGCTGCATTTCCAAATTCTGCAGGAGATCGATGCCAGTGAAATGACTGCCAGAGTCCAATGAGGAGACTGGAGATGTGGATGGAATCGGCCCATTGTTATAGAAAGACGACGAGCGGGAAGAGTGACTGATCATGTTCAGCGGTGGGGTGGCTATAGCGCGTCCCGACTGGTTGACCGCAGAGAACAAAGGAGACTCGGTGAACCGCCGGTTACCGTCGTCCATTCCGCCCAAGTCGTCGCCCTCTGGCAAAGCTTCCAGACTTCCAACCGTGCTCATTCGTCCGGAGAAAAACTTGTCCGGTTCCGTAGGTCCAACCGGTGGGGTGCTGATGCCCATCGACCGTACATCCATACGAACATCGTGGCGGGATCCGAACGAGCTAGGAGGGCTGGGAGAGGACCGCACTTGCTTCTGCTCTGAATGTTCACGGAAGGTGGGTGCGGGTGCATCGCCTTGTACTCTAACGGTGGGAACACTCGTAACGGCGACGCTGAGATCACTATCTTCACCGAAACGTCCTCTTCCAGGGAAGAACGGGGTCGAGGAAGGGTTCAGCGGCACATTTTGGGACATGGTAGTCATCGAGATCTTTGGTCGAGCTTGTGCTCGTCAGAACTGGGTGGTCTCTTTAACACCGGAGTAATAGACGTTCCTGCCAATGGAGACCTACCTCTGTAGTCGTGCCCCTAGGCTGGAAGTTCCATGCAGCTGGGGGGAGTACGGGACGGGGCGGAGGATGGAGATGAAGCGACGACGCCGTCGTTATAAACGTAGCGACAGGCGGTGGCTGAGAGTCAACGTGAAGGTCCACAATATCACTCCGTACCATGTTTACATACATACACGTCACGTCCTCCCTCGCTAACCGCTCTCGCGGTCTGGCGGCAATTCCACTCGGGTTGGCAACATAAGCATCGGTTAAAGAACAAAAAACCTGAATGCTATATCCCCTTCTTCACAGCGGGAATGTTCTAGTAACTAAATTATACAAAGTCTGGGGGAAGGAAAACCCAAATATCCGGAAGCCGTGACTTTCCGCATTTCCTATCTCCTTTGCATGTTCATTCTCAATAAGCTCGGTCGGCTGAGGCCGCGAAATCCTAGTATCGTCAATCATTAGCTTCTTCTGGCAGAATGGAGATCATACTATTTACCGACGAGGCTGGGTAGATCTCCCCTCTGGCGTAATACTTCCAGCGTGTCGCTCAAAGTGTGCTATAGAGCTTTGCTGGATTTTATATACAAATTCAGGTAGCACATAAGGAATTCGGGAGACCTGTAGACGTCATTTCGTCATGTAAACGAATGCATGCGAAAAGATAACGACGAACCACAAGCTTTGAATCTCGCAACCGCCGCCCGTCTAATGCTACAGCCCTTTCCGCATACTTGGCTTTAGTGAAGCGAACAATTGCGCGTCGCTGAACCAAGTGGCCTCTATAGTATTCTGGATCTACCTTTCCCCTTGGAAGAAGAAGGCCGCCACAGCATGAGATGCTAAGATGTGTGATGGTGCCACAAGACTGAAATAATTGGTGCAAGTCGTCCTCCGTGATTTCCGGGGGAAACTATTCACGTTTAGTGCTGCTATATAGGCAGATATCTAGCTCAGAAAAGCTCACATTGCCAACGAAGACGTGCGCTTGGTCCTGTATAAATCTAGTTTTGACAGATACGTGAGCCTTGCGACGCGCTTTAACGACTTTGTTATCCCTTTGGTCCTTTACACAGTGCTTGCGCGCAGAGCCCTTCTTGGGGGTAGTAGCGCCACAAGCAACGTGGTTAGTAGAACTCTAGAAAGTGATGTTGGTCGTAAGCGCTACCAACAAACATTCGTACTCGAGGCTTGAAGGACTAAAACACACTGAGTTATGGAGTGTTGATTCGTCAAAGGCAGACGTGTTTGTTGTTCGCACTGTGGAAGCGCCACCGGAAGCCGCAGACGTGCTTCCATAGAAGGAGCGAGCGCTCGAAGAAGGGCAACGGACCATGAGTCGAAGATGGGAAGCAGTACAAACTCAGAGTACCGTAAGAAGCTTTGACTCCGAGTCCGCCGCTCGGGACACGATGACAAAATGTGACAGACGCACTGAGCCACTTCATTCAGGAGGAATCAGGATGTCTGGCCAAACCATAAGTACTACGACCAACACAACCGACACCCGAACATTGTGGCTAAGTATCAGCCATACAGTTGCAGTGAACGAGCGCTAGTAGTGCAGGATCGCTTTGAATTCAGATGTCGATCATCCCTTCACACACGGACCCATTTTCGGCTTCGGCCCCGGCCTCCCTCTTCACGTTTACACCCTCTTACCACCGGTCCGTGTCTCCCTTACCTGTCATGTCCGAGCAACGCGTCCTCTACAGGCGAATTGTCAGAGAGTTTGGCAAAGCAGTGAGTATCTTCTTTTTCCGGGTAATACCTCTGTAACTATTTCGCTACAGTCCGTGCAGCCTCGTCAGAAGAGAAACAACGAGATCTTACACAACTTCCGGGTCACTTTCCAGCACCGTGCAAACAGTAAAAATAGTCAGGAATTTGCTCGGGACGTTGAGAACTTCACCACTTTCCTCAGCTCACAGACACAGTACAAGGTGTGATCGTTTAGTCCCATCCCGGTTATAGCAACCCTGCCGACGTCTGACGTTTCACAGGCCCTAATGGAACGCTATAATCCTCTTTTTGACCTTACTGCTGAGGAAAGGATTGAGGCTACTGCCCGGAGAGTCGGCCTCAACATGCCCAAAATGGCTGAAAACTCAGAGCATAACTCATGATGGCCAAGCTATAGCTCGTCCCCGGCTTCCGTTCCCTCGCTTCGGCCACTCCTGGAACGTGGCATCTAAGTCAATTTGCCCTTCAGGCAATATTGTGGTCAGTCCAGACATTGCCTGTCGCTCGTTACGTTGAGATGTAGATAGACACCTCTTGACATGATGCGTATATTGTATCTTAACGCACACTTGCGCACTGAACATTACATGTGTCGTGGTGATTATATCTAAACCGTCAGTATAAACTGAGGAGGCGAGCAAGCTGCCAGCATACAATCAATATTGAGGCTACTTCGAGTTGAGATCTTGAAATACTGCTGCTGTGCAGTGATGTTGATCGAATTCAAGCTTCAAGCTTTTTGAAAGCTTCAAATTCAAATATGACAACCTTTTTGGCTGATGTGAGTCATGTTTGCGATCGAGTTTTCTAGCTCGGTGCTTGCCAGCTGCAGCATCGATGATCAATCGAAAGTAGTAAATGTTATCGGCCCGCCCTTGCTTCCGTACCATACGCCGTCTCCTCTTCGTCATGGGCAACCGTGCTCTCTCGTCTGTCGCCCCACCGAACGCGGCGACTGTTCTGCTTTGTGACGCCTCCTCCATCTCCTTCGACTCCGACGAGCGCCTCCACGTCTCCTCCCCAGAAACTCTCGATGCTCTCAACAAGGTTTCACACTACCTTACTCATGAGCATGGACCCGTCGCTTTACCAACGGAAACCGTCTATGGACTCGGTGCAAACGCGCTGAATACCAAAGCATCTTCTCGTATATTCTCGGTCAAAGGGCGTCCCCCCGACAATCCCCTCATCGTACATGTGTCATCCTCTTCGATGTTGGCTTCCTTGCTACCGTCTGACTATCAGATACCTCCCATGTACCGGCTCCTTATGAAACATTTCTGGCCGGGTCCCTTGACTCTACTCTTCCCCACCAACCCTAAAATTATACCCAGCATCATAACTGCAAATCAGCCGACTGTAGCCATCAGGATGCCTTCCAATCCAATAGCACGAGCTTTAATCTCAGTTGCAGACGTCCCAATAGCAGCGCCTAGTGCTAATTCCAGCGGAAAGCCCAGTCCCACCAGGGCAGAGCACGTACTGCGCGACATAGGAGGAAAAATTAGGTTCATCCTGGATGGTGGACCTTGTGACGTTGGGCTGGAGAGCACGGTGGTGGACGGACTGCACGAGGATGGGAATTTGCGTGTCCTAAGACCCGGAGGACTGCCAGTGGAGGAGATCGAGCGGGTTTTGCAGATGCAGAACCCTTCAGGCTCAGTACCCAAGGTCTTGGTGCACCGACGTGATTTTACGGATGCTCTGCTCGAGCAGGCACCAACTACGCCTGGCATGAAGTATCGACATTACTCCCCATCTATTCCCGTCATCCTACTCATGACGTCGAAAGCACCGGACGCTGTGCAGTGTCTGACACCATCAGCCCTCATACAGCAGTTGCAGGACACAGCACTCTATGACAACCCACCCAAGCATATCGGCCTTCTAATGCCTTCCGATAGCTCTTTGTTTCAACAATTGATACCATTTTCGGAGTTACAGTGGAATCACTTTTCATTGGGCTCGGAGCGAGAACCGGCAGTGATGGCTCAACGGCTATTTGACGGTCTATTGACACTGGAAGAGAGGAGTGTTGACTTGATCCTGATCCAAGGAATTGATGAAGCAAGGGAAGGTCTGGCATTTATGAATCGGGTTATCAAAGCTGCAGGAGAAACGAGATGGATATCTCTCGGTTAGCATGTCTATGCGCTAGCACTGAGGACACAAAGATCAGAGGCAGTACTGACATCTATAGATTCGTACCACATAGTAGACCATAGATTTTACAGAAAGTTAGCTCTGCGTACACCGCGCGATCCTATGCCCACCATGTCGTAGTATCTGAATTCACGCATGTGTAACTTCAAGAAATCCAAGCCTTCACACAGGGGCATATCCCCATAAGGAAGTTTAACCATCTCCGCTATGTCGTCTTCTTTGACTTCATTTTTGACGTCGCTGATGACTGTTCTGCCCTCATAACCAACTCTCCTCCTCTTGTTCATGCCTTTCACAGACGTTCAACATCCGCGGACATCTCCGCAAGGATCATCCGGAAGCCACTCAAACGATTTCGACGAAGACCACTCGGGACATGGTACTCACCTTCACAAAAGAATCCGTTTATCTTCAGCGTCCACTTCATCGGGCGTCAGCGACGACGACGAATTGAGTTACTTCGAAGAGGATCGTGATCCTCAATCAGGAGACTCGTCCGGTGATGAGGACATCCCAAAAGAGACTGTACAAGTCTCAAGTCGCGTTACTTTCGGCAAGAGGGTAAGCGAAAGCCCAGCTCATACAGCGGTGAACAGATCAACGCATCCGAAGTCTTTCGCGGACATGGACATCCATCAATCCCTCATCTCTACCCTGTCTCGAATGTCAATACGAACGCCAACGGAGATTCAGGCCGCTTGCATACCCCCATTGCTAAATGGTGAGCCTACTGTCTGCCACTTTTTTAGACCCCTCAATGGCCTTGATGTGAGGCAGGTCGTGATTGCATAGGGAACGCGCAGACGGGATCAGGTAAAACCATAGCTTTTGCCATCCCTATACTCCAAAAACTCGCCGACGATCCTTATGGAATCTTTGCACTTGTGCTCACTCCAACGAGGTACGGCAGCGACTTATTCTGTTGGGACTCGAGACCCACCTTCTCAGAGAGTTAGCTTTCCAGATAGGCGAACAGTTTGCGGTCCTCGGCGCCCCTCTGAGTGTGCGCACATCAGTTATCGTCGGAGGGATGGACATGATGGCGCAGGCACTTGAGCTAGATGCACGACCTCACATCGTTGTAGCCACTCCGGGACGCATGGTTGACCATCTTCGAAGTAGCAGTGGGCAGTGGAGTTTGGCGCGGACCAAATATCTGGTGCGGGACAGCTCTTTGCCTTGCTTCACCTTTTGCGTCTCACCGTCGTCTCATCTAGGTCTTAGATGAGGCCGACCGACTCCTCACGGCAACATTTGCTCCAGAGTTGGAGCACCTGTTCAACATATTACCCAAGGATCGCCAAACCTGCCTTTTCACTGCAACACTGACCCAAGCAATCGAGAATCTCGCTTCGGCTTCCCCCAAACCTGGCAAGGATAGACCGTTCGTTCATCGTTCGCATTCCCGGTGCGTATTCCATGCGTTGTGGGAGCCAATGCGGGTTTAAACTGTTTGATCAGAGTCGAGACCGTCGCGACTTTGAAGCAGAAGTATGCACTTGTTCCTTCCCACGTGCGGGAGTTGTATTTGTATCACATCCTCTGTCACCCTCCCGAAAACACGGTATCTTTAAGGCGTGCACCGCCGAACGCTGACGTCAAACCTGTCAAGAAATCCAAGTCCGGCAAGAAACCGTCAAAACGTAAGGCTGATGCCGAACCCAACGAGCCAGAGCAGCCCCCACCAACCATAATTTTCTGTCGGAAACCTCGAACTGCTGCGTACCTCACAAACCTATTGAAGACACTGTCTATTCGTAGCACGGCTTTGCATTCGCGTCTTACGCAACGCGAGCGGCTCACTTCTCTTTCACTGTTCCGATCATTCGTTGTTCCTGTCCTTGTTTCAACGGATGTTGGCGCTCGCGGTCTAGACATAGAAGATGTCGCTATGGTGATTAACTGGGAATTGCCGGACGAACCTGAAGAATACACCCACCGGGTGGGTAGAACTGCCCGAGCTGGTAGGAGTGGTTTCGCGCTTAGCTTTGTGACGGAACACGATGAGGAGCGCTTAAACAGTATTGAGCGACGCATCGGTACGTGCTGTAATGCATCGGACATGTGTGCTTAAGATTCATTTCCCGTTTCTAGGAACACAACTAGAGGAAATGCCTTTCTCTGAATCTGATATCCTCGAATCACTCAATAGCGTTTCAACTGCAAAGAGATTGGCGAGGATGGTAGGTACTTATGCTCTTCTTAGACGATGATCATCTAATGACCCTTCAGGAGCTGCATGATTCAAATTTTGGAGAGCGAGAAAAGATCCATAAAATTAAGCAAGAAAAGAGTCTGGGTCAGTCTCGGTATGTAAATGTTGTCCTTCTCAGCGAAGGCACTTCGTGAAATTAACCGGATGTCAATGTCTAGATCAGCATCAGGCTCTCGGTAAATCAGGGGCACTGGGTATTGACTCTAGGACTGGGTACGCCGTCTGATTCGTGTTGCGTCACACATGTAATGCCATGAAGTGGGTCAGAATGGATCTATTCTCAGACATATGCATGTGGCCACATGGGGCGGGTATCAGCTACTAGTGTTGCCCTGTAAGACGGGTTGGATCGCACCAAGGGCCTACGGGGGGTCATCGGGCGATGAATCCTTCTTTTGTGACAGTTGCATTTAATATAGGAGGTGGGGTGTCCTATCCTTGATTCTGTCGATAAATTTAGGATGATTACCTCCAAGCACGATGAACGTTAACAACCGAGCTCGCGAAATGTTGAATATCGAATATCTGTCGACCAAAAATCTTGGCGACGCTGTAGATCTGGAGGGAGGCTGCGATAGCAGAGGTAGGGTATTTTGCCTTTAAGATTATTGGCCCTTGGTTCTGACAGTTTCTGACTGTGGGGGTGTCAATCAAGATTTGAAAGACCGCGGCAAGGTGGAGTGTGACCGGTTGACCCCCCGGTACCGACTGCGTTTGTTATTGGTACGTCAAAATGCAGGTTGGTTACTGCATTGGATAAAGGGGACGATGCTGAGTTTGGATTCGGAGAGGCAAGTCGAGGTGGCACCGGTGATCTCAAGCTAGGAAATTATTAGATTCCGTTGTTGGTTCCGAATTCCCTCCTCTCTCCCACTTGGCCCACTCTCGCCCATTGTCTCAGCCACACGCATGACCCCCTAAGTCTGCGCATTCATTCACGACCTCCTTTCTTTTCTTTCTTTTTCCTTTCACCATCTCGTCCTCCCCATATTTCGACATGACCGCCAACGCAGACACAACAGACTGGGACTTCGTCCTGCAATTCGTCTCAGAGCCCATGGACTTTGACCAGCCTGCTCCAGGCAAGCCCGTCGCCGGACGCGCTAACGCGGCTCCTTCCCAAGTACCGACACCTCCTGTGAGTTTCTCTGAAGCTTTATCTACCCACCATACTTAAACCATGTCTAGGATTCCTTCACAGCATCTCCGGTCGACGACGCATCCGCCGACGATGGCAACACTCTTGTTTCCGTATCGACTACATTCTTCCCTGGCGCCCAGATCCATACACTCCCTCCTGATCTTGTCCTTCTTTCGTCTGATTCTGTCTTCTTCTACGTCCAGTCAGCCACCCTGTTCGGCGCATCCTCTAACGCATTCAATGGTCTACTACCACCATCGCAGAAACAGAAAAATAACGACATGGGTCCAGTAGTCATGCTTACCGAACCTTCGGCGGTCCTCAACGTCGTACTGCACACGGTTTATGACATGTCGTGCTCACATTATGCGCCCTCGTTCGAGTCCTTATCGGCAGCAGTAACCGCATTGGCCAAGTACGGTCTCTCTGTGAACAAGTTCATCGCTCTGTCAACGCCTTTATATTCTCTCCTTCTATCGCACGCCCCCTTGTACCCACTTGAGCTCTATGCCTTGGCCGCCAAGCATGATCTTTACGATCTCGCCGTTCCGACCTCGTCGCACCTTCTTTCGTTCTCTCTCGCATCTCTCACCGATGATATGGCAGATAGAATTGGTCCGAGATACCTCAAGCGGCTATTTTTCTTGCACTTTGGCCGCTCGGATGCCTTGAAACGTCTGCTTTTGCCACCCCCACATCCTCATGCGCCCACTACAACATGTGACTTTGAGGACCAGAAGCGGCTCACACGGGCATGGGCACTTGCATCGGCTTACCTCGCATGGGATGCAAGGCCAGGTAAGCATAAAATCCCGTGACTGGCGTTACAGCATCCTTATGCTTGCCTTCAGATCTGTCGACAAGCACAATGGAGTCGGCTCTTGCTCCTTTGGGGGAGCAACTAGCTTGCAACCTTTGTCGAACTGGTCTGGCAGAGCGAATAAAAACTCTGATCGTGCAATGGTCTGTAGTTAAAGTGAGTACATCCAGTTTTTACGTCACTCTATGTTCTAACGAATATCAAAGCGTACCATTTGATGGCTTAACCCTATCCATCAAGTTTACTTTACCTTGACTCCCATTTTTACCCTTCACCTACATATTCCAAATTTGAATCCCTACCGCGCCGTCTCCATTCTCTGTGATCGACTCCATACATGCACAAGGACTCGCAGGTTTTTAGACGATCGTGCACTATCCATTCCCATTCAATTATTCTGCATTCACGATGTACTACCATATCACGCATTCGACCTCAATAATGGCCCTTTCTACATCACGGGCAGTTTCGTAAAAGTGTCCCCATTTTCGTTGAGCGCTGAGCCTATTTTCTCACCAGAGTTCATCAAACACGACATGTACTCATATCCTTGCATTTTAGTTTTGCCCATACGTCTGTTAGTTAAACACGAGCACCTCCTGATGTATCATATCCATAATAACCACACACGCAGTTCCTTGGTCGTGTTCACCTCGAGCCATTTTTCGCTTGGGTATACCGACGAAATCGTTCGCTGTATCATATCAACACGAGGCAAATAGACAGTTCACGTAGGTACAGAAGGATGTAGGTACTAGTTGGTCCCATTCACCGAGCCTTATCCTCTGCCAGAATTGCATCGTTGAGCTCGTCAAGGGGCGCTAGCTCCTTTTTGTCAACGAGATCAAACTGGGACACGATATCTTTAATTTTCAGCCGATGTAAGCTTGTGATGTCGCACCTCGTGGATAAACAGGAAGAAATGTCTGTAGCTGGTGTTCAGGTGGGCTAAAGTAGATCGGTCAGAATTCTACGATCCACGACTCCTTATGAAACCAATCAGGTGGCCGACCTTCTATTCCGAGCGCGCATATTTGGTCAAAGTGGTTGCTGTAAATGTGAGCGTAGATCCTGAATAGCCGTCGGAATATGGTGCGAACTGTGTCGCGGAAATTCTTGGGGAATGGAACGCCTGGAGGACCGGTCGCCGGTCAGGGGGGATGAGACATTATATAAGAATGTACTGTACCGATCCTGTTGGGGAAGACGGTTTCATCGTCGAGTATGTTTTGCGCCCAGTTCATCAGGGCGTCTACATATTCAGGGGCTGGCAGCTTTGCTGGTCTCTTGTACTTGGCAGAGTCTTCCCAGAGGTACTCATACCTAAGGTGAAGTCACTCATGAGTACACAAAATCTCACCTCAGAACGAGACATGCGCACCGTGGACCAGCGGTCATCATCGGGCACTGCATAATGGCGTTAGAGAAGTACTGGAGGCAATCATGTCACGGCACACCTCTTGTGGCGTACAAAACTCTGTGACTGTTCCGTATAGCATGTTCAAATGGTTGAAGAAGTCGACCGCTGAGAATCCACGAGGTCAGTTGTCGCCGATCGCGATGGTGAACTAAGTAGTTGATGTCTCACCATGCACGGCCAACCATTCGTTGAGATCTTCGCCCTCGGGAAGCTGTACTGCCAGTCGCAAGTTGCCTGATCCCTTCATAAGCCGTTAGAAACGCATGACAGTCGTTTTCATTATATGCTCGGCGTACAAGAGTCGCCTCTGCATACTTGCGTAGCTGGTACTGTTTGGTGCCCTCAGGAACGTCCTTCCTTGGCTTGAATGTGCGAGTCTTTCCACTGCAAAGCGCGTGTGTCAGAGAATGGTAATACGGGAGAAAGTAGAGAAAACTAGCAGTCCAAAGAAAGAAGACATATCGTTGCTTGCTGGCGATTGAGATGGCGGAAGTGCTGGTCGGCGATGAGTTGTAGTTCGTTAATCAGTTGATGGCTTCCCCAAGCAATGAGTCTGGTCGCGTCGTCGCCGTCGGGCCGCGGCTACTCCCAAAAGCGGCCAATCGAGGACAAACTCCGAGGCCTCTCCCAGCCCTGAGAGCTCCGAGAACGGACAAACCGTCACTAAAATCTCACTGATGAACTGGTGACGGGACCTATGAGGTTGGGCGGTAATTGTAGAGCGCACGACTATGGCTACATGATGTCACTGCATGAATAATCCAAAGGATGTGCATGCATGTCGTGCCTAACTCCCAGTCGCAGGCGGTATAAAGAGAACCTACTTCAAATGTATACCTAATACGTCCTACCATCGACGATATCACCATCTGCTACTCAGCATCATGACCAAGAAAGTTCTATTTGTTCTCACTTCCTGCGACAAGACCTTGACCGGGGCTCAGACTGTGAGTATTGGGCAAGGTCCAATCAAAAGTCCGAAAGTTGTCTCTGATACTCCTGTGCAAAGGGCTGGTATCTGCCAGAAGCTGTCCACCCCTTCAACGTCCTCGCAGCCGCCCACGGTGTCGAGATCGACTTTGCTGCACCCAAGGGACCTAATCCCCCTGTCGATGAGGGCAGTGTAAAGGTACAGTGCCGCGCAGCAACGTTAACACTACTGCCACTTATTCAATTATCAGAACTTCCCGGATGATGCTGGGTTTTTGAGCGCAGCATCGCCCAAGAGCAAACTTGAAAGCACCAAGAAGCTCTCAGCCGTCGAGGCCAGCGATTACGATGCTGTCTTCTACGTCGGCGGTCACGGACCTATGATTGATCTCTCCGTGGATGAGGACAACGCCAAATTGTTGGAAGACGTACGCGTGTTTCGATCATCTTTGCAATTGATAAGGTAGTTGAACATGTTTCATCCAGTTTTACAAATCCAACAAAATTGTGGCCGCTGTTTGCCATGGGCCAGGGTGAGATGACCAAAGATCAAGTAAGTAGCCGGAGTATTGCTTACATTAAGGATAGGGCCCTGGTCAAAGCCAAACTGGATAACGGAGACTCTATCCTGAAGGGCAAGAACGTCACTGGCTTCTCGAACGTCGAAGAAGAGCAGGTCGGCAAAGTAAAGGTTAGCGACTTCTTTTACCAATCTTAGGAACAAGAAGGCTTAAGAAAGCGGGCGATACTAGGATATACCCTTCCTTCTGGAAACCAGATTGAAGGAGCTCGGTGGCAAGTTTACTGCCGCCGCCGAGCCATGGGGGGTACGTTTCAAACAAGCAGAGTAAAATTCACCATTACTAACGGAGTGACAGACTCACGTTGTCATTGACAATGGAGGAAAACTGATTACGGGTCAAAACCCCGCCTCGGCGCAGCTGGTAGGTGAAAAGATTTTAGAGGCGTTGAAAGCATAAATTGTAAACCCAAGAACAATTGTAAGATTAGTATTTGCGATGGAACAACTGGAGAATTTGAATCCGTGGGGTCTGTTGTATGGAGTCGCGGCGTGTTATCCTCAGAGGAAATATGAATTTCACATGTGCACCTTCCAAGACTCGTTGAGAACGAGCAGTCAATGGTAACTTAAGTAGTTCGAACTTAGATGTGGTTCACTGACGGGGTCTTCTGCGGTCAATTGCGTGAGACGCGATTACAGCACATGCTAGTCAGGAAATGCTGGATAAAAGTGGCGGCTATACTGATGTACTTTTAGCTGAAGTTGGCAGTTCTTCAAACAAATGGGACGCTGACAGCGATTGCTACATAGTAGCTCTATTGCACACCTCGCTTATAAAACGCCTTTGTGCCAAGGTATGACCATGTGGATGGGTCGGGAAGGATATACATCCTCCCTCGCACGGGAAGTGAAGGTAACGCGGGGTTTGCGGGTGGCTTATGACTATAAGGGAATGCCATGAGGTCGAACGGGCGCTGCCAGAAACATTCAGAGACGCACGACAAGGAAGAGGGCACGCTCGGCGCTCTTCATGAATCGTCGTCCTCGTCAATCTCCATTTCCACGCCATCGTCATTATCGTCATCCTCTGCCTTTTCCCGTTTGCGTTGACGTTCGCCATCAGTGGCACCATCCTCGAGTTGGCGTTTCGCGGCCAGCGCAGGATTATTTTGTGCGTGCAGAGAATTTGGTGGCACAAAGTCAGGATCTTCCTTTCTCAAGGTAGCGTACGACTTCTCCTTTGCGTATGCAATTCGCTGAAGCACGAGAAATTCGGCAAAGTTCAAAGCAGGCAAGGTGAGATCGACTCACGAGAGGTTTGTCATAGAAAACCATGCCCTCGCACGCGCGCATAGCAGTTGTTGCGGAGGCAAGATCGGAGAAGACTAAAAAGGCCTGGCCGCGCATCTTGGGGCCCTTGGACGCGACAACGTCGATAAGTTTGCCATGGGTGGTGAAGAGGGCATAGAGCTGGATGCGAAGCTCTTCCTTGTTGACCTTGTCATTAAGGTTGTTGATGTAGAGCGTCGGACTGGGCTGGACCGCCATCGAAGAAACAGCAGTAGGCAGCCTGAGCAAGGTGGCTAGCTGCTTGAGCCTTGCCGAGTTGCACGGAGAGGGGGAGGAGCGCAAAAGGAAGGATATTCGCACGATAAGCTTGGGATACTTGCCCAAACACGTTCTTGCTCGTTGGAATATTAATGGTTCCCCGTGGAACGAGAAGTCTAAACGACGACTGAAATTTTTGACCCCCCGCCGTTCCTTGCCCCCTCTGGTCGACACGTCCACGTTACGCGTCTTGTCACCCCTGCGCCACCGTTACACCCACCTCCTTCTTTTCTCGCAGGTTCTGGCCTTTTTGTGACCAGGGTATCCCGTATCCTGCTTGCATCCTTCCCTTAACGACTTATACCCTCCGTCATGGACCACTTCCAAACGCCAGAGTGGCTCCCGTCCTTCCTCGTTCCCTTTGTTTCACTCTCACACCCAACCGACGCTCCGACGATTACCGACTCGTTCCACGACAACGCGTACTACAACACCGGTATCCTAGATGGCTGCCTCATCATATCATGCATCGCCATAATGGCTATATTACGCGACGCGACGCGTATATACATATTGGAACCCTTCGCCCGATGGGTTCTCATTCGCGACTGGAGACGGCGGGCCCAGAAGAACAAGTCCGTGACAAACGGCACCGCTAACGGTGCTAATGGCTCTTTGTCAAAAATCCACAACGGCAACGCGAATGGGCATTCAAAAACTGCCAACGGCAATGGTGTACATGCACCATCGCGTCCTTCACCCAAGGAAACGCGTCAGATTAACAGGAGCGTCGTCAGGTTTGCGGAGCAAGGCTGGTCCACGATATACTATACGCTGCAAGCCTGTTTTGGAATCGTGAGTTACGCGTACTTGGCCGCCTTTCCATTCCTCTCATTCGTGGCTCTCAGTATGTCCATATCAACCTGCCGACAGCCACATGGCAAACAAAATACCTCTGGGCTGAATACCCCCATGTGCCTCTTGCCGGCACTGTGAAGCTTTACTACCTCACCCAGACCGCATTTTACTCGCATCAGATTCTTATTCTCAACGCTGAAGCGCACCGGAAAGACCACGTTCAAATGATGACCCACCATATTATTACCGTTATTCTGATGGTGGCTAGCTACTTCTCCAACTTCACCCGCGTCGGATGCCTGATCATGGTCCTTATGGATTGGTGTGACATCTGGCTTCCGGTGAGTAAGATAATGTTATGTCGAAGGCGCATGTACTGACCAGAATGACACTAGCTTGCGAAAATGCTACGTTACATCAGACTGTTCACGCTCTGCGACATCACCTTTATCTTTTTCCTCTTCTCGTGGTTTATCACGCGCCATTACCTCTTTATTCGCGTTATCCTCTCCGCTTACTACGAAGCTCCTGGCCTGATTCGTGGTGACTGGAATCCTCTGATTGGTCATTACTACTCGCCGCCGACGCACCAGGTGTTCGTGCTCTTTCTCGTATCGCTTCAGGTAGGATTGACGTTTCACTTGTTTTACTCCATCTCTGAGTATTCTGCAGGTCATTCAAGTGCTTTGGACTTGGATGATCTCTCGAGTGGCGTGGGGTGTCATCACAGGCAAAAATGCAGAGGACAGTCGAAGCGATGACGAGGGCAGGTGAGTAGTTGGGGTTTGCTTCCTATGATTGCTGCTAAGAGCTGTTTTAAAGTGACGGCGAGAAGAAAGACCGGTGAGGGGAGAATGACTTATCTGGTGGCAACTGTAGATGATAGCGGGATGCTTAGTATTCAGCTTTTAATGTTGGTTTATATACACATACGTTTTAGACGCGCAGGCACTTACCACACTGACTTCCTAATCAGGGAGTGTCATAGGTGCTGCATTTGGCCCTTGGCGCTCTCTCACTTGCTGCACTCGTTCCCCACTGTACACATTACCCTATACCTCACTCCCCTCGTCCCTCACTGTATACGACCTAGACGAATACAAGCATGATGGCGAGCTTCATGAGCTACTTTGGTGGCCGCCGCGACACTAAGCAGGCCGCCCGTGACGCCATCGTCGGTCTCAGACAGCAGCTGCAGCTGATCGAGAAGAAGGAAGAGCACCTCCAACGCAAGGTCGAGGAGGAGCTCAAGAAAGCACGCGCCAATGCTGTCTCAAATAAGCCATGTACGGTGACGCTCCCTCTCCCCTCGTCATTTGGCGTGTGCTCTGACCCATCGCCCGTTGCTCGCCGTGCGCAGTGGCCACGCAGGCGCTGCGGCGGAAGAAGGCGCACGAGACCGAGATCGACCGCCTCGCGGGCACGCGGCTGCAGCTGGAGATGCAGATAAACACGCTTGAATCCGCCAACCTCAATGCGGAGACGATGGCCGCCATGAAGAAGGCGTCGGACGCGCTTGGGGTTATCCACCGCGGCATGTGCGTCATATCGCCTCCCATTCATCTCCGCTTCGCTGACGAAATTACGCTGAACTCGCTACTAACACCTTTGGTTATCATTCTGTTGGAACAGGGACACGGCAAAGGTCGAGGATACCATGGCCCAGATCCACGAGCAGAGAGAAATCGCGAACGAGATAGCGGACGCGATATCGAACCCTATGAACGGCAACGAGCTAGACGAGGTGCGCACCGGATCCTGCGTCCAGCGCTGCGGCGCAGGTCTGACAATTCCCGTAGGACGAGCTCAACAGAGAACTTGGCGACCTCGAACAGGAGGTGCTAGACGAGCGGCTCGCTGGCGCAGATCACGTACCGTTGCATATTCCCCCAGGCGCCGTCAAAGAGAGTACGTCATTACTGTTATTCTGGCTTCTTCTGCCGCGTCTTCATTGATCTATCCCCCACACAGCTCCTCAACCTGTCGCAGAGGAAGATGAAGAGGCAGAGCTCAAGCGGCTACAAGCAGAACTTGCCATGTAATTCTATATATATAATATTTCCTTTCATCACTGCTGCTTGTCCCCGTCCAGGTTTGTCTCTCCCATCCTTTCATGCCCCTTAAGTAGTCTCTTTGTTACATTAACACATTTGAATGACTCTGTCAGCGTTATATAGTATACAGGGAAGGAGTATTAAATTAGTTGCTAAGGATCTTGTGCTTGCGTGCATTACTTGTGAGTTATTGCGAATGGATCAAGATGCATGCTCAATGAATATATAACGACCATCGGAAACCAAACATCAGCCCGAAGCTATTCTATGCTCTTGAACAGTCCTGCTTGCCCGAGCTCCAGTGTCGAGCGTCATGATAAAAGCGAAAACCCGCGGAGACCGAGCACCCTGCGAACATCCTTCGTGAACCGAAGGGAATCCAGGACGGGAAGCAAGTCCAGAAGTGCTTCATCCGATGGGTCATGCGTCCAGCCCTCAATGGGAATACCGTTTGCTGCGGGAAATCAGCTCAATCAGCTTGGAAGCCCATCAGATTATGGATGCTCTCGCGTACCTTCATTGATACTGTAGCTGATGGGAGAATTATCGATCAGGCAAACGCGGGAAAGGTCCTCTTCGATGAGAGAAAGGTCTTTAATGTATGATCCATTGGAGAGCACCGTACAAGACTATGCGGCAATTTAGCTCTTGTGTGCACCCCAAGGAAAAGGAGGAGCATACCTCTCTGAATAACCGCTTCGCAAGTATACCACGTCCAGCATCTAACCAGTCTATGACAGGGTCCGCATACTCTTGCATGGACGCCGTGAAAATGACCAGAGTGTACCATCCAGAGACCTGTATGCATGCATCAGCCAGTGTCCGACTCACACACATGGGCTTCGACTGACCTTGCGCAAAAAATAGTCCACAAACGGCCGTTTATATACGTGATATAGCGTGCTGCGTCCTCCCAAGTACACCTCGACGGTGTGCCCTTTGTTGCGCTGGCGGAAGCTGCCAAATCCAAGCCACCCAAACCCTGAACTGTGATGCATAGGCCGAGATGTCGAGTGAATGAGCGTCTCATCAAGATCGAGCACAAGGGTCTTCGGGAAATGAAACGGTGACTGACGCGCCGGGCCTGGACCCGGTGTGGACGAGCGGGACGATTCGTCGCCCTGCGAGCCCGCGCGGAAAGAGGGCGGGAGTACGCGATATGGTGGACGGGATGCGAAGCGAGGAGTGACGGCTCCCGAGCCGAGCTTCGGCTCCAGCTTTGGGGGTTGGAGTAACGAGGTATCTGAGCTGCTAGATGGAAAGGGTATCGGTGGTATCGATCCATCGTCGCCGTGTATCGCTGAACTGCTGCTGCCGGCCTTCTCGTCGTCCACACCGAGGATCACGCTCACCTGCACGTCTGGGGCGAGCTCTTTCTCCTTGCCCTTGCGGGAGACAGCCCTGGGGCTGATGGCGTGAGTGAGGGACGCCCACGTCGCGCATACGGTATTCCAAACCACGACGAGCACGCGCACGAGGAACATGCGCCGGAGCGCACTCCGCAGGCGCAGACGACGCTTTGAGAGCTGTGGAGGCTGGCCTGACTGCTCCGAAGCCGCGAGCACGGGCCCAGTGTGGCGGGCGGCAGGCTTTGGCTTGGCTGGGGAGGGCGGTCGCGATGATGGAGGCATGGCAAATTTAAGGAGGAAGCCCGAAGGAGAGGAAAGCGAGCGCTTTACTTTGGGAGTGTACCCGTTTGGGTGAAGGGTGCTGCTGCTGCTGGCAGTATCACTGTCATCATCGGGAGGAGGCATGTCGCGGTGTGAAGACTTGGAGGACCAGGAAGAAGTGCGCTTGAGGCCACGGAAAGAGCGAAAGTTCGTGTCACGATTGCGGGCATGGATGAAAGATGCATGCTCAGTTGTCGGGGTCGAAGGAGGGGCAGAAGGAGAGGCCAGGACATCGAACTGGCGGGATATGTAGGTGAGAGTGTTCATCCGTGGGCTATGGCAAGAATAGTCGCATCGAGGAGGAGACAGACACGGCAGACACGCGAAGACGGACAACAGCCACAGGCGGGTGCTGGACTGGGCTGGACTGAGGCTAGGCTGAGCTGGGCTAGCACGGAGCAGACAGTGAGCAGGACCGAGGGACAACCAACCGGACGCGCGACGATATCCTCTCCAGGTAATATAATACTAATACTAATAGACCTGTCACGCTACATATTAACGGCCATTCCAAAACACGCCACCCTCCCGCTTGACTAAATCAGAATCACTCAGACGCCCCTGTACCTCCGACAGGCAAACGTGGGCCTTCCTCACATGCTCACTGGCATTACGCTCAATCGATTGCTCGCATGCGCGCACCATCTCCTCCGGGAAAATCAACTGCCCAGGCCAATATTTATCGCAATCTACATCTCTCTTGAAATGAAGGCCCCTCGAAAAGCACACGTTGTGGCAGCATGCACGGCAACTTGTATTCAAAGTCACCTACGAGAACCAGCTACCACGTTCGATTTGAGGAGCACTCGGCCAGAAGCAGCTCTCCCGCCGATCTTCGATGAGCAATATCTGCTTATATTCCATCCGATAACCGGATAACCCATAGGCAACGGTATGGCTCGCAACTACTCTTTTTGACTTGAAAGCAACAACAAATGCGTACAAGACGCCCGAAAGTTACGTTGATCTGCAACGGTATCGCGGAATTCAATGCGCTTAGTTCCCATCTTACGTCAAGGCCGTGTTTCAGAATCAGACATGATTAAATATTCTACCATTAACTGGGCGTCCGCGTTATCTTGATTAGACCCATGCCCCACATAAGTACAGTCCGAGTAATGAAGGTATAAAAATCAGCAGGCGACCTGAAGACCGGGGTTTAAGAGCAACCACTGTAAAAAGTGCAGCATAACAAAGCGTCGTGTACAGCTGAAGACGAAGATGGAGAAATGAAAAATGGGCCGAAGATATGTAATAAAGTCCAGCAGCATATATGGATGCCAATGAGAAGGGGCGCGCGGTATTGCAGGATGTCAGCCTTTGTAGCAATGCAGTGACGTACAAACATGCTATCAGACCAACGGATCATTTCATACTGCAGTGCTAGAGGATATTGAATAAGTGGTGAATCAAACACCGTGTATAATTACAGAAAGAACGATAGAAAGGGTGAACAACGCGGTTACCATTACATCACCAGAGAGAAAATGTAACGCATTTTGCTGTTGTTTTAGGCGATAGCCTACAAAGCCAATCCAGAGGAAACCGAAGATTGATGTTTGACAGAAGGACGCAATGCAGCGGGAACCAAGCTATCAGGTGTAGCTGGTGAAGTCGGACCATCATAGGGATTCGCTAGCTGAGCATTTGGCGGGAAACCAATTCCGTACTGTTGGGGTGCATACACCGGCTGACCGTAATATGCTAGTCCGTCGCCAACGTCGACATTCATGTGCATATGTTGCATCGGAGGCTGACGAGCGTACGCCTGCGGGGGATACATGTGCGCTGACTGCGCACGGCCAGGCCCGTATGCCGGGCGAGGGTATTCCATACTTTCATCTTCCGGTTCATGCTCTGGCGAGCTGTTGCGAGTGATTTGGGGAGAGAAAGGTCGCTTCTTTTCGTCAAAGAAAAGCTGGTCATCATCAAAGTCGCGACGAGAGCTGCGACGACGAGCCCAGCACATGCCGCAGCCGATCAGGCATGCGATTGCAAGAATGCCAGCGGCACTGAAAGTGCCTGCGACTAGCCCCTTGTTATCAAAGAAGCTCTTGTTGCTATTGGCGAATTTAATCATTAGTGTGATAACGTAGCAAACTACAGAACAATTGGCGAACCTTCCAGAAGAGTTGGTCGAAGTGGGTGAACTAGATACAATACCGCCAGAGGGAGCACCGTTAGCGGCCTGTGTGTTTGAACCTTGCGCACCCTGATTGCCCTGGGAAACGGCTGCAACCGAGGATTGGGGAGCAGTGCTTCCACTGGCGGGTGAAGAGACAGAAGGTGACGCCTGCGACGGTGAGCTGTTGATGGGAAAAGGACTAAGACTACAAAGATAAGTAGGCTAGAAGGAGACATGAACTTACGAGGCCTGACTCTGCGTAGATGCGCTCGGTGAAGCAGTCGACTGTTGGCTAGAGGAAGGCGCTGAAGAAGCCGGCGGAGAGGACGAAGAGGGAGTAAACTGCTGCGGCGGGGGAGACGGAGTACTCTGCTGTTGCTGCTGGGAAGAAGAGGATGCAGGAAGACTGACTGACGAGGCCGCGGCCGATGAAGCAGGGAACTGAGGAGGACTCGTAGAAGACGGCGAAGAAGCTACCGTGCTTGAAGGGCTCAATGCTAGACCCGAAAGATTGATACCGCTGGGGTTTACAGCTTGGAGGGCGGCAAAGCTGTCCGCGCGTCGACGATGGGACCAAAGAGAACGATGGTTTTCAGCATTAACCTGGGAAGAGAGCGACAGGGTGATCAGGAAGGTGGTGTAAACGAATGTGGTAAACGAGCGATGATGCATCCTTGCGTCCTTCTGCGACCTGGCTCAAGAGCCAGCGACGGGGAGGGAGAAAAGATGGAGAGTGGTCGAGGGGGTATGAGAGATGGAGAAAAGCGACGGTTCGCACTGGGAGCGGGGACATCTTGTTGGAATTCAAACTTGAATAGAATAGACCCAGCATCTTTGTTTCTCGTTTTTCCTCCCCTGGAATTCATAGCCGTCGTAACGACATCCGATCGTCCAAATATAGTTTTGCTATTGCCTTATTTGACAATCACTTCGGGCCTAGAGCCCGCTTCTTCCTTTGTTCCTGACTAAATCCTGAATACCAAGGACCCAAGGAGAATTCCAGAAGCCTTCAAGACAGCCGCGGATGACGCCGCCGCGGCGACAGACCGTATTCGCGCAAGAACGCCTCGCTCGTCTCCCGTTGCCCGACGCTCGACAACTCGATCACGATCTGCTCAAGCCTGTTGCTGTCCAGCTGCGCAATGATCTGTGCCTCCGTCTCCACTTCTCCCCCTCGCATCCTCAACCGATTCGCAACAAACTCCTGAGACTGAGACATCCGAACCGAGCGACATGAAAGGGCCAGGCAGGCCATCAGCGCAGCGAATCGTCCCTTCAATTTCAGCCCTCGAAAGCCAAACAAACCATAGAATAACACTCTTACACGTTCGCTCAATGTCCGCCACACCTCCCACGTTAGGCCTACTGGCGTCCATATATGCGCCCCAATGTAGAACCATTTCCCCTGTTGACGAAATAACATTCATGCGGATTCATCAGCATCCTTTTTATGATGCCCTAGCAGACAAATCCTCACTGTTCGGCTGTGCCAAAAGAACGTGTGGAGAGCAGTACCTCCGGGACGATCCTGGATGTATTGCTCCATCCTCGCGTTCAGGTCGGACGTGCCCCAGTCGATCAGATGCGATCCGTCGGGTCCTTCCAGCGTGAATGGATTGCCGACGAATGCGACCTCACCCTCAATATACACGTTCAAACCCGAGTTTCCCTGGCCGTACTTAAGGCTGCCGAGCCAATAGTGACCGTCATCCAAACAGCATTTGCGAGAGCAACCAAAGGGTAGAAGTCGACAGAAGGAGCCAGAGAACAGCGATCAGTCAAAGTAGCTTCTTTAGGAGTAAATGAGGGCGCACGTCTCGAGTTGATCCATCTATGTTGCGTATGAGGACCAATGATGATGATTCGTCAACAGAACTGTGTAGACGGTTGCAGGTAAGATACGAACCACGTCTTGAGAAAGTCGCAGGCGAGACCGCAGCTGATCACAAGTTAACGCGCGCGCCTGCACCTCCGACGAACGAGGCGCGTGGACGAGAACCCGCCAGTCACTCTCTTCGCCTTGGTCATCACGCCCTCCATGTACTGACACATCAAGCGAAGGAGGGGCGCTCGCGCTGACGAGTGACGATGCTGGAGTCGGTATAGGTGCCGCACGAGAGCTAGTGCGACTCCCCGTGGTCCTGGGAGAAGGTACTCCCCCAACTTGGGGGCTGCGCTGTGCAGCTGCTCGAACATGAGGTTGAGGTGCTGGAGTGCGCACTGAGTTCGAGGAATGCCTAGTGTTTGAAGTTCGCCCAGGGCTCGATGGCACGGCTGTCGGGGTGCCGGACGGGTGAGGACGAGGACGGGGCGTGCGGTTCGCACTGTCCCGTCCATTTAGTATGCTGTTAGTGGCTGACCTGTTGCTACGGACAGAAGGGGAATCCAACGCGTCAAGAGCGCGTTCATGGAGCGGCCGTTCATCTCTGAGGACCAACGTGCCAGCATCGGGCGAGTGCTGAGCCTCTTGTCCCTAGACATAAACTCGTCAGCCTCAAGAGTAATACGGGAGTGGAAACTATGGCGAACCCGCCGGTCGTCAATAAGGTCGCGTATGACTCGCCGTGCATTACGGAGTTTACGCCTCTGTGCTTGGCCTGATTCGGCATCGAGGTCCAGATGCCTGACGTGCTCTTCTAGATCATTGACGCGTACTTCCAACGCAGTGATCTGGCGGCCATGCGTGGTGCGCTCGTTCGTGACCTGCCTCGCGACGCGTTCGTGTGTGCGCGTGACATGGGCGGAGAGGTTGCGGAGCTGTAGAAAACAGTCACGACATGTGAAATCATGGCTTGGGCTTGCCACTAGTAAACGGGGCGCACCTCGTCAAGGACATCAACGCTGCTGGACGAACGCCTGCTAGACCGTCGCGCAGAGGATGCCAGCGAGGCCATTCGCAGGTGCGAACCAGAGGTGGTCAGATAGACAGCGTGTAAGAAAGAACACTGGTGTTGCTGTAGCTCACTTGGGCGGATCGTAACCGCCCTCAGTGTCCGCTATCACTTTACGTGAACTCGGGTCTTGAACCCACTGAGAACTCATTCCCGTTATTCGCTGCCTCAGACCTTCGCAGGCAGTCTATTGTTTAGCGCGCTCTCCTATCGATCGATCCTCCATGGCTATGTTGAGGCAAAAAAAAAAAAAAAAAGATCCTCCATGGCTAATCTGGTGCGAGGCGCCACCCAGGCCATTGGCAGACAGTTATCCCGAACGACGCCAGCAAGCAGGAAATCCATGTCTTCGGCCCCTCTTTTTGAATTTATCACTGCTATTGCAGGGGAAGCAGTGTCTTCAGCCTTTGAAGACGCTCCCCTGGTGGATGTGCACACCCATGTCTATCTTCCCCGCTACGCCGACGCTCTACGCGCACGCAAAGACGCCCCTCGCATTGCATCTCTCGACATCGGTGGTCGAACAGAAGAGCGACTACTCATACTAGACGGCGAGCCAGCTGCGGGCAGGCCAGTCGGCCCTCAGGTACGGCATGCATCACGTCAAAGTGTCCAAGTTGGTGGATGGCTCATGCAAGGTGGGTAGTACTGGGACCGTGAAGAGAAGCTCAAGTTTATGAGGCGGCACAACATTGATGTGTCCATAGTCAGGTCAGCTTTGTCTCCTCCCTACCTTTTGATCCCTTCAGTGCTGACAGTAACGCACGCCACGCTCACTCTAGCCTTGCCAACCCCTGGCTAGACTTCTTGTCCCCTGATGAAGCTATCCGTCTCGCAAACGATTTAAACGTCGACATGGACGCCTATTGTGCTGGCTCTCCGATCGCCGACGGTCTTCCGTCCCTCCGCACCTTGTATGGTTTCGGTGTCCTTCCTCTCGCTCCTCAAGTCCCCGTCTCCGCGATTGTGGACGCAGTCCGCACACTGAAGAATCTTCCCAATGTTCGCGGCGTAATCATGGGCACCCGCGGCGTCGGCGCAGGGCTCGATGACAACACGCTTGAGCCACTCTGGGAGGCGATCCAGGCATCCGGCCTCGTCGTATTTATCCATCCTCACTATGGTGTGGACAGCACCGCGTTTGGACCCCGCGACAATGGCCACGTCCTTCCTCTTGCGCTTGGGTTCCCGTTCGAGACGACTATCGTGCGTGTCTCATTTTCTCCGCAGCCACTTTCCTTTGCATGCTAACCTTTATATTTCTTCGTTTGTTAGGCTGCCTCCCGCCTCATTCTTGCCGGGGTTCTCGATCGCTATCCCGACCTCAAACTGCTCCTTGCTCATTCAGGCGGGGCTCTTCCTGCTCTCTCCTCTCGACTCGCTTCCTGCGTTGCTCATGATCCCATTGTCTCTACGCGGTTAAAGCACGACGCACGCTTTTACCTTGGAAAACTCTACTATGACGCCGTCGCTTACGGGCCTGACGAGCTTTCTCTTGCTGCCGCAGTCGTCGGCCGTGCACATAAGTATAGCGAATCTGGAGGTTCATACGATGCTGAAAAGGCTAGTAGACAACTATTATTTGGAACAGACCATCCATTCTTCCCGCCTCTAGAGGAGACCCAGCGTTGGCGTAGTGTAGACGAGAATTTAGCCGCCATACAAGAGGCTCAAGGGCTCGGTGTAACAGCAAAGGACGAGGTGCGCGGGCGGAATGCGCTTAGACTCTTCGATCTCATCTCGTGAGGCACAACTGCATAATATAGTGCGTGATTTATATCCAGCTTTGTAGCATCATGGATCCAGTGTTATCTATAAACAGTGCTTTACCATTCGAACATAGATATGCATAAAAAGTTGGCAGATCAGATGCGCCTGCCGGCCGCGAAAACCTTCTCCGTGCCTGCTTACTCCGACATTTGGATCTTGAGGCTGTAGTCGATGTGCTGTACGGACTGGTGCACCGCACTTGTGCTTAGGATGTCAATTTCTGGACGCCGGTTAGTGCCCTTGCGATATAAAAAGACACACAGCAGGTACCTGGTATCGCACGCTCGCACAAGTTCGCCTCCGTAATGTTCCCGCTTGACTCAAAAAGGAACGAACGCTTGCCCGCCCACTTCTTCTTGAGGCGCCGCGCTGCGCCGGCAAGGGCATCGCCTTCCATATTATCAAGCATCACGACGTCGGCCCCTGCCTCGATAGCTTCGTCTGCCTCTTCTTCAGAACGCACCTCAACATCGAGGAGCAGACTGAAGCCGCCGACTGCACGGGCAGCATTGATAGCGGCGGTGATCGAGCCGCATGACCAGATGTGATTGTCTTTGAGCATGATCATACTCGAAAGATCGTGCCTGTGGGGATCGATGCCGCCGACAATCATGCCGTACTTCTCGACCAGGCGGAATCCTACATAGAGCATATGCCACCGAGTCTTGAGCATGCTAGATGACCCAGCAAAGAACAAAGGTAAAACAAACCTGGGGTCGTCTTGCGTGTGCCAGCGATGATACCCCTGTACCCATGACCGGTCGCAATATCCTTGATGCGCATGGACCTATGAAGGATGGAACTCAGACTTAACACGATAGAGATTGCACTGACTTGGTCGCGATGCCACTACACCGCGCGAGAAGGTTGAGCGCGACGCGCTCTCCGAGTAGTAGCTGTCTGACTGGACCGCGGACGGTTGCAACGTGATAAATGGGTTCGAAAATTGCACCCTCTTCCAGAAGCCACTCAACCCTTTCCAATGTCAACCAGGGGTAATGAGATGACAAAGATGTAGCAAGTTATCGAGCCAGGAGGAGGAGTCGTTAACCTTACATGTCAGGGAAAAAAGAATGGGTAGAGAGAGATAAAACTCACGAGCATCCAAGCTGTGCAAAGATTTCTGTGACAAAGGGACGACCGGCGAGGACGGCAGGCGTCTTCCCCTTCCCAAGAAGGTGGGCCTCCCGCTCGACCTCTCCCACAACGTATCCTCCGTAATCGAATGAAGGAGTATCTTCTGCGAGCCACGCCGTAACCTGAGACTTCCAGCTCGTTGGAAGGAGATGCTCGAACGAATGAGTTGGCATCGTTTGGTGTAGTGAAGTGCAGCGTGATCTAAAAGCAAACCGGAGAACGACTAAGCAGCCGGGGGATGGAGAAGAAAGGGGCTTTCACGGAACCGGCCCGAGAACGAATCTAAGGATAATCAGATGAGCTATCTTTCAACCAAATGAGGGGAGCTTCCAAGTTTAAGAATATTATTACCAATTGTAATCTCTTGATTCACAAGCGCTCGAGTTGTATAACTTCGTATAATAATTAAAGGCTATCGAGCAAGCTTTTCATTCATTGGATTTTGTCATATTACCGACCGATTGAAGGGATTTGTCATGACCATAATCATGCTAAAAAGGAATGGAAGTAATGGATGCAATATTCGTTATATGAAGATGGTGTGTACATAAATGCGTTATGGACAATGTGAATTGCGGCGAGTAGTTATCCGATGCTGGGTATAATGCGTGAAGAAATGAATGAATCCGTATGGTAAAAAGAGCATTCCTCTCGAGCTCAACGATGGCCAACCAAGGCCAACCATACACCTAATAGATAATACCACCAACGGCGTGGTTAAAGAGATAGAGTAGCGGGATTGAGGGGATGATTAAATGACCGATGATAAGAAGAGTAGAGCAAGCGAGGCAGCAGCTAGTGTGAACACCCTGGGACATTCACCTGCAACTGATCGAGCAGCACTGAAAAAGGGCGCATCCACCGCCGAGCCACCATCCTGATACGGGGAATTGTTGGTAGGCAATGCTCCTGTAGCATAACTGGAATAGACATCAGCAACGCAGTCGATATAACACATACAAAATATACTGACGGATCGGGGATAGGTACAGTCCCGGTAGGGAGTCTAGAGAGAGTAGAGGTTGAATCAAAGATGTCGAAATAATCCGATTGTGCAATAACGATGTCGATGTTTATGTCGTCAGGGGTCAAATTGATCCTAAATCCAGAGCCAGCCGGCCACCCGCCAGTAGGAGGGCCACAGCTGATCTGGCCAAGGGTAGTGTCAACAACAGTGGCCAGCACTGCATCACTAAAAGGCATGATTGAAATGTTCTGCGAAAGCGTCGTGAGATACATGTCTTGTAAGACCTTTGTGTATACAACGTACTGCGTTTGTAAGAACGACCGTAAAGTTGGAAGGATCGGTGGAAGCCCACTGCCACTTGAAGATGTTGGGACCTGATGTTGTCCATCCCTGGGATGGGCTGGGCGAAGTCACCTCGTAAGCCAGCGAGGATCCAGCGAAGGCAACGACAGCAAAAGCAATGGCTTTGAACATCGTGATCCGTTGGCTTGTGTGTGTGGGGAAGTAGAAAGTAGTGAGGGCTGAGAAGTGCTCAGAGGCCAAGCTTTAAACCTTCCACGAGCAATAGGAGTGAAGAGGAGTAAGGCCAACCAGAACTCCTAAGGGTTTCGAAAAACATCACGAAACCCCCCTAAGCTTCCCACGGATAGGGCATTCCAATATGAATGCATTCGCCACTAGTGGTTTCAGGGACGTTGGCATGCAGTTGGCCGACTCCTCGGCGAATAAGCCTGCCGTCGGGTAAGTTTCATGATGTCCGGGATCGTTTAGACGGTCGCCAACCATTGTCTTGTACAATACGGAAAGTGAGCTGAACACCAACGCGAAGCCTCATGTTCATCAAGATACCATTACATGCATGTAAAGTACTCACCACCTCACAGTCGCCTATGCTGTCCTTTATTACGACCTCTCTATGAACGAGCTCTCGACATCCATCCACAAGTCTTTCTGAGCCCAAACCCCAGCAACTGCTGCAAACACCATCCAGCATGACCCCTCATCAATTGTGGCCCCTTTTTGTTTCCGAGGTGTTTGCGCAATGGTTTCCGTCAGAAGTTCAGGGTGCTCCGAGGACGTTTCAACTGCGGAGAACATCTCTTTGATCAGAGATATACAGCCGCGGGCGAGGCTGCGAAGGTGGCTCATGTCATCGGCCTGCACATAGTCGTCAATTTTTGCCAGGAGAGCAAACATCCAACGACCGTGGCTTGGCGTGATAATCGTCGACGGGTCATTTGGTTTTTCCAGTCGTAGATTGATCCAATGGGCAAAGTACATGAGTAGATGGACTGCTATTCGCTACAGCGATTTTGCGTCAGCGGAGAAAGTTTTGACGATCATCCATGCTTACATGGTCTATACGACGGAGCAAGGCATGCGTTGGTTCTGGTGGAGACAATCCCAACTTCTCAGGGGTGTCGTGGGTCAAGGCCGAGGGCTGATGGCACTGGCTTGGGTCTGACATCGTTGGCGATGTACTCCTTGTCTCAGACATGATGCCTGCAGAAACATCCAGGGGCGGAGGGGTGCCGTTTGGCGTTGGTAAGGAGTCCATGGGGTCGTTCTTGAACGCAAGCTCTGCCTCCCCCTCCCCGTTTATCTGCCAAACTTCTGAAGGGGGAACCGTCCCGGCCTCTCCTTGAGGCATCCACGACTCCTCAAGGAAATGACGAACTGCTTGGTCCTTCTTTTGACCTGACATTTGCTTCTTAGATCTCTTGGCTGGATTCCATTCGTCGTGGGGGCGACCAGCAAGGAACTTCCACCAGAGGTCGCGCTCCTTTTTGTCAGGCATGAGCTTCTGTGAGGAAGCAATCTCAAGTTGGACATGGTTGGTTGGTTGGACAATGTTCTATGGATCAGATTCAGCTTATGAAAGGGGTACATGATTGCAGGAACGTAAGTACCTTTCGGAAGTATTGGAAGTGCTTCAGAAATTGGGACCGCCATTCTTCGCTGGGGAGGGTCAGGGTGATGAGAGGCGTTTCCGGCGGCTCCTGTTTGACAGGAGCATGCGCTGGGACTTCGTAAGGGTTCGCCACGCGTGTGACGTTGGGTAGGCGACGAGCATCGCGTCTATAAGTGCAGCTTGAGCGTACACTCACCCTTGCGTCTCGGATGAAAATCTACCTGACTGTGAATAGATATTGCATACCATCCATAGGTTCATTGCTGTAATTCTCTGGGAGACGGGCAACAGGCAGAATTTGTCGGCCGAACGAAGGCTCGTCTTCGTCAGAGTCTTCGGTATCCTGCCACTTGCGTTTGTGGGCCGACATGATATGTTTGAAGATTCACCGTGGTGCCGCAACTGAAGCGTTGATCACCAATTACGGCGCGTCACGACTCGCCATTTCTCTTCTCGCAGATCAGACGAGCGTGAGAACTTGATCTCGGCCTCTTCTCCGGTTATGCCACCTCCCTTAAAATCAGTGACTCTGTCAAACGCATTTTATCTCTCGCTCATGACGTTTCCCTACAATGGCTACTGACCAAAAGGACGCGACTGAACCTACTTCAGAAGATGACATTGACACTGAGACTCTCCAGGCGCAGATAGACATGTCTATGTCGTTAGTCCATGATGTCGTTGCGTCATGGATGTCTCCCTCCGACCGTGTCCGTCTCGGCCGAGCTTCTGACCCTAAGCGGTTGGTGGACGAGCAACTGCGTCGGCCAGCTAGGTGAAGCACCACAATTCTGAACCCATCCTTTCGTGCTCTTATGCGGAGAAGGCTCGGAGTAGGTGCTTCTACCCCGGAGCTCGTGCAGGCATCACGGGAGGCGAACAAGTTGCGCCATCAGCTCCTAAACAAAGGAAAGAAACGGACTCGAGAAGAAGAGGCTCCTGCGCAAACAGTAGTTATGTCTGACAGCGACGAAGAAATGGCCAAGGGGGAAATCGGGTCGAAAAAGCAAATCAAAGTGGACCCATTTGCGCGCAAAGAGAAGAAGAAACATTTAGCGTCAGTGGAGCAAAACGGCACCAATGTAACAAAGTCTACCTCCCGGGCAAACTCTGATGATATGGAAGTTGATCCTCCCCTTACCAATGGTAGTGGCTCTGCACCGCTGCCAGCCCCAAATGTGGATGCTGTATTCAGCCCGACGAAGAAGAAAAAGCGGAAGCAAAGTGCACAGGATCTAGGAACACCACATCCTCCTGGTGAACTGAATCCTATGGCCTCCCCTGATACAGTTGGCAGCATGTCAAGTAAGTCCCGCAAGTTCCTTCCTCTCCAAGATGCTAAGCTCATTAATTGTTCGTTGCAGGAACACCGGTTGATGAACACGAATCTTCCGGCTTCCCCGCCTCTCAAAGTAGCTCACCTGCCCGACCCGCTACCCATATGAGCCTACTTAACCTTGGCGGGCCGGTGGGGGTATCCGGGCAGGATGCTAACGCAAATTCTGAATCTAAGAAAAAACGCAAGAGGCGTAAGAAGAAGAAACATGGCACATCTACTGGCGGCCAACCGGTACGTACAGTGCCAACCCCACGTTGTCTCAGGATCCGCTGAAGCTCTTCACATCTAGGAATGAATCCAAGGTGATCTACTGTAGCTCTATTCTCCCATTACTCTACCCTTCGAGGACATCATTTCCGATCGCGCTAGATCTCGATACCATTATGGCCGTAAGTGTCTTTTCATAACTATCATATTTAGGAAGTATTGCTCAAGAGTGCCAGCACGCCTAGCAAGGTACAGCTACATGTACAACGATTATCTAAGTATGTAAATCCAGGTGTCCGCTGAGAATATATATGCCGCAAGACAATAAGCTTAATGCCCAGGAAGAGGCGAGAATCCAAATCCTCACTCCAACTCTACTTCCGCGATGACCGTGACTGTGTGGTATCACGTCTGGTGAGCCCTCCGTTCGGCGCGTTGCTCCGTGTGCTTGGACGTCTGCTAGGAGGGTTCCGCGTGCTAGATCTCCTGACTGGAGGAGGTCTATTCATGCTACCTTGCCTTGAAGGCGGTTTGTTCATAGTGCCTTGTCTTGACGGCGGCTTGTTCATGCTGGTCTGCCGGGATGGATGTGTCCTCGTCGATGCTGAGCGATGCAAGTTGCTGTCCTTGGTAGTAGACCGCTGAGAAGAAGTGCGCTTGGCCACGGAAGGTCGGCTAGACTGTTTCTTCCCAAGGCCGAAGAGAGAGAGTCCGCCGGAGGACTCGTATGTGCCTTTGCGTTTGGCCTTACGCTGAGCAGCAAACTTGCGTGCAGCTTTGGCCTCGTGTATCTCACGTATGCCCTCTCGTCGTAGCTTCTCATTCCCCGAGAAAGTGGCACGCCATTTGACGAGCCATCCATGAAGTTGAGAGGGCTTCGGCTTGCTCCGGCGGCGACCGTCAGAGTGGTAATGCTGGTGACGTGATGCGAGACTGTAGTCAGCAAAGGATCGGTCTGAAGCTGCGGCAGTCGCTTACAGAGGTCTTCCACTCGACTTCGAGCATGCTGTCTACACGAATGCAATGAAAAAGAAGAAGAAAGAAGGGCTGCGAAGGGCTTAGAAACGTTGAATGGCAACCCAAGGACTCCAAACTTGGTGCTAATATTGACACACTCGCTGCTTACGTACGTGCCACGCCCTTGACATGCACTCTCTTGATCACTGAGTTCCAGGTCGGAAAACGTGGTTTCACGCCCTCTGCAATTGCTTGTCCCCACTATCATTTGATCCGCATCTACATCCTCCGCTGTCTGCACGAGAGCAGTGCGTGATGAGACTAAATCATGACTTGGTTGTCCTGGGCTGATGAGGCCTGGGGAGTCAATTGTCTTCAAATCGTTCCTTGTTTTATATTAAACGCGCGTGCGGTCCGTGCGTCCGAACGGCCGTCTACCATGCTGAATGCTGTGCTGAGCCTCAATTCCCAACGGAGTACTTCTCCAGGCTTTGAGCTCTCGCCGTTCCGCGGTGCTCACCTCGTGTCAGCGCGAACATGAGCGTCAGACGAGGAACTCCGCGGGTCGTAGCCAAGCAGCCGGGACACGACGCGCAGCCTCTAACACCTTAGTCCCTGAATCTGAGTGCTGACTGACGTAAAATTAAGCGTTACTGCGACCCTGAATGGATCTACACCTCCGGAACGCTTACACCGATGATATACCGATGTTAGCCAAGATCTCCTGACATCAATTTTCGCGGTTGACTCAAGTTCAGTGCAGCTGCACGTTGAAGACAATGAATATAGTCGTGATATGATTGCAAGTTTGTAAAACAATATTTATGATAGCGAGACGCCGCACTTCCCCACACCTAGGTTTGCAAACAAGCTAGTGAGTGAACTTGGTTGAACTGGCAACGAAGGAACGACAAATAGATGTCCGGCTCTTCAACATGTATCCGGGTACCGGGACAAGCCAACATTACCATGGTTTGCCATAGCATCAACACATACTAATCGCTAGGTTGAAGGTCTTCCATTCCATTCTGTGAATACCGCTTCATCGATAGTGTCGCCGTTATGCACAACGCGGGTGTCGGCATCGGGGAAACAGACGATGCGAACATCTATGTACACAGAAGAACGCAGTCTGGTGGACACTGGTGAGTGCGTATGGCTTGGTGAGAGCATGACGGTGGCGACGGGTATGGAGTAACCGGCAGGGGAAAGGGATAGACGCAGCGCGTTTAAAAACGTTGCAGGGCACGCGCCCGCACAGGATCAGAGGGAGGGGGTGCACCGAGTGGGCAAAGGACGCTAGGCCGCCTTCATATGGCTCGTCGTTCTTCGGGACCGTCCCGTGGCGGTGAGGATGTTACCTGTTTTGGGTCCCGCACTTTGCACCGCTTTTCTACCCGACCTCTCTGCGAGTCGGTGCTGTCACTGCAATGACGTCGACTTGTGCGCTTCACACCGCCATCACTGTCTCTCAAACCTCCTCAGCTATGTCGAAACTACGGAGGGTAGTCTTCCCCGAGCCGCCTCCGGAATGTCCAGTAGCCGTAGGTCTTGTTCCAAAGTACAAAACAGGCCAGGGACAGGCCTTGTCATGCTCGGCGGCGTTTCCAAGACGTCTGAAGTTCGGATTCAATGGGCTGGAGGAACATCAGCACCATTGTCGAAGGTCAGCTGTATTTGGGCAAGTAAGTACATTGCCTCCTCCCTTTCCTGTGGTATACATAACAACCAACCAATTCCTCCCGCAGCCTTCAAGCGGCCAGATCCTCTCGGACCCTCGCCGAGAAGCAGATCACCGCAATTCTCTCCGTTTGCAGCGATGAAATACCCGCCGAGGCACCCCAGTCGGGTATACGTCACATGCGCATCGCCGTCGAGGATCGAGACAACGCCAACCTCCTTGTGCATTTGCCCACAGCATGTCAGTTCATTCACCAAGCTCTCCACGAGAGGAAGGTAGTGCTTGTGCACTGCTGTCAGGGGCTTGGGCGTTCTGCCGCCGTCATTGCTGCATATTGTGAGTTTGCAAGTGTCAACATGTCCGACTGTGCCTGAGTCCATTCCTAGTGATGTGGTCTCGGCGCATCAATGTAGCTCAGGCGCAGACAGTCGTCAGAGCTGGTATGTTCATCTCTGCCTCTGCTCTTGTTTCGATGACTCATGCCATTTACTTCGTTGAAAGCGCGGGAGCAAATATGGATCAATGCTGGTTTCATTGAACAACTTGTGCTCTTTGAAGTCTGCAACTACAATCCCAACGCGTCCGACGGCGTGTACATAAAGTGGGTTACCCAACTCAAGAAACACCAGCAATAGCACCAGCCGCAATGCCGCCTGGTCGTTTCCTCTCATTCTCGTTCTCCAATTTTCATAGAAAAGTAGTAGGCCAGCCCTGACGGCCGATTGTAAAGCCCTATAGCTAGTATTCCTTTCATCTTTGCTAATCTGTGGATGTATGATTATACACCGTTGTATCACTGCTGCACTCACTCGTATATGTTCACTCTTAATCTACAGTTTTTCTCGTCTCATTACAAGCATTGTCTCACATAGAACGTATCTCCCAAAGCACCTTCCGTGCATCTTTGCATGTATATAACTTCTTGGATCGATATCTTGTCAGTTGTTAGCCCAATTTTCCGAGTAACGTTTCCTGACTCAATGTTAGTTACTTCATGACATGAATACGCAGGCGTTGCGGTACCGCAACACAAACACGTACGGGCAGTACGTGTTCAGATGTGTTCCGCAGTAGTCATGGAGGTGTTATAAGAACCTAAAGGGACGCCAGGGGCTGTTTCCTCATCTTGGAAAGTCACAGCAACTTGCCACCGGCGGAGTCCGAAAGGTTGATTCTCACAGGAACCCTGCGACGCAAACTTGTCTTTTACCGCCAGATTGCACGACAACACATCGACTTCTCTCTAACGTCTAACGCTTCAAATCATGGGTCTCTCAGTTTCGAAACTCCTCGCCGGCCTCTTCGGCAAGAAAGAGATGCGTACGTAGCGCGCGATGCTCTTGTCGCCCGACGACCAGCTGATGCCCTCTGACCCTCAGGTATTCTGATGGTAAAGCTTTCTGGACTCGCTCCAACAGCCTCGCACACTCAACACCCCCTCTAGGTTGGTCTTGATGCGGCAGGTAAGACCACCATCTTGTACAAGCTCAAGCTTGGTGAAATTGTCACCACCATCCCAACAATCGGTGCGTTTCTCCACCATTCACGTGTCCCCAGCCCAAACTCATTCTGTACAGGTTTCAATGTCGAGACGGTCGAGTACAAGAACATCTCTTTCACTGTATGGGATGTTGGTGGACAGGACAAGATCCGTCCCCTCTGGAGGCACTGTACGCACTACCGCGATGGCCACCTGATTACCTCTGACGCCATCCTACAGACTTCCAGAACACACAGGGTATCATTTTTGTTGTAGACTCAAACGATCGGGAGCGTGTTTCGGAGGCGCGTGAGGAGCTTCAGCGGATGTTGAATGAGGACGAGCTCCGGGATGCCCTCCTCTTGGTTTTTGCCAACAAGCAGGATCTTCCCAATGCTATGAACGCTGCTGAGATCACCGACAAGCTTGGCCTGCAGGCGCTCAGACAAAGGACGTGGTATATTCAGGTATGTTTCCAGCAACTCGCAAGTTGGCAGAGCCTAACTGACATGCCTCCCAGGCTGCTTGTGCCACATCTGGCGACGGTCTTTACGAGGGTCTTGAATGGCTCGCGACTAACATTAAGCGTCGCGGATCGGCCTAAAGGATTACGATGTTACGATGTTGTGCGATATGTGCTGATGTGCAATCTTGTTTCTGGGTCTTTCAAGTTGCTTGGCGCTGTATGGACTCCGCCATGATCCTCGACCAAAATTATACATCGATTTTAGTCGCTCTGTTTCTTTCTATTGGAGTGCCTTTTATATCTTTACGTTCACTCATCTGTAGAGGGTTTTACCGCCTGGTCATTGCGGATCCCCGCCTGTTAATATGCACTAATGTTGTTGAGAAAGTATATGTCATCGTTTTGTTGGGGTAAGTACTTGTGATGTCGACAGTATAAACATAGGTCACCGATTCTCCCCCGGAAATACTCGGCCAACTGCATCAGCTTCTTTTCGTCTCTTTTCGCCCAACTCCCGAGACGGTCCGTCTCTGCACGAGGATCCATACTTGGCAAGCTTTTCCAACAGTGTCTGTAACCTCTTTGGCTTGATCATGCCGTACGTTGTCTTGCGAACTTGAGGTAAGAGATAGTCTTGCACGTTGTCATTCAATACGATGCTTGCCATCTACAGGAATGTTAGATATACGGTTTGTCAAAGGAGATCAGGGACATACTGCACGTAGTTCTGCAAAAACCTCATTCAAATGTCTACGTCCAATACGATTGAATTCGTCCTGCAAAAACCCGATATCCACGAGAATGTTCGAAACAGCGTTCTCATTCATTGCATTGACATTTGGTCCGATCAAGAAGTTCTAAGCACAGGTTAGTGTGGTCCATGACGCGAGCAGATGACGCACTTGTAGGCATTCTGCAATATACGCGACAGCTCCTGCATACGCTTGGTCGATGTACTCGTTCTTGATGATGAGTGAATCCACAACAGTGGTAAGCCAGTTTACAAGTTCGTAAAGGTACATGCTAGGCATGTTTTCACGCCGGGATGGCGTCCAGTCGTATTCAGCAAGCTCAAAGAAATCGTCCAGTTTGGAAGCGATGAGCCCAGTAATTCGCGTGATTGCGCGCGTCTGCGTGTTACCAAAGGAAGTGGCAGATCCAAGACGAATTGTGCCACCTCTCTGAGTTGATCTGTCTCATAACTGTTAGTCATATGGTGTTGATTGTCCTCCAAATGACTGACCGAAGAGTGGTCAGTGAGCGCTCAAGTTCGGGGGAGGCCGCTTGGAAGTGTTCTAGGTCGGACACAACTTGCGCGACCTGCGAGAGCGTAGGGATACTAAATAACCTTTTACTAATATTTTCGCTAATATGGTTTGTAAGTAATTTATCTAGTGACTTACACCAATATCAGTCCTAGGGTGTAGTAGCGATTAGAAGGTTCTTACTTTGTTCAGGAAATCGTCAATACTGCCATGGTGTTGCGAGACACCTTCAATGAACTGATAGAACTTCTGTACGAATAACCGTATCTGGAAGCAATTAGCTAAGCAAATGAGTCAGTAGCCAATGTGAGGGCTTACATCCTGGCAACACAAATAGAAGCTTTGTGACCATGGAAGAACCAAGGGAAGTGAAGCCCTATCAGAAAGGTACGGTTGGTATCAATCAAGTGAGTAGTGTCTTGCACGTACTCCATGAGCCGCTCTTGCTCTGCAGGACTTATCCAGACAACGCCCAGTATAGTGTCTCGTTCAGAAGCTGTACCTGCTTCCATAGCTATCCCATCATCCTGAAGGACGATCTGCGTTGAATGGATAATCAGTAGGGAGAGTCGGATTTTGATTTCACACTGACATTCTCAAAGCGCCGGCTAAACTGACTTTCAAGCGACGTAGAGTATTTTTGGAACATCAACAGCACGAAAGAGTTTAGCGCATGCGTAGGGTACGAGTAAGACTGAAAAGTGGTTGTTAGCACCAATATAGGGGAACTTATACAGAACTCCTACCTCAAGAGTCATTATTAAGCTGACCAGACATTCCTTGACTTTCAGCAGGGTGTCAGGCTCCGTTTGGTCGGTCAAGGTACTTTGAATAGATGACGTGAAGCGTGTTAGCAAAGCCTCGTAAAGTTCCTCGACTTCTCGCTCCGATCTGAAGTTACCAGTCGTTTGCAGGACGTGAGATTCGATAATGAAGAATCCGCATACTTCTTGCGTCAGGGAAACAAGCGAGGACAACGGGAATGGTGAAGGTAGAATAAGATCAGATTGCGCCTGCCTTGCATTAGTAGTTGCACTGCGCAGAGTTGCGCATGACATACTTTCCGGTCACCTTGATATGACTTTCGGAGTACTTCGAGAGAGTCAAGCGATGTGTATATGTGTATACATTGATACAATGGTTTGAAGTCAACTTGAAGCTTGTCGTTATCGAGGGGACTAGCTGCAGTGCATGAGCAAGGAAGAGGCAACATCGGACCGTGGAGATACACTCACTATCAGTCCTCTCGTGTGCAACCATTTCAACAGCACTCCCCACGCGGCTCAACCGGAGAAGAGAATCCTTCTCCCGCTTTGACCGCCACTTTCGCGATCGAATCTCCATAGCTTCCAAAGCCAGTTGGCCCACTTGACCGCTGACGTTACGGATCTCGAGAAGCCATTGCTTCATGGATGCAATAACGGCATCCTGAATCTGTGTTCGCAACGATGGTAAGGAGGAAAGCAGGTGCTGATAGAAGGGTGTTTGGGATAGCGAGGTGGAGGGCATGTTTTGAATGTCTTCTAGAGACTATAATATATGTGCATGTGGTCAGAACCTCACGGGGCGAAACTTATGTGACATACTCGTAATGCACTCCAGTACTTTCCTTCTCTAATCATATCCCCAACACGGTTGACGACGTCCAAGACTTTGAGACACGCCTGAAGAGTATCTATAGCCTCGTCAAGGTTTGCAGCAGTCTTCTTGGATTGGAGAAGGGCTTTCTTCTTCTCGAGCACGCCTTTGCCAACCTGAGCCACACTGGCATCTAGAGTGTCTATCTTGTCACGTAGACTTGTAGTGTAAGACTTGACTGTGAACAAGGTGGAGACAGACGAGATGAACTCTTGGTAGTTCTCTGTACATATACGCTCAATCTCGCTGTCCTTTGCCTCGACGAGTGCCTGAAGATTGCGAAGGTAGGCTTCCTGCTGTCGATTGGAATAAATCTGGTTGATGATAGGGCCCAGTTGCTCAAGGTTTTCAGACGAGGAGGAAGGATCGAGAAGGTGAATCTGCTGGAGTTGCTGGTCGATGCTATCGACTGTGTGTACGGGGCGACGGCGGGGAGGCATTCGGTCGACGGTATAGTTATGACACTAGTAAAGCTTGTAACACTGCGCGCAACGTTAATTTCACCCAGCTTGAAAGGGGAACTCAGCCCCTGAATGAGGGCTGCAGGAACCCTCACCGACATCGGACCGATGGTTCACACAGCGACCGATACTAGACGCGTTTGGGGCTAAAGATCATCATGGTATCGTTGTTCTTGCTACAATATTTCTGCTTGCCGATTATCTGCCATGTCAGACCCCGTCAAGTTCACGGTCGATGCAATGTGCGTGTTCCATATAACTCAGCTTTAGATTGCAAAACTTTCTGGTAGGACTCATTTTGACGATGTATACAACACTTGATAGCCTCTTTGACATGGACGGGACTTTGGTCAACTCGACAGAGGGCGTCGTTGGGGCATGGGAGACCTTTGCTAAGTTATATCCAGGGCTTGACATCAAGACAATATTGAGCAGTCAGTACTTCAGTCCTAGAACATCGTGAGACAGATTCAACGCTGTTGCCCTTTGCTTGCAGGTTCACATGGGGTCCGCACCGTCGATAATTTGCGTAAATATTGTGGAATCACAGATGAAGTAGAACTTGAGGTATGTACCCCATCTCTGTTCGTCAGTTGCTAAGAATCTCACGCAGATCAGAAACAAGCCGTGCTCTTTGAGAAAGCTATCGTGGATTCCTCTACCGTTAATGGCAGAAAGGGCATCACGTTGCTGCCAGGCGTAAAGGACATCATAGATGAAGTGAGTTTCTCTTTCACACTCTTAAGATAACTGCTAAGTCAAGGTTAGCTCACCGCCGGTCCGGAGGATACGCAGACTCGTTGGGCTGTCTGTACTTCTGCCACACGCTATTACGCGTCGAGAGCATTGGCATTAACAGGCATCCCAAAACCCAAAGTTTTTGTGACAGCAGAGGACGTCGAGAAGGGCAAACCATTGTAAGATTCCCCACTTCGTCTTCCCCTCTTACAGATGTTCAGTTCTCTCAATCAGCCCTGATCCTTACTTGCTGGGGGCGAAGAGCTGTGGATATGAACCTGAAAGATGTAGGCAGGTGATCCGAGAATAAACATCATATCCTCATTAGGTGCCATTAGGTCTGGTTGTCGAAGATGCGCCTGCAGGGGTACGCAGCGGTCGCGCAGCGGGCTGTAAAGTCATTGGTCTGCTCACCACGCACCCGAAGGAACAAGTTGAAGCCGCGAACCCCGACTTCCTCGTTCGCGATCTTGCCAGGTGTGTTCTTAGACTTCGTGGCATCTCGCCTCCTTACATTTGCATCAGTGTCTCCATGAAGAGAACTCCTGCTGGCATCGAAGTAACAGTCCAGATGAAGAGCAGCCGCTGAGCGCTGATCGCGGGGTGCCTAGACTACTTAGTATCGCGCCTGTCTTTCGATTAAGGAGCGACCACACCCTAGCTTAGGGTTTGATGGTTCTAGCGCCACTGGTCATATTCTTGGCAAATTCTTAGCGAAGACAAAGCTGCATCACGAGTAAAGCGAAATTTAGAGGTAGATAAAGGGGAAATAACGTTAAGGCATTGGCCAAGGTGAAAGGGAATGCGTCTCTCTCATTAACTAGTACTCGCCCTCTTCTTCGGCATCAACGGAGTCGGTGCCAACTTCCTCGTAGTCCTTCTCGAGGGCAGCAAGATCTTCACGGGCTTCCGAGAATTCACCCTAGAAACGGATGAGGGCCACATTAATTGGAAAATGGCGGTAAGCTCACCTCTTCCATACCCTCACCAACGTACCAATGCACAAAGGCACGCTTCGAGTACATGAGGTCAAACTTGTAGTCTAAAAGCAATGTCAATACCACTATAGACTCAGAGGCGCATGTCAGATCATACCAAGACGGCTCCATGCAGCAGAGATGGCAGTGGTACTGGTGAAAGTCAGTAGGTCCTACTCTGTAAGAATATACAACGTACTTAGAGAGCATGCACAGGCTGCGGCTCGCCTTGGCAAGATCCCCACCAGGGACGGGGGCGGATGGCTCATTGCAGATACCGAGCTACACAATGGTCAGAATGGACAGCCCAATGATTGACCCTACCACATGCCTTAAAGCCAGTAGGGCACCAATCGACGAACTGGATGGTCCTCTTGGTCTTCACACTAGAAACAGCAGCCTGAACATCCTTTGGAACGACGTCGCCACGGTATAAGAGACAGCACGCCACTGAACATAGCTCAGCAACAATTCTTGAGTTTCACCTACGGAACTTACTGTATTTGCCATCCTTGGGATCGCATTTTACCTGCGTATGTAGAGTTAGTAATGGTTGACAGTAGGTACAATGATGCCTGACCATCTGGGAACCGGCCTCGAAGCAAGAGAAGGTCATCTCAGCAACCGAGTTTGATTCGTGACCAGCCTTTTCTGCAGACAGGAGAGGAGCATACGTGGCCAGAGGAAAGTGGATACGAGGGAAGCTGATACAAACGTTAAGCACCACGACAACATACTTGTACAGCAAGCAAGCACTTACGGTACCAAGTTGGTCTGGAACTCGTTCAAGTCAACGTTTAGAGAGCCATCGAAGCGAAGCGAGGCGGTGATGGATGATACGACTTGCGCAATCAGGCGGTTCAAGTTCGTGAAGCTGGGCTGGGCAACACCGAGGTTCTTCTTGCAGATGTCGTAGATAGCTTCATTATCAACCTTTCCCATGGGTCGATTATTTGAAGCACTTGGTCGAAAACTTGACCACTCACCATGAACGAGCAATCCGAGTGCTCCAGAGTGGTGTGAGTAGTGAGGACGGAGTTGTACGGTTCGACGATGGAGCTCGAGAGTTGAGGAGCAGGGTATACACAGAACTCAAGCTTAGACTTCTTGCCGTAATCCGTGGAGAGACGCTCGAGGAGGAGTGCGCCGAAACCGGAACCAGTACCACCACCGAAGGAGTGGAATACGAAAAAGCCTTGGAGACCTGAGCAGTTGTCGGCCAAACGGCGAACCTTGTCCATGACGGGGTCGATGAGCTCCTTCCCAACGGTGTAGTGGCCACGAGCATCTACATTTTTGGTGATCAAAGATATTTCATGAAGCATGGACTTGATCACTCACAGTTGTTGGCCGCGTCTTCCTTGCCAGTGATCATGGTCTCGGGGTGAAAGAGAGAGCGGTATTTGCCAGTTTTTACCTCATCGATAGCACCGGGCTCAAGATCAATGTATAGGGAACGAGGGACGTGCTTCCCAGAACCAGTCTCCGAGAAAAAGGTGGAGAAACCGTGGTCGGTGTTGGCGCCGTCCAAGACGCGACCATCAGGCTGCAAGAGAGACAATGAAACGTCAGAAGAACGCTAAAGGGATGGTACATACACTGAGACCATGCTCGAGCGTGTAGAGCTCCCCTGCAAACGTGTTGAACGATTTTACGCGTTGAAGGAGAAAGCTCACTCACAGCAAGCATTACCAATCTGGACACCAGCCTGACCAACGTGGAGGGAGATAACTTCGCGCATGACTGCCAATGAAACCGGTGTGGAGAGGTCCTGTCGATGAGATGGGCAGTGACCAAGTCAGGTTCACTGCAGAAATGTTTTCGAACCATCGCCGGAATCACACCATGGCGGAACCGCAATGTGATACCCTTTTGGGACTTAGCAGATTTCGGCCACTCAAAATTCATTCCATAACGAGCACGGGGACATCAATGGCAAATGTAAAATTATAGGAAAATAACATGGTTCCGTGAATCAAAGAAAGACGTAAAGGATGAGTGCTATCAACGCAGGGACATCAATGTGGTATATTTGATAAGGAAAAAGGCAGACTTCGCGAACCAGAGAAATTTAAAACCAAAAATGCATCTCAGTATTCTCCAGCCTCCTCCACATCAGCAGAGTCGATGCCAACTTCCTCGTAATCCTTCTCAAGGGCAGCAAGATCCTCGCGAGCCTCAGAGAACTCCCCCTCTTCCATACCTTCACCAACGTACCAGTGCACGAACGCACGCTTCGAGTAAAGCAGATCAAACTTGTGGTCAAGACGGCTCCACGCGGATGAGATGGCAGTGGTGTTGGACAGCATGCACATGCTGCGGGACACCTTTGCAAGGTCACCGCCAGGAATGTGAGCGGGCGGCTCGTTGCAGATACCGAGTTTGAAACCGGTAGGGCACCAATCAACGAATTGGATGGTGCGCTTGGTCTTGATGATACCAACAGCAGCGTTAACATCCTTGGGGACAACATCACCGCGGTACAGAAGGGCACAAGCCACTAAATAACGAGTGAGCCGGACGAAGAAGGGCAGCGGAACGACGACACATACTGTACTTGCCCTCCCTGGGGTCACACTTGACCATCTGGTTACCGGTCTCAAAGCAAGAGAAGGTCATGTCGGCAACAGAGTTCTGTTCATGGTGGGCCTTCTCAGCAGAGATGATGGGAGCGAAAGTAGCAAGAGGGAAGTGGATGCGGGGGAAGCTAAGTCCGAACTCGGTAAATAGAGGGTGTAATATAGACGATGGAGGCTTACGGAACCAAGTTGGTTTGGAACTCGTTGAGATCAACGTTCAAGGAACCATCAAAACGCAGAGATGCCGTGATAGACGAAACGACCTGAGCAATCAGACGGTTAAGGTTGGTGAAACCTGGGGAGGTGATGTTCAGGTTGCGCTTGCAAATGTCATAGATGGCTTCGTTGTCAACCTGAGTAATTGACGTGAGACATTGTCACCTGCTAAATAACGTCAACTTGCCATGAATGAGCAATCAGAATGCTCAAGGGTGGTGTGGGTGGTGAGGACAGAGTTGTAGGGCTCGACAACAGAGTTGGCCATAGTCGGAGCGGGGTACACGCTAAACTCAAGCTTGGACTTCTTGCCATAGTCCGTGGACAGACGCTCAAGAATGAGCGCACCGAAACCAGAGCCGGTACCGCCACCAAAGGAATGGAAGACAAAGAAACCTTGGAGACCATTGCAGTTGTCAGCGAGGCGGCGAACCTTGTCCATAACAACATCGATCTGTTCTTTGCCAATGGTGTAGTGGCCACGAGCGTCTGCAAGAAAACTGAGAACCTGATGGTGACGTATCAATGTGGAACGTACAGTTGCTTGCCGCATCCTCTTTGCCAGTGACAAGGGTCTCGGGGTGGAAAAGGCTCCGGTACGTGCCCGTCCTCACTTCGTCCACGACGTTCGGCTCAAGATCGATGTAGAGCGACCGCGGAACGTGCTTGCCAGAAGACGTTTCCGAGAAGAAAGTGCTGAAACCATCATCGTTAGTAGATGGTGAGCCCTCGATAAGACGACCATCGGGCTGATCTTTCACGTTAGATAGAGACAATCTACGTTATTCGAGATTAGCCACGTACACTAAGACCGTGTTCGACGGTGTAAAGCTCCCCTGATAGGATAAAACGTTAGCTCCTTCATTCACATGTGCCAACTTGACATCCAATGCAGGGAGACAAGGGCAGCGGGTACGTTCCAAAGGACTAAAAAAACTAACAGCAGGCATTGCCGATCTGGACACCGGCTTGACCGACGTGTACGGAGATGACTTCACGCATTTTTACTCGTGAGTAGTCTGTTGAAGAGCGCACATAAATGATTAGAATATGCTGCCACGAAAAAAACGCGTCGAGGATGGCTTACGGAGTGAACTGGTAGTGAGAATGGGGTGATGCCCGCGAAAAGAGAGGGTGGAGGGTTAAAAGAGCCAAAAGCACATGTCGCTTACTAAGCCCTTCCCACACGTGTGGCTCGATGGCCTCGAGGACAACTGCAGGCGACGCTGTCACGCACACATGGATCAAACATGTTACACAATGGAAGCATATCGGGATCTTCTTAGTCGTAGCTCGAGTCAAGCGCGGAGTAGGTCAATGTGTAAAATTGAGCTAGCAAAGAGTGAAAGGTGTAGAGCTCTATCTGGGTGTTTATATGTCCATTATGCGACTTGTCCGGAACAAGTGTGCGACGCGCCCCGCGACGACGCGATGTTGAGGCGGATATTAATTGATTATGTCCGAGACTACGAGTCTCCGTCACTCCCACGAAGGGTACCCTCGCATTTAACGAGTTCCATTAGCCACCTTGACAGCGCTCTTCCGTATGAAAAGCCTGCCAAGTTTGTTAGTTCGGCACTTCACTAAGGAGACGATAACGCAAACCTGATAAGTGACTCCCAGACGCTCAAACCATGCAAGTTCATGAAAGAACGTGTCTGCTGCTCAGATGCAGACTGCCTGGGCGGCCTAAAGGGATCGTCGTTGGGATCGAACGCTGCTTTGATCGCGTCGGATGTCTTGAGCGTCGGTAGGGTTTTATGGGTGACAGGCGCTGAATGGTAAATGGTCTTTTTGAGCAACGATAGAGCGTCCGCCTGCATTAATGCTCGATCAGTCAGTATCTTACAAGGGCGAAGACATGCTCACGGTATCGCGCCTATTAGCAATGGCAGTTGATGGTGGGTTTTCCTCGGCCAGATCCAAAGGCCCCCATCGTCTGTCAGCCTGAATTGCACCTCGAATCGTCCTCACGGACGTCGTTGAAGATGACCTCTCTGGCTTGGGTCTCGTATTAATGGTGTCCTTGTCCCCTTCAAGTACAAGACCCTGATCTCTTGCGTTGTCGATCATCGTCTTCGCCTTCGTTTCGCATTTCAGGCGTTTTCCAAGAACTTTCCGACTGGTCTTCTTGAAGCGTTTATCCCATTGTTTTTGGCCACTTAGCCATTTGTTGAGAGGGTCCTCCTTGATTATACCAATTTCAGAGGGCTTTAATTGAAGAGCTTGCACATCCTGCATGGGTTCCATTGGTCGAACATTCCCATAAATATCTACACGCTCTCGTATCATCTATTTGAAGCCCATCGTTTGATGAATGGGCGCCCTAGGGAGTCAAGATGCGGCTTACCTCTTGTCCTCGTTTCCCTGTCTCTATAGTGCCAGGATGTAACCCTCCATTTGCAATAGGCGAGCCTCTGCGCATGTTCCCTGATTCGTCGGCTGTTATATCGCCTGCTACATCACCTGTATCGGCTTTTCGACACCCTTGCGATTCCTTTTCGGGGTGTGTTTTCCCGACAGTGTTAGAACGGGAAGGTTTCGACGGTCCTGGAAATGGGTTTTCTTCCAACTCCTCAGGCGAGCTGTCAGTAACGTGTTTAACAAAATCAGCAATTGAATGATAGGCGTAATTGGCGCAGTCGATAAAAGTGAAAACAGTGAGAACATGACACATATCTATAATTAAAACAAAAGCAATTAATGGAAAGATGGCAGATGATTGTTGGTAAGCACTTGCCGTCAAACACTTGTAAATGCACTTTTGTCGGGGTAGTGAATCTTTGTAGATTTTCCTTCTGTCTCCAACCGTCTCTGATAACTCCCTCACGGACAGGGAACTGATCAGGATGTGCGGCCCGGTGGGCCAAGTAGATGACTTCATCCCTTAACACCTCACCGTCACCGGCAATGATGTACAAAGGACAAAGGTTGCAGAGAGAACTTTGAAGCACAGGGGAAACTAGAGGATGTGAGAGTTGCCTATCGGTAGCGCTGTCAGCTGGGTGCAGAGCGCTGATGAGTGACTAAGCTTACTCATTGGTCGCGTAAAGATGGATTTGTGATCGTAGCTCAAGTGGTATGGCGTTAGGGTCCTTCATGAGCACCTTCGACGGTTTAGGCTCTCGAGTCTCAAGGTTGTCGTCGTTTGACTCTGCGCCTACTTGACCCGGGCCCCTCCCGATGGGTGAACTTTCTCCTTTATCATCTGAAGGCTGAAATGGGTCAGATACATCGTCTTTCGCGCCGTACATCTTCATCATTTCAGCCTGGGGCTTAGGTTTATCCGTCGCACCTAAACCAGCCGCCGCACCGTCCAAATCAGCATCGTCACGAGGACGGTCTGCTTGAGGCACGAGGACGTCAGCATGGCCAGGTTTAGGTGGTGGATTGGTGGTGGTGGGAACGACACGTGCTGTGGTATTCGTGGGATCCATAGGCCAAAGGGTCGACGGCTTCGCAAGAAACCCGTGAGGAGGTATTATGTCCTGGTAATTGATTGTTGAAAATGCCTCCCACCACGAACTCATAACTCACAGTGTGGGTATTTTGCATGATGCTGGGGAAACTGTGTGTCATATCAACCCATGGACTGATCAGAACAGCGCCAGCGGGCATAGGTAGCCCCATATCGCGCAGAAGTGTCAAAGTCGCCAGGCAAAGACCGCCACCTGCGGAGTCGCCAGCAAATACGATCTTCGACGCGGGTACAGGTCGATGTGCTGATCCAGGGGGCGGGTCAATCAGATATAAGTCTATTCATTTTGATCATCAATGAACCATGATTTGCCGACGACAGCCCGGACAACTCACACGCTGCGAGGACATCTTGCAGAGGGCATGGCCACGGATATTGAGGCGCCTTTCGATAATTTACGGCAAACGCACGACCGTTGATCATCCGGGCTAGCAAGCCAATTAGTTGTCATGAGGCTGTCCTGGAGCTGGTAAACTGCACCATAGCGAATGATTTGATAACGATGAGTGTCTATCAGGATTGTCAAAATAACGCAACCATAGGTAAAGTATTCTTTCTCACTTATTGACCCCCAAAAGTATCCGCCTTAATTCCTTCAAAACGAAACTCTCTGGGATTGGTCTTTGATCGGCTCACCTCCGTGCACGTAAAACTGAAAACGAATCTTTCAGCAAATTGACACAGGTATGCGAAAGGTCGCTGCACTCACCAGTACTCTATCCAGTTGCTCCATTTTTTTGATGGTTTTCTCTTGCCAGGAGTGCTTACCCTCCTCAGACTTGTCATTCGTGTCGGTCAGCTGTTCCTTTTCCGCGATCCATTCGCCATCTCCACCATCCAGGCCCCTGACTTGCCACCACCGCTCTCCACCGACAACATGCTTGATATCTTCTGGACCGAACCATTTGATCAAAGTGTCTGCAGCCGTGTTGCAGGATGCAAAGGGTATAAGAACAGGGACAACGGCCGCCCAAGGTGGCGCGGGGACGTGAGTGTTGGTGCTGGGAAGTGTCAATCGCGTTCAATATGGTGTTCCACAAAGGAACAAGCTCACAATGCTTGCAGCGATTCCACCGTATTCTTAGTCCCCAGCAAGATGAAGGCTTTAACAATGTTGAATGCCCTGCATGCCGTAAGGTTAAGAATGTGGATTATGACAGAGCATGCTCACTCGTCGAAGAATATATTGTCAAGTGCATGTGCTTTGTCCTCTGAGCGGGTCTTCTTTCCCTTGCGTTTACGTTTCGAATGGAGGTACAAGGTCCTAATTACCACTGCTTTGTGTGAGTATGATGATGTGAGGAAGTAGGAAATACAGACCGGGAGTGATATTTGCTGCAGCAGACAGAGTTGAAACTGTCATGACTGCTGGCTAAGGTCAGTGACCACGGGAAGAAGGAAACTAAGTGAAGTGTGGCACTGTCGAGAGTACGGGCGAGCACTCGAACGATAGCCACTGGTCTCGTCTAGCCAATGTGAAATACGCGAATGGACCATGGCATGTTCACCCCTGGCCCGTCATGGCCCCTCGAGGGTGTGCGCATGACGTCAACGGACTCCTTTATAATTAGTATCTGGTATTAATGGTATGGCCATGATCTAGTGTCATAGCCTTCGCGGCATTTTTGGAGTGGATGCCAGCCGGTTGCAGGTGGTTACCAGCTGTTACCGGTTTACCACTGTCACAGGGAAGATCGTATCCTCTCGATGTCCTTCGCAAATTCATCGCATCGTGGGATATCATAACGTCTTGTTCTGCATGTAGTTGGACTTCTCCATTCCGTGCCTCCATGATGTGAATGGTATGGTTTCACACCCTGCCTATCGGACCCAAGCAAAGTGAGAAATAGGGTAGATATGGAAACCTTTTGCAGGCGTGCTAAGGCGGTCAGTGACCAGTAACAAGGAGGATTCGCGACACAGATCTCAGAATGATCGTCAGTTGTTTGGCAAGAGCTTCATAAACAAACACTCATGTGTTTCCTTTTCTGTACAGAGCGGAGCGGAGGCTATTGCATACCTCTTCCAATACGCGACGGCACAAGCACCTCGAGTGTCCGCGGCGGTGTAACAGCCCAACTTGCAATAACGATATCATAAAGAGCTTACAGGTACCATGATCACATTCACGCCGCTATCGGGTGCCGCTCGCTCTTCAGTTACGAGTCCCTTGGCCTACCTTCTCCAAATAGACGATGTCAAGATTCTCCTCGACTGTGGTTCGCCAGACTGGAATCCAGAGAAGATTCCTTCGACTTCAACAGAGAGCGACTCTTCTCCTTACTTCTGGCAAGATTATTGCAATGCTCTGAAGCAGTTTGTGACCTTCCCCTTATTTTGGCAAATGACTGGCTGACTCTCAATTGACAGGTGTGCGCCTTCCGTGGACCTTGTCTTGTTATCTCACGGCGACTTATCCCACTGCGGACTCTTCGCATATGCCTACTCACGATGGGGTCTGAAAGCGCCTGTGTATAGTACACTTCCTGTGCAGGCTATGGGACGCATTGCGACGACGGAAGATGTCGACGGCCTTCGAGACGAAGGTATTCATGACCCAGAGAATGAACAGGACTTTGATGAAGAGCATAAGGAGGAAAATGAAAATGAAGAAGGCTTCTCAACAGAACAGAAGGAACACACGAGCATTAAATTCATTGCCACAATGCAGGAAGTTCACGAGGCCTTTGACTCTATCAACACGCTAAGGTATTCACAACCTACACATCTCCAGGGTACGTACTCTTCGTGTTCTCCGTAATATTTCTCTCATAACGGTTCTTTCAGGACGATGTCAGGGCATCACAGTAACACCATTCAATGCCGGCCATACACTAGGCGGTACCATATGGAAGATACGATCTCCGTCGGCTGGTACAATCCTCTACGCTGTAAACATCAACCACATGCGTGAACGCCACCTCGATGGAACTATCCTCGTTCGGTCCGCTGGGGGAGGTGTATTCGAGCAACTTGCTCGCCCCGACCTCCTCATCACTGATGCTGACCGCGCAAACGTGGTCACGAGTCGTCGGAAAGACAGAGATGCCGCGCTCATGGGTGAATATTTAATAATGTCTGTGCTTGCGTCAAGCTCATCGTGACTATGACCAGATTGCATCAGTGCCACTCTTTCGTCACGATCGTCCCTGTTGCTGCCTTGCGATTCCAGCACTCGGGTGCTGGAATTGTTGGTATTGCTAGACCAACATTGGAAATTCCATGACTATCGCTATCCGATTTGCTTCCTTTCTCGCAATGGTCGCGAGATGCTCACTTTTGTGCGAAGTATGATGGAATGGCTGGGCGGTACAGTCAACAAGGAAGATGTGGGTGTCGACGGCAGTGGGCGCATGGGCGGCAACAAGAGACGAAGAGACGATGACGCAGACGACGACGCCTTAGGGGCGTTCGCTCTCCGGTTTCCGTAAGATTTCGTATGCTACGCAATCGAACTCAGCTCACTTACATGACGCCAGTCATCTCGAGTTCTTTCCTAACCCAGACGCATTGCTTCAAACTTATTCGTCGAAAGACCCCAAAATTATCTTGGCTGTTCCTGCGTCGTTATCGCACGGACCGTCTCGATCCTTATTCGTCGACTTCGCAGCAGTGCCTGACAACGTCGTACTCCTTACTGGCAGAGGTGAAGAGGGTACTCTCGGCCAAATACTCTTCGGCCGCTGGAATGACTCGCAAAGAGCGGATGACAAGTGGGACAAGGGAAAGATTGGCAGAAACGTCATGATGGATGGTGCTATGCGGCTGAAGGTCCGTATCCACTCGTTTGTGTGCAACGGCTGGCCTTGATATTGCATAGATGTCCTCAAAAGTCCCTCTCCAAGGAACAGAACTGGAACTATATCTGGCTAAAGAGCGTGCGACCAAGGAGAAGGAAGTAGCTCAGCAGGCCGCTATGGCTCGTAATCAACGCATGCTTGAAGCTGACGAGGACGAGAGTGACGAGGAGTCCGACTCCGACGCAGAAGAAGATGAGGTTGCCCGCGCTCTCGGCGTTACGACTCTGGACTCCGACGATATTTCCAGTCCTAATCTCGGCTTGCGGAAACGCAAAGGCGAATCAGCTGAGGATGGGGAATGGGCTGATATGGATGAAGGCCTCACCAAGCAAGTGCTATCCTTCGACATCTACCTCAAAGGGAACATGTCGAAGGCGACATCATTTTTCAAGACTTCCTCGAACCAAAGTCAACGCTTCCGAATGTTCCCCTATGTGGAGAAGAAGCGGAGAGTAGATGAGTACGGCGAAACCATCGATGTTGGCATGTGGCTGCGAAAAGGCAAGGTCATGGAGGAGGATAGTCAAGGCGACGAAGCGAAGGATGTCAAGCGGAGGCAAGCTGAAGAGGAGGAGAAGGTAGGCTTTGGTTTAACGATGTTGGTTTAGCGACTGATATTAGTTTCAGAAAGCCGCCCAGGAGCCGCCATACAAATTTGTGACGTCCGAGATCGAGGTCCAGCTGGCATGCCGCCTACTGTTCATTGACATGCAAGGGCTGAACGATGGACGATCTGTCAAGACTATAATACCTCAAATGAACCCTAGGAAGATGGTACGTTCGTTGTACTCGTCTCCCCAATTTTACTTACCATCCTGCCTGTAGATCATAGTACACGCTTCCGAGAGTGCCTCAGAAGCCCTGATCAGCAGTTGTGCAAACATCCATGCAATGACCAAGGACATTTATGCGCCTCAAGTAGGCGACTCAGTGCAAATTGGACAACAAACCAACAGCTTCTCAATATCGCTAAGCGATGAACTCATTGCCGGGCTGAAGATGTCGCGGGTATGCTTGTCATGCTGCCTTCACGATCTAAATCTAATTCTGATACTCTCCCTAGTTTGAAGACAACGAAGTCGCATATGTGACTGGGCGTGTGATTAGTCACTTCAGTTCAACCATACCTATACTTGGGCCCGCGTACGCGGTGCCCCCAGCACGACAATCCAGTGTCGTAAGCGAAAATGTCGAACCTCCCAAAAGGCGGACATTGGGATCACGGTCTAAAATCGATTTACCTCATTCTACGATGATCGGTGAACTCAAGCTAACCTCTCTCAAGTCGCGTCTTGCTGCTGTCGGCATCCACGCTGAGCTCATTGGTGAGGGTGTCCTCATATGCGGCGCGGGTGCCAAACGCGATCAGGCTTCTCAAAATCTCCATGACACCGTCGCGGTGCGCAAGACAACTTCAGGCAAGGTAGAACTTGAAGGAAATGTTTCAGATGTCTACTATAATGTACGAAACGAGATATACAAACTACACGCCCTAGTGGCTGCGTAATGTCATCAGCATTGTAATTGTTAGCTACTGCAGGTCTTCATTATGATAACATATCCCTCGCTGGCTTGCGTCATGCAGCCTTCCCGGTATCTTCCTTCAAACTAACTATGCGATTCAACACCAGATAATCACCTTGGCCCGCTCCGGCTCCGGTACTTTCAATTTGATCAAGGGCAGCCACTCGCGAGTCTTTGTCCACAGCAAAATATGCCACCCGCAACCCCTGGAACCTCACACACTCCTTGCCTACTAGATCCTCGGGTCTCACCTTCGGCGCGTCCAACGGGAACCTCGACTCGCTTTGCCCCTTTGCCGCTCGCGTCCTGGCCTCGCTCAGGGCATCTCCAATAGATTTCTTCGCCAGTGGCCAGAAGCCCACTTCAACCATCGCACCTCTGATGACTTGGAGGCTGTCTGGATTGATGTCAGCCTTGAAGTCGGGCACGGCGGCAAGTGGGTTATCGCTCTTAAAGAGGGAGTGGAAAATCCGTGTTTCGTCGATGCGCACTGGACTTCCGGAGGGTGCGTGGTCAGCAACCCACTGAATGAAGGCTTTAGGCTTCTTGGTGTTGTTGTCCTCAAGACGGCAGATAAGCTCAGTGACAGCGCCCGTAGCCCCGTCTGTCTTGTAGGAAGTACATGTGATGGGGTATGGGGCTTGAAAAAGGCCGACAGTTTTCCCGGGAGCGAGACGATAGTAGTCTTTTGAGTCCTCCAGACGGAAGTCGTCGGCGTCAATGTAGATGGTCTTGGAGAAGGGGATCTTGGAAGAGCCAAGCTCGGCAACTTTAGGATGAAGTGGCTTCTCAACCATAATCACATAATCATCTGGGACGTTTTCGAGAGTGACTTTGAGTGGACGGAGCACCATCAGAAGCCTTGGTGCAGAATTCTCAAGGTATTGCCTGACAGTCTGATCAAAGCGTACAATTTGAATATTTGATGCTGCAGTTGAAACCCCAAGGCCGCTGACGAACGATAAGATGGCACCCGGCGGCACTCCACGTCTTCTGAGAGCTATGAGGGTGAAAAGACGAGGATCATCCCAGTCAGACACGAATTTCTCTTCCACGAGCTGCAAGATCTTTCGCTTCGAGTTAATTGTGCCGGTAACATTGAGTCGACCAAACTCTGACTGCCTTGGCTTGTATACCTCAACAGCATCACACAACCATTCATATGATTGGCGTGAGGCAATGAATTCGGTGGTGCAGAGCGAATGCCTAATAATGACCCAGTCAGATAGGGAAGATGCTGCACAAACAGATGCGTACGAGATGTTCTCGAAACTATCCACTAAGCAATGTGTGAAATCATAAGTCGGGTAGATCTTCCACTTGTCATGTGTCCGATGATGAGGTGCGTCCAGAACACGGTATGCAGTTAAATCCCACATCTGGGGATTTCCATCTGATAGATCTTGCTTCATCCGAAGATTGGCCTCCTTTGGCCGATAGTGTCCATCCTTCATCTTCTTAAACTCCTCGAGAGATTCTCCAATAGGTCGTGAGCGATGGATGCAAGCCTTTGGGGCTGCAATCTTTTCTCCCCTATCGGCCTTGATTTGCTCTTCTAATGTTTCAGTGAGCAAGGATATGAGTTGAACCATAGTGGACAATGCTCACGAGTGCAATGGCAAACATAGGCCTTATCTCGTTTGATAAGCTCCACAGCCAGGTCGTAGAGTTTATCGAAGTAGTCGCTGGAGTACGTGATCTTCCAGGGTTCAAATCCTAGCCAACGCACCATCTCCAAGATACTCTCAAAATAACGGGCCTCCTCCTTCTCCGGGTTGGTGTCATCATACCTCAAGTAGCATCTTCCGCCGTGATGTGCAGCATAACCGAAATTCACGAAGATAGCCTTTGAGTGTCCAATGTGAAGGTAGCCGTTAGGTTCAGGGGGGAATCGGGTGTAGACAGAACCTTTCGTGAATGCAAGATGTTGTTCACGAAGCTCTGGTTTTATTTGAGCATTTTCGCCAGGCTTATGCAGAGATCCAAGGAAGCCTTCTTCGAATACAGTTTTTCGGCTGCTTGCTTCTGGTGGTGTGGAAGCTCCTTGAGATGGGGCGTCCTTCTTGGGAGCAGGTTCCTTTGACAGAGGCTAAGTGGCAAACCTCCCAAGTCTCAAGAATAAGCACACCTTCTTCCCTTTGGCTGGTTTGCCTGCCTCCTTTGGACCGAACTTACTCGTGAAAACTTGCTCGACCGCGTTCTTGACCTCGAGAGGGTTGGCCCACCGCAAAGCCGGAGAGTTCTTTACGCCACTAATGGTGGGCCCCAAGTTTGCCCATCCCGCAGCGCCGCTGGCCTTTACGTAGTCGGTTATTTCGGCGAGGAGTTGTTCAGCCGTGATGCTGTAACCTAGGGACGATCGTATCGCTCCGTGCAAGATGTAGGGAAGTGCATACCAACGCCACACTCTTGCTCAAATTCGCTATCATTGAAAGGAGAAGAGTGAGACTCCAAATACTTCGTCGCGGCTACCATGAGATTGTAAGAACTCCATGACCTGTGAAAGCATAAGCTTCACCTGACACTTGATCCGTGGACTTGAGCTTCTCATCCAAGATCGCCCTCACTCCATAGTCGCGTTCGACGGGGCCAACTTTGTCTGCTTTGGCCAGCTGGCCAGCGAACGTGGCGACCAGGACACCCTGCTTCTCGCTGAGCTTTGCATTGGTGAGGTCGTGTGCAACAATCAATTCACTGAAAATCGATGCGCTCTTCTGGTTTTTGGCTGCCTCTGCGGCTTTCGATTGGGGTAGCCCTATAGACTTGAAAAGCGCGAGGAAGTCACCCGTATCCGTTGTTCCACTAGCCATGGGGAAAACACCGAGGTGTAGGGGAAATCAGTATCAGAGCAAGAGAGTGAGTCAGAGACCGAGACGCGCAAAGATCGATAGTACTTGTACAGTATTCAGGAAACTATAATCTTATCTTTGAGGAGTATTGCATCCGACAATGCTACTTGTGCACTGTCCGTGCACGTGAGGATCAGCTAACTCTGAATTCTCGCCCTCACCTATGGCTTCGTCGTCACAACTTTCCCAAACGCCGCCTTTTAACTCAGATCAACCCTCCGCACCAAGGACTCATTTTTGTCAATGGGATTGGTGCCGCCAGACATTTGTCCTTCACGAGGGCCTTTTACTACATGTCGTACATGACCATGTTCGCAATGCAAGACCGGTTCGCCGAAGAGATTTTCCTTTGACGAAGTCCTTAGAAATCGTATCTGCGGGACGTGAGCGACAAACTGGTGTCTTTTCTGGTATGTTCTGAAATGACTCTGGTGCTATGCTAGAGCACAGCCATTGAAAATGGTTTAGAGGACCCAGCCTCGGACATGGCGACTCCTGCCAAGTCATCGCAAGCAATCGTAGCAATTGAACATGCAAGACCCTTACCTGCTCAGCCTTCGTTGATCTCCCAGGATGCAGCTACGAGATCACTGGCGCCCCAGTCCATCTCGAGATATTCGACCCCACTCAAACGCAACTACGCTGATTTTACCCGAATGTCGTCTCCCGCTGCCACTCCACCTGTCCCCTCAATCTCGCCTTCACCTGAACTTGAAACGCTGATCGAACAAGTCAACAATAGCAAGCGCATACGCATATCCAAGCCCAACTTTGACATTGACAGTAAGAGGCCAACCCCAACCCCATCTAGGCTATCATTGTCGTCGCAAAACACTGTTGAACGCCACTTGACTCAGAACCAAGAGCTCGACTCGGTCACTATTCACCCGTTGGACAGTCAACTACATTCGAACCATGATTCCATACACAACAATGTCCAACCCGATTCTCGCCTTATAGTAGAGTCGTATGAGCCTGCAAGCCTTGCGCGTTGTAGCGGCTCGTTTCGTTCTGGAACTCTGGAAGTATTCCCTCCACGCAGTTCCCCTTCCATCGTTGCGCACGGCACCGAAGAATTGCAGACGTATCCAGAATTACAGCGGTCCGAACCGCAGCAGCCCAATGATGCAGATTACTCGATATTACTACAGACACAAGCGCCGTATCACAGTCAGTTCGGATAGTCTGACATATGATCAGCCCGGTTAGAGTTGATTGAGTAGTCTCAGTCAGGCCCATAATTCCAGTGGTTCAGCAGTTAACGTCGCAATTGTCCTGAAGTTATTCACTTGCTCTAGTATTCCCCTGGGCCAATTTGCGTTATTAATGTGTGCATGTAATATTGCGTTATAACGAATAGTGACTGCATGCGTTAATGTATAAAACGTGAGTAAGCAAAACCATATAGATGCGAGACAGCAAATTCGTGGCTTAAACTATGGGGCTACAGGATTTCGCCGCATCCCCGACTCCCGACTCCCGACTCAGTCCGACTCAGTACAACGACTCTGAATTCCCCAAGGCTTGGGGGTGGATTTGGATACCATGGACCTGATGGACCCGACTCG